AGTAAAGTAAAACCTAATACAATTCTGGTCCCTAAGTTAGAATATTTCCTATAGAAGCCTATAGTAGCTAGTAATAAAAGCTAGCTATAAAACCTTCTATACTTCTATATAACGCTATATAAATCTATAATTAAATTTATACTAACTACGATTCTAGGCTTAGCTATTACTCTATCTACTTATCCTCTATAGCTCTATATAATATAAGTTAAGCCTCTCTATCCTTAGAGGTATACTTCTTCTAAAACGTATTTCTATATAATTAGGGATTTATCTAAGAATATGTTAAGAGTTTTCTAATATATAGAGTTTAAGAGAGTATAATACAGATTATACTAATAAATATTATACTAATAAATATTATAGAATCTTTCGAGGGAATTTATATTAATTTCAGTTTTGTATTTACTATTATATAGCTCTCTCTAGAGATAGAGATACTTCCTCTAGGAAATTTACTTCTCTACCTTAAGAGATAATATAAAACCAAGTATTATAGTACCTCCGTAGAGGACGAAGGGTCGTCGACCTCGTTACTACTAGCTATACTTACCTATAACTACGACCGTCTAAGTCGCCTTAGATAGTCGTAGCTACTATAGCCGGCGGAGTTAGATACGATATAACATTTCGAAGTATATAGTAGTTAGTAATTAAATTAACCTGTTTATAGAATACGTCTTAACTATATAATATTAGTATTAGAAATCTAAATTATTAATGAAGAAGACGAAATAAAACTAAAGAGAGGGGGTCCCTAGTAGATAGAACCTTCGAAAATTCCTACCTATATTAACCTAAATATTAATAATAGAAAGGGTAAAAGAATAGGTTAGGATTTAATACTTTAGAGGTAACGCTAAGCTTTAGGTTATATAAGTAAGGCTAACTTATAATTTCAAATTTTCGAAATTACTCTAAAATCTTAGAAACTATAGAGGACTAAGTATAATAATTAGGAACTTTAATCTTAAATAAACATCTTTATTTACTTTTTAGCAACCTCGATTTCTAGTATAACGGAATAAACAATCCTTCTAAAACTACTAATTATTAGGTTTTCTAAATACTAAGTATAAGATATATATAGAGTCTTTTATTAAACTAATATTTAGAAGAACGCTCTAGAAGTACTAAAATAATAAAACAGTATCTATAACGTCTTCGTTTAGAGAGTCCTCTTTATCTATGTTAGAGGTACCTATAGATTAAAAAGTAAGCCTAGAGATTATTAACTAAGAATATTATTAAGTATTAGAAAATTAAGTAGGCTTTCTCTTAAAAATAGGTTCTAAAAACTAATTTAGAGAGTTAATTCTTAATATAAGTTATACTACTAAAAGAATATTACCATCTTTAGAAAATTATAAATATATTATTAAAAAATTGAAAATTAAAGTAAAATAGAATTGAACTAGAATACAAGCTTATAGGATCTCCTAAAGTAATATTTCTTTTTGAATACTCTCTTCTTATATATTTTAAGAACTAAATTATAAGCTAAATATAGTAGGTCTCCCTAAGAGCTACTATCTCTTATAAGAAAGTACTACTTATCTATTTTAATCGAATTAATTAACCTTTTTACAGAATACGTATTAACTCTATAATAATTACTTTTTATTAATTCTAAAATAATTTAGTACTAACTCCTTTAAAAGCTTAAAAGATATTTATTAATTTATTCTTAAGTAATTAACTACTATATTTATATCTAGTTAGAGAAATAAGAGAGTTCTAAAGTAAAAAGAATAATTAAACTATATTATAGCTCTATTATAGTAATTATCTTCTTTATTTATTTTAATTAAAGATCTCTTATATAAATTATAGGAAGTAGATATCTTCTTATATTAATAATATAAAATATATTAATTAATTCTACTAGCTTTAAGAATAATAATTTAATACTTAAAAAGTACCTAATACTATATACATTTAGAGTAAATTAAAATTACTTTCCTACTAGGAAATACTTAAATACTATATTTATCCTACTTACTAAATTAGAGATAAGGCTAAAGAAATTGATTAAATAGCTAATTAGATTCAAGTTTTCAAATTAATATAATATTAGAATAGTAAAGATTTTATATTTTAGTACTCTCTAGCTAAGAATAAAGGTCTAGGTTTTTTATTATTAGCTATACCTACCTATATTATAACTATTTAAGTTATATAAGACAGTTATAGTTATTACTATAATTAATTAATAAAGTAAGACTTATAATTATATTTTAGAGGATAGATATTTAGTCTTATTAGCTTTATAATAGAATACGTCTTAATAATAAAAATATAAAACTTTAAGCTATTTTAATAGAATAATTTTACTTATTAGCTTAAGCTATAGTCTTATTAATCTTTTGCTTTTATTTAGTTAATTAAGATTATATAATTATATATACTAATATAAGAGCTTTAGTTAATATATAATATAAGATATATAACGTAAATAATTATCGAGCCGGCTATATTATTAAGCCGGCTAATTTTACTTAGTATTATAAATAAGGTAACTTTAACTAAGGTTTATTTAACTATATACTTAGTTGTATATCTACTATACTAGGATATAATTTAGAAGGAGTATCTCTATCTTATTAGTAGGTTCGTATTACGGTACCCTCTAAGGAAGACAAAGGGTCGTCTTCCTCGTTACCGCCGGCTATACTTGCCCGCAATTACGACTATCTAAGTCGCCTTAGATAGTTGTAGTTACTATAGCCGGCGGAGTTAGACACGATATATTATTTTGAGGTGCATAGTAGTTAGTTATTTAATTAACCTTTTTATAGAATACGTCTTAACTATATAATAGTTTGCGAGTTATATCTAACTATTCCGTAGTTTCTATATTATTATTAAGTTAGAAGTCCTTGTTTAGAACTAGCTTTATAACGAGTTCTTTTTAGTTATTAAGTACTTAGACCTATATCTAAGACTACCTATAATACTTTAATACTATACTCTATAGATCCGCCTTTCTAGATCTACTTCTATTTACGTAATCTTCTCTTAGTTAATACTACTAATTACTCTTTAAGCTCTATAATCCGTATAGATTAAAGTACGTTCTAATAGAGTATTAACTTAGTACCTTAAACTAACTATAAGAACCCTTCCTTAGCTTTAGGTAGAGATCTAAGGAAAGTACTACTAATTAGCTATAATTAAGATCTAAATTTATACGAATTACTTAGTACTCGGGACTCCTATACTACTTCTAGTAATAGCTATTAAGGAGGGGTATATAAACGTAGATTAAGACAATTAATAACTATTTACGTATCTATATAGACTATTACTATTACCTTAAAGGCCTTTTAATAGTTCTCTTTTATAAATACGTCGAAAAACGCGTCCTTAAAAGCTAGAAGGAAGTTCTCTTTATTAATATAGAAGACGCGATTCCGTACTAAGCCTCTAATACGCTTAGAGTATTTACTCTTTAGCGGTAAGAAATATACTACGTCGAGAGGTTTAAGGATATAAGATAAATATAAAGGTATATATAAGGTAAGAATCTTATTCTCGAGGTAATAGTCCTTAAAACCTTAGTTTAAATAGCTCTTATAGCCGTCGAGAATAAGTAGCCTATACCCTACTACTTAACGCGTCTTTATATACGTATTAAAATACTTTAACTACTCTAAACTAAGGTCGTTATTAGTCTAGCTATTCTTAGAGACTAAGATCCTCTAATCTAAAGGTATATTAGCCTCTCTATACTACGTAGAAATATAGACGCGCCCTTTATAGATAATAAAGGGTAGGATTATATAGTCTACGGCGTAAATACTCTATATTACTATTACCTATTCGCGATTACCTAGTTAAATTAGTATTAGTCTTTTTCGTCTATCTAAACCTATAATAACTTTTATTATTCTAATAATACCTATCTAGAAGCCTATTTTATTAAAGTTATAAATATTATTATTATAGATACTAAAATTAGCTTTTATATCTATAACTAGCTTTAACTACGCGTTAATAACCTCTAAGTCTTCTTAAAGGACTCTCTAACGATCCTTTACTCAACTAAATACTATCTTTAGCCTCTCTAAACGTATAACAAACCTCTTAGGCTAGTATTTACCGACTAGCCCTTCTCCTTATATAGCTAGTAGTTTATTAGTTATATCTTTTACTTTAGAGAGTAGGGGCGCAAATCCTCGCAAATTAAGGTTAAGGATATATTACTTAAGCATCCCCTCTTCTATTAGCGTTAGGTTCTAACGATTTAGTACTATAGTCGCGTAAGAGCTAGTTCCTATAAGTCTAGTAGAGAGTTTCTAATAATAGATATTAAAAGCTATAGCTACGCTTCGTTAGCTCCGAAAATAACTAGATCTATAGGTATTAATAGTAAGCTCGATTCTACCTTCTTAATTATCTAATAATATATCTTATTATTAAGATATTATAAAGGAAAGATATTATTTATAATACTAAGGAAAAGTAGCCGGCTCGATAATATAGCCGGCTCGATAATTATTTACGTTAGTTAGGACTTTTAAAAGACCTATTAAACTAAATTAGAAAGAATCTCTCTAAAAGTAAGAATCTATTAGAAGAAAGTAATAGAGCTTAAGGTATTAGTTACTCTAAAAAGGCTATAAGCTAGAAAAAGAATAAATACAATCTAGAGTAAGAATTTTTTTCTATATAGATAAAACGAGTTAGTAAATATATAAAACGTTTAGTAGTTCTATAAGTAATTAACGCTCTATATAGTCTTAGACTCTTGTATTAGAGTTAAAATAGAATAAACAGATAGGCAAATATTATAAAATTCTAAGCCTTTAGAAGCCTTATAACTAGCTATTATTCTATATAGTTTTAGACTTATTAGTAGGGCGAAGAGAGAATAGATAAATAGATTAAGAGGATAAAGTTAAAGTTCAATATAATTAAACTTTTTTCTAAAGAGGATAATAAATTTCGAGGGTTATATTCTCAACTTATAAGTATACTAGTTTTCTTAAGACTATAGTACTTTTTTAAATTTAGTTAAAAGGTAATTACAAGATTTAGAAGAGAACTATTATTAAATCTCTCTAGCTATATTTCAAGAGAAAATTAGTCTATAGAGCAGAGTACGAGACGACTAAAGTCTGTTTACGATTGCCTTACTTAGTATTCGATAGAAGACTCTGCTTAGGCCCTTCCTCGGTATTCCCATGCTCCTCATTATGGAGAGACTGCAATCCAACATCGTTGTTATCTCCGTGCTTGTTGTGCTCATTAGATCCTAAATCGACCTCTTCCGTCCTCGATGACCAGGGATCGCTCCTGGCATCCATGCCATCAGGGGCTTTCGGCGGGACGACCGTCGATTGTGGCAGGAGACCAGTCTGCTGAAAGTTGCGAACAGACCGATATGCCAACATGGCAGTAAAGCAGAACAAGAAGGCTATCATGAGACTGAAGCCGTCCACAGCCTTGCTGACGCCACATCTGGTAGCACTTCCTCCCGTACAAGCGCGAATGTTGCTGTCCTTGTCCTTGGAAAAGAATATGCTGCGCGAATTCCAGTAGCCCACTGCCACTGATGCGGAGAACCACAGCACGGTGAAAAGGATGTCGATGATAGCGTAGGCATATACGCTTGCGAAGCGCCATGCTCGAGTCCACATGGGAACCATGACCTGGTATATCAATGCTGGGACGGACAGGAAACACTGTTGTACGACTTAGTTCAAAGAGGGGCTACTGGGATGTCATATGTGATGCGATCATACCATGGTGAAGCAAAACCCGATCTCACCGCCGGTAGAGCCTTCGGTCGTGTAGATCGATAACGTAAGACATGCAGTGATGAAAATGAAGAGCGCCTGAATCATATGCAGGCCGGCCTTGAGCCGTTGCTCCTTGTTCTGCGGGATGCGCATGTTGAGTTGGAAACCCAAGCACGATATGAGCTTGTTCTCCGACCAAATTGAAAGACGAGATGATGTTCGGTTGTGAAGCAGAGGCGTTGCGAGAGGTGCCCCGATCTACGATGAGCGATGTCTGGAAAGAATGCCTGGAGAACGGGCATTCTCTCACGTCATAAATGCTTATGATGAGCACTGTGCCGCTTTGAAGATAGATACATGGGCGCGAAGGCGGCCAGTGGTTGGTTGCTGTTGCCGCTTAAAGGACGAACGAAACTTCGCCCGGGTGAGGTTTGGCTTCGTGGACGTTCATGGCTGTGTCCTGGCATTAGATAACAATAGCAACAGTCGGGCAGAGCGTGATGCCTGTTCTCGGCTGATGAGACTTGTGCATGGGTAACACCTGCAAATTGTGAGAAGACGCGCCACGGAGAGCATCGACGGATTTGCGGCACAGCGGCTCAAATTTCACTTCGACCTCGGTTTCATGTTCAGGTGCAGTTCTAAAAATAATAACGAGGCGCAGAATCGCTTGGAACACTCATCGTTGGTTTCAGATCGGTCCAGAGCACTCATTTTGTGAATTAATGTCGAGATAGCAGAATAAATGGGACACCATTTTGGATGGAGGACTGTCATAGAAAATGTGCTAGTTCAAAGCGCTGGCCATCGACATCATCAGCAGCGCGGGGAATCCCGTCGTCGATACTCCAGCCTAATCACAGGGCAAATAAAAGACTCGAGATACCCGGCATTGCATTGATTTCACATCAAGTTTCTCTGCTCAGTTTAGAGTTTGCACCCATGTCGTCGAAGAAGGTGCTGGGAGAATCGGATCTCATATTCTCTTCGGCGTCATTCGCATTGAAAAATGCTTTGGGCGAATTGAAACGGAACCATCAATCCGTCGGGAAACGTTTGCGGTCGATATATTCTGACGCCACATTTGTACAGAGCGTTGCAGACGCCTACAATCTACCTCTTGTAGCGAACGAAAGGTGCGGTAGCTGGTACATCCCACAAGATGCATCTGTAGGATTCGCCCATTCCAAGAAAGGCAGTGCCTATTTCAAGTCCACGGATGGGCATTTTGGCCAGTGGTCATTCAGCCTCCGCCGCTTGAATTTGCAGGTACTCGATCTGATTGGCCAACATGGAGGGTAAGTCCAGATGATCATTGGGATCAATACGATATGTATCGATCCTGTAGATTTCTCTTTCCTCCTTCACAGCTAAAATGTTTCGACATATTCCTGGAGCAGTTGCATCATAGTTGATTCCACCCGCAAAGGGAAGAGCATGCCCGATGCACTCTCGAAAACGGTTCCGATATGGGCGACGACTTTGAATCGTCTATTGTTTCCGGATGAGCGTGACTTCCACAGTCTACAAGTTCCAGGAAATGTCGTTTCCGCTTCCGAGGCGCAGCAGATTGATCTACGTATCGACGGCTTCCTTACTCAACTCGGAACGCTCGAGCTTGACATTGTTGCACTGCGAGCTCAACTACAGGAGCGGCCCATGAGATGTGTGTGGCAGAGGCCAGGAGATATCACAAGCTCCGACGGGTGCGATCGCAGCAGACACAACACAATCGTCCTCTGCACAGCCTCAAATTTTACCAGCACGGAAGCCTCTACTGATCTGAATTACATCCAAGGCGCAGCGGATGACCACGAGACATGGAGTCTCGGGCTTGATGCTGCAAGTTTCTGGACTCATTGTGAACGCTTCTTGAATAGTGCCGAGCAAGATCTTCCGGAGCTCGTAGCCACTGTGATGGCAGAATCGCCTCACAGCCGTGTGGTCAACCCGCCAGTATTGATCAAGCCTACAAAGATGCTGTGGCTTGGTGACGAAGCCTCCGCTGATGTTCACGCCTCTGACTTTGATCTCGTCATTTCGTGCACCATGAGCCCACAAGACGCCTTAGCGAAGCAATTCAAGAAACGATACTTGTGTCTCCCGTGCACGACAGGCAAACTTGGGAGCCGTCAACTCCGTACCGAGCTATCTAGAATTGAGGAACTATCTGAGCTGGGAAATTTCAAGATAGAGCCATCGCCTCAGAAAATTCTGGTCACTTGTCCCAGCGGCACGGATCTGGCGGTTGGAATAGCTTTGGCCATTGTGTGTCGTTTCGGGACGGAGACGGGCTCCCTCGATCTTAATCAGGCAGCACCGCGCATCAACAAAGATATAATCAAACATCGTTTGAGTTGGATAATGATCTCGGCGCCACACGTCAAACCAAGCAGAGCTACCCTGCAAAGCGTTAATGCATTTCTGATGAGCGATTAATGGATTCTCGAATCATCGGGTTGTCGTTCCCGTTCCTCAAGCAAAGACCGTATTGGCGATGAACGTTTGAATACCTATCCTTATCGCGAATTCTAATTGCACAAGTAAAAGGATTGCGATCACTTCAGAGCACGATGAGCAATGTCCTTTCGGTACTGCATTCCCTCGAATTGGATGCCCTCGACGGCCTTGTAAGCCTTATCCACGGCTTCCCTGAGTGTCTCGCCTGTCGCAGTGGCGGCAATGACACGACCGCCGCTTGTCTTCAATTGATCTTGTTGAAGAGCAGTACCAGCGTGGAAATAATGGGCACCGTTGCTTTGGCTCACATCAGCGACCTCCATTGGCGTGCCTTTGGCATATGAGCCAGGATAGCCGCCGGCTGCAACGACGACGGTACAAGCGCTGAGGGGTCGAACGACAAGAGAGCGGCTCGACAATTTCCCGTCTGTACATGCCAGCATAAGATCAGCCAGATCAGACTCTAGTAGGGCGAGACATGATTGAGTTTCGGGGTCACCGAAACGGACGTTGTACTCAAGCACACGGGGTCCGGCTTTGGTGAGCATGAAGCCGGTAAAGAGACATCCGACGAATCGCATACCATTCTCTCGCATTCCCTGAATGGTCGGCTGAAGGACGGTCTTGTCGAGCTCAGCCAGTAATTCGGGGGTCGCAACAGGCGTTGGGGCATATGTTCCCATACCACCAGTGTTTGGACCGGTGTCACCATCTCCGATTCGCTTGTGATCTTGCGCCGGCGGTAACGACAGGATTGCGTGGCCGTCTGACAAAGACAAGATGCTGACCTCGTCACCTTCAAGGAATTCTTCAATAACGACACTGTTTCCAGCATCACCAAATTCCTTGTCGAGCATGATCTCCTTGAGGGCAGTCTGTGCCTCCTCGGTGGAAATCGGGAGAATGACACCCTTACCAGCAGCCAGGCCGTCGGCCTTGATCACGACACGGTAATCAATCTGGTCTAGATGTTGGCGAGCGGCGTCGTAAGAACTGAAGTTTTCGTAGCGGGCCGTGGGAATGTTCCACTTTTTCATGAAATCTTTGGAAAACGTCTTGCTACCTTCCATCCGAGCAGCAGATGCACTGGGTCCGAAGCAACGGATTCCGGGCGCATGCTCCTTGAAGTAGTCAACTATTCCGGCAACTAGTGGTGCTTCAGGGCCTGGCACGAGGAAGTTGAGGTTGTTGGCTTTGGCATGTTCGACGAGCGCGGGAAAGTCATCAGGCGAGACGCTTGTGATGTTTGAGCATTTTGCAACCCTGTAGAGAAATGGCCCTGATTAGATGTGTTTGACGGATCTTGGAGAAACAAATATATCCCCATCCATCTGGACGACGGTATATCAGCGACCGACTCTACCTACCCAGCCGTGCCTCCGTTGCCAGGAACTACATGGATGAGCTCAACGTGACTACTCTGAGCCAACTTCCAGGCCAGAGTGTGCTCTCGGCCACCATTGCCTACCAGCAGGATGCGTAGCGATGTTGCCGACATGTTGCTTTTTTGCGACAAATATCTCGGTGATAATAGTAGTAGACCTTCAATGGCAGCGAACGATGATTGTTGACCCCGCGAAGAAATCCTTATCGATTGCCGTCTGCCCAGGTGGAATAGAATTTCTTCCCAGCGCGCTAGTCCAAGTCCATTTCGCTGCTTTTACTGAGGGACCGCGAATTTCATGGGCTTACGCCTGCGCCTCATCACAGAGACGAAGGGAAGTGTGTGCATCGGAATGCGAAAGTTAGGCGAGTGAGAAGGGACATACCAGAAATCATTCCGTGGCGCACAAGACGTACGTCTCAATCAAGGCAGTGAGGGAAAGAGGCGAGAGAAAGGGAGCGACAGAGACAGACACAGCCACAGCGGTGACGTCGCAGCAAAACGAAGGAGGTGAACCCTACTTCCGTTCCGACAAGGCTCATCATCAGTCATCAGTTATCAGTCAAGACTCAGCACCACCCAGACGGGATTACGTAGACACATGATGGAATCGGAGCTGACCACTCTCTCTCTCTGATCCGGTATGTTCAGCACATATAATAGCAATACTCAACACCACATCAAACTCGCTCCTGCTTCTCCTACTTAGACTCACCAGTGGCGAAGACCATCCGCAGTGGCACGCAACGAGCGCAACAGGATTAATTGCACTGCCTAGGCCCCTCTCTCTGTCTCTTCCTCGCCAACGTCCGGCGGTGAATTCGGCTTGGGAATGCTGCTGCCTTGCACACAGCCGCCTTTCACTGCTTCGTGCTCGGAATCTGTGTACTATATGTCCCCTCCCTCACATATCTCTCGGCAGCCATTGAACGTAATAAAATAAAAATTCCCTCGACACTCGCTTGACGGAACCCGCCTCTTTGCCATCTACACATAAGCGCCCAACGCTGATCGCCGGCGACCAAACTACACACATCACCGCGGGCTTTTAGGTACAGGCGCAACCCGACGTCGTTTCATTCCTCCTTCTCTGCGCCGCAATCTGGAAGGGACTCGGGACTTTGTACCGGCACGCAACCGGATTAATCGCATCGAACAGCCAAGAAGGCAAGATGGTGACTCGTAAAGCCGTCCCCTCGGAGACCGTGGCTACTCCAGCGCTGGGGTCGACAAGCCAGAAAGCACCGTCGGCTACTCCACAATCACAGCAACCTCTTCCTTATCCGACGACGCCCGTCGCCGCTCCAGGAGAAAGCTTTGTTTCAACGACCTCCGACAATACTCACCACGCGGATCATGACATCGCCAGCTCACATGACTTCGACCTGATCGACATAAATGAGGCGCGCGAGCGAACGCGGCGCGATTCTGATATCTCCTCGCATGGCACTTGGGACTCGGACGACTCGCGGGTGACTCTGGGAGATCTCGACGATGTTGTTGTCGAGGATGAAGATGAGGACGAAGATGCGAAAGCAGAGGATATTGAAGACCCGACCCGCGCTGCAGATATTCCACAACCTCTGCACATCAAGCCAAGTCGGCAATCACTCGGTGCCGGGACTGAATTACAAACAAGAGGAGAAGCAATTTCGAAAGGAGAAGTCACCTCGTTAGACTTACCTGCAAGTCTAAGACCAGGTGGCTCGGTGGCAGCTCCCACGCTTGCTCCTCCGCTTCAATCCCAGAACCATCTGAACGATCCTCTAGCAAACCCCTGGCAGCAAGATTCGAAGAACCCTTACCACAGACACAATACATCGCAAGACGCCAGCCATACAGAAGGGAGCGATCTAATTTTTCCAACTCATTCTCAGCGCGAGCCTCTCTCTCCCATTCCGCCATCACTACTCCCCGCAGCGGGCAAAGCAAAAGCTGCGCCAGTGCCGCCGTCGGAAGCTCCTCCGGCACCGCCACCTGGTCCACCGCCGCCTCCGCCTCCGGCAGGTATTCCTACCGCTGTCCCTTATCCGCATGACAGCAATGTCGCTCCTGTAGAGTTACCGACACCTAGCAATGACTTTGCTAACCTTTCCATCCACAATCGCGCTCCTGCTGTTCCTCTCGTACCTCTCGAGACAGCCGAATCTCTTGGTATTCCCGAGCACTTTCCAGGTCTTCTACTACCAATCTCATCGCAGCAGGCACCATCTGCCCCGCCCTTTCCGTCTACAAACCCGTGGCGATCGAACTCGGGCCCTTCGTGTGCAACACCGGCGATACCGGACTCTCAACGACCTCCATCAAGTGGCGCATTCTCCCCCATCGAACCTGAGCATGCGACCACACAAGACCAATCCGCGGCGTTTCAAACCGATCAGCGCCACAGTGTACCTCCTAGCCCTATAGTCTCAACAGCAGAGACACAATACCTCCCGCCACCAGGTCCACCTCCCAGTTCACGCACAGCTCCTCTGATTGATCACTCGACTTCTACTACTGCGTTCTCTAACGAAGCTAGGGAGGAAAACGTGAATGACAATCCTACGGCCGTGCAACCAGAAGTTCGCAACGAGCATTACCAGATCAAGCATGTCAGCTGGATGCAAAACTCTAGGCTGCGTCAATCGCCGGTGCTGACGCAGAACGCAAACGGTCCCTGTCCGCTGCTTGCTTTGGTTAATGCCCTAGTGTTGAGCACGCCGCAGGATCTCGACACCGCACTCGTCGAAGCCTTGCGAACCCGTGAGCAAGTCAGTCTGGGCCTCCTGCTTGACATCGTGTTCGACGAACTCATGTCGGGGCGCAGAGGTGATACCGCAATCCGACTACCGGATGTCAGCGAGCTCTACGCCTTTCTTCGTGCGCTTCATACCGGTATGAATGTCAACCCAAGCTTCATCATTCCTGCTGGGGTGCGCGAGGATACTGCGGGCTGCTTTGAAGAGACCAAAGAAATGCGCCTCTACAGTACTTTCAACATTCCTCTCATCCACGGCTGGCTCCCTCCGAAACACTCGCTCGCATATGCAGCATTCGAACGAAGTGCACTTACTTTTGAAGACGCGCAGAACATACAATTTTTGCAATCTGAACTGGAAGATAAGCTGCAAGCTGAGGGATTGCCGCAAACAGAACAGCAGCTACTCCAGGATATTCACACGATGAAGAATTTCTTCGTCACATGGCCCACACAATTAACCGATCACGGCTTACAAGCTGTCGAACAAAGTCTCAAACCAGGACAAGTCGCCATACTATTCCGTAACGATCACTTCAGCACGTTATACAAGGAGCCAACGCGTGGTGCCTTGATGACACTTGTCACAGATGCAGGTTATAGCTCACACGAAGAGATTGTGTGGGAAAGTCTTGTGGACGTGAATGGCGCAGCCAGTGAACTGTTCAGTGGAGACTTCCGCACAGTGAGCCATAGCGGAGACACCAGACTGGAACACGGCAACACGTCAGGAAGTGCCACAAGCGGTGACGCTCACGCACAGAGTGATCCCCAAGATCTCATGATGTTTGATGAACCATCTCATGCAGCTCCACCGTCGCAGTCTTTCGGCAATGGAGCCTCATCACTATCAACAGTCGCTAATGCTCCACCGAATGCGGATGCCAACCTTGATGCTCAACGTAGAGCCGCTGAACAAGAAGATCACGATCTTGCCCTTGCACTTCAGTTACAAGAAGAGGAAGAGGATCGGCACCGACGGGACGAGGAACGACGACGGCATGAACAAGAATTGACAGAGCAGCTCTTGTCAGGGGAAGGCGAGGGAGAGAATCCGCCGGCGATGCCACCGCGCCGGAACGGCAATGAAGCCTCTACAACCAATAACAACAATCGAAATAGTACTGCCCAAACACCTCTTCCAGCCCCGCTTCCACCGCGTCCCAATCGAGCCCAGAGCGGACGTAGGCCAGCCCGGTCTACTTGGGGCAACGAGCGCCCAGCCGTCTCTCGTCCAACAGAAGAAAGTAACGGAGAAGAAGTACTACCATCCTACGAACAGGCAGCTTCGGACCGTCCCTATCGACCTGGAAGTTCTTCCGCACTTGACGCGTATGACGCCTTGGCACATCAACAGCAGAACAATGCTGCCGGGGGTGGGAGACGATACAGTAGTCAGGGACAAGGGCCGCACGGACCTACAGGAGCACATGGTCACCACCGACCCATTAACGGTGCGCCGGGTGCTCCCTCAGTCCGGGATGCAGACGAGCGTTGTGTGATTATGTGAGCGTGGAGATTTTATAGCCTTTCTACGAACACCATGAGAGACGATACCATGAAAAACATCTCAAATTCACCGTCTAAATGATTTCCCATCCTTCCTGTGCTGAGTTCCGTCTACTCCCGTGAGTGCACTCACACAGATTCTTTCATGCAGAGCTCTGCGCGCCTGCATAAATTTGACCTCAAGAACCAGGTTGTGTTGAGAACTGTTCTGGTGGCTACATGCGTGGGGGCGTCTCTCGCTGTAACAGGTCCTATGTATTCATTGGTGAGCTCTACGTACATAACAGGGTGCACGGCGAGGAGATTAGCTCGCATATAGCACAGTCTAGCAGCATTACTTTCCATTTAGATGTGTGTCATGGAGTATCCTGACAAAGTGCGATCATGAGATGAAGTCGGAGGCTGTCCCAAGTGAGCAACTCCTTTCCTCACTCAATAGTACTCGCGACTTACTTGGCAATCGAATTGTGTGATCTATAGGGAAAGGATCCTTTTCGAGCAACGCGTTCTGTCAAAGAAGAATTGAAAATCATGGCATGGAGTACAAATAAAGGGGTGGTATACATGATTCCGAATCGAAAAGCACATGTGGCGAACTAGTTTATCAGCTTGCCGTAGAACGGAAGACCGATTCCCATGAGCAATAACCGTGCGTCACGGTCCTGTGTTGCAGTCGTGTGGATCACGATATGCAGACCCGGTATGTGCTTTGGAGGATACCTGCAAGATGGGTCAGCTGCCGTTGGTAATTTAGAGAGCGAACCGGCAGTAATGATACTCACATGTCGTAATTGATTTCAATCTCCGGGAAGAGTGCAACCTCCTCGGGAGTGAGACCGAAGGCCAAATTGCCAGAGCCGTCACCCGTGGTGCCTGCCACTCCCTTCCAATCCTTGATCTTCGGCAGCACCACGTCCACTACCTTGCTCAGGAAATGGTACATGTCCTCGCCCCGCAACTCGCAGGTGACACTCAAGTTCTTGCCGGCCTTGACTCCGAACATGGCGTTGGTCTTGGTGGTGCGATGAGGCGTGGCGCGGATGTTGGTGATGGATTGCAGCACGATACCAGCAGCGTGCAGATGCGAGCTGTTTTCCATAGCGCCCTTGACGTAGGTGTGTACCGTCACTCGCGATAGCCGAGGGATATTGCGGAATGTCACCCGCTTTCTCAACAAACGCAATGCATCACCACCACGAGGTCCTCGAAGTGGTCTATTTTTGAAATAAGGCGAGTCGCCGGTCCATGATCGTAGCCGAGCGCCCTTTTTGTGAGGCTCCGTGCCGGGTGGATAGTGGGCGTATGCGAGGGTCATGTAATCCGGAGCAATAGTAGATTCGTATGTTTGCTCTAGACGCGGAAGGGAGAAAGGTCCTGGCACGAAGACACGAGATGCTGGATCGGTAACGGGTGGCGGTTGGTGCGGATGCAATGGACCTCGATAGTATCTCGGCGGACGGTAGGAATATCTTTCGAGATAGTGTCAGTCGCACTGAAAGTTGGCTAGACCTCGCTCGTCAGAGGGAGATCGCTTACCTGCTCGCAGGCAATTGTGTTCCTCGCTTTTTGGCATTCGCTACAGGATCGAAGCTCGCGATCGTCGCCTCATCTGGGCGTGGCGACTCGATGAATGAAAGGTGCTCGAGATCCTTGACTTCAGGTTGGGTCTCCTCCACTTTCGGTGCTGCATCGGCAAAGCATCGATGTTGAATGCATTGTCGCCGACATGCTGTCCCAATTGGTCGTTCTGATAGACGTAGCCGCTTGATGAAGGCGTTGGTCACCTCTTGTAGTGCCATGATGCGGACTGTTTTGGCTGTGAGCAATACCGACCCGTCTGTTGGTGACAGTGGAATTAATTCATTGATGGATGGACATGGGAGGAGAAATAGCCCCAAAGCGGTTAAAACCTCCGAGTCCCAATTCCTCCACCTCCAGCATACATTTGTGGAGTGGTAACAACATAATGGACTCTACTACAAACCACGGCGTCTCGCAATGCCAGTGCCAATGGTCAATTGTTCTCGCACTTGTGAACAGGCTATGGGGTCGTTGAGGGCATGTGCGCAAACTTAGACAATTTAAAGATTCTCGCCAATGCCACACAACTGTGCACAACAGTGTGAAATTTGCTCCCTTTTGCTCTAAAATATTGTTCGGCGGTGTAATCTTGGGAGGCACTGGAAAGGTGACGATGTGTGTAATGTGTATGTCATCGTCTACCCCGATCTCTATACACGAAGGAACACAGGCAAAATGTCCACCATCTTCACAGGCGTGATGTTCAAATAACTTCAAGGATGTCCTATGTTTTTCCGTAATAATTGATGTTTATTGTTTGTGTTGAGAGCCATTGAACCCAAACCCTAATCGTCGAGGCTCGGAGCAGCATTTTCCCACTCATCCAGCGGGCCAAATATCGTGGCCGGAGGTCCGCAACATCACGCCTGATACTGGAGTACTAATCGGACGAGGATTTAAGGTCTCTATACGGTTGCGACTCTACAGGATCATCGACATCAGCCATGGCGACGCCTGCATGCTCACGGTCGCTTATGAGCGCATTCAAAAGACTCAAGGTGAGGAAGTCCATAAGTGTTGCTGTGAAATCTCAATCTAATGAAATTCACACAGATCACACCCCAGACGGCCTCAGTCCGTACCCAAGTTCGATATGTACACGAAACACCACGCAATGCCGCGACAGCCTCAGAACCGCGACAGCCATCCAAAGCGGATCTCGTAAGTGAGATACAACACCGCGCGTCACAAATCCGCCTCCCCAAAGCCGTGCAAGCGACGTACCTTGCGCCATTACGGCGGACTCCCACACACGACATTCCCTGCGTCGATCTCCAGCTCCGCTCCTACAGCGTCCGCAATTTGGAAGTCTACGCCGACTTCGCCATGCGCGCCGCCTACTATCTCGGACTACCCGCCAAAGGCCCCAGCCCACTGCGACGGATCGTTGAGCGCTGGACTGTGCCGCGGAGTAACTTCGTGCACAAGAAGAGTCAGGAGAACTTCGAGCGTCGGACGCTGCGGCGGTGGATCCGCATCGTCGACGGCCACCCAGAGACGGTCAACATATGGCTCGCATACCTCCGGAAACACCAATACTACGGTGTGGGCATGAAGGCGAACGTTTATGAGAACACTTCATTAGATGCTGCTAAGGCCATGGATCACGAGGCAGAGGAGGCAGTAAGGGCCGCGAATGAGCTCGTGAATGCATTCCATCCAGGTACAAATGACGCAGCGCACGCGGAGGATCTGCTCTTCGACCAACAGTTCAAGGGCGCGTATGGTGCTTTGTCGGCGATGGGAGGAGCGCAGCGGGTGCCGGATGTAAGGAATCGGATGCCGCGAATGCCAGTCAACACCGCGGAGGAAATTGAAGAAGAGAAGGAAGCTTTTCAGGCGGCACAGCGAAACCGAAAGTAGAGTGACACCTTATGAGACCCCTCTCCTTTTGTCACGTTCTGACAGTCTTCACACATGTCGATTATTCTCGGATTATGGTTCCGTGTGTATAGCATCACCAATTAAAAAAGCCACAGCTGATGACACATACTCTGCTTGGGCTTGCTCGCTTTACTTGTCAGGGAGCACCTCCAGGAAGGAGCACTCACTCAAAATACCATTCTGAAGATTATAATTTAGAAATTCCATGATCGCATTATGGTTGCCATCTGTCTCAGACAGTGCAGCCAGTATATCGACAGCTCAAAGAAATCGACAAATTCCAATAACATTATGAGCTTGAAAAACAGTCGAATTGATCATTAGTATATCGCATCTCCAAAATTCCATAGATATCAATAAGGTTGGGCGAAGATATCGTGGAAGTTGCGACTACGCCTGATTAAGGCTGATCGCTTGAGAATGGAGCAGGTTTGGTCACCCGCACCGAGGCACTGCTGTTGGCTTTGTTCGGAAGAATTGCAGTGGCCGGGCTCGCATCGGGATCGACGACGGGTTCAGCAGGAAGCGGTGCAATGGCGATGGGGGCAGGTGTCTCAGAGGTAGGAGCAGGAGCCGTGACCACGGGAGCAGTCACTTCTGGTGTGACAAGGGAGGACGAGGGTGCATCGGCGGGTTGTTTGCCTTTGTCTTCAGAAGGAGCGGGAGTAGAAGCTGGCGGTGCTGGTTTGGGGTCATCTGCAGGCGGCGCGGAGGACGGTGGTGGTAGAGGAGCAGACGCGTCTTTATCCTTGTCACCTTCTTTCGCTTTGTCACCATTGGGGCTTGGAGCGCCAGAAGCGGGTTTAGCTACGGTTGCGGGGCTCTCGTCTTCGTCTGTCGTGTTGTGTGGTGCTGGTGCCGAACCTCCTGCTTCGCCCACGGGCGCGGCTGCAGGGATTGCAACCTGTCCGCCGCGAGCCTTCAGCGTTGCACTGTGAGGATCGCTAGGTGAGCCAGTTCCGTAAAAGTCGGGATCGTTGAGCGTGTTGATCTTGACAGCACGATCATAAAGTCGGGTCAAGCGAGCGACCTCGCTACGAACAGTGACCGCTTGCTCTGTATCAATGGCATCGTACCCGTGGACGCCCCTGCTGATGCCTAGCCACATGGTCGCAGAATTCTCTATCTCGTCCACTACGCGGTCGAGATCATCGCGGAACATTCGTGCACGCATCGGCTGACCACGAGATTTGAGGAAAGCAACGACTCCGGCGATGACCGTGTTGAGAGCTCCGAAGACTGTGATCAAGATGTGGCTCGAATTGCTTGCACCAAGGCCCGTGAGAGCTGCGCCGAGGACGACTTGGGAGAGCAGAAGAGTGTTCGTTGCGGCCGCAGCGAAGGCATAGGTATAGCTCTGTCTCGAGCGATGTTTTTGAGCCCGAGCGTACAGCGAGTCGTGAGGCGGAGTGAATCTCTTGTCCTTGGGCCAATCTGCGGGACGATTGCCGATGAGATGACAGAACTGCTCATAGCTGTTCGTCAGATCGACCGGAGGCTGCGCCGGTTCGGCTGAAGTGGTGTAATAGTTGTTGGGAAAGCTGCCGGGAAACTGCCCCGGGAATTGATACTGCAGAAGAGGCGCGCGTTCGTAGTAATCAGCCATATTGAATGCTTCTTATATGTCTTGTCTTTTTCGTGGTAATATCGTAACCAGTGAGATGGTCTTGTCTATTCCCCAATATATGAAGAGACTTGATCAAGCTTGCTATCACCAACTCTGGCCCAGAAGGATCCAAGCACTGTTAGTATGGCGTATATACCTAGCGAATTGTTCCTGGATCACACCGACAGAGTCCCGTATTTGTTGTTATAGTCTAGAGGAATACCATGCTGTGATGTATCCAAGAAGGAAGATGAGAGCTGATTAGGCCAGGGTCATCGAACGGTTGAAGTCTAATAAAGGGCGCATATAATATCAGCGAGCACGTGCTGCGTTGCGCGCCACGGGCCATCAATGGAGCCCCCCCGTGGAGAGCCAATAGAACATCATCAGCTAACATGACCATGATGTCTCTTTATCATCTGCCTGTTGTGAGATAGCGTTCAAGAGATTCGTGGGCCTGAATGGCGGCCTGTCCGACCGAAGACGTGATGTCCAACATTTGTGATACTCTCGCAGGAATCTACAGGGCGGTCGCGCTTGCGTGTCTCATGTGTGACAGGACGTCAGCGCGACCGTCAACTCTGAACATCACATCACCCGTGGACTACATGGAATCTCAAAATTCGGCATATTTTCAAACTGGTTATCGGCAGATAATTACACATTAGATTGCTCATGCCGAAACCGTCATGCAATGACAAAATACATGAATGCAAATTCGACTACCCTCGACCTGGTTTGCCAAAGCCTCTCCAGCTATGCGACGTCTCAGACTTCGATTCCTTTGTATGCGATGACGACCCTCGGAATCGACGTGCTGTAACCTCGCCGTCTTCATCGAAGTGATGATAGACCATCGGATCAAACGTATCATTGCCGTACGCACTGCCGCCATACTGCAGATACCCTGCGACATATGGCTGCGCAACGCTGCGAATATCATCGGCGTCGCCCATAACCCAGACAGACTGCATACCCATGATCATGTGCTGTAAGATATGACAATGGACCATCCAGACGCTGCTCGTACAGATTAGAGCGTAAACGTGTCATTGGTCGCATGAGAGACCACTTACCCTGAAATTGACACCTTCAACCTCCATGCTCGCCAACCGTATGTCTGGCCAGGCTTCGAGCTGCTCAGATCCTCATGGCCCGGGTACTTGTAGAGATATGTCGTGTCTCTCAGCGCCGGCTGCCAGTCACCCATCTTGCGAAGGTGTTCTTCAGGACTGTAATAGCCATCACCGCTCCCAATATCATACACGTGACCGCCGTGGATGTGCCAAGGGTGAGAGTCATATCCAGGATTGACTGCGTCCGGCGAGTTGAGCAGGATGATGTCGATGACTTCTCCAGGTCGTGCTACATAGACATTGAGTCTGGGATCCCAGCCGCCATGCTCTTTGACCGCCCAATCGTAGTTGGGGATCGCGGCTTGTCCATTCTGATAGATGTCTACGAGATAAGGCGTGCCGACAGTCTTCATATTGTCGTTGTAGGTGGTGTTGTGAAGTTCCATATCCTCCTCGGTCCAGGTATGATTGTTGATGGCCCACCATACCTCGTTGTTCTCCTTGATCTGCACGTTGCTCAGGAAGACGCGGCGACTGACTTGATCATTGGAGGGGAAGCCATTGGGCTCTTTTGGTGACAATGTGTATTCCAACCAATTCGTGAGATCGGTGGGTATAGCCAATGGTGCTGTCGTCGGACGTGCTGCAGGTACGACTTTGTCCGAACCCTTAACTAACTTGTATTTGTATTGCAAGATTGCGTAGTAGGTGACATTGGTGGGTCGATCCGCGGTCTGTAGCTGGATCCAGAACCACGTCCTACCAAGCTCCTCAAGTTCAGATCTCGACTTGGTGGCTAAGAGAAAGTCGAAACGCTGACCGGGTCCGATCTGAATGTGGTCCGTCTTTGCTGGTTGCGTAGTGGTACCATCGGCGGATATGACAGTGAGCTTGTCGTGAGTTTCGAAGCTAAATGTCACCAGACTCAAGGCTGTACCACCAATGGTTCTGAACCGATAAGTCTTTCCAGGCTCAACGTCGATTACGGCAGGTCCACACTTCTGGTTGATGTCAGCGGGTGGTCTGGTCCAGGCACTGACCGGAGTCGTCTGGGCCTCTTCTGCAGTGAGGGCCGGGTAGCTCTGTCCGTTGACCAGAATCGTTTCCGTCTCACCCGACCTGAAATTTATTTAGCAGCGAAAATCGAGCGGAGAATAGCCCACCATGCGACTTACCACGTGAATTCTTCCGAAGTCAGGCCCTCAACAATGTCGTGATCTGTCTTGTTGTAGTGCTCTGATAAGAACAAGATCCGTTCGTCATCGTAATTGTATGGAGAAGCTTCGCCTTCGGCCTCCTCAACAATGATTGGGCCTCCTGCAGAGACCGCTTGGAAACCAACGTGAGAGTGATAGTAGTACGTCCCCGCATACCCTTCATCGGGACGCATTTCATAGTCGAAGAAATGTCCTGGCTGCGAGGCAATGGTGAGAACAAGTACGGACATCGAATCGAATCTTTTTGATGTCGTACCATGATCGGCCATTGGCTGGCCTGCGGTGTACCATCTGAGAAGGGAGCCACAGCTTGAGTCAAGCCGTGCCAGTGCTGTTGGCATAGATCAGCGTCAGAGATCCATCCAGTCGCGAAACGATCACCGAGCTCAGCATACCATTGTCAAATTGTCGCTGGTCATATCATTGTAAACGCGAACCCAAGTGACTCGATTCTCCTGAAGCCGCAAGAGCGGGCCAGGCGAGGCATCTGCGGGATTTTTTTTTAAAACGCTTCAATGCATTCAATCATGAAGACCAACTTACTATTTATCACTGCAATCTCTTTCGACGTGCAAGCCACGGAGGTAGGTTTGTACGTCACCCTGAGGACATAATCCGCTTCGAACGAAGCATCGTGCCTACGCAGCTTGTTCTGATTAAGACAATCCGCCGAAAGAATCCAAGACGCTAGAAGAAAGGAAGAAAACAACATGGTGGCTGACCATCAAAGGAGAGTAGAGAATATCCAAATGTCTGCAAAGGAGAGGTGCAGGATATCACGACCAGCGAGGCTTTACATGTCAAGAGACCTGTAAATGCAGTCGAAAGACAGACCCTTCTTCACAGAGCCGGCATATGACGGAGTCGATCATCGGGATGTAAACGAAGACAAACATTTTCTTGGGCAACCAGTGCCCGTGGCCTGATAACACTACAGTAGTAGACGTAATCGATGCTGATCAGACGACGGAGTTCTAGTGCGAGACCACGTGAAAACCCCTGTCGATCTTGCAACGGCGAACCGCTGTGCGGCGCCGCCACACGCGGCTTGATGAGTTGTGACGCGCTTGAATAACAGCGCTTCCACGTTGAGTCCACATTGTAACGGGGAATTACCTTGCTGAATGGTCGTTGGGATTGACAGAGAGAGGGTCACAATATCCTCATTTTCGACAGGTTCGATGAGAATTTGCCCATATGATGTCATGAGGAGGCTCGTCAATGCAGCGACGCGAAGCCTTCGTTGCTGGTGCGAGTCCGAGGAGCATCGCGTATAGCATGATCCTCGGCCTTCGTACGACGCAGAAAATGCATATGGAAATCTTCACGACGATACGGATACGCTCCGAATCTTGATTCTGCGGTCCACAGAGTCATCGATACTGCCTCTTGTGCCCGACGTTCGCATCATGGTGGCGTGTTGTGGAATACAAGCCTCTGGGTGGTGTTGATTTCACATATGCTTGGCACCTCCGATGTCTGCTCGTCCGAGTCTGGGCATTGCAAGATGTTGACACAGTTGGGGGAAAAGCTCGTCACCCGATCGGGCTTGAGGGCAGCGCAGACCTTCAAATCGGCAAGCGTTGTAGCACGTCCTTCACCGATCGAGCTTTGTGCTTGATACGGAGGAGGCCGTCTCAGGTACCTTGTGTACAGATGCACGAGATGAATCTCACAGATGTGGTCGTGTGAGAATAGGAATTGCCTGTCCGAACATGCCTCAATGACACGACGTGACGTCGTTGCCTACTTTGAATGTAGATCGTCCACCTCTCAACTAGGGAATCGAAGCTCGCCCTACCGTCGCACAATCGGGATCATCGATGCCGATGCGGATGGAGAGGAGCCGACATAGAAGAACATTCGAAGGATCACAGAATATCCTTGTCACCACTGGAACATGGTCGGCGTCATGATCGCATCGTTGAGGAAAGTGATTTTGTATTGTTAATGGTGATGGAATTGTCATTAAGAAGCCATGACCCGGCGCAAATTCCAAATTTCGTCGACATGACGAAGGATGCCAACAGCATCAGTGCCACGAACATTATTTGGCCGCTATGGAAAGTTGGTGACGTTGAAGTTTCGAAGATGATGTATAGCCGCACCCTAGCATTTCCCGAATCGAGACGTGCCACCACTGCGAGAGCCACACTGATGAAGAGTCCCCTTCCACATTCCGAGGCTCTCTTCAAACACAACCAGAAGCCTCACCAAATCCCAACATCTCATTCGGAAGTCCAGCGGCCTCACCACATCGCCCTCTACGCTACCACGGCGCTCGCAGAAGTTTCAAAGGCGAGAAGATCGCCTCAGCCTCCATGCCGCCCTTTACGCCTCCAGAGCACTGGCACTTCTTGACGCCATGACACAACATCAAGACTTTTTCCATTCTCTTGCGGCCACCCCGGATGATGAATGATGAGGATCATAACGTGCAGATCCATGGGAAGCAACTACACCTCCGGTCATAGGCAGCAGTAGGTAGCAGCATGATGTGAAGTACAGGCAGTAGTGGTGGCCGGAGTAGCAAATGTAAACTCCTGTATAGCGTGAGGCAGTGATAAAGTCAATTTGCTTAATGGGACGATGATGAAGCTGGCATTGTCATGCGGGTACGCAAGCAAATGATGATACACCGGTGAGGGAAAAGAAACCCCCTCCACTTATTATCGATTTTTTGATCAAGTACCTAGGTAGTGTAGAGAGGAAGGGTGGTGGTGGTGGAGGAGGAGGAGGAGGATGAGACAGGGCTGCAGGAATGATCTGCACGAGCTGCAGCAAAATGACGATGCTGGCGGCCGCCGGGCTGTGTTGCGCTGGCTGAACTGGCTGGCTGGCTGGCTGCCTGCTGTGTGACCTCTCGTGAGTCACATTCGTAAGCACCCCGGACCTGCAAGTAATAAATTCTCAACTGGAAAAAGGATGAGATCACTGCATTTCATGAGTAGCTGAAGATGCATGGGTGCTCGTCTGTTATTACTGCCTAGGAGAGCGCTGTTCTGTGGATTTAGTACCTGTTAATAAGTATATAGCTGCTAGCTACTTAGGTATGTACCTCGCTACACTGTATCGACCTGAAACTCTTCTACAACGACCATTACGGTTAGTGCTTCATATGCTGGTGAACAGGATTTGCTGCATCTCCACGTGCGGTCAATACAGCTGGAAGCCGACCGGTGTTGATTGAGCAAAGTGGATGTACATGTATAAAACATCATCCGGCAGCCACGCAAGGACATTCGTTCCTTCGACTCTTCGTCCCAGTGCTCTTCTGATGAGCTCTGATCACACAACACCTTGGACTTGTTTCCGCCACTCGTTTGATGAGAATGGATTTCCGTCGTCTGAAACATTTCTTTCCTCCCGCAGCACAAAGTCCAATGGCTGCCACGGCGACTACGACAGTCACGGGCACCGCCGCCGAGGCGGATGGCACATTCAACCAACTACCTCAGGGGATCCTCGAGATCATGATCCCAGGCTACGGCCCGCTCGCCCGATGGGTCCTCGTCTCCTTGGGTATCGACATTAGCCTTTGGGTGTCTGCCGCTGTCATATTGCTGGCCACGATCAAGGGCGCACAGTATGCGTGGGTGTACATTGAGAGAACGTTCCGACAGCTGTTCGTCAGCACGATATACATAAAGGAGTACGACCAGATCTTCGACGATGTGATGGCTTGGTTGGCAAAGGAGAAGTCAGCCTCGACGAAACGATTGGCACAGGCAAAGACAGATTATGGCTGGTTCAAGGCGCCGGACTTGAGTAACGACATCGCTGCCGCATTTGACGAGAACGGCATGTTCAGCGATGCGCAGTATTCTGCAAGGCGACCGGCACACTTTGAACCCTATTACGGCCGGAGCTGGTTCTGGTGGAACGGCAGACTGTTTTGGTTCTCACGATTCCCCGAAAGCGCAGATACTCGAGGTACCATGTACCGCCCACGAGATTTGTTGCGTCTAGAGGTCGTGGGACGAGATGTCGCGCCGATCAAAAGGCTCTTGGCCATGGTGAAGATCTGGAACCTGCACAAGGACGTTGGTTTCACGTCAATCCGACGTCCGGAGACCAAGGATCGCGCGGACCAATACGGGAATCGTTGGGGCCACTCCACTTCAAGGCCTTCGCGCCCGATTGACACCGTCATCCTGGACAACGTCGAGAAGGCCAGGGTGATCAAGGATTGCAATGAATTTCTTCACCCAGCATCTCCGCCGTGGTATGCGGCACGTGGTCTGCCATATCGTCGAGGATTCCTCTTCCATGGCCCTCCCGGGACAGGAAAATCAAGCCTGAGTTTCGCACTGGCATCCCTGTTCGGGTTGGGTATCTATGTGTTGAGTTTGAACGAAGGCACACTCACCGAAGGTGATCTCATGCAGCTTTTCAACTCCCTCCCACGCCGCTGCATCATCCTACTGGAGGATATTGATGCAGCCGGATTGACGCGAAAAGATAAGCCCAATGCAGAGAAGGACAAGGACGGAGCTGACAAAAAGAAGACAAAGCAGAAGAAGGCCAAAACGGAGAAGAAGAAAAAGGAAAAGGAGAGGAATGACGAGAATGAAGAGGGAAAAAATGAAAATGGTCAAATGGCCAACGGTTCAGAAGCAGGCAAAGACGTGGTCTTGACCAACGGCCACCAGAATGGCACTTCTGGCACAAAAATCGAGATGGCCAAAACGAAGAAGCCGAAGGCCAAGAAGGATAAAAAGAAGAAATCCAAGGCGAAGAAAGACGAAGACTTTACCTTGAAGGATCTCGCCAAGCAATTGAAGAGCCTCAATGGTGGCAAGGCCGAGAAATCTACATCATCCTCCGAGAGATCGACTAGCCGGGTCAGCACCACTGGTAAGAATGGCGAGAAGAAACCCACAATCTCCCTGAGTGGTCTTCTGAACGCCATCGATGGTGTTGCAAGCCACGAGGGACGCATCCTGATCATGACGACCAACCATCCCGAAGACCTTGATCCCGCGCTCATCCGACCAGGGCGTGTAGACCGCAAGGTTGAGTTTCGATTGGCGGGCCCGGATCAAACACGGGAGTTGTTCAAACGCATGTACGCCACTCGTGATGCCGTGCCAGACATCGAAGTACAAGTCGACGGAAACAAGGTTCGAGCAGTACACAAGCCATTGCTGGGAGCCTCCGTTGGCCAGAAAAAGGCGCCGACCATCGCGTCAGCCGAATCGACAGCTGACAGAGAAAAAGACCAGGAGCTTCTGATCTCGGGAGATGCCACGTTATCTGTGGCCGACGAGGCAGCATTGACAGTGTTGGCAGTCCAATTCGCGGAGTGCATCCCGGAAGATACCTTCACACCTGCCGAGTTACAGAATCACTTGATGAACCACAAGAGCTCGCCGGAGTCGGCCGTGCAACAAGCGCCGGAATGGGTGAAGAAGATATTGAAGGAAAAGAAGCAGACGGAAGAGAAGAAGAAAGAAGACGAGAAGAAAGCCAAAGACGAAGATGAAGATAGTAGCGACGATGAGACTGATGATAGTTCAGAGGACGAGGATGATGATGATGACGATAACGGCGGCGTCGATGATGCTGCTGCGGTTCCTAAGAAAGTCGAGGGAGCAGCTGACGAGTAGCCTTGATGTTTTTCACAGTTGATGAGTTAATGAGACGAGACTATCATGCAGGTAAATAGATGGTGATGAACGATGATCAATGAGATGCTTTGTTGTATGGTATCCAATTTGTATGGTCGACGAGATGAGCATGAGATGAAGTTCGCGAAATGTTCGGTGTTCGATGTTCACCTGCCTTGTGAGATGTTGGAGGTGACTCTCACAGTCCTTACCGATAGGTCCAGGGTCGTGACGTTAATCGATACAGGAGCAGCTTGGTGCCTCAGGTATTAAACTACCACACCCATTTGCCCCCCTCTCACACGAGACCGAAACCGAGATATCATGAGCACCCGGGCAGCAAATACATACCCCCGCATCACCTTCTTCCGCCTGTCATGCCCAGCCCTGGAGGTGATCGTTCATGTGTGTGCATGCACCAACATCTCGTCGTGCGCGTCCGAGATATGCAATTCCGACTTCTCGGGCTTTTGTCCTTCGATTCCTTGGCGAATTATGCATGGCAATTTCAACAGTACCGACAGCAGCAGCATCAACCGAACTATGACTGCCTTCGCGCGGAGAGAGGCGAGGAACGATGGCCACGTGCATTGCAGCGCAGCGCAGTGTAGTACCAACACGCCCTTCTCGACTTCTGCATCTGAAGAATATTGCCCTTTGAAGCACCAAAGATTCATCGTGATCCCTCTCCCATTGTGTGTGATCTGACCATGGACCTTCAGTAGCCGAGACCACAGAGCAACTTTGTATTCTTACTGTGTTGTGCACCGTCCCGAAGGTGACCTTTCTCGGGTCCGAATCCGATCTAACGCAGCAACTCGGGTTCGGAGAGAATTCTCCTATTCGGACCCTGTCGTGCCTGCCTAGCCCTAATGGCGAAGTTACTGTGACAAAGGGCGATCCATGCGCCATACGTCGTCGCGTATCCACTGTGTGCCACCATCCACGGGGTGGCTCAATTCCGTGTCCTTTTCGCTGATGCGCGCTCGTGGCGGATACAACGTGACAGGTGGGAACCTTGGGACTTCGGTTTCGGTTCTTCGGTGGCTAGTTCACCCAATTGGAGGCAAAGCAGAACCGAAGTCGGTCATTGGATACTCGCTTGAACATTCGTAATGAGAAACGATGATCCATGATGATGACAATAATGCATGGTTATTGAGTCAGGCACACTTTCGCGATAGGTTCAGGAACACTTGGTGCCTCTTCTTGCACACGCGATACCGTGTACTCGGGTTTGGCTTGGTCATACTAAACTTCGGAGGTGTGAAAATTGTTATCTTTACGTCGGCACATAATCAGATGCATGGGAGAATGTACATGCCCAGGTGGCGTTGTATCGATCCGAATAAAGTTCATCGCGCCAGGCCATTGGAACGGGCGAGGAGAAGTGCGCGACGAGGCACCGTCGATCGTTGAGATCACACTGGCGAAGTTGGTATTGCAGTATTGTTACAGTATTGATTCGGTCGGAGATGATGATGGGTTCGGAAGTGTCCCTAGCCGAATTGCTACTGGTAGTAGTGGTTGTGGTATCGTCATCCCCGAACTAACCCTTGTAAATAAACAGCGAATCGTGGATAATCAACATGACTCAAACCCGATGAGCGTCCGATCTGTCTGTCCAGCATCAGGATTCACGACCATCATGAAAGAGGTGATTGATCTGGTTGGTCGAGCAAGCCGGAGGAGGTGCAGTGGAGGAAAAACCTGGAAATGAGATCATCGTCATCGGCGTGTCTCGCAGAAAGTCCCTGGAGGGGAAAGGAACAGAAGCGGAAACGGTTTGGCCCGTGTGCTGGTACAGTTCATAATAATACATACAGTAAGAAACGTAACGAGGAATAAATAATACGCACTGCAACTCTGCACCTCGTCTGGTCTAGTGTGTCCGGCCTTTGTTTGGTTCGGACGGATTGTTGGTCAACAGTAGTTCTTTCGATTGTCTCGGAACTTCACTCTCCAAGGTCACCCCAGGTACTGTGCTTTGGATGGTTGATGGCAGCGTGTTCGTGCGTGTCGTGCGGGTCCAGGTTCCTCTTGCGCTCACTCGCGCTAGACTTGAACCAGGAATTCAACAGTTGCAGTTGTCATTCGCACCTGCCCCAGATGTGGTCTACCACGAAGCTTGTCGGACCAACTGCCTTCCGGGGGGTCAATGATATTATTGCACGCCCGCCCATCGGCTTCCACGGTCGTTTCTCATATTACCTAGGTATCCGTGGATTACATCCATCGTGATCATGTAGCCGACGAACGTGTGTTTGAGCACCTACGGGGTGGACTCCTGCGCGTTCCTGGACGACGATGTACATCACCTACCTACCTAGGTATGTAGATATATCCACTATCTAGGTATTTCAGGTATCATCATTGATAAAGCACCCTCTGACATCGGGCATGTTGCTGTTGCGGCGATCGCTAGGGCCATCATCGACGGTGTCGTTCTACCACTACACACATGTCGCATCCCTAGTCGGTTGGTGCTTGTTCCGCCATGGTCTGGTGGAAAAACGATGGCGTCTCTCGGATGAAAGATACCCAGGCACTACTGTTAATTAGTTTCTAGAGGGTTGCATCCTTGTCCTTTCGCGTGGTGTCCTGCTGATCTCCACGGCTCCCTCCATCGCTTGTCGCTCTCTTCTCGTTTAGCTGCGGGCGCTGATCGCCGCGACGCTGCTCGTGTGGTATGCGCATCACTGACTGAAGGCCAGTCTTCATTTTTCGTGGGATATTTACAACAGAACCATTCCCACCCTTCCCCTTCTCTATTCGATTCCTCCTCTCTAGGATCTATCGACCTTTCGTCCTCATTGTCGTTGTTGTTACTGTCAATATCTCCCAGGACATCTCGACATCATGGGTCTCCAACAGCTGGCCGGCCCGTACGCCGTGCCTGTCGCCATTGTGGTGGGCTTCGCCGCCATCACCACCAGTCTTTTCCTGTACCTCTTCGGTCGCCCACAACTCCCCAAAACCGCGCCACAACTGGCATCAAATCAATTGCCCGTCCTCGGTGCCTGGTCTTTCTTTTCAAAACGATGTGAGTTTCACATTCGCAATGGCGACCCGAAGGGAACATACAGAACGCATGTCTCGAAATTGATGGGTTTGCGCCACATCTTGCGCGACAGCCACACATGGAAAAGAGTCGATTGATCGTGGATTTTTTATTGTTACACAGCTGACCAGGCCAATCTTTTACTCTACAGGGGACTTCTGTAGAGAAGCCGCTCAAAAATCGGCCACCAAAAGCTTCACATTCTTCGCTGGCCAATATCCCATTATTGGTTTGACCGGCGAACAGCAGCGCAAGCTGTTCTTCGAGCACCGGGGATTGGACTTCAACTCAGGATACTCAGCACTTCTGGGTGGCTCACCACCAGGTGACCGCGATCATGAATTCGGTGCATACTTTCGCACTCGCCTCTTGGCCATGCTCAAGGGACCTGTTCTCAAGGCTGGTCTTCCTCAGATGATTCGCGACGTGCGCAACAGCCTCGACACAATGGCAGCCGAGCCTTCTGGCCGTACCGACCCGTTCGAGACCATCTACCGCATTGTATTCCAGCTGACCATGCGTGCCGTGGCTTGCAATGAGATTGCCGACGATCCCAAGGACTTGGCGACTGCGCTTCACTGTTTCGAGACCATTGACAAAACCGGCACCCCACTCACCGTTATGTTCCCGTGGTTGCCGCTTCCTGCGAAGTTCCAGCGATTGAAGGTCGGAGCGCAGCTCTACATGATGTTTCAACGCGTAATTGAAAAGCGAAAGAAGGAGGATGTCAAGAGCCAGGATGCGTTGCAGTTCCTTTTGGACCAGGGAGATGACACCAAGGGAATCATCACAGTGAGTACAAATTCTCTGCGAGCAGTGCGGGCAGTGGCTATATCTTGGGGAGTCAGGACAGAGGCAGCTGGCATATCGGAAACTATGATCTCTTGGATAATGACTGACGCTTGTTTCACCAATTAGTTCGTCCTCGGAGCTCTTTTCGCTGGCCAGCTGAACTCTGGCATCAACGCCGCCTATATCATGTGCCACCTTGCATGCAACGCTGACTGGCGGGATCGTGTCCGCGCCGAGATTGAGCGCGTCGCAAACCGATACACCACTGACGAATCTCTGCCACTCGCTGACCGCCTCGAATCCGTACCGATCGAGGCTTGGGAATCAGATTTCCCGATGATCGACCTCTGCTTGAAGGACTCCATCCGCATGCACATGCCCGGTACTGCCTTCCGAAGGAATATCTCAGGCCAGGATATCCCACTTCCGGGAACGAAAGGCGAAGTGATCCCCAAGGGCGCATTTGTCGCATATCCGGTGGGCGACACTTTCTACAACCCGGAGATCTACTCGAAAGAAAAGGACTGGGATCCGTCGCGATACCTGCAGGACAGAGCAGAGGACAAGAAGGAGGCACATGCCTGGTTCGGATGGGGGTGAGTCTCTTCCCGGTCTTAACTCTTAATGGACCCCGCGCAACTCTACCAGATCAAGTTTGCTGACATCGGTACTCTCTCGTAGCGCTGGTCGCCACCCTTGCCTCGGCATGCGTTTTGCCAAACTCGAGAACAACATCATTGCAGCTTTCTTCCTCGCCTACTTTGAGAACTTCTCGCTCGAGGATGCCGCTGGTCGCAAACTCGACCGAGTGCCAGACGCCGACCGCAACGACCACTCCGCGAGCAAGCCTAGCAAGCCCATGTTCTTAAACCTCCGAGAGTGAATAAGGGCTTGAACTTGGCATCTTTTGAGTACAATTCTGTTCGCAATAGTGACTGCTGCATTTGGTCCGATTGGGAAGAGTGCCTTTGCCTGGTCCAACGATCGCGGAGGGCATCTTCGTTTCCTTGACCTTGCCATTATATTTATTCCATTTTTGGGGCGACTCGGCCTGCTGGCCACGGCCGCAGAAGTTTTGGCGACGCAACCTTTATGTTGCGTCGTCTTGAATTTGGGCGCAGATAGATTGATGTTTCAGCGAGAGTTGACCTGCATATACGTATGCAGCCTCGAGCTGGCCTATGCATGATAATGACATATTTTATTCCTCCACATCCAACCACTCGCCTCGTCGGGTCCGCATTTCGGCCACGGCACCTCAAATCACGGTGACCGCATTCTCGAGTTGCTACTCTGCTAACCACGGCATTGAATTCATGATCATGAATCGGTAATCGCTCGCAATGCCTGCATCATAGATGGTCATCCTCTCTGTACGTCGACCTGTACGGGAATGTGATTAGAAGAGCGATGACGTCACGTGACAGGCTTCTCGAGGCGGAGATGAATCTCACGTCTCGTCAAGTGCCGAACCCTCCACGTCTCCCGAACAATCTAGGGTCCTGGGACTACACCTCAGGACGGCGGAGTTATTCGCGATATTGATTGCCGATTGATGAAACCATAATCAACCATATCCTCGCACATTTTGCGATATCACGGCCAAGCTAAAGCAAGAAACGAAGTTCAATCACTCGATAAAGTGACTCGAAGACGATATCCATCCAATCTCAAAACAGATATTCCACAAACAACGCTGCACATTCCAAAGCTGCGATTTCAATTTCAACCCAATACAGACCAAGCTTTCCACAAGATCAACATGCCGTGCTCGCTCCCCACAAATCACATGCTCCTATTGCTCCTAGGAGCGACGACGGCATGGGCGCAATTCAACTTTAATTTCGGGAACATGTTCCATCAGCAGCAGGAGCCTGAGAAGCAGAACATGCCGTCGGATTCGGAGTGGTTCAGGACGAATTATGATAATGGTGAGGGAGTGAATTCATTTCTTCTTTTGCTTATTTAGGTTTTCTGGAGGACGGCCATCATGGAATCGTCAAATCTTGCTGGCCCTGGGGAATCGACTGTAGAATATGACGGAGAAGAAAGAAGGGGGGGGGGGGGGGCGGGCTCTAAGAGCGATCGATTCCTTTACTTCTCACAAACAATTCCAAACAGAAGAAAGCGATTTGCATGGATCTCTTTCTAAAGAAAACGAAATGTTCTCCAGCTGACGCATCTTCTCTTCCACAGCGCACTGCGACAAATATCTCTGCCCAGCCACGCTCAGTTGTGTACATTTCCCGCATCACTGCCCATGCGCATTTCCCGACCACGAGGACAAGGTCGAATTCGGCGATGGGAGCATGGCGTGTGTGAGCAAAGGTGGTTTCAAGGCGGGTGAGGCGGGGAGGAAAATCGAGTTAGCGAGGAAAGGGCTGCTTTGAGAGGGATGGTTGTTGGAAAGAAGAGGAAATAGTTGGTCTTCCTGCGCAGAATCTTGTGTGGATCGAGGTGAAGCCAAGTGTCGGCGCGTCTTTTTGCTCGTCGAGGGAGAGGAAACCTGAAACGGAGCTTAGACATCACTGGTAAAAATGGTTGTGGTGATGGAAAGGCGCAGTATCGAGGCTCAAGATCACAACGTCGATGGATCAATGAATAAAATTGTCAGAACAACAAAGTACAAAATAGAATTGCAACAATGCAAAAACCCCAAGCAAGGTCCACGCCAAGCAAGTTCCATCAGCCATAGTTGTCAACCCTCGGTCATCGATCCATTTCAACATATCTCATTCCATCATCTCGCCTTCGAATCCCCAGGCACCTTCGGGCTCTTCGGCGGGAATTTGTACGCGTATAATTGAGGCTCCTGGATTCCAGTCTCCTCCCTTCCCCATTGATGCAATAATGCTTTCGCCATGACCTGCCGTTCCCGCTCCAGCTCATTATATTTGTCCCGCCACGCGTTCTCGCGCCGTTGTGAGGCCTCGGCGACTCTAACGTCGAGGGTCGCATTCACGGCCTGGATATCGGCGAGCGTTTGCTGAAGCGTTGTGAGCTCGGCTCGGGATTGTTCGAGATCGAGTTGTGCCTGTTGTAATGCGTCTCGAGCTTCGTCTCGGTCAAGAACGGCTTCGTTCAATTCGGTGATCTTGGCTTCTTGTGCTTGGTGGAGCAGATCGGCTTCTTGGCGGGAGACGGTTATGTTCTCGCTCTGGTGGTTTCGTAGAGCTTTCATATCCCGATCGTGAGATTCTCGCTCTTCGCGAAGCTGACGTCGAAGATCCTGTATTTGTTGTTGGAATGTTGTGGCAAGCTCTACTGCACGAGTACGTTCTTGCGTGCTCTGCGAGAGCTGTTCGCTGTGCTCTTGCTTGGCTGACGAAAGTTGTTGCTGCAATTGGTGCAGCTCGTCCTGTGCTTCGTCGGCAGCTACAGTTGCCGCAGCAACTTCAGCCTTTGTAACGACTAGCTGTTGCTCGAGCTCGGCGGTCGCCGTTTCCTCCTCGCGAGCGTTTTGCAGCTCGAGGCGCAGGCGATTAAGCTCGTCCTCGTGACTCTCACGAGCGTCATCAAGTTCCTCACGGTACGTTTCTGCATCCTCGCTTGCATCGTGCAACTTGCGGCGTGCGGCCTCGAGGTCTCTTCGGAGCGCTTGCAGCTCCTCTGTATGCTTACTTGCGGCGAGGTCCATTTCTTTTTGCACCTGTTGGAGTCGGGCAATACCATTTTGACCGTCACTGGCTTTGTCTGATTTCATGTTGTCAAGCTCATTGGTTCGTTGCTGAAGTTGGGATTTGACGCCTTCGTATTCTTGTCTCTGTTCTTCATTTTCCAATGTAAGGACTCGAATGGACTCACGAAGATTCTCCTCACGTCGATCTGCTTCCTGCATTTGCGATTTGTGGGCAAGACCATCCTCACTCCGCAGCTGTCTTTCGTCGTTAAGCGCCGATTGTAAGAGATCGTTGAATTGCTCCAATTGTTGATACTTGTTGTGCAAAGGATTCATGATTGAATTTTCTTCATGATAATCGAGATCTTCCTCGTCTTCCTCGTCATCTTCCACCTGGACTGACGGATCGGGCTGTATTGACGGAGACGGCGAGGAATCACGAGAATGAGTGGTGTTCCGTTGTGGATCGATTCGAATGGATTGTGGAGTCTTAATAAAGGAGCTGCCCAAAGGAGGGTCCAAAGGTTCAGGCCTTGATATCGATCGATTGGGAGAAATCTCGCTGAAATAATCCTCTACGGTTGGTTGCAAGAGGTTCGGCCGTGGTCGTGGAAACGGAGTTGATGTAATGCCATGTGGTTCCCATTCAGAGCTATCGACGGGCGTCCGCTGGGAGACTGATATTCTCGGGGGCGTGTCAGAAGGAGTGTGATGGCTGTGGTTGTCACCGTCGTCGTCGCCACCGTCCTCGTTGTGTTCAGACAATTCCTTCACATTGCCATCGACATTTTCAGCGTCTTGTGAGTGATGCTCGTGATCGGCTAATTGATTGTGGCGGGCTTTTGCCATTGAATCCATCTGCTTCTTGAGTCCGTGCAGTGTGCTTTTTCGAAGGGTCCCACCACGCAGCCAGTCACCCATGTTCTGAGTGAAGTCGCTCGGACCATCGATATCCTCTGAGAATATCCGCTCCACTTCAGGATGTGGTATCCCTGTGGAGTCATCTGATCTCGCATCTGTGTCCAAGCCGTCCAAGTTGACCGAATATTGTGAATCCGCAACCGACACCTCCGGCTTCCATGCCCGCACTGGAGGGCTTGACGGCAGCATGGTCGAAGGCATATTGTCGCCGAGCACTCCCTACGTCCGCATAATGTTATAGGAATAATAATTTGGTACAAATGGTGGTCCCCGATTAATTATCGCCGCTGGTCTCGTGATGTTTGTTTCTTGCCCGATTCGGACATGAAGGGAGTCAGCAACGCAGGCACGAATTCGACGCGTTCCACACGTGATCGACGATGTCATTTACACAGCATGAGCACATTGAATAATTGCGGAACGCTATATGTACATATTTTATTACATCAATGGCTTGACGATACTCCACGATTTTCCTGTGCCCCAGAAAGCTTGAATTTCAATTACAATATAATATTAACACTGTGCCCGCACTTTGTCGCGCAAAGAGCCCGCGAGCGCGCATGCCAAGTGCCAGTCAGTTCTTCGAGGCATTTGTCTCTCACAAGCAGACCAATGAACCTTCAACGGTGATATACATCGCGGCCACCGTGTCCCTGATCTGGTATTTGGTGGTCGCGTTCGTCTGTACTCTTGGATACATTCAGCTGTGAGCCGCATCGATCAAGTACGCTCCATGGACAAAGTCATGTTGACATCCCGTGCAGATGGCGATACTATTCAAAGCCCCTCCCACCACAAAAGGCATCCGTTGTCAGCAATGTCACGATCATTCGTCCACTCAAAGGGCTCGAGCCACGGTTATACGACTGCCTTGCCGCAACTTTCCGCCAGGACTATCCCAAGGAGAGGCTGCACATCCGTTTCTGTGTCTCTTCAGCGAGTGATCCATCCATCGCCGTCGCTCGTCAACTTCTGCACGACTTCCCGGGCTTCGACGCCCAACTCCTGGTCGAGAGCGAGGATGAACTTCTCACCAGCGGCGATCTGAAACTCGGACCGAATCCGAAAATCCGAAACATGAGTCGGGCATATCGTGAGGCACCGGGCAATATAATCTGGATTATCGACTGTAACGTTTGGGTCGCTCCAGGCGTCTGCTCTCGAATGGTCGCCAAGCTTGAAGGCACTGGAAATGGAGCATCACGTCCCAATAAATGCGTCCACCAGCTTCCCATAGTCGTGGACATCGAGCGTGCGACAGCTAGCGCAGACATCCAGGCCCACGACAGCGGTCGTGATGTGCGACCCACTCACGCCTCAGGAAAACTTTCGCCCGAAAGGACGGCGTTCTCAATCGGCGGCGGCCGCATGGAAGAGCTCTTCATGTCCTCCGCCCACGCCAAATTCTACACTGCCATCAATACCGTTCTCATTGCACCTTGCATGGTCGGGAAGAGTACCATGTTTCGGCGCTCGCATCTTAACCACTTGACGTCCGGCGCCGGCATCGACACCTTCAGCCACAATATCTGCGAGGATCAGCTGATCGGCGACATGTTGTGGAAGCAAAAGGTGCCGGAGGAGCGCAACGGACAAGCCTGGGGCAAACACGCTTTGTGTTTTGGCGATCTCGCCATCCAGCCTATGGCAAATATGAGCCTGGGAGAATACTGGTCGCGTCGGGTGCGCTGGCTGCGCGTGAGGAAATTCACCGTTACCCTGGCTACTTTTGTAGAGCCTGGCACGGAGAGCTTACTATGGAGCGTGTATGGCGCGTTCGCCATGACTACGCTACCATTGTTCCACGACAAGTTCGGGATCCCACAGACATGGACTGCATTTGCGCTCATTTGGGTTCTGGGCGTGAGTATTTGGTGTGCGTTGGACAGGAGGCTGTACCTCTTCCTCCACTCGGCAGCCTCGATCGATGTAGATGAGAACACGCCATTCTTTGCGCGCGGAACGCAGAATGGCGTGAAGAGACCTTTTCAGCAGTGGTTCTTTGCGTGGCTGGGAAGGGAGGCTTTGGCGTTGCCGGTATGGACGTGGGCATTCTGGGGTGGAACGACAGTTGGATGGAGAGGGAAGCGGTTCCGTGTCGGGATGGATATGAAGGTTCACGAGATCACGGATCATAATACGAAAAGCGAATAAGCGCACTGTCAAAAACATTCTCGAATGAATATGATATTTACTGATTCGTCCGCAGTGCGCCATGACAGTCGTTTGTGCTAACTCGCAAGCAGGCCTCTTGGCCACGGTAATACATTTGAAAACGATATCGGCAATGAAAAGACTCCGAATCACTGCGCTTCGGACGCTCGACATGAATTTCAGCAGCGCAGGGTCAGCCAAATCACATACCAAACAGAGTGCCGTGCATCACCATTTTACTCCCGGCTTTGCTTCGCCAATTCTCCACCGATCACAATTATCCTCCGGTACTTGAGTCGCGATGAAAACCGGCTCAACCGTCTTTGTCTCGACGGGTAGCCCTGACTGCTGCAGCGTCTCTTCGCGGCGAGATGAACGGTAATTCAATTCATCCTCCCCGTGTGGAGTTAAGCGACCAAACCACTCGTCTTGATTGCATGGTGGCAGTTCCGGGCTCAACGGAAACATTACTGCAAACGGAACTATGCGTTGCTGGCTTTCTATGCTGGAATTTGGGACCACCCTCGTGTTGGTCTCCATCGGCCTCTCCAGATCAATGCGACGGCGTTTGATTGCTTGCACCTGGTCCAGAATCGTACCCTCCGTCTTGCGACTCTGCAATGATCCTGAGCTTGATGCAGGCCATGCTTGAAGATGCGAATTAGTTGAATTGTCATTTTGCTTCCGTTTCGATTCCGATTGTGCAAGATTATTGGCTACATTGGCAGATGATGGAGTATGGGCGCCCTTTGTTGCTCCAGACCGAATCGTCGAAGTTGGTTTCCTTGAGGATCCGACAGTCACAGAACTCCGGATTGATTTTCGCGGTTTAGCTTTACTTGGGACTGCGTTTGAACCCCACTGGATGGTTTTCGGGGCCACAGGAACGGCCAAGGCGGCCCCTGACGGATTAGAACGCTTGTTCACATCCCTAATTAATTCTCCACACTGAATCGCATTCGATGCAGTAGCAAACGCAGGGAGTTTCCTCGGGAGGTTCGCAAACTTTCTTGCCCGTTCCAACCTTGCAGCCCCTGAAACGACGAGTTGAGGCGTGCGAATCTGATTAGTGTGCTTCGGATTCGAGTGCTGGCCACTAGGTACTATTTCTGCGCGCCCTCGCGGCCTCAAGGCTCTCTCAGTTGTGGGCTGATGACTCCGCCGAGGTGTATTTTCCACATCATCTCGGGCGCTGACATCTTTTGCAGGCGCGATCACCGACACAGAGCAATCTGAGAGCGTTTTAAATTGATCACGATCTTCATGTAAGTTATTGCGTCCTTCTCTTTCTCTGATCCCTGGAAGAGCATCCATCTCGGATGGCCTGACGCGCTCTCGCAGAAGAGGATCGGTCGCCGTCTGCCCAGCATGGTCGTCTCTGTCCATGACTTCTTCGACGACAACATTGTCGGGAGAGCCAACCATTTCAACCTCCAAGCGACGACCGAACAAGGTGCACGATTTCAATGCTGTCGCCATTGCACGAGCATTCACATCTAGGGGTGTGTTGACAAACACATAGGCCGATGTATCTCGAATGACCGGCCCGGCGAACACGACCACATCGGAATATCCAAGGTCTAGGATCAATGCCTCAAGTGCGCGCGCAGGTGTGTGTGGATCAAGATTTCCTACCATAACGTCGTAGCCATTGGCTGTGGTACGACGTGGGGTAGATGAGTTGCTGGTCTCCTTGCATTGCTGGACGATGTGACCATCTCCACAGACTGGACTGTCCGCTCGCTGTGACGCCTCTGTGGCAGCGGAAGAGCGAATCAGCCCCGGCGAGGGCATCGCCATGGAAGCTGTCGTTTGTAAAGGAGTTATGCTGGCTGCTCGACTGTACAGCGCTGCCAAGGCGTTGAAGACAACCCGGTTGTTGCGTGCAAACTCTTCATGATTCAGCCATAGATGGCCGAGCACAGCATTTGCCGAATGAAAGATGTTGGAGCATTCACCATCGCTGCAGCCCATCGGACATACCATGTGTCGAGTTCGTGCGTGGGGATGAGAGAGTGTCACGCCGATCGCACTTAAAGTGGCACGATGGACGGTGATACTATGGTTTTGCAGAGCTTGCGCGCTGGCGAATTGCCGCTCGCATGCTGGACACAAGATTTTGTCTCGGGGACCATGGAGTGTACTTTTGCAGAGATGGACGTCGAGTTCTCGAAGGGAGGTGAAAGTTCTGTCGCACGGAATACAATATGGTTGCCCGAGAGGTGTTGGTTTGTCGAGGAAATTTTGAACCTCTGTGAAGGTCAGCTCAAATCTCATGTTTGGTGGCGAGGCTGCGGCAGAAGAGGTTTCACAGAATTTCGGAGATTTTGAGGGGACCATGACACGATGGGACGCTCCGAGTCCATTGGACCTGATGCTTGCCATCGAGTCACAACCTTGGAAGAAGGAAGAAGCAGCTGAAAGGTGAGAAAAGGTTAGGAAGCGACGCCACAAGTGAAGGACGCCGTGTCCCGAGGTCTGTCACAACTCCAGCTTGGAAACGCATCACTCCGGAAGTTGCGCGGACTCAGCTTACGCAAACGGCCGATCCCGACATTGCAAGTATAGCAGATGCAAACCTGACAGCGTTGGATTCATCGATTGCTCTTGCCGGAACAGTTGAGAACATACTGCATGGGGGAAACATTGCATCGTCGTCGCTGCGAAACCTATTTCGATGTTTTCAATGCAAATGCCGTGCCAACATGGACAGATTCCAGCAGTGACATGACGATGGTGACACATCAACGGTCAAGACAGTACCATAGTGAACAATGCCTACAACGAGCGTAAAGCCTGGAGACTTCTCACTGCGCAGACGGCATCGTCTATGACGGCTGGATGAAAGCTTGGCCTTGCGATGTGCCCGATTGTGAAGTGTCCGACCGCAAAAAGCAAGATCTCCTTGCTCACATTAACTTTACCGCGCATGCTCCACTGCTAGACCAGTGCAAGACGCCTTCTCGAAGTCCACGGCAGGAGGCTCGGCCAGAGAGAAAGGTGGTCACACCAGGTTTCTCAAAATGTCGAGCATTTTGACACAGCATCTCGAGAAGGGGCTTTGCAACAACGCAAGAGATGTTGGGCATCAGCCGGGGGTCATGCTATATTCAAATGAACGATCTTCGACTGCATGGTTAAGCGTGCCGAGCAACGACGATTCTAGGATTGGTCAGTCTGGTGTTTTGACAGGCTTATCTGTGGTGAGAAATAGAGCGGAACGATGTGGAAGGAGGAAATCGTCTCAGTTCCATCACTCAATCTGATCACCCTCTTGTTCCCGCAGGACCGGAGATGCTCAACGAAAGAGTGGCATATTGAATGAAGCAGCCATATGTCGTGTTGTAATGGTTGACCACTCGTGATAATGATGAGGAAGGGTCTCTCGAGTGTAGTTTCCCAAATCATCGCACATTTCATGGCTCGCTTGTAATGATCAAAGTACCAGCTGGTCCCTCAATTGCTCGCTGACATGTGGGCATGTTATAATGCACTTGTCACTTGCTCTTTCCTCGCTCAACAATACCGACGTCACCCACATCCGGCGGAAACGATGTGTGATCTCAGCATCATTCACGCACTTCCAAGGCTGGTTCAATACTGAAGCCTACAAGTGACGAGTACCCCAAGCTTGAAACCGCTTGTCAGTACTCTTTGACATCTTCTCCAAAGGTTGTTGCCCATTTGGCGCAGGCAGCCACTGCTTTTCCTTGGCTCAGAAATTCTGTAAAACAATGGTCTGGACCAATTCTTGAATCACTGCCGAACCTGCGTCACCAACTACGGTTTGTCACGATTTATGCGGTTGTTACAAGCTCAGTCATCAGTTGCAATCGGATGGAATAGGCAATACCCATTCATGCAAAGTCTGATCCAAAGATCTTGAATATCACGCCATGGCTGAACATCATTCTTGCACTGGCTGCGGGTTCTACGCCGCCACGAGACACGATCTCGAAAAGCACCATCGAGTCGAGCGCCATTTCGCCTGTGAAGACTGTGATTTCGTTTACACAGCCCAGGTGGAATTGGACTCTCATCTGACTGGTTTCGGCCATAGTTCCGCTCTCTTTAATATGACCGATTCGCCTCACTTTGATGATGACGCAAGAGTTAAGCTGGCGATCTCAGAGGAGGCCTCGATGGAATGCTTTGAGTGCGCACGTACATTCTGCGACCTGGGCGCTCTACAACAGCATAGGAGTCACACCAATGCCCACCCGCGCACGAAATTGAGATGTCCGGTCTCTAGAGCTTGTCCTGTCACTTTCACGACAGCCGGGGCAATTCTGACACACATCGTGGATGAAAGATGCAATTGGAACACCAAAGAAGCACAATGTCAAGCACTTCGCAACCAGATATCGGAGTTGCAGTCCACGAGTGCTAATGCTGGGAAGGAGGCGGATGCCAAACATGTTCAAGTCTTACGGCGTCTTCTCGAATTACAAAGAGTGAAAAAAACAGTCGATTCTGAGAATGGTCAACTCACGCAGCGCAACATTCAACTGGAGAATGCAGTTAAGGATTGGAAAGCGAAAGTCGGGCAGATGTCGAACGAAAGATTGGCCCGGGTAGACGAAGCTACTCAAGCAAGAATTGCTGCATCAGCATCGAGGGGCGCCGACGAATCAGAAATCCTTGAGTTGAAGGATTCAATCAAGACCTACACGTCCAAAGTCGATGATCTGATACAGCGTAATTTGAAGCTCGCTGATTCCTGCACAGCTTCTAAAGCCAGGTGTGATCAGAACATTCAGCTCGTTGCGGAGCTCCAAGCCGCGAATAGAGTTGCGTCGCAGGAACTTGAGCAAATGTCAATGGAAAAGCTTCACATCGCAAAGGAGGCTGCCCAACTCAAGATCGACCTCGAGGCCGCCACAAAAATTGCATCCGAGAAAGATAAACAGCAGTCCAATGAGAAACTTCACATTGCAAAGGATGTTGCCAAACTCAAAATGGATCACGAAGCCAACGAATTAGCGTCGCAGAAGCTCGAACAATCATCCATTGAAAAGATTCAAATTGAGAAGGAGACTGCTCAGCTCAACAACGATATTGAAGCTGCGAATAGTTTTGCGATCCAAAAGGTTGAGCAGTCGTCAATCGAAAATCTTAACATGGCCAAAGAGGCTGCCCATTTCAGAATTGATGGATCAGTCTCGACGGCCCACGCCCTCTCGATCAAAGACCAGATGAGATCATTACAATTCCAGCACCAGGAAGTTCTTGACCGGCTCACACAGAGTGCGAAAGAAGCCGAAGCTCGCTTAGCTATTGATCTGAATCGACTTCGCTGCACAATGAGTATTTCCTTGAACGATGTCAAGCAGGCAAAGGATACGACTGCAGTAGCGACTAGCGAGTCTCCATCGCCGATCAAGATGATTACTATCGATATCAAATCTTCCGTTAAAAATGATTTCCAAATGACGGAGGACCACGGTCAACTTGCCGTTGAGCGCTGTCATGAGGCCAACAAAGAGGGAAGCGCCACAGATCATCAAGTAAGATCAGGGGATGACCAGAAGAACAGCCACGAAGTCGAAAAGCACTTTCCCAGCGAGACGACTTGTGCTACGCTGAATACTCAAGTGTCGCCGTGCGCAAGTTCTAGTCCCGAACCTCCGTTAGATCGCGTGGATTTTGACAAGGATAAGCAGTTAGCTTTCGACCACTGCCACAGTTCTGTTTCAGATCCGGCCAAAGTACAAGGATCTTCTGTTGCCACAAGAAGATATCCGCAAACTTTCACTTATCCGGGAACCGATGCCAGCACAATCGCGATCCTGAAGTCGGTGGGACTCTACACGCCACGAACAAGTCCTGATCATGGCACGTTTCTTGGCAAATGGACTCTGTCCGAAATGCCCTTGTGTAGATCTCTGGAGAGATTTGCCGCAGTCTTTGTTCCAGACCAAGTCTCCTGGAAGGACAGTGTTCGCCGCCCCTATGCACCACAGCAAGTGCAAGACAATGCTAATGCGAGTGTCAGTGCTTCTATCGTCGAAGCAAATATCTCGTGGAAGAATCGGGTGAAAAGAAAGGCCGTTTCCGAAAGGACCGGTCTGCCAACCCCTCAGAATAGCCCTAAATGTGTTCGCTTCGGTGAAGTCGACGAGGCAACCGAGGAGCCAGTTGCCTCGAATCACGAATCGCGAGGCTTGGGAATTCATGTTGATCGGAATGACGAGGACGTCATCGAGGACCTCGCCAGCTCGTTCGAGAGGCAGCTAAGTCTGGATCCATGGGGCGATGTGTCATTTCCGGAGAAGCACTAAAGTCCTCCTTGATCTGATTATGCTAAGTATCCCCTGCAGTGCGCCGATATGTTGTATTTGTTCGGGACCTTTGAACAGTCCATTGTCATTGTCATCGGTGTCCTGGACAGCGGCGTCGATTATGCTTCAATCATCTGTTTTTGAGATCTCGATTGAACGCCGTAGAGCATGGATTAACTTCAAAAGCTGAGTCGATCGAACTCCCGATTTCCGTGTATCGTGCGAGCTGGGTCGACGAAGTCACCAAGTATCAACATCTAGGGTTTCACTGTGTACGACATGAGTTCGCTGAAGTTATCGAATTGAAAACGTGTTGATGACCAACGTTGTGACAGCTGCCAAGCCATGGGTGGTCGGCGTCACGAGACTCGATTTGGGGGCGAGGAGCGAAAATTTAATGATTAATTGAGAAAACGTCATGATCGTAAGAAGCGAAAGCAGAGGGTATCGAGACTCAAGTCCACCCAACACGACCCATGGTTTATCTCAATCCAAAACGTCATGGTCGCCGTGCTGGTTTTCAACACTGTAAACCAGAGCAGCAATCCTTCATCCTCGACAACTAAGAGCGAAATCTCCCACGTGAAAGTCTCTTCTAAAAACCCTCCCCAACCTTCTCCAGCTTCTCAATCCTCTTCTCCCGATCAATGGGCCCCATCAGCGACGCGACAACACCGCCCTGATCTCTCTCCACTCGTCCCAATAGACTGCCCTGCACAAATGCACTATCCGCATTGAGTTCGATCATAGGCTTGCCATTTGCCTGGCTGCCGTCCATTACGCCTCGACCACGATTCGCTTCGCCCCAGCCTTGTTGTGCTTGGGCACCGGCCAGTAGACCTTCGCCTGTGAACGGCGCGGCGGCGGCGGTAATGGTTGGCCGGCGCACAGAACGGCTGCGGTTGAAGTCTTGGCCGATAGGGGTTGTGTCTGGGATGGCTGGAGCTGGTGGAAGTGGTGGGGCGTTGGTTAGGGAGGAGACAAGTGCTGCGGACGGCTGTTGATAGGCACCTGTGGATGTGGAACGGTTGCGTTGACGCCAGTCGGTGCTAGGTGGGACCCCGAGTGGATCTTCAGGTGAGGTCGCGTTATCGATGAGAGCACCCGAGCGGGTGGACTCGGGGACGAAACCTTTGCCTTTGCGGGCATGTTGAGGCGGTTCTCGATAGGTTGGCGTCAAGTCGATCAGAGGTCGTGGAGCATCGCGGGAGCGCGAGTCAGAGCGGTGTAAGTCGACAGAGGCTTCACGAGGGCGAAAGGCTCCGTTGTGATCGCGGACGGACGATGATCTCCGAGGCTCGCCGTTCGTGTTTCGGAGAGAGGTCTGGCGACGGATGCCGTCGCCCGCTGTCCCACTCACTCCCACGCCACCATTAAGCAGATTTGGACCGTTTGTGAAAGGCTGTGGCTGCTGCTCCGTACGGTCTGTTTGATCCTTCTGGCGTAAAGAATATTGCCTACCAAGCAATCCGTCGGCACGAAATTCCAGACTTTCGCGACGATTCTGGTCATATGACGAACGATTGTTCTTGCCTACGGAATTGTGGCGTGTGAGGTTTGCAAGCGGTTCGTCGTCTCGCAGGATTGTCTTCTTTTGCAATGCCACCGGAGGATGCTTCGTTCTCACTGTACCCGTCCTCCTTTCCGTCATAGCGTGGGTCTCAGAGTGAGCAGCTGCTTTTGGAAACGCAGATGCCGCTAACGGAGCAGTTTGAATAGGTCGTTCGGGCTCAGCGCCCTTCTCAAACTGGTTCAAATCGAAGAGGGGCATGAAAGAGCCGAGTTGATAATGCGAGGCGGTTGATTCATTGCGTCGATGACTATGCACAGGATCGTTGCTGGCAGACCGCCTTTTCGTCTTCGAGCGACCCAACGCAACCGGCACAGGTGCGGCAGCGGCAGCCTGCTGTCCCTCGCCTAGAACGTTGTACAGGTACCAACTTCGCCAGCTCTGAATGGACCGTTCGAAGCTATCTGCCGTAAGCTTGTCTGCTGTGGAGAAGAAGTGAACGAAATCTTGCGTCGACTCGAACATGCTGGTCTTTTGCTGACTCTTGACGGCAAAGCAATATCTTTTCGGAGGCTTGATCTTCTTGCGGGATTTCTCCACAGTCGGAGTGTAGACATCGAAGTCACTGATGTGGCATACATTGGTGACGTCCTTCACCTTGTCGGCTTCTTTGTGACATGTAAGCTGTCCATCAGGCTTTAGCGTCACCACTCGCTTGTCCCATTTCCCGGGCTTTTGCGACATGTACAGCAGCCAATTTGCACCTTCTGGCTTCGTTTTCGGTACTCCGGCGAGGCTGAGTTCGACTTCGGAGGAGCCGACTCCAGGATCTATCAAAATCAAGACATTCTGGTGATCAAAGTCCCAGCTGTTCATGACGTCTCGGACATGCTCGTATCGACGAAGCGGCCGTTGAACCCCCACTGTACTGAAGTATTCCAGAAGCACGGCCGATTTGACGTCAATCTTCTCCGACATGACCGTGGCCGCACTCTTAATGAGATCGACCGGCGTAGTCGTGGGCGTAACCGGAAACAAATTACGTGACCGACCACATTCAACCATGACACGGCGGTCTCCGGCGTTGACTGCCGAAACCGGCGCATCGGTGCCGGGCACAATACCGCCACCACCTGCAATGATGGCGTTCGGCTCATTCTTCCCAGTTACGGGCCTCGAGATCATTGACTTGTCCAGCGCTGGCACAGGTGGAGGCGCATCCTCCTTCTTCCGTTTGAATTTTGCAAAGAGCGAGCTCCCTGTATTGCTGGCTGCTTGCGGTATCTCGCCCATGCTCTTTGTAGCTCGGATCTGGTCGGAGCGTGGTGGACCCTGTCCCGCAGCGAGTACCTCGACCGGCTTGGGCGGCGGAAAGAGCTGTCCAATCGGCGCAAGAGGTGCAGTGGCTACTGCTGCTTGTCGCGAACGGCTCGAGGTATTCGGGTTCGTGACCGATCGTGTGGGAGGCTTATCCCTTTGCGCGTGTTCGCGACGATCGAACTCGACTCCCGAATCTGGCTCATCACCGCTATTGATGCGCGCCAGAGGAGGTCGCGAGGAAGGAGGGGAGGTCGGCGCTGGTCGGACATCTTTGTGCGAGGGACCGGTGTAGGTGCGCGCCCGAGAAGGAGGCGGTAGCGGGAAGTCCTGGGTTGGATCGCCTTGCTTCAGCTGGTCGTGGGCAGGCTTGGGGTGGTACCGAGATGGCAGGTCCGGATTATGCTGGTCGCGAGTCGCGGGTCGGACATTATTCGTTGCTGGCGGTGGTGACGAGGGATCGGATGTCTTGCGGCGATATCGTGATCGGGACTGGGCGATTCCTGCGCCGTCCTGAGGCAGGCTCGGGACCGGGACGTCATTGGTCGCGTCGTCAGTGTGATGCCCGGCACGGCGCTGTGAGCGATATCGTGAAGGACGTGGTGGAGTCGTTGCAGTTGAGTTATGATTATTGTTGTCTTCGTCGGCCATTGTTCGCGTGCTTTGCGCAGGCTGTGTGGTCCAGGCGGGAAAAGCGACGACACTCAGGGCATCCGTGCTTGGATCTCGAGGATTGAGGCGCGGGTTTCAGGGTCAAGTACGGTGATTTGGCTCCTCCGAAGTGATCTCCCGCGGTGCGACAACGACTGGAATAATGACAACAAAGAGAACGGGAATGCAGCAGTAAATATGATATTATGAATTAAGTCGTCTGAACTTTGCTCACGACGCGAACGTGCAGTAACGGAGGCCGGAATGTGCACCTTCCCACCGCGTGGCACGCCGGCTCACGTGTCGATTCCGAGAATTGTTTGGTGGTGCGGAGTGAAATGACATTCTAGCTGGGCAATGATAATTTTAAAATTTGGCAATGCACAGTTGGCGAGCCAATCGGCGGAAAAAGATTCACCTGCCTACCGAAACACTCACCGTGACTCACTCTTCCCTTCTCGTGAGGGAACGATCAAGACGCAGTCGAACAGGAACATCCACGATAGCAGAGAGACATGCGTATCCGGGCATGTCCGCTTGTGATCCTCCCATCAAAGAGCAGGAGAAGCCGCTGCCCGTTGACGATAGAGGCTGGAGGAGAGGAGAACGGCAGTACACCCTGTAAAGACGACACTCGCATCGAACGCGCCCAGTGTCTGATCCTTCCCATCGCTCAAAATCTCTTCGAATGAGGTATGGCTCACAGTGATGTGATCTTGCGATGGTTCTCCAGGTTTGTGAAGACTTTCAAGGAGTACAGTAGTAGCGCTCAGGAACATTTTACCCCTGGCGTATCGTTCGTCGTCATTAATGTGGAGCAACACTGTCCACTGTCATCATTGTGGAGCAATGACTGTCCATCATCATCATCTGCGTCGCCGAGAGAAAATTCGAATGATGAAAGGATGTGTGTGGTTATTGCGCGGAGTGTCGCGTGCGCATTCTCGATTGCGTTGACAATGGGCACAGACGGCAAAGACATGTCGATTGTCCCCCGCCGTGGCTCGGGTGGATCAGATCAACGGCCGCTTTTTCGGCGGGTCGATGCCGCCGTCCGCTGCGGGAAATTAGATGGTGGAGCAGCAGCTCATTTTCCCATCGCTTGTGGCTGGTGATCCCTTTTCCCTCTCCGTCTGTCCTGTCCGGGACGGACGTGCTGGGCAATGCACGTTCAGCAGAATCCGTTTCGTGGACAGGAGGAGCTCACCGGGCAGGCACACGTCTGTGGCATACGTGCTACAGTAGTCCAGTAATGAAGTGGAACGCTGACCGCCTAGAACTGCAGTGACATCGGTCGTCGTCTCCGAGGATTATACGAAAAACATGACGTGACGTCTTTCGTGATGATTTCCAGCTTGTGAAAGGGAATCTTGGAAAACAGATCACAGTCACAGATGTCACGCCTGGGGGACATCACTTGTCCCACACTACTTGATCAGGACTTGTTTACTTTGAGCCTACATATCTTCCCTGCAATGACAGGAGCTGAACGTGGCGCTCATGATACCTTTGCATGTAATGTACAGTATTTCATATTTGTCATATCTGCGTGGGTATGTCAGTCAAAGTCGCGTTGTCTCTGAGCGATGCAGGATCTGTGGAGATTCGGGTTCTCTCACAGTCCAAAGAGTTGCCATGACAGAGTTCGGAATCAGGCGAATCATGCATCGCATCTATCTATGTGGTTGTATGCGTCAAACAGGCTTGCCGTGCATGTCCACTTGCCAGGGATGATGCAGTATGTACTGCGCGTGGGCAGATTTGTCTTGTATGTACCCTTGCTCCGTCACGTCGGCAGCGTACGCTGCGATGCCGGAGATGTCCCGACTGACTGCCACCATTCATTCACAGCTCTTGAACCTTTGTATGTAGATATGGACCCATGAGTTGAAGCCACGGCGGATCATCATATTCCGATCGCACTCCGGCGATGGCGATGAGCGACAGCGGACGTTGGTCTCGGAAATGTGAGTTACGAATAAGCACACCGATTCCTCGGACCTCGTGTGCAATCGGACAGGGTAAGGTATCTTTGATCGCCCAAGGTTACACAAACAAATCACACGAGTTGAAATAGCGTCATGCTTACGCATTTGGAAGAATCCGCATCGACACCCACGTCTTCTGCATGTACCCATTTTGAGAAATCGTAGACGACAAGCCATCGGGAAGGGCGTATCGCATGATCCAACATATCGTCGTCCCGCGATGTTCGAATCTGTGACGTGTGATGATGTGGCGATTGGAAAAGCATGGACATACATGGATGTCGACAGTCTGTCGGGAGGCCTCGGGCGCATCTCCTTCCCTTTCCTTCGGGGATATGTCTGTATCGTGGGGTGGATTTGCTGAGACCATGCTTGCTGAATCATATCCTGATTGGACCAATGCTGGAAAGATTGGGCATAGGGGCATTTGCGGGGGAGGTGTGACCAGGGGAGATGTGGTATGTAGGATACTTGGGGACGAGATTGGGTAAAATTCTGCAGAATGACACTGTCGACTTCACGAGCTCGACATCTGAAGCTTCTCCGCTGAAGATGATGCGTGGCTTTTGGGCCGAGTGGTATGTATGGCTTGACCGGTGGGTCGATATCTCCAGTACAGGCGGAGTCTTGCTGTTCGCGAACAGCGAACAGCGCACAACACACCCTCTTCAACCCTTGAATTGTGTATCGAGAATCGATACGATTCGTGCTGTGCCGCAGACGTGCAGCGTTGTCTGCTCGGGAGCCTCGTTCCGCATATATAGTTCCCCCACCAAGTCTTTGTCTCATCCTTGCTGCCCACCAGAGACGGCGAATCCTGTGTGCTCGTACTGGCTGCCAATCGGCGGGATAGGATCAGACTCCGACGCCACAGGTAGTCTTCACGTTGATGAGAGACCGTCGCATTTTGATGAAGTGTGCAAACGTAGAACAGGATATCAGTGTTGGACCGAGTTGCAGGAACTCATAATTTCATGACGATATCCTCATATGTACTGATTGACCAGAAAGAGACAATAATGAAAGCAACATGGAAATTCATTCAGAATAGGCCAGCACCGTCGTACTGTTTGCCGCCGGTACTGCAAGAAGGCTTGTTAACGAAATAGCGGCCCGCGTCCTCCGCTCTCATAGTGTTGTAGCTCCACTTGGTTGGTCTCGGTAATGTCGAAAAAGACTCTGACAGCTACACCGCGTCCGGGATACCCTGCATGTCGTCAGTTGAGAGGGAGATATTCGGCGAAAAGTATTCCGCATGAATCACGTACAACCGCGGCCCACGAATGGGTTCGTATGCCACTGCGGTCCGTCCGGTCCATGTACAATAAGACCCGACAGATGGGTTAGCACTTCCGATCGCGGGATAGACATTGCGAGAAGCCCGATTACGAGTGACAGATCACCTGTGAGCCCAGCAGGCTGACTTGGATCCCTTGTTGGTGGCCCCTGGTATACCTGTGGTATCAATGCTGAAGACCACGCATGGTTTTCGTTATACCGTAGCAATGTATCGTGAGGCCCGCGTATGGATGCGTGAGAGATACCGCCATTGGATGCGGTCCATCCTGGTCGGTCAAAAAAGCCTTTCATGAAACTCAATGGCCGCCATCCGATCTCAGGCCCTTGAATACCTAGTCGAGCCGCCTCATTGGTAAGGTCGAGTGTGTTTCCGGGCTTTTGGTAGGCGACATCAATGTGGAATCTTCCACTACCATAGTACATCGAGCAATTTTGGTACACTACATGACGCGGCGGAAGTCCAGAAGCTCGCTTTGTACGAAATCCGTCAAAGTAGAAGAGACAGCCTGAATTGGAATCTGGCCGGTGGTGTTGCGGAGTCGACCGCGGCCAAAACGTTCCGTCTGAGCGCACTGCATCCAGAGCGTATATGTCCTGAACGTAAAAGTAGAACGGCACACCTTTGTCTGCGTTCGGCATGTAATGCTCCATGGTGTTCATGTTGTCAACGTGGAAATTGAGACCATGAGATGGCAACAAATAGTTGCGGCCGGCGTTGGCGGGCGGTTGCCTTCATATATGCGAAATCCGAGACGGACTTGGACAGCATCCACGGATGGTACATCCATCGTGCTGGCAGTATCTATGACCGGAAGCAATCACTCCACCTTGTGTTACATCTCGGCACGCTCTGCATCAGTTGTATAGCAGGCCACGAGCACCAGGGCTGCAGTAGCCCGCTCCAGAACTCCTAGCTCGTGCAAAGCGTGAAGCTCAGCTCGGGCGTTTCGGGACCTGAGAACCGACCGGAGTGATCGCCCGTTGGTGAAGCCCTCATCGATGCGTAGTATCATGACCTGTGACACGCACCTTACCCAAAAGCCATCATCCATACAGTCGAGGCGATTCTCGCATCGTAAGTTGTGCTTCATGCATACTGTGCATGATTGACAAGTTATGCACTGAGCACCACTCATCGATAGGGCTGCGAGATCTTGGAGCTGGCGGAGATTCGGCCCGGACAAGCTGCTTCGCGAGTCGGTGTGAGATAGCTTTCACCCGTATTCCAATGATGTAGTACTCGAGCGAGACCATTTCTCAGAACGGATCCCAGCACGCACCAATTAGCGTCGATAGGCTCAATAAATGACGTCGGTCCCACGAGTGGCAACTCAGAGGTGTCGCAATCGTTCTCGGGGGGACGCAGTCGTTCTTAGACCGGAACATGCTCCGGTAAATCACGTGATCGCGACACCCAGGCCTTATAGATTGCGTGGACATTGACACAATAGTGTGGGATGTGATATTGGGCATCCAGTCGTGGGCCCGCTCTGACATCCGGGTCACTGGCGTGGGAAAAATTGGGAGCTCATCGCTTAGTAGCAATCTATCAAGCAGTGATGGTTTCGTCATCTTGCACATTCTCGTCGTCAAACCACACGTGTCGTTCGCTTATAGCATTTGTGTTGATGGGGCCGTCGTCGTTTGGTGGGAGTGCATCCAAAGTGCTCAGGATGAAGACGGAAAATCGAGCTGGAGAAATCGAATGGGCAGTAGCTGCCTCAAGTACCGTTTCGAAGATAACAATCTAGCTTTGGCCAATGCACTAATGGTACGTCGCCTGGTAGAGCATATACCATGTTCCGGTGGAACACAGAGGCCCAAACGCACTGTCAATCATGCGACGAGGTAGTGGACGAACGTATGCAGGAAGGCGATCTGCATGAGCAAGGAAATGGAACGTGCAGGTGGAAGTGCAGCCCACACAGCCCCAACTCAGGTGCTTATGGGTACATGCGGAACTGATAAACTTCTACAGGTCTGCACTAATAAAACGCCGAGAGTGTGCTGAGAACTATCCTGTCAGCAGGGAGATTTGTGCTCGGAGGATGCATACTTCCCGGCGCAGCATCGAGACCAACAGACAGCAAAAGAAGGCAAAGGAGAAATGCGGGACATATCGGAGCATGCTCCGTTGACGCAGTCAGACGTGTATTTCACTGATAAATCGAAAAGATCGCGACAAGTTCGCGACAAGGTTGCACGAGCCAAACATACCGTGCGGTCAAGATCCTGATGTCACCAAACGGCAAACTTGGTTTGAGGGTGTCACAAGTGGGGCTGCAGTTTCGATGTGCTTACACAGGCCGGCAAGACAGCATGCGCTCAGTGTGCGTACGTTGCCGAGAGAGCGCAGGCACGTGTGATGCCCAGTTATCAAGAAAAAGTTCTGTCTACAGAGACGGATAATCGAAAATCATACGAGTCCTCCAGATTTCTGAGGATGCGATATGCAGAGCAGTTTGAGGCCGTTGTCCAACGGTCAGGCGACAATGCCGAGAGACGAATCTCTGCATGCAGCCGCGAATCCCATCATACTGGATAGCCAATGATATCATGCGTGAGTACCAGAATGTGCAGTCATCACATTTAGCAATGATCACAGACAGAACCTGTCCTTGGGCATCAGATCCATGATCAACAATTGAAGATTATCGATGTGTAATCGGCAGATTTGATGCTTGTCCCGCTTTCTTGAAACGCTCATAGATCAACCATGCATGCAGCGCAGAAATGCACATCACAATCAGACTGTCGCCGGATGATTGAAGTCAAAAGCCTTGAAGTATACTCTCGCCATGATGGGAACACATGTCCTTGGAATGCGACGTAGAGATCTTCGATCGCGGAGACGTCATCTGTGTCTAAGTCTTGCGCGAGTAGCACTTCCGTCAATGAGAAGCGTGATGAAGGTCCCCAGGACGGTACATCTCATGGTAAACAGGGGGGTTTGTCGGTACGTAGTTTGTAAGAAAGTGATCGTGCACCTCACTAGCTGACTGCCAGGCGAAGCTAAGCAGCTTTCGGCATTAGTGCACAGAAACAACCAACCCTTTTTCTTCACGAAAATGGACACTACATGACAGCACTAATCAACATACACGATCGCGTCTGGTAGCTCAACCATCGTCGACCGAGGTGCTTGCGAGTTTCAACGTTAGTGATGATGTTAGCTACCAATGTTCCTTCAAGCCATGACTCTCTGCATGCACTTCTATTGCTATCTGATTCTGCTCTACCCCTAGGATCTTTCGCGTTCAGTAGCGGCCTAGAATCCTTTCTCGGACACAAGAAATTCCTCGCGACGAGCACAGGTACCAATACATCGAAATCCTCAGCGACATGGCCAACACAACAAGCACAACATTTCCAAACGTTCCTTTCTTCCTCACTGCAAAACACAGCTAATATCGCGCTGCCTTACGTCCTTGCTGCCTATTATCATCCAGAACTTCTTCCACAGCTAGACAATGACTTTGATGCCAGCACGCCTTGTACGGTGGCACGACGAGCGAGCATTGCTCAAGGGAAAGCCCTCGTAGCTGTGTGGGAGCGAGCGCTCTGCCATTCAGGTCTCTGGGCATCTGCAGGAGGCGCGCCAGCGAAAGCGCGACAAGCTCATGATCTGCTAAAAGCTTTTGCATTTTCTCTGAAAACCCCAACAGCATCACCGTTTCAAGAAATTTTTGAAATTCCTCTCAACGCGCACCTTGCGCCGCTTTTTGGGGCAGTATGTCGCGCTGCGCACCTCAGTGCGGCGGACGTTGCGTATACGTTCCTGTTGAATCATGCCAAAGCTGTCGTATCAGCAGGTGTTCGTGCCGGCGTGCTTGGGCCTTATCAAGCTCAGGCAATCTTGGCAGGATCAAGATTGCGCCAAGATCTGGCAGAGAATCTCGAGAAGTTACTGGGGAGCACTTCAGCGATAGCGGATGAAGATCCACGCACTGCAGAGGAATGGATGCAGAAGGTGCAAGATGCCGCCATATGCGTTCCTGTTATGGATCTGTGGATGGGCAGGCACGAGCTCCTATACTCTAGAATTTTCAATTCCTGAAGTTTCTCAAAGAAGAGGCGCATCATTTCACCCCCTAAACCTTGCCAATGCTGCAGAGCAATTTCTTCTGAACAGAGCTTTGGATCTGTTTCATACAGGTGAAACGATGCAGATCATGGTCTCCCAGCAGCCGCTCTAGCAGTCGATGCCGTAATTCTCGCCGCTCCAAGCCCGTTTCGAACTTCGTCGAGCTGCTGCATACCGGTCAACGGCGCGCCCTTCCTGATTCTTCCTCCGCCGACCTTTCCAGCCTTATTGTAGCTGCCCAAAAAGTCATCGAGGATGCCATCGAAATCGCCTCTGACAGAGTTTGGCGCTTCGGCATCTGAGGCCCGCGAATACGAGCTGACTCCGCTGGCACGACTAAGTCCACTGGCGTGGCTGACACCAGACATTGCGGAGTATTTACTCATCTTCGACGCACGAGAGACCCCAGTCAGACCGGATGCCAGAGAAGCGTTTTCGTTGAATTCTTCGTCTTCTGGGAACTCGGCGAGAGTGTACGCTTCTTCAATCTTGTCGAAACGTTCGTCTAGGAGACTGTGCTGTGACGTCCGGACAAGGGACGACGATGTCATGGAGTAATTTGTCGTAGACGTCTGCGCACCCTTGCGCTTCTTGCGGCGGCCAGAAGCCAGAGAGGAGATAAGACTGGCGTCGAAAGCAGAAGGAGCACGCTGTTGTCGCCGCCGAGGCTTTTGCTCGCCGCCTTCAGCAATGTCGCTCAAAGCTGGCTCGTTTTGTGACGATTTGAACTTCTTGTACTCGTCGAGCCATGCTCCGGCCGTTGGGTCAGCAGGTGGCTGTGCCTGAACATCGGAAGGAGCCTCGGCTGTTTCGCCTTCAGGGAGCACAACTCCCTCTGAGGAAGGAGGTTCTGGCATGCGTGATTTTGATTTGGGCGAGTTGGCTGCCTTGATTGTATCGTCGCTCTCCCAGCCTGCATCGTCCTCATCATAGTATTCATCGTCGAACAATTGCTGCTCTCCCAGTCGCTCCCACTCATCCCTATCCACCTCGTACCCATCCTGGGTCAACTCTGCGAAAATGTTTCCTTCTTCCCCTTCCTCCAATTCATCAACATATGCCTCATCCTCCAGCGCCTCTAAGACCTCACGTAGACGCATATCCATATCTGGCTGGAACCCTGCAATCTCGTCCGGCACATCTTGCTGATCCTGATAGGTCTTGCGTCGGACGAATTCGCTGGGTAGAACTTCTTCCGGTAACAGACTCCGTGCTATGCTGCTGCTGCTGGTCATACTGGTCATACCAACGCTCCTCGTCTCATCCAGATCCATGCCGCGCAAAGCATCCGCAAGTGATTGTTTGCTCCTTTTCTTTGCATCATCCGCCGACCGAGCCTCCACCCAAGTCGCACCACTGCCCGATCCAAGATCTCGCATATGTTTCATGTAATCATACTGGGTGTCGTCGAAGAAAATTCCGTGTTGTGCTGCTTCTCCTTCATTCTCACGAACGTCTGCGCCACGAAATTCATCCTCAAGATCCCCTCGGTGTCTGGTTTTTGAACTACGATATGATGAGCCAGAGATTACGCTCGCCGCGGATGAATATGCGTAATCATCGTCAGTCGGGCGACGATTTTTGACCGGAATGGGCTTCTCGGCGAAGACCATAGAAGGTGCATCGTTATCGTCAATGAGGGGATCATTTTGAGCGCGGTGCACAAGGTTGAAGGTGGTGGCGGTTTTCTTGTCGAACTTGCGACGAGGCATGATGTAGGCTTACGTTGAGCTTTTATCCGAGGGCAGTTTCAAATACGAGAGTACTTTCCATCTAAATTAACAAATCCAGTCCTCAAAGTGGTTCAGAGTTGGAGTCGTTGGCATGTCGAAGAAAAAAATGTGCCAAGATTTCGCGACAGTGGTTCGGTGACGCCCGATGCATTTTCTTATCGATACAGTGCGGGATAGTTTGTCTGCCCGCCATGTCCCACGCAAGTCGATGTTGCAGCCTGAGGCATCACACGTACTATGTACACACACCCCAACTGTGTGATTGTACATAAATGTTGCAGGATCCTCTGACAATGGAGTTTGGAAGAGTGCAGGGTCAGCTCGCTTGCTCAGCACCTTGCGACGGGAGAATGTACCGCCATTATCATTCGACACTCCGTTCTAGCACGCGACAAGCCGCCCACAATAAAAGATGCGTGGCTACGTGGTCACTCACATACATCTGAGCTCAAAGTACCGGCCGGATGCCTTTACATCACCGGCACTCCCATTCAGTGCGACGAACGCGCCGCCCTGGGGATAGCCATACTCACCGGTACAGGAGGAATGTAAGCGTGAAGTCCTCACTGCCCAGTGTCATTTCCAATTCGTCATCATTCCTTTCTTTCATCACCGGAAGGATACCTAGATACCTAGGTATATGGCAGTAGATCAGAACTTTGCAGAGATGAGTGTAAACCCAAGTGGTGGCGATGGGTCATCGCCTCCTCCATACAGTGGGCCCATGGCAGATCCAACACAAGCAGCCTCCCGTGCGATCGCAGATGACTCGATCACGACAGTGGTCTCAGACACGACAATCGAAACGATTAGCGACGCGCCCAAGAGGTACGAGCATTTCCGCTTCGGTCGAGAATTAAACAAACGCTCCTCAGACGCGCCTCAGGAGCCATGCGATTTGCTCATCACTGATGTCTCAATGATGTTGAATCCAGCGATACCGAACCGATGCAATACAGTCGTCAGAAAACTCCTTCAACAGCAAATCCGGAGATAATCAAACCGAAACCAGTCCTGACAAAGATTGGAGTCGTCACGCCGCTGCAAGACCTAAGATCTGAGCCCGCGTTAATAAACTGTCCGTTCTGTGAAGCAGTAACAACGACCAAAGTACATCACAAGTGGACCGCAGAAACAATGTAAGGTTTGCCGTTTCGCTCGGTTCGGTTTGACTCAATAGTCCCACTGATTATCGGAGGCTAATGTGCGCAATTCTCTCAGCTTCTGGGGATTTGTGTCCATGGCGGTTGCTTATTTCCCCTGGGCTTGTCTTTGCAATTGGTGCTCAGATACGACGCACGAATGCAAGAGCTGTGGTAATGTCGTAGCACGCAAGCCGAAATCGGGACCCTCTGAGATCGCTATGGTTCCGAAGCACACATAGCTGCGCCCTCTTTGACTCTTGGGTGCGCATGGACGCTTAAACACGCTGCTTACAACCACTGTTACTATTCCGAACATATCTGAGTGGCTTTTTCGATAGATACGTTACGAGAATGGCCGATTCTTCGCTGACTGTGGTCTACTTTCCCTCCATCAAAGCCTTCGTGTCGCGTTTGCTGTGGACCCAGCAGTACTTGGATGCTTGAGAACAGGCTTGACAGACCTGTTAGCATCCATCACCTGCTTGTTGTCGATTGGGAATCTGCAAAGTTGGCATTTCGGATTTGCACGCAAGAGAATGCAATAAATGAAACCCATTTTGCACAGCGAGCCATACTGACGCAGTACGGGCGAGGTTCTTATGCGGTCAGGTGACAAGAGCACTTGGAGGTCGTTCCGCAGCGAGCAGTATGAGGCTTTGACTCGTGCTGGTACTCTGACACATCCTTGAGATAATTTCAAATTTCCATGTAGGCTCCTCTGTGCACGTCAAACGCATCGACCCCCTCATACAGCGACCGTCTCTCCAATATCACATAGACCAACACCATTACCCGTCCAATCCGCGCTGCTCCCCTCTCCTTCAACTCCACCGCCCAACCAAAGACCTTCCTTCTCAGCAATCTCTCTCCATCTCCTCGGAGGATCCCGGACGTCCTCGAAGGCTTTGCTGATGCCACCTCTGACTGTTCCATAATGCATGCCCAGCGATCTTTTCGCCTGGACATCCTTGTGTATCGAAAGCGCCTGCTCAGGCGTGACGTGGACTGCGCTCATGAAAGAAGGTGGACTGTAGAGGCCGATGGGAATAAATGCCAAGTCAAAGGGACCTAACGTTGAACCGATCTCCTTGAAAGCAGGACACGGGCTGGGAGCGGTCACGGCCTGATATGCCGTGTCGCCCGCATAGTACAGTCGCCTGTCTCTCTCAGGGTCATCCGGATTCCGGCATTCGATCGAAAAGCCACACCATAATGTCCGTCCCGTGTCCCAAATCGTTCTGCCGGAGCCGTGTTGAGCGGGACAGCCGACGACGTCAATGGAACCGTAGTCCTCGGTTGAGACACGGCAACTCTCCCACCAGTCCAATTCGACGACGTCGTCATCCTGACATCGAATATTCTTGAGAAACCATTTCTTCAACTTCAGAGGAACAACGAATACAACCCGGCCTTTTAGTTTCGCATAGAGTTGCTTCACGGTTTTGATATCCAGATGGTCGTAATGACTATGTGAGATGCAGATGACGTCCACATCGGGCAAGTCCTCCGCGGTGCAGGGAGGCGGTGTGTACCGTTTGGGACCGATCCATGTGAAAGGCGATGTCCTCTCGGCAAAGACGGGATCGAACAGGATTCGCACCCCTCGTGTCGCACCTTTGATGAGTCCAGGGGTTTCTACGAGAAATGAAGAGTGGCCGATCCATGTCGCGCGAAGACGCGTCGAGTCGCCAGAACCCCAAGTAAGTTTAGGAAGAATCCGCACCAGTTCTTCTGATCTGGTTCCATTGGGACCTTGCGGGACAGGAATATTGTTCTTTTCGTCATGAGATCCGAAGCGAAGATAAAGGATCTCGGAGAAGCTGAGTTTCCTTGGCGGCCATGACGGCCACGGATTTTTGAAACCTGAAGGCTTCGAATCGATGTGATGATCTTTGGAATTCGTAGGATTGGGGCTCCGTGATGGAAGTTTGGTGGTGGTGATGGTTCGCGATGAATTCGACATGATTGTTCTTGATATCATCGTTCCACAGGCAGGAAATGAAAAGAGCGTGGAGAACGACGGGCTGACGAATCGCGATGCTGAAGAGCAGAAATTATTGAAAAGAGGCCGGGTCCAAAAAGACATTGAGAAACATTTGAGCTCGGAGAGCTAATTATCGTAAGGATAATCGCATGCTTCCATAGCTGATGTTGGCTGGCTTGGGTTGCGCGTGTCGGTAAGTTGGACCAAGTGCTGCCGACCGCAATGTTGGGGCCGAACGAATGAAGGCGGAGATAAGACGCACATGGGCCACGCGATAACCGTTCAGGAAATCCACCGGCTGCTCCTTGATAATGCACCCCATTGCCAACCTGCGCGTACAGTATTCCAAAGATCAAGAACGGTCCACGAGCAATATGGAATGGTCTACATCAATCGCACTACTGTCACTAGTCTTTACCAATGATGCTTGTCATGGCGGCAGTGAGAGAACCCACAGCTGAAGTGCGGGCAGTCAACTGTTCGCTGTGGTCAGTCTGATGATTCGACGCTCTTCAATACGCGATAATAATATTAGTAATAGAGTCTTTATGCATCGACCATATAAATACATATGCGTAGCTCAGGGTCTCCTGAAGCAACATACTCTAAATCTATAAACTGATAATTCGGGGCAGTCGAGGTCATGTCTCCCTGCTGGACTCGTTCGTCCGTCCGTTCGTTCGTTCTTCCCATACATTCACAATTAACGCGCTTTACCTTCCAGGCCTCGGCATCTGGTGGAGATGTTTCGCGAACGGGGAAACGCGGAGCCTCGCTGAACGCAGACTGCAAAGGCCTGCGCCTAAACGGGCCATTGCAGCGCATGCTATGGCGTGTTGAAGAAGGGAATGACGAAACGAGTGTCTTCGACGTGAACGTCACAACGTCTACTCGGAGTAGTTCTGCTGCACTCAACGTCTACCCTGAGGGGGTCGACCACCCCGAGGAGGCCCTCTCGGTGGCCCTCTAGGAGGCCCTCTCGGTGGACCCTCATCGCCATCTGAACGTGTTGAGCCGATTCGTAGACCAGGTACACCCTTCAAGCCCATCATTGCCACGGTTCTCTTCTCTAGCATCGGCGGCTCTGGACATCCCATACTTTTCGCATAGCGGTTGGCCATCTCTACTAGACCTGGAGCTTGGAGTTGGAGCTTCTTCATGAAGGTCTTGTTGTAGCCGAGGAAAGCACGGTAGGCGTGCTCCTTGGAGATCACGGGCACCTTCTGCATCGCTTCGTCAATGGTCGCTTGGTGAGCTTGAGTGGAGGGAGATGATAGTGAAGCGATCGTTGCCTCGGACGGGTATGGTTTTATCGTCAGATCCTTGTTCGTGTGAAGGAAGAATGACTCGTTATTCGTGAGGATGACTACTGCACGACCATCTTTTCCGGCACGAGCAGTTCGCCCAACACGGTGCACATACTGGTCTTTGTCAGAAGGAAGTCCGACCTGGATGACCGACGAGACGTTGGGGAAGTCAATGCCTCGTCCGACGACATCTGAAGCAAAGAGAACGCCATTCTCGGTGTCTTTGAACTCGGTTGTAATGCGAGTACGAGCATTTTGTGACATCCGACTGTGCAACTCAAAGACTTTCGTGTGAGGCAGTGCTTCTTTGAACAAGTCATGAAGCAGACCGACACCATTCGCGGTCGTGCCAAACACGATGATTTTGGCCTTCTGAAGATCTTGCGCTTGCTCTTCTTTGATCACCGCAAGCAGTGCCGCATACATGTCCGGCACGTCATTCACCACAACTGAGAATTGTGGGACACGCTCGTGCGTCGGGACCTCATTGGGATCCACGGTAGAAAGCATGGTAAAGCCAGGCTTGAGAACGCACTTGGCAACGTCCATCACATCTTTGGTCATGGTAGCCGAAAAGCACATGCCCTGCCAGCCGGTGTTCTTGGGAGGAAGGCGAGTGAGGACACGCTTAACTGTAGGCGCGAAACCCTGGTCAAGCATACGATCGGCTTCATCTAGAATGACAGTCTGGAGGCCAGTCATCTTTATGCGTACCTCTTCCTCGTTCAGGATGTCGTCCAATCGCCCAGGTGTTGCAACCAAAATGGTCGGGTCTCCGTTGAGGAATCTCTTCAGATGAGCAGGACGGCTTGTTCCGCCAAACGCAGTGTGACACTCCAATTTTCGGGGCAGACACGCCGTGACCCCTTCCGCCTCTTTCGCAATTTGTTGCGCCAATTCTCGGGTGGGACAGATAACGAGAATTCCGACATTGCCTCGTCGCGGCATGTTACCGGCCAGGAGATTCTGGATAGCAGGCAGTAAGAATGCGACGGTCTTGCCGGTACCGGTCTTGGCCTGTACTATGCAATCCGCCGTACGTGATGGTAGCTCTGTTAGGACCTTCTGTTGGACAGGCGACATGTATCTGGAGAAAAGTCAATCGTGGTTTTCGACAAGTCCGGCTCATCAAGTAGAACCTACTGGAATCCCAGTTGGTTGAGACCCTTCAACAAATTGTCGTCCAGTTGACCTTGCATGTCAGAGAATGGTCTGGCTGCTGCATCGCCGGCTGCTGTTGCATACAAGGCCTTGACGTCCATCGGCAACGGAGCTTGAGACGACTGTTCGGTGATCTGCGAGCGTTTCGGCTGCTGTTCTGCGATTGTCGATTGATTACGATCTTGACCGCCTCCAGGTGCACCGCCTCTTCGAGGTCGGTTGAATTGGCGTCTGGGTGCAGGTGGCATTTTCGCAAAAGAAAGGCGCCTGTGACTCTCAGAACAAGTGAGACGCAATTGGTCGGTAAATCGTGATGTCGCAGCTTGAGAAAGTGGGCTCGTTACAAAAGATGTGATTTTGGTCGATCGCCGTAGCACGTTGGATAACATTGAAAAAGTTGAGAAAAAGTGAGATGCAATTCCGAGCGAAGATACTAGGCATACAACTCCTCGATCTGTGAGCCTTGGAATTTCATGTGAACGCTCATTGCGGCCTAGTCGTCATATCATTATTTGCTGAACTGCGCCCTCAAATTTCAGGGCACGATTTGGAGTTGATTCCGGCCCAAGGAGCCTCCGCCGCCGCGGGATTAGTCAGGTGAACCGTTTTCCGTAGGCATCACCAACCCCGAGCGTTTCTCGTGACATGCGCGACAAGAGAAAGCCTGTCTTCAGTCTATTCAATCGCCAAAGGTTCTCTTGGTACTCTACTTTCTACTCTCAGGATTGAAGGGGTCCCATGCATACTTGACGTGTACCAAATCATCGATGATCCGGCGAAGGTTGTTAGCTGAACTGCGCCCATGAAATGTAAACTGATCGACACAAGACCCCTCGAGAAATAGATTGTTCTTCGATTTCCGACTGCTGACGAAACAATCCTACCATCCAGGAACTTCCTTCACTCTGAGCCACATTCCCTAGCAGAGCCATTGTTAGTAAATGTTGTATAAGCAGTAGAGGTGAAGAACAACATCCGGCTTACCTTCTGTGCTTTGGTCGTGACCACTCCGGCGGGGGTGTATTGTCCACCTTCTTCACTCCTTGCAAGCTCGAATTGGAACTTCCCGACGAGCGTAGCACAGAGACACTTCAACTCGCTTGCAGCAAAATCTTGACCAATGCAGCTTCGTGGACCATGTAAGAACGTGATCTGGCTGTAATTGCTTGTTGCTCCACCTGTCTTGTTTGCCGTCCCGTCAGCGCTAATCCAGCGTTCCGGGAGGAACTCCTCGGCAGTCGGGCCCCAATGCTTCTTCGAGCGGTTGACCGCCCACGGCGACAAGACCACAAACGTGTCCTTGGGAATGTGGACGTCGTTGATTCGCGTATCTCTGACAGATATTCGACCAGTGACAGGTACTGTCGGATAGAGACGCAGAGTCTCTTGGCAGATGGCTGCAAGCAAGGGGAGATGATCAATATCTGCAGCAGTAATGGCACTGCTGCCAGTAGATGGGTCAGGTAATGTCGCACGAATCTCTGCGCGCAATCTAGTCTGGTACTCGGGATACTTGGAGAGAAGATAGAGAACCCAAGATAACGCAGATGATGTTGTCTCATGACCGGCAGCCAACATTGTCAGAGTCTGGTTCGCCAGGTCCTCGTCGGAAAAATCGTTGGATTTGATCAGAAGGGATAGAATGTCATCCATCGAGTCGGCGTATTTAGCATCCTTCTTGAAGGCTGCGCGACGATCACGGAGCAGCTCCGTAGCAAATTTGATGAGGTCGGATTGGATTGAGTTGATGCGTCGAGTAAGGTACCAGGGTATACGAGATATAATCCACTCTGGGATAATGACTGTGTGGAGCGGTCAATGTTCAGAGTCCGCCCGAGCCCACTGCTTGTTAAAGACCTACTGTTTGCGATAAACCAGGCTGCCTTTTCTGGGGCGGGTTCAACCAGCCAATTGTACTTCTGCACCAGCTCATCGTCGGGATTGCGAAGAGCACCAAAGTCGAAGCCAAAACCCGCAATGCTGTCCAAACGTTAAATAATCATCGTGGACAAATTTCAGAGCCGAACATACCCGATGATGTCTAGAGTAGCACGAGTCGCAAAGGCGCCGATCTCTACCTCAAATGACTTCTTGTCAGATTTCGCTGGCAGAACGATCGGCCCTTCTTTGATGAGTGTGGCATTCAGTTCACATCCCTTCCTCCAGAAAACAGGATAAAGGCTCTTGATATGATTAATCCGAAATGAAGGGAGAAGATCTAGGTATAGAGTCAGTGACAGGGGTCGTCCGAAACGTCAGAATACGGTACCTACGCTTTCGCTGAAATTTATGAATGTCTCCTTCAACCAGGATGAGACCGAGCTCTCCGATCACTTTACCCAGCACCCGGATCAACTCCGGGGGCTTCTCCCAATCGTACGTGTTGTCAGAAAGCACTGACTTGAGACTTTCGTGCGATGTTGCGATCACCTGGCTGACGTTGAATAGGGTTCTGTACCGGAGCAAGCCATCATTCGGTATCGCATTTATCCATTCCTTGAACGCATTGCCTGGCGGGGTCTGGAGCTCATTTAAGAACTCTCCGATGATGTAATTGGAGCCCTTGGGTCCGGGGAGATGTCGAAGAGGATGTAGAAAAAGCCTCTGGATGAAAACGTAGTATAGCCAGAAGAGAGGAAAGTTCAAGACGAAGCAGCAGACGGCGACCACGCTACGGCTCTGGAAAAGACGATCCGGAATGGTCAGGGCCAGCACGTACGTTTCGATGGCAGACAGCACCAAGGACACGAGTGCGAGCGGAGGAGACGACATGGTTCTCGTCAACGGCAGACCAGAGTCGGTGTCGGGCTACGGGTGCCAACTCTGATGTTGTGCGATATGTGGTATGGTGGGAACGGAAGGGTTATCGCACTTGTCATTGGCGGAGTCAGTCTCGTCTTTTATGTCGCTGCATGCTATAACGAAAGAATCAATGATGATGAGAGGAGGATCAATGGAAAATCAAACCACCACACTGAGCTCTGCGGCTCGTTTTCGCATTTTTAGGCACCTGTATACATACTGTACATGCATGTCAAATTCTGTGGCGTTTTCGAGCGTCCGGCATCCCAGTTTCCCCCAGTGTTTACAGCCGTGGAAGGTACCTAGGTACATATTATTATGACTGGATATTAACATCGTCGAGTGCAGCAGTGCTTGTCAGGTGGTGATTGTCCATACTATCGCATCTAGTAATGTCAACTGTACGCAACGCATGACGGTACGAGTGCACGAGGTGAACTCCGCTGCAGAAATCATAGCAGCCTGATGACACGAGCAGGTCCAATGTCTCGAGGCGCTGGTGGGGGTCAGCATACCCGTTCGTCTACCCTTTATTATACTTAACCCAAACATCTTAGCCACAATGCTCATTGATGTATTGTGTCAAGGTGTACTGTACGTCTGCCATCCTGGTGCACACACACACACACACACAAATCAATCCACACCTGGGCAGAGGAAACAGCTGGGAGTCCGCTGCTTCGGCGAGAAAGTGGATGACGTCACATAGACTGCAAATTGCACAGCACGACGGTATACTGTGCCCAGCAGGTGTAGTGTACCGACACTCGACTGTGGACAGGAAAGAATTGTTGCAGTATTAGAATCAAAGCCTCATTTGGCGCTCGGGGACATGCAACCTTCCTTCTCGCTGTCGTCTCCTCACAAGAAACGCTCGAGGTCTACATACTCGCGGAGATCTTGCGCGACCAATGGATCGGAAGCTGTCATCAATCGTGTTTCATTCAAAGCTACAGCAGCTCATCTAATAGGTGGTACCATCCTTCCTGATGCCGTGCTTCGGCTTATTACTCTTGACCGCACCATTACCATTAGTGTGCGGGTGGGAGTGGCCGTTGTGTGAATGTCCATGATGGTCGTGATCCATCTCGTCGCCCTCCTCCTCGGGCTCGTCCCAGTCTGGGAAGCCATCATCAAAGAGATCGGCTAGCTTCTTCTCCTTGGCCGCTTGCTCGGCCTTTTCCATCTTGTTGGGACCTCCGGGGCCCTTGAGCATCACATTCTGCCAACTCCTCCACTCCTCATCTGTGAGCAGACAAGCATCTAGGGTCGCCTCGATACCAGGGATATCTAGGTTTTCACCGATGAAGACAAGCTCCTGTCGGCGATCACCCCATTTGCCGCCTGCAGCGAGGTCGTGCTCGACAAGCTCGTCGATATCCTGGTTACCCGTCTCCCACTCGCTGCGGTCAATACAGACGAACCATGGACGACCTCCAGCGAGTGTCAGCATTGCGCCGGCCTGCGACCATTCGCCTGCGCGGCCGGGCCGGGTGGCAAGCCAGTACTCGCCCTTGGATCTGAAAAGGCGAGAGAACAAGGGGTGAGCGCGCTTGGCAGCAAGAATGACAGATGGGTCCGGGATCTCCAGGGGGTCCTCTTCAATCTCATCGGCGTCTTCCTCGTCTTCTTCTTCTTCATCAGATTCGTCAACGTCTTCCATTTCTTCGTCAGCGTCATCTTCATCCTCTCCATCTTCATCCTCCATTGGGTGTTGAAGGATGAATTTGTCATGCAGCAAAGCAAACAAGCGACGGGGATGGAAGGGCCGATGGCGGACGTAGACGAAGTTGCGAACGTTGTATCTTATCGATCTTGTCAGTCAAGTTGGCTTCATGGTGGATTTATTGGGACTCACTCTTCAGTCTCTGGCTTGGGTGTCACCATCTTCCTTCCGTTGACCTCTCGAATGGTCATGGCATGCAAGTCCTGCAACCAGCCATAGCCAGTCTGAGCAACGTCGAGGTTGAACATTCCAGTATTGACAATCTCTTGAACATTGATCTTGCCGTAGCTACTCTCGATGATCTTGGCGCGGTGGTTCAGCTTCCTGATCAAGTCGAGGATACTGTCCTTTGTCTTCTTGGAAACCATGTCAATCTTGTTCAGGACAATCACGTCAGCGAACTCGATCTGATCGACCATTAGATCCGATACAGTCCGCTCATCTTCCGCAACGACATCATCACGGCGGGAAGATAAAAGGTCTGTGGTCTCGAAGTCGTGGTACATGGTAAAGGCATCGATAACAGTGCAGGTGGTGTCCAGTTTGGCGAACTTCTCCAGTCCACCGGCTTCTTTGATTCTTTTCAGAGCGGCGAGGGTGCCCTCATCAAGCCCTTCTGGACCGTCGCCCAGCTCGCTAATTTGCTCGGCCAAACGTGCATCGAAGGTCTCGGCAACTTGTTCAGGTTCACTGATACCACTGCTCTCGACGATGATGTAGTCGAACTCAGCAAGCTCTGCCAGACGAACAAGTTCTTCGAGAAGATCGCCACGAAGTGTGCAGCAGATGCAACCGTTTTGAAGAGCGATGACTTTCTCCTCGGTCTTGGTGAGACGATGTGTGCTGCGGATGAGGTTGGCGTCGACATTGACTCTGCGAAGTTTATCAGCATTGAACGGACCTCTTTCGGCATGATGCTTTGCATACTCTCCAATGTCATTGACGATCACGGCAATCTTTAGGCCATGCTCGCTTCGAAGAATGTGCTGAAGTAGAGTGGTTTTACCACTTCCCTGTTCATCCAGCAAGATCAGTATCTCTGATTGGATCAGTCATCGTCGCAACCCACCAGAAAGCCAGACAACAAGGTGACAGGCAATGCCTTGACTGGCACCTTGGAGCCGGCCTTTGCGATGCCAGATTTGGACTTGTTTGAAGCCTTTGGTTTGGCCATAATGATCGTTCAATTTGGATATGCGAATAATTTTCGAAAGCATCTCAAACATCCAATATTCGATATCGACTTTTTGTGCGTCGACAAGTACATCATCCCGATAATCAAAAGCACCATGATGGCTCTGACTTTGATGGCCCGTCAGATATGATGTAGTGGTGTACAACAGGTGTGGTCGACAAAGACGGAAACCGGAAAGACTATCTCCCCCTTGGTCACATAATTTTCAGGGCAGAAAGGCAAGCCAATAAGGAGCAGACCACCGGTACAGCGACGGCAAGTCTTCGTGCAAATCTTCTCATCTTTCACGGTCAAAATCTTTCCTCCTCACGATATGGGAAGATCACTAATCTCACACGGAAGGAGTGCTCCGATGACTTATCCTCACGATCATGAATCAGGTAAGATCATATGTCTTCGGGTCATGTCAATTGCATCCGCAGGCGTCCAATTCTCACGACAAATCCCGGTCTTTCTGCCTCCGACATTGTGCGAGGATTATTCACCTCGCGGCATGTCGCAATAAAACCATCCAGGTGGAAGTCATGTCTGTATACGATGTGGTCGAAAGTCGGACTGGTCGAGCTAATATAGCCAATCAGAGACCTGCGATTACGCGGGCTGACCCGACTTTTTGGCTGGCATTGCATTGGTCGGCCGCTTCGACACGCTAAGTTTTCACTATGGCAGTTGCCGCAGCCATTGATTATGGGCATCGCTTTAATAAAATATGCATGTCTTTGAGGGGGGCACGTGAGTGCATTTCTTCGCGTCGATCGCGAAGAGAGAGAGGGAGTCTCCACAATGTTACTGTTACGGTCCAGTGAATTGAGAACGTACAGTACTCGATATCAGAACGAACACCACTAGTTCTTACCGCATAGCGTTCTTCAGTGTCACCCAGAAGCTTCCTCACGCTCGGGCATATGAATGGAATCCATTGAAGCCTGGCGCTGATAGATCTGCCCGCACTCTGGAAGTCGGCGGGGAAGAAGCTCATGCAAAGATTCGTAGCTACTGGTCGTGGAGTACCATATCGTTCTGCAGATACTCAGTACAAGGTGGATGAGGATCATCAAATGACAGTGGTAGCATTCCCAGATATATGCGCCGAAACTCCTTCACAGCATCGTGGATATAGTACAGTGCTCTTTCGAATATAACACAGATGGTGGAAGATGTCGTTCTAATGCTGTTGTCGATGGGCTCTGCAAGCTCGATTCTTCATTTCTTCTTCTTTGCTCCGCGTTTCGCCTCTACATTCGGTTGTTAGCTCTCTGCTTCATGTCACCTTTTACGACACTTCAACGATGTCCTACCAGCAGGTGCACTCAATTTCTTCGGCGCTCCCTTGCCTCTCGCCTTGAGCAATTGGATGTGTTCTAATCGATCCTCCTCCTTCTCATCGTAAAGCTCGAATCCGGGGTACAAATTCTTCAGATCCTTGAATGTCACGACCCGGCGGGGATAATATGATGCGAGAGCAGAACCGCGTAGCTTTTGGCGAAGGACCTTGTTGCCGAGACGTTCATTTTTGGGATTGAATACGGTGCCGAAGATTGCGCATCGGACCTTGGGCTGGGTTAGTGTTGCGCATACGCAGCGATTGAATCATCCCCGCGTACCTTGACAAGGTCCAAGACCCGTTTCGGCGAAACCAACGCCATGATGGATGCTGGAGTGATGTCCTATCGCGCAACGCATGTTCGATGTCCTGACGCTGGTCATGATGCGGGCTCGGGGATGCCCGGTTGAACTTCGGCACTACTTCCGGCTCACAGAACTCACTCGCTTTTCAGCGACGATTGCCAATCTCTGGACCTCATATCAATCAGATTTGCATCCAGAATCAACATACGCAGCTCATCTCCACAGTGCAGAAAACTTTCAATTGTAGTCACACCTGCAGTGCTGAGGAGAGCTCGCGGCTCAAGTCATCGCATTGCAAAATGTCGAAGCGCAATTTCGAAGGATCTCGTGGCGGCACCGCCTCGAAAAAGCATCAAGTACAACATCCACGCAACATAACCTCTTCGCCGGTGACAGGCCCGGTGGGCCCACAAGCTGTACCACTGCCATCAAAATTGCCCCAGCTTCCTATCATCTCTTCGGCATCCCTCAAAGATGCCCCGTTCCGTCATAGTTCAACTATACATGGCACGCGTGATGCACAGTCACAAAGCTACGATCAGCTCGAGTTTCTGGGCGATGCGTATTTAGAAGTATTCGCTACCCGGCTCATCTTTAATCAATATTCGCATCTTCCTGCTGGGCAGATGAGCCAGTTGCGCGAGCAGCTGGTCAAGAACGAAACGCTTGCTGGGTACAGTATGGCATACGGTTTTGACACAAAAGTCAACATCGCCGATGCCGAGCGTGAGAGAATGAAGGAAGGGTCCCGTGACCGTGGCAATAAAGGGTTTAATAAAATCCTGGGCGATGTTTGGGAGGCGTACATTGCGGCGGTCGTGCTGGATGATCCCAAGAATGGTGAGAAAATGGCAGAAAAATGGATGTGCGAGCTCTGGCTACCCAAAGTGCTCGCAACTGTCAAGGTGAGTCACAGTAACCACAAAGTCATCACCAAGGAAGACAGCAGCCTTCAGCCGGCGACATCTCCAATGAATGATCCACGCCATGTGTATGATTCAACGGCAAAGGCTCAGTTACAAAAGCGCATCGCTTCCAATGAGACGCGGCTCGATTATGAACCATACAAGGCCCCAATAGAACTCAAAGGCACTCAGATTGGCCAGAGTCGACACTTCATCGCCCTCTACTACACCGGTTTCGGGTACCAGCGTGAACTTCTCGGAAAGGGTGAAGGCAAGAATAAAGTGGAAGCGGGTAATTGGGCTGCGTTAGAAGCAATGTATGGAGACAAGAAGTCGCTGGTGGATCGGTGTGAGTCTAAGCTAAAGGAAGCGAAAGAAGCGAGACGGCGACGTATTGAGCAAGAGAATGCAGCGGCGACTTAGGACTCTGGCACTCTGTGTGGACCAAAGGCTCTCACATATCAGCTTGTTCATTATCCAAATGTCGATCAAAATGATTCATGTTCAAAAGAATGCAGGCCAGCATGGAAAAGCCTCGACGATGTGATTCACAGCCACACTGTGCAGAATTGCTGGTCTTTCCGCACACTCTCGAGCAATGTGTTGGCAACATTTATAAAGTTAATTATGAGATTTACTTCCGAGAAGCACGTCGCTTGGACTTCACCATCTGCGAGACTTTACGGCACAATAGGGACCTCTCAATCGCGTGAATGTTCACCACGCGTCTCGTTAAAACGCGCACATCAAATAACCCCAACATGAACCCTAACGAGGGTCTACTCCAGCTGCCCTTGCGTCCTCCAGTCTCTTTGTTCACACAATACTTTCGATAAGAACAACCTTGAAACGGCGTGGTCCGCACACCTTAAACGCTTCCAAAATTGCCCGCTCGACAATCCATTCGCAAAGCTTGCCCAGACTTTGGCCGAGGTCAACGATGATATCGTGGCGAGAATATTCGCTATCGCCCACCGCTCAGCTGCCGTGATCTGTAATCATGATTGAATGGCCCGTGAGGTATGTACAATTGAACGCCCGATCTGACTATTCAAACGGCATTACGGTATATCGCCGTGCTTGAGAATCTGTGATACGCCATTCCAAGACATGTATGGTTCCTCACCACCTTGGAAAGATATCACTAGCTTGTCGGAGATCCATTGATGCTTACCCGAACAGGAATGTCCATGCGGTTGTGCTAACAACATGAAACTGTAATATTCCTGCATGTCATGCGGCCTCACGATGTTCTCCCCGGTGCAGGATCTCTCATCGTTGAATGCAGCGATGTGACTACGACGGACTATCCGTATGGAAGAAGAACATATGTCTGCACAGAGAGAGAGGAGGTCCTCTTAAAATCATAGTATCCCGCGAGGGTCGAGAAGTCCATGAAAAATCATCAAATTTCTGGTATAGCCGCCGAAACCAGACACACGCCATGGTAGAAAGAACATCGTGAGATCTCGGGAGAGGATTCGCGGGAGTTTGGAATTTGGAGGAGACGCGCGAGAAAGAGACACCACTAGCGTGCCTCGGCGCGGGAGATGCGGGCAAGCTTGCCATCAAACAGACACACACGCCTGTAGGGAAGATCGCAGAGGGGCGATTTGTACAATGTTTATCGATAGGTCTCGCATGGAAACGACCCCTCAGCCCGCCAAATGAATACACTCGTTAATCGCTGCGTGAGGTCGCGCATCCTTTCTTCTTCACGTCCTCTCTATTCCTCGTATCGAACTTTTGCAAAAATGGCCGCAACAAACGCCCAGGATGCTCTTTCGGCTGTATGTATCGTTCAAGTCCTGCGATGCTCGAGGAAGCACGAGGCTAACATTAGCCATAGTTGAAAGACCGAAGCCTCTTCATCGAAGAAGCCTACATCAACGGCAAATGGGACAAGAAGGCGAAGACCTTTGATGTGTTTGGTAAATCGATCCCTTTACCGATAACATTTCAATGCAATCACTCACATCTTGCTTATAGAGCCGTCCACTGCCACTGTCCTTGGCAAGGTCGCCAACTGTGAAGTCCAGGACTTCCACGACGCCATTGCCGCCGCCGATGTCGCTCAGCGAGACTTCGAGGAGAACACTACCGCCGCACAACGAGGAGCCATTCTACGAAAATGGAACGACTTGATCCTTGCTAACCTCGACGACCGTGAGTAAACTGCACATCAGAAGAGCGGTACCAGAACGGACATATCTGACAGGCTTTCCATAGTGGGCACGATTCTTTCTCTGGAGAACGGCAAGACCATTGCAGAGGCCAAGGGAGAGGTCACATATGCTGCCTCCTTCATCGCATGGTTTGCGGAGGAAGCCACCCGAAGCTACGGTTACACCATTCCCTCATCAACTCCCCACACCAACGTCTACACCACCAAGGAGGCCGTTGGTGTTTGCGGAATCATCACACCATGGAACTTTCCCGCTGCCATGATCACTCGCAAGGTCGCTCCCGCCATCGCGGCTGGCTGCTCTGTTGTCATCAAGCCCCCGAGTGAGACTCCCTACTCAGCGCTCGCGCTTGCGAAGCTCGGTGAGCTGGCCGGTATTCCTGCCGGTTTGGTGAACGTTCTCCCTACTCGCGATCGCCAGGCCGCAACCGAGCTCGCTACTCACCCTACCGTGCGCAAGATCAGCTTCACCGGATCGACTGGTGTCGGAAAGATGTTGGCTAAGCTTGCCGCTGGTACATTGAAGAAGGTTTCGCTCGAACTTGGAGGTAACGCTCCGTTCATCGTTTTTGACGACGCCGACCTCGACCTCGTCATTGAGGGTGTCATGATCTCTAAATTCCGCTGCTCCGGACAAACCTGCGTGTGGTAAGTGCTCACAATCATGATATGTAAGATTTCGACAGGTTTGCTGACAGTGTACCACAGCGCGAACCGTCTCCTTGTACAAAAGGGCATTGCTCCCGAATTCAACCGCCGTCTTGTCGAAGCTGTCTCAAAGCTGAAGATGGGATTTGGACTCGACTCCGCTACGACCCAAGGACCCCTGGTCAACAAGTCTGCTGTCGACAAGGTCAACCAACACATCGAGGACGCCGTCAGCAAGGGTGCTAAGATTGAGTTTGGAGGCAAGAACGACGAGAACCAGAAGGGTTTCTTTGCCATTCCCACCGTTCTCTCCGGTGTCACACCTCAAATGTTGGTCGCCAACGACGAGACTTTCGGCCCGCTCGCACCCATCTTCGAGTTCGAGACGGAAGAGGATGCTCTCAAGCTCGCCAACGACACCGAGTTCGGTCTGGCTGGTTACTTCTTCAGCCGGAACGTCGGTCGATGCCTGCGCGTTGCACGGAAACTGCAGGTGGGAATGGTCGGTGTCAATACTGGCAAGATTTCTGCTGCAGAGGCTCCGTTTGGTGGTGTCAAGGAGAGTGGATACGGTCGTGAGGGCAGTCTTTTCGGTATTGAGGAATACCAGGTCATCAAGAGTGTGACCGTCGGCAACCTCAACAAATAGATTATTGCATATTTTCTCTGATTTACGGCGGACAAACAGAGTGAAATCATCTAATGCGACCAATTCCACACTTCGTACGAGCAAGCCTAGAATCGGGCTCGCATTTGCAGGAGGTACGTTTGAATGACTATTACGAGCAAAAGGTGGTGGTGTCGGTACTGCGTCGGGCACCCAGTCATGGCAATAGCCTCTCATGCCTGAGGCATGAACGTCTCCCACTCCGCGGGGCATAGTGGCGCTCTATCGATAAAGGCCGCGTTTCTAGTGTAAATTCGTCATACTGTCTTCGTCAGAAATAATCCTGCGCACGTGAAGCGACTCATATCGCCCGCACAAGCGGATCACCACCACAATAACAATACATCTCAAATCGATTGCATCGATCAGCCAAAATGGTTCTCGCCAAGAGCAAGAATGCCGTCGGGCTGGGCAACAGCCTGATGAATGACCGTTTCGGCAAAGGCAAGAACAGTGACATGCACCGAGGGAGCGCACAACCAGGAGCGATCAAGCGACGAGACCAAGAAGGAAATGAGTACATCACCAACGCAAAACAAGATGCGGACTGGGTCAAAATGCGAAGTATCACAGAACAAGGTGCCCTGGACGAGTTCCTCAGCACTGCGGAATTGGCAGGAACGGACTTTACCGCGGAGAAGATGAACAACGTCAAGATCATTCATACCGATCAGAAGAACCCATATCTGTTATCAGCAGCAGAGGAGAGAGGGGTCGTGAAAAAGCAGAACGCAAAGAGGGCACGCCTGACCGTACCGAGACGACCCGCATGGGACAAAGACACCACCCCGAGAGAATTAGACGAGAGGGAGCGACAAAGTCTGTTAGACTGGCGGAGAGGACTCGCTGAGCTCCAAGAGGTGGATGACTTGCTTATGACCCCATTCGAGCGCAATCTCGAGGTTTGGCGACAGCTTTGGCGTGTCATTGAGCGATCTGATCTAGTGGTACAAATCGTCGACGCAAGAAATCCTCTGCTATATCGCTGCGAGGATTTGGAGAAGTATGTGAAGGAGGTCGATGGTGGGAAGAAGAGGAATTTGTTGCTTGTCAACAAGGCGGATATGATGACGCTGAAACAGCGACAGAAATGGGCCGAGTTTTTCAATGAAAAAGGGATTGCGTTCAGATTCTTCTCGGCTGAGTTGGCCAAAGAAATGAACGAGGCGCGTGAGGATTTTGACGACGAGGAGGATGGCGAGCGGGGAAGACAACTGAACGGCGAACATGCACATGCCGAGGATGACGACGAAGGCGACGAGGAGGAGGAAGACGACGAGAGCGACGAAGACGACGGACAGCTCGATGAGGATGACGTCGAAGAAGAGATCGATTTGAACGAAGCCACTTCGAAAAGATTAAGCAAGTCAACAGCTCGAGACGACACGGACGATGATTGGGAGGCAGATGAAGAGGGTGACGAGAATGCTGCTCAAGACCAAGCACAACCGCCCTCAGCACCACCAGTCCTTTCGGTCGAAGAACAGACCAGGATCCTTACCACTGAGGATCTCGAAGCTCTGTTCTTGGAGCACTCGCCCTCAACACCAAAATCAAAAGATCCGGATGCGCCAAAGAGAAAGACGCAAATCGGTCTTGTCGGATACCCCAATGTCGGTAAATCATCCACCATCAACGCTTTACTTGGTGCCAAGAAGGTCAGTGTCTCTGCTACGCCAGGTAAAACAAAGCACTTTCAAACGATTCACCTTTCACCGCGAGTCGTGCTTTGCGATTGTCCCGGTCTTGTGTTTCCCAACTTCGCCACCACCAAAGCAGAGTTGGTCTGCGCTGGTGTTCTGCCTATCGACCAGTTACGAGAGCACACCGGGCCCGCTGCACTCGTCGCACAGCGCATTCCAAAGCCTTTCCTGGAAGCCCTTTACGGCATGAAGATTCTCATCCGGCCAATCGAAGAAGGTGGCACGGGTTCTGCGACCGGTTCAGAGGTACTTCGGGCATATGCGAAAGCCCGTGGCTTCTTCACACAAGGTCTCGGCCAGCCGGACGAGAGCCGAGCTGCACGATATGTGCTCAAGGATTACGTCAAGGGAAAACTTCTCTTCTGTCACCCACCACCAATTGAACCATCCATTGAGCCGAAAGAATTCAACCGCGAGCTCTACGACGTGGCACATCTCCCACCGAAGCGACAAGCTCAGATAGCAGCCGCTGCTGCAGCCGCAGGTATTCCCGCGGATGACATTTCTCTTCTCTCAGGAAATCTCGACTTTCTGTCGCTAGGTGGCACTTCGGGACGCAAGGGTGCTGATATGGACAAAGCTTTTTTCGCGCCCGGCCAAGGACGGGGAACAGTCAATCAGCCATTCCACTACAAGTACTCGGAGCAAGGCGTCGTCGCGGCGGGAGCAGGTGGTAAGCCGCTTTCTGGCAGAAAGCTGAAGACTATGACGGCGTTGGAGCGGGATATTGACCCTGCGGAAGTGGCGAATAAGAACAGGAAGAAGCACTTCAAGGGCAACAAGAGAGCTCTGAAGCAGGTGCGGGAGAAAGTTGGTGGTGTTGCTTATGATGACTGAAGAGCGCAGAATTTTAGTATTGCTGATGGTAACGTTCCTCAATCTATCAATTCGAGGAGTCAACTAGACGAGCTTTAACATCCCGGCCGTGAGGTCGTCTTTGACCGTGTCCTGGTTGACTTGGCACATGAGATCTGCCAAGAATTCTCTAAGTTAGCAAGTTTCATTTGACTTTCGGTCCTCGAAGCGGATGATTTCAAGCAGGCAAACTTACAAGTTGAGCCTACGATACTCCATCCACTCTCTCCTTGTGGTCGAAGAACGTATGTTTCTGTTGAGCCCTTGAACCACGCCACGCTGTCCCCCAATTGCGCATACTCAGGTATTAAGCAAGTCAACCCTTGTGTTGTCATGGCCGCCCTCCTTCCAATAGCCATGCGACGGAAATGGCCCAGACCTTTGGGTTCACTCAGAGATACGTCTTCGTTGACCATCAACTCAGTGACACCTGAGTCATCTTCGATCCCGAGTAGAGTATCTCGAACACGCTGGAACGTCGGATCGTCCTTCAACGCGCGGTCTTTCATCGGCGTATAGCGGCTCTCCCTCGCCTCTGGACCACGCGCCGAAGTATCCCATTGCGGATTCAGACAGAGACTCTTCTTGAAGACATCTTCATCGTAGCAGGAATTGATGAACAAGATTGATCGCCAATCCACGCCGGTGAGATCGGTCTCATCGAGCAGCTCTCTCCTCCGATCATGAGAGAAGGTCCACCACGTATCAATGAGATTGCGAAGTGTGCTATGGTCGGCGTTGTTGTGTTGCACGTATGCTGTGTCTATGCGATCTATTTCATCCAGGACCACGCCATGAACGGCCAGTGAGCGGGAGGTGGCGAAATGCTCGATGATGGGTACGCCTGCTCGGAAATCATGCTTTCGAAGACTGCATTGGGGGCTCAAGAATGGCCAGATTGGGTGCGCGATCCAGGGTTGGTTGAAGTCGGGGATCCATGATGGCCTGTCGAGAGGCATCTCTTCGTTCTGGCACGCAGCTAAGAAATTCAAATCCGAAGAGAACAGTGGAAGGAGGACTGCTACATATGCTTCGAATTTATCAATCCGATAGTCGGCCTTCGTGGGTATCTCGTCCGGATTGGTCATGGGGAGCATAGCATACACTTTATCCCTGGCGTCGGTGGCGAGACAGTCTCTGGTATGACAGGCTAGATCTGTAAATGCAATATATTTCTGACCTCGCGCTGTCGCGGCTCGCACTTCGTCAAGCGCCATTGCGTTTTGGAAACAAGATACGGTCGGCGAATGTGCCAACGCTTTACCTGCCTGTGCACTTTCTATAGCAAGATCGTCAGAGAAAAAGCTTAGCGTACTCGCCGTCCTCATCAACTCTTCCCAAGTGCACTGCTGACTTCCGCAATTAATCATCACAGCGGATGGCAATGCAATCTCTTGTCGTACCCATACCCGTGAAAACCAGGGACGGTTAAACAGGGACAACAGTGCCTGGAAATTCTCGCGCTTCTCTTCATTCGAGGAGGCTTCCCATTTGTCTGGCAGGCGGATATCGGGCATACCAGGTCCCGCTGGGCGATGTGTCTGACCAGGCTTTCTGATGTACTTCCATGAGAGGATATCCTCATAGCTCGTGGGTCGGTACGCAACATGATGCACGAGACGCATCGCTTTCGTTGTGGTGTCATCTTCGTCGCCCAGCCACACGTGGACCAGCTCCGCGCTGCGATACAAGCGAGTCATAAGAGAGACTTGATGGCTGCGCTCGTCAAGGTCTTGCTGGTTGACACATATAGCATCAATCCACCAAAAGGTCTCGCTTGAATTTGATGACTCTGAGAAGAAGTCTTTCTTGATCAGATTACTCTGCAGCTTGCGCAAACATGTCATTGCCCTGTGGAGTTGCGCCGTCACTGGTAAATGCGCGCCGTTTATATAGATGCGTTTAGTTTGTGCTGGCTCGCCCCAGGTGTAAGATAGAGGAGTGAATTCATGCTCGGGCTTGCGCGGGCTGTGTCCCTCTTGTATATCGTCCAGGTTAATTGAGACCAAACGACATTCGATCGGGTCATCCTCGCGTACGCTTTTCTTCAAAGCAAGTATGCGTACGAGTGGCCGATCCTTGTCAAGCTGCGTGTATACAAAAGATGTGGTGGAATGTACGTCGAGCAAGGGCACTGATGGAGCTTCATCGTCCGCCGGAGCAACCTCATCAGAAGGCGCGCTTGACCTCGTATCCACCACCGGAGGCGCACCCGAAGCGTCTGAAGGTCCCGGAGGCTTGATCTGCCTTGTTACGAGGGTCTGAATATCAAGAGTGGCCAGATCGAAAGCGACGGATTGTAATTTCGTACTCAGAGTGCTAACGAGCTCTGTAAGACCTTCGACTTGCGCCTCGAGCTGCAAGACGCGCTGGGCGAGCGCGCTCTGCTCGCCCGAAGCTTCCGTGTTTTCGAGAGGCATTACTTATTTTCGGCTATCGATGCATACTTATGGTGCCCGTCGTGATGATATATAGATGCCGCGAGACCCTGCCGCCAACAGACGCCGAAGTTAAACTCAAAGGTCCAGAAAGCCGCGCTTCCGTCCCGCGGGGGAGATCAACCACCTGCATGGATTTGATCATGCTTACTCGTGTGGCAGTGGTCACCTCATCATTTCCCAAATCGCCCATAAAAGCCTCCCTCCGGGGCTGTCCCTCTGGGGCTGTCATCACTCAAGCCACGCACATATCACGGTGCTCCACCACTCTTCAAAGCCTTCACTTGACGAATGTTGATTGCAAGGATCTACATCTCGACCACGAGTCCAATCATGACCCATGGGCTTGGGCGGATGCTTGCAGCTACATCAATGCAACACCCAGATTCGCGACCTTCATGGTGAGGTTCAGCCCAGAGGTATGCAGAAGATATATCAAGTGTCGATGTAGATAAGCTCCTACAAGTGCAAAGGGCTCTGTTCTCATGAATCAAACGGCTCAAGAGGCAAAACCCACTGCTCAAGCGAAAGCAGCCATCGAGCGCACGCCTTCATACCTCGAAGAAGTGGCGTAAAAAGTGCGGGAGATTTTCAGCATCAAAACTGCGAACGAATGTCCCAGGGGTCCAGCTGGAATGAAAATCGGAATTCGGTAGCACGTTGAATTGCTCAGTAACGTCCAGTGTATGGCCTTTTACAATGCTCGTGAATAGCTGCGATATACATTCATAGCAGTTGGAAGCGTGATATCAGGCCGGGTAAATGCCAACCTTCAGTGACGTGGGTAGAATGCAGACCTTGATTACGATTCCTCTTGTCGCGGTTTAATACTGACTAATGATTGCATTAAGCAACAAATCAAGCGAGCCAGGCTCTATAATGAACACGGGTAGCGTGTGGCTTCTCGAAGATGCAACGAAGAGTCCGGCTAAAAGATAGGAAGTACCTCAACCTGCGCGCGGTATATATATTCTACTAGCTCAGCGGCACATTCATAACGTAGGGAAGGCCCATCTAGACAGCGCTTTAGCAATGTCCAAAGGTACAGACATCTCTATCCGACGAATTTTATAGTGGGCATTGACAGATGACTCTTCATTTAAGCACGGCACACCAGCCATTATGCTGGACGTCTTGGTCTTTTTGAGGCGCAGATTGTCCGATTTTGATCATGATCACAATCGATTAGTAGCCTGGGCACAATCTGTAGGTCACATCATCGTGATCAAACCCATTGGTCAAAGTTATAGAAGTACAGCACCAACGATATAACGAGCAGTCTTATACTACTTATTTGTACAAGTACACAGTACTGCAGACGAGTTGATAGTGCTGTGTCAACGCAGCTGGCTCAGTGCGGTGACGATGAAGCTTGACAAAAATTCGAGCAGGCTGTGTTCGGTAAGCTCATTGCAGAAGTGCAATGCATGCATCAAAATTCAGAGAAGTCAAGCAACATCTCTACCCAGCCATTACTCATAGCATGCTTGCCCGTGGCCGAGCCTTCAATCCTCGAAAAGTCGGGATTGTCTTCATGATGATGATGAGGTATGCTCCATTTGAACAATTCCACCGAAGCAGGGCCATGGCATCTCGAAATCCTGCCTTGTCGCGCAGTTTCTCTCCAATTCGAGGCAAGCTCCCAGTCGTCCATCTGGAACAGTAGGGACTTTGTCAGCAACTTATGAGATGATATTACTGATGCTATAATTTCGAGATGTGGATCTTCTAGCGTAAGGCTCTCAAGTAAGACATCTTTCGAGACCTGCAAAACGCAAGATTGGAATGGAAATATGTTACTGTATGTAAGCTGCTTGAGGGCTGTCGCACCCGCTAGTGGCATAGTGAGGTGTTTCTTGAGTTCAGCCGGCACGGTGTATGGCAATTGTAGACACTCAAGTGCTCCTATGGTCAATAAAAAGTAACAGAAGATCGACCAAATCGGTTTCCGCCGGTCTTCCGAAGAGACGTTTTCACCAGAAACTTCATCATGCGCAAAATCCACGACTGCATTTCGCTTGAGCACCGGGACTGAGAAGCTGAACTTCTCGATCTTGGTTTGACCGTCAAGCCCCTCCAATTTACACTTGAACATGCCAATAGAGTCATTATGCGTCCACAGAAAACCACGATGAGCGATCGGCATATCGATACACAGATGGCGCATTGTCTGCACGTCCACAAGCAGACAAGTTTTCAGTTCACTAAATAAATGTCTATACTGTCAGATTTCAAATAAAGCATCGCTGCAATCCTCGGTCTGTACGCAGACTTATTGGATCTCTCGCGCCACCTTTCCCATTCGTTGAACATGTCATTGAACGTCAGATACCTCACGTTTGTTACGGGTTTAACAGGCTCTTCGAGTGCTGGCACAATGCTGGCCGGCATGGTAAATGGTACTTCTAAACAGACCAACCCCGCCCAGATATTTCGCAATCCCGTGCTGATCGACTTTGCGAGAAGAAGCTCGAGCGATCCTTCAGACGTTCTGCCAAACCTTGGAACATGGTCTCTTCGAGAAAGATGGGGTAGCGAAGGTCTCGAGAGGAATTTGAGTCGTTCCCAAAGCGATACAGATAGACCACATGTAGCGCACTGGCGTGGGCTGACTTCCTAGGAGGCCAAACTCATCCGAAGAACGCACCTGTCTACATGTCCTGTAAATGTAATTGATGTGTTTCCACTTGTGCTCCTTGTGGTATTCGCTGGCAATACAGCCTCTGGAGAGACGCCGAGTGGCGAACAAACTCCTCTGAGCCCATTTTTGTTGACATCGATATTGTAGATGGTGGAACAGGCTATCGTGAGTATCGCCCGGCGTTGTTGAGCGGCATATATAAAACCTGGGAACAACGCCTCGGACTCGGAACATGCCGAAACGAAGAGAGCTTCATTTCCGCAGATGAGTGGGCGCAGGAAGTAGCTTGCATTTCGGTATAGGTGGCCGACGATCCTAGTGCTTGCTTGAAATTTCCACTTTAAGTGAAAGGAACAGCCTCAAAGCCGCAATGTCGAAAAGAAATGGGTGACAGCAACCGAAGCAATCATTGTTGATTGTGAACGGAGAAGGGTATCTATATAAACGCCGCCCTACACAGAGCCTAGGAAACTCGTGTTATAAGCGAGTGGTGTCATCGTACACTCCTTAATACCACCCGGACTCTGTGACGATCATGAGAAATGTTCAAACTCGCCTCCGGCTGACCTTCGGGAACTGCAACGGCAATCGCAATTTTGCAATCCGTGATGCTTTTGCAGCCTCCTTGGTGATCTTCATCTTAGCCCTCTCAGATTCGCTCGGCGCCCTGACCACACAGCCCAATTCCTGATAGTACTTCGCAAGAACAGCAGTGTCCATTTTCAGATCATTCTTGAGATCCGTAATATGCGTGCTCCAATTGTCCACAAACAGACTCAACGCGCAAATGTGCGTGTAGAGCTTGTCAAGCTGAAACTTACCCAGCTCGTTTCCGGAATCATTCGTGAAACGACGGCGCACAGAGTCCACCAAAGACATGGGATAGTCAGAGAATTTCTCCTTGAGCTTGTCCTTGGGTGGTACTTTCTTCACTCGACCGCCGCTGAGGGCTTCGTGGAAAATGAGCAGGAGATTGAGGTAGCGCAAAGCCTTCAATCGATCACTGTCATGGGCTTTTCCAATTGCAGCAACGCGATAGGCGGGGAAGGAATGAACAAACTCGATCTTTTTCTCTTCTTCTTCGCTGATGGTAGCCTCTTGCCATTCCTTTATGTTCACTAGTTTCGCTTCATGTGGAGGGAGAAGCGTCGCAAGAGGGTAGACATCTTCGACATTTGCAGCGTCAAGATTGGGCGGGGGTATTGGCTTCGCGGCAAGCAATGCTCGTTCTTGATCTTGCCTAGAGGCTTGATCGGCCGTTGCTGTGCCCACCGATTCGAGGATCGCAGTCTGCGTCGCTGTGATGGCGCCCTTTCCTTTGGAATCTTTGGTGATTGCGTTTTCGGTCTTGCTGGCGATTGCCTTTTTAGCCTTCTTTGTTCCAAATTCTCGTCCAAGCTCTTCCCTTTGCTTTGCACCAGTCATACCACGGGCCGCGGCTTCCACCTCTTGCTCTTCTGCTCGGACACTTCCGCGAAGATTCAAATAATTGGCGGGCACAATCTGCAGCGTTTCCGCCTGTGGATTGAAAACAGCAATGTAGTGCGATAAGCCAGAGTCGAGCGTGTTCGGCAGAGCGGTGTAGTCGAGACGTGGATGTTGGGACGAATGTAGAACAACATTGGATTCGTTTTTGGAGTCGCAGTACGCTTTAAAGGCAATGTTTGAAGGTGCCAAACCGGGTGCAGATGCTATTATTGGTCGTAGTCCGCGTTCGTGGATGACATTTGTGACTTTCACATTTCCTGCAGCGGCATGATGATCAATGGCCACTTTCTTGTTGGGAGTAGCAGTGGTGCCATTTGATTGACGCTTTCGCTTCTTTTGAAATTCTTCGGCCATTGTGAAGACTACGGTGGGATTGATGGTTATTAAAGCTCAGCGCTTTGCAATGCACCTGCATGTTCAAGAATTTTTTAACATCGAACCCTCAGGGCTACCTACGATGCGGTGACGAGTTGCGCGGGCATTGCCGTCGTTGGCCCGTGCGAGCTTCGTTCCTGGAATGCCTGAATTCCCCTTGAATCCTCCACCACAGGCGAGAGTGAAACCTCGAAAAGTCGCGTGTCGCGCTACTTTCCCAAACTGTATTACCGTAGCATGGCCAATTTGGCCCACGTCATCGGCGGGCGGGACTGTCAGCTCATTCCGCCTTGCACATGCAAATTATTCCAAGATTATACTGAAATCCAGTTCTGCGTGCTGATGCCTGCCGTCGTCACTCATTCGCTCCGGCCGACAACACGAGCATCCCCAACTTGTTCAGCGCATGCAGCTCCTCCGTTTTCACAACAACTCGCTTGCTATCCGAAAATCTCATCACTACACCATCTCCGTCACGACGCCATTTTCTCATCTACCGCAGTTGTCATTTGTCAATTCTTGTCTCGAGCTTGTCTGATCTAAAAGATCGTTGGTCGGGTTCATCGCTGCCGAAAATGCCGTCAGCTACCGTGTCAACACAGTCACAGCCTGAGCAGAAGTTCAACGGCGGCGCCTCGGGAGAGGCTCCTAGTGCAAACAGCATCGGCGAACAGGTTCAAGGTTACGCCAATCGCGCGCGCGACACTGCTGGGCATTTGAGCAACCAGGCCGCCGAAACAGGCCGCAACGTGCTCGATCGGGTTTCTACACCTGAACAGCGCGAGGCTCTCGTCAACAAAGCACGGAATTTCATCAATGCTCATCCCAAGGTGTCTGCCTTGCTCGGCTTGAACCTGGTTTTCACAGGCATTCCGCTGCTGTTGTTCATTCTCTTCAGCATCACAACCTTGGTTACCAGCGTGGTCGTGGCTCTCGTTGTTGCTCTGTCCATCGCTATCACTTTCACACTGTTTTCGATCGGTGTCGCTCTCCTGGTCCTCCTTCCGGTCATCTTCTTCACCACCGCCAGCGCTTGTATTTTATTCTTCTGGGGCTTGGCGGGCTATTTCGTATTGCGCTGGGCTACCTCAGAGAAGAGCATGGAGGACGGACAAGGAGGTCGGACAATCGGCGAAAGGATCAACAACCTCACTGGTGGAAGACTCGACCAATTTGTGGGTCGAGCACAGGACGCGAAAAGGGAGATCGAAGGACAAAATCGAAAAATCCGCGTCAACTAACGGTCATCGCAACCAGACAGAGCCCAAAGTCAAGGTCGAAGAGGCTGCTAAGAATACGTTCGGTGCCGACAATGTGGATGACACACTCAATGGACGGGTGCCACGCTCTGTAGTGGAGACCACGGAGCAAGTGAAGAAGAACGTGGGCAGAAAGTGAATCTGTTCGCAGAGGCGATGTGACTGAGGCTGAAAGATGTGACGGCGTTGCGGGCTGTTATGACTACAACTGCTCAACTCTCTGTATTAATGAGCAGATTTGTAAAATGCCAAATTTACTCCGCTGCATGGTCCTGCACAACGTCAGTCCGCGGCTCAGCCGTCCTAGCAAGCATGGCATTCATCATGCTGGAAACCTTCGACAACGTGTGGCCCATGGCGCGCAAGCTCGAGATCGTGCCTTGTTTCTGACAAGCTTGACGATCGTCAACTCAACACAAGCGCATGCCGTGAGACGGAATGAGAACGTTGATATGTTGACGTGAGGTAGAATACTAGGAGAAACCACGTTGAGTGATTCCAGTCTTACGTTTTCGGTGGTGGTAGGGACACATTACTGCATGTGTATAGTAGTGGCCCTCAAGAAATGCTGGAATCAACATGTCTTGTTCAGAAGTTCCTGGTGCTTGATGGAACACAATCACGCCGATATCCACCTCCTCATGGACATCGATGCAAGACGTATCTCCTATGTTGAGATATTAATCGTCGGCAGCTGAAAACGGGCGTCAGTGCTACGAATCCCCAAAGTAAGGCGAGGTGTGTAGCTGAGGCAAAGCACCAAGACAGAACAATAAGTTTTCGGTTCGCTATATTGATATCTGCCAGTGAAGTTCTCAGGTTTCGGGACAGCCGCATCACATGATTCAATCGTGCACGGTATCTCAGTTGTGGAGTCGAATACAGATCTCACGTCTCATGATCGCCAGACACCATTTCACTACACTGTGGGTCGACAAATGCCTATAGATACTGGAAAACATGGCGTGGCAAAGCCGAAGCGATTCCGTACTCAATACTGTGTCTGGTATCCAGACTTCACACAGACAGGCATAATGTACGTGTTCTGGCCTCGTGACACAGGAGCTATGCGTCCACTGTCCATGGTTGGAACAGCCGTTTGCGATCTGCAACGAATTTAGAGTTCGAATCCCAACACAACATCGATTGGCTTCGAGGGGCCCAACCCAGCAGTCTGGTGACTGTGACACCACCCTTCGTTTAGATCTCGTGTGGCAAGGGACAATCGGCCGGGATGCATCGAAGACCCACTCTTGATGGAGCCGCAAGATTCTGGACTGTGGAGTAACTGAACGGGATTTTCTCGCCATCCATCTACGCAAAGCAAAGCAAGCACCAAGTGGCGATAATCCTTGATAATTGGTGATGGCAAGAACATCAGCAAACAATTCAGTCAGTATTTCTTTGGACAACTGACCTTACCCCACTGTATTGCCAGTCGCCCAGGGCATTGAAGCTCCCCTCGCAACGCAGTTCGACTGAATGTCCAATAGTTGCAACCATTAAGAGTCTCTTCACGAGCAGTCGAGAAATCCCGTAAGCAAGCAGAGTCGGCTTTTGGCGTTCAACAGTTCGGCGTGGCGTAAGCAAAGATGCGGCACTTACAAGATCACACCAGCATTGATGCGTTGACAGGACCCTACATCTGCACCATGAACAACCCGTAGAGGATTCAAAGCTGCTGACAGGGAGATAGCGGTAGTTTGACGCGCGATGTAGATCTACGATGTAGTCTTTCATGGAATACACACAAAGAAAGACTCATAATGATGCCGCGGGCGATGTGGCGATAGCGGAACCCACCGCAACAACACTACACATTCGGATCTGCGCCAACTGGGGCACATGGCTGGAAGTCGTCTGTCCATCACTCGGGATCTTCCATGCGTATGTCAGAAACTTCGTAAATCGCCAATGGGGTAGGGGAGACCCGCAGTTGAGCAATTATTGAAAATTCTCGCGGACCGTTGATGCAGATCTCCTGCGAGGTTGCTCCAACATGCACATCCAACTTACTACGTCAGGAAGGCACATGGCCTTCTTAGAACTGCGTCTCGGTGACTACGAAGTGAGGGGATTCCATACGCTCAGGTATCTGCACCTTTCAGATACCGTCGCCCTGGTGATGATAAATGCATCTCGCTTGATTGCATAGCTCGTGTCACGAGCCTCCATTAAACAACGCGCAACACGCTTCTCACTGAAAACTGGCGAGAGTTTTGGGCAATATGGCATCATGTTTTAATCGACGATGGAACTACTCTCGTGCATTGATCGATACTATGTACTTTATCGATGATCAAAAACCTGGCGACGCAGTGAGCCAGTTCTAGATTCTGAAGATATGTATGTGCCCTAGAAGTGGCTGTATGCCATAAAGACGCGTTCGAGAAAGTCGATTGAAACCCGGCACTGACGTTCCGATGCACCCGCTAGCGCGCCCATTGGGAGCTAGCGAATCTGAGAAGGGCGTAAGCCATTTCCATGCCTAATTTGATTCGTTGGCAGACAAGCACACGACTGAGAGGATTTCGGCGACGTGATCTTCAGAGTGTGACATGGATCGTTCAACGCCTTGCGCGATCTTGCCCAACGGTCCCGTAACAGCAGTTTGTTATGCCGAATTACGTTACATGTCCCCACAATAGGCTTAAAAGCGTTGCTAGCATGCCACATATCGAAATGTATTAGAAAGTCCTTCAGGCTGAAGAGCATTTCCTCAGATGCATAGCATCGTCACAACAAAATCTGGACCTATCGTGAGAGAGGTGAAAGTCACACCAGGGCCAAGGATTATGGCGTGATGAGCCAGAAGTGTCTACTATGTGCATGTATGGGAAACGGGGATCGGCAAGCGAAAAGGACAGCAGACTCCGCTCCAATACCTCCCAAGCTGCCTCACTACCTTGAGCCTCTACATCACACACGAGACCGTGTCCGACTTAGTCCGGAAAATGTGCGCTAGCGATGTAACCATGTACTGCAAAAGCCGCCGCAATCGCTGAGTTTTGTCTGGCCGAGGTAAGGGCTACGTCAACCCGCCGTTTGCTGTCGGCGCGGGCAGTGTCGATCACTGCCGAAATCATGCAGCTTACTTATTTGCTCAAACCTCGTATACTTGGCCGTCAAATCCGTTTCAAATTGTAGAGAGAGGACAGATTTCAGGTGATTAAATCTTGTCAAAAATGTGCAGTGGAGAGCTGCCGTGTTCCCTGTTTCGGCCACTTCTGACAGGAACACGATCAGATTGAGGTGCACGCCTCTCAGCCTTTTCTCGGATTCTCAACCTATGCATAGTTGGAAAATGGCTAGCCAGATGTAGGCGGATTTCTGAGTAAGATACGTACATAAGGCCTCATCCTGTACCCTCTGAGCTTTAGAGTGATGTCGACATCCTTAGCGCCATAGCGTGCTCAATCCACAGCGCTAGTCCCATTGGGCATGATCCGCGCTGGAGACGTAAAACTACCTCATTGGGATTTAGTCCGCCGTTGGACCACGCGACGCCGCGCGTGTCATCCTCATATCAAAAACATCGATTGGGCCCAAAAAACATGGTGACATCACGTCCCTCACGGCACATCGGCACTGATCGACAAAACGTGGAGAAGCCGTGTTCTTCTTGGAAAGCTTTTTCAGCGCGTCAGACTTGCCGCCTTTTCGTGTCTAGCCCTGTGAACATGGGAAGAAACTGAGCATCCTCAATGCTTCAGTGCCTCAGAGGCGTCGCTCTCCAAACATGCTCATTGAAACTTCTCTAGCCGCCAATGATCAAGTTTGTGAGCAAGTTCCACATTAGTGGCAGAAGCTTTCGCAACCAATCGTAAAGCCCGCAGCGAAGAGGCGCTCATGATCCAAAGCTTCACGGAATTCTATCTTTCCGAAATCCTCGATCGATATAGTTAGTGTGCTCGAGCAGGACTTACTGGACTCGCACTATGAGTGCGTCGAGGCACTCCAACCTTAGACCATGCAGCTTTTAAGCCATACTCCTGCGCCTACCAATGGGGGTCTTACCAAAGCTCACACGCTGAGTGGTTGTCCCCGGTGACGAGCAGCAATACTTTGGCAAGACGCTACGCAAGTGGCGCAGGCAATCGCACCTAGAGCGAACATAGTTTTGCAGAGTCGTGCTGATCGCTGGTACATTCGTCTGTGGTCTACCGCCATCATTCTCAAGCACTAGAGATCGCCTACCACGAAATGTTCCCTGTGATCGACATCCTGCAACCGCCACAGTGGCATTCAAGGTTTGCAACTTTGTTGACTACGGCTTCCACCAACGCAGAACTACAGTATTGCGTGACCCGAGATGACAAGACGACATAGGGGACATATCCACAAGATTTTCAATTTCAATTGAGGTCGAAAGATATATAACCAGGCTTCCAATCGGTACTTCGACAATTTTTATTCCATCACATCCTACAATCCCATCAATACTCAACGCAAGATGAAGTACTCTTTCGGCCTCGCCGCCCTTGCCCTTAAGGCTGCTGCCTTCCCTGCCGTTCTCGAGGCCGTCCAGCAGGACAGCGGATTGGAGAAGCGCGTTGGCTTGCCTTCCCTTCAGGCTGCCCGCGACCTCAGTGCCGCCCGTACCAACTGCGGTCCTCTTCCTTGCGTCGGCTGGGACCCCAAGAATCAGTACGTCTCGACCCACGGCGACCACGCCTACCGTGCGCCCGCCAAGGATGAGATCCGTGGTATGTATTCTTCCCCTGCAACTCTGATGGATGAGCCCGATGTTGATTCCAAGAAGGTCCCTGCCCCGGTTTGAACGCTGCCGCCAACCACGGCTACCTCAGCCGCAGCGGTGTCACCACCATTGAGGAAACCATCGTTGGTCTGGGTGCTGCCTTCGGTCTTGGCCCCGCTGCTTGCGCCGTCCTTGCTGCCTACGCTGTCATCTTTGACGGTGACCCAGTCCTCGGCACCTGGTCCATCGGTGGTCCCCCATCCACCGACGCTCTCACCAAGGGCATTCTCGGCCAGGCCCGTGGTCTCTCCTACTCCCACAACGTAAGCACATTCATTATGATATTCGTTGTGCAATTACCTGACTGCTTTCTCAGAACTACGAGGGTGATGCTTCCATCGCTCGTAACGATGCCTACCTCAACAACGGTGACGCCCACAGCTTGAATGTCACTCGTTTCGCCTCTGCGTATGCTGCGCACGACAACGACGGCAACTACAACCTTGACTTGTTCGCTCAGAACTTCGCCGAGAAGGTCCAGGAGTCCATCGCCACCAACCCGCTTTACTTCTCTGCTCCTTTCGCCACCTTTGTCGTCTCCCCGGCCGCCTTCAACTTCGTCATCAACTTGATGAGCAACCACTCTCAGGAGCACCAGAGCGGTTACCTCGACGGAGAGACCTTTAAGACCTTCTTCGCTGTTGAGGGCGAGTACCCCAACTTCAAGTGGCTGCCCGGCCAGGAGCGCATCCCTGAGAACTGGTACCGTCGCCCGTCTTACACCCCCTACGAGCTCAAGGACATTGGTGGTGACGTTGCCATCCAATACCTTGCCTACCCCGACAGTGCTCGTATCGGCGGTAACCTCAACGGTGTCAACACCTTCGCTGGTGTTGACCTCGGTGACCTCACCGGTGGTGTCTTCAACACCACTCACCTCCTCGACCCCAAGGGTGTTAACACTGCCTGCTTCATCGCTGGTCTCACCTTGGCCCTTGTCCCCCACACCTTGGACGTTGTTGTCTCCGAGTTGAGCGCCATCACCAACATCCTCAACAAGTTCGTCCAGCCCGTTCTTGGTGACCTCTCCTGCGCCACCATCAACAAGTACGACCAGACTGCCTTCAACAAGTTCGCCGGTTACCACTACAGCCCCTCTGGCCCTGCCACCAACTACTAGATGTAGTCATGAACTGAAGGAAACATGGGAATATGGTTACGGAAAACGGATAATGGGAAATGAACATAGAGGCGTTGTCCTTGGGCAATCGCCATTAGATTAAAAAGTCAATAGTTCTTGGAATGCTACGATTTAGTTCCAATCGAGGGTGCGCGTTCTTCTTTACTTTCACCTGTTGTAGTGTTTGTGAGTAAGAGGCTTCCACACTGGGATAATACTAATTCCGATTTCCAGCAACTAAAATGTTACAATCCATTACCGCAAGCATTTAAATCCTCGATCTTTGAGCAAAATTCCCAACTTCAACCGCTCACATAAGCTTAACAACACAGTTTGGCTTACTACGATTCTTCATCGGTTCCGTAAATTTTTCTATCATTGAGATTGGTCTGAGATGCTGAATGCAGCTCGTCAATGCATAACAAGAACCTGATAGATACGGAGCAAGAAATGAAAATCTGTTTGCTTCAAACGGCGCCCATGTCAGTTAATTCTTGTTCGCCCGAGAGCAGGGATATGGATGGCGAAGCCCGGCAGGAACATAGAGAAAATGTTCACTTTTGGCTGAAAACATTCATCTTGCTTCTTATGAGTATGTCCCGGACAGGACGATTCTATAGATACGGTCTACGAGTATACAGTCACATGCATGGGAAAATAACATGTCTTCCATACCAGACATACAAAAGAAACATGTCTTTTCGTAGATTATGTGTACATGGCCGATGAAAAAGTAGGTAGCCTGATGACAGTAAGACCGAGCACGGGCTAATCATTTCGCGCGCTCCTTCGAAGCGTCGCAATTTCAACAAGAAGAAAGATGTTGGAACCACTTGCACGTTGGAAATGAAAATATAGCCAACTATATTTTCAATCACAAGCATATTTGATTGTAGAGCATATGCGCAAGGCGATCAATGTTGGGATTTGGGGGGGAGGAGTCAGTCAGATAAAGGATTACGCGACCCGCATACGGTATGTCAGATGGCATTTCACTTGTGATAAGGTCAACATTCCCAGCACGCTACAGCGTGACATGTGAAAGAACCTTGGAAGCATCAAGTCCGATCGCAGTCTTCGACCTTCCTTTCTACCAAGCCAAAGTTCAATACTATTACTGTGATCACCACAACACCTCGCCATTCACCTCACCAAATCAAGTTGTTACAGATCGGCTCGCCTAGCATGGTCATCTGGAACGACTCTCCTGATCGTCAGCTCTTGATGACGATGATTCATCTGACGCCCGAAGAGAAATCTGGCAAACAGTGGGAAGTCGTGGCCAAACGCATGGGCGAAGGCTTCACCGCTGAGGCCACACGGTAAGCTGAACTAATAGCCGTGACCCAATTGTCACGAAGATCTCAACGCTCTTTCTTCGTGGACTAGACCTGAATTGCTCTGTCGTGACCTCTGACACACGCAACCTTCGCAGTCAACACTACCAGAAGCTCCGCCTTGAGTACACCAATGCCAATGGCGAACAGAATGATTCAACTCGGGGCGCGTCCAAAGCCAAAGCTGGTAAAGCTGGTAACAAGGCCGAACAGTCAGACGAGGCCAGCCCAGCCAAGACCACACCTCGCAAGCGTACCAAAAAGGTTGACTCCGAGATCAAAGTGGAGAAGGGAGGCAGTGGCGATGGTGACCACGAGCTCCCTTCGGCTAGTCCCAAGAAGAAGGTCAAGAGTGAGCATTGAAAACGGCATACCCATGAACAGTACGATTTGATTGGACACTCGGGTTTACAAATTTGAGAGACAATCGGGCTTGGATCGACGGATGAGTGTTGCTACGATTCAGGACATTTTACGTCGACAAGTCGAGGTATGAGCTGCATCGGAAAGCACCAGATCATAGCTTGAGAAAAATGACACTTTTCTTGACCACATCAATCTGATCTAAGCGTCCTCGAGTATATGAAACATCATCTCGCTTGTTTTCCCGAGCCTTTTGTTTTGGAGCCCGAAGTGCACAACTCTATGACAATGGCAATCGCAAGCATCGATTGGTGATCTGGCGGAGCAATTGGACTGGATGTAGGTGACGCAACTTGTCTTGACTACGTCACAGCTGCAGCCGACATAGGAAGCGTTGCGCGTATAGGCATTCTAGGCAACCTTGGAATGCAGCGATGGTTTGGGCGAATGACATCGCCTGCAATTGCACCTGGGCAGCTTGAAGAAGTGAATGCGCGGCGCGTGTCGCGTGCGCAGGCCAGAAATATCTTTAGTGCTGGCGTCGTCGCTTTTCGGCGGCTGCCTGGCTGGTCCAGGGTTGGCTTGACACGCGAATCTTTCGCGACTTGATCGACGTCATCTGAAGACAGACCACCACTGGATACCTCGCATGGCCGAGCATGCAGCTTGGAGTACACAAAACGAAAGCGAAAAGAAATTCATACGGATTGTGGAGCGCGGATGAGGAGCGCCTGAATATAGCTCTGGAATACAGAATTTTTCCCTACAGAAAATCATGACGAAATCGCAACAGAATCAAGAATCCAACAGCGGCGAAACTGCCGACCTGGAAGACCTTCGTTCCCAATGGACCCATCTTTACCACGATTTCCTCCCATCAATGGCCAAGTCAAAGGATCCCGCGCAACCGCATTGGCCTGTTCAGCTGGACCACTGTTTCGCGCGAATCGTCCTAGATAATGTCATTGGAAAAGGTTCTCAACCATGGACCGACGTGCTGGGCAAGCCTGCTGTCAGGAACATGTCTTCGGGGCAACTACGTGAGGTCATTGCGCTGGCTGAGAAAATCGCTGATGGGAAGGTTGATTTGGTTGAGCTTGATGAGGCGAGTTTAAGCGCGAGAGGGAAGGCGTCGAAGACGAAGCGGAAACGTGGCGAGTCGGATGGAGAGAAAGGCGGCTCATATAAGAAGAGCCGGCCGAGTCAAGATGTACCGGTTGAGGATGGTGGGCAGGCTTCTCGAGAGGTCAAGTCTCAGGATTTTGCAGAAGCGAAGCATAAAGGTTCTTCCATCAAGCAGGAGCAGAGGCCGCAGCTTTCTGGTAGGAGAGCGAATGGCACAGTCTCGTCTTATTTCCAACCTGCATCCGCCTCGTCGACATCTGAGATGCCAGATCAGTCGAATGGCGGAACAACTCACGAGACCGAGCTTTCAGACCAGGACACGCCAATATCGCTCCCGTCATTCCTCTCTACACGATCCACCAGTCACGATACTCCAGCCGAGACATTTCTACCCAAGATAGCCGCCGACAAAACTCTGACCCCTTTCCGAAAACAGACGCTGTCCTTACTCTGCGGTGTCCCACGTGGGCGATGGACGACTTATGGAGCAATGAGCAATTACATCAACGACATTCGGCGCCACGAGCGTGAAGCTTCCACCACCAACGAAAAGACTGACGAAGATAGGAAGAGCGGCGACGACAAGAACCGGACGCGTCGAAACCCCACCAATCCCGCGGCCGTCGCACAGTCAGTCGCCAAGATGACTTGTGCACGAGCAGTGGGAAACGCAATGCGAAATAATCCTTTCGCGCCTGGCGTTCCTTGTCATCGAGTACTCGCGGGAGATGGGAGTTTGGGTGGTTTTGGAGGGGAATGGGGCGAGGAAGGGAAATTTGCCGGTGAGAAGAGAAGGTTATTGCGAGAGGAAGGGGTGCGGTTTGATGGAAAGGGACGTGCTACTGGAGAGCCTTGGAAAGGGTGGACGGAGGGCTTTGCGATGGTGTAGGATTAGAATTCATGTGGACAGGCAATAATTGTGTAACGTGCTTCGATCTTTGTGCGGATATATGCGACGTTGGGACGCGGGCCAGTAACGAGTGGCGTGTTCTGTGATTTCTTTCGCAAGCATCGTCATAAGTATCATGTCATCATCGTCATGGGTTTTCTCGTAGTACAATTGTGAAACGAAGAACATTGATGAGCCGCCGGTTCTGTATAATTCTACAGATCAATCGAGACATAGATGCTTGAGGGAAGGCGCGACATGCAGAGGTTGCACATGCAGGTCTTGATTCCACCATCACTCCGTCATGCGGGAGATGAGTTCGAGTGAACGCATCTGATCTCGATCTTGGAAAGAAGCGAATTTCGTCGCTTATCTCTGAAAGAATTCCGGATGGATTTAGACTAATGGCGGTCGAGGCGCAAGCTGAGCAAAGTCACGACGCAGGAATCTCCGGAGTAAGAACTCGAGTACCACACGATGCACAAATGAAGAATGATTGAGCGGAGAGTAGTGACCGACTGAACAAATCGCGGCGGTGACCAAATAACCGGGATGAGCCAGACATGCTTCATGCATGGATACTGAGTATGCAGTGCGGTTGCGGTTCGCTGAACTGGTACATGCATGCATGCCACCTGCATGCATGTCTGGCTTTGCATTTGTCAAGGGCTTGTGATACATCCGCGAGCAAGTATGCTATGGAATACCTATCTCAAGACCGCATTCTTCAATAATCGGGTTTGGCTCGATGAAAATGCCTTTGATTAGTGTGGTCTCGGAGCTTCGCGGGCTTTTCGTCTGCGAGCAAGGTGCATCCCGCCGCCTGGACGAACGTAGATGATGACGTGCATACAAGGCGAAGACGAATCTCCCGGCATCCCTACCGGGCTTAAGACCGTTCTGCGCAGGTCTTGATTTGCAAAGGTGATGAACAGGCGTTCCCGGGTGATGAGAGTACAGGACTTCCGCAGGCAGTCCTCGCGTGCACGATGCACTGGCGCATAATGGTCGCGTGAGTCGCTGAATCGGACATCAATCACACATGTTAAACAGAGCAAACGGGTGTCATTCGGTATAAAATACATATGATCACATTTAGAGCATGGCGGCTGGCGAGCGCCGAATGTGGGTGTGGCGGACCAACAGTAGAATATCCCGACAGCACCCGATTTGTCATTCCCGCCTGGAAGAGCACATGGGAGATCTTGATTGCTGAAATCAATCAGAGATGATGCAAGACGGGAGAAACGTCCCGAGGGAAACGTGCGACGTTATATCGCCATCTCAACGTGCAAAGCTGGCTAGGACCAGCAGTCGTTTGTATGTGTGCTGCTTGCTGGAGATAGGATGCGCTGCTCAAGTTCATGACCTCTCCATACCACGCTGCAACCGGGAGAACATGGGGAGTGTCGGCTTCTTGAGATAATGCTGCATTGTGGTCTAGACCTGCACGAATTTCCAAGAGTCCGATGATAGGAAAAGATTTCGAGGTTTATTAGATGGCCGTGATGAGACAGCCGCCGCGTTGCCCGGGCGTCCACTTTATTACTTCAGGCACATGAAGAATGTCCTGTCTATTGTGAGTGTGTAAAGAATTGGTAGCTCGAGAAGGGTCCGTCATAAAGTTCCAAGGTTGTCTCCGCAACAAGCGCGATCCGTCCCGCTGGCCAAACTTCTTCGACACCAGTGACATTTCTTCTCACTAGCGAATCGATCTCTCTGGGCCCAACCGTTTCAGAGTGATTGTTATATCACGCCCCGTGTCTCGGACGTAATCTTGGAGAACCAGACGGAAATCCTCGATCTTTAACACAACGCCGATGACAGTTGGAGTCAACGGATCACGCTGGGACTTGGGCATGAGATGCATGACCTGCATTCTCCCACAACGTGCGAATGTTGAGGATTTCCTCCATTGCTGGAGAAACAACAACGAATACAGCGTCGAGTAGCTGTGGTGACAACGAGAATGACGACATCGAATGAACAAGGCAGGCGGATAGATGGTAGAGACTAATCAGGGCGAAATGTGTGATTTGATTGCGCGGACGAAAGCTAGTGTACGCTGCAATAGAATGACCCTGTCTCGACGAACGGATCTTTTGACTTGTAGTCCCAAGAGAGAGAGCATGTCCATCGATGTGATCGTGACTTCGATCATCGGAAAAGTAATGACGATGGAAGTTGTCTTGTCAGGTGAAATCGACGTCTCACTCGCCATGTGCGCTTCATTGAGAAGCAGCGTGAAGATTCATTCCACTTGAGGTGCTCAAATCGATGATTACCGTCGGAAACGCAAGAGAGTAAGACAAGCAGAAGGAGACGATGAGAGCACACATGGCGTAGCAAGGCTGCGTGCTCGCCTGCCTCTTTTTGTCTCGTGGCGGCACTCTGGGTTTGCGCTATGTACTTTTTTTCAATTGATCACGACAATACTTCCCAAGGTTTGTCTACAGGTACCCGGCGCGGGCGGCTGTCAATGGAGGAAAGAGGCGCGGGGCTGACCACCACACTGGCTTCGGGCTTGGTGGTGAGCATGCGACGCGACGTTTGACAGGAACAGAGGATTGGTGACTGGAGGAGGTATTTACGAAGTCAGCAACGATATTCCAGCACATACTGTACAAGCAGTAACGATAATAGAGTGACAACCACAACGAAAAGAATCCTCGCGATGACCATGCCGAACCGTACCTAGTCAAATTGCTATCGTCAGGAGACAGAACAAGTCTCAAGCCCCTCCCTTTTTCCTTCCGCCAATTTTCCCTCTTCACCTCCCAACCTCCTTGTTATCATCAGTACCAATCTTGAGACTAATAATAACATTCGTCGGCCCGCGGGCCTTTTGCAGTATCTTCGTTCAGCTGTTCTGCCCATCTCATCCACAGCCGGCGTAGTGTAATTATGGCGCTCGGCGCTGAGTGGGCCTATTCATTTTACCGGTTTCCCAGTCATAATCCATCAATTCTGTTTGTTTGTTTGCTTCCTTGCCCGCCGCCGGCCGCTATACATTATTACCGTATTCAGTACAGTGCGAACAAGTCGTGGTCGGGAAGACGTTGATTCCCTGGATCGGGAGGCTAGCATTGATTACCTTTCCGTCGCCGTTCGATCAAGGGTGAAGCCGCAGCAGAGGAGAGGTGACCCTCGAGATCGCCTTGCAAAACATTTGGAGAGATTGGGTGCAGCAACGTTTTCCGTGTGCATATGTGTGTAGAAGAGGTGTGTGTGTGTGTGTGTGTGTGTGGGCAGGCAGGCCGGCCGCAGACTTGTTGTTGTAAGCTGGGAAGTAGCGTGTGCGTGGGTGAGTGTGGCCCGCTGACCACACCGCTCCCGACCCCTTCTTTCCATCACGCTTCTCACCTGCAGGCCGCTTCGCAGTGCAGCTGAGCTGCTGCGACTGCTTGTTGTTGTTGCTGCTACCGCTGCCACCGCCGCCCGCTGCTGCTCTTCGTTACCTTCATGCACTTGTTTGTCATTGTCTCAAACGGCCTCTATACCTGTTCGTGTGAGCGTTCATCTGGGCTGCAGTCCAAGCCATTCTTTTCATAAAACCATAACTCTGGATCTACACTCGGGCGCCGCTCGCCTGGCTCCAATCTTCCGATCCTGCTACTATACTACAACTCCTCCTTCCCTGCCACCATGGCTAGCTTCAGCCGGTCTCCTTCGCCAACCAAAAGCCTCGACAGTACCCGGGATGCCTGGTCGGAATCTACTGCTTACACTGGTTATGATGCTGGAGCTGCCGCGCTTGTTCCTCCTGTTCACCTAGATCACCAAGGCTTCGAAGACATTCAACTCGCAGCGCCCAAGGTTTCCTCGCCGTCACAAAAGGAAGGTCTCGGATCACGTCTTTTGTCAAACGCGTCGCCGGCCGCAGCAGCATTATCACGTTCAGGAAGCGTCATTGGATCCCGTGCGAGGTCGTGGGTGGCATACGCACAAAAGCTCAACGCAGGAAGTGCTTCGCCGCAACATTCTCAGCAGCAACAATCGTCACTTCAACAACAGGTTCAGCCACCAGCACAGAAAGAGCTCAAAGAGCAGCAGGCCTCGGACAAGGAGGTGGAGAAATCTTCAGACGGGTCGTGGATGCCGCAATCAAACCGCCTCTTCGGAGACCTCTTCGGTGGAGAGTCCGCGCCAGTACAATTTGGCGTCCCAACCTCACCGAGCAAAGACACCGACGGCGAGTTCGTCATGAATTACCGTTCAGAGTTCACCGAGCGCCCGCTGCTTAATTCAAGGTTAAAAAGATATGACACAGATCCGGCGCCCACCACAACGCCAACCGCAACCCGTCCTGCGCGTCCATCCTGGTTTTCAAGAAGGCAGGTCACACCCACGAGGCCAACACAATTACAACAACCTCCACCACCAACGCCGACAGCATTCTCCAACTCCGCGCCAACCGATGAACTTCTCACACTTAACATCTCCAGCAGTCTATTTCCTTACGGTCCCGCCGACCCTCTTTCTCCACATGCTTATCACGACCTCCTGCTGAACGCCACCAACCTGCTCTCGCGGCTACAGACCGCATATGCCGAGAAGTGCGCATACATTGCCAGCATCGCGCCTGAGCTAGACGTGCAACGTGAGGAGGCAGAGGAGGCAGAAACACGTGCTCGTCATCTGAAAATTCAACTGGAGGACGTTGCTCGCAAAGCCGAAGACCAACTCCGCGTAAACCAAGAGCTCGCTACGCGTTTAGCAGAGGAGAAACTCGGTCGGCTAGAGGCCCTCGACTCTGCACGCCGCGCCACAGGCATGCTGGCTCAGGCCGGTTTGCACGCATGTCCTGAGGATGCCGTGCTCTCAATACCTGCACCCTCCGACATTGATGGTGCAGATTCAATATCGCCCGATGACACTACGCCACGACGACCCGCTGTCCTACTCGCCAGTAAGAAACGCGCGTCAGCGGGAAGTGCGTCGGACAGTGGCTTTGAGAGCGATGCAGACACTTCATCCATTTTCAGCGGTGCTACTAGCAGTGGTGCCAGTCTGGCAGGCGCCATGTTCTCTCCGCCGATGGCGAACACACCGCACATGACACCACGGATCCCTCTCCGAATTTCACCTCCGACGACAGGTACAAGCTCTCACAACACACCGACGAACATCTCGGCCACACCCACCGACATCTACGCTCTACGACCCGCACGTAACAATGGCGGTGGCAGTGGAGGCGGCACCAGTCCTGTCACAGCGCTACCCTCATCAACCGCCATTCCTTTGTCTCGTCCTCCGTTGAGCAGGGAAAACAGCTTGACGGGAAGTCTCTTTGGCGGCAAGCGCCTCGGCAGCGAGGGTGCCGCGTGGGCGACGGTGGAGAAGTTGCGAGCCGAGAATGCCGCATGCCGGAGACATGTTGAAGAGATGCGGCAAGCACTACAGGGCTGTATCGAATTTGTCGAAGGCGGAGGAGACAGTGGTTCAACAACGGTCACGGCTTTGGGTCCTCGACGATAATCGTAATCTTTATGAATTGGCGTGGTAACGAATTGCATCGAGGGCGATCTGGTCGAAAAGCGTCATCACGGTACCCATAGCGGAGGACGTACCAGAAAGCTCCTCCTCATCACGAATCTCCTCTCCGTCCGCCTCTTGGATAAAATTCAAATTATGACATGGGTAAAAACAGCACATTGGGACAACTGGTTTGACAGCAGCAGCGTATCTCGATGCTCCAGTCGAAGAACGGACCGGTTTGATTCTTTCTGCCATCAGCTCAGGAAGCCTCGTCTTCATCATCGCTTGGTATGGCTACTTTCTCTGTCCATCCTACCACGGGACAGCCGCCAGCGGGTTTTCTTCGAACCACACCCAGATGCTCTTTCCACACCTGCGTGTAAATTTTTGTGAGAGATATACTTGTCATCACATGCATGCGCGAACATATCATTCCTATTGGTGATCATCGATTGTTCTGTACAGCAGTACTTTGTGCTACAGTGTCACCTAAGTCTGCATTCCGAATTGGATGACAGTGCAGATGTGACCACCTTGAAAAGCGGGCGAGAGATGTACGGCCGAGGTGGAATTTCCATCATCACCCAAACCGATCCTGCCTACCTAGGTACTCTTGACCTTTTGACGGAGGGAGGGGAAGAATGACAATTGCACGCCGGGCACTGGCTGACTGGCTGGCTGGGCATATGTTTGGGTCCGAGAGATGGGTTCCTCGCTCTCCCGTTACTATTTCACAGCTGGGCATAGAATCGGTGTAGAGATGGATTTCCTGAGGCCCAGAAATCTCATTACTATCCATTCAATGAGGAAGAAGCTTGGAGGTCAGAGGGTAGACTGCGCTGGTGCTAGAGAGTATCTGTCGGCGCGATAGCGCTTCTCCAGCTCCATTGGATGGAAGGGTTCAGGCGCAAATCCACCCCACTTCGACTTTACGCTTCCAACTTTTCGGACCCGCTTCCCACCGCAATACAGAAGCACTGTTTAGGCGCTGGGTTTCTTGTCTGTCGGCCAAAATAGTCCTGTAAATCCTCCTCCCTAGCTATCTGTCGATCACCACGGTGCACGGGCTGATGTTGAACAAGAGAGAGAGAATTCCGCCCGTGTCAATCATCGTACTTCTCATACACACCTGGGCAGTTGTGCACCTACTGAGCCACACGTGAGCGTCACAAACGGTGTCTGTCCGTTCAACGAGGAGGCTCCCTCTGCTAAGCCCCCACCCCTTTTCCGGCGATGTTGAGACGACACATGTACTCAAGTCGCGGGCGCCAAAAATCACATATCCTCAATAAGAAGTACTCGAGGATTTTCTTCTATTGTGGACACGAAAGTACTGTACCTACACCGAGGGATTAACAATCAATGAGGGACAATTGTTTTCCAACCAGCCCAGCACCTTGAATTGTCTGCCTGCTTGCCGCCCCGCAAACCCGTTCCTTCAGCTCAGCTTTCTCGGCGGGCAGGGCACACACACATGCCTAATAATGGTCGGTTTGTGCAGCCGTCTTTCGGCGGCTCCTTTCATGGGTTATCTGCCACTGTTCGTCTATCGTAGACAACTCCTTCGATGAGAGGAAATAGTGCAGCAGTCAAGACGCAAATTTGTGCATTTTGGTTTCAGCCATGATTTGATGATATGCAAGATGCTGGAATGCAATTACATAGAAAAGGATACCTGCAGTAGATACAGGAGTCATTGAAGGCCTGCAACTGGGTCAGCAGTCGGTTTCCTGTGCCACAACCACGTTTTCTTTGCCGCTGCTACTACCACCGAACTCTGTTTACCTCCTCGTCCTCTCGTCCCACCACCAGGGCGACGACCACGTTTCCCATTTGCCATTTGCCCATTCCAGTGATGATAACACATGTGAACTTGGTCGCCGTCGCCGCCGCCGCCGCCGCCGCTGCTGCTGCTGCTGCTCTCACACATGCACACGAACAAATCTAGGATTATACCACTGTTTAGATTATTCCATCAAACACTATTGTCCAGTGCTACTACAACTACTGCGGCCCACTGAGCTGACTGTTGCTGAGTTCAACCAATCTTTGCAATTCTCCGCTTCCGCCGCTTCTTCTCCCTGCTCCTCCACCTCTCCATCACTCCTTGTCCTCCCACATCGAACATACATTTCTCTCGCCGAGGGGACTTTCTCTCCTCCTCGTCTTGTGCCTATACTTCTTGTGCACATCCGCTCTCGACCGTCAACCCGAGATTGTATATCTCTAGAGCCCCTCCTCGACTCCGACCTCCACCAAAACCCACGGTCGAATCACTTGTTCGGCCCTCTTCTCCGCTGAACCCCTCGTTGCTCGGACCAGAACATTTCCGCTTCGCGACCGAATCAACGCTTCAACTCTCAACCCTTCTGCAACGACATATCCTCTCCACCGCCATTGTTCACTCTCGCTCGACCTCGCGCGTGCTCGAATTCTTTTGCCCAAACTTTGATCACGAAGCGCATATCCACCGCTGTCGCCGCCGCCGCTGTCGCCGCAAACACCGCCACTACGTGCATTTAATATCTCTCGTTATCTTCACCTCGACCTGTGGGCGGCATCCGCCTGCCACGTGTGGGCGCCATGGCTGGCACTCAATCCAACCCGTAAGTCTCCATCGTGCTATCCAGTTGTTCCCATTGTGGGCGATACGCTGCGAGCTCGGCAGAACGGAAAAGAGCATGGGCGGTGGGCACAAGAACACAATTCATGAACACCCTCTACTTTGGCCGTTTACTCAGCTTCCTCTCCCGCGAGTTCGAGTTCACCACTGTGCTCGGATTCCGCTACTGCCAGGCATGCATGATATCTGACCAGTCACAGTATCTACCGGGCCGACCAGTTTATGAACCCAGGCCCGGCTCCGCGACCGCCCACCGACAGGCCGAAGGTGTCTCTGACACCGCAGGTCTACCCTTCTGCCAACGGCTCCGGCAACTTGTCCAGCTTTCCAGGCGCTACGCCTATCGGCTCATCATCTTCCACATCACTCGGTCGCATTGACTCCAACTTGAATGGGGACATGACGGTCGTCAAAGATGGGACTGCCAAAGTGAAGGAGGAGGGTGGTGGTTTTCTTATGAAGGCGTTCTGGCTCGAGCGATTTTTGGTGCTTCGCGAGAAACAATTAGATTTCCTGAAGAACAACCAAACCAACAAGACCATGCAGACCATCCCACTTCGGGAGATTACGCATATCACACGATCGGACAATTACCCGTTCAGTCTGGAAGTCACACGCGAGGATAACAAAATGTGGATCCTCAAATTCGAGACCGACGCCGAGGTGTACAGCTGGATGGAGAGCATTAACGATCGCTGCCCAAGCATGGGCGGTGTTTCTCGTCCTACTGGCTTTTCGCACCGCGTCCATGTTGGCTTCGACCCTGTCACAGGCGGCTTCATCGGTCTACCAGTCGAATGGGAGCGTTTGCTCAAGGGCTCCGCTCTGACACAAGACGATGTCAAGAAGAACCCCCAGGCCGTGATGGAGGTCCTCCAGTTTTACTCGGAGAAGCTCGCTGTCCGTGCCGAGGACCCCAAGATGTATTCATCCTTGACTCCTACACCATCGCTCGATGCCAACAAGGACAAGCAACTCGGCTACAGTGCAGGTAACGGTGTCGCACCACCGCGTCCGCAACCGCCAAATTCTGCGTATTCCAGCAGTTCACGAAGTCCGGCTGGCACTCCGGGAAGTGGCTACTCAAGCTCCCGCGAGCAGTCCAACGATCGATATGGAGCTCCCAAATCCAACGCGCCACCGATCACCTCGCTCGACCCGCGCCTTGACGACGAGCGCCGAAAACAGCAAGAAGAGCAGAAGAGACGGCTCGAGGCTGAGCGTCGGCGCATCGAAGAAGAACAGGAGCGCAAGCGTCGTCAGGAGCAGGAAGACCGTGAGTACAACGAATCGATTCCCAAAACCAAGACGCCCCTGGCTAAGCAAGAACTGGGTGGCTATGGTGCTTCAGAATCATCTCCATCTGCCAGATACAACCCAACCCGACCCGCACCGCCCGCGCCCGGTAAAGCTGCGCAACCTTCAGGCTCGCTACCTCTTAGAAACCTCCAGGCACAGCGTACTGCTCCGAGCGCTCCTACTCAGCAGAATGGTATGTACACATTGTTAGAAAAGTCAGAAAATACAAACTCACAGATGGTAGGCAAACCAGCTGTATCAGCGGTCAGGAAGGACGAGCCTGCGTCAGTCAGCAGCAAAGCTCCTGCTGGATCGTCCGGTCAAGTCAAGCCGCTCAATGTCACAGCAAAGGCGCCTGCGACTCAGGTTAAGGACCCGATCAAGCAGGCCGAATTGGCCCTTACCAAGAAGGATCCCAATGAAAAGTCGAACAAGGAGGTCCGCATGAGCGCTATGAGCGATGCGCAAGTCATGGAGCGACTACGATCAGTTGTCAGTCTTTCAAACCCTCTGGAGAGCTACAACAAGCAGAAGAAGATTGGTCAGGGCGCGTCAGGTTCAGTCTATGTGGCACGGATCCGCGAGAATGCACCTTCGCCAATCGCCAAGGACTTGATCAAGACATACGGTCCACGCGCTCAGGTCGCCATCAAGCAGATGGACCTTCGATCACAGCCGCGTAAGGAATTGATCGTCAACGAGATCATCGTCATGAAAGAATCCCGCCACGACAACATCGTCAACTTCCTCGATGCTTTCCTCCAGGAGGATACCTTTGAGTTGTGGGTTGTCATGGAGTTCATGGAGGGTGGTGCCTTGACCGATGTCATCGATAACAACTCCTCCATCAGCGAAGAGCAGATTGCACGGATTTGCTTGGAGGTAAGTCCTTTGGGTGCTGTCCGTTCATCGAAACTTGTAGTTTTGCTAACATTTTATTTCCTCGCGCAGACATGCAAAGGTCTCATTCACCTCCACAATCAGAACATTATCCACCGTGATATCAAATCCGACAACGTGCTGCTCTCCTCTCGAGGCGCAGTCAAGATTACCGATTTCGGTTTCTGCGCCAAGCTTACCGAGCAGCGCTCAAAGCGTGCGACCATGGTTGGTACACCATACTGGATGGCGCCCGAAGTTGTCAAACAAAAGGAATACGGTAGCAAGGTCGACATCTGGTCCCTTGGTATCATGGCCATCGAAATGATCGAGAGTGAGCCTCCTTATTTGAACGAGGAGCCTTTGAAGGCCCTCTATTTGATCGCGACCAACGGAACCCCACGACTCAAGAAGCCCGAGAAGCTCTCCAAGGAACTCAAGGCGTTCTTGTCCGTCTGTCTGTGTGTCGACGTCAAGTCCCGCGCTACCGCCGAAGAGCTGGGACGTCACGAGTTCCTGCAACACGGATGCTCGTTGGCCAGCTTGAGTGAGCTGCTTCGGTTCCGTAAGGCGGGACACTAGAGCGCTTTCTTTGTTGAAATGGAAATGAATTGATGCCGATCATGATGGAAAGGAAATTGAGGACTTCGATGGGGCTTATCATGAAACTCCAAGCCGGATCCGCAGCACAACGAGGTGTTGCGGACGGGAGCATTGGCACGCGCGCTGCTACGCTCCTCAAGGTGATTCTCATCTGTGCTGAAACGGCACTTGGCGGCTCGCCTCGCCCGTCTGGGTCTGCCTCCGGCGGCATACAAGCAGCGAGTGAAATGACGTTTGATGACCACATGCGTCGAGCCCAGGCCAGCATGAAGCACGGCTGGAGCAGCAAATGCTCCCAGGACTGCGGCGATGCCATGACTAAAACAACGAAAAGAAAGGGAGACCATATAGCGAGTTTGTTCTTACGATGATGTGATGGATATCTCTTGTCCGCTCTGCCGCCAATGTTTGATCATTATCTTCTTCGTTTCTCATTCATAATGGCTCGGCGTATTCGGCGCGACTCATTTTACTTCTATCTCAATTGGGAATTTCGGGGGAGGACAAACTTCTCGTTCTATTGGAAGAAGACAAAACAAATGTGAGGTGTTCTGAAAACACGAAATAAATTTGAACAAGACATGTTGACGATTGATCTCGCGCTCTCGTCGTCTCGGTTCACCAGATCACAGTGCTGTTACGGTGATATTGAATGCGGAACTTGTGTCTGCTGACTTGGGCTTAGCCTTCCCGCCTTGTTTCCAATGACCGTACCTTTTCGCTTGTGTTCGGGTTGATCTGGACAATTCCCTACTGTCTGCCAGGTGATGAGGTTGTCCCTGGGTTTGTTGTTTCGGTTCGTATCGCTGCTCAATCGCAATGAACGTTCTTCTCGCACTCAAAACAAGGCGGTTCTAATTTTCATCTGAATGCACGGAGTACTCCAAGCCTTCACGTCCCATCTCAGGAGACATCTCGTGAGATGTCCACCTGTGGTTGATTGGCACGACGAAGACCCGTTGACCTCAAGATAACCCAAACCCTGACCCCGATCTTCACAGCCCATAACTCTAACCCTAACCCTCTGTGACCCGCGGACGGTTTGCGGGCCTGTTGGAAATCAACACGGGAGCATCGTCTGGCTGGGGCTAGGCCATACCAGGCTGGAAGACCAGTGTTTTGTTTCCCGCCTGCGTCGCCGGCTGTCGCTGGATTTTTCATTATCAATGCCCTGTCGTAAGAATTAGGGATAGTCGCCGAGTATATAAATTGGCGTGACAAACGAGGATTTCAAGGTCAAACGACAATTGGAAGAAAGGGTTGAAAGACAACGCCACTCAAATGAAGTCGGTGCAGACATGGGATTCGAGCATAAACAATCGACCGTGAAAACGCCAAAAGTAGAAAACCTTGACCACAACCATTTCCCGAAATCTCCGACTGCAAGAATGGTAAAGAAGAAGCTTGAAAAAGGACAGGATAAAGGAATAGAAGGAAAGAAAAAGAAACAGAGCTGGAACCGCGGTGCAAACATTTCATGAAAAACCGCAGCCCGATGGAACGCCGGCGATGGAAAGACATATTCATCGCGTACAGGAATCGCTTTGCAGTCATACAATGTGATCAGAGATAGCTGACCGTGCAATCTGTGGAGTCTCTGCTTGAAGTCATGTTCGTACAACGACAACAATGACGACAAACCCCCCCAAATCTTTTCCCCATCATTATCTCGCTTGCATTGTCATTGATTTATCGTTTCACATGCTCAGATCTGCACCTCTTTGAGCCCGTTCACTTCCGAGAGCCTTTTTGCTTCCTCGTTCGCGCGGCCGCTGGTGCTGCTCGCAGCGATGACGGCGTCCAGCTGTTGTGATAGCTGATCCTCCCGCATATCCCGGGACGGACTCAGTGGTTGGCGCTCCTCGGGAGCACCTTTGCGTAGGGATCCATGGAGTTCGTCGTCATCGTCGTCATCGAGGTGGTCGTCGTCGCTGGAAAGTACGCTGCTGCCGAGACGACTGCGCGGGAATTTCGGAAGGCTGTCGTGGGGTGAAGTTGTGGAGCCGGCGTCTGGTGATGTGATGCTGTTGTTGTGATGCTCGCTGTTCAGTGAGATCAACTTTTCCGACGCTCGAGCTAGAGCATTGGAGTTGATGCCAGAAGCTGATGAGATCGAGCCTCGAGGGCTGTCCAGACCTCCAACCAGCTTGTGGCTGTCATCAGAGCGTGAAGGTGTTGTCGCAGATGATTCTTCCGTCACGCGTGCAAGTGGGCTTCCAATGTGAGCGCGCGGACTTGACGTCGCAGGAGCTTTGCCGTTGTTCGAGCCAGTCGAGTAGCGATGAGGAGAGCGACCACGGTCATTGTCCACAGGCGAGGCGTATGGTGAGAAGCCATTCGCGGCTCCGCCGACAGAAGTAGGTGACGTGACATTGCTGTTGACGCGAAGCGGGCGGCGGCGAGGAGCACGACGTCCGTATTTCTGATCCGTTCTCCAGCGCAGAATGTCAATATAAGCCGGCTCGACGCCCGGCTGCTTGAATTCTCGCAATTTCAGCTCTTTCGAATCCTCTTCGATCCACCACTTATCCGTCGATAGGTCGTCGGCCAAAGTCGCTAGGAAGGCAGCCCATGAACGTGCTACAACATACTTGCAGTCGTAATCTCGGCCCATGAGGATGATCTGGCCCCATTTGCCAGCTGGACCAGGAGCGAGGTCGACAGCGATGTTGTTTCCTCCCCAGTCACGAGCCAATGGGATCCAGGCGGGATGCGCGTATGCTTTGTGAATGGCATTGGGCGGCTGAGAGTCTTGCTTGTCGAGCAGTTCGGCGCGCCATTGAGATGAGTTGCCTGCGGGAGGCTGAGGAGCAGCAGCGGCAGATGATGAAGAGCCGGCGAATGCCTTGAGCGGTGGCTGTGGAGCGGGAAATGGTCGTGACTCGTTGCTGAAGTAGGCTTCATTGACTGTCCGCCAATTTTGCCATTCCTGAGTGATCTCCTCACAATCCAGCAACATGCAGCCAAAGATCACACCCGTGGGCATACCACCACGTTCCTGGCCGTCATGTAATTGTAATGATTCGCGAACATCCTGTGGCAATGTACAATCAAGCTCGTGTTCGAGCTCGTTCACGTCGTTGATTGTGGCGCCCGGGCCTATGTTTTCGAAGAGCTCCTCGTAATTGTCCTCCATCCACCGATCGATTCTCTTCCACGAGTGGCTCACGGGTGGTGGCGGCGGAAGACCATCGCTGAAGCTCTGCATTTGGATCTCGCCGGTTGTGAGGCTTTCGAGTTTGTCTCCGCCGGAGTGCTGTCGTTGCATGCTCGTGCGATAGGTGGGTGTGGTAGTGCCGCTCCCGCTGTGAGTGACGAAGCCTCCATTGCCGGCCTCGAGGTCATGATCGAGATCGGTGCGAGAGTCGAAGACGCCAGTAGCAGCAGAAGAAGTGAGTGGTGTGCTCCGTGAACGTGGCAGTGGTTGATGTTGATGGCCACGATAGGCCGCCTCTGGACCGGCATGACGATCATTGGAGGTCAACTCATGCCAAAAGGAGCGCCATGTCGAGGCAATACTGGGTGGTGATAGAGACGCCATTAGCACTCGTCTTGCGCGGCGCCGACGTCTTCAGCGCAGTGGTCGTCGGCGGAAGAGTAGGATAAATCTGAAGGATGGAGAAATGTGCGGGTTGGGTTCAGGAGGGATCATCGCGATATGCGCCATGGCAGGAGCGATGTAAATCAATCGGACAGGTGGACTTACGACGGTGCCATGGGTTGTGATGACCTGGTTGCGAGCGGTAGCGACAGTGGTGAAGAAGGAGCAATAAGGAGAAGAATGGGCCAAATCGGTCGGTCAACTTTTTGGGGACCAAACAAGGGACCACGATGCCCACTTCCCCGGGCGGTTGCCGCTGGATTACCGGGGGTGAAATGCCACCAATTCTATTTTTGTGGCCGAAAATACTCGTTGGAACAGCGTTTGACGGCGAGGTGATTGTGCAAGATGTACTGTATCTCTGTGTGTTTGTGTGTGTGCAGCGACAATATATTGCGCAAAGGATAAGGAGAGTGTGAAGAGAGGGAGAGGATGTATTGTAAATGCCAGGCCAGGATGATGGATACTAGGTTACATAGATGGTTGGTGTGGAGTGTCTGCAGTAGTGAGGAAAGCGATACACAACAATAAACAGTTCCCCTACACATTGTTGGGCCCAGGGGAGGCGCGAAAAAGCCAAGACGTCACACGGGATGCACCTCGCTCCGGGGCGAAACGTGCAAGACGCAGCCACTCGACGCCCTCCCTTCTCATCACTCACCGCAGGTATACCTAGTTTGTAGGAGGCATTATTTTATAGTATGGCAATGATGGATGTACTGTGACAACCACCCTTCACGGATATAATCGAGATTGATCACGATCATGGTCATATGGGATCATCGCCATAAGTAAAGGAGGCGTTCATACTCAAGCATAGTATGGAACGATGTGATAAGAATACCTTAGGTAGTGACATTACTGCGCCGATCATGACGATAACTCCATCGTATGCTGCATCTCGTATCGCGCATGTCATCGCTGTGTCTATCATTCTCGTTCCCATGAGGCAAATTCAACATGTATTCAAATGGCCTGTCCTAACGATATGAATGCATGCATCCATCCGTCCACGCCATGCACGGCCACCGACCGCATGGGAAGTACGGTTCGTGTATGTGCATGTGCGGAGTTGATTCGCATCGGTCTCCTTCGTTCGAGAGCGTGCTGCGTGGACGACACGTTACCGTTCGGGGCGACAATCAAACGGTGATGACAGATGGTCTCGAACTCTTTTTCGACGGAGCATCCGCATCGTGCGCGTGCAACACGAACACTTCGCAAGACGATTTGCATCACACGCGGGGGCAAAAAGGTTCTTGTTCAGCTGTGGTGTTGCTGACAACAAAGGCATTCCCTTTGCACGAAAATAAACAAACCACCAAAAGGCGCACCGAATTTAAGCTCTCGAGACAGACCTTGGCCCTGCATTCCATTCCATTCCGCCGCCACCCGCCGAGACTTGTCCTTGCCGCGACTACCCGCCCTTCAAACCACGCGCTTAAGATTCAGCCCGCCCGCCCGCGCGACTGCCCCGGCCTAACAGCCCGTTCAGCTTGGAATACGTCCTGTAATCATCAAAAATCTGTTCATATACATGTATAGGATGATATCTCGGTGACAGAATGCGTTGTAGACGACAACATGCGACATCATATTCTCCGCCAAATGATAGCCGCTCGTCGTCTGCTGCGCTCTAGTGTGCGCCACATCTTGGCCGATACAGGATCGTTGAGATGCTGTGATTTACTCCGCTTGCCTCTCATGCTCCTTCTTCAATTTGCTCGGATCCAGCAATTCAAATCCAAAGTTCCAGATATTCTGCGGCGAGGTTCTTCCCCATCTCGTCAATGGCTTCTTGTTCCCTCCCTTCGAGCTGCTTCCTCCGATATGTTGGAACACGCTCGGGACAAGAGCCAGGCGCTGTAATCCCGTCTCGTCGGCATAAGACTCGATCAAACTGTCGACAAAACCTTGTTGGGAGTCCTGATAAAATTTGATCAGACCCGGAATGGCTTCGCGTGGGAAAATCAAAGCTTGGGAGCAACATCCGTATTTCTCCATATGTTGCAGTCCGAGAGGTAAAGGCGCGACCGTCAGACGTCCAGAGGCGAAATAAAACCCTATGCAAGAGGGCAGGATGACAAACAGGACTACGAGCATCGTCGGACCTGAGAGGAAACGAGCCAAGTAGGGATTCGACGAGTGCCGTAGAACAAGCATCACAATCACAGTCCCGACTGCAACGAGAACAGACCGGAACAAATACGACGCCCAATTCTCCGAGTTCCAGCCTTGAATCCGCTCGTTGTAGAACAATCGAATGTAGAGAGTCGAAGCTTTATCCTTAGGCCGAAGGGAAAGTTGTCTGAGCGCCGTAAGACTTCGATGCAACCAACCGTCCATTGCGAGAACATCGTCCTCGAGAACTAAAACATACGGCGCGCCCAAGTCGTAGCCGTCCTGGAGCAGTTTCGCGTAATCGAGTAGCGGCTTGACCTGATGATATGGGTCGTTCTGCTCGTAGAAGAAAGCGCGATCAAGAACCTCTGCCGGGGCATCAGTATATTTTATGATGCGATCCGCGAGTGTATGAAACCATGACTCATTAAATGCGGAATGGAGGTTCGGGTCGGTGTGGGCGATGAAGAAGGAGAGATGGAATTGGTTCCGTTCCTCTTTGGTGAGGCCGTGAAGCAGCGATCCCACAGCAGCTTTGACATATTGTACTTCTTCCCTTTGGACCGTTCCAATGCCAATGGCCAATTCGGGATTTCTGCTCACAGGCCGCGCATACTTTTGCGGATTTGCAGATACCGCGTCCACATAATCTATGGCTTGCTGTGTCCGGAGCGCCGAGTACGATGGCTCAAAGGCGCTGACTGGATCGAAGAATAAAGATGAGGGATCACGTCTCGAGAATGGTCGGAGATGCAAAGCCGTAAGGAGGAAGACGACCACGAATGCGATCAGCGCTGCGGAGTGAGAGGAGAGCTGGCCTCGTCGTGCGCCCATCCAGCGTGCCATGACAATGGCGAAAGCACAAATATCTCAAAATTTAAATCTCGGAGCAGCGATCGAGCTGGCATGCTCGAACTTGTCTCGCAACATCTTGTGCGATTGGAAACACGTTTTGACTCGTCTGCAATAAAGGAGGATCGGCGGAACCCTTCAATAGAGGGCAAATGCTAACCCTAATGACAGCAAACCTCCACCTGTGCGGTGAAAACAATCACGGAATTGATTTATACTTTACATGGATCATCATGGAGGTCCTGACGTGGCAGTCGGCTACCCGTGTGGAACAGAATCATTTCTGCTCTGGTGGCGGAGCAGATCAGGCAGTGCGCCAATACCTAGGTAAACATAAGAATGACCAGAGTCGCACCGGAAAGCCTAACAGTAACTGACTGCGCATTGATCATGAAATTCCATTGCATATCTCCAATAAACTTCCCAACCCATGCTCGATGTAGTATACATGGCATTTCTCTCTCGAATGAAACAGCCGAGACTTCCGCCGCGTGACCCAAAAATCAATTTTATTCTTACATGACAATGTCGTTTCCGGACCCATATGGCCGAGCAGAAGAAGAAGCATAAGAAGGGAAATCCGAATCCTGCAAACCCTGATCATTCGGCGCCAACAAATCGTAACCCAACCCCAGACTCCACAGGGCTTTGTCCTGATCGTCCCAGAGCCCGTACGAGAAATCCGAGAGGTTGCTGATAGGATATTCGGCACCATTGGCGTTTCCATAGACATGTTGTGGTGGCGGAAAGTTGCCGTTGGTAGTTTCGTGAGGACTATAGTCCTGGGGGCGGCTGTTCGACGCTTGTGCTTGTGCCTGGGCATGCGCTTGCATGAGGTACATTTGCCGTTGATGCGATTTTACGTCTGCTGCAGGGGGGATCTGCGAGAGCGACTCGTTTGGTCGAGCAGAAGGTCCTGATGTCGCAGCATTTTGAGCGCGCATATACGGTGTTTCGCTGCCGTCGAGTTGTTTGCGATTGTTCAACATGCGTTCGAACCCGTTTGCCATGCTGAATACCATATGGGCAGCACCTGCTTTGCATCCTCGAAGAAGTTTGATAATTCCTTCGATTAAAGGAAAGGTCCTTTCTGACGGAGATATTGAAATGCCAATGGTATGCCATCGAATTGATAGTCGCATGAGGAATACCACCGCGAACGCAATCATCGAATGGAGATAGAGCGGCATTCCGACGAGAGCATCTCGATAGCTTGGCTCGTCAGTAAAGTGCTCCAGGATTGAGTGCGCCGCTTTTATTGCCCTCAATGCAAAAGGACGTAGTCCGCTTGGAAGACTCTGTAGCGAATCTAGCTCTCGCCCTCGGATCACGAGCGCATTCAACACGAGTTGACTGAAATAGTAATGCAGCTCCACCCCACGAGTAAGATCGTGCTTGACGGCTGGATCCTTTTCAGGCAACCTGACCCATTTATCTTTCCACGTATCGAGGTCTTCCACGAATCGGAGGTGGTTCAAGACATGCGCGTCATCGCCGACCATAGAGCGCTTCGGTTCAAGACCGAACAACTCGAATGCTCGACTCACGATAGCGCACCCGGACACCACCGCCAGTAGCTCCCGGTCGGCCGGTGTGCTTTCAGCTGAACGCAGAAGCGTCTCGTAATCTTTGATGGGTCGAAGCTCTGCCATCACAGGCGGACGGCCATATGCTATACTTGATGTGTGATCAAGTAGATAAAGGAAATACCAGATTCGGGCCTTCTCTACACATTCATTGCGTGTCTCTTCCGATAGATCTGGCGTGTGGAAAGCTTCATGGAATGCATGGTGCAGATTTAGCTCCGTAGCCATGCGGATGGCGACACCAGAAAGTTTCCAGGTGAGGTCCGGTTGCCAAAAAGCTGCAATACAGAGTCCTCGTATATCGTCCAGAGAATGTAAATGGTCGAAAATGGCAGATGACACTAGAGCCAGAAAGTGTTCATGGCAGTCTTTATGTAGTTGCTCCTTGCCGGGAATATGCAGCGCGCTAACCATCATGATTGACGTGAAAAGCACTGTTGACGATTTTCGGATGTCGTCTAAGCTTGCATCTGGTTTCACTCTGGCTGACGAAAGGTGATGCGAGAGTCGAGAATGAAATCTGCCAGGAACATGGTCAGAAAGGAAAATTAAATCGACCCGGGGTTGAATACTTACACCGCCAGCATCTCTTCGGCTTCCGCCAAAGTAATTTTCTCTTTCGAGACCAAGTCGAAGTTCATTCTTTTGTAGCCACCTCGGCGGCGCTGCTTGACTGAACGTAGCTGAGTCCGCAGTCCAGATATACGAGTGACGTCGATTAGACTGCTCATCGGACCTGGAGATATATCGGCCCCGTTCGGAGTCGGTTCGGGTGACTTTGGCCTTGCAACTGCTGGTGATGTGAAATTGTCCACGATTGCGGACTGTGCATAAAGTTCCAGTTCCGGAAGATTGAGCTTCTCCAGGACATCTCGCATCGCTCGTTCGAGCTTGACCAGGACAAGTTCCGTATCTGACGGCCTGATGGTGGAAAAGATTTTTTTGGTCAAAGGTTGCACACGGCATGCGAGATCTTTGTGTAAACATACCTGTCACTGCGGTCTGCGCTCATCCAGGTTTTTCTTTCGCTCAGGCATTGAACCTTGAGGCGAGTGCAGCGCGTGCATACCGTCCGGCCCTTTTCGCCCAGGTCGCATTTGACCTTCAATTTCCGACATTGGGAACACGACTTTCCTTTGCGCGAGACGTGTACATCACTTGTGCCGTTGACCGTGCTCATGGATTCCTGTCGAGGTCGCTTCCGTGGCGAAGACTCCTCATCTGTCGGTTCCGCAGGGCGCACCGTGGGAAGGTCGTTGGCACTCATTTCGTCGCGCGAACTGCTTTGTTTCGCATAACATGAAATTTCTACGCATGACGCCACGCATGGTACCACTCAAGAACGAGACAGGTAACGAACGAGAGAGCAGAACACGCGACGTTCTAAATGCTGCCAGGTCACATGTTCAATATGGAAATGGATAAACGGGGCTGACTCTCAGAACACGATCTTGCTAGTGCGGTTGATGAGTCATCCCGCCTTCGCACCAGACTTGTTCCAGCCCTGGCGGCGGAAAGAGTTCCTTCAGTCCGAACATACAGACTCGAAGACTTCCCAGGTTGCTTGATCAAGTTTGGTCACAACAATTTTGTGTGCTCTCAAAAATGATGAACGATATAATGAAGGGCGCAACAAAGTTCACACGATAGTTTCCTCCAGTAGGGATCTCAATGGAAATTAGAACTCAAGTGGTCGAACGATGGATCGCATGTCTGCGTAGGTCTCGCTCAATTGTGAGGCCATATTGAGAATGGATTTCGTTCAAAAATGAATTATATCATTATGTATCGGACTCGGATCAAAATTTGAGCATCGTCGTTCGTGCGATTCATGCGCTCCTAGCAAACGATCCCCATCATACCCTTTCATGGTAGATTCCTCACAAGGGCACCCCCTGCTGAGCCATTGCCATCTCCTCCTCGTCGAGCTTCAGCATGGTCAACCACAGGGTCTTCTTGGTGATATCAAGCGCGGGTGCTGCTGCCATCGGCAGCTTCGCCTTGTCTCCCTTAGCACGGATGTCCTTCGCCTCGCCGATGTGCATTTCCGCGATCCACGTTGAAAGGCCGGAGAACTGCTCGCCGACCGATTTTGCCTTTCGCGCACTCTTGACAAAGTCATCGAGTGTCGCATCAGCCACTTCCGCCAATTGCTCCGTGTCCACAATGCGAGCATGTAGACCCCGAGCATTGAGCCAGTCCTTGTTAGCGGTAGCGACATAGGCATCAGCCCGGTCCCGTGGGCTCTGTGGTCGCTTCACTAGACGTCCTGGAAATTTGAGGACCGAGTCGACAATATGCCCTGCAGTGCCTAATGTCAGGCCGAGGGTGCCTCCGATGACGCCAATGAGGTCTCCGCGTTGGGCCTTCCGGCCAAGATCCATGGCGGCGTCTTTCTGGCTCAAAGCCCAATCTTTGTGAGCTTCACCAAGAGTATACGCTAAGTCAACAGCATGCTGGACGGCCTGGGTGCCGACAGCGGCGTTGAGGAAAGCGGACAGGGTATCTACAAATGAAAGCCAGCTCTCTTCGGGGATTCCAAAACTGAGAAGGCAGACTGGATACGCCTCGAGGAAGGGAGAAGTCTCTTTGGGCTGCAATTGCGGGATTGCCAATGGCCGGCGTACCGGGTCGAGCGCATTGTAGGCGGGTACGGCATTGGTAGGAAAGTGGAATGGCTGGTCTGTTGTAGGGCCAACCTCGCTCGGGTGTAGTTTTTGCCGTGCAGATGGGTCTGCTTGCGTCGCGGGAGAGGAGTTTGCTGCTTGAACGACAGCGGGACCTCCAAATGACGGACCGCTGGGGTTTCCGCCAGGTTGGAGGTCATCATAAGCTGGGGGCAGATCGTCCCGAAGCGTGCCAGTATGTGAAGCGTCCGATGCAGGTCTGGAAAGGGCTTGACCTTTGTTGATACTTGGGTCAGCGGCGGGCTGAAATTTGCCGCCCTTGAGCTCAGTCATGATTGCGTGTAAGAAGTGTTGTGGTTATCGACGTGTGTAATGCTGTGGTCCTCAAGAAAAGGAATATCGGATCGTGTAGTTCGCTTGCTGTGCGTATGTATAGCCAAGGATGTGAGGACATCAAGGAATTCAACGATCAGCGGCGAGATCGATAAGCTTTTCGTCTGTCCAGAATATTGTTGCCTGAACAGAGTGGATCAACGAAGCAGCGCAACTCGGACCAAACCCCCTGGCCTATTTGCGTGAACGCATGTCGACGCAATTGTCCCCCCGAGCTTGTGATAACGAACATGCCGAGGACCAATGCGGGGGCACCTCCGTGACAGAAATTTGGCAGCGGCGGGACCAGCCGCCGACTTGTCATCATCATCATTGATTTTCCAATTATCCATTGCGAATATGGCAACTCCAGATTACGTTTCGTTTCGCGAAGGCTCACATATGTCGTCTCCAGAAAGCGCTCCGAGCACGCGGTATTGCTATGCACTTCCCATGTTAGATTTTGTCGCTGTTTCAATGTCGACGATGAGATCAATCGCAGCCAAGTCGCAATGTTTGCGACGCGCGCTCTTCCACCCAATGGACTTCGTTCTCCGTACCCATACCATGGCGAAGAACAGCTTCCCGTAATCAGTCACAAGGCGATGCGTTCAGCCTCCACACACAATGCGAAAGATCTGTGCGAGTTGAATGCGGCATTGTAGTGAAGGCAGCTGCGTAATCTCGCCGCTCAGGTCATGGATAAAGCTTGCTATATACAATAGTGGGCACTATCTGTCTCGATGGTTCGGCATTCGGTATTCTGGCGCAAGCGTCTCGATCTAGTCAATCCGATACAATACATGTAGCTTTGCTGAGATTCGGAGCCTGATCGGGTTTGAACGAGCTATTTCACAGAACTGTTGCCATCTGCTGATGAGCGCGATCGCTTTTCAGCCATGATGGACACCATCTCCGATTAAGTCAAACCGCATGCTAACCGTCCGATCAGCAACATCGGGACGACTCGCGACAAACACTTCCACAAACAGTGGACTGGCTGAATTTGGACTCATTGCGACAAAATCTTCTCGACCGCCTCAAGTGCGACGACTGCACGATACGGTACCATACCGCTTCATCGAAACGGCGCTCTCATGCCATGAATCCCTAGACTCAATGGCCATTGGTCCTCCAAACCCATCACATGTTGGAAAAGCCACTTGCGAACTTGCGATGTGACCACAGCGTACATCCAATGCATGGCGCATTTCGGGGTTGTGGCTGCATAGCACAAGCTCCGCTGCCGTTCGACAATAGTGCAATCAATTTCAACGCCACGATAGATTGTCCGTCAGCAGCATCCGAGCAAGAAAGCTTGCCATTTCTTGGAGGTCACGAATTGAGCAACATGGGCGTTTCCCTGGTGGCCGGCGTGCATAATGGGAGGCGTTCACTAGTACTTTGGGCTGGCGAAGGTAAAGCACGATCTGCACATCTGCTCACATGGACGCATGTCTCCGTGAGAGCTAGTCTGCAAGCTTTGCTGATAACGTGCTTTTGCCATGTGCATGTAGAGGTTGTATATGGCGATAGGCATGGTCACCGAGAACAAGGCAGGTTTATCAGTATCGTGGTCCCCATGGGTCTTGTTTTAATTTGCGAAATCATGTCTATCGGAAAGCTCTGCGAGAATTATCCAGGCGGAATTCCCCAGCAAGCCTCCAGGATTTTTGTGGCTTGTGCGGGGTTCCTCTCCTCCCCGTCTTATGAACATTGCTTTGCAAGGGATGCGGGAGGTGCCACCGTCAGCACATCCACTTGTGTAGTTTTGGCTTGATCTATTCGACACCGCGACTAGGTATAATGCAACGTAGAAGCCATCGAATAGCTCCCCATCATGTGGAATTGTTGGAAACAGGATTGCGCGCATGACCACCACTGTTGGCAACCACTTGGCTGGGAACTTGTAATGTACAGAATCACGCGCGTGGCAAACCGATGCTGGTTCTAGTTCTCCAAGTAGCGAGCAATCTTCAATCAAGAGGCTGAAGACGCAACGACTCGGGACACCCAGTTGCGCGCGGACAGCCGGAGCAAGTGTGCCGTACTAATATGCCTTTCATGAGTATCTTTGGCCGACTTGTGGCTGATGTGTCCCGTCAGAAGACGGCAGAGGATGATGTACCATTTGGCGACAAGCGAGCGCGCCATGAGGCTGATTGAGAAGTGTCCCTGAGGGAGCTTTGGAATTTTCGGACGGATGGAAGACCGCCATGCGACCTTGACATGTATCGAAGTTCAATGAGGTAGCACGTGGGCTTGGAGCCGCAGTAACTTTAGGATCGAGAATGAGCAGATTCGTGGCTCGAGAGAATCTGGTACGTGAAAATAGGAAACGTGTTTCGTGGATATCTTATTCGCAAAATACGGAATGAACACAGGATCGTGAACGAACTCTACGTAGAGTAAATGAAAGCAGGGTTCTGCTTGTCGGTCAAGTCCAAGAACGCGAGATTTGGGTCGTTCACGAGCTCGGGGTTCTGCTCCCGCTGTGTAATCTTGCGGCGATTCTGGTAGCGGTAGTAGAAGCTAAATTGGGGTCAGTAATCGCTTTGACAATGGTTCACGAAGCAAGATCGCTTACTTGAGCAGGGTGAATGAGACCAGAGATGCTACGAGCAGGACAATGGCAGATATCTGTCCGGTGGGGTAATTCTGTGGAGCTTCTTTGGCCTTGTATGCGAATGGACCGGCAAATCCGCCAAGGTTGGAAATGATAACAATGATTCCGTTGATGACAGTTTTCTTTGTGTGTCCAGCTGTGTTGGCAGCGATCAAAGAAAAGCCTTGGATCAATGCTCCATAGAAAGTGGCGGCCTGAGATGTTCATGTGAGTGATGATTCTGCGATACAATACAGTAGGCGTCGCGACTTACGATGTATAGACCTCCTAGCAGGGAGCCGAAGCTGGTCTTGACCTTCCACAAAATCACATTGCCGATGATACTGGGCGCGATGTATGCCATGGCGATAAGAATGCGGTGGCGCGGGAACAACGTGCCCAGGATACTTTGAAGTGTCAGCGGCTTGTTCGCGTTCGTGCTGTGAGAACCTGCGATCTTACCCAGAGGAAACCATGCAGACCACAGCAATGGCTGAGATGGGCATAGACAATTTGATGGCTTCTGTAGGCGACACACCAAATGAAGAGACCAGGAAAGCACCAAATCTGCAAACGAAGATTAGAAATCGACAGCTACCAGAATCGTCGTCGGCCGCACATATTACTCACGACCCCAATGCGTTGTTGTTGAAGGAAAAAGCGAACGAGTAAATCCCCAAGAGCCAGACCTGAGGGTCCAACACGCCCTCAACAACTTGCTTCCATTTGAAAGAACGAGTTTGGATGCCAGTGTTATTCTTGGCCAAGCGGCGGACGGCAATCTGCTTCTCTCGAGCGTTTAAAAACCAGGCTCGCATCGGAGCGGATGGGAAGGCGATGGTAGCAACGACTCCATATGCCATGGCGATCACTCCAAGGATGACGAAAATCCATTTCCACTCGTGTCCTGCGTAGACGCCTCCCTGGATGCTGATGGCACCCAAGTCGACTGCCTGTCCGATCAAGTTTCCTAGAGCGGAGCCGGCAATGTATGTGCCTACGCGCAGTGGCTGTTCGTCGGTCTTCCACCTATACGATCATTCAGTATCCCGACATGATCGTCGGAGATTCGCTGACTTACCACATGGGGGTTACGATGACCGCCAATGCTCCGATGACAGAAGTGAGACCGTAGAAAAATCTACAAGATCGTTAGATGCCATTTGATCGATCCCGATTCACGAGTGCGACTGACCGAAGGGCAAGAACATCCTCGTAACCACGGCAGACGACAGTCAATGTGGCGAGAAGACCCGTGTATACACCCATGATGCCAAGCAGCTTGCCGTATGAGACGTATTGTGCCAGGTATAGAGCGATCATGGGGAGCTGTTAAAGCCCAAGGTTAGAAACCAAGATTTATTGGGGTTGAGGATTCGACTCACGACGAGGGAGCCGAGTTGCGGCATAGCTGCTGCGAGAGAGTATCTCTCCGTATCGAGGAGGTCTACTCTTGCAACGCCATTGATCACGGGGATGTGATAGAGCTTCAAGTCCTGAATCATGCCAAAAATCGCAGCAAAACCAAAAGCCTGAGCATCAGCGTATCCCAACGCCGCACCGATGAAGAGCTATTACACAGGGATCGTCAGATGTGTTTGACTCAAGTCGTCATTGGCTTTGCACTCACGAGAGGCAGAATCACGACGTCAATCTTGCGCACGACCCTCCTTTCCTCGGCCGGTGTCCATGAGATTTCCTCAGCATCGGCGGCGAATTGGAAGGCATCATCGGCGCGCTTGATAACGATCTTCTCCTCGTGTTGCTCACCACTCGAGGTGGTGGCAGTCTCGACAATGGTGATTTCTTCCTTGTTTGGTGCCATTGTTGCGTAGTCGAAGCTGTCGCAAGAATCAAGAAAGAGAGACGTGCTGTGAGGAGACGTGCTGGAGGTCCGAGATGAGGGCCTTAGTCTAGTTTAATAAAACAGCCATGCTTGGACCATCGCCACTCGTGGAAGTGCGGCTGGCTATCGACAGGGCAGCGTGACTCGTGGGCATACAGATCATGTCCTGGTTGTACAAGGTACAGTACTGTACCTGTCCTGTGTGGTACAGGACAAGACACATGCGTTCAGTCTACAATGTGTGCATACACACCACCTGGAGAAAGATCACCCTTGTCCCGCCTGCACCCCGCCAGTTGAACGGCGTCGCATCCTTGTCCGAGAAGCCTGCATGCCGAAGCGGAGAGGATCAAGACCTCGCGCACACACACTCGTTTGTCTGTTTCCCCTCTGGCACTGCAGACACTCACCAAGCGACACGACCTTGTTCGACAGACAGCAATTCACCGGCATGTCCGGCATCGATAGGAGGTCCACATTATTCGGTGCAACGGGCAGCAGGTTCATCGTTGCTACTATGGAATAGACTATAGACCGAATTGATTAGAGGCTTGCGAGTGAAATTGGCGAGGCGTGCGGGAGGCATTGTGCTCCGAGGAGAATCTTGCCTAAGGCGGTTAGGGAGAGATGAGGTAGACGTTGGGGTAAGCGTTGCTGATCGACAGTAGCGTGACCTTCCCCGGCCTTGGGACGGGAAAAGTTTGCGGAGCACAAATAAAGCACCACCGATTGAACGGATGGAGGTTGTCGCAACCGCTGTGTTCCCTCGGCTCTCGTCAATTGGAACTTGGCAGACAGACAGTTTCCACCCATGCAGCGGGTACAACTGAGAGCATCACTCCACCAATTACATACAGTACTATCATGACTACGTTGTCCTGTCCTCACTGTCACGACCGTCACTAATCAAGGTTCGAGCGAGTCGATGAACACATTTTCGTCCGCAAGCGTTATCGTCGAGGATTGTCTTGGGCCTCTCCACACTGCTCATTTGCTTGCAGTTATCCGCTTGTTCATAATAATAGTAATAATAATAGACAGTGTCTTCTATTACAAGATCTGACACGAGTCTAAAATCCTAAGGTCAAAACTCCACCCCGACAGCCATCCTTGGCCATACTTGCCTGCGTTGAAGGAGGGAAGATTTCCACGGTGCCTGGAAGATATCGTTCTACTGTAGGATCAATCAAGCAGTAATGGGAATCGGTCTGTACGAAATGCTTCTCATATATGCTTTCGCGGGCCGTGTTCATGATGGGCCCCCGCCGCAAGTGGCGGATTGCTCCGGACAGGACATTTCAATCTCTGCAGGGCACCCCGACCAGGATGTGTGGATCTAGGCCAGACACAAGCCCTATACGCCCGACATCCATCTCGCAGAATTGACCTGTGTGGACTGCCGCAATCTTCACGGACACACATGCACCCTCACTAGATATCTTCACAGACACGAATTGGGTCTCTGTACGTACAAACTGCATCCAATACATTGCAGTGGTGAGACGCCCCGAAAGGGTTTTACTGTGGTGTGATCAAGCCTCGATCCCGCATGTCGTTGCCCGTGTGCGCCATCCTTCCACCAAAGGTCACTATAGTCCTGCTGTGGCCTCTGCAGCGTGCCTGATGAGTGGATCTCTCGCCAAGGCCCGGTTTGTAGTATCCTCTATCCATGATGCCTGCCATCAGTTCAAAATCACGAGTTTGCCAAGGCGACAAGGTTGACCGATATACTGCGTGAGCCCAAGAATATCTGGCAGTGACGGCACAGGCGGGCAGACTTCGACTGTGTGGTGAGATGGAGAAAGAGGAGGTGGTGGGATCGACGCGGACACTAAACATGTTCAGGGCTTGCTGTGCGCCTGGATGCCCACGATGCCCTCTTTCGCAATGGTGAATGGGGAAGCCCGCCGTTTTGGTGTGAGCTCTCTGTCATCGGCTGTCGCCCAAAGCATTCATCGTTACGGCGATTACGCATTTTTCTTTTTCACTTCATCTGAGTGAGTGATGAGTCTCTCAAACCCAGCCGCTCTATGGTGACCTGTTTTCGAAGGCGACCGCTCACAGCCATGAGACATGTTGTAAATTCGACCACGTTCACAAGCATACCTAAATACCTACAAGGCCATCTAGCACTCGCAACGACTCAACGTCACTATCGGTTGTCACGGGCCGTTGACGTGGTTGTACACATCGACGACATCCCGGCAGAAACCGAGAAACTGAATGAGCGGCCGTGTCATTAGCGGCAATAATGATGATCGCCGAGCTGCTTCTCTGTGTTCGAGAATAATGCAACGTGCAGCGAAACGGCTACCGAACAGGCATCACCTGTACCGTAAATACATATGTACAGTACAGGACTGTCATACTATATATGGTGATACACATACAATATGTTCGCTTTCGTTTTGGTTTTGCTCCGATGTCTGACCCAAACGTCTGACGACGACGCACGTGGAATGTGTACTGTACCAGTGGCATGAGGTTGACCGAATCGGAAGTTTTTTTGTCTGCTGCATGATAACAATCATCACTCTCACATGCTGGTCCCCAGCGTTCAAGCACCTCGGTCGAGATCCTGGGTCATCCAAGATGTCGTCCACCTACACCTTGCATGCACATGGTGACTACGCATAGACAGACGCAGGCACAGCTCAATGCCGTTGTTCCTCTTGCGCACTCTCCCAGAAGCACAATTGACAAGGCGGACTCGTTCAATTCCGAGCTAAGTTCTGCAGTCGAATCTTTGCGTTCAGTAGTCGGATCTGACAGGTACCACACTGGTCGACGATCCACAGTAGAAAGCTCCGGTCCTTCCAAGGTTCATAGCGAAAGTGGGCCCGTCCAGCGCTTTGATGATACAGTCCGAGTTCGAAGAGCTTGAGAGAAGCTCACTCCAAGCCCGCGGCAAGCACCTCCTTTGGGAAGTGCTCTGTTGCTCGAACTTCAATGACGCACCAACAAGCAAAGCCTAGCAAATCTGAAGGGCATTGTGTTTGCATACATGATCACATAGCCTTCACACAAACTTCCCACCCGCTTCAAGTGATGCAATGAATTGTTTCCCTGGTCGCAAAATGCTAGAATGCTAGATATCTGGTCGACACCATTCGCTGCATATGGCTGGCAGAAGGCTGCTCGATGCAGCCAGGCTTTTCGGAGCGGGCGCTTCGATAGCTAGACAACATATCGTACTTCGCCGCCAACAATTAGATGTTTTCACCAAGACCTCGAGCCTCGCCAGAGCAGTCAAAAATCAGACGGATAAGGTCACAGTGACTGTCGGCGCAGCAGTCGAACTCGGGAAAAGGCTTAATGAGACTGGGCCCCAATGGCGCGAGGACAGACCACATCCGAACGATACGAATGCTGCGTTCGCATCACGCACATCGGCACCACCTGATACTAGGGATGCACAGTCACATAGCTCGCAGGTCTATTACGATGGCCCTGTACCGAAAGCTACACTACGTGGAGAAGAGTTCCCCACGGCCGCTGTTGATACACAGACTATACATGGGTCGGGTCTGGGACAGGATACATTTAATCAAAGATCTGGAAATGTAAAAGGACAATCGTCATCGTTACCGTTTGAGCAGATTCCGACGCATGCCGCAGGATCGACCCAAACTCCGGCAGAACAGGCGAGCCTGGGTATAAATCAAGATGTCTTTCCGGACCCAGGCGACAAGCTCGAAGCTGCTGGGCCTTCTCGAGCATCGGATGCAGATAGCAGCGCAGATGTGCTATCTTCCATTGGAGTATCAAGAATAGCGGGTCGAGGACGGCTCGGACTAAGCAATCCTTACGGCTCGCGTGGAAAACTGCCTTCCAAACCGCTCCCAGAAATGGTCGAGGCGTCAAAGCGATGGCAGAAGGAGCGAGAAGCTGCTCCTGTGGAGTCGAAGACATCACAGCCGGCACAGGATGAACTGAGACAACAGCAGGACGACACAGACACAGCTGCTCTAGCATCGTCCCTTGCTGAAGAGGTCGAGTCGCAAAAGAAGGACACTCCGTATAAAATGCGCGAGTCAAGAGTACCTTCATCCCGTTTCGGTCGTTTATGGCAGTACGGAGGACTAGCCACGAGCATGGCATTCGGGGCAATGGGCGAAGGAATTCGGCGAATTGCTGGCGGTACTGGTGAGGGCAGTCTCATGCTCAGTGAGGGCAACATGAATCGCTTGGTCGCGAAATTGAGTCGGATGCGTGGTGCCGCCCTAAAGCTGGGTCAGATGATTAGCTTCCAGGATTCGAAAGTCCTGCCTGCTACAATCAACACTGTACTTCAGCGAGTGCAGGACAGTGCCGACTATATGCCTGCCTCTCAACGCGACAAAGTCCTCATACGAAATTTAGGCCCACATTGGCGGGATCTCTTCTCGGAGTTTGCTGATCGGCCATTTGCCGCCGCATCTATCGGACAGGTGCATAAAGCTACCCTCAAATCTAACGGTAAAGCGGTGGCTGTGAAGATTCAGTATCCGGGAGTGCGAAACAGCATAGATTCCGATCTCAACAACCTCTCCCTCCTGCTCACTGCCAGTCAGCTCCTACCTCGAGGTCTCTTCCTCGACAAGACCATTGCGAACGCGCGAACAGAACTTGGCTGGGAATGCGACTACGAGCGCGAAGCCAAGGCCTGCATCCGCTTCAAGACCGAGTTGCTGGCAGACGAATCCGACATCTTCGCTGTCCCAACCGTATACACCGAAGCTTCAGGACCTGACGTCCTCACAGCTGAATTTATGCACGGCACCGGCGTCACCAAAATTGCAGACCTCTCGCAAGACGAACGGAACTGGATCGGCTCCAACATCCTCCGCCTCTGCCTCCGAGAACTGATGGAATGGCAATTCATGCAGACCGATCCCAACTGGACCAATTTCCTCTACAACCGCTCGACGCAGAATCTCGAACTGCTCGACTTCGGCGCCAGCCGCGACTTCCCCAAGGAATTCGTCGAGCCCTACGTCGCACTCCTGATCGCCGCCTCCAGGGGCGACCGCGACGCGTGTGTGAAATACTCCATCGACCTTGGCTATCTCACCGGCGCGGAGAGCAAGGAGATGCTCCGAGCCCACGTCGATTCCATCCTGACACTAGCGGAGCCGTTTGTGCAGAACGCGCCCGAGGTTTACGACTTCGAGGATCAAACCATCACGGACCGCGTGCGCGCGAATATCGGGTTAATGCTAAGGGAGAGAATGGCGCCGCCTCCGGAGGAGACGTATTCGCTACATCGGAAGTTGAGCGGTGCATTTTTGCTCTGTGCCCGGTTGAGGAGTAAGGTCGAGGCTAGAGAGATGTTCGCCACAGCGGTGAAGGTTTGGGAGGGGAGGGAGAAAAGTGTCAAATCATAGATCATTTTCTTCATGTTGTAACAAAAGTATACCAGTAAATCATGGATCCTTTATACCTCTTAGCAGTGTAACAGTATTAGTCGATTCTCTCATGGTCACTTGACTGTGGCGATTGCATACAGAAGATACTCCGTGAGATGACATCGCTCATATGACACATTTTTTCCAATTACGTACATCTGAAATCATCCCTCTATTTCGACTTGGAATAACTCTTTACAGCCGCCGACTTCGTAGCCTTGGGATCGATACCCTTCCTCCGCAAGTTTCTCCTCAAGCTGCGCTCGATGAGCTTCTCATCCTCGTCATCGTCAAAGGTCTCAAACGCCGGTGCTTCCACATCATCTTCATCCTGGTCCCCACCCTCGCTGGTGATGGTGGCATCCTCATCCTCGTCCTCAGCCGCGCCATTCGCCTGGTCACCGACACGGGCACCGGGGTTTCCGACGAGTGCGGCGGGCGTCACATCCGTTTTCTTGAACTTGGCGACATAAAAGCCATCGACGTTGAACATGTGCGGGTAATATCTCCTCGTCAGCTTCAGGCTCGGGTGGAAGCGCTTGCTTTGGTATTTGGTGAACCCCTCTTTGCCAAAGATGAGGCCGGTCGAGACGAGTTTGACGTTGGGCCGCTTGTTGAGCGCGTATTGGACGACTTGTTCGTTCTCCTCGACGGTCACGGAACAGGTACTGTAGACGATATAGCCCCCAGTCTTGCTGGTGTGGTCGACAGAATCGATGGCGGCGAGGAGCAACTGTTTCTGCAGGTGAGGCAACCGGAGGAAATCGGCCTCGGTCTTGTTGGTCTTGACACTCGCGTCTTTCGCAATGACACCGGTGCCGGAACACGGCGCATCAAGGAGGACTCGGTCGAAGCCGCCCATGACTTTGGGGAATTCGAGAGCTGAGTAGTTGCAGACAATAGTGTTCTTGACACCAAGACGATGGATGTTACCAATGAGACCTTTTGAACGCTCCTTGCTAGCATCGTTGGAGAAGATGCAGCCTGTGTTGCGCATCAGTGCAGCCATGTGGGTGCTCTTACCACCGGGCGCAGCGGCCATGTCGAGGACGCGTTCGTGCTCTTGAGGTGCCAGTGCCATGACAGGGAGGAAAGATGAGGCGGCTTGAAGAATATAGTGGCCAGCGAGGTACTCGGGCGTTGCACCGAGCGGAACTTGTGATTCGAAAATTTGCAACCCGACTTTTGACCATTTTCCAACCGGCTCCAGGGTCACACCGCGGTTGATGAGAGCGTGCGCGAGATCTCTTCGATGGGTTCGTAGGGTGTTTGTGCGAATGACCATAGGCCTGGGTGTCTCGTTGGCATCGAAAAATGCCAGCGCTTCCTGAGGCGGAAAGAGAGAGTAGAGCTTCTCGGCCAAGAATGGCGAGTATCCATAGTATGCGCAGACGTCTTTCAGCAGACTCTGTGTATAATCTGCTCGGCTCTTTGCAGGATCGGCAAGATCCTTGAAGCTGCTCAACACTCGCACTGTTTCCGTGATTCTTGATCGGAGAAGTTGTAAGTCCGGCGCCAGTAGACCACCGTTCGTCTCGTCCTCGTCATCTGGGAGCTCCGCAGCAATGTTGGTCTGCAAAGCGTCTTCCGCTAACTCTGCTTCCGCCTCCGCCGCTTCCCGTGCACGCTGCTCATTCAACTTCCGTGACAACCCCTCGATATTGGCTGCCGTCAACCTTTCCTCAGCATCCGAATCTTCATCCTCCGACCACATCTTCTCTCTCCGCACCTCCGCATCTGAATCATCCAAGATCTCGTCGTCGGACCCGGAAGGAGCTAAGTCAAAGTCGTCCGCATCGCTGTCCATATCGAGTCCGTTCAGGCCATCCTCTTCGAGATTGATCTCGTCATCGTCAAGCTCCAGATCTTCTTCGTCGCTGTCTGCTAAGACATCCAGCGCTGCCGGCTTCGCTGTCTTTTTCAATACCTTTGTGGCTTTGGGTTTGACGACAGGTGCCTGCTCGTGCTCGCCGCGCACCTTTTTGGCGCCATTGCTTTGCGCTGCAGTCTTCTTCTTGGGAGCATCCTTATCGGCGGTCTTTTGCTTTTTGATCGCACCATTGGTAGGAGCTGCGGATTTTCGCTTTTTTGCGCCGAGAATCTCATCCAGTGATTGTGGAGGTCCCTGCTTTTGCATGCGACGTGACGGCCCTTTCTTTGTGTGCGCCATGATCGATTTGACAAAAATTGGTGTGCCGATCTAGTACTCAGTGGAGTATTATAAAACTTCACTGCTTCCAAAGTTCTTCGCCTTGAGCATTTCCAAAATTTCTGAATGCTCAAGCCTACTGATTGGCGTTAGCGCCTTATCAACGCGGGAAAGCCGCAGGTGGCCGGGGTCCACGCCGCTTATGACCGATCTTTATCACTTAGGTAGGTACTGCATCGTGCAAAGGCTTGCCTACATTGTCCACCACTTTTAGCTATCTTTCTCGGAGAGGATGTCCCATCGACTTTGATGCCGACTTCTCGCCATCTTTTAGAAAACAGTGTTCGAAATTTCGCTGGCTGTACTATCGGATTGAGCTCCGAAACTAATACTATGGTGAGGCCCCTCGGCGAGAAGTCGGGACCAATATTCGGACAATTGCGTCTCGGCAGGTTGGTGGGAATCGCGTCTCGAGATACGTAATCCCCGGGCCCACAGGATCGAGCTCTCGTTCTGTGGGCCTCTCAGTTTTTTATCATCGTCACCGGGCGCGTACATAGGTAATTGATGCCACTTTGCCTCTCTTTGTCAGTCCCTCGATCTTGTGTCGTATGACCACACCAGAACGAGTTCGTCCAGCGGTGGGTCAGGAAGGCACCTTTGCGGCAGCGTTTCCACTGTGAATATTCTCTAGACACTACGCCTGCCTTTACTTCATCTCATACATTCCCGACGGAATCATACCGGACTATGAAGATAATCCTCACTGGCTCCACCGGCTTCATCGGCGCCGAAATATTGACGCAATGCATTGCCCATTCCTTCATCACCCATATCTACGTTCTCACCCGACGACCACTCGACACACAATTCTCGCACAAGAAAGTCACGCAACTCCTTCACGAGGATTTTGAGAAGTACCCTGAAGTGCTGCTCGATCGCCTGCGTGATGAAGGCGTGCAGGCTTGCATTTGGGCGCTCGGAGGTAAACCTGAGGCCTTCAAGGATATCGATGAGGCGCGCGCGGTCGGCATCAGTTATCCCATCTGTGCGGCCGAGGCCTTTGCGAAACATCTCGCGCCTGCACTGAAGCCATATAAGGGCTATCCGGAGAAACTTGGACCGGCGGTCGGTGAAGCTGGTTTCCCTTTTCGGTTTGTATTCATCTCAGCATGGGGTGCTGAGCATGATCAATTCCGGAAACTCTGGATGTCCAATGACACGAGGAAGATTAAAGGCGCGGCGGAGAAGGGCCTGTTCGAAGTGGCAGACAGCTCGGCGCTCATCGATGGTCATAGGTGTTTCGAGGCAATCGCGCTGCGACCGGGCAACGTGCTTCCACCAGGCGATGCCCTTGGAACGTTGTTCGCCCAAGCTGTAGTGCAAGCTTGTACAGTCGATCGTCTAGCAACATGTGCCCTCCGCACTTCGATGTTTGGCGCAGAGGGCAAGCGAGTTGTCGAGAACAAAGAATGTCTAGGCGAGGAATGGTCACTAGTCAACACAACAGTTCATATGGGTCGTTGAGCCTGCGGAGAATCTTTGCTTTACGAGTTTGTGACTAGCTACATTGGCATCCTGACGAACTCGGGATTTGAAAGTGATAATCGACTTTCGCGAATGTTTCACCAAGAATGTCGGACAAGTCTGATCTTTTTTGAGGGTTGCATAACATCACTATTCAAATTTGCAACGGCCCGCTCATGGCTGTCGAATTCTGCAGGCAGTCGGCGACATTGATCCTTGCATGTCGACCTTTCCCAACACCGGAATCAAAGAATTTGTCAGGTGGTGACCATCCGCACACCGCAAAAACCTCATGAACTCAAGCCTTAGGATCAAAGTTGCTTCCGTCAGAATCATTAGCGTGGCTGAAGTAGCCATAGTTATCAGTCTTAATGTGACTGGCTTTGGTCGACTCTCTGTCCACAAGGTGAGAACGACTCGCCAGAATGTCGGCCTCGTCGAGCTTGATTGGCAATGCGGCTTTGCCGTTGGCATGCACAATAGCAGTCTCAGAGTGTTCCTCCAGTGTAGGATTGACAGGGCTCTCGATGCGCTCGTCAAAATCATCAGACTCGTGATTCAGCAGGCTGTAATTGGGAGCCACACTCTTACTGCGGCGGCTCGGTGTCTTGCGCCTTTCCGACTTAATGCTTGCATTGATGTTTGGCGATGCTCCTTCGTCAGTCTCGTCGCCGTCGCTATTGAGATGCATCGCGTCGAATTGCTTCACGCGTTTGGATGAGCTTCCGCCACTAGACATCTTGTTGGGCGAGGCCCTCTTCTTAGGCGTGGACGGCGCGGTGGTGACGCGAGCTGTTGTTTCGCCTGAAGATGCTGCATTGACGGCCTTCTTGAGACTGCTAATCTTCTCCTGAAATGCTCTCGCAGAAGGCTTGAATTCTTCGTGCGCTGCAGATAGTTGGTGAGCGAACGACCATTCCAGCAATGCATAACAAAACCATACGATAACGCTCGGCCCATCGAGCCGAAAGCTCAGCATAGCTGTACTTGGCATCGCACAGGAGGAGCAGGAGGAGCTGCACCAAGCGGCTTTCGTTCCAGAGAGGTCCCTTGGAGATTGACACGGCGTGCGTCGGTGCCATCGTTCTTTGAAGCTTTGGTGCGTGCTTGCTTGTCAGAAGTCAATTGAGACTGTGAGAGAGGGTGTTTGGCTGGATATCAAAAAGATCTGATAAAAGTCAAGTACAAGTTTAGGCTATGATCGATGAGGGGAGTGGAAATTGAATATATAGCAGCGAATGGTGGCAGCAGTCACTTGCTACCTAGGTATGTTCGCCTGTCACTGGCCAAGCGAAGGCGCATTTTCATCGGACAGGCAATTTCGGAGCTTGAAACCAGCAACTCTTTGTTCACGAAACAAGTGAAAGGCGGACATGTGAGAAACCTTGCCCCTATCCTTGCAACATTCCATTCACATGCATCGGCAATCCGCAAAACTCATGATTTCCAAGGTTGCTTGCCATCTTGGACTTGTCTTGGTATGTGATCATGGGTCATGTCACCATTCGTGAATAGCAGGTGACAAGTGAGGCCTTCAAGGTCATTGCAGGCTCCCCTTTTCACTCCTCTTGGCTCGTCACGCATGAGACTTTCTCTCTCATCTGTACTTGCCCACCACCTTCACCTCTCCCACCACCTGCTTTCCACAAACCAAGACAGACTTCAATACCATCCTCAAGACATAAGCTCGACTATCAGTCATCATGCCGGCTACGAACACAGTCAAATGGGACACTGTCGAACCCTGGCGCCGCTTAGTTGCCGCAATCATCGCGACCAATGTGAAGGTGAATTGCATCAAGCTGTCTTTAAATCATCTCGAGATACTTGACGACTGACTACCATAACGTTTAAGCTTGACATCGGCCAAGTCGCACTGCACTTCGGTGCTTCGCGTGACACGGTCGATAACGCCTTGCGCAAGCCCCGTCAGGAAGCCAAACGATTGCAGGAGCTCGTCAAGGCTGGTGACAACCCTGACTTCAAGTCCTCCCCTCACACTCCCAAGACCACCCGCAAGACAGCTGACAAGGCGTTTGGGGTCGCTTCGAACGGTATGAAAGACACGCTCAAATTGCATGATCGCTTCTTTGCTGACAACCATGATTCCAACCAGCAACCATCTCCGGTCGAGTCACGAAACCTGCTCAGAAAACTAAGAAGAATCGCACCAGCACCGAAATGCCAGAGTCCTTCGACGAGTACATGTCGCGCGCTGCATCGACCTATTGAATATGATTTGATCACGTAACAAAGAGAAGAAGCAATATGAGTCTCTGGGCATGAGGAGCAGCAGGATATGAGGACGAATCAGATCCAGGACCAGATCCAGGAATTGCAAAGGCTTAGTGCCATCCAAATTTGAGCGCATATGATTCGATATGAAGTATGAAACAAAAAGCCAGCTTGTCATGATTTGAAAGATGATGACTTGAATGAACTTAATCATTATTCCAATGTTCGATTTGAGACTCATCAAGTTGCATGCTGTGAAATGAGTTAGGCCTTGACGATAAGGTAGGATTAAGGTACTGAGTCATTCCATCGTCATTCACAACACTGCAGCGTAGTAGCTGCAACCCTGCTGTCCATCCGGGCCGCTGATTGAAGCAAAGTTCTACCATATTTGAGCGATTCAGAGTACTCAATGGCAATATTTGTGTTTTATACCCTTCATTGAAAGCCGCCTTTGGGTACTGTTGGATCCTTCAGTGCACCAGCTCCGTGGGCAGATCACAAAATGCTCTATCGAAGGAGCTTCGTCACTGATATGTGAACAAGCCCAAATCGACAGCATTAGCGCTCCCATAAACATCTACCTGGGCAGGGCACCTGCGGAACTTGACTTGATCTCTTCCAGCCAAAGAAATGAACCAACGAGAGTAGATCTGCACTCGTATCTCCGTTTAGCGCATGCCAAAGCTGCCAAAGCAGGATTCGCATGATAATTCTGATGAGAGGATGGCTATACGATGCACCATTTCCAGGACAGTTGCGGTCATGAAATCAACTCCATGATTTAAGTCATGTGACGCCGCGTAAAGCCCTAAACGCGCCTCTAGTCCATCACTCACTACATTGGTAAGTAGGTATGAACGCATCGGCTGTCCAGAAATTTATCAACCTCAATGATTACCCACAGAGCGCTCACTGAGCCGTCCAGGCAAAGCGCATGTTACGTGTGTCTATCATGTACCCGTCGATACTTTCACTGCGGGTCAATTCTAGCTCAAAACCAGCCAGATGAGCAACAAACCCAGATCGCAAGACGAGTTGCGAACCCCTTCGCCTCAACGAGATCCACCGCACAAGCAAGCACTCCGTCGCAAACTACATCATGGCGTCACGACCAGATCCCGGAGAAATCACGAGTGCTTCCGAAAGCGTCGATTCCGCCAGTTGATGTCCACCCATCTATCGCGATTGCCCGGAGAGTGCCCTCCAGTAACAGGTCAGATCCTGGAGAGGACTTTTCATCAGTGGTGGAAAGAGCATCAGATCTTTTGAACGAGCTCTCCAAAGGGACCTTGGGAGAAGCTTCGAAAGGAGCTTCGAAAAAATCTTCGAAAGGGGCGTCGAAATCTCAGGACGGTCGGAAAGTCCTATCACCACTGGAAGTGAGAGTCTCGGAAAGGCTCAGGGCGGAGATAGCAAGAGCGGAGAATCTCCTGAACAAATCCAAAGGCCTCAAGCAGAAGGGGCGCAAGGTACAAGCACCTAAAGTATCTAAAAGAAATGCTGCGCAATCTTCATCAAAACAAGGCCCGGCTGAAGAGACTGCCACACGGGATCCGCCCTCGTCCGAAAGCACCATTCAGTTACTGCCCAAATCTCTCGTGATTCAACCCCTCGATGTTCCTCAGCCACCAGTACCATATCTTTCATACGGCCTGGATCGCGTGCTCTTCAACCCTGGGATCTATTCCTTGCAAGATCCGTCCTCTCGAGTGTACAATTTTGACCCGTATCTCGAAAAAATCATGCCCGTGAACGAGTTCGACTTCTCGGCTTTGAAGCAGTACAAAACATCTTCACAGGATACCGCATTGGCGAGGCTTGCCCAGGAGCATGGCAAAAAGTACATCGGCTCGACATCAAGTATGACAACGACACTTTCGCAATTTCATTTCTGTCTCTCTCGCTGGCGCCCAATAAACACCATAAATCTGTCGAAAGGATTCATGAAAACCGAGAACGCTGTAGCGTCATTCACAAAGATCAATAGAACACCGGCTGCAATTTTTCTTCGCTACAAGGACGGGTGCTATGCAATCGATGTCGATAAAGAATATGACAGCGCAAATGTCCTCATGCTTTTGGGGAAGTCACTCGAGCTTTTGCTCACATTGCCCAGGTCTAAGTACGAGATTTACCGTAAAAGCGATCCTCGCACAATTTCTGAGGTTCAGAAATCGGAGCCGGAGAGCTACCAGTACACGATCATGGGAGATTTCTTGATGCGTTCACAATTGGATGCCTATGATCACCGCCTCCCCGGCAATGGTACGTTTGACCTAAAGACCCGCGCCGTACTGCCGATCCGCATGGACGCCCAGAACTATCACTCGATGAAGGATTATGAGATCAAAAGTTTATCCGGTACTTTTGGATCATATGAGAGAGAAATGTACGATATGATGCGTGCCACGATGCTCAAGTACATGCTCCAGGTCCGCATGGGGCGCATGGCCGGCATTTTTGTGGCCTATCACAACGTACAGCGCATGTTTGGTTTCCAGTATCTTCCGCTCCACGAGATGGACTTGGCTCTACACGGCCAAACCGATCCTTGTTTGGGCGATCAGGAATTCAAGGCGAGTTTGGAGTTGCTCAACATTGTTCTCGAGAAAGCAACCACCAGATTCCCGGAGACGTCGTTGCGCGTGCACTTCGAAGCGACCGAAGACGTGAAGGGTGGGGAGGCATGTTCATTGAATGTCTTCGCCGAGCCAATGAGCGACGAACAGATCGATACCATCCAAAGCAAGAACAAAGTCGCGATCGCCGAAGCAGAAAGGATCATGATGGAAGGCCTCGACCTCCCTGAAGAGGATAATTCGCCAGATGACAATCCGTCGCCTACAAATCCCGATCCTTTGGTGACTGAAGCTCAGTGTTCTCCAGAAGAGAACGCCGTCGAGGGACTTTTGAGTACTGAAGACACATTGGACGAGGACGATGCAGCTGCCACCTCTTTCCTTGATGGAATCGAGGAAGAGTCCTCTGCCGTTGATGAAAGCGCAGACAACGACCAGCTGTCTCCCTCGCCCGCACCCGATACCGATGACGAGGTTCCTTTGACTGAAAAAGAGACGTTCGACGATGACGAGATAACTGCCATATCTACATCTGATGTCGACTCCGAGAATTCTCTGTCTGAAGCGACATCTACATCTGATACCATTGACGAGGAATCAGTGACTGAAGAGGCGTCTGTCACATCTGAATCTGATGGTGCTGAGGAGGATTCTCTGTCTCAACAGACACCAGAAAATGAAGATTCGACCGACACCCCTGCCACAACTTCTGACGAGGCGATTGACCAAACTCTAGCCGGCAGCGCAAAAGAAATCGCAATTGACAATGGACAGCAAATTCTCTTCATAAAGATCAAGTCCCGGAATATAGTCAACGGAAGCCCCCTGGAGCGGCCTACCAACCTTCGCGAGACCGATGAATGGCGCATCGACTACGAGCTCAAAGAATATGACAATACGACCTACGCCTGGGCGGAGTATCAGGCCTTGAAGTCGCGGCGCAAGACCGGTCTCGATTCACACAGCGAAGACGCCGATCCCGCTGAAAAGGAATCGCAAAGCAAGCGCAACGAGTCCTATCACCGGCTCCTGCGCGAGCTGGTCCTTGAAGGACGAAAGCATCGCGTGATGCTAGACGAGCTGGATGCCGGCAAGGACAAGGTGCTCTATGAGAATTTCAGTGCGAAGGACACTGGCGAAGTGGACAGCGTAGAGAGTTATATGGATTGGCTTTATGGGCCCAAGTAGACCGGACGGCGTTGATTTCGTTTTCTGGGGATGTATCATAGGTGTCGAGGACTTAGAGGAAGAACTCCTCCCCCATTATCTTTGTACAATTATCTACACGATAGAATTTATGACGAGCAAGCGGGTCGACTTGCATTTCTCTCTCTTAGTACGAGCCATTTGCCGCAATCGTGCCATTGAGACGATGTGCTTGACGACATATTCCAATCGTTTCATTATTACAAGTTAGAAAGACACTCGTTACAGCTATTGGAACCACAATTCGGTATGAAAGTTGAAATACCCTTTATCTTGCAGTTCGGGCATAAGCCTAATTGCGTCACACCATGTGTTGTACACAACTTACGAGGAAGAATGATCATTGACTGCCCAGGGGCGAATGTTTGCACACAGTAAAAATGAAGCCATAAGTTAAGAAGGGTTGTCATTCGGACGACTTTCAAATGTCATCACTATTTAAGAAACGCCTAACCACTGCTATGCCCCGACCCGAACCAACAAAACGGAATTGCTCAGTTCTCGTGAAGAGTCGCCTTGAACGACGCATCCTTCGGCTTGACATCGACGTCGGCCTTGACGTGACCAAGACCTTGCTTGGTGTACGCGGCCGCGTAGGGGTTGAGGCGGAGGAGGACTTGTCGGTTGTTGAGCGGGTTCTTCTTTTGGACAACGGTGCGCTTGGTGATGGCACCGCCCTTGACAGGTCGGAGGACAGACTGGACTTCTGAGCTGTTGATGAGCTTGGAGATGTCGGGCTGGGTGACGATGTTGGAGGGGAGGAGGTAGTCGCGCTTGAGTTCTGAGGGCTCGGTGGTGCTGCCGTAGATGGAGTCCAGGGCTGAGAAGGCAGAAGAGGACCAGATGACGAAGCGACCGAGGTGGCCACCAGGAGCGAGTTGAAGGAGGTTCAGGGCGTAGACAGAGCTGGTCTCGACACCTGCAATGTTGCGGAAAGCGCGGACGAGGTCCTTGCCGTCCTTCTCGGGGTCGTAGACAACGAGAGGACCGCGACGCTGCCTGTGTCGTCGGTTTCGGAGCTTGCCCTTGCCGGCGCGGAGCTTGCGTGATGCGCGGACCTTCTCGAGCTCAGGGCCAGCGCCGACAGCTGAGAGAAGGGCGACCGCAGCAGAGGTCTTCTTGATGGCACCCTCAGCAAAGGCAGCGGATGAGACAACGAGCGGGACCTCGGGGATGGTGGCGACGTGGTGTCCACGGGCGAGCAGGAGAGCAGCGCTGGATGAGGCAGCGATGGCAGAAGCGGTTGCGAATCGCTTCTGGCCAAGGTTGACCTTCTGGTGCCACTTGCGCCAGACCTTGGTGGGGGCGAACATGCGACCGGAACGGCACATGTTACCGAAGGCAGCCTGACCAGCTCGGTGAGTACCACCACCAGAGACACGAGGGATACGGGCAACAGCACGTCCTGTACACGATGTGTAAGTACTCCATCTCCAGCCATTGTTTCGCGCCCATTGCCCTCGCTTTTTCACATACCGGTACCCCAGGACTCAGCGCTCGTTTGGTGACCGGCCTTCTCGCTCACGGAGTATGGCTGACGCTTGTTCTTGGCCATTCCGGTGTGGACAGATCTGGAAGAGATCCATCAGTAACTGTATTGGAAACTCGAAATTGGAGATTTCGCATACTGGACGATGTCCGGGCGAATGGGGGCCTTGAAGACATTGGGAAGGGTGAGAGTGTCCTTGCCAGCAGCGCCATCGGCGCCGTGGATGGTAACGACAGGTCGGCTGGACATTTTGTCGTGTGTTGTGGTGATGATCGCTACTCGGCGTTGTTCGTGTGTAAGTGCACTCTGTGAGGCTTCAAACTTGTGTGTGCGCCAAGACTTCGAATTCGAGGTTTGCGGCAGCGGCCGAATCTTTAAGCCTCAGGCACAGATAGCAAGTGACGGCCCTCCTCCATTTTCCTGCTTCACTGTCCTCAACCGGCAGTAGCGCAATTATCTCAATTGCCCGGGGTGCATAGCAATGAATTGTATGAAAGGCATCCCTTCGACGGAACATGGAGTCGGAGTAGAAGTGAGTCAGATTGGTCGTCGCGCAGTTCTGACGTGCCAAATGATACAGAATACCGCATGTACGAGGCAGTACATCAAATAATCATTTTAATTAAGGTTCCAAGGTTGGTTTCCTGTCAGTTGTGATGATGATACTGTACAGCACTGTGCCTCCAGTAAAGATCTCGGTTGTTCTCGGGCACGGCTCAGAATTCAGTCGTGACGAACCTTGTCAGATGCGTGTACTTCAGCCTCGATCGGTCGACGTGGACTGTACATACACGCCTACTTACTATTACTGATTTCAGAAGTCTACCTTTATACGTTTGGTAGCATCTGCACGCATGTCATCAACGCATACAGTAAAGTAACTTCCAGTGTAGCATGATACCTAGGTACTGTAGCAAACATTGGTGCAAGTGGCGCGACAGAGATAGGGCTCACTTGGGCCGATTGTCGGCCATTGCGGGACATATCCTGCCAAGTGCCTGCCCACCCGAACGGCTAACGGATGTTGATCGCCATGTAACAATACTCTTTCAAGGTCTGGAGGTTCAGAACGACAAATGACAGTCCAGGATGATTGAATGAGCTTTTATGGAGTAGTGCGCTCAAGGACCAGGGGTTTCTCTGTCCGTGGGTGGTGAAAGGCCCTCAACAATGCGGGTTTTTTGCGTTCGCTCGGTTTGCTAGAGTGCTAGTCTCGACGACTCGTGACTGTGCAGACCACAAAGACACTCTTCTCGACTCCTTCTCTGCCATTATTCCAGATTTTCGCCCGGTCGTGGTGATGACATGGCCAGCCAAAGCGTGACCGAGACATCGCCGCTGCTCGCACAGGCACCACCGGACGTGGAAACAAGATACCGCAACAGCCGTGCTCTCGTGCTTGCCGCGTGGCTCACAGCCGTCAATGTGGCAATAAGTTTCTCTACTACACAAGTCGCGTGAGTACGTTCTCTATCGGGATTGGAGACGTTTTCTCTGACAGTATCAGGCTTGTCTATGTGATCGAACAATTCTGTTGCGAGGACTATTACAAGACACACTCGGGTGATCCCTCGGACCCAAACCGCTGTCATGTCCCAGCAATCGAGGCGCGGGCTGCACGAGAGTTTGCGCTGGTAGCCACCGGCACGACGGTCTTCGGAGTGTGCAACCTGTTCTTCACCGGTTGGACTATCAAACGCTTCGGCGTCAAAACTGCTCTAATCCTATCGGTCTTCTGGCCAGCCGTGCGTGTCCTTGTGCAAGCTATTGGCGTCGAGATCGGTGCCGGTTTGGGCATCATTATCATCCAATTATCGCAGATCATTACGATTGCGGGGGGGCCTGTTGGGTACACCCTAGCTCTCAATGTTTACTCGAGCTCTATTGTTGAACCGCATCAGAGGACAAGTACCCTCGGAAGGCTATCAGGCGGACCCATGCTAGGTCAGGCGATTGGTTTCTTGTTGGGCGGTTTTCTGAGTGACAGCGCGGGCTTAAAAGCACCCTTCCACGTCGCGATTGGGCTGTTCCTTCTATCGTGCCTCTACATATTCATATTCCTACCGTCGGTGGAGGGCGAAGTCCCGACCCGGGATAAGAAGCGGATCAATTCGCTTTCAGCATTCCTCGCTCCACTCAAGCTGTACATCCCATCAAAGTGGATTACCCAGGATGGCCGTACACACACGGAATGGGGTGTCCTGCTTCTGGGTACAGGCGCATTCCTCGGTGTGCTGGCCACTGGATATATCCCGACATTGTTACAATTGTTCTCAATGAATGTTCTACACTTCAAGCCTACAGAGAACGGTTGGCTGATTTCGCTCAATTGTGCAGTCCGAGGCATCTTTCTGACCTTCATCTTCCCGCACATCATTGACATCGGTAGGAAGTGGTTTGATAAAAAGCGCAAGAGAGATCAGACACTGGAGACAGAAGAGGCACCTAATCAAATCGTGGACTCATCTATATCCTCACCGGTGCCGGCACCCACTGAGATCATCGGACAACCCACAACCACCCAGTCGCCTTCTAAAGTCACTGAAGCGGAAGGACCGTTCCATTTCGATCTCCTGTTCGTGACATGGAGCATATTGATAGATGGCGTCTTGACGGGATTCGCTCATCTCGTTACTCAAGGCTGGCAATTATATCTCCTTGCAGTCATATTGCCCTTTGCGTCTGGCACTGGTCCGGCTGCAAAGGGCACTATTTTACAAATGTGCTCACCGTCACAAAGAGTCGATGCATTGAGTGCAATCAGTCTCGTAGAGCAGCTCGCTAAGCTCGTAACGATTGGTGTTTTCGGCGCCCTCTTTGCTGCGTTTGCAACAATTGGGCGAGCCGAACTAACATTTCTCTGCAATGCTGGAGTTGCCTTGCTCGCATTTCTCGTTCTCCTTTTTGCTCGTTATCCTCCCGAAGGTAGCCGCCGCGTTGCCGAATTGGACGATGCACAAACTGCGGAGCAGGCATGAATATCTCGGTTATGGTGACGTTCCAGTGGTCATACGGGTGTGCACTTATGCAGGATTCTTACACCAAGCAATCATTGTCATCCGTGGTTCGGCGTCAACACAACCAAAAGCATCTGCCGGAGGTTACAAGCACACCATTTTCAGCTGCTGGATCGACCATGAACTGACACTTTCGACTTGCTAATATCATGGTGCAGATCTCTGCTCGTGCAGTTCGCAGTGATGCCATGACAGTATCGGGCCTTTTTCATACCTTAAGCTGAAGCTCGGTCCCGGATTTATGGCAGCAGAAGCGATGAGCAGAAATGATCATTTGGAAATTCAGCTTGGACCGTTGTGGCCAGAGCAGTACAACTTGTGCAATATCCTTGTCGCCACCTTATACCGTATCGTACCGGCTAAATGCGATCGGTCTCCGAATCGAGGACCGACCAAGAAAAGAACCACTCCGAATCGTGTAGTCGCTAGCGCAAACTATGGTCTGCTCAACTAGGTCATGCGAATATTGTGGTTTATTGCACGGGTGATGCTCACGACGCTATCGATAATTAGCCGTGATCGACAACTCGTGAACGCAAAGATCGTCAAGGATTTGGTTGTGTGGGGAATGCCACCACCATCCCAGCCTAAAGCTTGTGAGACTGTTCCGCCACATCTCACCTTGCATTTTCAACCGTCGAGGAATCGCATATACTTTCTCCATCAGCTTCCGACTCCGAAGGTACATGTCATCGGCGCTTCTCTCCTTTGGTCCGAGCTATCGTCTCTGCTAGATGTACGATTTGGACGACACCCGGGCTTGAATCTCCTTTACATCATGTCAACCCGAGGCTGGAAATCTCGGCGAAGTGCACTACAGATGATTTCCATTGAGGCTAAATACTGGACCCGACAACATGGAGAACATAGTCCTCCGAGCATCAGCTATGTCGTGTTGACCTTATCGATGCAACGTCGCGGACGTCAAATTAACCGCAGAAGCCCTCAAACCACGATACATAAGAGATCACATTGACGTGCAAGAGACGTGTTCTCCGGATATGCTCATCACGGCCGCCAAGGACGTTTACTTGCAGTCATACACGAAGTCATCATTTGAACAAATTCCTCCCTCGACAAACATGCCATCACAATCAAGCTTTGGCAAGGCTCTTGGCCTCGCCACCTTCGCGTCTCTTGTCGCCGCTGCGCCATGTGATATCTACGCTTCGGGCAATACTCCATGTATTGCTGCGCACAGCACCACGCGTGCACTTTACGATGGATACAGTGGACCACTCTATCAGGTCAAGCGTGATTCGGATGGCGCGACGATTGATATCTCGCCCCTGTCCAAGGGCGGCGTGGCCAACGCTGGCGCCCAGGATAGCTTCTGTGCCAACACCACATGTTTGATCACCGTCATCTACGATCAATCTGGTCGTACCAATCATCTCACCCAAGCTCCACCTGGCGGTGCTGCCAGTGGTCCCCAACCCGGTGGTTACGACAATCTTGCGAGCGCGACCGGCGCTCCAGTCACCTTAAATGGCCGCAAGGCATACGGTGTCTTCATCTCTCCAGGCACCGGCTACCGAAACAACCACGCCAGCGGTACCGCTGTGGGTGATCAGTCCCAAGGAATGTACGCTGTCATTGACGCGACCCATTACAATGGTGGCTGCTGCTTCGATTACGGCAATGCTGAGATTAATAACCTCGACACTGGCAATGGTCACATGGAGGCCATCTACTTTGGTAATAATGACTACTGGGGATCTGGTGCTGGGAGCGGACCCTGGCTTATGGCTGATCTCGAAAATGGACTATTCACGGGAATCAACGTCAAGAACAATCAGAATGTTCCCACCATCACCGATCGCTTCTTCACCTCAGTCGTCAAGGGAGCGCCAGGCTTGTGGGCTCTTCGCGGTGCCAACTCCGCAGCTACACCATTGAAGACGTACTACAGCGGTGCAAGACCGAACGCGAACGGATACAACCCCATGAGCAAGGAGGGTGCTATCATTCTCGGAATCGGCGGTGACAACAGCATCTCCGGTCAGGGTACCTTTTACGAGGGTGTCATGACTAGCGGCTACCCGAGCGATGCCATCGAAAACAAGGTCGCTGCCAACGTCGCAGCTCAGAAGTATGCCGTGACTTCATTGGTGAGCGGACCTGCAATCACTGTCGGCTCCTCGGTGTCCATCCGTTTGACGACTCCCGGCTACACCGACCGCTACCTCGCCCATAGCGGTACAACGGTCAGCACCCCGATCGTCAACTCGGCAAGCAGTAACACGCTCAAGCAGCAAGCCAGCTGGACCATCCGCACCGGTCTTGGTAACAGCGCCTGCGTCTCCTTCGAATCGAAGGACACCCCTGGCAGCTATCTCCACCACACCGCCTTTGTCCTTCGCGTGGACGCTGCAAATGGCGACAAGCAATTCAACGAGGACGCTACCTTCTGCCCTCAAGCTGCACTCAACGGTCAGGGCAACTCAATCCGCTCTTGGAACTACCCGACTCGCTTTGTCCGCCACTTCAACCTGCAGGGCTACGTTGCGACCAACGGTGGTCCGGATCAATTCGATGCAGCGAACTCGTACAACAACGATGTCAGCTTTGCCATTGGTGCTAGCTTTGCATGAAAAACTGTTGAAAGGGAATTCAAATTTTGAATATATATATATATATATGTATGTATGTATGTATGTATGTATGTATACGTTGGGACATGTCACTCCGTTAGAATGGTTTACTTTTGCAAAGTCGATATTTTGAAGGCAAAACTGTGACAATCCACGACTCAACGCTCAAAGCTTTTAGTAATACACCAATAATAAAAGACGCAGGCCAAGCTTTAAGGATCATCTTGGCCTTCTACCTCGAGCAATATTGTGCAACTGAGAGGTGCTGAAAGCTCCCATGCTCGAATGCTGCTAGAAAGTGTCCCTCTCCACGACTTTTGTCAGCAGTCGTGCCTCACACTGCCCAGGTGGGAAGACATCACCTCAACTCAGCAAACAGTAGTAAAATCCTCGATATCAATTTATAGATCGATTGAAGAAAATCATGGCAGCAAAACGCACGGTCGCCATAATCGGCTCCCTCAACATCGACTTCGTCACCCGCACAAAGAGGCTACCTGAAGGCGGCGAGACTCTCGCGGCGATCTCCTTCGACACAGGTTTCGGCGGCAAAGGTGCCAATCAAGCCGTGGCAGCCGCGCGACTTGCAGGGCCTGATGTTACGGTTCAGATGGTCGGCAATGTAGGCGATGACAGTTTCGGGCGAGACTACGTCGAAGCGCTGGCAAAGGAAGGCATTGATACAAAGGGCGTGCGGCAGCTTTCGGACGGCAAGACGGGCGTCACGAACATCATTGTGGAGGAAGAAACGGGCGAGAATAGGATTCTTTTCGTGGCAAATGCGAATTTCGATGCTTTTGAAAAGCAGCAGAGCGCCGCGTGGGATTTACTCCCCGCGCAATGCGATGTGGCGGTCTTCCAATTAGAGATTCCTGTAGATGTGGTATGTAGCTGGTCCCTGTTCAACTTCGGCCGTGCGCTGTTATAAGCGGAGCGACTTTCCGGGCTCGATTCTGACGGCATGCTTCCACAGGTCCTCCATAATCTCCACCAGGCTCAAGAGAGAGGGATCCATACAATCCTGAATCCAGCTCCTGCCGAATTACTACCCGACTTCGTCTATCAAGATATTGACACCCTTATCATGAACGAAACGGAATCCTCCATCCTCTCTGGACATCCCAAGACCTTAGACCAGCCGGACGACGATGCGATCATAATTGTCGCGAGACAATTCCTGCATTGGGGCGTGAAGGAAGCCGTCATAGTCACGCTGGGAGAACGAGGCCTGATTTATGCAACCATTTCCGGCCAACAGGGCCACATTCCCGCGCGTAAGGTCACAGTGGTTGACACCACGGCAGCCGGAGATACTTTCGCAGGCGCGTACGCCGTGGAGCGCGCAAAGGCATCGGCAGGAGAGTTCGACATCGAAAAGGCTCTGACCTTCGCCACTTTGGCAGCTTCCAAGGCGGTAGGAAAGGCTGGCGCGATGACCTCAATTCCACGGTTAGAGGAGCTGCAGGTATGAGTATGCCGCCGGTGAAGACTGGCATGCAGAATGTTTTGGCTCGAGCGAAGCAGCCGCCACAATTCTCAGGACACTCCGTCTCCGTGTAGCTTCTTCACATGCCGCTTGAGATTATCCAATCGTGCAAATCCAGTCCGGGCATATTTACAGCCGAGCACCTCGCACTTGAACGGCTTGTCACCTGTGTGCTGTCTTTCGTGTCGTCGAAGATCTTTCTCGCTCGCAAAGGATTTGTCGCAGCTTTCGCAGCCGAATGATTTGACGTGCCAACGCATGTGATCGCTGCAAGTAGAATGTGTCAGCATTGCGTCAAGTCTGGAGTATGACCGGATTCGACCTACTGGAGCTTCCTCCTCTTGACGATCTTCTGACAAGTCGAGCAGGAGACCAATCGGTTGCCGTCATAGTCAGTGTTTGGCGTCGCCTCGTCAGTAAGAATAGCATCTGGACTAGAGCTGTCGTGGTCAAGCATTTCGTGGTCAGGGCTTGGGAGATATTGGAGAGTACTAATGCCCGATGGTGATGGTGGCAGTTGTGCAGCCTCTAGAAGTCCGAGTTGAGCCTGCCCAGAGAACTCGGCGCCAAGAGCTTGCATGAGATCTTTTTCGAGATACTTCCATCGGTCGTGGTTCACCTCGGCCGGTTCCTGAATCTGTTGCTTGAACATATCACTTGTCGGAAACTGTGAAATTGCGTCCAGCTCCGTGTCACACGGCGTGACGAATGCTTCAGGTTCCCCGGCAGCGAAGACCTCTGACCCGATCAGAGGACCGTTCCCAAAGTTGTAATCCTTGATCATTTCATCGCCCGAGAATAGAGCATTATCAAAATGCGTGTCGTGAATGTTCTGAGCAGGGTCAGAGCCGAGCACGCCGTCCCATGGTTGAGGGGCGCCAAAGTCTGTAGCAGCGCAAAAATCCATAGTTTCGGGAAGTTCATTTGCCCAGTCCGAGAATTTCCATTCCGGCCTTGTTAGGGATGCGCTCTGCTCATCTGAGTCGGCAGCGAGCGCCGCTTCTGGCTCCTCGTCGTGATCCTCATCAGGGGAAGTCTTAAGTGCGTCACCGTCTTGCCGCGAGCTCTTTTCCGGATCTGAATGCTCAGACGGCTTGACTGTGATGACTATACTATTCGCTTGGCCCTTGCTGTTTTTCCAAGCCGCTTCCTTTCGCTCATCCCAAGTCTGAAAATATTCATGTTAGTGATCCCTGTGCATAACTTCAAGCCAGGACTGAATGTGGATGTCAGACATACCCATGAGTCGTCGAATCCGCTTTCGAAGTTGGACCAGTAATCATAATCTGCGCTTTCATCAAAAGACCATGCGATGTTGTCACCTAATGCAGGCTGGTTGATCGGTAAATCAGGAAGTGGCGGGAAGGCGAAAAGCTTCGCCGTAGGGTCAAAGAGCGACATCTCTGTCTCTCAGCAGTCGTCGTGTCGGCCGCAAAGGTTTATACAGATGTCGTGTATTGATCGAAAGGCCTAGACCTTTTAGATATATGGCGGACCACGGTGGTATGAGTAATATCGATAGTTGATAATTCCCGGGTCCACGGATGAATGCAACAGGCTGGGCTGAAGTGTCTGTCCATCACCCGCTAACCGCATTGGGATCCGTTATGTGGCCTCTTTCCACCTCGTTGTAGCCCTAAGTCGAAGATCATACATAAAAATAGTACACCCGGGCAGTTATTATACGCTGCCACTGACGAACGCTAATGTTTGCAATCTGCAAGCCTGCGTCACAGTCCTGGGAGGCACATTCTGGGCTGATGACAGTGATATCGAACGTTGTCTGGAGAGACTTCATACATCAATTCGAGACCAATAGCTCCGTCACATGGTCATACAGCAGAGCCGTGGGCGATGAGAAACCCCACACAAGCATCTGCTCGAGGTCCTCCATCGAACAAAGCGCATCTTGGTTATATAGTACATAGATTCCGACCAATGGGACATTCACCATGATTGGACGCATGGACGCCATAGTCCACCCGGACCACATACAAACACACATAGCATACAGTCCCCAACGCCGTTCACGCTGCAAACCTCAAAACCCCCCAAGAAGAACAATCACGCATCCCCGGCCCATTCATTACCCACAAACTTGAACCAATTCGGCCGGCAGTCCTCCAGGACCAAAAAGTCGGCGCCCTCAAAGAACTTGCCCGCGTCGCAACCGCTGCACTTTGGCGAGTTTGGGCAATTGAAGTAGGGGATGTGGCGGTATCCGATGTCCTTGAACCAGTGAATCTTACTCTTGTCCTCAAACAGTCCGAGTGCGATGGAGTGCACAGGCGCATCACCCCAGCGCTCGTAAAAGAATCCGCCGGCGCGATCCAGGTGCTCGAAGTAGGCTTCGTAAGCAGGTGAGCGCCAGAAATCGAGGTTGGCGATCTCAAAGTTGGACCAGAAATGACATGTGCTGTAGCCGTGAGCCAGCTCCTTGTGATCCGGCCGACGCTTCCCGTCTGTCAACCAGTCCATAGCATTGTTCTTATGTAGAAATTGCTTGTTGTCTGCCAGAAATGCCTCTGTCTCTGGCCACAAAGTAGCGACTGAAAGCGCCGAATCGTAGATGTTGACTGTGAAACCGTATGTCTTGTTATGGTCGTGCATGTAGCGGAAGACATCGTAATCAACGTCGCAGAAGAAGTTGACGTGCGGTTCTACTCGCCAATAGTATTGCATATCTTTCAATGCCGGATGTCGGTAGAACATGCCGCTGTTCCATCTGCACATCTGATGGTAGGACTTCATATCTGCATATGCGATGTTGGCGTCCTTCAATATTTGTTGACTCTCCTGCATTAAACCATTATCGATCCAAGCCGGTATGTCCCAGTGCTCTTTCGGTATCAGCTCATATCTGCATGCTGCTTTCGTTTGCGCGGACGTTTTCGCGATGAATTCCTCTGTGAAGGGCTCGTCGTTGAAGAAGGTCCAGGGATAGTTGAACTTGTGGTTCCATGTGCGCTCCAGATCTTTCATACTAGTGATGATGTCCTCCAGTTCGCTGTTTCTGACGAGTGATAGAAGCGTGGCATTGATGCGATCTGAGTTAGGATTGGTCGGGCTGTAGTTATTTCCTCGGACGCGTTGAAGAGGCTCTGGTGGCTCAAGTGTCGCTAAACTTCCATCAGAGGTTGTCCATTAGATCGTATACATGCTTGTACTCACGATCTAAGAGAGGGTCCCTTCCAAGACCGCTATCATACTCTGGCTTCTGCACCCTGTGACCACGCGAAAGTTGAAATATTATAAAGAATACTAGGATTATGGCTGCGGCTGCCAGCAGTCGCATTGGTCGGAACATCTTCACCCGCGGGCGAAAGGGCCTGGCGTCCACATTGGAATTTCTTCGTTTGCGATTCATGGTTTTTGCAGCATCAAACCGTGCCCGGCGCAAGCAATGAGATGAAAGTCAAGTCAATGGACAATTTCTCGCAAGTCAGATCCGGGAGACGTGAGCGCGGCGTGGCACAGCGGAATCTTGCCGCATGTACCTCACAGGGGCCAAATTTTGAGGGTCCTCTGGCGGCGGGCACCTCTTCTCACCCACGAAAGTCACCCATTTCCTGGGCAACTTCAGATGCTTCATACGAGCGTCGCGCGTTCAGTACTGTCCATGCCACCAACGTGATCAATGGCATTGTCAACACCGTGCTGTACAAGTCTGATCGTTTCAATCCTCCAATACGACCGGTGAGGCTCATCCGGTGTTCGCGATCGGACTTTATTCCATCAACATGCAAATTCAAGATCATGCGTAGTGCGAACCACGGAGTGAGATGGCTCATGCTGCGATTCGACGCGATCTCGTGGAGAACCTGGTGACGGGAGTCACAGGCATTGCAACCGAGGACCACACCTATATCAGACTTTGCGCACAGTCCGTAAAGGCACTTCGCGATCAGGGCCATGCACGAACCAATCAATTCACCGTGCAGGCCCGTCTGGAGGGTCTCACAGAAAAGTTCGGCGTCTTGAATCGTGAAGATCTTGCCGAGGCGCTCCAGTCGCGTTTAGACGAATTGTCATCTCCAGAGTTGCAGTCCAAATGGCTGCCCGAGATATTCGCATTGCTGTTAGAACTGTCCGATCGACCAGCAGAGAAGACGAGTCGCGAACCATTCAAGTCTATCAAGGGTGCTGCCTCTCAGCGAGAGTTGTCCTGGCAAGAAATTCTCGCAGCCGATCCACTTGAAGATGATGGAATGTGGGATGATGTCGAAAGAGGCTATCATTCCAGTGGCGATGAGATGAGCCGGGATGATCTCGTCTCTGAGAAAGCGCCATCGACATCTGCGACCTCGAACGAGGACACCGATGATCCACTTTTGTTGGTTCAGCCACATCTCATCCACACAGATAAAAGTCTTCTTGTTCCGTTTCGCCAGAGGCAAGGGCAAGGAGCATCTGTGAATTCAAAAACCACAACCTGTGACGAGTATTCCGTAGTTCGAGAGGTACTCATGATGCTGAGAGGGTTACCCACCGATCAATTCCACCGGAACGATGTTTCTGGGGGCATCAAGGTGTCAAGGAGTATCATCTTCACTGGCACCAGCGAGCTAGTCATCCGCGACCTCGTCGCTGAAGCGGCCAGAATTGGGACCAATCTCAACCACCTTCGTAGTTTTGTTAGGTCCGAGCAACCTTTGGCATACATGCAATCTGTGCAGAACCTTGTCTCGAATCACCTTTCGAGCTTTGCATCGCACTTGGACCAGACCGAAGCAAGCTTTGTGTCCAACGAATCCAGTACCATCGTCAGCGTTCTGCAAGTAATGACACGTGTGCGGAAGCACGCGGCACCTTTGCTCTCGTTATCCACCGCGATCGCTCGAGTTGACAACAAGAGCGCAGATCCGACGGATTTTGGCCTCTTAGACAGCTTATATGATTTGTCGTGCATGAAACAAGCCACAGGTGACCTCGCCGTGTATAATTTGAGCGTTGATGTATTCCTAGCTGGCCTGAGGACTTATATGCTGACAGTGGCAAGGTGGATCTGCACTGCTACGATCAACGACAAAGATCGAGACATGTTTTTTGTTGTTGATGCTGATTCTACCATCGACCTTGGCTCTCTATGGCACGGAAAATTCTCGCTTCGGTCCGACACCAATGGCTCTCTCGCAGTGCCACAATTCCTTACCAGATTTGCGACGAACATCTTCGCTCTCGGCAAAAGCAAATACTTCTTGCAACAGCTCTCGGGGTCTGATGAGCGTGACCACTTAGATTTTCGACAGCTCCCTGGGCTGATGCCAAACTTCGACGCTATCGAGCGCAAAAACAATGAACCAGGCTGGATGCCGTTCTCTCAGATCCTGGAGGAAAGCCTTGACTCATGGATCAGGAGCCTGGGTACTAGCTATGTTTCCCATGTACAGTCACTTCTATTGAACGAGCAGGGCCTTCTCATGACTCTGTCCGCGTTACCTACTCTTTTCCTCGCAAAGAACGGCTCGCTGTTCCAAGCACTCGCCGACGGGATCATACCATTAATGGCAACAACGCCCGGAGACGCAACCAACGCAAACAGCCATCTGGCAACGATGCTCGCGCGAGATGTCTGCTCAAGCTCTCCCTCGATTGAAGATCGCCACCTATTCGTCGACGTGTCAGAAGCCAGCCAATCCAGGTCATCAATTATAGCCAGGCTCGGCAATTGTCGACTGTTCTACAAGGTCCCTTGGCCAGTTCAAAACGTCATCCGCAGCAAGACTCCCGAATTGCACTCCCAGATATTCGCCTTTTTGCTTCAAGCGTACCACGCCCGATCCTTGCTCGAATCCACCTTCCTCGACCTTCAACGCTCCTCTACGGAATATCCCGCAACGCTGAAACTCCGACAGCGGTTACTGTGGTTTGCCGGACTCCTCCACAACCACGTCACCACCACTGCCAACCAACTCCATGACCAGCTTCGAAAAGATATGGCTACGAGCGAATCCATCGACTCCATGGTCGACGTCTGGTCCAAATATACGAGCCAGCTCCAACTTGCACTATTGCTCACGCCCAGTTTGGAGCCCGTCCGCGACGCCGTCATCAATATCCTCGAATTGAGCGAATTGCTATCACGCGCGCGAGGCCCAGCGAGCATCGCAGGCTTGTTGGCACAGTTTGAGCGGAATCTTGCCTTTCTCATGGCGGGCGTTCGCGGAGTGGGCCGGGCGGGCGGACAGTTTTGGTTGGAGGCTTTTGCGGAGAGATTGGATTGGCAGCAGATCGATTGAGAGCGTTTCCTGGAATCGAGTGGGATTATCTCCAAAATCAGTCGAGGCGACTTTTTTTGAAAAGGCGAGTGTCTGGAAGTCATGCGCATCATGGAGGATGAAGGTGGAATGCAGAAAAGCGTTATATTATTACAAGTGTTATGAAGTGGTGATGGATAAGCAATGTGACCACTCGCCCATTCGGATCGTGTCGGCACAGAAGCGCCCACCGGGGCAATCCCAAAACTACGTGTCTCAACGGAAAGGAAGATACCGCTCAAATCCGACTGTCCCAATATTCGTTACCCATGATGACACTCAAATCCAACGAAACAACGAATCACAATGAGGCGACTGAAGCAGATCCGTCCACCGAGTTTGAGTTCGGCGAGGTTGATGGCGATGTGCGTGACGCCACATATGGCACCTCGCGGCTGTCCTTCGGTTCCGAGAAAGCTGCTTGCGCGACCTGCCACGAGCCAGTTATGCGAAGGAGGTGGGAGTGTCGGCGCTCCAGCCAGCGGCCCTCGGGCGAGGAGTTCTTGCCGAGCCATTCGTAGGCCTTCTCCATGGGCACCAGGATGGTCAGCTGGCCCAGCTTTCCGGAGCAGTAGAAGATGTTGTAGTCGACGCTCCGGCAGATGTCCAGGGCCGAAGTCCGCGCCATGTTGGACAGGACTCCCTCGTCGCCGGCGTTGAGATCGCTGGGCCGAGCGGCGGCGAGGATCATCTGCACGAGTAGGATCACCATCGAATTGTACACTTCGAAGCTGTTGGCGGCGTCGAGCGAGACGAATTGGTACTCCGTCACCCATGGTTTGGGTAGCTCGTCGTCAAACTCGGTACGCGGCATGGCGGGACATGTCATGGGCGCCGAGTTGGCCTGCCAGATCTGTCGCCAATCGTTCAACCGAGTTAGCATGTTGAGAGCCACGGCGTAAGTGCGATTTTCGGGGTCGCTCGTCGCATCTAATTCTTCATCGCTTTTCAGCGCCTCAGCTCTCTGTAGGCACCCGAGTGCGGGAATCTCGACCAAGATATCGGAAAGGAGGTCCTCTTCTGATTTTGGTCTTCCATATTTCTCCCATGGAGTTGTCCTCCACTCGGGTAAAGCTAGGAATGTGGTCTCTCCACGACTGAACGCTGCGAGACCAATGATGTAGCGCATATCTGTGAAGATGGAGAAACAAGTTTCGTCCGCACATATGTCAGGTCCTGCCATATCGAACAACTTCGCCACCCCAAGAACGTGGTCGGCCCAACCTGAAGGCTTTGTGAAAAAGAGCAGCTGCGTGATGACAGGATTAGTCTTTGAGCGATCACCTGGAAGAACACCGAGGAAGCATACCTCGTAGCCGCCTAGAATTGTGATTGCCAGGATGGTGTCACGACTGACATCTACCTTGGGTTTTGATAGTCGGTTGTGAACGATTTGTAAGCACGCGCCGTATTCTCTTTGCCCGCGTCTACGAATCTGTGGTGCATTGCATGTGGTACCAAAATATGATTCTGAGAGAGCCTTCAAGCATCGGAACGAGAGCCGATCGTTCTCGTGCATCAGGGCGTCAAAGCCCGGCCAAGCAATGTCGTTAGGATCGGTCGCGAAGACAGTATTTCGGAGATGCGAGACGGTGAAACTTTGTTCATCGCTTCCCGGACTAGGCATCGGCGGCGTCAGAGCAAGGCTACGGTTCTGTCGCGCTTCGTCGCTGGCAGGCGGCGAAGACTTTTGGAAGACATTAATGAATTTGGGCGCTGGGTATTGGCATTTGAAGCCATCTTTCTGGCAGCGTTGACATCGTGGTGCTGTCTGATCTGCGAAGAAAGAATGATAGGAACGCCAGTCAGTATGAAACCGAATTGCTGGTGAGCATTTGTAGCCAAAAAGATATAGGAAGGATAGTGAGATGCACAGCGGCGCACGGAGTTGATGTGTTCGTGACGGATCGGGAATCACATCTCAATGTGCAGCTGATATTGCCGGATTCGGTAATCTGTGCGATAACCAGATCCGCATACATGATGCCTCACGTGTGCCTGCATGTGCGGATGTAACATCGCACGCTAGATCAGAAAGACATACCGCATTTCAGGTGGCGCTGTCGACAGCTATCGCAACCTTTGGAACGACCTCCTCTGCCAACCATTACCAGAGACTGTCGTTCAGGAGGAGGCTCGAAGAGATGGTTGATATAGCCGACGCGGGTTTACCCGGAATTTAGGAGCGATTGAAGACAGAGGGTAGTCCGTGACAAACCAATGTCTGGAACAGCGATGGTCGATATCGTATCTCTCGAAGGTCGTCCGGGACTTTGTACCTGGTTTATAGAGGATGATGTTGTTCGTGGTTGACGGTGAGGTCGAGGGGTGTGTCTGCAAATCACGCTTCACTCGTGGCGTTTTTAGGTTGCCCGATCCAGGCACTAGATACACTTTTCGGTAGGGGATTTTCTATTTTCACGCCTGCAAGTTCAGCTCCACCACCAGCTGCAGGAGGATCAATGGTTGGGGGCTCTAGCCTGAGAAAAGGATCCCCAGCCTTGAACAAGACCATCAAGCAATACGAAAGTCTTTTGAGACGCACCCACATCCTAGAGACTATCGAACGGAGTTCGGACATCACCGTTCGCCAATGGCAGTCCCAGAGGTGATAAATCACCACGTTATCGCCGTGACGATCATCGACGATGATGATGGACGCCTGATGAGATGCAGGAGAAGGCTCCGGCAACACGTAGCGGCATTTGACAAATCTCGCTTTTCGTCGTCTCGTCGGCACAACGACAACGCGACATCTGAACAGGCGATACAAGCATATAGAGTCATCATTCGACTGTGGCGTATAGTATCTGCCGTCTTCTGTCGCTGAAGGAATATCCCACGTCAGCTTGTATGCAAATTTTCGCGAATTTGACGGCATTCGGTAGAGATCAATATACGTCTTGTGATCAATCTGTCCACACATTGCATTGTGAATTACCGTTGTTTATGACGTCCAAGTAAGTCTGCCCGGCAGCATGCGCAGTACAACAAATTGATGCAAAGATCGTCCAGAGGATCGCAGTGTTCCTCTGCCGTGGGCCAATCGACGCCGAAGTGTTGAGCCATCGTCGGATCCCGGGCGAAGAGACGCTCAGGAGGCACGAGTCAGAGCTGCGACGGTGTCAAGCATGCGATCCATTTTAGTCCTGTGCTGATGTATAATAAGAAACATCGGGGAGAGTTTCGTGCCGATGTTATTGATCCTTCGTGATGGCAATAACAAGGACCATGATGACAAGTCCGTGCCAACGAGCATCGCATGGCATTGGTATTGCGCCGCATGGTCTTCTCATTGGACGAGGCCTATGCACCTCGTCCAGATAGCGTGCTTTTCCTCCCAGTTCGGTGCAGAAGTGTTGATCGCTGACGTGCACGCGCGTCTGCTGCGCCTACTTTCTAAAGTTTAGCTGCGTGCTGACACGAAATAAGCTATTTACAATCGTATGTATTTCGTACCGCACGTCGAAAACGATTCACTCGGCAGAGATGCAGCGATCACCAGTAGATGTGTGGCAACTCGTTCCTTGCAGGGCGGGCGGCCTCAATCCTGGCTCCTGATCTTCATCGACGACATTCACATTGATAGAAACAACATTGCTGCCATTGTCAGTCATGGTGGCGAGACAGAAATGTCACGATTCCGGAGTGGCATGGGAAGGATCCGACCATACAGCAGGCCCACGCCGGAGACATCTACTCCATTGGTCTATTTGGGGGCGCCTGGCCGGTCCACGCCGAGTATATCTGAACCGGATTCCCCTCTGCGAAGGAATATTCCATGCCAAGATTGAGAGCAATTGACTTGAAGTCGTGCATTCACGCGCGCCACCCATTTGGCCCAACCGAGCCGTCGGGAGGCTTTGTTCGCGGATATGTGCGCATCGACGTCCACCATGCGGTCGTCCTGGAACTATTGTAAGAACAATTCATGTCGGGCTATTGTGACCAACTACTTGTTGTACACGCCCTGCATATTCAGGGCGTGCAGCATGAGGGAGACAGCATTTGGACAGTTCGAAAGTACCGCTGTAGACGTAAAGCGAATTCGGGCTCCCAATTTCAACGTCGACGCCACACAAGTCTTTTGCCGGGGCCTGGGTTGCTCCAAACCACCTGGGCACCCACAATCGTGAGCTTTCCCCATCTTCGTGGCTGATCTCGGCACACCATGAGGCGAAGCGCGGCCGATCGGGCCGGGGGTTCGCATGTCTGCTTATCATCATCCATTGTCACTGGCACACACGAGAAGTACTACATGTTCGATAGGTGCATGTTCCTAAACCATCCTTGACGGATTTCGGTCATCATCGTAGACATCCTAAGCGAAGGCTATATTTATCGCCGACATCACACATTTCCAGAACATCATCGACATGTGTGATGCTCGCTCCGCTTCCACGTCCCCCGCATCGGTGCTGTACTACTATACTGCACTATTGTCGCAGGATGATATTCACATCCCATGCACTGCCCGATCGTGGCCAATGAGGAAACATTTCCCGTCACTATGGGCGGTGGACACAGACTGACTCCACAAAAATGCTCTCGCCTGGTTGACTTGGATCGCACATGGCGTGCTCGAAAGATCCGGTGGGTCTTCACCATTCCGGGGCAGTGCAGGTATTATCGCACGACGTCAATGCTGATGGGCCAAATGGGAGACCTCCGTAGATGTACCGCTTTGACGCTTTGCCCGCAATCGAAGCTCACGCCATCGGCACGATGCACTGGGAATGTGTAGACACCAGTGTCTCGCCCGCGAGAGTGGGACGTGTTATACCATCGAGATGCTGCGTGGGTGTTCCGTTAGCGCGTTTCAAATGATAATTGCAGACCTGATCCAAGCGGAGAGTAGAGGAAATTGGCTTGCAACGTGCTCCGCTTCTCTGTGGCCGGCCTATGACAAACACTCGAGGGACTACAGTCCCAAGGTTGACATACAGCCTAAAGCTTGGAGAATGCGGAATAGGCGTTGGCACCTCAGCCTAAACATGGAAAGAAGTACAGATCTACATCCAGTGCTGAACAAAATACAGCGACAATGATTCTCAACAGCCAGGGAAGATGATAACCATTGGTCTGAGATGTCCTAGGAGCTCGATTGAGGACCGAGCAATGCGCGATCGGCGTGCTGGGCGGCGGCCCCGGAACCGTTGCACGGAAGACCAGCTCCGTGCGCACCCTCATGCGTGTCTGGACTGAGACCATTCCTACAACAAGGCCGCCACGCCGAGAAGGAGCCTGTCTATGTAATAAATGCATCACGGCTTCCTATCTGTTGATATTCGTAGTTCTTGGTGACAATGGATAGCTATGGATTCACTGTGCGGTTAGGGGTATACAGCGAACATGGCCGTAGGTGTCAGCATTCCGGCGGCACACCTGTCGTCCGACGAACCGGCAAAGGATGTTATTTTCTTCACACCTCACTCGGACAGGCTTAGTCGAGTTTGTCTATCATCGTTATAATCATCGCTCAAAGGACCCTCGTCGCCTTCAAGGTGGCACGGCGAGGACCCGCCTTCACATGATGACCAGAGCGCCAGAGCACTGATAGTGTCGTCGTCGCTGAGACACAATGACGCTCAACAGATCCCATATTCGAAGTTCCGCCCTCGAACTATGTTTCTAATCCACACCCACGATGGATGGCTTCGGAGACACACGTCCGGAACTCGTCTCAACATCGGTCGTGTACCCTCGTGCGCACCCGCGAAATGACGTTCCCTGCTGTGACGGGAGCGAATGAGCGGATGGCGGGATCGACATTCTTCGTCATGTCTGGCTATCGTCGTGCGCAATACATGCTGGCTCACTCATTGCACAGAGATCAATGGCAGAGATAGACATGAGTATGCGCGCGCGAGCGATAAGCCATTTGCCTCCCCTCGCTCTCACCTTGCTTCACCATCCCTCTCCGAGAACGGCTGCGTTGCAATGCGAATGAGAAGCTCCCTCATCACCGCATATTCGATTTGCTTGCTGCGATCGCTGCAGACACGAGCGTGATTGCGTGTACTTCGATTCGACCTTATCAATCTTGCCGGCACTCGCTGCACAGCACATTCTTGTGTTATTGACCACAACCATTGAACTATTTCCTCGACCATTGGGAGTTTGCATTAGCCTGGCGGCGTATTACCTACTTATCACCGTTCACGGTTGCATTGGACTGGAGCACCAGCGCCAACGAAGCCTAGCTCGGAATTTCCCTGCGGAGTGCAAATGCTTCACGTGCCAGACCCGAAATTGCTGCTAGCAACTGCTGCAGTAATACCAGACCCACCAGCAAGCAGCACCCGCCGTAATGTTAATGATAGCAGTTATGATAACGAAAGAGAAAGCTCTAGCATCGCCGAACCGTCGTCAGCTGCAGCGCCATGTCCACTCCTCGCGCCCGTCGCCACAAGACTATCGCCAGAACTAAATGCTGGCCCGCCGCTGTCGCCGCTGCTCTCGCCCACTTGTCCGGCGGTCCAGCGTGACCTTGAGGACCACCACCACCACCAATACGAAGAAAATAGTCGCGGTTTTCTCCTCCATCGACACCACCTCGCCGATCAGCCATCGCCACTGCAGAGATTGCGCTCAAGGTCATTGTCGTTTGATCATCCAACTACCGACAACAATAATAATCATAATAGCATTCAACATCGTCGTCAACAACACATCTCCGCACTCGACGACCTCCTCACCCAGCGACAACGACAACCTGTAAGCGCCCACCCCCCCGTCGACGCCGTTCCGTCTTCCATGTCTTTGGCCCAGCACGTCACATCCATCGAAGGCATCGACCGCGAATCGCCACGTCTGGGCCCGCAACAACATGCCGGCAGCATCTCAGGCTCGTTTCGGGTCCGACCCACGCCCTCGATCAATTTCACGAGCCTGAATGATCGGGAAAGCCTGTTGTCATCACCGCGGTTGCGGCCGCGGGATTCCATCTATGGCACGCTGAATTCTACATCGGGCACCGTCAAGGGTGTCCGTCGGGTCATCAGTTATGATGCGTTCGTTGATCCGAGCAAGAATGTCGTCGATGCTAACGTTGCGGCCGTCCCGGCGTACGAGGTGTCGACGGCACGACGAACAAGTGAGTCGTCCATCGTTGTTATCCCCGTCATCATCCTGTCTCAACCTCTTGTTTGTTGAGTCATGCATCGATGAGTACTATCCTCCTTGGTGCCAATTGCTAATCGCCTCGGAAACAGTGCAAGTTGTTGTCACCATCTTGGCCTGTTGGCTGGCTTCTGGTATCGTCTTTGGTTTCGCGGCTCTCAAGCCGATCTTAGTGCACCAAGGAGTCTACAGCGAATATTGTACGGCTGAGGAACTTGGTGCTCGGGTCAGCATTTGTCGCGACCAGGACCTGAGGTGAGTACGGGCTTGCTCTTCTTCGCACATCACTTGGTCGCAATCGCAAGTGATTAATTTGTCTTCAATGTGCTGACTTGAGTTTTCTCCGCGACAGGTTGAATGCTTTCTTCGCAGTTGCATCGACGACCTGCAACATCGCCGCCCTCCCTGCGGGCACATTGCTTGACAAGTATGGTGCGCGGTCCACGATCGCTATCGGGTCTGTCTTACTTGCCATCGGAAGCTTCATAATGGCATCGGCGTTCGCCATGCCAGACTTTGACGGTTACATGCTCGGAAACATTCTGCTGGCGCTCGGCGGATCTTTCATCTTCGTCCCATCGTTTGCCATTGCGAATGCTTTTCCCAAGCACTCCGGCACCATCGTAGCATTGGTGACGGGTGCTTTCGACGCATCGGCCGCGGTCTTCTTGTTCTATCGTCTTGCGTACGAGGCCAGCGATGGCGCGTTCTCTCCGCAGAAGTTCTTCTATGGATACATCATCGTGCCTGTCTTGATCTTCATTGCGCAATTCACGCTGATGAACGGTGATGGATACACATCGGTTCCCCAGATCGAGGAGAAGATGGAATTGGTGAGGGACGCAACGAAAGATGTGAGTCACCTACCTGGTCAAGCGAGGCCGCAAACGAACTACACAAGTCAAGGAGGACTGAGGAAATTCCACTTACTGACATATATGCTGCGCGTCACAGGTCCACGATTCCGATGACGACCGCAGTGACAACGAGGTCAATAATCTCCGCGTAAGCCGTCGGGAACAGCGAGAGGACACGCTCGCGGAACTCGACAGGCTTCTCGGTGGCGCAGAGGAACGTGAAGTTCGCGATGCGCTCGAGGACAAACGCCACGAGGTGTCTGGCGTGTGGGGTGCTCTCCACGGCCAAACCGCCTGGCAGCAGATGCGGACGCCTTGGTTTATCCTGATCACGCTTCTTACCGTCTTGCAGATGCTGCGAATGAACTTCTTCATCGCAACGATTAAGTCGCAGTATGAGTATATGTTGAGATCGCCGCGGTTGGCGAAGCAGATCAACACCTTTTTCGATGTCGCCCTGCCTGTAAGTCTTACCATGCCGAGGCTCTCGAGCAACATTTCAGTCTGGCCCTTCCGTTTTGAATGAATTTTGTAATACTGACGTGGCGTCTTTGATCGACAGGTCGGAGGTGTTTTGGCAACACCATTCATCGGCTTGCTGCTGGATCACATGAGTACCGCCGGCATGCTTGCCGTACTGGTGACGCTCATCACCTCTGTCGGTGTGCTCGGCTCACTGCCGTTTCTCTGGGCAGCATACGCCAACGTGATCTTCTTCGTCTTGCTGCGTCCGCTGTACTACTCGGCCATGTCGTAAGTGGTTCCCCCATCCAGCATCCCCAAGCCCCTCACCAGCAGCGACCAGCGTCAACCCGAACTTTTGCTGACCCGATCCATCACTCAGTGACTACGCCACCAAGATTTTCGGCTTCGCCACCTTCGGCAAGGTCTACGGCATGATCATCTGCTTCTCCGGCGTCGTGAATTTGTTCCAGCCGCTGATCGATGCCGCCAACCACGACACCTTCCACGACGATCCCGCGCCCATCAACATCATCATGGCGGCCCTCGGAGGCCTCTTCGGCACGGTGCTGGTCATCTTCGTGTGGCTGCAGGGTCGCCGGGCTGCCGTCGACGCCAAAGCTGCGGAGATGGCGTTCAACGGTGAATACATTATCCGGGAAACGGACGAGGAGAGCTTGTATCTCTGATCTGGATATGATGGTTCTGGACTAGCCTCCGGTGGTGCACTGCATCGCCCCGGGCAGGATTCTTCTTGTCGCTTTTCTTTTCACGTCCTTTGCGGGAGCCTGCTTGTTTTCTCGAAAATACTTGAGCGCGGCGTTCAGGGGAAAGGTTTTCTTCTTGGCTGGGGTCGTTATCCTTGTTGGATGTTTTTCGTATATGCCTTTGATGTTGAATAATGACCATGACGAACGACAGATTGCACTTTTCCCGACATCAATTTCTTTTTGGCTCGTGCAAACAATGTTGCTCATCGCTGAAAGAGCTGCAATGTAGCTCCAAACATATGGTGTCCACGTAACTTATGCAGTGAAGAGCGCTACAGGGAGCATGTATGTGGGAAAGCAAAAGGGACCCCCAGGAATAAACAGAAAACGATCCATTACCACTAAACCACGCGGGCCACAGCACGGTTTGTATATATGTACAACACAACTCATAGACCAGACGTGATGCCAGCCTGGCTCCAATCACGCAATTCATTCACGCGGGCGAGTAGCAATAATGACCCGCCCATCCGCCAACCCATTCGAGTCCACCTACAGCCCGCGGCGCGAACCGACCCAAACTACCCAGCGCAATTGCGGGCGGGCGGACGGACGGACGGACGAGCGGGTGGTCGTCCGGCCGGAAAAGCACACCGCGTTATTTATACTGCCCACGACAGCATTGGGGTGCTTTCGGTTTCCAACGCGGAGCCCGCCCTAAAAGTAGGGCGGGATTTTTGATGGCGCCGGGCTAGGAAATGCCAATCTCTCGTTGTTGATCTTGGCTGCTGTATCTATCTATCGACACTTAGGGATACACGTAGAGGGAGAGGCCATCGTTGCTGAAGAACTCGCGATTGGGGAAACATCGTGTAAAGCGGTCTCTTCTCGCTGGGAGGCACAATATATCTGTGGGTCAACCTATTCGCACGATGATGTTGACGGGCAACTTCGTACAAATTTAGAGCTTTGCTGCTGCGACTGCTGAGTGTGGAACTGCGTCGGGTCATACCGTCTCGATCTCAGATGGTCGATGATCGTCTGAGGGTGATGAGTTTTCGTAATGTAGACAGTCTACATAGACCACGGTGTGCAGTATTTGCATGCATATTCTATTTGATCGTGGTGATGGAAATCTGTGACCATCGGATCTAAGGGTTGGGATAGGGTTTGGGTTGGGGCGATGCTTCACCGTCGGGAAATTCGAAACGAGGAAGGGGGGAAGCACACCGAATGAAAGAGGACCAGGGATGCGAGCGAGGCGATACCATAAAGTTTATTCTATTCATTACATTGTTTCATCTCCATCGAAAACGGTGGCCATAAGAAAACTTTCCTGTCATAGCAATAGCATGCTCAACAATGACACCGTCGCCGCAAAGCCCAGCCAGAATTCACTACGGAATAATATCATTCGGGGAGATGCTGAAGACGACCCCGGCATGGTCGATGGTGATCCAATTGGATCAGATGTCGCGCCGCTGCCAGTGGACAGTCTCGTTGTTGTGCTAGAGGGCACGCCACTGGGCAGTCCTCCTCCGCCGCCGCCGACGACTGCTGTGCCAGGACGATTGGCGCCGGGATCCTGGCCTTGCGCTGTAGGACTCTGTCGCACTCCCCCCGTTGACCCTTGATCCTGAGCCGTATGTCCCTGCGACTGCGCCGAAGGACCTCCTTCCTGTTGCGGCCCACCATTGGACGAAGGAAGAGGACGACCAGTCTCCGTCGGTCCATCCCAGGTAGCGGAGTTCTCCGGCAGAGCCGTCTGCACAGGTCTGGAGTATCTCCCATCTGGGCCGGCCGTGGGCGTCCACAGGGAGGCGTAGACGGGCAGGGTCGCGGATGCCGCTGTGGCGGCTTGCGTCAGTGCCATCGGAGGATCGAAGAACACGGCGTCGGATTCGAAGATGAATCGGCATGTGTATGCGCCGGAACCGCCCACGCCGGCGACGTTCTCTACGAACACGGCGGGAGCCATGGAGGAGAAGAGGGCTGGGATGGATAGTACAGGTCGGTAGTCATCGTAGATTGTCGAACATTGATTGACCGTGGCCCAGGTGTCGTAGTTGGCGACCTGGAAAGTCGTCGTCGCGGCGCTGAAGGTCGTGCCCGGATCGGTATATGCCTGAAATGTGTAAGTTTCGTTCGAATAAGAGAGGCTGTAAGGATTGGAGTAGCAGCGTGGTTGGCATCTGTATGACTCTGCGGGAACATTGGGCCCGGCGAAATCGGCGTAGTTGAAAGAGCGAGTGATGAATTGCCCGCCCTTGCTGCCGAGCTGTCCGCAAAGGCTGCTGAGTTGGGTGGATGATTGTGGAAGGATCAGTTCGCTGTCACGCGAGACGAGCGTCCCCGAACGGGTATAGACGAACGTTCCGGCAAGAGCGACGTAGACGGTCGGAGACGTCAGCGTAACATTATGGAAGACAAATGTGTTTGCCTGTCCGGGTATGGTCTGTGACATGGTGGTCGTGCGACATGTGTCGAGCGAACATAGGTCGCAGTCCGAAGCCGTGGTCACCGGCCAGAATAGAACCTGGACGGAGGCGAACTTTTCCGCACAGAGAGGTTGATCCACCATACTGGTGGGTAGCATCGCCCGACCGCAGATCGGAGGTTGGGATGGCTGTGGTGGCGCGGTCATTGGCAGATCGTAGGCCTTTGCGAGAGCAGCACAATCATCCTCTTGGATGGTGCAATCCGGAGCAGGGACCTTTACATACACCGAACTCGTGGTAGTGAATGTTGACCAACTCGTCCTGGCGACGTTCACCACGCTATACGAGGTGGAGATGTTGCCAGACAGACGCGGAAAGCCATCACAGAGCGTGTGCAGAGTGGCGGACGGAGGGACCTCGGTCATGATCGTGGTCGAGACGGACAACGATACTCCCACAGAACTCGTCGATGTCTGGAAGGCCGTCGTGGATACAAGACTTGAACCGCCAGCCTGTACCCAGCTTTGTTTCGCGTCGTTGCATGATGATGCGTAGGCCGATCCGGTGCCTGTGGAAGGCAAGAGCGGTGCAGAATCATCAGCAGCTCTCACGACTTGTGATGCATTTCTGGCCGTGCTGATGTGGAGGGCGAATGACTTCCTGTCGGAGTGACTCGAATGCGGTCGACTGCTCGCGCGACGTGCGCTTTTCGACGAGTTCGACCATGGAGACCGACCGTGCGCTGGCTGGCATTGGCTCGCCAGCTCAAGCAGGATCAACCCATATTCAGCATATCTCATGGCGGCGCGATGAATGCTGTGGGATCACGCTTCAGCGCCTTGCGAACATGATGATGCCCGCGCAAGGAGGTGTTCCCGGACGGTGAGAAGGCTGAACGATGAGAGGTCTGAGACAAAAAGTTCCTCGAGCTCCCATCTGAAGTCCCAACGGTGGCGGCCGAAGAGCTGCCAGAGCCGGAATTTCGGGGGATGATGACGATCGACCCTTGGCTCCCGCTGCCCAAGCTACTGGAGCCGGGCACGTTTCAATCCGTTTCAACACGTCCTTAGGGGCGACGGATCCATTGCACTCGGGCTCCAGCAAGCCCTGGAGTGCATTGTTACATCCTGCGTCGGTGCGCTCGATCCATGGACTATGCGGCGGTCTACAGGACGCACTCGCCTCTGGTTGAATCACGCTCGGTAAATCATGGCAAATGATTCAGGTTCTCTGTCTCTCCCTCTCTCTCAGGTCCACGGCATTCCGAACAATCATCAGTTTGCGCACAAACCCATCCGCTGTGTACATTCGACGAACGGAGCTGCGTAGTGCAATAATAATAATGCGATGCGCACCGAGATGCATGGAACGTGCCGACGAGAACGGATACCAAAGTAGAATTCCCAAGGTGAAGGTTCCCTTTCTCGTACCTGGGCAAGCTTGGAAATTTGGCGGTCGGCAGTAGCGTCGAACGCGTGGACAATTATGTACTCCATTGCCATTGACGAGAGCCCCATGCCACGTCGGAGATTCCCGTCTCGGTGTGTCGAGTACGCGGCCTGTCGGATTGCGTACCACTGTTTACACGGCTGTCGTATGTAGAGTCTATACCATACCTGCACGTGATGGGGTCTCAGCAAGAATGTGAACTGGATATGATATCTATATTTACGTTCCGAGAGGCACACCATCCGTAGATGGAGAGCTTACTTACTGAAGGGAGGTACCCTTCCAAGCCCATCAAACCAGAAAAAACCCCGAGAGCATGGGCAGGGAAAAGAAGAATGCGAACCCAGGGATGAAAGATTGGAAGTTTCTCGAAACGATCTCGACGACCTGAGAAGACCGCAGAACGAAAGGCAAACATTGTGCTTAGGAGGAGAAGCGAATAGCTAGATAGATTTTCCCACATGTACAGTCGTTACATCCTCATTAATGAGAGGAGGAAGGCAATTCAGAAGCAGCAAAAGGAAGAAAAAAAAACAAAAACAAAGAAATGACAAGAAAGAAGACAAAAAGTCGAAAGTCATCATGCCGCCGTTGGGTGAGGAGAAAAAGCCCGGGTGGACCAGATCGTCATCGCACCATTCTCTCCCCGAATCCCCATCCTACCGCGCCGACGTCTCGATCGGACTCCCCACCGGCGGCGCCGGATCGAAATACCCCGTCTTCTCCGCCCGCGGGGTCGCGTCCGCGCCGCTGTTCACGCTGCCGGCGCTGGGGATAGACAGGGGTGCGTGGAAATCATAGTGGAGGAGTTCGAGGGGTAGAGGGGAGAGGAAGGTCTGGGGAGGGCCGCCGTCCGAGTCTCTGCGGAAGGAAGCATTGGCGTGGCTGTTGCCGGGCTTGTTGAACGATGACGAGATGCCGTGATCGGAGGGAGGGAAGCCGGCTTGGGCGTTGTCGGGCTCGGCGGCTGGGTGGGCGGGATTCACGCCGTGGAGCAATTGCCAGTTGCGGAGGAGGAGCTCGTCTAGTCGGGCGCATTGCCGGTCCCATTGTTCCACGAGTATGCGGCTTGGATCTTGGACGTACTGGGCTGGCGAGAATGACACCGAGGTTGCTGTTGCGGAGAGTGGGGACGCCATTCTGCTGCCTTTGCTGACATGAGCAGTCGCAGTGGAAGTAGAGTGACTCGGGACGTTGACTTGGAGGGATGGTGGTGGTGCTCCACCCTTGGTCGACGTCGTAGCGGGTTCGCCTCGGCCGGCATGCTTGTTGCCATGGTTAGCAGCGTTTGTGGAGGGCGTTGAGGAAGATTTGGAATTCGAGGCGTTTGTGCTTGATCCATGTGACAACCGGCTTTTCCCTATCGCCAGAGAAGGCGAGCCAGATCGCCGTGCCGTCTTCCTTACACTATTGAAACCCTTTCGGACCGCATTTGAAGCGCCAGAGAAGCCTGCGCCGGAAGGCTTCGCTGTGATAGGCGACGAAGGTGGCGACGAGCCTGGCGTGTCCATATCGGCCATGGCCTTGATGGAAGCTTTCGCGGCTCGGACTGCGGCACTGCGGCCATCTGTCATATGAGGCAGGTGAACTAGAGTTGTGTTGGCCTCTTCTACTGAATTGACGAGGTCCGTGAGACCTTGTAGTGGGATCTCATTGTTATCGCAATGGAGTTCGGTAAGTGTGTTATTCGTAATCAGGACCTCGGCGAGCGCACTGGCGCCTTGCACGCCGAGTTTCTGCTTTTCCATCCGCAAGACTTGAAGAGCGGAGTTTTGCGCCAGACCCGACAAAGCAGTGTTGATTCCTGGGCCGAATTTGGATGCAGCCAAGCGCGAATCGTCGCCAGAGAGATCCAATTCCACAATCGTGTGGTTCTCTCTGAACATCTTCTGCAGGGCGCGGCAAGTATCTTCGCTGGCATCCCCGGGTAGTCCGGCTTGGGACATGTCGAGATAGCGGGTCGTACGATTCGCGGCGAATGCTGCGATAATTTTACGGAAGACGCCTTCGTCGCGAAACTCGATGGCGCGCATGCTCAGCTGGGAGGGCGTCCGAGACTCGGAAATGGCGGAAGCGACGAGGTCGCCGTCTTTGTTCAAAAGACTCTGACTGATGTCCAGGTGGAGTTCCCGTGCAACTTCGTCGTCAGACCCCGCTAGACTATAGAGGAGAGTGGCCACGCCTCTGCCGGTGATATACGTATTGTCCACGCACAGTTGCCGAAGACCGGCGGATTGGGGATGCCCAAGATAAGTGCTGATGGCGTCGACCGTCGCATCGTTGATGGTGGTGCCTGTGAAGCGTAGCTCCTGGAGCCGCCAAATCAACAGCGTCTCCGCTTGGATCAGGGGCTCGTTGCCCGAAGTCACAGACACTTGAGAGAGGTTCAGTTTTCGAATGAAGCCGAATATGCCCAGCTGCCCATCGAGTGACGCCGGATTGAGTCGTGCGGTATTCCCGGCAATTTCCAACGATTCCAAAGTGTTTTCCTGATACCGCAGAGCATCCAAGATCAGACTCATGCTCCGATCGCCGAGTCCGCAACGATTGAGTTCGATGGCGCGGAAATGACACGACTTGTCCACCGCTGCCCCGACGAGGTAGTCGATGTCCATCTCACTCAGCTCGATGCCGTTCAAACAGATCCAGTCAACGTTCGTGGTCTGATGTTTGCAGAGAGGGAAAAGCGCCTCCACGATCCCGCAGCCGATGTCACGGGCCGGCACCATTTCATCCTCGGGCGACGAGGCCGGTGTTCGACTGTGATCGCGCCGCCTGTTGGACGACGTAATGCATCCTGAAAAGTCCAGGTAGCGCAGCTTTCGGCTCAGCGCAGCTAGCGCGCGGATCTCTTGGACCAGCATCGATGCTCGAGTCAACTCCTCCGCACTTAATTTGATGGGTGTGCCGCGTTTGGTCCGGGTACAGACAAGTTCGGTACCGAAAGGATCGTGCGCACCATTCAGGCTATCTAGTGAAACCCCAGCAAAGGAGATGCCGCCAAAGCTCTCATTGTATCGTAGTGCGCGCATGATTGCGAGAAGCTCGAGAGGTAGATATTTGGGTCGTCGTGCATCGGCTGGCGACAGCAGTTCGAAGCGCGGAGCATCCTCGCAGGCATAGTCGATTGTATACCGGATGTTCGCCGGATTGACACCATACGCGACGCAGTATGCAGACAAGGTCCGATCCAGGCAGCTATGTTCTTCATCACTGGAGAGCGCCCGCGGGCCTAACAAGGCGTCCATCTCGCGAGGGGTGTTGAATTTGTACAAGCGGTGGCAGCATTCTGGGCGCAGATAATTTTCAGCAGCATAGAGTCGCGCAACAATCTCCTGTGCAGACACTGAAGCTAGGAACAGTGTTCGAGAACGCTGGAGGGGTTCCCGAAAAGTTAGCTGGAATTCGTCGTCGACGGCGCTGACGTGCATGCCGGTTATGGTTAAGATACCATAAGATACATGTGCATCGGTTGAGATGGACAGGTGACTTGAGGTCCGGCTCGCTGGCTTCGCGAGCTGCACGATGTGGACTTTGTGTACGCCAACGGCAAGAAAGCACATTGAGGATGCAAGTTTGCTGAAATCTTCCGTGGAAGATCTGCTGCTGGTTTTGGACGTGGCTTGCCGTAGGACGACTTTGAAGATGGCGCAATTATTCGGATCATAATCCTGGTCGCGCTCGATGACCCAGGCAGTATGCTCCAGATTGGACGGCGAAAGATAGGTCGGACCTCGTAGTCGGACCTCATGGGCGGCGATGCGGAGCGTCCGCAACCAGGTATCCCTATCCTCGGAATTGTTGAACTGTAGTGACATTGCAGATGCGTGGCCGGATTCCTCATCCATATGGCAAATTTCGAGCGCGAAGTAGGGTTTCCCGTCCTCGAGCTTGTGAACCGCGACTATCTGGCTCAGGAAGATTTTACCCTCCCGATCGCCGGAAGAGTCTGACAGCGTTTGCATATCCGAATGCGAGCCTATCGACTGCACCGATCCGTGCTTGACCAGGGGAGTCCGACCGGCTGTCTGCGATATCGACCTGAACGCCTCTGCGGCTTTCGTGTGGGACTTGTAGCGAAGAAGCGTCCATTCGGTCAGAACAAGGTACTCCTTCTTTTTGCGAAACATGCCCGCACTGGTCTGAACTTCGCCATGCAGCAAGACCGCTCGCGGGATCGTAGACGCATCGATCGGATGCTCATTGCCGAATGAAGATGAAGCGCCAGTCGAAGACGCAGACAACGGCTCGTCCCGACCGTCATATTGGCTATCTTCTGCGTCGATGTGTCGAATGTGGTCCTTGAGAGATCCAAACATAGAAGGCGGCCGTGACTTGCCACCTTTCCCACCCAGTGAAGGTCGACTATTCTGGCGGCTGTGCGTCGGCTGTTGGGGCAGCGCTAGCTGCTGCTGTTGCTGCGAAGCCGATTGCTGTAGGGAAAGAGATGATGAGTTCGAAGGCAGTGTCGCTAAGCGATGAGAGCTACTAGGTCGAGAATGATCCCGATGGACCCGATCGTTGAACCAACTTGAGCTCCGTAAATGTCTGCTGTCCTGACTCCGCCCCGTACCAGGCCTCGCCGAAACTTCCGCGGCATTTGCGCTCGCGGTGGCAACATGTGACGGCGCCGAGGATTTCAGAGAAGAGAGAGCGAGTAGGCTCCGTCGTCCCCAGCCATCATTGCTGCTTCTGGTAGACATGGTCGTGGTCCGGGGCCCGGATGCTCGCGCTTCGAGCGCTCAAAGCAGAATCAAGCTACCAAGGTTGCTTGCTGCTGGACGGCCTTGCAATTTTAGTTCCCAAACCGGATGGAAGCAAACGCCAGAATTAAGACACGCTTCCTGTCCAGGAGATGCTGATCATGAGGCCGTGAAACTTGTATCGCTTATGATCCGTCACCGGCGTGTCGACACCGCAGCTCGGCCGCCGCAGGAGGTGATGACGTCGGCGGGTAGGACGGCGGAACACAACATGACAGTCGATCGACAGACGCGTGGATTGTTGGCACCCGCCGACCGCCTTGTGAATTATTAATGATTAATAAAATCGGGAAGCGGCCATGAAGGATCGAGCGTCGAAATATTCACCAAGTTATTACCAAGATTAGTAGCCACCTTGGAATAGTGCACCCCAGGCAGGATTTTCTTTCAAAGCCCAGCGGAGCAGCAGAGGAAGCGGCGGTGCCCGGGCAGGCCAAAGATGTACCAGGGTCGTTGGTGAAGTTGGGGCGGAGAGCAGACGGAAGAGGTGGGGAGGAGCGAACAAGCGTGCGGGTCGAGTGCGCTACATTCCAGCTGCGATACCAATGCATGTGCCCAAGAATGGAGAATGTCCTTGGTAAATTGTGTATGGACAGGGACCGCGAGGGGAACTCCAAATCCCGGCAGAGGAATAACGATGGTCAGATGTTTACAAATGTCGGGAGGGAAAGTTGCAAGCAGATCGGGTGGAAATTGTGGTGGTGGAGGATCTATCGAGCAGCACCAGCAGCAGCCATCGTCAGGAGCGGGATGTGTGAACTCGCCCGGCTGATGCTGACGGACGTGCAGACGTGGGAGGGAGACGAAAAGGACTGTGTGTGGAGAGCGGATTATTGGTGGTTTCAAGGCTCATTAAGGACAAGGCGGAGGAGCAAGTGCACCTTCTAATATGGCATTGTATAAACAAATCGCGATCATCACCACCTGAAGAATCCGAAGGCGGTTGGCCATTAAGCGAGCGTGCCCAGGTGGTGGAGGGAAGCCAGCTGCAGGTGGGCAGAGGAGACGGGATGACATGCCCCAGTGCCCAGGTGGTGACGAGATGTTGATGCGAACCCGGCCAGAGGCTTCCAATCAAACCCTCGGAATTCCCATCACTCCAGCTAACAACAAATAATATAGGATACCTAACCCAGGTATGTATAAACCAATTCGTGCTACTACTAGTACTACTGCAATGCATTGCAATGCATCTGCCTTGTGCCTTTCCCGTCCATACCTAGGTAGTAGTCAAGGCTGTCCCGGACGTGCCGGAGTGACGAGATTGGAAAGCAGCAACCACAGTGTGTTGTCCCGTAGCTGTAGCTAAATCTCATCATTACTACTGTTATGATGGACAGGACCGCATTGTGACCTTGGATTGGCGGCAGCATTGCGCGTCCACCTCGCGAACTACAGCAACAACAGATCACATCTCAGGCAAATGCGGCGGTGACATCTGGGGCCCCGCGCGAAAAGCCCGTGACGAAACCCGCCGCAATGGTCTTCATCATCATCACATGACGACAGAGGGAAAGCGAATGGAAGGAGGTCGGCCGCGGCCATGTAAGACATGACCATTCGGGATCACAACGAGAGCACACACATAGGACACAGCCTTGGAGCACACCTAATAACTACATAGCTAGGTACTCCAGGAAACCTTTTCCGTTCCGAGGTTTCTCCCCGTCGATCTTTGTCATCATCATCAGTCAGAGCATTTCCCATTCTCGGAGGGAGAGGACTGAATTGTACTGGAGTATTCCGAAGAGCACTCGTGCCATTCCGGACCATCGTCATCGTCATTCGAGAAGTATCTCCCTAGACAGATCGGCGCAAAGTGTTCGATCGGCCGCAAGCCCTACTCGTTCCACGTCTGAGGAGACCGCGATGAGTCTCGTGGTGGGCCTGAGGCATCGATCATCACGGTCCTTCCCATTATTACCACCTGGGCAGATGGGAGTCGACGTTAGGCGTGACAAAAGAAAGGAACGCTGTGATACAGATGGGTATATCATCGAACGGACTGCGACGCATAGAGGAGCCATCCTTCGTTTGAGGAAGATTTCTGACATTCGTTCATCGACATACGCATATGCCATAGGAAAGAAAGATATGTACATATACACGAGGAACAGACAGACGACGCCCATCGGCGGGTCCAAAAAAAAGGAAATCATCTAACACGAATTCAGAGAGGAATTCCCATACCCTCTCCCTGCCTTGTCTCTGCTTTTTATTCACGATCGTAATGTGATCGCCTGCACTCTCTCAATCTTTTTTCCCTTCCATTCGTTGTTGCCGGTCTCTCATTCTCGGTCTCTTTTCCTCGTCCGTCTACAACTGGTCGATATCGATGCAACTCGAATCCACCTATCGTAGTGGGAGGGCGGTGCCGTTGCCGTTGCTGCCATTGTGTGTCGGGGTCGTGGTGCCGCTGTTGCCGTCGACGCTCTTCTTCGCCTTGAGAGTGAGCGGGAATGGGTAGTCTTCGACTTCCTCCTGTTGAAACATAATGTTAGTAAATGCAAAAATATCGGAAACGGGGGAGACGGAGCGATGCCAACATACCTCTTCGGGCAACTTCCATGCAATGTAGTCCTCCGTGCTCAGACCCTCACGGCCCTCCTGCAGCGATGCGAAATCACCGGGGGTCATCATGCCGCTGCGCTCACGGGGAGAACCAGGGACAGACAACGGCCGTGAGATCTTCTGACCCTCGGTGCCGTCGAAGAAACCAGGCTCGTCGTCGCGGTCGGTGTACGAGTCGGGGTACGCACGGCGAAGTGCAAGCTGACGGGCCTTGACATACTCCAGGCCCATACGCTTCCAGTCGAGCAAGTCCGAAAGACGCTCGGTACGGTTACGTTGGTTGATACGCTGGCGCTTAGACTTGCGGGTGAAATCGAACATGTAATCGGTGAGCTGGTTGACAGAGTCGTCGACGCCCTTGGAGCGACGGTCGACGATGTAGATACCGTAGTCGGACGCGTTCTCGATCAGCTCCTCCATGTAGCAGCCGAAACCAGACAGGTTGGTGGTGATGCTGGGAACACCCATGACGGTGCACTCGGCGGGAGTGTAACCCCAGGGCTCGTAGTAGGAGCTGAACACACCCATGTGCGTGCCGCGGACAAAGTCGTCGTAGTCCATGGGCAGGACAGGGTTACCCGATGACAAGAACTCGGGGTGGAAGACGACCTTGACGCGGTCGGTCGGGTGGTTGAAAAGTTGGCAGCGTCGGATCTGGTTCAGAATGGGATCCTCCGCGTCATTGACCATGTTGTGGGTCACAATCGGAGGCAGCGTGCTCCGCTTCATGGCATACAACCGACGACGAAGCATGATCTTGTCCTGAGGGCTCAGGAGGTCCTTCTCGTCCGGAATGTTCTGACCTTCGTGCCACGCGATCGACTTGTCGAAAAGTTTCTTGCCAATGTTCTTTTCAATGTTGCTGAGAGTGTCGCGAAGAGACTTGACGACAGCTTGACCCTTGAGAGCCTCTACGGCAAGCGAGGTCGTCTGCGCAGGCATGATGATGAACGCAACAACGGTGACGTCAGAACCTGAAGATTTCATGCGATGATTGAGGCGCGCCAACGACTCGATGAACATGTCGACACCTTTGTTGCGGTACTCATATCGTCCGGCGGTGAAAAAGTAAAGAGTCTTTTCCGGGTCAATGTCGTTGTGTCCGTAGAAATGACCTCGAACGAAATCGTTGATGCGCTCCTTGTTGGTCTGGTGCAAGTTCTGGAACTCATGCGTCGCGGAGAATTTCTTGACGTTCAATCCGTTGGGCAGAACGCCATCCGGCTTGCGCTTCAGAAGATGCTCGCTCTCGAATGCGGTGATGTGGCTGACGGTGGTGAAGACATCGGCGCTGTGGGCAGCTCCGCGCTCGATGCAGTAACGGTGGTAGATACCACGCTTGCCGGCCTCGGCGTCGACATCGAAGTGTTGTAGGTTGTTGTAGAAGTCGACGGATCCAGCGCAGAGGTATCGACCAAGCAGGGTGGCGTGAGTGGTGAAGATGGTAGTGACGTCGATCTTCCGCTTCTTGCAGAGAGGTAGAGCCACACCAGCGAGCCACTCGTGGAATTGGGCGATGACGGCGCGCTCCTTTTCGTGAGCGACGTACTGCGGCGAATCAGCTGGTTGTCAATTTCACAAACCACGCGAGACATTGTTCTCTTACCTCGCCCAAGAACCAGGCAACTAGATATCCAAAGACAATAGCCTCGTTGGTCTCGTGGTCGTCTGCTGGGCTGGGAATTCCCGCAGTGGACCACAAGTCACCCTTCCACTCGTCGAGCTTGTAGTAACCGGTGCCTGTGTCGAAGAGGAGCACACGTGGTGCGCCATCAATCAACCACCGACCGTATAGGGTCTGAATACCGCGCTCCTTCATGCTCGCAATGGTCTTGACCAGAGCAGGGTCTTTCGGCTCAATCTCTTCTACTTCGACAGCTGCCGATGCGCGGTTGAGCGGTCCGAGGAGCGTATATGATGATCCATATTCGGCAGTGGTGACCTGGGCCTTTGATTTAAGCACACTGTAGATACCGCCTACTCGGTTGGCGACTTCTGTTGCGACCTCAAAGAGGACGTGGTTGTGAACATCTCTCCGCGGCGCAGCCATTTTGGAATGTGGATCTGAAGGTGGACGGGAGATGAAGAGGTGTTTAAACTCTTAATCAGAGGTATTGCGTACGTCCGAGGAAGCTCAGGATCAGAGAAGGTCCGTGTCTAGTTGTGATCGTGGTCAGTCTGAAGGTGATAATGAGGTGCGTCATATGGAAGCATCGCCAGAGGAAGGGCATGGGCGGGGTTTGGCGCCTCCGCAAACGACGGAAAGCACTGCATTGGAGGAACGGAAGTGCAGCTCATCGGAGAAGCTGTCGTCATGCAGTAATAAATGCGTACATACCCTTTGTTATTTCGTCCCACGAGGAGAGTTGAAGAACTGCAAAATGATGCAGTGACTGGTTGGTGATGGTGATGGTGGTGCTGTTCGTCGTCGTGATCGAACCAGGTATTGCTCGAATAGATCTCTCTCTTCCTCTCGGTCCTGTACAAAGAGGCGACCGAAGAGTTTATGTGTAGGTGGAGCGGTGGTATTGTGGAGAGACAAGTGGTGGTGTGAGAGAAGGAAAAGGTCAGAGGAGAGGGAATCGCATTGAAGATAAAGTATGTATGATGGAGCAGTGATACAATGCTGCTGCGATGGGTGTGCGTGCGTGCGTGCGTGCGAGCGAGCGAGCGTGGGTGCAATGAGCCTTTCCCTGCTCCTCTTACTCTCCGCCGCAGCAACGTTGACGGCAGAGTTCTCGCACACGCTCTCAATGACCTTGTCTTTGCGTGTATGTGCACGGTGGTTTTCGCCCGTTGCTCACCACCAGACAGCCAGACAGCTACGGTTTCGTGCACACCACCATGACGTCGATGGCCGATCTCAACATGGACCGACCTAGCAAGCCCAGGCGAAGTTCTTCCTCCCCGAGCCCCATACAAACCTTCCAAGCAACTTAACTTTCATGGTGACATACTATTCTAAGCGTGAACAGCCTCCTCTGTTTCACCATTGTCTGATGGTCCTGGAATTGCCCTTTGATAGCATCTCTACCCTAAAGGCATAGTCGCTCGCACACACATGCGCGCACCACTGCGCTCCAAAGGGCATTCGAAATATTTCAAGGATCAAGCATGGAGAGTAGGAGCTCATACGATGGAGCTCAGTTGAAATGGACGGGACATTACGTGAACATTTGCCTCCGAGAAGCTTCTCCACTTCCCCGACCTACGCCAATGCAAGAGCGGGACTGTGGGACTCCATCGAAAGGTCCCTGTACTCCCATCGTGCAGCAACCACATGCTGCAGCTCGAAGGTGACGACCCTGATGACCTCTTTCCCATCGCTTGAATCCACAGATCGTCTAGACAGTAACCCAAACACGAGGTCGCCATGTACTGAGCGGCTATAGCTCCGAAGGGAAGGTCCTTCAAGGTCAAGCCGGAACAACGGACCATCGTTCGGTGGTACTGATTCCCAACAATTGTCCATTCATTTCCACGCTCAGCGGTTTTTTTTGGTCTGTCAAAGAACCTCTTTGGGTCAGGCCTGATCCATGTTTGTCTTTGGCATGGGTCATTGCCCAGATCTATCGCAGCCAAACTAATTACGGACAACGGTGAGACGGCAGAGGCTCCCTCAACGCCAGCCGTTGATTGCTGGTGGCTGGCACGACAACCGCTTTTCTCTCTTCCTTCCCGTCAATTGCGGCTCAATCACAGCACAGCGCCTATCCAAGAGTTTGCGCATCTGCTTTCCTCCGAATAGAAATAGCTTCACAAGTTGGCGACTATCTTTTGCGACTGAGCCTCATCTGTCGGGAAATATTTCGGTGCTAGTTTAGGATCATCGGGACGCGAAGGGCAATGGATCGCATTGGTCACAGATTTAATATGGTAAACAGGAACCATTCTCCTGCACACATGGGCGCTTAGTCTTCACGGTCCTTTTTAGGCTGAGCTTCGAGGCGCATACATGTTGGGATGGGCAAAATCCGGGGAAATCTTCGGCGCTTGAGATGGAATGCGAACCGCAAAACGGCAAATAGGTCTTGTTCATCTCGACCTATCCCGTCAATTGACAACAGCCAAGCCTTGCCGTTGCCGATATGTTTTGTCGGCATGGCTGGGAGATTGTATCTTCCGGCAATTGCTATGACTTGGTTCCGTGCTCTTCGTCGAACACGCCGCTACCCAGCGTCTCATTAATAATTCTATTGCTGTGATACCGATCGAGAGTGGGGCCATCTCGTGCGCCAATACTTGGTGCGCATCTTGCGCGCACAAACACATACACATACACACACAATGGCACCCATAACGAATACTCTAAGCGTGCAAGTGACGAAGAAGGATCGCCATTTTCATGTTGATCACATTGAACAATTCCACTTTTTAGATTCAAATTTTGGGGAGGTTCTGGTCGCTGTCGAGCAACCTGAACCTAATTTTGGTCGGCAGCCTTGTCAATTGGGGCGCATGCGGCGGCGGGGCTGGGCTAGAGACCGGCGTCCACCTGGGCAGTCTTCCTTCATGACCGAAACGCCCCCACGTCGGCGCTCAACCAACACTCACAATGACTGGCCCGTCTGGACCCCTCACCGATGTCTCTGTCGTTTCGCGGGTAGTGAGAACAGGTTGTGAGTTCTCAACGATAGATTCACAACTTCCGGCCGCGCATCACTCGCAATACGCACGCACAAGCGGCCGGCCAGACTGCCCTCGTCCGTCTGATTCCGCTTTATCGATGCCGTGATTCGGGAACATTTCAACTGCCGAATGGAATTGACGCAGAACAGATCCACTCTTGGCGATTGATATCCTGGATTTGATGTCCCCCATCCTTCGCACTTCACGTTCTTCATCATAGACTCACGACTCACTTGCACTCGATCGCGTCGGAAATTACGCACTACGATATGCATTTCCGTCATCACCTGGATCGAGTCGACGCACATCGAGGGACAAGTTGAGCACTACTCCAAGTATACAGAAGTCGCAAATATTCTGCAGCAGAATTAAGCATGGACGACTATACTTCAACCCCATATGATAGCTCGCGTGAATGCATGTATGGGCGAACGAGATCGGAGCAACATGCTGGTATCTCAACGGTCTTAAAGAGCCAAATCAGATAAGCGACGTTTGGATCCACCTCTTCCCATGCAGGAAGTGATACGAGCCTGTCTCGTTTCGTTACAGCAACCAGAACCCAGACAGCATCGAAGAGAGCAGGAGTTCGGTAGCCACGTGCGGTTCCTGCTTTTCCATAGCTTGGTTCCTGATCAGGACTCCCGGTCCCAAATCTGTCAACGGCTCTCATCAATGGTCAGGTGTGCATGGGAACCAGTCCCTCTGACATGCATGCTTACAGAACACGCGGGTAGGACGGCCTCAAGACTGTCGAGCCCGAACATCCCACTTCCTCCAACTGCATGATCGGGTTCGGTCCCAAACTTTCATAAACAGGGAAAGCATCGACAGCGATGGAGTTTCCATTGAGGAATTCGCTGCATCATGTTTCACGTTCGCGAGACCTAAGCTGCGAAATTATATTTACGCAAAGCACAGCACAAAGGCTAGGCTGAGCTTTCCAGCCAAGGTTGGCGCGACGGTGAAGCGCTTGCTCGTCGACTCCACCACTCTTGCACACAAGGAAGATGCTGATCTGGAAGAAGAAATGGCCCACCGCATCCAAGTCGCCAGACCTAGTCAAATGCTTTTTCCCAATCACACGAGGCTTGATCGAAATTTGAGATCAAAAAAGGTAAATTGAAATTCATCAAGCCGAAGAGAAAGGAAAAGTCCGTCGTGATATCATTATCTCTCCTCCCACCTTCAAGGGTTCATTTTCCGCAAGACGGTCCGCCTATGCTCCCTCTCGACTCGACCGTTCCCTCTCCCGCAACGAACAACGAACTTACGCGCACTTCCAAATCCCACTGCCATGGTACCACTTCCCACCGTCGACCACGCCGGTGTCGATACATGCGCTCCCGGAGGTACCCTTGGGGATCTTCGTCACGACCTTGCCCGTCGAGCCCTGGCCACAGCTCGTCGAGCCCTGCCACAGGGTGAAAGTGCAGGCGAAGTTGGCATCGTAGGGGATGCTGACGCCCGTGGTGAAGAAGTTCTTGCATTCGCCAGCGGTGAGGTTGCCGGAGCCGATGTTGTAGGCACCGTCGCCGCACTTGTTGGATGAGCCGCCGGTATAGAAAGTGATGGTGGTGTTGGTGGGTGGTTTGGCGGCGCCGGTCGTTGCCGCCTCGGCTGCGGCGTCGGGGAGAGGGTTGGGGAGGGCTAGGGCCGTGGCGGCGAGGAGGAGGATGCTGGCGAGGTATTGCATGGTGTTGGTCTAGTGATACTTTTGTGTAAGGGTTGTTGAGGTCAGGCGAAGGTCTTGATTTATGATGAGTGGTTGACTTGGTGTTGGAGAATGTCCAAGACAGCGTGTTTTCCCAACTTGTGATTCGACTTTGACCTGAAGATGGAGGTAATGAAAAGATTATGTATTGAGACTTAAGATCGGAGTGAGAAGAAATCCGTCTGGACGGAAGATTCCTATGGATATATCTATGTCATCTCGCGCGACACAAAAGATCTATTTCTATAAAATATTGAAAATACGACTAGAGGACGTCATGTAACCAAAACCCGCCCGTCTATGCAACCACACGCAAATCCATGGCCCTATCCATCTACCGCTTAGCATTGACCGTGAATGCCACACACACCTCGGCTCCCAATCTGACTGATGTGGCGCAGCGCTGACAATATTCCTTCCACGAGTTCAAGATGTTGTGGACAAAGAATTGCGATAATGCGAGGAGGATTTCCAGGCGGCCAGAGAAGGATTCTAGACTCCGCTCGCTTCGGTAGGTCCTCTGCGGTCCATCCCAGCGGAAGATATGCATACAGGACAATTCTGGAGAGGGAGACATCACACCACGCCTGCATAGTTGTACTCTCCATCGAACGGATGCATCAAGCCATCAGGCAATGTTCTGTTGAAGCGAACGGAAAATCGCAGATGGAGAGATGAAACATGTGCATCCGTTGCACCATTTAGAAGCGAGCAATCCGGAGAGAGTTTCTCAGACGTGGGGAGGAGCGAGATGACGTTTTCTTTCCACTCTCCCTCTCCCTCTCCTTCTTACGCGGCCTCTCGAATACGGCGTCAGCAATGCTTCGTCCAATACCGTTATCATCATTATGTGCCTTTTCTAGCGGAGGGCTAATCATGAGTCATATCATGTGGTTGCAGTGACACTGGGTATCAAGAAAAATTAGATCCAGACTATGATAGCAGGAGGAGAAAGTTGAGATCGCACGGCATGAAAGACCCAGGGATCGCTCAACATTCTGAACAGGAATTTTCGTATTGCCCGAGGCGTAGCAAAGATCGATATAGCTTGTTTGACCGACATTCTGTGCTTGTCCAACCGCTGTCGAAAAGAAGTTTTCCAGATTGTCCTGCCAGTCAAATGACTTCCAGCTCGCACAGATCGCGGCTGATAAAATTCTCCTCTCTGCGTTGTGGAGGACAAGCCGGATTTCTAAATTTGGAGTTGCGGTAGATAGATACGACGAGAAGCGCTGGGCGCACTGCTAGCGGAAACTCTGAAGTGACATTACATATGATGTTGCTGGACATTTCAACAGTCATCACACCGGTCATCCCCAACCGGAATCTGTCAGCGTGATATCAAAGGCAAGATTCACATTCAGTGTTTGCAGATTTTTGGTACACACTGTACCTGGGCGGACGTTCTTGAGCCGATTGTCGATACGTACCGTGTGTTCGGCGTGCCTGGCGAGGGACGGGAAGAGTGACATTGGCCCAAAGAAGGACATGCTACCGGAGTACCCTGTCCCTCTCTGCATGCAGGGCTGAGGTGAGTTCATGTTCCTGCACTTCCTAAGCGAAATGCTTGAAAGGAAGAAGACCGCAACTAGGGCCATGGCATCCACAATCATACAACAACTCGGCTCCTAGATGTTTTTATTGTCGATGATTGAAGCCCGGAGTGTCCGCCTGTCCTTCCTTGACGATAACGTGGGTCGATACATGATCCCCACGCGCTCAAAGGGTCAGCATCTTGCTGTACAGACTTATCAAGGCCCGTGTCAGGTCCAATTCAGACAGGTAAGGCTCGACAATCTCAACACCGGTATCGCCCCTAGCATTTGGTGGCTGCAGGACAAGCGAGCGAAATCATACCTAAGTACTCTTGAGCATGTGTACGTACGTACGCCTCTGCATACAGGCATACATGCTCACAAATCCTCCTCTTCAACGTCCTGCTCATAATAACCATCTCTACCCCACCAGCAGTCGGGAAAGATCGCATCATACTACTCGAAGGATCCAGCCATCACTCCCGTCTCGGCTCGCGTTGCTGACATCCAAGATTACTCGCTAGCCAATGCTACCATCTCCAGAGGATTCCAGCATCTCACATCAGCAAACGAGTCCATCCAAATCTATGTAACATCTTTCCATGTTTATCGCATCCGCCCTGCCTTCTGTGGACGCGAGATGGTTCCCTCGGAGCTAAATCAAAGACAGGCCGCCCAGGAAGACATCTTGAGAAGCACGACAAGCGAATCGCTCACATGACCCACCTAGCATGCGCCTGGATCGTTGCACCGTCTCGCGAAAAAAGCCCGTGGGTCTCTCCAGCGACGCGGCCCGTTGAATCTTTGCTCCTTCAGAAAGGACACCGCTCGTGAATGCAACGTGCTGCACATTCATGCATTCGATGACAGCAGGCCTCCCACGCAGACCACTCCCGCTTCTATCCAAGGTCATGCCAGCCGACGTTCCGTTCACAACGGGGTTGAGGTTCGAGGGCCTAACTCGCTTTCGATCTGATGTTCTCGCCTTGTCGCTCACCTGATTTTTTTGGTTTCGTGGCATTCTATCCACACGGCTTGCGAGTGCGAACGCCTACAAAAGACCGATGGTTTCTTACACCACTCGTGCCTGAACCATCGACCGCAATGTGTGATTGACTACTGGCCACACCAAGGACGGCTATAATTCATGGCTTCGCACAGGCAAGGCCAAATTCGAGTCCCGATTTGTCTACGTGATGTGGGTAAGCAGGTCCTACGCAGTACTTGTACTCTAGCCATCGCCCTCGGCCCTTTCGCGAAAAGCGCTGTCGGCTGAAGCTTGATGATGCTGTTGGGCGCTCCCGAGCCGGAAAGCAGCGTAAATCTGTTGGACTTATCTGAAGCGTCTTGATGGCTGGGTCGATGTCGTGTTCTTCGATACCGCTTCGACAGCCACAATTTTGTCGGTGATGGAAACAGGTCGTACAAATGTAGAATTCGGGGCATACCATGCATGCCAGCTTCCTCACACGGAAATTCAGTGAGAGCCCTCCTCCAAGCGGATCACAGCGTGACCGTTGCAGGCCATTCCGAGGCGAGACTGCTCCAATCATGATATCAGTCAAAGGGGGATGAGAAAGGCTCGCATAGATCGGAACATGCAATAGTCAGTAATACATCAGATATGGTTATCTTTGCGGGGCGGTGATTCTCCTGCAACCGTGCCATCCGCGAATATTGTCACACCCGCGAAGAAACCTTCCACAGGCGACGCTCCAGGCTCGCTCGTCGCGGGCCACAGCTCTCGAATCCCGAAGATCGCAGCAGCTAATTCTTCTTCGCTTGCTTTCCTCCTCCCTCCTTGCCCTTGCGGTTCCTGCTCTGCGATGACCCCATCGACGGCCCGCCCACCCGATTCTTCTGGTAAGCCTGCACAATCTTCTCCACCGATCCCATGTCATGCTTCGGCTTCCGCATGTACGTGAGCTTGTTCCTCCTGGCCTTGCGCTGCGCCCGTTGGACGATCTCGATGCCCTCGACGTTCGGCGAGTAGACCTTGTACCACATCTCGACGCCGACGCGGGTCAGCGCGTTGCGCAGCAGGATCGCCGTGTCGATGGGCGAATTGCGTCGCCGGATCGTGATGCACACGCCGGAAAACGGATCGCCCGATTTCAGCCGCACGAGCAGAATGTCCCCCGGTTGCACGCGTTCCGGGTTCGCGGCGGAGAAGAGTCGCGTGCGCACGCCCTTCGGGTCGAGAACTTTTAGTTGTTGCTCGGTGATGGCTTTGACGGGGTCGATGCAGGTGGCGCGCGAGGAGGGTTCGTGGGGGAAGTTGCGGATGGGTTTGAGGTTGGTGTTGAAGCCTGTAGGGGTGGAGGTCATTAGTGGGTGTGGATGGGCGGCAAAGGTGTCTTATGCGACGGACGGAGAGGACGTACGGTTTTGCTTGATGGCTTGAGATGGTCGGAATCCTGCTGTCGGCAATGGGTATGGTGCTTTCCCTGCCACTGCGTCTAGAAGAAGCGAGGACGAATCCTCCTTTGTCTCTTCACTCGGTCGTAGCGCGTATTGTCTCCGCTGTTGTTGTCGTTCCATCCGACATTGCCGCAGTGCTTGTTTGAGACAGGCCAGAGGCCGCCTCGGCGTTAATGATGTCGACATTGTGCTGTGTGATGTGTCGTTGATTGTCAAGGACGTCGTCGTGCGCGGGTCGTCGTTCAATGGAGATTTGCGGCGAAGCTCGGGAGTGCCAAGTCGAATCTTGAACCTTTCTGGGTTCTATAGTTCTACCTGACAACCAAGGACATATTCATCGCGGGAGTTTGCATTGACGAATTGTTGGACCGACAGGGAAGAGTTGCACACGATCGCGATCACGAACTTGTCTGCAAATATGTCTTCGGTGTGCCAACAATGCGCACTGCGCCTGCAACGCGCCTCACAGACCACGACACGGCATCTATCAAATCGATCCTTTTCCAGCACAACTCCAGTCTCATCAGCATTGCCCGCCTTCGTCCCAACCAGAAACTCGGAATTCGATGGAATCATCGAGGATCTTCGCCTGAAGCACTTCTTCCCTGCAAGCCTGAAACAGAATGCGCGAAAAGTGCTCTACCAACAAAAGAACAGGCAACTACTCGAGGACAATCCGCGCATCGTCGAATTTGGAGGAAAGCAGACTCAATATCAGTACATCGAACGCCACACAGAAGTGCCGAACAGGGGCGATCTGTTGAGAAAAGCGGTGGATATCATTGCCGATGGCGGAGAGAAGGAATGGGCGAACCTACCGGTCCTCCTGCAGGCTTTCCACAAGATCATCCAGAAACCAGTGGAGGATAAACACATCGAAAAGCTGATCAGGAAGGCGGGCGTGCACAACAAACTGGCCTCTTTCATCAAATGTCTACACATGGTCGACCGGACAGGTCTTTCATTGAAGAACGATACCGTCCTGGAAGCACTCCTGCTAGCCATTCGACGGAGAGCATCAACGGGTGGGTTCCAGCGGATCGCAACAACAGCCGCTCTCAAGTACGGCACAGAGGTGGCCGATTTGTTAGAAACAGAGGAGCATGGAACGGCTCGCGTGCTCGGTGCAAACGACCCTCGTACACGGCCGCAGGTCATTGGTCTGTTCCTGGAACTGGTCGCTGCCAATGTACAGAGCACCGGAGGCAAGGATGTCGACGGGGTCGTGAAGTCGTATGCTCAGAAACTTCTGGGCCGTATCAAGGAGCAGCCGGCTTCTATCGAGGTGAGAGGAACTTCCTGCTCTTGAATCGCCGCAGCAAATGTTGTGTATGGAACACTGACATGTCGCCATCTACAGACCAGCAAGATTCAGCTGCAGCCGGCGGGCCAGCAGACTCAATTCCTCTTTGCCGTGTCCCTATGGCACGGTCTACAGCTCGCATCGAAGATCCTCGGGCCGCAGATGCCTTATGCCGATGTCGCGCGAACAACGCTCAAACAGTACCGATCTGTTCTCGATAAGCTTGAGAAGGAGTTGGAGGCTCGCCAAACCCAGCCCAACACCTACGACCGAATGGCAATCGACGACTGGAAGCTCGTCAAACAACCATCAAAAGCAGCCTGATCGAGAAACAGAATATTCTGCTCGATCCCGCACTTGCTTGTTTCGTGCAAGCTCCCTTGTGTAGAGTATTCCGTCTGGTTCTTCAGCGTCTGTATTGTACTTCACCCTTTCTCATCCAACTTTTTCTCCTCGTGGCGTCCGAACGAGCATTGTCCTCTGATGGGCGTAAGGCCCGATCGGAGGCGCCCTCCCTACGTTTGTTGGTTCAAGCCTGCTTCCGAAATTTCGCATCTACGACGTATGAACCTGCATGTCATTCTCGCTCGAGATTCTTGGCATACGGTCGAGCCCGACGCCATGGCGCTACTCATTTCGTCTCATCGCCGCCGTGTGGAGAACGCCTACCTCTCAACAAAAGCGCAGTATGTATTCAATATGGAATGTTGCATGTGCTGCAAGAACAGCATGCAGCATATCCACAGAAGCTGAACAGTGTCCTCAACACGGCAGCTCTGCGCTCCTAGACGAGCCATGCACGCGTGACGATATCGACCATGACACATAGCTCGCATCTTCGATGACATGCTGCTGAGTAAACCACGCTGATGAAAATGTCGATGGCGATGACGAATCCACAAGTCACCGCAGCAATGCCGGTTGTGCTTCTACCGTAGTAAAAGTGGCGACGCGATCCGCGGAGAGCGACGATCGGATGAATATCCAGTACGTGAGTACGTAAGGTACAACTACCTGTACATGCATCACGCTCCTCTGCCGTGGTTGCGCGATGCTTCCATGCCCACCTGGACACCCACACACACACACGCGCGCGCGCACACATGGGCACAGAGAGAGAGAGAAGAGGCTGCGCAGCGGGCATCGGCATCTAAATCTTCCGCCGCTGGTCGTCGATAGTCGCATGCATGACGAAGAAGGGAATCCCTTCTGTACCCACCCTCCATCGTATATGCATATGGGAGGTCCAGGACAGGACAGCACGGTCGGTAGCTCCATGCGATCAGCGTGTGCTGTAAGCGCTTGTGGTCCATAGCGGGATTCTGAGTACAGTAGGATGGAAATGCAGGGTGACCGCTCAATTGTATCGTCATCATGGTGTCGATGCCAGCCTTCTTCTTTCTCCTGGGCGCAGATCCGGAGCAGAATGAAGGCGTATGACCCGTGTTGCAGGATATAAGGTTTTTTGGGGTTGTTTCCCCGTTTCGGAGGTTTTTGGGACGAATGGCTGCGGGTCTTAGGGTTTGGGTTAGGTCCGCGTCGCAGTTTGCTCTCACTCCTTCAGGAAATATGTCATCGGTACAAGCTGTTGGAGACGATCGACCGCTCGAGGAAGCTCATCATGCATTGGCATGACATTGAGCTTGCCATTGGCGTCGCAGGGGAGCTCTTCAACGCACACATTCATGATCGCGGTCAATGCGATATGTCACAGTTTGGACTAAGGGTGTTGTAAGTATCGAAGTGTGGACGGGATCTCTCATCGTTCTCGGCCGTGTCCCTGTTTCGTTGCCTGTGGTGGCTGGCTGAATGCCATGGTCGCCGTCTTGGCAATATTCCTCTGCCCGAGAAAGAACGCCTCGAGCTGCGAGTCTGCGCCTTCGCTGTGCCAGCGCGTGAATCGGACGTGTTGTCGCCATGCTAAGGGCAAAAGGTCCGAAAGCGCCATTTCAGCCGCAAGCTTCCGGACAGAAATGTTTGTTGACGTTAATTCTGGACGTCTCAAGAATGAATAACAACGAGACGCTTGTAGGACGCAAAGTATACATCAACTACCATCACACTACTAAGAGACTGGGAATGTGAACAGCAAGCAGGAGAGGATACGTAATTGTTACAACATCTACCGAAATCTATCCATCCATTGTTCAAATATCCCTCCTGTTTACATCAAAGGAGTGGATAAGCGTCAAAATGCTTTTAGTTGGTTGGGGGTGTAGGCCCCAAAATAATCTCATATGGTCATTATCATTATAAGTCAAAAATGGTGCGTTGTCACCGAAATCAGGATAATGCTTCTCCAACGCTCGCAAGACCGTGCTGGTCACTGCAAAACCATCAGATCATCGCTACTCGCGCCTAGTAGTAGGTGGGAGGAGTGTAGACCGGGGCGGGCTGGTAGACCGGGGCGGTCGTGTAGGGAGCAGTCTGGTAGATGGTGGTGGTGCCGACAGAGTAGGTGGGGACGGCAGATGTCTTGGTGTTGGTCTTGTAGCTGACAGTGGCGGCGGAGGTGGTGTAGACGCTGGTCTTCACGCTGGTCTTGGTGCCGTATTGCTGGATGGTCTGGGTCTTGGTGATGTCGGTGGCAACGGCAGTCTCGGCGTACTTGGTCACGGTGACGGGGACGGTCTTGTAAACGTCCTGGGTGACGGTGTCGTAGGTGGTGTAGACGACGGGCTCGGTGGTGACAACGGTCTTGGTGGTGTACGAGGTGCAGAGGACAGGCTTGACGGTCTCAGTGGGGGAGACGATGACCGAGTCGGTGGAGTAGACTGAAGGGACCTTGGTGGAGACCGAGGTGTGGATGACGTAGGTCTTGGTCACAGGGTAGTTGCCCGGAATGTTCTCAGTGGAGGTCTTGGTGTAAGTCTGAGGCACGTAGACAGTCGCGGTCTGAACGATGACAGGTTAGTATCTTTCGACGACGTGAACATAATGGCGGGATGATCTTACCTCAGTCTCGGTGTATGTGGCGTAGCTGGTGGCAGGGACGCTGTAGGTGCTCACGACGTAGCTGGGAGCGGTGGTGGTGGGCTTGTAGACCGGGGCGGTCGAGGTGGTGGTAGGCTTGTAGACCGGAACGGTGGAGGAGGTGGTGGTAGGCTTGTAAACCGGAGCGGTGGGGGAGGTGGTGGTAGGCTTGTAGACCGGAGCGGTGGTAGTAGGCTTGTAGACCGGAGCGGTAGTGGTGGGCTTGTACGCAGGCGGCGCGCCGTACACAGGAGCCTCGTAGGAAGGCGCGTCGTCGTAGGAGGGAGCCTCGTAGGAGGGAGCGTCCTTGTTACCGCCGCCGAAGCCCAAGTTGAGGAGTGCACCCAGGTCGAGCAGGGGAGCGGCAGTGGCAAGGCCAGCAAAGGTGACGACGGATCGGATAACAACCATCTTGATCGAGTGATGTGATGTGATATGGGATAACGAAAGTAGTGTGCGGCGAGTTGATGATGATATTCAGAAGCGATAGAAGGTGAGATGTTGTTCGGGAATATCAGAAAAGTTCCTGGCAACCTTGCGGTCCTTATATGCCGTCGTCTGCACCGTCATCTCGCTTGTCCTCCATCGCTGCCTGGTGTGGTGGTCACTGTCGTCTTGCATCCGCATCACTTTTCCCTCTGATCAACATCCGCATGCGTACTGGTCGGAGAGTCGAGAGATCCGCGGCATTGGCGTCGTGAGTCTTGGCTAACAGCTATTAGCATCCAGTACCTCGGTCGCTACTGGAAGTACCTGGAGCGCGAGCACGCACCCGCCAGTGAGCTAAGCGCATGACCTGGATGTCGTATTGCATTCGGGGTCGCAATGCATCAGGATGTCAATGTGAACCTAAAATGGTATCGTGGGCGACGCACTCTGAGCCGTCACAGAATCCGGCCTCCCGAAATGGCATAAGCGACATTAAAAATCTCAGAATGCTGCGTTGAATATTGTCACTCGTTGAGGCCGGCAGCCACGACACCCACTCCAAATGACATGCCGTCCACGGGAGCTGGGTAGATCAGGCACAATCCGAAGTGGCTGGCTCGGAACAAAAGCCTGGCGTGGCCATCGAGCCTCATGCGGCATTGAGGGCGTGAGCGAGGCTCCACACGCCCACATGGGGCAGCAGCCTCCTTGCTCGGTGCAGAAAAGCTCTCACTCCGGCTACTGCCGTCATGCCGCAGAGGTAGCCCAAAGGGCGATCGTCGGGCCAAACAGCACAGTCGAATGGACTATTGAGAAGGATTCCTTGGCCACACTTCTGCTGCACAAGGCAGATCATGAGCTGGTTTCCCATGGATAGTGTGTTGCTATCGCAGGTAAGTTTGTGCGTTGTCGACAGGGATGCAGGAGGAATGCGGAGACGTCGAATCCAGACTCGGACGATGTCGTCGCGAAACAACACACTGTGACGGCGTGACTCTGTCGGGTAGGGCGTTAGCGCAGAGTCGCAGACGGGATGGTCTCGTACACATTTACAGGGGTAGCGTCACTGACGAGCTTTTCCCCGTCCATGCGGTGAAGCTGTCGTAAGAATAGAATGATCAATATTGCCAAAGTAGGGCCGGGCGTGCCGGCACGTCCGGATGGGCTGAATTTCATACGTCGACAGTGGTGCGCTGGTGTGTGAACGAGCACGGTACCCATCGCATTGGGCTTTAGGGTCCAATGCCGGAGAGCTTCCGAGCTCTTCCCCAGTTTTTTTTTTGTCCAGTCCTTTCCCCTGACCCATGGGATTTCGTCTCGTAGGGCTGCCGAGGGAGTGTCTCAGATGGTCAAAAAGCCGTTCATATCCGACCCTGAGCCTTGGATTACGCCTCGAGGCAGACCAAATTACATGTCGTCGTGTGATTCCGATCGAATCATCTAATTTGGCCGCGGTGATTGACAACGGTGCGGAGAGTGAATTTCTTCTCGTATCATTTTTCATTGCGTCTTCATCTCCCCCGGCAAGCCACGTTCCTCGCTGCAGTGACCTCGATGAGAAACGGCGCTTCAGAATGTTCGGCAGCAAGCTAGTGTCTGGGCGCATTTCTGCCAATGCCCCGGACTGGCGCACGGAGCCTCTTGCATACTTGGCATTATTTTCGGATCAGGGCATCTGGTCCCTGGCGTGCCTGGGCATCAAGAAATCGTGCCAGACTGCCAGTCGAGCCGATTTAGGCTTCGGAGCCAGTCCGAAGGCCGCAGGCATCGTCCCGATAAGGCGAAAGCGCAAGCTCTGCATCCTCCTGCCTCGCATATTCTCGCGAGTCGATTCCTCGCATGCTGACGGAGGATGGCGGAACTCGATTGCGAAATCGTCAAACTGGCCCGTGCAAACGGTCGTCACTCCTGAGCAGTGCTGGGGGCTATCGCGATGCTAATGCAGTGCTCTGGGTTGTTTGGACTTTGGTCACTGCAGATATTTCCCACGATCTCCAAGCACACTCAGCGTGGATGTCGCACCATCCGTAGTGCTGCAGATTGTGCTGCAGAATCCACACAAGTTTGAAAGTCTGCACAAAATCGCGCATGAATGCCCTCGCTGCATTCGCGACACTACGGAGATCCTTCGCACAATTATGTCGTAGATGTAGGGTAATATTTGAATCCTTGGCCGGTTATTCGGCATCGCCCTAAGCACTAGAAGGGGCTCGTCTGTTCGGAGAATGATGCTGCCGTAGAAGAATGTCGATCTGTACTTGCGTGAAGGTCCAGGGAGGATGCGCAACGAGGCTCACCATCGCGGCACTTCTCAGCTTGCATGTCTTGACTTGTGCATATGTCATTGCTGTCGACGCAGCGTTGCATCGTGTCAAGTAGTGTGGAATATCCATCAGCGCGATGCATGTCAGAGGCTCCGCGGGAGCAAAGAGACAACGCACAGCTGCAAACCAAGCGTGGAGACCTGGAATGCGCAATATACCTACACCGGCAAGGGTTCCACATGTGCGGCGAGATGGGCACCTGCATCTTAGACAGCGCTGATCTTTTGCAACTGTCATCGAAGATGTATCTTCGTGTCAGAGGCAGGGTATCCGTTGTCAGCATGCCGCATTCGCCTGATTGTCACGCGTCAGACCATTCTGGGATTCAGAAAGCTGTACTAGGTCACTGTCCGGCAGATGATCAGCATCATTCTGAAGAGCTACTGTTAGTCGCGACTTTGCAGCATGTAGATGCATAGCCTTGCATAAGCGATGGCCTCTTTGTCGAGTTTGTGACCCCATCAATGGGTTCTGGCAATGACGTTCGACAAACGATGTCATGACTTCCTGAAATCTGGAGGCTGCGAGTTCGAGCAAGCGCAATCGGTCATCGTCGCGCCTGATGTCCTCGTGACTTCCATCTTGAGCTCAAAATAGTCTGCTAGTCTGCTGTCGTCATCTGCTGCTAAGTCTGACAGACCGTCTGCTGCATCTCAGACGATGCAGGCGAGTAAAGGGAAGTAGTAGGCACTTAGCAACTTGAGGAAACAGCATCTTCATCAGCCATTGACAGCAGTCCACAGTTGTTCTGACCCGCCAAATGTGAATCGTCCTGAATGATCTTTCCCATGCGGTGTAATCGCCGTGATATTCGTGGCAGCTTCTGTTGCTGATCGCTTCCGCTGACGACGGAATGTACATTGCTTGCAATTACGCATACGCGCGCGTCGATATGAATATCCCCAAACTGCTTCGTATACTGGCTTATGCAGCCGTCGCTCACGCAGTGCTGATCGAGATACCTAACAAACCGGTCGCGACCCCTACCGACGCAAAGAGAGGCTCGTTTCCACTCCCGGAAGTGGCCCAAAATCCGCAGTCTAAGTCGCCGGATCTGGTGATCACAGTTGTTACAATGTCCGAGCAGCAACCATCGCCGACAGTTTTGGTGGATGAACACAGCTTGGGATCGTCGTATCGAACAGGAATCCATCTTGAGCTCACTGCCACCACATTCGATGTTCAAACGAAGACCTGTCGCATCGTCGATAAAGCGACCTATCCGGGGCTTCCTGCATATCCAACACGGAATGTTCGGCAAGCCGACGCTCCAAATGGCGGATACATTGTCTGTCCAACCACGACTGAGGCAGTGGTGGGAGAATTGGATGCGAGACCTATAGCGACACTTTATACAACGGTGATCCGACTGAGTCGATAATGCGAAGGGTTGTTGCACAAGGCTCGGGGAGTGGACTGGCGGCATAATCCTTCTTTGCTTATTTTATTGTTGGACCGTTGGTTTGAACCTGAGATGTTGCCACGCCACAGATCGGCGCCACGGCGGAGCAAATGGAGTCCCAAGAATGTGATTCATACCAGTGTAGGCTTTTTCTTGATACCTAGAGCGGCCGAAAGGTCCTTCTTCTTTTTGATCTGTCTTTGGAATGTTGGCTTTGCTGGTGGAGGCATGGCAAGGCTATCTGCGGTCTCTGTCGTCGAGCCTGTCGCTGGAGGTGCTTCCTCGAAGTCGTCCTCGGCGATACGACGGACCTTTTCACCCGTGGCGCTCTGAAACGCCATCCTCGCTTGCTCTTCTAATTCGCGCTCGATTTGAGCCTCCTCTTCTTCTCGCGCACCAGGCGCAGCAACAGAACTCAGCGCGACATCCTGATCGACCTTTTCGCGAGCAGCATTCCTATATCGAACATCGTCCAGAGCGTCTGCGATGGCCATCTCGGTCTGCGCGTCAAGTTTCTTTTGTTCGAATTCTTTCATTGCGTCACGCTCCTCTTCTTCCTTCTCCAGCCGGTCCAAACGCTCCTCCTCGGTCTCCTCAGCGAGTTTGTCCTCACGCCAGACCTCGAAATTCCGCTTCGCTCCCTTCTCGCAGGTGTAGTCCATGTTCTTGGGATCGGTCTTGAAGGTGATCTCGGCGGAGCATCTTGTGCATCGGATGTAGAAGCGGAAGATGGTGATGGCGTAGTATTTCTCATCGGTGGTCTCTTTGCGTGCGTTGAACTTTCGCCCTTTGTAGATGTATTCTCCGCAAGATGTGCACTTCATACTAAAGGGTGCCATCAGACGGACGACCTGCTGCTTGGGGCCGGTCTGCTTGGGACCTCGCCGGCGCTCGAGTTTGGACGGATCAAAGTCCGGGGGGTAGTATTTGGTCAACACCTTTCGTTCGGACATGATGGCGATGTATCAGCAAGTCGCGGTTCCTCAGATGGTGGTTTGTCGCCAGTGGATGTGGTGCGCAACTTGTCGAAGCACGGTAATTTCGTCACCGTCTTCAAAAGACGGCGAAGACATGTAGGGCTGGTCTTGAATTCACGTGGTACTCGGACGCCTCCCCACCAAAAGCACGGCGAACCACTGGCATGTGACGGCGCTTGATACCGCGCGGAGATCTCGAAATGTTTATACGCAGGCACTGACGCGACTTTCTTACCCTCCTTCTTCCTCCTCTTTTGCTCAAGGTAAGTCGCGACATGCATGGCCGGAGAGCATTTTCACGCAGAACGATCGTGGACTGACATGCAGCAGCAGGCACGATAGGCCCCCCCCATATCCTTACGCCTGCAGCATTTTCCCTACTGCACATGACTTTGGACGGTTGAGCGCGAATCATGGAGGCATTTCTGCGCAATTGGAGACAAGAGGCATTGAGCAAACAACAATATGATTCCGCAATATTCGTCGGCGACAAACTACTTGCTTTGACTAGTGAGTCGCTGTCACATTGGAGGTCGCTCGATCGGCGCATTCTAAACCCTCTCCCTCAGGTTCTGACGAAGACGCTCTGGCACTCGCTGAAACCCACTTTTCTGCTGGGAACTTTACCCGAGCGCTGGCATTCGTGACGCGGTTCGGTCTGATCGATCGTTCACCGGCATCGCAATATCTGGCCGCTCACTGCCACGTGAAGCTCAATCAGCATGAAGAAGCGTTGTCAATCTTGGGAGATAAGAATCCTGTCCACCTCGTCACCACTAACGACGGCTCGAGGAGGAAATTACAACACGTGGGAAATGGTGTGTCCAACAAGCAGCATGGCAAGTCGCGCGTGGTCGGTAGAATCGATCGGGTCGACCGAAGTGAGGAGCGAGAGCATGAGGATGCGACGAATATCAAATACCAGGCGGGCATGTGCTATCTCCGTGGAGTGTGCTATGCGAAAGCCAATGCGTTCGATCGTGCCAAAGAGTGTTACAAGGATGCGGTGCTGATAGATGTCCGCTGTTTCGAAGCCTTTGATCAGCTGGTGAAGAATTCTTTGATGAGTCCTGCGGAGGAATGGGAGTTCCTTAACAAGCTAAATTTCGACAGCATCCAACCCGATCCGGGGGATGAAAAGACGGCGACGGCGCCGGATTTCTTGAAGAACCTTTATACGACACGACTGTCGAAGTATGCCGCGCCCGAGAGATATCAGAGCGCGATCGATACGCTCTCTACGCATTATCGCTTGGCGGACAACGCCGACATCATGTTGTCCAAGGCCGAACTGCTCTACACGTCTTCTCGATATGAAGACGCTGTGGCAGTGACCTCGAAGATCTTGGACATGGACGCCTACAACTTCACTTGCTTACCGTTACATGTCGCACTACTCTCCCACCTGAATCGCACGCACGCGCTTTTCGCTCTTGCTCACGATCTAGCCGACACCCATCCTGATGAGCCATGTACTTGGCTGGCGGTCGGCACATACTACCTCTCGACCGATCGCATCCCCGAAGCTCGCTCCTACTTCTCCAAGGCAAGCCTCCTGGATCCACATTTCGGTGCAGCTTGGATCGGGTTTGCACACACATTCGCCGCCGAGGGCGAGAGCGACCAGGCCATCGCCGCCTACAGCACCGCTGCGCGGCTCTTCCAAGGCACCCACCTCCCGCAGCTATTCCTCGGCATGCAGGAGACCGCGCTCGGGAACCTCACCATCGCACGGGAATACCTCTCGGCGGCATTTAACATCTGCCGGTCGGACCCGCTGCTGATCAACGAGCTGGGCGTGGTGCAATACATGGACGGCGAATACGACCAGGCGATCCGGAGTTTCGACTACGCGCTCAGCCTCGCCGCCGAGCACGGCGCGCCGCCCGCCCACTCCGCCGCCACGCACCTCAACATGGCACACGCGCTCCGCCAGGCGCACCGCTACGAGGACAGCCTCGGGTTCCTCGACACCGTCCTCCGGCTGGGCCTGCGGGACGCGGCGGTGTTCGCGGCGCGCGGCCTCGTCCTCCTCGAGCTCGACCAGCCCTTCGAGGCGACGGCGACCCTCCACGAAGCACTCGCCATCAGCCCGCAGGACCCCACCGCCAGCGCCCTCCTCACGACCGCGCTCCGCCAGCTGGAGGACTCGGGGGTCCTGGCCGGCGCGGACGAGAAGGATGTGGACGACTCGTTGAAGGAGGCGGTGGCCCTGGTCCGCGAAGCCCGCGCGGCTCGCCCGGGGCCGGGGAGGAGATCGAGGCGGAGGCCGCCGCGGATGGTGTTGGACGAAGGCGACGGCGACGGCGAGAACGGCATGGAGGTGGACCTGGACGCGTCGGAAGGATGATGAGATGGGTCGCTCCCCGCTGGTTGGGATCACACTGTCTATCGTGAGAGAACGCATCCCTTCCGCATCGGTGCCGTGACCGATTTCTTTCCATTGTCCCCCAGCGATTTCCGTTCGAAGATCGGACATCGTACATCCGACCCGCCTCTGCTCCCCGCAGTGCCACACGCGAGGCATCACCACTGACCCGTCTCCGTCAGCCATCGGCGACGACCGACATCACCTCTGCAGGCAGGTTGACTATTGGAGGGTTCATGAGAGACGATTGCAGGGATGACGGTATATATAAATTGACGGACGATCCAGAAATGCATCGTCGCCCGAGTCTCCACCACGACGCATCGTCGGCATCGTCAAAGACGAGCGACGGTCGGAGGAAGTCCAACAGGAGTCTCCCCCGACCATCCACCATTCATACATGGCCATTATCATCATCATCATCATCATCATCGCCATCCGAGGACATGCATGAATTCGAACAGTAGGGGAGTGCGGGACCCACACGGGCCAATGCTTGATCTGTATTGATGCTTAATAACCAATATACGTGCACCCCTGTGCAAGACGGGAGAGCAATATCCACATCCGGAACCCGTCATCATTCGGGCAAAGACCACCGGACTTGAAAGTCGTAGCGAAGGTGAGCCCCTGGTGTCACGTCGTCGGAGAGATGCGGGACGCCTGCTCGTGGATCGTTACATACGGCGACGATTGGGACGAAAATGGGAAGGGAGACAGGGAGAAAAGAGGAAAGAGCAAAGAGAGAGAGAGAGGAAGAGGATCGGTGATGATGTCCGGGTGGGGCTTTCTCGGTGGTGATCCCTACCTTATTCCTTCCCTCTCGCGTGCCGGGTCGCGGATGTGGTGCCTGTCGATCAGGAGAGGGAGAGAGAGAAAGAAAGAAAGAAAGAAAGAGGAGAGAGAGGACACAATCCGACGCGCTCCCGCGGGTGTTACTTCCAGCGGTGCTCCCTCCTCACACGGTAAATAAGAGCAATACATGTATGTCGTGCGACCCATGCACCACCCGTCGTCTCCCATCCCAGACGGCGATATCATTCACGACAACAAAGAGAACGGACTCAGGAACGGGTGAGTTCCCCCTCCCACCGCCAGCGGGAGTCTGTCACTGCATGAGCGAATGCCCCGACGACCACACAGAGGGCCAAAAGGTGATGGATCACATGAGCCCCGACGACGAGATGAGGATCGGCCCCGTCTTCTTCTTTCATCATGGGGGAAAAGACCGGCGGGCGGCGGCGTGATGACTGGCGAAAGAAGAAAACGACCCGCCCGCGCGCTGGGGGAGATGATGATGTTCCCAAAGGCGTTGTGGGATCGACGTCATTTCCCACCCTGCCCGCGTCCGCCCGCCCGTCCGCCCGACCGCGCCGCTCTCTCTCCCATCAATTTGTGATATTACCTCCCTCCAGCATCGAGTGATTTGGTGATGTTGAGAGAGACAGGGAGGGAGAAAGCGAGACAGACAGAAGAAGGAGTCATCGTCGTCGTCGTCGTCGAGGACATCTGTCCCCGCCATGCACGGCCGTGTGTTTTGGTGGAAGAGGCGCAGAGTGTCCTCCACCTGCTGATGGATATACCCCTAGGCAGGAGTGTTATTGTTGTTGATGTTGGATTGTATAGTGACTGACTGCTATGTAGCAGGGAAGTGATGACACGGAGTATTCCCGCCGAGACAGACACATATACATATCCAGCAGCGACCTCTCGTGTTATTATAATGGTCATTATTATTATCGTTATATTCATTCCGAGGTCATCATCATCATCATCATCATCATTATTATTATTATTATTGTTATTATTATAGATGATAATAAAGGTGATAGATGATAATAAAGGTGATAGATGATAGGCGGGAACACGCACAAAAGGTACAGTAGAGTACAGTACAGTACAGGACCCAGCCAGGTAGGGCTCAGCTGCCTTCTGCCGGATTTCCGAAACACGCCTCACACCTGGGCCCCTGGGCACCCATCCACCGGTGGTCATCAGTCAGTCATTGATTGATTGGATCTCCGCATCCGTGGCCCCATCACCGTCCGTCTCGTCGAAGAAAGGAAAGGAGGAAGCTTGGAAGCTGAGGCATGCAAATTAGGTAGGACTTGCCGTGCGGGAAGAGAGAGAGAGAGAGAGAGAGATGAAGGGGAGGAGGCGGAGCTGTGATTGGAGCCCTGACGAGATTGTGATCAGTCACTTAGTAGGTATACCCAGGACTAGCACTTTCACTGGGCATATCGACACACACATACACACACACACCCACTCATACACACACACATACATACACACATACATACACACATACACACACATACACATATATACATATACATACACGCGCACACGAGCACCTAGCTGTATGTATGTATGTATGTATGTATGTATGTATGTATGTATGCACAGTACAGGTGTTTTCGCTGGCTGCACCATGTGTCATGTTTCACGATCCATTTTAGCCTGCTCCACGGGAAGCTTCTTCTTATTACAAAAGCCCTCCCGTCCCGTCCCGTCCGCGCCCGCCCCCACCACCTCTTCTCTCCCTCTCACTCTCTCTATGGCCATCGACGTAATAACGTTTCCACACGCATGCATGTATGCGCATACCTGAGCCGCCAGCCCGAACTCCAGGACGTGGCCTGTGAGGGGAAACAGCAAGCCCGGCGGACGCGCCCAGGCCATTTTTATTTTATTTTATTTTAGATATAGAGACGATGGGAGGCGTCGCGTGGGTCATGATTGTCGCGGCCTCGAGGACCGATGATGCGGAGGGGTGCTGGAGATGCCTTGCGATTCAATCCGTGGTGGCCTTTGATTATTATTATGATTGTCGTCAGTATTATTGTTATCATGGTCATTGTGATATATATATACGTACATGCACAGCGTCGGATGCGCGCTGGTGGTCATGGAGGCGGGGTCTCTGTTTGGCCTGGGCGCCAATTCCCTCTCATCTCCAGCAGTCCCGTGAGGATGGAATGAATGCTGTAGGCTCCAATCTGGAATGGAGAGAGAGTGGTGGAGTTATGATGGCCGTCCCTTGCAGTAGCGTGCAGATGGGACCGGGCGCTTCTTGGCAGCTCGGCGCTTCCCATCCGTCCCCTTTGCGCGTCGTGGCGCTGTGGTTGGTCGTTGATGGGAGAGGGAGAGAGAGAGGCGTGAGAGAGATACGTGCATTTCTGCCCCCTTCCAGCTGTCATTGTCATCAGATGATCGTAAATCCTGACGCCGCTGTCCAGCCCAGGCGGTTCCTCAGCTGCGACCGGTTCATGCATGCATGCATGTATGTATGTACGTATGTATATATATATGGATATATATGTATAGCGTATACGTGCATGTGGAGGACACGCATTCCCATCGGACTCGCTCGTTGCGTGGTCCCTCGTCATCCACCATCAGTATGGTATAGTCCAGTACATGTACCATACATATCATACGTATTCCGATCCAGCGGCGTGAATGGCCATTATGTCATGACGGTTGGATTTCCATCCTCCTCGGATCGCCTCTGCCGGTAGACTCTTTAACGCATGCATGCACGCATGGTCGTTTCGCCCGTTGGGAGAGAGGGCTTGATCTCTCCGGCGCGAGCGCGCGTGGTGTCTCTCTCTCTCTGGTGCCAGACTTTGTGCAGCAGTCCGTTCACGGCCGTTCCCCGTTTTGTTCCCGGACGTTGATGATGTTGCATACTGAGGGGAGACTGTGAGAGAGAGACACCTGGGCCAGCGATCGGGGATTACCTGGTAGATGACAACATGTTCGTCCACCGCACCGGGCGAAGGAAAACATCCATGTGCCGCATGTGGTCGTGGTCGTGGTCGTGGTCGATTTGGATTGTTCGGTACGCTACTCTATGTCCAGCATGATTCCCCTCGTCATATGATCCAATCCCGATGAACAAGTGTACATGCACATGGAAATAAATACATATCCCATCATCAGACGGAGAGGCGGAGAGGCCTAGGGATAGGCCAAGGGAGATGAGGGAGATGAGGGAGAAGAGGAGGACGGGAGATTTCGTCACTTGGCGCCGATGCGGGTCCGGGCGGCTGGTGATGCGCGCCTAATTGCAATCGGCAGGGCAAACGGTTTGGCTCTTCGCGGCGGCGCCCCTGGAGGAGAGAGAACGAGAGAGAGAGAGATGGAGAGATGGAGAGAGAGAGAGAGAGGGAGAGAGAGAGGCGGAGAGGACCTGTACTGGACTGTAGTTTATTTGATTGTTATTACTGACTGTTGGAGGAGTATGATCATCACAATCACTGCTCTAGGGATACTACTGGAGGTGTTGTAATTGGTATGGAGCATCCTCGCCCCCCGTCATCATCATCACCATCGTCACCCTTCGTCTCTCTCCCATGCGGCACGGCACACCGTCTTCTCATCCATTGTAGGGATATGTATGTTTGTATGTATGCATATCTCTCTATATGGATGGATGTATGGATGTCGTGGTAGAGCAGTCGGTGATCATCGTTCGCTGCAGCCGGCAATTGGGCCTGTCGGTCGGTCGGTCGATCGGTCAAGGTTGGTGGTGGGTGTGTCTCTGTGAAATGTGTGTGTGTGCGTGTGTGTGTGTGTGCGCGTGTGTGAACTCTCTTCTGAAGCGTGAAGTGTATTCTCTATCATCATCAGTCATTACGGTAGTATTATTAGTTCAGGTTGTGTGTGCCGTGTGCGTGTGTGTGTGTATGTATGAGCGTGTGTATGTGTGTGTGTGTGAGCGTGTGGCTCAGCTTTCTTCGTTTGGCCCACGCGCGTTTTTCCCGACTCGTCCACTCCCGCTCTACTCCCACCACTCCACCACTCCACTTCCTTTACAACCACACACACACTCTCTCTCACTCATCCGTCTCATACATACATATCACCGTCGTCACTCCTTTCCTCTTTTTGGAATCCTCTGGCTATTTTCTGCCTTTCCCTTCTTCCTCGCCTCTTCTTCTTTTCCCGTCACCTCGTCGTCGATCGTCGCTCGCATCCTGGTGTTGTGCGCCGGACAGCAACACTCACTCTCATTCGACTCTTCGACCACGACGGACGGCGACCATTATCACCAGCGACAACAATAACAACAACAATAACAACGACAACAATAACACCCGGCAGCGCTAGGAAGAATATCCCTTCCGCTCCGTCGCGATATCAACAACAACAACAGCAACAACAACAACTTCATTCTCGCCTTCACTTCGGATCTTGCCACGTCAAGACCAACCACTTCCGTCAACGTCAGCTGTCACCACACGGTCCTCGAGGAACCACCGAATCCCGACATCACTTGAATCTCTGCGCCTCTTTCTTCCACCTCCGTCGCTGTCATCGCAGGTTCGATTGACACCAAAAGCGACGTCGAGATCTCATCTTCCACCACCACTTCTCGGATCCGACTTCCATAACGAATCGTTGCCTCACATCGCCTCGCAACCATGAAGTCCTTTACCGCGACCAGCGCGGCTGGTGTTCTCGCTTATGCTGCCACCGTCGCCGCCTTCTGGCGCATGCCTTGCCGATCGAGCACCGGTATCGCTCGTATTGACCCCATCGTCAACCCGGGCACCGTCGCCGACCACGCCCACATGATCTTTGGAGGAGGAAGTCAGTCGTGCCCGATTCTGCCCTCCGTTCGGTTCGAACCGCATCCGCTGACCGCTTGAATTAGACTTCCACCCGACCACCAACACATACGACTTGACCCACGCCAAGGGCGACCTCGACTGCACGTCTTGCGAGGTCACCCAGGATCAGTCGGCGTACTGGACTCCTCCGCTCTACTTCGAACACAAGGACGGCACGGTCGAGATGGTCCCCAACGTCGGCGGCATGCTCGCCTACTACCTCTTCTACCTACAGAACCTGCAGCCCTTCCCGGAGGGTTTCCAGGTCGTCGCCGGCACGCCCGCCTTCCGGAACTTCTCCGGTCCCTTCCCGGATGCCGAGTTGAGCTCCTGGCCCACCGATCCCACCGATCAGTTCTTCTTGCAGCAGCGCGCCATCGGCTTCAACTGCCTCAACTACGACCGCACCCCCGAGCCCTCCCTGTACCGCCACACTCTGCCGACCAAGGAATACATGGACGCCAACTGCAAGGACGGTCTCCGCCTCGAGTTCGCCTTCCCCAGCTGTGGCAACGGCAAGGCCACCTCGCCCGACAACCGCTCCCACATGAAATACCCCAGCTTGGTCAAGGAGGGCAACTGCCCGGAGGGCTACGACACCCACTACCCCTTCCTCTTCTACGAGACCATCTTCGACACCCACAAGTTCGCCGGCGTCGACGGTCAGTTCGTCCTGAGCCCCGGTGACCCCGTCGGGACCGGGTACCACGCCGATTTCATCATGGGCTGGAGCTCGTCGGAGTTCCTCGGCCAGGCCATCAAGACCTGCACCAACCCGAGCGGTCAGATCTCCGACTGCCCCCTCTTCAACCTCCAGAGCGATTCCAAGGCCGCCAAGTGCAAGTTCCCCATGCCGGATATGGTCAAGGGCGACGACTGCGCCGGTCCCCGCAAGGGTCTGCCGGTGGGTGTCCCGATTCAGTACGGCCCCGAGCAGGCGACCAAGTACGCCGTCGCCGGTCAGAACGGTGCGCCTCCAGCTGCTTCTCCCACCTCCGAGCCCGGCCTCACCGTCGGTCTCGGCCTCAACTTGGGTCCCATCAGCATTGGCGCAGGTATCGAACTCGGCGGCGGTGCTCATTCCCCGGCTGCGACCACATCGCCCAAAGCCGCCGCCGTCGTGATCCCCACGTCTTCGCCCGCGGCCGCCCCTCCCGCAGCTGCCACCACGTCTCCTAAGGCCGCCGCGGCCGCCGTCCCCACGTCACCGACCACCACCGTCGTCACCGTCGCCACCACCAGCACCCGTGCCACCGTCGCCGCGGCCGCCGCGCCCACCGGCCCCGCCCCGGGCGTCCCCCATGTCGGCGCCAACGGCCTCGTCATGATGGACAAGCACGGCAACCCCGTCGCCGCCGTCGCCGCGGCCGCCGACGTCAAGCCCAGCAACCGCATCGTCTCGACCAGCTACTCCACCGACGGCAACCGCGTCTACGAGGTCCTCATCGAAGAGGAGGTCCTCACCGTCACCGCGCACGCCCCGGCCGGCGCCGCCGCCCCCACCGCGCTCCCCGCCGGCTACGAGAAGCAGCACAAGCGGCACATGGAGCGTCACATGCATCACGCGCGTCAGTAGGAAAGCACAGCGAAGCGAAGCAAATAGCGGATCTCTTATTCTTTTTTTCCTCTCTCAATTCTTCTTCTTGGATTTTCGTGTGTGTTTTAACGCCCTCTCCGAAATTACATCGTTTTCGTCGTCATCGTCATTTTCTCCATCGCCAAAACGGGGGGGAAATCCCCGGGCATCGTCGTGTTCCTCATCTCTTTTCAGGGTTTTCCTTCTCTCTTTTGGAGAAAAGAATGTCGTCAAACTGCGGAGGAGACGAAGGAAGGAAGGAAGGAAGATGATGATGAGATCTCGGGCTCCCCAGCCGAGATGTGTGATCGATCCTTCGGGCCGGATCGGAGATCCTCGCTATAGATGCCGGGAGAAGAGAGAAAAGAATTGGAGGAACAAGGAGAGATGGATCGCTGGACCGGTTCGGGTATCTTGTCCCCCAATTTTTCTTTTTCCCTCTTCTTTTTCGTCTTCCGACGATCGGTCGATCGATCGAGGAATCAATCTATGCTGAATACAACCATCACCATCATCCACTTTCTTCCGTCCCTGATGCCTGAATCGTGAATCATCGCTCCGCCGCCGTGGGAACACCCGTGGGATAGGCAGGCAGGAACATGGGCTTTCCATGAGAAGTAGGAAGCAAAAAACGGCCGCGACGGAAAAGGAGTAGGTAGCTCGCGACCATCACCCACATTCGGCGTAGGAATCCGAAGAACATGAGGGGAGCAGACGGGAGCGAGACCCAAAAAATTAAACCGAAAGACCCTCCCGCTTTCCCAACCACACTTGCCAGTATTCTCCTCCCTCCCTTCCTCCCTTCCTGTCCTCCAAACTAAAAATCTCAACAGTCCCCGCCTCCGCCGCCCTGCACCCTCCCGAGGTCCACCCACGGCACCCCTCCATCCCCATCCCCATCGACATGCCGCCCCGCGCCCCGCCGACGGGGGAGACCCTCGGGGCTCCGCTCATCGTCCTCCACCAACCGCTCCACGACGCGCGGGTCCGTGATGGCCCAGAAGTCCCGCGCGCCGTCGACCAGGCGCTGCGTCGCGGCGGCCAGGACGCCCCGCGGCGCCGACGCGAAGGTGAGGCGGAAAAACCGCCAGCTCCCCTCTCCGGCGGCGCTGGACCCGCCGGGGCCCGTCGTCGCGTCGACCGCGAACATCCCGCCCGGCGCCACCAGGATCCTGTACCGCGGCGTCGTCCAGAAGAGCCAGAGCGCGTGGGAGATCCGGGCGGGGCCGACGGGGGATGTCGCTGGCGACGATGTCGATCGGGGTGAGGAGGAGGAGGAGGAGTATTGCGGCCAGAGCGGGTGCGTCTCGAAGTGGAACCGCAGCCAGACGAACATCCCGCCCGCGGGGCGGACGAAGGAGTAGATGGGTGTCTTGCCGATGTGGGACCATCCCTCATCGTCGTCGTCGTCGCGCGAGAAGGCGACCAGCTCGCGCCCGGCGGCGAGCACGCCCGTTTGCACCTCCATGCGCGTCTGATACTGCGCGCGCAGGCCCGCGAGCCAGCGGATCCAGCCCGCGTGGGACCACGCCGGGGGTTCCTGGGCGCCGCCTCGCTCGCGCGCGGCCCCGATGCTGCCCGGCGGATCCTGCGGCGCTTTGGCTTGTCCCACGAGCAATTCCGCGACCAGGCTCTGCACGAAGCCCGAGGGCTGCTGCGTCGTGGTCTCGGTGATGCGCGCGAGCCGCTCGATCAGCGCCGCCTGCGCGGTGATCCACCCCAGCCGGCAGCCGGGCGCGACGGTCTTGCTGAAGCTGTCCAGCCGGATGACCCGGCCTTGGGTGTCGAGCGAGATGCAGCTCGGCACGAGGGTGGAGAGGAACGGCGGTGCCTGCTCGTCACCGACATTAGCGGTGGAGTCGGATGGCAGAGGGAACTGGAGGTAGTAGTAGGGCTCGTCTTCGATGACGATGATGTCGTATTCGTTGCAGACTTGGATGAGATCTTTTCGCCGTTCGAGGGAGAGGATGCCGGAAGTGGGGTTCTGACCGACGCTGTGGGTTGCCTTCGTCAGTTGGATGTCCCGGAAGGGAGAGTGATGAGGAGCCAATGAGGCATCATCGACAGAACTTACGTGACGAGGTAGATCAGATGCGGCCGCTTACCCTTCCTCCAATCCCATTTCTCCAAGACGTCTCTCAGTCCACCTTCACCCTTGACTCTGAGCCCTTCCTCGTCCAACGCAACGGGGACGACGTTCAATCCTCTCGCCGTCGCCGTTTGAATCGCATTCATGTATGCGAATTCCTCGCACAGAATGCCTTCACGCTCCCTCGGGTCATCGAGACCGAGACGCCACTCGTCACTGAGCGCCAACAAAACCTTGGAGAAGCCATCGGTGTTGCCACAGGATAAGACGATCTCAGGACCACCTTTGTAGGGACAATTCGGATGTAGATACTGCTGGGTGAAGGTCCGGAGGAACGCGTACAACGGTGGATACCCTTCCGCGGTGCCATATTGCAATGCGGATGCGAGGTCGATCTTGAGCAGCGGATTGCTCTCGGGAGTGGTGTGAGGTACGACGATGGTATCGGGCGGTTGCTGCTTCCTCGAAGCGGTCGTGGATCTTGTCGTAGCAATGCCATCGCCGCTCAAAGAGGCTGACCAGCGATCCGGCCGAGCGACATTGGCGGAAAGATTGTCGAATGGGAAGTAGCGGTCATTGGGCAGGCCGCCGGCGAGTTGGACGACGCCTGGGATCTTGAAGTATTTGTAAAACGCCTTGATCGCCGAGGGAGCACGACTGGCCGTGCAGCGGCTCAGATGGTGCGAGAGGTCCCGCGGCTCAGGGCGTGTGTCATTGATGTCGTGGTCAGCCATGTCTCCACAGCCGGGAACTTGTCAAGAATGGCGGAGAGGAATGCCGGGCGACGCGATGGGAGATATACTGTCTGAGAGAAGGAAGTGGCGGCATGGCGGCAAGATAGAGAGATACACATAGGCATCGAAAGTTGATCCTGCCTCCGGGACTTCGTGGCTTATCTCCGGAGCCTTCGTGTGGTCTAAAGCGTTTGGATTAGAAATGTAAGAATCATCAGTATGATGCACCATTTCCTTATCTGCCCTATACACCACACACCTACCTACCTGACTAGCAGGTATATGTGCAAAGGTTCCAGAGCGCGCCTTTCTGCCGACTCGCGTTTACCCGCTCGATCGGACCGATCGCACGTGGCTACCAACCCAGATTTCCAAGGTTCCAATCCAATGGATTCTTCTCGCACATGTACTGTGCTGTGCTGTACTGGACAATACGCGGTGCGTGTGGGGCAGGAATCGCATCGTGGTGGCGGCGGGGGAACATGCCCCGGTGGATAAGACAGCGCCAAACGTACATGGAGGCATGCATGGCCGGAGCAAGGGATACGCCTTGTCGTCAGTCAACGGACCACATCACTGCTTGTTTGGATACCACAGTGCACTGCTTCCATAAAGACGTCCAATATTAGACATCACTGCCTTCACAACCAAGAACCAACCCATACATATTCCGAATACAAGCAATCACCTCTATTCGGCCATAATGTCTGCTGACAATGATGCACAAGTCGAAAGGCTACCCCGGAAGCTGTGGAGCCCTCCTAATCCCAAAGAAACACTGGCATATGCATTCATGCAAGAGATCAACAAGAAACATTCGACTGACCTCCAGACTTGGCCCGACCTTCACTCATTCTCCGTCACTCACCGCTCCGCTTTCTGGTCCGAACTGCTGAAGCAACACCCCATCATTCACTCTGGCCGATATTCCCGAGTCGTTGACGAACATGCCCGGATGGACAGTCGTCCGAAATGGTTCGAAGGTCTCTTGGTGAACTATGCCGAGAATGCCCTCTATTGGCCTCAAGCTGGAAACCCCAGCATCGCTACGACGCACCGCAAGGAAGACCACCGCATAGCCTGTGTCGAGGTGCGAGAAGGTGCGACGGAGATCCGTCCCTGCACATGGCGGGAGATCCGCGAGCGATCCGGGCTGATATCGAATGCAATGCGGGCGAGGGGTGTGCGGAAGGGCGATCGGATTGCGGTCGTGGCATCGAACTCGATCGATACGCTGAGCGTCTTTCACGGAGCGACCTCTCTCGGTGGGATTTTCTCGAGCTCTGCGACGGACATGGGCACAAAGGGAGTCCTGGACCGGCTGAGACAGGTCCGGCCCAAATTTGTGTTTGTCGATGATTGGGCGTTGTATAACGGACGGAAGATCGACCTGAGGGAGAAGATCCGTGAGATTGTGCAAGGGATGAAAGGTATCGACGAGTTTGAGGCCGTGATCAGTGTGCCGCGCACGCAGGACAAGCCTCTCGATGTCTCGAAATTGCAAAAGGTAGAGACGTGGGCAAGTTTCCTGGCTGCTGCGAATGGCGACAAAACACTTCGCTTCGAGCGTGTGGGCTTCAACGACCCTTTCATTATCGTCTACTCCTCCGGAACGACGGGGATGCCGAAATGCATCGTCCACAGTGTCGGAGCCGTGTTGTTGAACGGCAAGAAAGAAGCCGATCTTCATCGTGATACTGCTCTTAAAGACCCCGATGACATGTGCCTGTTACAGTATACTACGACCGGCTGGATCATGTACCTTACCGCCTGCGCTGCGCTCGTCAACGCCTGCCGAACCATTCTCTACGACGGCTCTCCGTTTCAGCCCGATCTCAAAATGTTCCTACAACTCGCCAGCTCACAGAAAGTCACCGACTTAGGGATCTCGCCACGTTACCTCTCCACGCTCGCAATGGCCAAACCGCCCGTCTTACCTCGGGAGGTCGTTGATCTCAGTCGACTGCGTCGGGTCATCAGCACTGGCATGGTGCTTTCAGAAGCACAATTCGAATGGTTCTACGACCACGCCTTCCCTGCACACGTCCAACTGGCCAACATCAGCGGTGGGACAGACATTGCTGCCTGCTTCTCCATGGATAATACTATGATGCCCGTCTATGCTGGAGGATGTGTCTACGCAGGACTGGGCATGAAGATGGAGACCTACGATCAGGAGATCGAAGGTGGCCGTGGCGTGGTCGGACGCGCTCTGCCGTCGGGAGCCCCGGGAGAAATGGTGTGCACACGTGCTTTCCCAACACAGCCCATCGAGTTCTGGGGAGATGACCGGGGTGAGAAATACTTCGATGCGTATTTTGCGCGTTTCGACAATGTCTGGACACACGGGGACTTCATCTCGATCCATCCTCAAACCGGCGGTGTCTATCTACACGGCCGCGCCGATGGTGTATTGAACCCGAGTGGTGTGCGCTTCGGCAGTGCTGAGATTTATAATGTGCTCGACTTGCATTTCCCGGACGAAATTCAAGACAGCATCTGCGTGGGACAACGTCGGCCGCAGGACCAGGACGAGAGCGTGATGTTATTCCTGCTTATGAAGCCGGGCAAAAAATTCACGCAAGATCTCGTGGATCGGGCGAAAGACGCTATCGCTAAGGATTGTGGAAGGAGATGTGTTCCGAAATATGTCTTCGAAACTCCTGAGATTCCGGTACGTTGATGTCCTCTTCGCTCACATCCTGTTAAAGAACCAACGGGCGTGCTAACTTGAGTCCATCGAGATAGACGACTATCAACTTGAAGAAGGTCGAATTGCCTGTCAAGCAAATTGTATCCGGCAAAATCATCAAGCCGTCGGACACGCTCGCCAACAAAGATTGCTTGAAGTACTATTATCAATTCGCCAAAGTCGAGGAGTTGGTGCCGGTGAAGAGCAAGCTCTGATCTCGAGAACGAGGAGCGAGAGGCTTTCGATGCTTTCCACCCAGTTTCACGACTCCACCAGGGCGATCGCACAGAAGCTGCCCAGCAGATCAGGTAAATGCCATCGTCAATCAAGGAGGATAGTCATGATCATCGATGGTCCTCAGGCACGCTTGAAGAGGCACGGATGAGGCTAAGACTATTACAGTCCGTCAGTAGAAGTGCATAACTACCTACCTTGGTATAGACGAATCCTCTCCTAAATTACTAAGAATCTTGGAATAATAATCGGGGCACATGAAATTCAGGGTAAAATAGCTGCTTCCAAAGAAGGGGACTGGCTGCAAGGCCGGTCAATCGCCTCTGCGGCACGTCCACCACCGGCCGGACACACCACTGCGACTCCACAGTGCTGCCACCACCGTACTTTTGCCATTACTCTCTCTTGACCACTTCCCGCCCTTGTCTACTAGTTGTTACACCTTCAGAAATCCTCCGATACCACTCCGCTCACTATTTTCCCTCCCTCATACACCCTCTTAATCAGCCCATCGAACACCGGGGGATCAATATCGCGGCACAGTTCATTTTCCCGCCAAGCCCAAGACCCCTCACCGTCCCTTTGCCCGCAAGAGCATCGCTCGCACGACCAGCAGCAGCTTAGCCAGGAGCAACAAGGATTAAGTTTCGCCTTCTCGTGAGGCCGTCTTAGTCCCCGCGCGACGCAACCTGCCAACTTCGGTGCGAAGATCTAGAAAACTAAGCGACCCATCATGGGCGACCAAAGCTCTCGCGATGAGTCGCACCCCGACAACACCCTGCGCGCCGTGCAGAACAAGAAGCAGGTCCCGGAGATTGACTTCACCCTGCATACCATGGAGGATGGCACACAAGTGAGCACACAAGAGCGAGTATGCAAAGGTAAGAGGGGAAACTGTCGGATGCAATATTTCGAGACGTTCAGGCAACCAGCAGAGCAGGCGCAGAACATCGATCGCCACCATACTTCGTTATGCTAACAGACAACCCTTCGCAGATGTACAAGCGCCCGCCTTCAACGTTCCCACCGAAGATCAGCTACTCTCACCGTCAGATCGCTCGAAGCCGAATTTACAATTCCTGAAGCAGCACCTCTATCGCGAGGGTCGCCTTACTGAAGAGCAAGCACTATGGATCATCAACTCGGGCACGACACTTTTGCGCGCCGAGCCTAACCTGCTGGAGATGGATGCGCCCATTACAGTATGTGGTGATGTACATGGTCAGTTCTTTGATCTGATGAAGCTCTTTGAAGTCGGCGGCGACCCGGCGGAGACACGGTACCTGTTTTTGGGCGACTACGTGGATCGCGGATACTTCTCTATCGAATGTGTGCTCTATCTCTGGGCCTTGAAGATGTGGTACCCGAACACCCTTTGGCTGCTGCGTGGCAACCACGAATGTCGCCACCTTACAGATTACTTCACCTTCAAGCTGGAGTGCAAGCACAAGTACAGCGAGAAGGTCTACGAGGCGTGCATGGAGTCTTTCTGCGCGCTGCCTCTGGCCGCCGTCATGAACAAACAGTTTCTGTGCATCCACGGAGGCTTGAGCCCGGAGCTCCACACCCTCGAGGACATCAAAGCACTTGATCGCTTCAGAGAGCCACCGACACACGGACTCATGTGCGATATCCTCTGGGCTGATCCTCTGGAAGAATTTGGGCAGGAGAAGACGCAAGAGTTCTTCGTCCACAATCACGTTCGAGGCTGTTCGTACTTCTTCTCCTATCCTGCCGCTTGTGCTTTCCTGGAGAAGAATAACCTTCTATCGATCATTCGCGCACACGAGGCCCAGGATGCAGGCTACAGAATGTACAGGAAGACACGCACGACCGGCTTTCCGTCTGTGATGACCATTTTCTCCGCCCCCAACTACCTCGATGTCTACAACAACAAGGCCGCCGTCTTGAAGTACGAGAACAACGTCATGAACATTCGACAGTTCAATTCCACACCTCACCCGTACTGGCTGCCAAACTTCATGGATGTCTTTACGTGGTCCCTTCCCTTCGTTGGGGAAAAGATCACCGATATGCTCATCGCTATCCTCAACACCTGCAGCAAAGAAGAGCTCGAGGAGGAGACACCGCTCACGTCGGAGCCCGCCTCACCGCCAGCGATCGAGGGTGCCCCTGCTGCTGCGGCCGCGGCACCATCGCCACTAGACCCGGAGAGCACGGAGTTCAAACGCCGTGCCATCAAGAACAAGATCCTCGCCATCGGTCGTCTCTCACGTGTGTTCCAAGTCTTGCGTGAGGAGTCGGAACGCGTTACTGAGCTCAAGACTGCCACCGGTGGTCGTCTGCCCGCTGGTACGCTCATGCTCGGCGCGGAGGGTATCAAACAGGCCATCAGCTCGTTCGAGGACGCGCGCAAGGTCGATATCCAAAACGAGCGGTTGCCTCCGAGCCATGAGGAGGTGCGCAAAAGCAGCGAAGCCGCGCGGGACGAGGCATTCAAGCGCGCATCGAGGGATGCAGAGAGCGATCCGGCGCTCGCGACCATCGCGAGAAGAATTTCCATGTAAGTTCCGAACACGGAGAACATGGCAACTTTCAAACTAATGAAGCAATAGGTCGTCTGGCAGCCGAGCTCGTAAATAGGCGTGTTGCCATAGATAAGCTGCCGTCGTCGCATACGGCACTCCCAGTCACTCACGCGTGCAGGATCTTTCGCAGCAGCGAGCTAGCAAGCCCGCTGCGATGCGCCGTCTTCGTGCCATCACCGCTTGGAAAACCTCGTTCTGGAACTCCGAGACCTCTGTCTTATCTGATCAGAGGTCCCGGCCGACGCCCCGCGGTATTTGCTCGGAGGGATCGCGGTTCCTGGCAGTACGAGCTTGATGGGACCGACCACGGTGCTCGCGTCTGGGTCAGCAACTCAGCACTAATGAGACAAAGGAAACGAAAGCTTGTCCGGCCACTGGTTTGGCCCATGAGATATCTGTCAATACCGACATTCGAGCTGCATTATTCCATTCCCCAATTACATTACAGGTGCTCACGCGGTGCTGCGTTGCTAAGTGCCTTGTTAAATCTCGATTTGTAATCTCATGCCAGATGCCACCAATCGTGGCGCATGTGTGGGCGCTCCTTTTCCAAAGACTGCCTGGTCATTTCGAAGATGCCATTCGACAGTAAAACTCCCACGCAAGATTCCGACGACCTGCGCCCGAATCCAAGTCTCCGTTCATGTTTCGACACCTCAAGCCTTTCCCTCCTTCTTATCCTTCTCATAATTCTCCACCGCCCTCTTCTTCAGATCCTCACACCAATCCACGAACTTCCCCTTCAGCGGCTCCCCATACTTCTTCTGGTAGCTCTTCGCCTGCAAGCCGCCGAACGCTTGCCACGTCCGATATCGCGTGACGTTCGCATCCTCCGTCTCAATGATCTCGTTCACCCGCTCCGTCTTCATCACGAAGCCTGGCAGCATACTGTTCGCGTTATCCATGCTCCACCGGATCCTCGTGATGTTGTTCTGCGAAGCGTGCGATAGCCGCCCGTCGTCTCGCGTCTTCAGCTTCTCACAGTACGTGCACGCGGCGCGCATCTGGAGCGTTTCCTCGGGCGTGATGGCGACGGTGAAGGTCATGGAGGTGCCGGCCTCCATCTTCAGGCTGCGGTGGTGCGCTTTCGGGTGCTTGGTGATGCGCACGTGCGGGATGTACGTGTTCCAATCTTTCCATTCCTGCACGTTCACCAGGGCATCGTAGACGTATTTCGGCGGGGTGGGAATCGTCGTGCTGGCGTATAAGGACCATTTCCCGCCATTAGGGATGTGGTGTGTCGGTCGCGGACCGGTGTGGGCTGGGTCGTGGAAACTGTCGTCGCTCAGACCGATGTGATAGACCGGCGGCTTTGGTCCTGACGCCATGGTGGGATTTGACCTCCGTCTGCGGAAGGAACAGAATCTCGGTGGTGGTTGCAATCTGAAGATCTCCGCGTGCTGACGCTATGCCGTGGAGGGCAGATAAGATGCGCGTTCACGAGCCTTCCGACTTAATACTTTCCCGGAGCCCTCAGGATCTCCAATATGAGGTGATCTTGTGAACTTGGCCAAACCGTGAATCAAATCTTGCGCCAGGAGAGAAATTAGGAGATCGCCCTGCACACATGAAATTCGCGTTTCGAGGAAGCGACCACTGACGCAACGCTCCGCGCGTCATCTGCATGTGACGCGGTCAGCATTTCAATAATTATCTGTCGGCTACACACCATGCTAAGACCTGCATCTTCACAACACATTTGACAGAACAAAATGGCCTCGCCTCCAGCCAGCAGAGCAACATCACCACCACAGAGCACACCACTCGCATTGCCGCGCCAAAGACCATCGTTGGCACTTCCAACCGGATTCAAAGCTCGTCAACCGTCTTCTGCCGTATCGACACCTTCAGGCTTGCGCCAAGCTTCGTTTCCCCCCGAAGACTCACAGCAGCGACGCGGCGCCCAAGATCGATTCTCTCCCATCGACGATGATTCAATAGGAGACCTAAGCGATGATGGTGAGATCAAGAGCGCGATCTGCGGACCCGGAGACGATGACGGCGGTCCACGGAAACGCAAACGGGGCGAGAAACGAAGTCGCGGCCGACCGCCAAAGCAGTACTCGGGAGTCTTCCGACAGGGCAGCGCCAGCGTTGTGAATGGGGAGGATGGAAAGTCAACCACCGGTGGAAGACGAAGCGCGACAGCAGGTGCAGGGTCTGCTGCCAATGGTGAAGGCGAGGAGGAGGAAGAGGAAGACGATGACGCGGGCGCGCGCGATGCAAAGGACGGTTTCAACATCGACAAGGAAGAACTCGAGCGCGAGCGAGAACGACGATTCCTTTTCCGCGAGGCCGTGAATACCGCCCACCAAAGTCGATATGACTCGTATAATCGCGTCAAGCTGAAACAGGCCGATGTGAGAAGATTGGTCAACGCGACCTTGAGTCAGAGTGTTCCGCAGAATGTGGTGACGGTGGTGATGGCCTATACGAAAATGTTTGCGGGTATGCTTATTGAAAGCGCAAAGGAGGTTCAGGATGAGTGGCTGGCGGCAGAGGAGAAACGGCCGGATGGGGAGGAGAGTCGAATCTTCAAGAGGCTAAGAATGATGCAGCCGGATCCAGAGGAGGATGAGGTCGACGAGGTGGAGCAGGAGCAGGCGCAGGAAGTACCAGCAGGAGCAGACAAGGAAAAGACAGATCAGGAAAAGGCCGAGAAGGAGACCGAGAAGGCTGAGAATGAGCAGGCCGAAAAAGAGAAGGCCGAGAAAGAGAAAGCCGAGAAAGAAACGTCTGAAAATCAAAAGGCCAATGAAGAGCAGGCTGAGAAAGAGAAGAGCTCGAAAGACGATGGGGATCAAATCATGGATGAAACAGACGATGTGACTGCAGATAAGGACGAAGCCAAACCCACAGATGATGCACAGAAAGCCAAAGATCTTCAAGAGAGCTCGAATGTCAAAACGGAAGAGGAAAGCGAACCGCCAATAAAGCAGGAGAACGACCAGGACGACGATGAACCAATGCCCGATCCACCGAATGTGCAAGTCGATAGATCTTCCACCTCAGAAAACACGAGCCAACCACATACCCAACCTGATAGCAACACAACTACTATCGCGAACAGCACTCAAGAGACAGTGGTCAAAAAGGATCAAACATCTGCGAAGAGCGATTCCGCTCATATCAGTTTTGACGAAGACGAAGTGACCAGCGCTGCCAACGTCCAACCCGGTGCTGGAAATCTCGCCAAGTTCATGGACGAGGTCGATCGCGGTCCGTTGTTGCCTGACCATTTCCGCGAAGCTGTCCGGAGATACCGGAAGGCGAGAGATGGTGGCACGACCGGATTTACAGGATTGAGTCTTGAGGGTAGAGAGAATGCTGCAGTCAGATCAGGTGGGCGGAAGCTTTTCCGATGAGAATGATAGGGGCTACTTTTTTGCCGTTGACAGCCAACCAAGGCTCTCGGAACCCATGTCCCTGATCATTCGGTCATCGAAGGAATGATACTCATGCCAATCTCCAACGTCGGCGTTGCCGATATCAGTTTCCACATCATGCGCGCGATCAACAACGTCGGCTTTCTATCCAAGCCCTGCAGCTCTATCTGCGCAGACTGATCCAGGTCTGCATTCTCTAGATGCCTTATCGCGAGCTTTTCCATGAGAGCCTTGCATGCTTGGTCGACTGAAATATCTTTTGCATAATTGACGCTTATTGCGCTGTTCTGGGCCAAGGAGATCCCGAGCGATTCCCAATCATCAGAGAACTTGGGCTGATATACTGCGAAACATACATTTACTGCAAACGTCTCTCGCCATCGATTTCGTGAGACACGCTGCCCGTGAGTGGAGTATGTGAACACGGCGCCAGCTGATTGCATGGTCCATGATCCCAAGCGGAACAGCAACTTTTCCGTGTCCCATGCTCCTTGGGGATGATGCGAAGTCATTCGAAGCGGATACGTGAGATTGCTTTTCGTCCAGGCATTGGACTTGGCCTGTGCAAACCACGCGTGGAACACCTTCTCGTCGAAGGATACTAGGGTGTGCGGCCTGGGCACGTTTTGTCTCACGACGACCAAATTCTTCTGGACCGTGTTGTGACTGATGTCCATGGGTAACCTCTCATATGAACGCGCGCGGCAAGCAAAAACATTGTCCATGGACGAAAACGGCTTCAGAGACAAACCAAGAGGGCATGGATCCCCTTGTTCGCCACACGCAAGCACGCCAACGTTCCACTCCGGCAGGAAAGGCATTGTTATACTCAGACCAGCTTTGCCTAACGAGAAGGCCGTCCCTGGCTGCTGTGCATCTCGGATGGCAACAAGTTTATGCAGACCTGCGAAACAGTCAGGTCGTGGCGCTAGCAGTGCCTGAGGTCCTGTAGTGTCTGGCCCCACATAGCGATCCCAGGCCAGTATTGTCTGATCGTCAGAGCTCTGAATAATTTGCTCTTGTAGTCTTTCAAAAGCTCGTTCTCCTTCACCGTAGATGAGTGGCATCGTGACATCGAACAGTCCCATCAACGAGTATGCACGATCTTCCAGTCGTGTCGTCTTACGGTGAGCTGCCCATGCCATCCGCTGTGCAACGGAATAATGGCTCAGCATGGAGCTCGGAGAACCGCGCAGAAGCCCTGCATCGATACCCGTGCGCTCAGATATCAGCTCTGCGGAGGAGACGCGGGTGCCCACGAGATCCCAGTTTGCGTCGAGAAAGCGCACATCTCCAGGCGCCAGGAGCTCCTGCAGAGTCCAGCCTCGTTCAAACCAATCACTTTCTGTCCAAGGGTTGTGATCAAGAAATGCGTAGCAAACTTTTGATTGTCTATACCAGCGATACATGGAGTTAATGGCCTCGCTGAGTTCCGCACTACTGGTCTTGTCTATACAGCATGTATCGATCCAGATCCAATCGATGCCATCCTGCCTGGCCTTCTCGCAAGCGTGGATGATCTTATTACCTCCAGCACAATTCTCAAGCCGCCGCTTCCGGGATTCAATGTGAAGATCGGGGCCATGCTCAAAATGATCGGGATCAGATTGTTGCATCATGCCGAAAGTTATCTTTTCATCTCGCCACCGATGAGATAAAACAGCATACGGCGGGGGCTCAATGAAGCCACACAGTATGAGCTTATGAGTGTCGATTAACCACATGACGCCGTGAGCAATATCGCGGATCAACGGTGGATCGTATACGTCTGAACTGGAATAAAGGATGAATATCGTATAATCTTATCTAATGAAGATCTCGAACGCCGTGGGGTTTCTTATCTAACTGTGCTTGTTTCAATCTCGAGCAGGTCGCATGCAGAGGTCGCAGCCCTGTCAGCTATAGAGGGTGAAGGCGATGGATCATACCATAGTCGTCTCTCTGCGTTCTTAATCTGAATATAGTTGACTTCAATAATGACATCTCATCCCAAGAGATAGCTTGTGGTAAGTCGCGTATGGTGCCGCAGCAACTATGGCCGCTTTCCCCCTGGGCATACAGGGTGACGTGAGGAGGTGGTCGGTCAACAACCACATGGCACGTGCTGAAGTAGCGGCGCCAAGATTTCGCGAGAAATTGTTAGTTCCATCATCAGTTTCTCGCCCGATTCTTCTTAACTTCCTTTCGCATCCCTCAACGGGCGACGCTTCGGGAAAGATGGCGGTCTCCATCACTTCGACCTCCGAGCTCACGGACGAGCAGGTCGATGCCATGCTCGCGCGTGCTGCTCAACGTTTACGAGAAAAGTCCAAGTCAGCCGTGGCGAAATCAGAGTCTTTCCACATCCCCAAGCTGGATGTCAGGAATCTGGACATAGTGCCCGCATCCTCGAGCGCGAGCAAATTTGCGAATGTTGGGCTGAAAAAGCTCGATGATCCATTGCCGACGACATTGTCCAAGCAGGAGGTGAGACGGTCGCGCAACGCCCCCAATCCATTCAAAACACTTCAATGAGGAAAACATTCCCAAAATGTTTCTTGAGCAGAGCCGGGGCGCCGTCTTGGTTTGCTCTTCTGCAAAATGAAAGCTTTATTATCATAGTTACTCTGAGACATCACCTCACACGCAATCTTCAACACAGCATCTTGTTGGTTCATCACTAACATTATGAACAGAAAAAAGCGACCTCAGGCCCGGGATGGTTCGACATGCCTCGTACAGACTTGACTCCAGAACTTAAACGCGATCTTCAGCTCATCAAGATGCGAAGTGTCTTGGACCCACACCGCCAATACAAAAAGGATAACGGCAAGATGCAGGCGCCTGAGTTCAGTCAGGTGGGAACCATTGTGGAGGGCGCGACAGAGTACTACTCCGGCCGGCTTGACAACAAGCAGAGAAAGCGGACTCTTGTGGAGGAGGTCCTTGCCGGCGAGCACGAAACGAAACGTTTCAAGCGGCAGTATGGTGAACTTCAACAGAAAACTACCAGTGGCAAGAAATCGTTCTATAAGGCGCTCAAAGCGCAGCGACAGGGTGGTTTCAAGAAAAGCTCTGCGGGATGAAGGTGAAGTCCTCAAGTGCGCCTGCAATGCTTTGCTCCGCGCTTTGACAAGTCAACAAAATTGATGCGGATGGGCGACAATGCCTTCACAATTCCGCAACCACCTTCAGGACAAGACCCTGCATATCAATCGCAGCCTGCTTGCCTGCCTCGAGCACTTCCTCGTGGTTCGCCATACCCCGCGCGAGATGTGCCTTCAACTCATCTGGAGTCATGCCCTCGAGCTCTGGGTCGTCTCCACGCACAGTCGGTTCGAGAACCGCCTTGTTGGTCACCAGGGAAAACGCCAATACACGCATGCCGCTGTGCCTAGCGACAATGATCTCGGGAACCGTCGACATGCCGACGACATCTGCGCCCAGATTCCGCAGCATCCGGCATTCGGCCCGCGTCTCGTATGAAGGACCAGCAACAAATGCATAGACACCTTCGTGCATCTTACGATCGTTGGACGATCCTGATCGTAGCTCGCGCCATGAACGATGCGCAAGTTGCCGGAGTTGAAGGTCATATGCGTCCGACAAGGGCGGAAATCTCACCCCGAACTCGCCCTCGTTTGGCCCTATTAGAGGATGGAAGCCGACGAGTCCGGCAAGGTTGACGTGATCGTTGAGACATACAATATCACCAACGTTGTAGTCGGGATTCAAGCCACCAGCGGCATTTGTGAGGAGCACCGTCTCGACTCCGAGAAGTTTGCACACCCGCATGGCGTACGTGACCAGTGACATAGAATGCCCTTCATAGAAACTAGAACATCAATCGAAAGAAAATTGACAATTAGTTTCTTGCCAACGAAATGATCACTCTGCCATGGAAAGTGTCTACTGACTGCGCTCTCCCCACCAATAACATGACAGGAGTCTTCTTCTCTCCCATCGTGCTGAAAATCAGTCTCCCGGCGTGGCCTGGCACTGTGCTCTGAGGGAAATTCGGAACATCTCTGTAGTTCCATGATTCCATTTCGTCGAGGTTGATCGCCTCCGCCAGACCGCCCAAGCCGGATCCGCAGACGATGGCCACACGCGGTCGAGCGAGCTTCTCCGGGAGTTTCAGTCGCAGAAACTCGACGGTCTCGATACAGCGGTCATACAAGTTGCTGTTCATCTCGGAGTGCGCGTCGTTCCAGGTATGTTGGAGATGCGTGGCGCTGTGGTAGAGGGAGGCGAGGTGATGCAGGGATTCGAGCATCGCTTTCATAGGGGACCGGGAACGCCGCAGTGAGAGATGGATGATGTCGAATGTCACGAGGTGCCAAGGGGAGAGACGTGGTGCTGGGTGATGGTGCTGGCCCGGATAGGTTTGGTTCTGGTTAAGACTATTCTCGAGGAGAACCTTGGAAATGATGTTGTCGGGCAGCTAGGCGATAGAGGATACTGAGTGTAACAAGAGATTGAGAATTATATACATTCTTTTCGTCGCTTTTGCCATCATCCGAACTGGTGTAGAGGTAACATTTGTCGCTCTCATCTGCTAAGCAGTGAAGATCCGACACGCCCGGGGTTCGATTCCCCGGTTCGGAACATTCTATTTTTAGATTTTTCGAAGGCGCTAGACGATTTTAGCGTGGAATCTACGTTTTTCCCGTTCGACCACAAAACATTTCGGTGTGCAAAGCCAGTTTTGTAGTTTTCCCGTTCGGCCACCAAACATTTCGATGTGGGTGGAGTCATCGTTGCCGCATCGAGGTGTGGCACAAGGGGATGCCAACAGCTCCGAGACAGCAGGGGCATGCTCTCTCTAGCGGTCAGTCCTGTGCATATCGCGCTCCTTCGCGCATTTATCGCACTTGCTAGAAGTCGCTTCTTCATGATGCGAAGTTGTGATCGAGTGAGTGCCCAGTCAATTGAACAATGACGGGCAGGAGTATGCATCGCGATGACTCGTTGATCGCACGCGTGCGTCTGGAGCAGACTACCCTACTGTGCAGCTCACACTACCTGCGGGATGTTCTCTGGCTCGGCAGGCAGATGCAAGAGATCGTCGACTACTGCAGGTGATCAGAGAGAGGTACAGGATCGCCTTTTTGGTGGGCCGTATGAGAAGAGAAAACTACGAACATCATAACCAGGGCGGCGGCGAGGTGGGATTCTACAGGGTTGACGTCGAAGCAAGACACGATCATCACACCGTATGGCGCGCGGTCATCGTCATTGATGAACGTCTTGGCTTGCGAAGTGAGGTGAAGGCGACTACATGTCCAGTCCATGACAATCCATGTCCCGGTGGTGAGAGGGATTCCCCGGCATGCCGCCCCGCCACACGGTCCGTTGGTGAGACCCAGCATCACCAGACGTGCCGCAATGATCCACTAACCTCGCCGACCTGGGCCCCTCTCTTTTACTTCCTTCGCCTTCCTCGTACATGCAGTACGTACATCGGACGGACTGTGCGTTCCAAGCGTGCAGGATCCGCCGTTCTAAACACTTCAAATCACAGTATGTCAGGCCGCAACGTGACGCACGTAGCCCACGCGTCCAACGCGCCGTGGCATCGTTTCTGATGATGACTCGGGATGATCGTAATCTTGGTTGCCTGCCGTGAGGACCGCTCGCAGGTGGCCCGGGTAGTGGTTGTGTGATAGTCAGCGGTGAGCGCCAAAGTGGTCGCTAATTCGTCATCAGTGATGGTCACCGGCCAAGAAGGTCAGACAGGCAGGCGGAAATAGGTTTCAATCTTCACGTTCGTCGGCCGATCCTCACCAGCGGCGGACAATTATTACGGGTGTACAGTTGTATGTACCGACCGAACTGATGAACCCTGGCAGGGTCCTGCGAGATGGGTGATGAGTGGGGATCGAGATGGCAGCTGTAGTGCGCGGCCATGTGCTTGTTCCAGGTCCACTCCGGCCGGGGCAGGGGCAATTCTTCTTACTGGATCTCGTCAGCCAGGCACTGCGTGCGACAACCGCATCAGTCTGCTCGGTATCGTCGAGACCCCGCTGTTCGCGCTGGTCACCACGGACGATCATGAATGAATATCGTGCTGTACCATGGGGTCACAGCATGACCACTGACCACTGACCACTGCCACACCTTGTACACACGATGATTCAGAAAGGCGGGCGAAATGACAGGAGGACAATTCTGCCGCCTGATCTCTCCCCTCTGGACCGCCGCCGCCGCTTGTGTCATGGTTACTGTATTGTATTTCCTTTTGTTGACCACCATCCCAATCAGTGAATGGAAATCCATGCCAAGTGGTCCACCATTTTTTGATCCTTCTCGGACCTGCCAAGGGCTCACCATCGTTCCGAGGGCTACTGTGCTGTGCCGTTCGTTGAGCAACAACATACTGCCTATGTATCCACCGCGCAGACGACGGAGGGGACGATGAGTCGAGATGTGTCATGGGAGGGGATGGATTCCGCGCGGGTGACTGACTGGCCCCCGGTAATTCTCGTCATCAGGCACGCGCTTGGCTCGGCTGTTACTGCACTCGCTAAGAGTTGGACTGAATGAATGAATTCGATTAATAACTCCCGCCTGCACTCTGAGTAAAAGAAAAGAGTGGTGCGCGCCGATTTATGTACTGGGCACCTGAGCATACTGTACATACACACGGAGCCTACCTACTGCCTAGGTAGCCAGGTATTGTACGGTATGCCTATTGCAAGCGCACCGCGCCCGATGGCCTCTTCCACCACCGCCGCCGCCGCCGTCACCGTCACCGTCACCGTCACTCCTGCCGTGACCCTCTCGTCGAGTTGCCCTCACGTCCATTTCCATCCATCGTCTGTCACCATAGACGAGTGAGTGAACACCGCTACACACCTGGGCGCTGTCCTGGTTAGGCCGCGGAATTGATGCCCTGCCCGCTCACCACTGGGCATGCTCATACTGCTGTCTGTGTGCGAGAGGCGAAGGATTCGGCGGAATACAGTAAAAAGCACCCTCACCTGCCTTCTGCCATCGCTGGTCTACCGCCTCTTGATCGTCTTGGCTTCCATCTCGTCTTCGTGTTCTTGTCACGCATATTTCACAGCGATCTGCATCCTTCCTGCTTCTCTCCCTCACGATTTTCTTCGAACTTGCATGCGTCTTCCTCCTTCCACTCCTACTCTACATTCAATTCACTCGCCCGCTCACCCGCTAGCCATCGTCCGGCGGCCAGACCCTGAGAGAAGCGACAGCCCTGCTTTCGTCCGCCAACTACTGTAGCTATCTGACATCCTCAATCCACTCATTGCTTGTCGGCGGTCTTGACCATCGCCAACTGGCCAGCCGGCCAATTCGTCCTGGCTGTCGCGACCGCTGCTGTCGCCTGTTGACCTGACGCTCCTCCTCGTCGCTCCCGTGAGCATGAGTGAGGTACGTAGGTTGTTCAGCAGACGAGAGAAGAAGAGCCCGGGCAAACCGACGGATGACCACAAAGTAGGTTGATCGTCCCGAGTCTCGCACTTACAATTATCGTTTCTGCCATTTCCTTCCATTTGTTTTGGCACAAGAAGTGTCAGTTCGCATTCATCGACCGAGTCATGGGTGCTCTCAATCACACCCATCTCCAAGTCTACTCCACTCCCTCCTCGTGTTGGGCTGGCGCCAGATCGCTAGAATCCGCAATCCTTTCAACTGCTTTGAAGCGCATCCTGCATAAAATGTACAATCTCTTCGCTGTCACGCCAACGAGTGTACGCACGCGTGAATGAGTGATTACCTCATGTACACTGAACTTCTGCGAGATGTTTCGATATCTTCATATGCCATCGTGTCGACCGAGCAGTGCTCGTCAGTCTAGTGGGGCTGCTCGCTGATAACTTCCAGGACTCCTCCACAGCCCCGCCACTTCTCAGACCGGCCCACTTCGCCAATGTCTTCTCCACTGATTCAGAACACAAAGGCAAAATAGGCAAGGAAGAAGAACGCTCTATCAACATCATCCTGGAGCGACTGCGCAGCCATGGCATTGCCACCATCGTCGAGTCAAATGCTCGATACGCGTTACGCGCCAACGGAGGCGATGTCGACAAGGCACTCAGTTTACTCATTCTCCTGCAGGAGACCTACGATGGCATGGTCCGACCATATGACCCTCACAGGCGGCTCGTCGGCGCCATTAATCGTGAATCAGTGACGTGTTACCTCGACGCCCTGCTGTTCGCCATGTTCATGCGCTTGGATAGCTTTGAGGCGATGCTATATGACTCGCTTGAGGATCCGAATAAAAAAAGACTCGCGGGGATGTTGAGGTTATGGGTGAACATGATGAGGACAGGGAAGATCATCACCACCGATATCACCAAGGATCTACAGGAGGTACTCGCGAGCTGTGGTTGGACGCAGGCTGCAAAGCTGCTGCAGCAGGATCCCTCGGAGGCCTTCACTTTCATTACGGATCAATTACAGCTTCCTCTACTCACTCTGAAGATGGACCTTTACCACACAGGGAAAGCTGACCTGGCCGATGACCACAAATTCGTCAATGAGCGCCTTCTCGAAGTCGCGGTCCTCGAACAGCCCCGAGAGGGCAAGGCCTTTGTCACTCTCGAGGACTGCTTAGAGCAATATTTCAATAACAGGATTGAGGTGATGCGGTATCTCGAGAATCAACGACAAAACTCTTTCAAAGCCACAGGGTCCATGGATTCGAGCTACACCAGCCAATTCGAGAAGGAAGTGGGCGTTCACATCGAAGTCCTCGAAGTAGCAGGCACGCCACTGGTGCAAACCCCAATATCCGACGAGGCCATGTTCCCTTTGAAAGTCAAAGACCCGGTTTTGGCAAGATTACGACCGGAAGCAGGCCGGAAAAGACAGGACAGTATATTCAGTCAGAGGAGGTCGGAACTCGTCGGGGTCGATCCGGGGGCCTCGCAGACGCCTACATCAGACTCCAGACCCAGCCTGAAGGCTAGCTCCAAGACCGAGGTGCTCATGCCTGCCTGGCAGTTTTTCAAGCTTCTTCCATGGTACACAGATCACATGCCGACCTCAGATGCACAGGTCGCAGCACATTTCGCGACAAAGCGACCCGTGCTCGGAATATGCTTGAAACGGTATTCCTTCAATACATCTGGTCAGGCCACCAAATTGGATACGCACATCGATATCCCTCTAGAGATTCAGGTCCCGAACTTCTTGAGCGACGAGCAGCTACAGGATGACATTGACTCTGGGTCTATACCGGTCGGTGGAAATTTCCGTCTCCTATTACAGAGCGTGGTGTGTCATCGCGGAGTCAGCGTTCACTCGGGACACTACGTTGCACTATGCCGAGGTACGCCAACCGTCGAGCAGAGACATCGACAACACCAAGCGCAGGCGCGATCTGAGTCTAGTTCTTTGAGCGAAGATCATGACGAGCTTCCAGACCCATGGGTGCGATTTGATGATCTTGCTAAAGAGAGAGTGACGGTCATCGACATTCATGAAGCTTTGAAAAAGGAGACGCCCTACCTCTTGTTCTATCAAGTGCAGCCGATCGGGGAGGACGGAAAGGAGATCCATGATCTACCTTCATACGCCGAAGCCACATCCCGTGCACAAAGCGACGTCGGCCTCTCGGCAGAATTGGAGAAGGCTGACAGGGCCGAATTCATTGAAAACGCACCCAATCAAGATACCAACAACACGCCAGACGCCGTGCGAGCGCGCTCCATGCAAGGTGGCAATTCTATTGGTGGGTCACGAAATTCGTGGAACAGCGCCGAATTCTCAGAAAGCTATATCGTCCAACCTGGCGCGAGCAAAAGGAGCAGCAGAGCCTTGTCTGAACCCGAACTTATGACAAGAGGTGATCCTCCAACATCGAATAACTCTTCATCAACCAAAAATGGCTACTGTCACAGTAATGGGGCTGGAAACTCGTTTCTTGCGATTGCAAGCCGTTTAGGCAACGCCGGGAGCAAGTCTCGCGCTTCCAAGAGCAGCGGTGCTGCTCAGGGCCCGCGACCAGCCAGTAGCGGTTCATTTGAAGAGAAGGACAGCAAGTTCACATTCAATGTCGCGCGACTCACACAGAAGCTGGGTCGGAGTCCGGACAAGGACGTGACGGGCCCGGTCCTACTTCCGCCCACACCAAGTCAATCTTCTTTCCCGACGACACAGCTCGATGGTGTCGATGCGCCCGCGAATGGAAGTCACACCGAACTCGCCCCTTCAAGTTCAGACCACACGGGAATTTTAGCGGATCGCCCGTCGCTCACTCTCCCGCGTTTGGAGACATCAGAAATCAAGTCGGCACGCCGACCGTCATCAGCAGCCTTCACGGCGCTGCCAGCAGTGACCTCATCCGGGTCGACCTCCCATGAAGCTGCCCAGCAGAAGCGACACGAGAAGGCGCAAAAGCGAGACAGACAAGGCCGATCACAGGAGGACCGAGACTGCACGGTCATGTGAAAAGGCCATAGATTTCCTTCATCAATGCCTGCCCCATCATAGCGTTTTTTTTCTTCTTTTTTCCTCCTTGTCGATATTGCTCTTCGCCTGCATTGCTTGATACCCCCCTCTCGGCAAAACGGGCCGACAAAAGCGTCAAGAAAAAGTCTTGGATGGGAATAGACTTCTGGGCCTTCTCGCATCTCACGGCGTTTCTCATAGTCCAGCCGGTGCCTTTTGAATAACACGCATTACGGGAGCGCTCATTATTTTGGGGGGAAATTCATGGGAAATGTCATGGGCCGCCGCGATCATCGCTTTTTTCCCGCTTTTTCGATACACATCATAATTACCTCGAATGAGAAATCCCAGTGTTTCACTGCTGTGTCGGTGAAGGGCTGGAAAGTCTTCGTGAAAAGCCAGGCATGAATGTCTTGAGACCTAGATACATAAAAACTAGGCCGGAATGAACAGATTCGTGATATATTCATATTCATATCTCTCTCTTTCTTTTTACAGTTTGGAAAATACACAACGCCGGTGCTCCCCAAGATGATGCGATGCAATCGGCCCAATCCACATGTAAAACAGAAACCAAACGCCCGCAACGAGACAGACGATATCAAGACTCTGGCCGCCTCACGATCACGTCTCCGCGCCGCGGCCTTCTTCCTCCGCCCCGGGCGGCGCCACCATGGCGCTCCCTTTCTTTCGGCCCACGCTGCCGAAAATGTCCCCCAGCGTCGCGCTCAGGCTTCTCATCCTGCCCGGTTTCCGACTGCCGGGCTGGGATCCCGCCGCGCCGCTGCCAACCGGCGCTCCGGCGAGCAGGGCCTCCCGTTCAAAGTCCGCTTCGGTGCCGCTGGCGATCGAGTGTCGCTTCGGTCGCGCCGAGAAGAGCGGGGCGCCGGTGCCGGCGCCGGCGGCGTGGGAGCGTTTGCGTCGGAGGGTTTGGTTGGTGCTGCGGCGGAGTTCGTCGGCGACGATCGCGGCGAGCGACGAACTGAGCGGGCTGGTGAGGGGGCCGGGGAGGAGGCCTGCTACGGATTGCCGCGTGAGGAGGCGGTGCGGGGAGGAGGCTGGGTCGAGAACGGACGGATTTGAGGTGAGGCGGGTAGGATCCTGGGGCTGGCCGGGAGCGGTGCGGTTCGGTGTGGACGGCGTTCTGGTCAGCGTGTGCCTGGGGAGTACCGGACCTCTGTTGTGCGTTGGTGTAGTCGGGACGACTGGAGCTGAAGTCGTTGCGTGGAACGGCGGCTTTCTTGTCGGATCGCCGTCATTCGTGGGAGTTGTCAGGCGTGCGACACTGTCCATGTGGACCGCAGTGGCGTTCGCGGGAGCTATGTCCACGAAGGGATTCGTCAGATTGTGTATGCTCGATTCCGCTTCACTGGTCTCTGATGAAGTCAATTGCGTTGCTGAAACGGTGATTGGAACTTCTCCCGATGTGTGAGACCGTTGCAGGCCTCGCGTAGGTTCATCCCCCATCAGTGCTCCGTCGTCGATGGGAAGTTTGCCATATGCCGTCTGCTCTACGGCGAGATCAATGCTTTCTTCTTCGTCTTCTTCATCATCGTCGTCATCTTCACTTTCGTTGCTCCGTCCCGAGGTAATGCACCAAACACCCGAGAACGTCAATGCACAACCAGCCACGAACTTGATAGCGTCATCGGTCTTCTTGGTCTCGAAGTCACGGTAAAGGACGGCGCTTCCCACGATGACCGAAATGGTGAACAGTACGAACTGCGTCGGGATCACCATGGTAGCGTTGAAGTGCTGTAATGCTCTGTTGACATACTTGATTTGCATGACCGCCGTGAATACCAGAACAGCCACAAGCAGGTATGTGATAGGATAGGTGACCACTCGCCAGATGTCGAGCGCGAGGAGAGAGGCCACGCCTTTTGTCGAGAGTGCCGTGTATGCGCCGAACAGTCCGACAAGCCCGAGATCGATCAGGAGCGTACGGTCACCGTATTTGTTGCTGCAGAAAGCGAGCACCACAATCATGAACACCGTGACGCCGACGTAGGTCTCGAATTCCCAACGGGAGACCAGGTGCCAGATTGCATCGGGGCTCAGCTTAGGATTGCTCTCGCTAGCACTCAGGACAACAACGACGCAGCCCGCAATGGCAATCAACACGCCGAGTCCGTCCCTCCAGCGGAAAACCTCCCCCAGCAGGAGAGGTGCTATGAGGCAGTTCGAGATCAATGCAACCACGCCCAAAGGAGAGACGATGGATGCAGGCGCAAAGCCGTATGCCAGGAAGTTGCCAGCCTCGCCCACGATCATTAATGAGATACCGAGCCACCAGATGGGCGATTTGAGATACGACTTCTCTTTCTCCTCGTCATCCTCCTTTTCATCTTCATCGCGGAGACTGCCATCGCTCGAACGAGACGCTCTCCGCGAATCGACACGCGGGAGTAGAGGCTGGCGTTCGCCGAGCTCGCCCTGCTGATGAGTCGCGGCGTTTGGTGTTGCAATGCCTTTGGGGCTTTTGTTGCCGATCTGGAGCGTTTCGTCCAACCTGTCGCTCGAATTGGTTCTACTTTGGCGTGAAAGTCGCTTTGCAGCCTTTCGCTGAGCGTCCCGCGCCCGGCTTAGTCGGATGTGTGCATATCGCTGGGTATTCAGCGCAAACGAGATGAGGATATTGCCGCATATCGCTGTCACGACACCGATAAGACTCGACCAGTCATCTGAGGTCGGATGTTTGCCGATGATCCTTTCCACGACATGGTCCAGAGCGTTGTTTGATATTGAGCTGTACATATCTGTGAGAGATATGGGCGAGATCAGCGACGGCAGGAGCGCTTGTCCGGTGTCGCTATTGCATATCTGTGAGGTGCGGTTGACGGTGGGAGGTGTTCTCGTTAGGATTGGACGTCGCTGATGTGGTCGAGGTTTTTTTTCCTTCGCGTGCTTCAACAGCCGCGTGCCGTGGTGGAGACGAACCGTCAGTGGCCGACTACAGTGTCTAATAAAATGACCTGCCGGTGGGTCATCGGCCATGAATCCCGAGAGAAACGGCTCAGGCTTGGGGGCTCAGGCTGGACGCATTTGGCTCGTGATAACCATGGAATTTAGCCGCACGCGCAATGACGGCATCCCACCTATACATATACTGCACTGTACAGCCCCCGTACTTTATGTTCCATGGATTGCCCAACTCCACTTCCTTCACATAATCTACATAATCCGGGTGCACGATACGTACTGCGTACCAAGCCTCGCCTCTCTGAGAGTCGACCATTATTGATATCGTATCTCCTGGCGAGAAAAGCCGAGATTGAGGTACCCCATCACAGATACAAGTGGCCTACTGGAATGAAATCACGGAAACGTCGCCTCGGCCTTCATGCATGCTGGTCCCGTCGTGCCGTCTGGCGAACGATGTGCCTCCGCCGCAGACGACCGTCATTATCATCCGGACTCTCAATCTGACAGATCCTCTCGCAACAGGATGGCGTTGACATGTAGAAACGGAGCTGCGGACAGGTTTCAGATTTGCAGGCCACCTAGCAGCCCCTTGCTGCTTGGCATTTCCCAGGAGCACAAGATGGATTCCGATGGCGCACATATCTCATGTCCCTGCCATCTGCTCGAAGAAAGGCGCCGTATACGCTGGGCCGTTAGCAAAATTGTCTGGCATGAAAGAAAAGTCGTCAAATGTCCATCCGATCAGATTCTCAATGTCGAAGTCGGAAGTGGGTATTTCCTGTTGTGCGATTTGTGCTGCGTGCGGTACGGGAGCTTGCAGGCCACTGTCTATGACACTCGTCATGGCTTCGGGAGGAGAACGACGTGTTCGATCAGGTCGGGATGTTTTGATAGCCGTCTCATCCTGACAAGCCATGATCTTGTAGTAGGTCCGCAGCACTCGGTCCACCGTGTCTTGCATATATTCCAGACGTTTCGCTGGGTCATGTTTGGCCTGAGCATAACCATGGAGAGCGCTCAGCATCCACAGTTGACGTTGATCGCACCCATAACGATACACTCTCTCTGTAAGCATAGTAAGGACCTCTGGCACGTTGCGAGCGATTACCTCATTTACGAGAACGCTTAAAGCGCCGTCGACCACAGGATCAATTGCTGCTTTGATGGAGCATAAGGCTAAAGCTGCACGCTGATGGTCAGCTCGCAAGGTCTCCAGAGTGAAGCAACCTTGCGCGGTCAGCGAGCGATGGGTGTCGATGATTAAAGTAGCGGTCTCAATGATGACCATGCGTGAGTAATCGCGTTCCGACTTGGACAGCGTTTGCTGGACTTGCCGCTCGTGGATCGTGAGAAGATATTGCCGAAGATTCAAGGTGAGCATCGCCCGCGAGGTCTCACCGTCACGCCCGGCCCATTTGGGTATGCTCTTGAGAAGATGTTCGATTTCATCAGTATATCTTCTGACATCTTCAAAGCTAATCGTCTGCCTGATATTGCTCAGCGCCGCATTGATAGTGGTCCGAAGAGTGATTGAGTCAGCAGCCATTGCCAGGAAAGCTGCGCTGCCAAATTGGCTGAGTGGTCTCACGGTAGGTATCTGCTCGGGGTCCTTTGGCCAGTCGTGATCCCATATATGAGAGGGTGGTGGACAATCGCTTTGCAATATCCAAGCAGTGGATGGCATGCCTTTGTCGAACGCTGCCTGCAACTCAAATTCTGTCACTGCTGCCCAAATTCGTTTCCGGAGTTCCTTTTCTAAAACCGACGTCGGCTTCCAAATCATGTCGGGATCTCGATGGAGTCCTGCGGCCATACAGTATCGAACCAATTCGCCTGCTTCAGTCCATGTGCGCTTGCTCTTGTACGCGGCAACCTCTTTTGCCAAAAGCAACAGGAAGCGGATCTGAAAGTCTTCTGCTGAGACGTTCTTCTGACTCTGTCTTCGTAGCCACGTTTCTACCGCACAAATCACTGCAATCGATTGCTCGCGTGCAACGGAACTATTTGCTATGTACAGCCAAGGCTGGGATGACCTCAGGCATCGAGCACATGCTGTCAGACATAGCACCAACGCAACGAAGTGCGGTCGGGTGATGGCATCCTCCGACCACAACCCGTCAAATTCCTTCCAGAATGCTGGTGGATGGAGCACTTGATACAGACAGCCAAAGTTCTCAAAATAGGTCCGCACAAGCGCATCGCAATCGCGCTGCGAGGGCAACAATTCCAACAAGTCTGTATCGTTCGCACCCGTGTGTTTGAAGTCGGCGTGCTCCGTCCGATACTTCAATGCACTGAGGTCTTCTCGTGCCTTCATCAGTGCAGGAAAGCGTTCGAAGGCTTCACGTGAGAAGCTGGTCAGCTCGGAAAGGCGGCCAATCAGTGCACCAACATGAGAGCTGCCTCGGTATTGCGTTTTGAAGCTGCGGCCGTGCAGTAGAGGGGCCTCGCGTTCGGAAACCTGTGCAGGACGGTCAGCCATCCCTGTCGTAGAGTCTGGCGTGAACGTCTGCGCAGGGACTTTGGCTCGCTGCGTCATGTTTGCTCCTGAACTGGTCATAGCCAGGGTGGCCTCAAGATGCTTGATGCGACCTTCTTGATAGTTCATTCGAGCGAGCGTATCGCTGCTGAGGCGGACATTGGAGCTTGTCCGATTCGTGCGTTCATATGAAGGCACGCTCGCGCGAGAGACGGATGTTGGAGCATCGTCTTCGCGGAACAGATGATCTGCGGAGTCCTCAATGTAAAGGCATTCGTGTGAGGCGCCTGCTTTGGCACAACGGCCGCAGACAGGCTGCACGCGATCACATTGCAGCTTTCGCCGGCGACAATTATAGCATGAAAGAACTTTGCGACGCCGTTTTCGGCTTTCAGTGCCGGCTGTATCAGGTGAGAGGGCGTGTCTTTGCCTCTCGCCTGCAGATCGTGGTGGTGTTTCGGTCGGCATGCCGAGTTAATCAGTCTTGGTGTTCGGCCGAGCGTTCCGGACTTTGAATATCGAGCGCGAACGCGTGGCACAGGCAGAGGGTAGTTCTCGGCGCGATGGTTTTGGCTTACGCGCTTGGATTTTGAGAGAGATAATGCTATGTTTGTCGGACCCAGCCTTTGCTGTTGATTTACGTCGTGGTCTTGCAAGAGATCCGCTGTGTGTGCAATCCGCGTCAGCGAATCCTTCATGCGAGCGCTATGTCCGACAATCGCTTCAGGCCCAGCGCACGACAGAGACCGGCGCTAGACCGCTTTCAGAACTATCGGCGTGAAGTAGCCATATCAAAGCACGGGCGAGCATGAGATCATTTGATCGAATACAAAGGGCCGTGAGGACCTAAATTCGACGACAACTCCTAGCAAACATTCACCCCCGTGGCGTGGTGGTTGCTATAATGCCATTCTCTTCACCATTGTAATCAGTACACGAATTGGCCAGCCGGCCCATAGCTTTCATCATGGACGACGACGACGATTATCGACAGCGACGTCGCAGTCGAACCATGAGTCGCCGGCCTTCGAATGTCGAAATGGCACAAGATGAGATTTTCTCAGGCCCAGTATCCGAGAGTGTTCCGACCGCCTCGAGCTCATTTTACCACCGCCGCTCACGAGCAGATTCCAACGCCAGTTTCGCTTTCTACGAGGAGGATCGGGATTATGATTCCGAGGAGTGGGGAGAAGATGCTATACTAGATGAGCAGGACGATCTCGAGCGACAAAGTCTGAATGGAGAGAACACCTTCTTAGAGCCAGAGCTGGACGCTGACCACGAGGATGATTCGCTGAGAGAGGAAGAGTCGGTCATCGAACGACGCCCAAGCCACGGTCGGAGGAAGAACTCGGGCATGTCAAGACGATCTACTGGCTCGAGAGCCTCGATTTCAGTACAGAGTCCTCTGCTACGCCGACAACATTCAGAGTCCTCCGACATCAGCGGCTTTTACACTGGAGAGCGAATGACACAGAAGATCTACATCCTCACTGAGGATTTGACCATCGTCGTTGCTGGTTTCAAGACTTCGCTCCTGGGATTCGCCATGTACATTTGTTTCTGTGTTCTGACTGGAGGTATCGGGTATCTCCTGTTCCGCTGGTTGCCTAAATGGCATACTCGCCTGGTAGGAAAGGCCACTCCGCTGGGTCAAGCAGACTGGGTCGTGGTGGAAAATCAGTGGGGAGAGATGGTTGTTCAAGCTCTCAGTACACAAGTGTTTGGTCAGCCAATATCATCGGTGTTTGGACATCCTCGGGGTAAGATGCAAGATTACGACGAATACGACGATCCGATCATGGACGAGCTGCGGATCATGGACTACAGGTACATTCGATTTTGCTACCACCCAGCAAAAGACAAGTTTGTATTGGGAAACACCTGGAAAGATCCGACCTGGACCGACGTGGGCACCATTCGAATGGGTATCGATGGTGATGAGCAAGAAGTCCGCGAACGTATTTTTGGGAAGAACGCCATCGACATTGAGCAGAAGACGACGGCACAACTGCTGGTGGACGAAGCATTCCATCCTTTCTACGTGTTCCAGATCGCAAGCCTCATATTGTGGTCACTCGACGAGTATTACTACTATGCAGCTTGCATCTTCATCATATCGGTCGTCAGTATCACCACCACACTCATCGAGACCAAGCAGACCATGCAGAGGCTACGCGACATCGCAAGGTTTGAGAGTGACATTCGTGTCCTGCGCAGCGGCTTCTGGCGTTATATCGAGTCTAGCGAGTTGGTCCCAGGTGATGTCTATGAGGTGACGGATCCCAACTTGGCGCAATTTCCTTGCGACAGCTTGCTGCTGTCGGGCGATTGTATCGTGAATGAGAGCATGCTCACGGGCGAGTCTGTGCCTGTATCGAAGACGCCTGCGACTGACCACACATTGGACATGCTGGATCTCGGCTCATCGACCATTCACGCAGACGTCGCGAAACATATGCTTTTTAGTGGCACAAAGATCATCCGCGCACGTCGACCGCAAGACGACAAGGGTGATGAGGCGGCAGCGCTGGCGCTGGTCGTTCGGACTGGGTTCAATACGACAAAAGGCGCACTGGTCAGATCCATGCTCTTTCCGAAACCGTCCGGCTTCAAGTTCTACCGTGATTCATTTCGCTATATTTCCGTCATGGCAGGCATCGCCGCTGTGGGCTTCGTTGCGTCTTTCATCAACTTCATTCGTCTGGGGCTGGAGTGGCATCTCATCATCGTGCGTGCTCTCGATCTCATCACAATCGTTGTGCCACCCGCTCTGCCCGCGACGCTCACCATCGGTACAAATTTTGCGTTACAACGACTCAAGGCCAAGAATATCTTCTGCATCAGCCCACAAAGAGTCAATGTAGGGGGCAAGCTGGACGTCATGTGCTTCGACAAGACTGGAACTCTGACAGAGGACGGGCTCGATGTACTTGGAGTACGCGTCGTCTCACGTCCATCCAACCGTTTCAGTGATATCCTCACTGAGTCTTCGGCTTTACTACCTGGAGCAGTATACGAGCGCGATCCTACAACGGATTACGCTGCCAATAAAGCAATTCTGTACGCCATGGCTACGTGTCATTCCTTGCGGATTGTGGACGGCGAGTTCATCGGTGATCCACTTGATCTCAAAATGTTCGAGTTTACTGGCTGGCAGTTTGAAGAGGGGGTTGAACACTCGGGCGGCGGAGAAGACGAAGAGGACAACTCTTTGTCTCCGTCAGTGGCGCGGCCACCTCCTGGCTTGGAGTATGACTTGGACGAGGAGCAGGGCACCCCGAACAGCAAAAGAGCGATTGAGCTCGGCGTCCTCAAATCGTTCGAGTTCGTCTCGCAACTTCGACGGGCCAGTGTAATTGTGCGACAATTCGGCGAGAAGAGCGGTGACGTGTTCGTGAAGGGCGCGCCGGAAGCGATGAAAGAGATCTGCAGACCTGAGAGCTTTCCTGTCGACTACGACGATTTGCTGGCATACTACACTCATCGCGGCTTCCGAGTCATTGCCTGCGCCACCAAACATATCTTCAAGTTGAACTGGTTGAAGGTGCAGAACATGAAGCGGGAAGATGCCGAGTCGAATCTGGACTTTGTGGGATTCATCATTTTTGAGAACAAACTCAAGGACACGACGACTGAGGTCATCGGCGAGCTCATGAATGCCAACATTCGGACCGTTATGTGCACTGGCGACAATATTTTGACCGCCATTAGTGTAGCAAGAGAATGCGGCATTCTCGATCGCACTGCACATTGCTTTGTTCCGCATTTCGTCGAAGGCGATGCGCGAACGGCGCTGTCAAGGCTCGCCTGGGAAAGCGTGGACAACCCCGTTTACCAATTGGACGACAACACTCTGCGACCGTTGCCGCCGCCGGCCGATCATGACGCTTCATTGCCCTATGACATCACAAACCTGCGCAATTACTCGGTGGCGGTGTCGGGAGATGTGTTCCGCTGGATCATCGATTTCGCATCGCCCAAAGTCCTTCGCGAGATGCTTGTGGTCGGTCAGGTCTTTGCACGCATGTCTCCCGATGAGAAACACGAGCTGGTTGAGAAATTACAAAGCATCGACTACTGTGCCGGCTTCTGCGGCGACGGGGCCAATGACTGCGGGGCGTTGAAGGCGGCCGATGTTGGCATCTCGCTGTCAGAGGCCGAGGCCTCTGTGGCAGCCCCCTTTACCAGCCGGGTATTCGACATCTCCTGTGTGCCGGAGGTCATCCGCGAAGGCCGGGCAGCGCTCGTGACGAGCTTCAGCTGCTTCAAATACATGAGTCTCTATTCCGCCATCCAGTTCACGTCGGTCAGCTTCCTCTACGCCACGGCATCGAACCTGGGAGACTTCCAATTCCTCTTCATCGACCTCCTCCTGATCCTCCCCATCGCCATCTTCATGGGCTGGACCGGACCCTACCGCGAGCTCTCCCGCAAGCGACCCACGGCCAGCCTCGTCTCGCGCAAAGTCCTCATCCCCCTCATCGGCCAGATCGTCATCTGCGTGCTGACCCAATTCATCGGCTGGTACTTCGTCCGCAAGCAATCCTGGTACGAACCGCCGATCATCGACCCGGAGCATTCCAACTCGGAGAACTCCGAGAACACCACCCTCTTCCTCATCTCCTGTTTCCAGTACATCCTCTCGGCCATCGTGCTCTCCGTCGGGAAGCCCTTCCGCCAATCCATGCGGCACAACCTCCCCTTCGTCGTCACCATGCTCATCGCCCTCGGCATCTCGACCTACATGCTCTTCGACCCGGCCGCCTGGGTCCAGGGCGTCATGGAACTGACCTGGACGAGCCCGGCCTTCCGCGTGTTCATCCTGGTGCTGTCCATCGGCAGTTTCGCCATCAGCCACCTCTCGGAGCGGACACTCTTCCCGCGGCTGGCGAAGGCGATCGGCCGGGCGGCGCAGTCGTGGCGGAAGGCGGAGAAGAAACGGAAGGAATACAAGGTCATTATCGAGGACATGTCCCCGTTGTAAAACGAAAATCTAGAGAGTACATTGGCTGAGACTTTGCTTCTTTTCTTGCTTTTAGGATGAATAATTGCCCCCCGAAACGGGAGGATCGCCTTGCGAGGTCGGGTCGGTTGTACAGTAGAGGCCGCGTGTCGATTGGAGGGTCATCGCGGCGTCTGGGTCGTGCGGGATCCTGAAGGAGAATCGCGAACGTTCTCGCATGTGCATTATCATCATGGGTTGGAATCACGCTCAGTTGGGTTCTGAGATGGAACGGAACCGAGGCAAGTCTCGTTGCGCAACACGACACGTTTGGCCATGGACTTGTCACGGTGACACCCGAGGAGAGATATGGCGTGTCTACAAAACATTTCGAGGTCTAGTTTCTACCCCCATCCATGCCCTCCCGTCTAGGATAGCTCCGAATCTAATCAATTATGAGAGAGTATGTCCCTCGACCTCATTCCGCGTAATCATGATTACGGCAAAGTCGGGCATATGACACGACGCATCCCAAGGTCTCTATCGCGTTTCTGCAGTTCCTCGGTCCTCCTACAGTGCCAGTATGGGCGAAATTCGAGGGGTTTTAGATCGAGCAAGGCCTCGCAGATCGGCTCGCGCTTATTTTCTGAGGCTCGCGCCGTGGTGTTCTTGAGCTGCCTCGCTATGCTGCCGACAAGCACGATTCCACTGTCATTCTGACGGGCGAAGAATCGCGACAGGGCTCGTGATGGTCCATCGGGGACCGATGAGTTCCACGCTCGGAAGCCGCGCGAGGCCTTGGCTCTTTGGGCGCTGGGATTGCAGCGACACCCCAGCGGCGGAGGTGCCGTGCTTGCAGCAAAAGACGGCGAGTGCAAAGCAACCAGCTGCTCTCGCTCTGATCCGCGGCGGCGGCGGCGGTCCTGTTCGATCGTCGTCCTTTTCCCACGGGCAACGAATCAGTCGACGGGGAGTTTGATCGCCGCCGCTTCTTGCAGCACGGCATCGTTCTGCTCGCGATGCTTCTGCCGCCACGCCTTTCTCCGCTGACGATATCGGAGATGCCGTCTGCTGGGCTTCGCGCGGGCCTGGAGCGGCTCGGCGGCGGCGGCGGCGGGCGAGGCGGATTCGTCTTGGCTGGAAGGCTGTTGGGATGCGCGCTCCATGTCGGCGCGGATCTGCATCTCGGCGGCGGTGTTGAGTTCGTTGAGGGTCTTGGGTGTGGGCGGGGCCGCGGTCAGGACGGCCATCTTGTTCTCGGAGGAGGACTCGTCGGGGTTCTGCTGCGAGGCTTGCTTGCGGACGAGTCGTTGCTTCAGCCTGCGGTCGCGTTTGATGGTTTTTCGGTGCTCCCGCGCTAACGTGGACGCCGGATCTTGACCGCTACTGTTGGGATTTGACTGGTGGTCAGCGGTCGGACAGGTATTGAAAATTTTCACACGGGCCACGGTGCATCGCAAGCGTGTGTGGAGAATTTCTACCTGATGTGATGGACTGACCTTGTCGTCGCCATTGTGTAACTTGGATCTTCAATTGTATGGTGTCTGCGTGTATATTCGCTTGAATTGGATGTAGTCGGCCCTGCGCTGTACGTGCAGCAGTCCGCGGTAAGGGTGCTTTACAGTGCCCAGGTGTATAGTGAAGTGGTGTCCTGTGCTGCAGGTGGTGCACCACCGCCCTGGATCTGGACGGGCTCGTTATTACTGTATTAATGACGACGACAGGAGTGGATATGGGCACGTGACCTGCCGTGAATGATAACCCTTGGATCGCGTGCCTCCACTCCAGGGCTGGCTGGGGCTAAGAATGGATGTTCCCTCGGCTGTCTCAGGTTTCCTCAGGTTCCAGGTTTCCTCAGGTACCCGTGCCCGTGCCCGCCGTGGAATGAAATCGTGCAAATCTGCACCACAGTTGATGCTCCACTCCAGTACTATCTATGTATGCCTAGCCAGACAGACACAGGACAGCAGAACGGTACACCCATTGACTCCTGGGTTGGAGTGATTGGACACACATCGCTCTGGCGGGTTACTGAATGATGATCTTCGACGGGCTGCACCGATCATCACAGCGTGACGGCGTTATTAGTTCCTGGTTCTCATCATTGCCCACGGACGTCCAATCGCTGGCCTCCCAACGACTACAGCATCGATCCCTCGACCGTGTGCAGTAGGACATAGGACATACGAGGGTGTGCCTATCTGCTGTCACGTGATCGCAGTCCAGCATGGCGCCCATCGCCATATCCATCGCTGCCCCAATGCCGGAGCGCAGTACTGTACTGTACTCTGTAGTCTGTCCCGTACAGCACGGGACCGCAGAACGAACAGCACGTCTCCCGAAGACGCGTGAGGTTCGCGTGCCCATCGAAAGCGCCCCGCATGAGTACAGGTGGTGGTGGTGGGTGGTGGTGGATGGCTGGATCGTGTCGAGTCCGTTTCTATCCACGGCGTGGTCACGTGACGGCCCATCGTGGAATTTCGAGGCAATCGGAAAACGGCTCCCACACCAGCATTCCTCCGAGAGGACAACGCGCCCGCATCGTCACCAATCCCGTCGCCCACGGACCTCTTTCTGCCAACGCATACATCGACAGGTACATGCCTATCGGGGCACCACGCCATGTGATAGGTTATACAGCCAGTACGTACGTCCACTCTGCGTTGAGGATACTGTAGGTACGGAGGGATGTGCGACATGTACTACTACTACTGTACAGTACAGTATATCCATCGGCGACACTGGGTGAGAAGCCCGCCCTGCACTGGATGGACGATGCCCGCCCATGATGATCCTGCCGAGAGTTCTGACCGTGCGCGGGAACGATGATCGAGGACGATGACGATGGCGGCCCAATCTCACGCACGACCTTGGAAAGCAGGAATCTGCCGTGTCACGGTCGCGCAGAGATGGACGGTGAATACAATTACATACATACATACCTAGGTACATACATACCTATCACCTAGTACAGACATACTGTAGCGGAAACCGGGCGTTTTCACGTGATGATGGGCGCGCCCACCGGGTTTTCCCACTTTCGTCCGTCCTGCAGCGAAAAAGCCCGAGCTTCTCCGAACGGGCAGAAGAAGAAGAAGAAGAAGAAGAAGCTGGAGGTGAGGTGAGGTGATGACTGTCCAGGTGTGTGCCCTGGTGGTGGTGGTGGTGGAGGACGTTGGATGGTGATGATGATGATGATGAAAAAGCGTGCGTGGGGCGTGACATGGGCGCGTCTCGAACACGACACCATCACGAACGCTCCCGCCCGCTACTGGATTATTACCGGACGTACCTGTCACCCATCCTAGGTGTGAGCGAATCCACGCTGATTTCCCTCTTCTTTTCCTTATTACGCGCCGGACACGAACGACGACGCGTCGACGGCAGTTTCATCTCGCTCCACGCACCTCACCTTCTCTTCGCCATCATCACCATCCACCTCCTCCTCCTGCTCCTCCACCGACAGTCTCCACTATGACCGTTCATTTCGCGCCAAATTAACTCCCACATCTACCGACACCGCGCATCTCTTTACGATAGTCCTGTTCGCCTCGCATCACATCACATCGCATTACATTACATTACCTTCATCGTCCCGGCCGTTGCGTCCTTGTGCCTGCAGGAGAGAGGACCACAGGCCATCCCATCAGTGGCGGCATCAGCACCAGCGCCGTCGTCTTCCTGGCGAGAGACTACAAGTGCGCGCCGTCGCGCCCTGCACTGCACCGCATGGAGATCTACGAGGATCTCGCCGAGCATGCCCTGCTGCAACCATCCACGTCGACCAACATCGTCGACCCTTCCTCTCCTCTGAAGAAGTCCAGCAGTCCCCTCCGGCCCATGTCGCCGTCGCGTCGTCTGCAAGAGATCAACATCCCTCCTCCTGCTCAGCCCGTCTTCACCACCGACTCTCCCAGCAAGAACCAGGACTTCTACGCGATGTACGACCAGGCCGCGCCGCCGACGCAGCAATATCGACTCCACGCCATTCCCGCCTCTGTCCCCATCCAGGACAAGGAGAACATCTTCGCGCCCTCTTATGCCGCGATTCCTCCGACGCAGTTTGCCGACGCGTCTCACGCGCCACCGCTCGACTATGGCTACAAGGCGCCCATGAAGCGCGTCTTCGACGAGCAGCAACAGCTCAAGCCGGTCGTCAAGAAGCAGAAGGCTAACCCACCCATGGCTCTCGAGGAGCCTCTAAATCTGCCCAGTCCCGACGACATGCCTGCCGTTGTCGACGACGAGCAGAAACCACCTCACAGCTATGCCGAGTTGATCGGCATGGCGATCCTCCGGGCGCCCAACCGCCGTCTGACCCTCGCTCAGATCTATAAGTGGATCTCTGATAACTTCAAGTTCTACAAGAGCTCGGAGGGCGGCTGGCAGAACAGCATTCGCCACAACCTCAGCTTGAACAAGAACTTCATCAAGCAGGAGCGTCCCAAGGACGATCCCGGCAAGGGCAACTACTGGGCCATCAAGCCTGGTGAAGAGCGCCCGTACCTCATCGGCCGCAACAAGCCTGTCATGCGCCGGATCACCACCAATCCGGACGGCTCACAGTACATGCAAGGCCTGCCGATGCCCGGGAGTTTTGCAGATGTCCGGCCTGGCAGTGCCCCGGCGATCGGTAACTTCACTCTCATTCCCAGCTCGTCGAAGAAGGCCGAACCCACCACGGTCATCATCGACGCGGTCCGGACGCTCGACGACACAGACGTCCTATCAGATGGCACGATCCCCGCTTCGGACCCTGCCCTGCAGGAGGACTCGAAGGACGACTCGGCTGCCATGCCTCCTCCTACCTTCTTCCGCTCGTCGCCTCCTCCACAAGACATTGGCTCGTCGCCTCCGATGATTCACGCTCGACGGAACACTCCTCCACCAGAGCTGCGTCTTCCATCGAGTCGATCCGGTGGCCGCAAGCGGAAATTCGTAGGTATGGCAGACAGTGGCTACTATTCCTCCATCGAGTCCTCTGCAGCGCGAGGCGCGTCCCGCATCCTCGCTTCCGAGACGGACGTCCGCGGCCATCGCATCAAGAAAGGCCGCGCCGAGGCGGAGATTGCTCGTATGCGAAGCTCGTCCTTTGACAGCCCGAGCAAGGAGCGGCGCCCGTTGTCGAACTTCGGCTCCTCGCCGACCCGGAGGGACGACAACCCGCTCACTCCCGCTGTCATATTCAAGCGACCACAGAAGCCTCCGCCGTCTCTCTCGCCCAACACGAATCTGCGAAACCACCGCGACCTGATGAGGAACCTCCTATCTCCCGTGAAGGCCTTCAGTCCCATGCCTGATATCAGCAACTGGAGCCCCGCCTTCCATCTCGACGGCCATCTGAACTTCACGCCGGCCATCTCGCCCAGCAAGACGAGCAAGTCCCTATGGCGGGGCCTCGCCGATTCACCCGGCATCTTCAAGCCATCATCTTCGGCATTCGACGTCTTCATCGACATGCCCGAGGAGGACCTCACCACGAGAGGATCACCTGAGCGACGACACGCTCGCCGACCGTCGCTCGCTCGTGCTGCCACCAGCGCTGGCATCCTCGCTGACATCACCGGCACATCGAAGGGTAACAACCTGAAGTTGCCCGCGAGCGACAGCCCCTTTTCTCTCTCGCCTTTCCTCAACAACATGTCCGCATTCCGATCCCCATCCAAGCTCGGCTCTCCTCTGAAGCAAGTCCAAAAGGCGTCGCCGGTCGAGGTCCCCAAATTGAACTGGTCAAGCGGGGAGAACCTCCACCCCGTCCTAGCCCTGGACTCCACCGGTGTATCAGACGTCGCCGATCTCTTCGGCATCGAGCTCCCCAGCGACGGCTCGGAGGAGGGCATCGACATTTTCCAGGACTTTGGCAAGATCGGTCAAACCGCCGCGCTGGTGCCTGACCGCGCCAACGGGAGCCCCGTGAAGCGGACCATGGGACCGCCGCCGCCCCGCCCGAACCTCGCTCGAAGCAACACGAGTCGCTGGTGATCCTCGCGTCCCCTTTCGATCCTCCCCTGGGACACCCCGTTTCATCATCATGACATCATCCTTCCACTTCACCATCTGATACCCGTGCCGTCCTCGTCTGGCTTCAGCAGAACAGACGGCACCCCCCTTACCAGCTTAATTCTGCGGTCTTCGCCCCTCGAAGACCCGCGCCCAGCGACTCTCCATATGCTTCTCCTTCCGCTACTTCACGAACTCTTACGTCCTTATGAAACCACCGCGCTGTATGGCGTTCCCGCAGGTCTTCCCGACGCTGCTCTCGTATTGTTTTTTGTTCCGCTCTCGACGATGGCTTTCTGCTCTCTTCCGAATGATGCCCCTGCTATTGCTTCTGCCGTTATTGTTTGTTCTCATCATCGCTGCGGCAAGCGAGGGCGGTTTAACGAATATCCGGATGGAAATGGGGGAGGGGAAGGGCCGCTTCTAGACGACGCCGCGGGAAATGTTTGCATGTCTCGATTTCTGTTATACAATTTTATCTTTCCATGAAGAAACGAGATTCCGTCCGCTTAATTGATCTCCATCAATCGTGCCGCCCACAGATCTTCTGTCCCATGTGACCTTTTCCCATCTCGCCCTCTTTTCCTTTCGCCTCGCCTTTCCTGCTCTGCTGTTCCCACCTCCGTTCGGATTGAAGGTCACATTGTACATCAACGGGGGGGCTGTCGATGCCCCGGGCGGAGGAGGATGCTAAGCAGGTCTCGATGTGAAAGTGATTTACAGAACCCCGTCGCTCGCTCCCTTCCAAATGCAAGCACGATCGCCTCCCGGCCAGCAACGATGGGATTTTCCCCTCACGCCCACAGCCCAACCTCCGTCCTCCCGTGTGGTGGCGGCGGGACCGCGCCTGCGCATCCGTTGCCGGTCAAATGCAGAACAGGGGAAAGAGACGGAGCCTGGGGATCCCCCGGCGAAACCTCGCGCCGACACGCGCACGCCGCCGGTTGACGCTTTGCCCCGTCCCGGCGCAATGTGCAATTCCGGCGCGATGGGGGGTTGGGGGGGTTCTTCTTTTTCCTTTCGTCTCGAAGTGGCAGGGTTCGTTCCGCGCGTCCTGTCCGGATTCGGGCCGAGCTGCGCGTTAAATCCATCCATCGGCGGGGCGTCAACGGCGTCTGGGATACACCACCCAACGGCCGCTTGAAACTGGGTGCCGGGGCGGTATTGACCCGTGGCAGAGGACGCTGGGCGCTTCTCCCGGAGGGAGAGAGGAAAAGAGAGAGACAGAGACATGCTGAGAAATCACCTTGGGCCCGGTGGTGAGTCTGATCCTGAGTGCTGCGAAATCTCCGCTCGGGAAATCGCGTTCGCACGTAGTAGAGCGGGACCCCGGTGTCAAAAGAACAGCCATTTCATACTCGATGCGTGTAGGTTGACTTCGCGGACCAGCTGGGTGATCTCGCCGCCCGTCATGAAAGGCACCGTCTTCTCTTGCAGGAGGGCGTGGAGATGGTTGGAGATGGCGGTCGAGAGACGGTCGCAGAAGGCGGGCGTGTCCATCGCGCGCCAGAGGTCCTGTTGGCTGGCATCGTTCATCCCTTGGACCGTCACGTTGTGCCCGTGGCCCACGCGGACGCTCCTGGGCGGCTCGAAGAGCTTCTGGATTGAGGGCAGAAGGGCCACGGCATGGGTACCTGGAGACACGGCTCCGGTCGGGGGAGAGGTGATGGGCTCCGGGCACGATTCGTGTTCCACGTATTGAAGCACGGTCGGCGACGCCTCGCCGTGCGTGGTGGTCTCCACTCTGTCGAGGATTGCGCATGTAACACTGGACAAGGTCGACTCCGGAGATGCTGCTCTGAGCTGGCAATCATCCTCTGGTGGGTGTGAGATGGCAACGAGCGGAGGTTGGTCTAGTATACTGTTAAGACCGACCTTGGCGAAAACAGCTGAAGAATCGTTGCACATCTTACATGCTTCGCAAGGCGTCTTGGTGGACGTCGGGTCACATTCTGCATAACCCATCGCCGGCATGACACATTTGGAAGGGCAGAGACTCGTCGCAGCCGCAGATTGCTCACGTTTGTGAGACGCGAGCAAGGTCAGGTCGATGGCGATGTCGACATAGTTATCCCAGCGGAACTCGAAATGGCGTAGCAGCTTGCTGGACTCGTCCCCGATGTTTATGAGCCATCTGGAGAGTTGTGGCGATTCGGACCTCCCCTCTAGACCGCATTGTAACGTGACGTTGGAGAAGTAGACGGATCGAGCTTCCGAGGCGATATGTCGCGACACGAGGAACAGTGCGGGCGTGTCGTCGAATGCCAATCTCGAGGGCGTCTCATCGGACGCCTTGACTTTGCGTAGTCGACCATGATGTCCGAAGCAGGCTCTCTCGCCAGTGTAAAGATAGGTGTAAATCTGGAAGCGAAGCTCGGTCGGAAGGCCAAGGAAATGAGAAGCCATGAATGCCTATACTGATTCGTGCAAGCGCCAACGCGGTACGGCAGGCTTTGAGCTCAAATATCGAACATGCAATACAGCCTGCTCTTGGTCACACGATTGATCGCGCGGTGGCGATATTCAGTGGTCGGCTGAAGGCCATCGGGCAATGTTGACGAGGTACTCAATCTGGGTCTCGAGGGCGATGGAAGAGAAAGACAGGCGAGGAACAGTGATCGCCTGCAACATTGACGTTTGCAAGCTCTACGTGGCAGACCTCTCTCTTGCTGCTCACGTACGACTCGAGCGATCCGGTTTCCAAAGGTCCGGGACAAAGGAAAGGAATGGCTCTCACCAGTCTGGGCGGTCCCAGTCGCCGCGAGATGCCTGGTCACACAGGACTCCACAAGTGCATCATGCATGGTCGTGCTCAGCAGACCGGGACAGGTATTCATGTTGGAGACCTGCAGGAGCGCAGCACCCTAAAAGTAAATGATTTGCGCGAACCTCCCTCGCATCGCCGGAAAGGCGTCGTGCTCGCGCGCCTCTCACCAACAAGTCCACGGGACATGCCGCACTAGACCCTCTTGATACGGTAGATATGATAGTCCCTCTGTCCGGACCGATCTCCGGTCTTGGACTGATGATCTGAGCACCCATCGGCGGAAGCGAATCCTGCAAGTTCCGGACTGCGCAGATATGCCATTTCGGGAAGAATGTGTTGGTCCACTTCCCAGGAGGGCGTCGATCGCTGCTGCATTGGCATTAAAGATGCAGGCGCTGGAATCAGGCCGCCCTCCCCATTGTCTGGATGCTCTTGGAAGGCGACAGACAGACGTCGTGAGTCGGCAAGCAAGCCTACCGGGCATGTGGAAGTTCTTTGTCTGTCCGACTCAAGATGGATCGTTGAGGACTACAACCCACTCCGCCTCGAGACCTGACCGGACCATCACGTTTTCGGGGCAGCACAAATTCCCTTGCGGCTTTCCGCGCTGGAACAGTGAACAAGGGACCCATTGCTAAAAGGCATTGGACATAAATGCGATGTGATAGGTACTTAGATAGGTTTCTACAAAACACAAGCTGGTTCCGCGACGGCGAATTAGGGTTATGTAACCCCAGGGTTGAGCCGGCCGCAAATCGATGCAGCTGGAGCACCGGGTTTCCATTTCAAACACATACCCGTGCAAGTCTAGCGGCCAGGGACACCCTGCACATGGATCTCGACTGGATTTTTAGGTTGGTATGGGCATTGAATGGATTATCAGTGCTGTCGGCTTTCCCGCTCGCACGTAGAGCTCACGAGGCGCCCGCATAGCGACCTTGACTCTCACGAGGACGAATCGAGGGGGGGGCAGGTTTTAGTTTATCGTGGTCGCGGTCATGTCCGTCCGATCGCACCTCTTAATCTAGCTGCTGCCGTCTCCGGGCGATCTTCAGGCCAGGCCTCGACGTTCTCCTCCACCTCGGTCAAGAACGTATCGCTATTCAATACACCGGTTCCAGCCAGCACGACTCGGACTCCTGGGCTGCTGGCATTGACCTGCGCCACCATACGAGCTTCCTCATACGTCGCACCGCCCACCATGAACACAATAACGTCCTGCGGCTTGTCGCGCGTTTGACCGCCGCCATCAACGAAGGGGTATGCGCTGGTGGAGAGCCGACCTTTGATGAGGTCTTGCAGCGTCGTCTCCAGCCGGGGGGAATGCTGAGTGTAGACGTTCTCGACACCGCGGAGGCCACGGCTGAGACGTGAGCGTGCTTCTGAGAAAATTGAGCCATGTTGGAAGAGCTCTGGCAGACCTCCGTTGGTTGGTGTGGACTGCAGGGAGTAGGCATAGCTGAGGAGTCTAGGGATGAGAGAGATTCGATGCCGACTTAGGCCCCCAGACACAGCCAACAGCTCGAGAAGCGCAGGCGTGTTGTTGTTGGAGTGTGCAGAATACCGAAGAGCATAAATAGCGACCAGGCGCAATTTGTTGGCCGGTGGCACCGACGGATTCTGGATGAGCCTCTGAAGATTCTTCACGTCTTGAGAGTGGTTATCGGTGCAGGCCAGGCTCTGCTCGAGCTCACTGACGTCCAGGAGGCAATCCGTGCCAACTCGCCGACTCAACTCCGTGACGAGTGTGACGTGCTTGGTGACGTTTCCCGACAGTCTTCGAAACTCGGGATATTCCTCAACGAAGCGCTTCATGTCTTCGATACTGTCCAGCTTTTGGCCGCTGGCTTGCTTCGACGCGAACTGCTCGACATAATCCTTGGCGTTTTGTCCAAGATCGCCAAAGTTGAGATACATGTTTTTGGCAAAGAAGGGGTCTTGGTCTTGTGTGAGGACGATGTCCTAGATGTTGTTAGATTCGTTCGATCGGCCCCGCCCCGGTCGTTCCGACTCACCTTGAATTCCGGTCGCACATCTGGCACATCGCTCAGGTCAACCCTGCCGTTCTCAATGCCCAACAGCTCATGCACCATGGCTTGGTACGTCCATTGCGTCAGCAACGGGGTGACCGGGTCATCCCGACGATCTACGAGGAGCAGGATCGGAGGTGTATCGGGTTTCCTGAAGTCGAACAGCTGCTCCTCTTGCGTCATGTGATAGCGCACCTCTCTGGCGAGTTTCGTGCACAACAGGCTGTTCTTCGCATGTCTGATCAGTGGCTTCTTTTTCAGCGCCAGGAGCAGAGCCAACACGCCCTCTCTTGTCCGATCCAGACTGTCGGCGTTCCACGTGTCGGGCGATGAGGCGAACAGGCGCGTCGAAAGCGGGATCGAGCACAGATCGGGGTTGATGACCAGGAAATCGGCGAAGTATTCGACAATCGATTTCACGATCTCGTGATCGTCAGCTTCGGCTAGACGCTCGAGCGACGACTTTTTGATTATGTTGCTGAAGTCTGTGTCAGTCAGAAGTCGTCCCGTTGACCGCCTCTACCGCTCGCATGGTACGTACGGATATAGTATTCGCCATACTTTGGCTCCCGGAACTCGTCGACGAGTAACTGTATGCTTTCGGGAGAGGGTCGCAGGAAACACAGGCAGCGGAGATGTCGCATCTTCTCGCGGTTCGGATCATCGATGCGATTGGTGAGATAGACGGAGTGGTTGAGAAGCGTGGACTGAGTCGTTGCCGACGAAACAATGGGGACCTGCGAACAGTGAGCTACAGCCACCGACGGAGGCGGCTCGTTGGATAGCGTACAGTGTCCTGATCGAGCAGCAAGATCTTCATTTTCGCGGCACCAGCGCCAGCGCTGCCGCTGGTGGCATTTTCGCCCTGCGAGACTATCTTGGTGATGTAGCCTTGAACGCTTTGGACAATGTCCATCTTGGGCGACCTTCCAATGCTTTTGCGATGCGAGGCGGTGGGTGCGCGAGTTCCAAGGTCCTTCTCTTGGACGTCAAAGATGCGTTAAATCATAGAGCGCGTGTCTTCGTTTCATGCCTCAGTACGGTCGTATGGGACGGTTGACGCGCTGCGCTGTGATGATGTGAATACGGTGACATGGGATCGTATGCTGAACCCTGTTGCGACAGGCGTGCAGTTGTGCTGGGGTGCGCTTGCCGCTGTCGGGACTGCCCGCCTCGCCTGCTGCTGAAGACACTGCAGTCCAGCTCGGCCCAGGTGGATTCCAAGGTTACCCAGGTATTCCAAGGTTAGTGTTATTATCTTCACTGTAGATCGGAGAGGGGCTCTTCAACCACCTGCAACTTTCTGGCAATGGTGATAATGAACCTCTATCATGGCCGCTGTCGAGGTGGCTTCTTCTGTCCGTCGTGTCATGTACCGGACGGAGTGCCCGCGATGATGATCGTGATAGACATGGTCGTCTCCCGCGCGACTATGAGACAAGCCGCCGCCTTGCTGTCCGTACCGAAGCACGATATATGTATGGCACAGCAGGAACGACATATGGGAGAGGACACGGTCTGGAACGATGGGAAAGGCCGGCACCCAATAGTCGCCCCATGCTATAAGTGATACTGTGTCATGTCACTTGTTATCATGTGGATGTCTAGACAGATGCATAGTAATAATAACCGTTTGATGACCGCGGTGGAGCATCGTGAGCAGGTATGGACATACATATAGACATACACACTTAGGTACAGTACAGCATGCGTGCGTGGGCGCGGAACCCTTGATGCGTTCAATTCCTTCGTGGTCTCATACCGGGTGCACATCCAGCTGTAAATATACATCCGGTAAAGTAGATCGTCAGTCGCCTGCGGGTTTGGCATTCTCGTCCGTGATGAGACCGTCCCTCTAGTGTGTTGGGGTGGTGGGCGATACATACCGCCACAGCACCTGTTGGGATAGAATAAACCTCCTCCTCTGTCTCGTCACGGGCCTCATATTGTTAAGCACATGCACCAGACCGACACACCCTTGGTACCTTCCAGGCAGGTACGCAGTCTCGTCACTGATCATTTAACACCGACCTACCTACCCACCGACCTACCTACCGACCTAGGCAGTAGTCACACATATATCGTCCCCGACACCTTGCTGTCCGCTTAAACCACCTTCACCACCTTCACCAACTTCACCACGCGGTTGCGACTCGCTCGAAACCCCCTCATGCGCGTCGACTCGCTCCCGTGAACAATACACAGTCAAGATCTGACCGTGACACGACCATCGCGTGAGATCTTCCCAGAACCTACCATCGCATGAGATCTTGTCAGAGCCCACTGCCGCCGCGATAACATGGCACAAAAGATCCTCACCAACGAGTACAAGGCCTTGTCCAACGAGACCTGGACCAACATCTCCCTGGTCAACGACAACATCTTCCACTGGAGCGTCGCGCTGATAGTGCTCAACCCGGACTCACTTTACTACGGAGGCTACTTCAAAGCTCGCATGACATTCCCTGCAAACTACCCTTACTCTCCGCCCAAGTTCCAGTTCGATCATCCCCTATGGCATCCGAACATCTACGACGACGGCCGGCTGTGTATATCGATCTTGCATCCTCCCGGCGAGGATGCGATGAGCGGAGAGATGGCTGGAGAGCGCTGGAGCCCGGTCCAGCGAGTGGAAACCGTGCTTATCTCCGTGCTATCATTGCTCGACGACGCCGAGTGTAGCTCACCTGCGAACGTCGATGCGGGCGTTATGCTGCGCAACGATCCCGTAGCCTACAAGGCCCGGGTGGCGCAGGATCGCGAGAAGAGCAAACAGGACATTCCGGCCGGCTTTGAAATGCCGACACATGAGAGCGCTTTCCAAGTGCCGGCCAAGCATGACGATTTCAGCTGGAGCGACAGCGAGGAGGAAGCCGACTTCGACGAAGGCAGCAGCGACGAAGAAATGTTCGATGCCGGCGAAGCCACTGACAACGACGAAGACGAAGATTGAGGCCGGGTATTTTCGAACGTTTGATCTCTCCCTATAGCATGGAGTTCTGGTGTTTTACGGTTCTACGGACATTGTAATGAAAGAAACTGTCTTTTCACATTTGAGAGAATGGATGCCGCGGCCGAGACATTTCGCCTAGGACAGTGCGGATGGGCGCAATCAAACGCCCGCCCGCCAGTGTTGCTCCTCGCTGGCGGAGACTCATGATAGTATCCACACTTCACGGCTGTCCCTGTGCAAGAACCCTGCAATTTCTGCGTCTTGCAAGACACTGCCGAGTGAGAGGTAAGCAATGAGTCACAAAGGCGAGCCGTCTGGAATCCTGATCGGAGAAGTCTAGTCGCATGTCTGAGTAGCATTAGGGTTATCTCTGTTCGTTGGTATGATTATGTACTGTACCTCGTCATTTACACTCATGGTGATAGCAGGCGCGTTGGACGACCTCGCTCCTCCTGGGATTGGTACGTCACCCGAGCTTCCATTTCGTTGAACCGGGAGCACATGGAAAATTCGACATTTCGTTCGCCGTGAACCGCATCCTGCCGCCCTTGATCGGTTTATTCCAAACCTCGAGATGGTCTTCACTGTCACCGACGCGCGCACTCTGACGTAACCACGAGGCCGGCGCACTGGGCAAGACCAGAAGTGGGGGCGAGCCCGCGGCCCTATATTCGGCCAGCTTCGACGGTTAGACATGCTGCCTCAGAAGAGGAGGAAAGAAGGCAAACAATTAATGAATAACAAACGACCGATCACGTACGGGCAACGTCGCCAGCAGGACTTCGAGGTCGATTCCGAAGGAGATGCCGATCGCGTAGCCGTGCGACAGCCATCGGGCGTGGATGTCGACGACACCAAGGGTAACCATCGCCATTCGGGGAGCAAATTATTCGCGCCGATCAAGGGCATCCGGTCTCTGGTGGGCAAAAAGCGACCGTCCCCAACACCCTCTCGCAAGTCTCCTTTGCAGCAAAGCGAAGACATGAAGAAGGAACCATCTGCAGATGACATCGCCACCGTTTGCGCATTCTCGGGCACAAATGCTGGCTTGGCCGCCAGGTACCTCAAGGTGAGTCCACCAGGTGGAGGCGGAGATTGCAGCGGTGTGAGGTTCGATTCGCCGCTGACCGATGATACACGCATAGGCGAAAGACAACAATGTCGAAGCCGCCGTGAACGCCATCCTCGAGAACGAAGACATTGACAAATTGGAGCAAAGCTCGTCGCAATATGATCACTCATGGGACGAGGGGCACTTTACAGGCGACCGCGATGGCACCGGCATGAACTTGCAACCTCTGGGTTCAAGCCATGCACCGACCAGAGGACCATCCCCGGCGCCATCTCTGAATCATCAGCCGCCGAAGAGCAGGAACGAAGAAGACACAGATCTTGAGCGAGCGCTGCAAGCATCACGAGCGGAATTGGGGGGCGCGCCACAGCAAGAGACGGGAATTCTGGTGCATGACGGCACTGAAGTGAAGCAATTCGGACCTGCGACGAAAGAACATTACGACGACAATCGCTGGGCGATGGTGCCATCGGTGCGAACATCGAGTGCCCAGAATGAAGATGTGCCGGACCCTGACGCCGCGCAACGAATCCATTCGGCTGGAGAACCACGGTTCATCAAACACACACCCAGTGGCGACTATACTCCAAATTTCATCACGATTTGCCATGCAGTCCCAGCTGCGCGGGAGGCGTTATTGAACAGGCATCTCGTTCGACCAGACTACGGAAAAGATGGGGATTGGTGGCGTGGACGCGCGATTGGTCTGCCGAGGATCGTTCACATCACCGATGGTTCGCTCGCCGAACCGAGTCTGGACGATCACGACGAATTGATCGCTGAAACGCAGCGCCTCATGGCGTTCCTGGACGAGAGCGCACGCAGCTATGGAAACATTGGTGGTCTCAAGCAGGCGGAAGCCTTCAGTATCACAGGGTTCCGTGGCTCAGACGAGTTGCGATCTGGCACCTTGCTTGAACTTTTTCTCAACCAGTGGACGAAGGCCGCTGTAGCGAAGGCGGACGACGCCACAATCGCCGCGTCGGCATCGAAGTTGTTCACTACCACCGTGGGGACCAGTTCACCCGAGGGGATGGACACCCCGCATCTGGCACTGATAGACATGGCGGTGACTTCGGCCGAGGGGCAGAAGACCGATCTTTTTGAGCTCTTGGACGGTCTCATCTGGGAGACCGAACCTGGCGAAGTCGAGATGACTGATAATTACCTCGAAAGTCCCGCGGAAATCCTGGTCATGCGACTGCGCGCAATCCCCGAGACCAAAAGCCAACTCGGCGTGGAAGTACCAGCCTCGTTCCACATCGACAAATACCTCAAGGGCAATGTTGCAGCAACCCGCGGGATCCGACAGGAGATGGTGTTGGCGAAGCGTCGAATGATTAGAATCGGCAAGCTAGAGTCGGAACTGAATTATTGGTCGAGTCCCAACAACAATGTAAAATTGGAGGCCAAGTCCTTGCTCAAACACTCACTTGGTCATTTCTCCGGACAAAACCGCCGTGACGCAGATAAGAACGACACCACCAACACGCGCTCTGGCGAGGGTGATGCTCCCCAGGAATACGCAGACGTGGCCGCCAAGCTGGAAAGCGTCATGGCTAGCATCGAACAGAAATTGGAGTTGCTCGCGCGGGAGAAGGAGAAGACTCGGCAGATGCTCGCCGATCTCTCAAAGTCTTCCGCGGTGTTCGGAGACGCCGGTGGCAAGCATCGATATACCCTGCGAGGAGTCGCCACGAAGCCGAACATCACCTATGTCCTGCGCCGAAAGGATGACGAGCCACCGACGCCGACAGCCGCCAGGTTGGGAGCGTCGTCCGACTCGCAGCCGGTCATCCGTGTGGAGGAAAAGCCGGTGGAGGATTTTGATGAAGAAGATACTACGCCTCGGGACCACCAGTGGTGGCGCATCGACTACGAAGTAAGCACGGCCGTGGCATTGCAGCCCCCACCAAGAATCACCATCAGTAAAGCCCCGGATTATGATGTCCTCCGTGCTGTCGAGCTCGAACACAACTCGGCTCTCCTGGTATACGCCAGCGAAGCAGCGTCGTCGCCGTCCGCGACAAGCAGCGCGCCACTGCCAGAGCCGCTTCTCGAGTTCGTCAGCCGCGACAATGACCTGTTCAAAGCAGAATTAGACGCAGGAGGCGACTCCAGCACCGACAAGCAGCCACGCCGGCCGGCGGCATCGCACGACGAGCATGGGCAATTTTACAAATTCCCACTGCCGCCGTACGAAGACGACGCCCCACAACAGAGCATCGAGTCGCATGATCGCATCGGCTGGTCGTCCGCGACCCACCGGCGCCGCGACAGCATGGACTCCATGACGATGCACATGGAAGCGCCCGAACTGGACGACAGGTCCGATCACATGGACGACTTCATCGATTCGCAGCCCATGTATCACGACACCGACCGAAGCAGCGCGGCCGGCGGGCTCGCTCAATCCCCGGAACAGCACCATGGGTTCGGCCTGGGCTACGAGATCGGAAGCAGCGGCATCGTCACGCAGGGGTCGAGGATGGACGGGATGGGTCGTGACCGCCGAGAGATCGAGACTGAAGTCGCGGAGATCAAGTTGAGCCCGCCGGCAAAGGCGACGGGAGGCGATGGGGCGGTCGGAGGCGATGTCGACATGCTGGAGGATAAGTGAAGCCCCGGGTGGTGGTTGTTGTTGTTGCTGCTGTTGCTGTTGTTCTTGCATAGCGCCATCGTCGACCCCCTCGGGACGACGGCTCCCACAATTCTATTGATTGTTCGGCCGTGCCGACTGCGTGAACGAGACTCCACATGCGAGCGACCGTGACGTGCCGCTCCTCCGATGCTGGTGCCTACTGGGAGAAGCCTCACACGTCGTATTGTCTCATCGAGCATGCATGTCATTCGGCGGACAAATCCCCACTGTACTGTAGTGCTGAAATCGACAACGGGCCGATGACATATGGACATGCGTCACGATCGCACCCGTGGCCGATGTAGACGAGCGTGCAGCTGTGGTTCAGAGATGCAAAGCCGCTCGGTGCGGACGAGTAGGGCGGCGCGCGGTTTGGCTTCTGCATGGGACTCGAGGAAGATACACACACACACACACACACACACACATCTTGAACTTCACGTTGGCAAGATGACGGAAAGGGAATTGGCTTGGGAGTGTGCCATGGTCGGCAGGGTCTGTCTTCCCAGGCTGATCGTCGTTCCCATGAGCACTGGTGATGACAAGGGATGCGGATTCGATCCAGAGGCGGGTACCGTCGATGGGGCGTTTCTATTTCCGAATCGATTGTCATGGACGAATGGGGCCAAGATGGAGCGAGTTGGGCAACGGTTGCGGAGGACGGGTGCCCGCGATCGAGCGGGACGACTGCGGCAAGGGGAACCGCGATGGTCCTCGGCCGCGACGGAGCTGGACCGGTGGGTTCGAAGGGAGCATTTCTGATGCCATCACGACCAGGTACTTTTACTACAGCGTACACGCGCGCGAACGAGATCGTCGGCCGTCCTGACATGCTGCTGCATGGGCATGACGAGGCAGGATCCAAGCCGGCGGATCTCCCCTGCGCCCAGGCACGTCCGCGACGGGACGTTCGCAGGGATGCTGTCGAGGGCGCGTCGTCGTCCCCTCGCACATTCGGACATTTCCGTCTGCTTGGGGTTTGGGGTTGGGATCAAGCTTGGGATCCGTGAAGCATGGGCTGACGACCTGGGTATTGATGGACGAGGTTCGCACGGGACCCGGGCGTGGACGAGGCGCATTCCCGATTGGAAATCCTCTGGGGATGCCGCAGCCGGAAGCATTGGCACGGATGACGCAGCTGTCCGAGCTGTCGAACAACAGCCCCTGACGGATAATGATAATACCAATGATCATAATAATACCAATGATACAGTAAGTACCCAGGTAAATCTGTACAGCACTGTCCTCACTACATACTCGGTAGATCAGCGAGGACCGGGTGAGGGTGGCGGGAGGAATGCCTCCGGATGAGAGGCGTCGTGGTCGAAGGAGGCATTGGCGTCTGACGATGACGATGACGGTGGGAAAAGGCATCTTCAATCTCGGTTGTTGTCATGGGTGAAGCGTGGTGGCCCTGACGGTCGGAGCGGCCACTCCAGGATCCACTGGCTGGTCGCATTTTAGCTTTGGGTGGGTGTATGTAGTCCCGCCGTCGTCGTTCCCAAGACTCACACGCAGGGTCCCAATGCCAATGCGAACCACCCTGGCCTGGGAGCTGGGAAACAAATGCCGGGGAGATTCGTCGCGGTTCGGACGCGACAGTCCTACGCGATACAGGTACCCATTACCCAGGCGTGCATGGGAATGGGATTTCGTGCAGCATTGGCGCGGACATGTCCTGCACGCGATGGTGACACATGCAGAACACGCTCGGCTGCCGTGCATAAACCAGCGCCTGCCTGGGTAGTGTATATCCACTACTGGACTGTACGGGCGGTTTCAGATGGGGAGTCGACGCGCGCCTCCTCCGTTCATTCACGAGGCCGGCCTGTTGCGTGTCATGGAGACTGACTGGGACGGGGCAGTTGGATACATCACCCATCCATGTAAAACGTTCATACCTGAGTTATATAGCTGCGAATACGTGCCCAGGTGTGTATAATAATATATAGAAGAAATACATCATACATCATACACAATGCACAGTGCGTAATACACAATCCATCATACATAACATATAATACATAATACATAATACGTTATACATTATACATCATAACATAATACATCAGACAGCATAACATGATCCAAGAGACATGATACATGATAATCAGCATACAGTCCAGTCCACACATCACATCGCAGACACACTGGAGCTGGGGGTTTCCTGGCGTTTCGGAATCTGTTGTGGTTGCGGGCGACTCTATAGCGCGAGGCCCGAGCCCTGCGGCCGGACTGCCGGCGTCGCTGTTGCCATGGAGATCCGCAGACAATCAATCAATTCCCACTTGCTGCACTGTCGCTGACAGCCCAGGCGGCGGAGTGAACGCAGGCTCGGGACCGGTGCACCTCCTCATACGTATCGAGATTAAACCGTCCCTGAACGCTGAACGGGCGTGTTCCAACGACACGATGATACATATCCTCCGACCGCATCACCACCACCTCCGACCGCCTCCTCTGACCTCCATGCATCCTCGCGTCTGCCTTGTACTGCGCGGGGCCCAACTCTCATCTTCACTCCACCACGCGACCACGGCCAAGTGATCGCAGAGCTGGCGCCAACAATGGACTTCGAGATGGCCGACGAATATCACATGCTCGAGGAGCTCGGCAGTAAGTCGGATCGCAGTCGAGGATACTCGTGCGCAAACCAGCCTGGTACTGACCGTGTGCTCACAGGCGGCTCGTTCGGCACCGTCTATCGCGCCTTGCACAAGCCCACGGGCGACTTCGTCGCCATCAAACACATCGACCTCGAGGGGAGCGATGACGACATCCGCGAGGTCCAGCAGGAGATCTCCCTGCTGGCGACGTGCAGCTCCGAATACGTCACCCGCTACCGGACCTCCTTCGTCCGCGGAGTGAAGCTTTGGATCGTCATGGAGTTCCTCGGCGGCGGCTCATGCCTCGACCTGTTGAAGCCGTGTCCGAAGGGCCTGGACGAGCGGTACATCGCCATCATCATGCGGGAGCTCCTCTTCGGACTGGACTATCTGCACACCACGGGCAAGATCCATCGTGACATCAAAGCCGCCAACATCCTCCTGTCGGAGACCGGCCAAGTCAAGATCGCGGACTTCGGCGTGGCGGCCCAATTGACGAACATCAAGTCGCAGCGACTGACCTTCGTCGGCACTCCCTTCTGGATGGCCCCGGAGGTCATACAAGAGGCGGGCTACGACTTCCGCGCGGACATCTGGAGCCTGGGGATCACGGCGATGGAGCTGGCGCTCGGCGAGCCGCCGCGCAGCGACGTCCACCCGATGAAGGTGCTCTTCATCATCCCGAAGGAGAAGCCGCCGAGGTTGGAAGGGGCCCGCTGGACGAAGGAGCTCAAGGACTTCGTCGCCCTGTGCTTGAACAAAGAGGCGGAGAAGAGACCGAGTGCGAAGTCGTTGCTCCGACACCCTTTCATCCGCCGCGCCGGCAAGACGGAGCTGTTGCAGGAGATGGTCATGCGGGCCAAACAATTCGACGAGACCGGAATGGATCGCGAAAGGGACACGAGGTACTACGAGGAGACCATGCGGTCGATGAACCACGCCATGGAAGAGGACGAGTGGGTCTTCGACACCATCCGGCCCTCCGCTCAGATCACCGTCCCGCAGCTGGTCGGGAAGCACACCCTGAAGCGACGCAAGCTCGAGCGCATCCCGTCCGGCGACGCGTCTGAGATGCAGACCACCCTCGCCGCGATGGAGCATCTCAGCATCGAGGCGACGCCGCTCGGTCCGGGATCCGCCCCCGTCACGCCGATGAAGGAAGCGACCACGATCCGGACGCCCAAGGTTCGAAACGTCAGCAGCACCCAGAGGAAGATCTCGGCCAGCACCACCCGCAAGGTCTCCACCAACTCGCCCGCCACCCGACGCGTCAGTCGCCAGGTCTCCGGCAACACCCCGACGGCCCGCAGGGTCAGCTCACAGCACGTCGCACCCAAGCAGCCGCTGGGGCTGGACATGTCGTTCGGGAACGGCAAGTCGACCGTCCGGCAGTTCAAGCGGGTCAGCTCCGGCAACCGACCGTGTTCCCCGTCGGACGACTACGAGCTGTCGTCGCCACAGGACAGCGTCTTCGACAGCGACGTCGAGAACAGGCCCCCCAAGTCGCAGCGGATGCAGGGCCACGTCGTCGTCACCGCCACGAAGGAGTCGATCTTGGGCCGACGCGCCTACGCCAAATGCCTGGACCCCGCGCTGCAGGAGACCTATGCCGCGAGCGGCGACCGCACGAAGCGCGAGGCCATGAGCAGGCTCGCCGAAGCCTGGTCGCGGCTCGACGAGGTCGACCCGGAAGGCGAGCTGATGCTGCTCAAGAGCATCGTCGACCGCATCCAGTCGGACCCCAAGCTCGCCGGCGTCCTGCTCCCGCAGAGGGTGGCCAGCGCCCAGCTCGCGTCCCTCCAGCAGTCCTCGCCGATCAAAGCCAAGCTGCCCGGCATGCCCGCGGCCGGCCTGCCGGCCCGGGACATGACGCCCCAAGCATCGCCCACCAAGTCGAACCCCGAGGGCGTCGCCTTCGGGACCCCGACGCGCTCGCCCAGCAAACACGAGAGCGGCAGCCCGGGCAAGCTGGTCCTCAACCCGCAGAACCCCCACCTCAGGAAGATGCGCTCCAACCAGCAGCAGGCCCAGCCCGACCGCGAGAAGGAGAGGTTCGAGGAGAAGATGCCCGGCGCCCGGGTCGAGCCGGGCATGGAACACACCGGCATGCTGGCCGACGTGCTCTACGGCCGATGGACCGACGGGTTGAAGGTGCGCTGGCCCCTGGCCTGATCGCGCTTGGCATATGCATTCTGGATGCGAGCGGCGGACGCTTTGTACTCATTATTGATTTCCCCTCATGGTTTTCGGCGCAATTCGGGGTTCTTCCAGCGGCGCATCATCGTCATTTCCCCACCTTCCTCTCTTTGTCCTTCTTCTTCTTCTTCTTCTTCTTCTTCTTCATTTCACGCTTCTGCTTGATGGATGTTGCCACGGGCACGATGACTTCACGCATGGAGGGACTTGTGACGGCTCTTACACGATCAATGAAGCAATTCTTTGGGGGGTGGCATCGCTGGCTTTTGTTATCACTGCCTTCGGCGCGCAGATGGGCAAGCAGCTGGCGCGGAGGACGAACAGATGGTTCTGTAGAAAATTCTTAGTTCGATCGACTCCATAATGATATTGCTACTTTCATGGACGAGGATCGAAAGATCTCTCCTCCGCAGATGACCAACGCGCACAGACTCGATGTCGTCACAATCGCTCAAATTCATGTTCTCTCCCTCGCGTGTCTCGTCCCGGTCTTGACAAACGTCACCTTCCCCGTGCGGCACATGGCCACAGACGTGGCTCTTCACTTGCGGAGGGGAATCCTCTGGGTTCGTAGTTCTTCAAAAGTAATCATTGATTTTCTCGTAGTCCCGCACCTGTGGGCCCGATGGGGCGCGTCTGCACTCGTCCAGGCTCGTCTGCCCCTCCACGCGCACGAGCTTGAATTGTTCGTACATGCCGCCGAGGGAGTTGAGCGGCGTCAGAGCGGCCCCCACGCGATACAGACCATCATATCTGTACCCACACGACGGGGCGTAGCGACTGTGCCTGGCGGCGGCTCGCAGGACTCTTACGTCTCTCTGTTGGGAGAGCGACACACTCAACGCTTGCGTTCCTGCTGTCGTGTCCGGTATGTTCCTGGGATCGGTATTCTCGTGGCTACCGGAGCCAGAGTAGTAGATCGTGTCGCCGCGGTCTTGGTCCAAGTCTTCGTACATGCCACTGATCACGATGGAGTAGGCACCGGTCGACTGATCTCCATGGATGCCACCCTGAGAAGATCCATGTGCGCCGTGGAACAGAGCGGAAAGCTGTGAAGGGAACCACTGGCCGACCCGGATGTTGTTGTGACCGTGGACCTTGGCATTGCGCTTTTGAGTTTTGTACTGTGGGTTAAGTATCTTGGATCGGTTACCGTTACCAGACCTTGTGTATGTGATGCCATGCATGATCCCCTGCACTCCCCAGATGGGATGAGATGCAGGAGGACGTCCGATACCATACCCAGGCGCTCGTTGCCCGTGATCAGTCCGTGGCGAGGATGCCCTGCGACGTCTGGAATTGGCTGGTGAAATCGCTCTTGCAGCACTATCGTCACCAGTCGGAATTGGTGTCGCACCCCAGTTCTCGCTGTTGAATCAGTCGAGCAATCCTTGGGCTGTGTCCACATGCGCTCGATCGAAGAAAAACTGCGGCTTGACGATGCTTTCGAGTATGTTCTTCACTTTGACGTTGCCATTGAAAGCGGGTGTCATCGGAATTTGAGATAGTTGCTCAAGGTATGCCTCGAGCCGGGCGATCATTTCTGGATCGCTGCAAGACCGCTTTTGCTTGCTGCCTTGTAATGCAAGTTTCTGGATGACCTCTTTCTTCTCGTGGTAGAACTTGTTGATATCCCAGGAGGTCATCTTGAAGCCTGAGATTTGTGAGTCTGACTACGAGGTCGGTGAGGAGGGTTTACGTATGGGTGGACTGGCCAAGGAAGTCATTGCGCAAACGAGAGCGATATGATGGAAAAGGCAGAAAGAGAGTGAGAAATGTCACATAAGACGACTCTCAACCAAGTGAAGGCCTGAGGTGTGGGCTTGGATTGAGGTTTCGAGGTGTCGCGCGTGAACGTGATTGTTGACGACAATGCACGTGTGAAGTTCGCTCGAGGATGCCTAACGATTGTGCTTGTGAAGGCGCACAAGCATGTGACAGAGTGAAAGTCTGCTGCTAAGCTTCGAGCCCCGCAGGTGAAAAGGTATATATGTTATTGTTATAGCAGGATGGCAATATGCATTTATTGTTCGATTTATTATAACAAGAGGCTTAAGACGTGAAGAGTAAGTGAGAGCAGAGGCAACTGTTGCGCAGTCCGACGTCCTCGCTCAAGGTCACCGCTGTGTCGGGCAACTTCGAGTGTTATCTTGAAAACATTCACTTATGCTTCGGGTTCTCCTGAAGCTCTCGTAATAAAGTAGTAAAGTGATCAGGTAATGGACTGGAGAAGTGTTGTAACGTCGCTTCGATTGAAAGTTGAGGTGAACACTAAGAAGACTTCCTGTAATTAGGGTGCTGAGAGATGAAGGGAAGGAGGACAAGGAAAGGGATTAATAGAGAGTAAAGCTAAATTAGTAATACTTTGCTAGCAGATTTACATGAATTCTACCTAATTCTGTTCTATACTCTAGAGCGAGTCTAATTCAGTAATAGTAATACAAATTCCATCTCTGAGGTTGAAATCTTATACGAGTAATAGATCTTTTGAATACCTAGTACTATAACATTATCCCTGTTTCTGATAATATACAACATTTGATAGATTCAACGGGGATGCTGGTATAGCTTATGAAAAACGATCTCATATCTTAGGGGTAAACATATTGAAATCAAAGAATCTTATTTATGATATTCGCTCTCTGTGTTTCAAGTCATGTACATAAGTTCGTTCTGATCTACGGGACAGTATGCTGCAAAGATGAAGACAACGAGTGATGCAGATCGATTGGCCGCAGGTTTACAAGGTCCTCCTCGCAATCAATCGATTGATCGATCGGCGTCAACCGCCTCATGAGCCACCACCAGAGCATTACACCGCATGGGTCGACGGGCGCCGCATACGGACTTCGTCAAAGGAGTCATCGTTGTCCCGGGGGAATTGGAACATCCTCTTGACGCTGGCCCGGTTGCCGCACGTGGCGATATCACTGAACGATGCGCAAGTGGATCCGTCGCCGCTACAGCAGGTCTGCACGAGACACACCCCACCGGGGCCGCAATCGCTGTTCTTCGAGCACTGGGAACCGCATTGCATCAGGATATCGCAGACGCCAGTGCCGTCGACGGTCAAGTCGCAAAAACAGCTGTCGTTGCATTTTTGGACGTTGCCGCATGTAGTAGGGTTGGAGCAGGATTCTAAGGGGAGAAAGAGATACTTGTGTTAGCAGTTCGATGAAATCTTTTGTTTTCTCTTTGGTAATCGTCAAAGGGTGCTCTGTCGAATACCATCTTGGAAATGGCACGTTACCGTTACGAGGAAGACTTACGAGGTGAGATTACAACGGTCGTAAAGGCGGTGGAAATTGCCGTCGCGGTGGTTGTGCTGGTCGAGAAGTCGGTCGTGAAAGCGGTCGTGGTGGAAGTGACCAAAACGGTGGTCGCTGGAGCCGTGGATGTTGCACTGACGATCGAGGTCGTTGAGACAGGACTCGTCACGAGCGAGCAGGCAGAGGAGAGGACGCTCGAAGGGAACCGGGTCTGTAGCGCATCGAATGGCGCCGCTCGAGGAATGAGCGATATGCTCGTCACGGTGATGGACTCGAGTGCGGTAGTCGTCGTGGCCGTGAAAGTGGTCTCGCTGGTCGTAGTTGTAGTCGTTACTGTTGTGAGCGGAGTGCTGGTGCCAATAACGGTCGTCTGCAGAATGACCGAAGTTTTGTAACCGAGATAGTCAAAGCAGGCCGGTTGGAGGGTGCTTGAAACGATGCTCTTGCTCGCCTGCGCGACGGCGCACTGTTGATTTGGGCTTAGGCCAGGGTTGGGTAGCGTTGCTGGAGGAATAAGAATTCATAATCAAATAGTGATCAGAACCTCGGTATTGTCCCTTGTTTGTCGCATATGAAGCCGGCCACGACTCCGAGTAGATAGCACAGTATTGACCACGAGTATTGCTAGTCTTGTTTACGTATAGTACGTAAGTGTTGAAAAATTGGCAGGTTTGCACCGGGCTACCATCTTTCGGAGGGTTCCCCAGGTTGTATCGACTTTGAGAAGAGCAATATTCCGCACATAAGCTAATGTTAAAGGCGCCTTGGGTGAAGACCTTTGCACCCAAGTAAGTATAACAACCGGCCGAATCGGCGAGTGCGTCGATCGCGGCGTTTCCGAGGTAGGTCGGCTTAGTGTATCCATTCGGCGTGGCGATAGTGTGTGAAATATATCCATTCGAGCCGGCGATCGCGACCTCAAATCCCGCGCGGAATTGGCCCTTGTTGGTGGCACTAGTTGCATCGATTGGCACACCGTAGTACGCGCATTTCACTCTCGTTACAGACTTGGGATTGGTACAGCCGTTGCCCGGCTCGAGGCTCGGATCACGCTCGTAAAAGATGTTGATAGCCGCACAGCCGGAGACTTTGTTGCATCGGTTCGCACATTCCACTGGGTCGTAGCAACTGAGCGTAGAGAAGCCTAGATAACCGTACGCACTACCATTTGCATGTCAGCATCGAACGACATAGACGGCCGGATCTTCGCACTCACACATTGTTGTGGAGCCACTGAGGCCATCCAAAACCTTGCTGTAGCCCGACGGAACCGGCGCGGAGGTCGCAATCGATTTGAATGATCCCTGAGCGCGGAATGCAGACGCCGTGTCGGGTGAGTAGGCTGGAGCATCAGCAGCGCCAGCTGGTTGCGGAGCACATGCAGCACGAGCCCCAACGTCCCGCTTTGGTGATGACACTTTCCCCGTCGCTGCGCCGTTGAGTGAGACCGTGACGCTGCTCACGGCGGTGGCCTGCGCGACCAAGGCAGCGATGTTGATCGAGACAATCTGGCTGACGGCACCGATATCTTGCGAGACGGTCGTCGGCTTCGGCGCAGCGAGGACTAGATCAAAGTCGATTCCCTGGGGAATAGCATGGCTCAAGGTCAGGGCACTCAAGGCCACAAAAAGGATAGCAAGCATGGTGGTGGTAGATGAACACGATTGAGGGGGCTTGCCGATCTGGCCCATCGAGGCAAGGCGATGGGTGAGGAGACCATGCTTGATAAATAGTCCCTCAATGAGAGCTTGTGCAACATGGCCTTGTACCTGCTCTTGTACCGCGGAAGCGTTGTCACAACGCCAGATGTATCTAAGGATGTGATGAATCTCTTTCCAGAGAGCATTATTGGCTGCTTGTGATCCAACGACACGGCTTGGGCGCAATGGCGTAGGAGTGTGCTTCGCGGCGCAAGAGCCTGCATGATGGCTGCATTGCAGTGTCGCCTCGTGAAAGATTGTGACACTGGAACTCGTCGCGTTTGTAGATGAGCAAGTCGAAGCGACCTACGTTGGAAGCACGTGGATCGGATAGCGATTCCCCAGTTTCGGACCATGCGACCCTTCACCCTTATCACTGGAATTTACAGTAACATAATTCTTTTAACTCTGACGTCAGTTAATGAACCTGGTTCAGGGCGTGAAGCTGAGATCGAAGACTCACATTATGCGGAAGATATCATCCCAACACGATTTGATGGAGCTGGCATGAGTCGTTCATAATTGAAGTGTTGGAGGGGGCGGAGTGTGCAGCTGAAGCAGGAGGGTCGAAGTTGTGCATACCGATTAATCGTGGCCCCGCAGCTCTGCTGTTGTTTATCGGGTTCGGAGTACCGCGTCCGACTCGTGCGAGAACTGCACTAGCAGGGTGTCATCGCGACGGCGTAACGCTTATCATGCATAGATCGATCTACCTCGAGTCCCGATCTAGGGCAAGCATTGAGAACGGCATTGTGCTTTGTTATAATTTGTTGTCATCGCTGGCTTGCTGCGTATTACACCGAGAGAAGCCTAGCTATTGGGCACGACGTCTGCAGATTGGTAATTCAAATCGCCGTACAATTTGAAAGCAGGATGCACGCATCGCTGGCTTGGTTTTGATTGATCGCACAGTTTCAGTCAGCCCAAAGAGCTTAATACTTCAGTACTCAAATGGATCGTCCAACAGCAATCTCGACCTCCCCAGGTAAGACGCTAGGCAGTGTAGACATGATCCGTTGTCCCATGCCTGTGGAAGGCTAGCCAGGACATGATGGACGAAGTATGTCAGCCCATAAAAGGAGCAAGCCGATCAGACCTACGAGGGCAATGATCGAGTCCACGACGTATACCTCAAATCACCTTTCTGATCTAGTTCCATCCCGGCCCGCCACGCTGATTTTACAATGTATGCACGACAAGTCACAGGCTCTTGCTTGAGACTACTCTCAAGACGTCCCTCCGCCTTCACCCCTGAGTTGCCTGCCATGCCTCATGGAGCTTCTTCTGCCTCTCCCAATCCTTCTTGAGCTTCTTCGACTTCGACTTGGCCACCTCCTTCCCTTCGGCATCCGCCGTCGGGAGCCCGTCGGCATCCCACGCGCTGTATTCGCTGGTGCGGAACATGTCGAGGTGTGAGAGCTTGCCCTTCTCCAGGCGCTCTTTCTCCGCAGCTTCGGCGTCCGCCTTGGCTTTCTCTTTGGCGGCGGCTTTGGCGGCGAGGAGGGACTCGCGGTCGCTGCGCTCTTGGCGGAGCGATGCGGAAAGAGGGCGCACGAGTGCGTGCCGGTTCTCTCGGTCTTCTAGGTAGATGTCGAGATTCCACAGCACAGTGTCGCGGATGTAATCACAGGCGGCGAGATACTCCTTGGAAGGTGCTTGACGGCCATGGAGCTCGAACACTTTCCGCTGGAAGTCTGCGTATGCAGCAGCATAGGGTTGATCCGGGCCGTATGTGGTACCCTTCTCATTCAGAGCTCCGAGGGAGTCGAGATCGATGGATCCTTTGATCGCTTGTTCGCGGATCTTGTCTCGTAGCTCGGCGAGCGGGTAAATGAAAGCTTTGGCTTCTTCCGGAATGTCAATGCCTGTCCAACCAAGCTGGTTCTCTTTGTAATCCGCATCGAGACCAAGCATTACAACTATTTCGGTGATCCACTTTCCGATGGCAATAGAGGTGCTTTCACGGACGGAGCTGGCAGAGTTGAACGCCGTGATGAGTTCCGTCAGCACACGCATTGCGCCCGGCGTGTCGAAGGAATCGCAGAGGGCGTCGCGGAACTTTCCTTGAGAGGTAGCAAGAGCCTGATCCAGATCGTCGCCATCCTTGGGGCCTTCGAGAGTAGCTGGCTGCCGTGAAGGGTCGTGATGTGACTGCAGATCCCGGACCTTGATGAAAAAATTGTTGACCTTTTCTTCCCAAGAAACACCAGCCTTGACCAGCTCGCCAGTGATCTCCAGCCCGTCCCGCCACGCCCCGAGAAGGAAAACGATGCGCAGAGACCGAGGGGTCCACTCCCGTTTCGCTAAAGCCTCCCGGATGGTCGTGAAGTTCTTGAGGCTCTTGCTCATCTTGCTGCCCTGGATGCTGAGGTGGCCCATGTGCAAGAAGTAGTTGACCCATTGCACGCTATCTCGGCCCGTCTTGGCCCAGTATGCTTCCGACTGAGCCAACTCGTTGTCGTGGTGAGGGAAGGCCAGATCGATGCCGCCGGAGTGGATGTCGATCTGCTTTCCCAAGACGTCCGACGCCATCGCGCTGCATTCGATGTGCCATCCGGGCCGTCCTTGTCCCCAGGGCGAGTCCCAACTCGGCTCACCAGGCTTCGAAGCCTTCCACAGCGCAAAGTCCGCGCCGGACCGCTTGAAACCCGTGGTCTTTGCTGCGAGCGATCCCTCTCCATCGGCTTGAAGGTCCTTGTCGTTTCGATTCCAGGGTTCCAATCGGGCATAGACTCCGCCCGACTTCTCCCAAGCGGTAGTATCGTAGTACACGGATCCCTCATGTTCATACCCGTACCCATTGTCCTGTATCTGCTTGACAAAGTCTACAATCTGCGGGCCGTACTCCGTGACGCGAACCAGCTTGTCGGGGTACCGGACGTTCAAAGCTTTCATATCATTGAAGAACCGTTCTTCATACTGCTTGGTGAGCTTTGTGAAAATGTCATGGTCTTTGCCCTGGACCGTCGATGAACGTAATGAATCGATGTATGGCAAAAGAACGCCAGCAGCCTGGGGAGCAAATTGCTCCAAGGTGGTGTTGGAGGACTGCAGGGCACCAGCAGCAGCCTGAGCGGTCTTCAGATGCATCTTGAGCTTGGCTTCTTTGTCGCCGGCGGGCGATCCGTCGTTGGCTATGCTCTTGCCCTGCAAGACGTGGCCGTAAGCTTGCTCCGCGGCTTGAGCGTATGCCTCGGGGGGGGCGTCATGTCGCACGAGGGGCAGGTTCTTCTGGATGTACGCGCTGAACGCCTGGAGGGTGGTCGATCGGAGGGCGTCGTCAACGTCCCCGTGCTCCGCCAGGAACTCGGAGAGCAGGTGCTGCTGTCTCGCGGCGAGGATGATCTTGTCATCGACGTCCGTGATGTTCATGACGAACGACACCTTGAACCGGAAGTAGTCCTCGAGGATACGACGGATGATGTCCGTTGAGACATAGTTGCGCGCATGACCTAGGTGCTATCAGTTATTAGTCGAGCTCGCGCCTCTGTGATTTCCCGTCGCTCGTCCACCACATCCACCATGAATCCCCAGCTCGAGAGACACCCCGGAACAAGCAAGACCTACCGCATCGTCGTAGACCGTCGGGCCACAAGCATACCACGTCACCTTCTCCCCGGAGCGATCGATCGGGACAAATGGCGTTTTGGTGCGGGTCAGAGAATTATACACATGCAGCGCTGGCAGCCGGGCTCGTGCTGGTTCGGATGGCGCTGGAGGAGCGCGCCATTCTGGCTGTGCCGTCGCCATCGGACGTCTTGCACGACCTGCTGTCCCTGATGCTGCCGACGCGACTGTTGCTTGACGCCTGACGGAGGTGCACGTGATGAAGGGCGCGCTGTGGGAAGGGAATGACAGAGGCAGGCGCTGCGTGTTCGGACATCTGACGGTCAATCTCAGCATCAAAGGAGCAGCAGGACGACAGGCAAGGTTATATGAAGGAATGACTGGGGACTAGCCATGCAACAAGTGTCATCAACGCGGATGATCGACTGTCTGGCCAGGTGTGTGAAGGATGCCCAGGTGAGTCGGATTGGGAGCTGACATTGCCCGTTCGCTCGCACAGCTGAAGGTCCTTTTTCGTCACTAGGGCTCACAAAATCATTCTAGCGGAGCAGGAGCAGGATCATCCCGCCGCCGCCGTCCTCCACGACGACCACCTCCGCGACAGCCTCCACGCCGGCCAATGGGCACAGTGCCAGGCAAACTTCCTTGACAGCCCTTCACAGCCCTTCATAGCCCTTTATAGCCTCCGTCGCGTCGCCAATCACCCGGGCGATAGATCCCTGCCTGGAGAAGCATCCCCACCTGCCCAGCGAGCGGGCTCCGAGTAGCGGAGACGTGGGCGGGCTGCAGCTGCAGCTGCGTAGAAACAACCTCAGGCATGACTCCGGCGTATAGGACCGGACCGGGCCGTCTCCATCGGACAAGACAATTGGCGCATGGGTCATCCACGAGGATCCCGCACGTGTCTCGTAGTAGACAAAAGCTCACCTGGGCACAGAGGGCAAGGGACAGAGGACAGAGGACAGCCGCCGCCGCCGCCTGCGCAGAGCCAGTCACCTGGGCACCTCTACGCAACGACGACGGGAAGGACTTGCCACATGCCTGCGAGCAGATCCAAGTGAAATGATCCCGATAATATGAACATGAACATGAATGTGAACGAGACCGGATGGGCCACGAGGCGCCGGCTTTCCCTCTAGCTTTCTCACCACCTGGACAAGCAAGCTGGAGCCCGCGGTGGGGTGGGATGAGTCATCAAAGGCCGTCACATGTTTGTACTGGCCACCGGGCATCCGTCGCCTTAAGTTTACCTAGTATGTTTGATACACAGGACCTAGCTAGACCGGAATACTGTTAATATCCATCCTGATCCACGTTCGATTCGTGTCAAGGGCTCCACAGGATAGAATAAAGTTTCTGAACGTACCGACTGGAGGACAGTACATGTATTAAGACCTTTGATGGGATCTGATCCCAGCCCTGCCTCACATAGGCCCGCCGGATCGTGCCCTGGCGTCGTGATCCTCCTGCTCACTAGTCGATCACATCATCGCCGTGACATATGCCCTGCGCTCCACATGTCACCACGTTCGGACCTTCTCGATGGATCGATCCAAGCACGCAGCCTCGTCTGCAGAACGGCAACCCGATCCGCTCTCGCAAGTGCGTTGCCGTTCTCACATCTTTCCGCGGCGCTGACCCGGACTGCAGCACCGTCTACCTGAACCAGACTGGTCGGGGATCGTCCGAAGCATATATACCTCCATGTGACCGGAAGCATCTTCGTGACCTAGCACCGGCCTCGAGACCATGCGTTCGGACAACGCCTCGTCGGAGGACAGCACTGCCAACAGCCGCGCTTCTGCGAACCAGCCGCCAGCGCTCCCAGAGGACGTCCAGCTGCAGGGCCAGGACGCCAAAGAGGTCCTTCGAAAGATCGACATCCGGATCCTACCCGTGCTGTTCCTGATCTATCTCCTGCAGTACCTGGACAAAAACGGCATCAATTACGCGAGCGCCTATGGCTTGGCGGCCGGGACGCAGCTGAAAGGTCAAGATTACTCATGGCTGGGCTCCATCTTCTACTTTGGCTACATGTTCGCGCAGTACCCAGCCGGCTATATACTGCAGCGTTTCCCCATCGGTAAGGTCCTCGGACTCACGACCCTGGGCTGGGGCGTGATCCTCATCACGACCCCTGCGTGCCGCGATTTCGCAGGCATCGCCGCCAACCGCTTCCTCCTGGGTGCCCTCGAGGCTGCGGTGAACCCCGGGTTCGTGCTCATCATAGGCATGTGGTACACCGTGCAGGAACAACCGTTACGTCTGGAGTCCTACTACTGCACCAATGGAGTGGCGACGATGTTCGGCGGCCTCATCGGGTATGCCGTGGGCAATATCGGCTCGGGACTGCCTCGATGGATGTACGTGTTCCTCATCTTCGGAAGCTGCAGTATCGTCGCCGGCATCATCACCTTTGTTTTGCTCCCAGACCTTCCTTCCAAGGCCCGATTCCTGAATGAACGCGAAAGGGCCGCTGCGGTGGAACGGGTCGCGCAGAATCGTCAAGGCATCAAGAACCGCCATTTCAAGAGAGACCAGGCTTGGCAGACCCTCTGCGACCCGAAGACGTGGATTCTGTTCGTCATGGCCGTCGGCGCGCAGGTCCCCAACGCTGCGCTGACCAGTTTCACGTCGATCATCATCGGCTCGTTCGGATTCGACACGTTGGGTACTCAATACCTCCAGATCCCGGGAGGTGCAGTGCAGTTCCTGTCCCTCTTGGGAGGCGGATTCATCTGCTCGAGGTTCCCAAACGCACGCTGCATCACCATGATCACGGCGAATTGCATCTGCATCGTCGGGTCTTCCCTCCTGGTCGGGCTTCCTTCGAGCAACAAATGGGGCCGACTGGTAGCCATCTGGCTGTGCTATTTCCAGGGCATTGGGTTCTCGATGTCGTTGACCATGGTCAGCTCGAATATTGCAGGCTACACCAAGAAGCAACTGACGGGCGCGATATTGTTTACTGGGTATTGTGTGGGAAACATCGTCGGGTTCGCCCCTCTCAGATCACCCGCAAGCACGCAAGCGCTGACTCGACGTCCCGTGATAGGCCACAGACCTTCCGCAGTGAAGAAGCCCCCGGATATCATTCCGCATACATCGCGTGAGTACCTGCCCGCTCGCGATCGACCAGGCTTTCGCTAATCGTGAACGTCTCAGGATGCTGGTCGGCTATACAGTGAAGCTGGCCATGGTGGTCATTTTGTATATTTACATGTTCTCGGTCAATGCCGCCCGCGATCGTGCCGCCGCCGAAGAGGGTACCGATGACGGTTCAAAGGAGAAATTGGCAGTCGAGCATGGTATGCAGGACATGACGGAGCTTGACAACAAAGGCTTCCGATATGCTCTCTAGAAAGCAATGAAGTGTTCCCTCTGCTATGCCAGCCCCAAAGCTTGGGCTTCCGTCGCCGATCAGCCTCCACAAATGCACGCTGCGGCAGAGAGGCCCCGAGGATCGGGTCCGGTAGTCAGGCTGCAAAGCTTTCGTGTTGTTTTGGCCCACCCCCCAGACCCGCACTTACACTCACGGTCGAGGAGGCTTCCGTTGGCTGTCCTCCAGCCAGATGAAGAATCAGGTTTCCCACGCGTCGATCAATGCCGCAATCGAGCTTCGTCGGGTAAGGAGCGCTGGTATCCATTGTGTGCACAGCATCGGTCTCACCAAAGAGCTCGCCACTTCCGAGCGTGGTAGCTCCGCGTAGCTCTCAGAGGCCTAAGCTCCGCCTCACATCCGCCCGAACTCTTGCCTCATACTCCCCTCGGGCTTCCCTCCACATCCGTGCTGCGTCCACATTTGCCGGGCTCTCATCATTCGGCTCCGCGATCATGCTCATGACACTGATCAGGATCTTCTCGACGCTCTGAATGGGCGACCATCGTTCCGAGGCATGTTCGTAGTGGTTCGGGTCGTCGCCGGGCGGGTGGAGGATGGAGATGCAGACGACTCCGTTCATGTATACTAGCGGAGGTTGTCAGCTTTCCCTTCGATCACATCCACCAGGATCCCAGGGGCACCGTGCGTTCGTACCGTTCGGATGCCACAGGTCACACGTGAACTTCATCGTCGGTGGCATGAGAGGATAGTCTCGCGGGAACTTCAGCTCGGCGGGAAACACGCCGCCCTCGAATGGAGTTCCCTCCGGCCCTTGGATCAGAGCTTCCCAGAGGAAGAGATCATCCTCGTTGACGGGTCCGGCTGTGATGCCCTCGGGGGGGTCTTGGCTGAGAGCTTTGTACTCTTGGAAGAGCCGTTTCGCCGCGACCGAATTCATGTTGTGGCGAGAGGTTTCGCGGCCCTGGTGGTTGAGATTCTCGCGTGATTCTCGAGTGGTCTGTTCGCCGATGCGAGGTGGGTGAAAGGGCGAGAGGCACGCGATCGACAATTGCGAGCCCGGGCGAGGATGATGGTGACGATGATGATTATGTAAGTTCGGACCTCGAGACGCGGGGTCGTCCCACCAGATGAAAGCCTGAGGCCGCCTACAGTATCATGATCGGACTTCCGTCCTCCGCTGTTTGCCAGAATTCGACCAGTAGTAGGATACTACCTACCTAGGTACTCAGGTATGGACAACCGCCCGTGATGCCGTGGAGGTCGTCACTCTCTCGGATCCATGGCCCGACACCGGACCTGAGCGACATCGATCGATATGGCAGTAATAATAACATTCATTGCTGCGCTGTGACCGCTGGCCCGAAACCGTCTCTGCCCGGGTGGATATGCAAACCGCAAAGCTCCCGAAGATGCGCCGCCGGTGAAATGCATGCCTCCCGCCCTCCGCCCTCCGCTCGTCACCCATTTTCACTGGCATGGCATGAGATTCCGAATCTTTCCCGTTGTCCTTGTGGACACCATCGTGACCATGCGGACATACAGACAGTATGATAAGTCCAAGGGATGCCCACGAGGGACGGTGCTCGAGCCGTGGTCGGATGGGACTTCCTAGTCAGGTGGATCCCTCCTCGCCCGGCCGCCTTGTCCCGTCCTCAGCTGCGTCCATCTCTTCCAAGGTTGTCATGCAACGCTGCAGGTGCAGATGCACTCGCCTCCACGTGCCAAGAACGATTATCTGTGTACATCCCCCAGCCTTATCGAGCCGAGCATGCCCTTCTTCTTATCGCTGTCGGTGGAGTTATACATGTACGCTAGACGCTGCAGATACGCACATACGATCGACGACCCTCGATGCTTCTGGTGCGAGGCATGTATGTGGGCCAATGCCATCACGAAAGGGACACTCCGGCACGTACGCACATACCGGTATCTAGTTGACATATAAGCTAGCACTTGAGTTTTGGTCCTTCCCTTTCCACCCTTCTGTTCCACAATCTCGCGTCGTTGTGTTGTGAAATCGACCCTCGCCACTTGCCAACACCTGTCAGCCATTGCGCATTGAACCAATCTCGTGTTCAGACCCACGATGGTGCTCGAACGCCTCAAGCAGATCGCATCCCACATCACACACCAAGTCGCCCAGAGCCATCCTCTCGATCCTCTCTCAGCCGATGAGATTGCGGAAGTCGTCGCAATCGTTAAGCGAGAGCATCCCGATGTCCACTTCAACACGATCACGTTATGGGAGCCTCGCAAGGCCGAGATGATGCTTTGGAAGTCTTCGCCGACCGAAGCAGCGAGGCCTCACAGGGTTGCAGATGTCGTCACTATCGGCAGAGGTAGCAAAGTGTTCGATGGTCTGGTAGATTTGAACGAGGGACGACTGGTCGCCTGGGCGCAGGTTGATGGCGTACAACCTATGCTTACCATGGAGGACCTGCAAATTGTGGAGACCATCGTCCGGAAAGATCCCAAGGTTATCGAGCAATGCGGTCTGCTCGGAATCCCACCACAGGACATGTACAAGGTGTACTGCGATCCGTGGACGATCGGCTATGACGAGCGATTCGGCTCCAAGCTTCGTCTCCAACAAGCGCTCATGTACTATCGACCTCACATCGACGATTCGCAATACACTTATCCGCTAGACTTCTGCCCGATCTACAACGCTGATACCCAGGAGGTTATCCACATCGACATTCCCAAAGTACGCATCCCGCTCAACACTGCTCCAGCTGCCAACTACCATGCCGAAGCTCAAAAGGCCAGGGGTGGGTATCGCACAGATCTGAAGCCCTTGAACGTTGACCAGCCGGAAGGTGTTTCCTTCAAGATGGATGGTCGGGTTCTGAAATGGCAGAACTGGAGCGTTCACGTCGGTTTCAACCATCGCGAAGGTATCGTTCTCTCGGATATTTGCTACAACGACCAGGGCACTGTTCGACCGGTATTCTGGCGCCTCTCTCTCGCCGAAATGGTCGTGCCGTATGGAAACCCGGACCATCCCCATCAACGGAAGCATGCTTTTGATCTCGGCGAGTATGGAGCTGGATTTATGAGCAATGAGCTTTCACTGGGGTGTGATTGCAAAGGAGCTATCCACTACCTCGACGCCACTTTCGGCAATCGTGCGGGTGTACCGCAGACGATCAAGAACGCCATCTGTATACACGAAGAAGACGCGGGGATTCTGTTCAAGCATACCGACTTCCGTGACAACTCATGCACCGTAACACGCGCACGCAAGCTTGTAGTTAGCCACGTCTTCACTGCTGGAAATTATGAATATGGGGTGTATTGGATTTTCCACCAAGACGGGACTATCCAGCTCGAGATTAAACTTACCGGCATATTGAACACGTACGCCCTCGCACCAGGCGCATCGGCTGCACCTTGGGGAACCGAGGTCTATCCCGGTGTCAATGCACACAATCACCAGCACCTCTTCTGCCTTCGCGTCGATCCGAACATCGATGGCGCAGAGAACACCGTCTTCCAGGTCGATGCCACCCCGGGAGAAGGCGAGGTCGGTAGCGAGACGAACAAATACGGCAATGCATTTTACGCCAAGAAGACCAAATTGAGCACGCAGGCGACTGGAAACAGCGATTACAACGGGTCTACAGGCCGCACGTGGGAGATTGCGAATACCAACAAGCTTAACGCTCACAGCAAAAAGCCAGTTGCCTACAAGCTGGTGAGCCGCGAGGTTCCGAGTCTGCTTGCGAAAGAGGGAGGCCTCGTATGGAAACGCGCTGGGTTCGCCAGACATGCGGTTCATGTCACTAAATGTAAGCGAATATGCTACTGCTGAAGCTCTGAATTTCGCTGACCCTCATCCCAGATTCTGACGACCAAATCCATCCTGCAGGTCGCCACGTCCCACAGACCTCGGGCGAGCCATCCCAAGGCATTCCTGCCTGGATAGCAGCGGACCCCGATGCCAGCATCGACAATACTGACGTTGTGCTTTGGCACACCTTTGGCGTCACACATTTCCCTTCGCCCGAGGACTACCCGGTCATGCCCGCGGAACCTATGACCGTCCTTCTCCGGCCGCGCAACTTTTTCACACAGAATCCGGTGATGGATGTGCCGCCTTCGTACTCGAGCACGCCTAGCCAGGTTGCTGCCGGGAAGGCGGGTCTCCGCGGGGTGGTTGACCGCTTCAGCCGGTTGGCGTTCGGTGGAACACAGCAGAAGCCGGCCAGTACCGATTGCGATTGCAAGTGATTTTCGGAATGTAGTATGGAGGCGAAACGTGCTCGAATTCGCATCACATCACCGTTCGTAATCTTATACATGACTTGTCGACGGGGACCGAGTCGCTTGATTCTCCGATCGAACAGTCCCACGACTAAATATATCTTCTGTCGAACACCTGTTGCTTGGTGCTTGCGTGCCTCCATATATATGCCCACAAGTCCAGCTTGGTTATGCTTTCGCCTGGTGGTAGGCTTCGTCGGTTGAATGCAAAGCACAATATGGCCTTTAATGAAACCACAACCGCGGTCGCCAGGTTCTCTTTTCACGATCTGAGACCTTTTGTGGGCAAATCGGCTGCAATCAAACGACCTCAAGAAATCACACACTTTTCATTCGACGACCAACATGTGTGCCATCCTTTGTCCGATGCTAGTCTACGATACTACTGTAGGAAATGATCATGAGTAACGCAATTGGTGATAGCTGAACTTATGCTTCGGTCGAAGATCCTCCAATATTCGGTGACCCAGATGCTGGCTCGCAACCTCGGTTCGATCTCTCCAAAGGACTGGACACGTTCGTCAAGTACGATGAGACTACTGATCTGCACATCGATGCGCTGTTGGACACGATAGAGAAGTATGAGAGTCAGATAGGCGAAAAGGTCGATGCCGATATCGTGACTTGGCGTGGCATGATGACGAAGGAAAGTCTACATTCGTCGCCTTACAACCACATGAGTCCGATTCCATTGGTGACAGATCGTAGATCCTTTCAGCGCCCTTTGATGGCTACGGAGAATTCGAGATGAACGCAATAAAGTTCGAGGTGGGTGGGGCTCATCAACATTTATGAACGCAGCGCAAGCTTTGTACTGATCGATCATAGGGGACTATGTATGCTCGCACATCTGTATCTTCAAAGGTCTTGGACTGAAATGCGTCAGATACATTGAGGAAAACAAAGCGCCATACTTCGAAAACTTAAAAAACAACCAGAACACCGTCCCTCGCCAATATGGCCCGCACCCACAGTCGACAATGATGTACTGGGGTGATACTCTCATGTGGCGAGCGAGGATCACATCAACAGAACACTGACGCGGTGCAGGCTACAAGTTCGAAGTCCTCTCAACCCTGCCTCGACCATGGGCCGAATGCTCCCGTGATGAGGTCGAGGATCGTGACAACGAAGTGGTCGACACGCACGCACAATACTGTTCCATCGTACGAACCGGAATTGGAAGTCATAGCATCGTCCTTGGCGGTGAAGTCGATGCTGTGAAGGGAGAAAAGCCGGAAGGCCTTGATCACAGCATCCCGTATGTCGAGCTGAAAACGAGCGAGAACTTCCGCGCGAACGATTCGAGAGCGGCGGAGAAGTTCGAGAAGAAGATGTGTCGCTTCTGGGCACAATCCTTCTTGCTTGGCGTGCCCACCATCATCATCGGATTTCGCTCTCCTCACGGGATACTCGAGAGGATCGAGGAATGGGAGACCCAAAGGATCCCAGGCTTCGTGCAGAATCGCGGCATGCGGACCTGGGATGGGAACGTGTGCATCAATTTCGCGTCCGCCTTTCTGGATTTTCTGAAGCAGACCGTCGCCGGCGACGGCACGTGGCTGATCAAACGCCGAAAGGGGGCCAAGGAAATCACGATTAGCAAGACAAGCGATACGCAGTCGCCACACGTTGTGACGGCCGCATTTCGACAACATCGTACTAACCTTTCTTCGGAGCTTGCGTCTTGATTGACGACCCTCCAATCAGTTGATCAACGGGTGACTTATTCGACATCTTTTTCGGATCGACGCACTTCCGCCTTTGACAGCGATGGCTAAGCCTCAAACCACATGGGGAACAGGTCGTGCACTATCCAGCCTGTCTTTATCTACACTTATATCACCTGGAAAACGACTAATCAGAGACATTCATCGGACAGTGACGAATACCATGGTGGTCTTTGCATCTCGGCCTGCTGGAACACTTTGACGGCCCTTGTCTTCCAAGTCTTGCAGAGGGAGATTATGTCTCGGATACGCAACTCTAGTTTCAAGGGCAGATGTGTCCAGCTCAGAGCCAATGCATTTTGGGCAGTCGGTGTGAAATAGCCGTTCATCGGTCTGCTCGTGCTCATAGAGGGACAACGAGTGACTCTTGAAGTTCTCAAAAGCAACGTCCAGTGAAAAATGTGTATCCCAATGCCCCGAGCCATGAGGCTTGCAACTTCGCCCACGCACCGAATGACCGGAATGGATCAACGAGAGTCTCGGAACGTAGACTATCTAATGCGGCGGGTGCGGAACGCGCTGAGCGCGATGAAGTAAGATTCTGGTACGCGGCTCAGCCACGCGCCACGGTACAGGGAGTATTGCCGCATGACTACGCATCTCTTCCATCGCAGAACCTACACAGATGTCCTCTTCCCCGTAGCACTACATCGACTCGATTTTTTGGAACGATTTCCAAGGTCTGCTTCGTACGCGAATATCTACACCCAAATCTATTATCGCCTCGGCGCGATGCAACAACGCATGGACCTTCAAGCACCGCTTTTTGCTTTCTCTGAATGCTGTCGGCCGCTCTGGTCGCGATTTCGTTTGAATACAAACATTATTGCGACGAGCACACCCAAACCAGCAAGACCGACGCCCATGTATAGTGCAGCTCGGTACCCCAGTAGAATGTCCTCGAAAGTCCTTCCGCCGTTGTTCGTGTGCACCTCGACGGTGCTTGCGAAGCCTAGACCGAGCGAGATGCTGTAGTTGACCTGCCATCCGGTGAGTAGAGTACACATAAGATGAAGGACGCGAGCCGGCACTTACGACAGTGCTCACGAGCGATGCAGCGACGCCCTGGTGTTCCTTTTTTGCTGCGTTGCTAATGACGAGAGTTGCGCTTGGGAAGCTCATGTCCATGCCGAAGGGCGTGATCAGTACACAAACGAAAATCTGAGCCCAGTATATTTGAAACACTGGCAGCGTCGCAAGCAGGACTGTGCCCACCAGGAATGCGCACATCGCGATGACCATGACCCAGGCAGGACCGAGTCTACCGATGAATAAACCGGTGAGGATCGCAGCGACGGAACCCGAGATGGTGAGAGGGGAGAGGTAGGCAACCGTGAGGAGAGGCGACAGTCCTCGTAGGGTTTCTAAAAGTTGCCAGAGATAGTAGAACCAGATGCCCTGCAAAGAACCCCACGTCAGTAGCTTCTACCTCACTCGCTCCTTGACAAGACTTACGAAGCAACCCCATCCGAGCGAGATGCAGGCCAGGACGAAAGCGTTCTCTGCGGTAAACACATCGATGGGGATCAATGGGTCATCGGCGACCTTGAGTTCAATCCACAGGAATGCGGGAAACATGAGACAGCCCAGAATCAAAGTTACGATGATATAGGGATTGTTCCAGCCGACGATCGGAGCTTGGTTCCACGCGAAGTTAAACAGAATCAGTGCGGTTATGCCAACGGTCGCACCAAGCAAGTCAAGAGCAGCGACAGCACCAGCTAGCGACTTTCCCGTCAGCCTGGGCTTGGTGTCCTGCGGATCTGGAATGGCGAAGTAGCTAGCGGCAGCCAGCACGAAGAGGGCGATTCCGAACGAGAGAAAGGTCCCTGCATTTTCGATTAGCAAAGCCATGAGTTCGGCGGGAAGAGCCTCGTGGACTCACAAGGCCACCATGTCAGGGCCCATAAGCCAGCAAATAATGATCCCACGACGGAACCAACAGGTGCGCAGGCTCCGAAGGCGGCGAATGCCAGGTTCTTCCTTTTCGATGGTCCATACAGAGCGCCCAACAGCGCCAACCCGTTCGGCAGGCAGATCGCAGGTCCGATGCCCTGGAAGATTCTCGCAAATACAAACAGCACATGATTTGAGTACCAGGCGAGCCCAGCGACGATCGACCACACAGCGTACCAAAGATAGCCGATGACCAACATATTCTTCCACCCGAACAGGTCGCCAATCCGTCCCGAGAACAGGATGAAAGTGCCCACGGTGAGACTGTAGCCCGCGATCAACCAGGCTTTCACGCCTGGATCTTGGATTCCGAAGTGGTCGGAGATGACCTGCAAGATGGCGATGCATTGACCCAGACCCATCTGGGTCGTCCATTGTGCCATGCAGATGAGCCCGATGACGAAGACCTCCCGTGGTAGGGACACAGTTTGTTCGAGGGATTTTGTCGGGGTCAACTGCTCATCTTCGGAACTTTCTTCAGACCTGGATTTTTCGGTCGTGGCAGCTGGCGATGCGCCTTCGCTTGTCGGGTCCTCTGCTCCCATCGTTGAGATCGCGAGTATCGGCGCGATGGTCCTTTGGGGTAGGACTGACGGATTCCTCTGGACCTTGAAGTGTAAAGCTCGAAGAGACGATCCTCGACATCCGGGTAGAAATTCGGATCTTCTCGAGAAGGGGATTGGCGTCCACGATGGCTCAGGGAGTGTGGTTAAGTATCAGATGAATGACATTGCGCGGCTGTACTACAGGAATACAATATGACAATGCACAGTCAACGTCGGCGCTACAGGTCGGAGGATGGTGTTTGGATTACTCAGAAGGCCCGTTCATTTGCAATCACGTCCGTCACGCATCATTCTCATCGCGGTGGATTTTACTCCCATTCGTGTTGAACGCGGGCGATTTTCCGCTGTTATTATTGTATGAAACGCCTCGGCCGCTTGCTGGACGGGTGGATGGTGCACCAATGACGTCGCTCGGACCGACTCGATATTTGTCATCATTTTGATTTCCTTTCCGTGCATGGTGTCCGGCCGTAGCTGTGAAATTGGACTTAAATCTGATTAATTGGGTGTGAATAGTAGTAATAATGGTGCGCCGGCACTCGCTCTTGGGATGTGTTTGTCGTTCGCTCGCTCGATATAACCATGATCACAGCCAGAGAACCTGCCCAGATGGGAAGTCGAGGAATCCCGAATTTCGTGCAATCTGATCGAAGCTGGAGCTCACTAATCACATCCTATTGCCTGAGGTACGTACCTGATTATGTCAGCCACCGGTGGGCAATCTGCTTACGTCACCCACCGGTGGGTGACCTGACCTGAGCCTGCGTAGTGGTGAGGCACCCTACCTACGGCAGGTGCCGCTGCGGATGCCTGAGGCATCAACTTTTCCCCCTTTCTCTTCTGTACATAGAAATTTCCCTAGATAGGGAATGAGGAGACACACATATCTTTCAATACAATTTTGGCTGCGTCTGCATGCAGGTAGCCCTCCCGCATATCACCTGTGCGGCGATACATCCCATCCCTTCCACGAAGCTCGCCCACCGGATGATCGTGCAGACTGTATTGCGATGCTGCACTTGACGGTAGTAATGTAATGTGGATGCATAACGTGCTAGTGAAAAGGCACAGCCCGAGTACGTCCCATCTGCCACCAGGTGCACAATCGATGTATCTATGGTTCATGATGACATGTTTGATAATAAAAAAAGAAGAGTGAAAAAGCCCGCCCCTAGTGTCGCACACCGATCCTTTGCCATTAATTCCGAACTCCCGAACTCCGTTTACCGTGAATGAACAGTCACTATGGCTTCTTTCGCAGCCTCAACCATGATCCAAGCGTGGGAGCTTTCCTAGAAGTCATGTCGCGGGCTGTCTCGGCGAATGATGCGTTCGTTCAGCTGTACCAAAACTTTGGCCGCCTCGTTATGCTCGAAGTCGAACCCCCCGCGCTCCGCTGCGTAGGCTTGCATCTTCTGACCACCGAACAACGTGGAGATGGAGGATGGCTCCGCGCGAGCGTTCTGGAAGGCATCGACAACGGTGCCACAGGGAACAGTTCTCCGACCCGTGCGGTTGCGAGGCAGCTGCGACTCTGCGCTGGCCGTGGAATTGGCTGCCATGGCCATGCAAGCTCGTGCTCGCTCTCCCGTCGGGTCACTCTTGCACTGATCACAGGTGCCGGGCCCAGTGAGCCGGGCGGTGGCCGCGGCCGCTGCTGCGGCTGCGGCTGCACTTTGGGAGCAGGGGCATGTATCGCCAGTGCCGCAGAAGCCGCACTTGTCGTCAGTGCCCATGGATCGTCCATAGTTCGTAAAGTCGATTTCATTCTCGTTGGGTGGAGTCGAGACTGCTTCAATCGCCTGCGCGTGGGAATTCGGGTGCAGTGAGATGGTACTCATCCCCCGTGAGGAGAAGTCGGTTGACAAACGCGACCTGCGCTCGTCTTCGGCCTTGTCGAGTGCGGCCTTAAGCGATATGATTTCTTCTTGTTGTCTCTCGACACGTTGCTGCAGAATCTGAACCTCCGACTGATGTTGCAGGCGGACAGCGTTCAGTCTCCGCTCATAGTTGGTATTTGATTCTTGGATCTCCTTGCGCAGGAGGTCGTTGACTTCGACTTGGTCTTCTAACTTTTGCTGACGCTTGTCGCGGAACCTCCGTTGGGCGTTCCGATTCTGTGCCTTGCGTTTCTCGCCACCTTCGCCTTCCGTTGTCATAGGCTTCCTGCCCGGCTTGGGGCGAGGTGGAATCCGCACCTCGGCGGACAGCGGGCCCATGTTGCGAGGCGTCTGCTGGACCGGCGAGACCTGAGGTGCTGCACAGCTTTGTGGGATGGAAATATTTATTGCTCTGTCCCTGCGGTTGGCCGCGAGCCCAGCGCGGAAGATGAAGGTCGAGGGCGATGTTGCTCCCGAGGCACCCTCGTTGGCGTCGCTACTCGCGGCTGGAGAGGCGTGTGAAGACATATCGATGACCGGCGGAATCGCATAGGTGAGGAGCTATCAGATCAATGCAAAGATCAGATAACGCAAGGTCGGGATGGAGGGCTGTCCCGCGTGATTCAGGAAAGTCCAGGTGCGTCAGGAAATCGCCGCCTCAGGTTTAGCGCCCCGAGCAGGGTCCTCCAAACCAGCGGTCACCTCATCTTTCGCCAGGCACGCCAGGGAGGGGTCTGCCGATGCCGGGGGCACGACCGTTGGGCATGGCCGTGGGCGTGGGCGTGGGCGTGGGACGAAACTGTGTACGGTGTCACGTGAGTGTGAAGAAATGTGCCCGGGTATGTGCTGGCACGTGACTGGACTCGGCCTGGGGCCCTCCGCGGTCGCCCACCGAACTGTTAGGGTTGACACATAAGCGCAGCCCAAGCCCAACCCTGATCACTGAAGGGTACCGAAATCGAGGCGAGTATCTGGCAACTGGGTCAAAGCACACGACCATTCACTTGAAGAGAGAAGGTCGACCACCAGCACGTAACCGCCGTAAAGCGCCGCACCTTCCTTCAAGGACAAGGGCTCCGTGTTGAGGTCAACAGCAACCTACAGTGTCAGCAACATCGTGATTTGGGGCTGTGGAACCCGTACATGCAAACATGTGACGCTTGGGATAGCTTTTCCCGGACATGCAGCCACCGTCGACCTTACAACGTAGCGCATAATCGACTCAACACTGTATCTGGATTGAACTGTAACCAGTCTAGGATAACATCCGGGTGAGATCTATACACAGACATTCACGCAAGCCTCGAGTCCTTCTCCTCTTCCTGGCCTTTCTCGCCGCTCCCAAACCGCCAGTACTGGATGCCCAGGTAGCAATCGCACACGGTTTGTATCAGACCACACGCCTTGAAGGCCAATGGCACCTCACCCTCCGACAAGAAGAAGTACGTCATCTTGAAGACATCGCCGACCAGCCAATTGGCAAGCACGCTCAACCGGAACCCTTTGCACGATCGTCGCCTCTCGTTCTCCAGGACCTGCGGAATTGGCAAGATCGCTTCCACCCCCAGAGCGAAGTAACCTTGAAAGCCTACATAGGCGAAGTTGAACCCGATGAGCACCTCCAGGATCGCGAGCACTCCCGTGAAATAGAGGACGAACTGCCAATACGGCTTGCGACTGCGCCATTGCCAGAAGTTGAACGGCCTCGTGACGTATGAGTCGCCTTCTTCCATGCCGGCGAAAGGCTTGTTTATGCTGTACTGCGCGCCGACGGGCGGCCGGTTGTGGAGTGCGACGTGCAGCAGTACGATCTGGACGACCAGCATGATGCTCGCCTGGATGAAAAGGAAGAAGTCGTATCGGTTACCGATCCAGTAGAAAACTCTGTTGCCGACGTTAGAACCGAAAGCCGACGAGGAAAGCCTGAGTCGGGCAGGAGAGCCACATACTTAGTGATGGATGCCACGAGCATTATCAGCGGGATGTCGAGCGAGAATCCCGCCGACGAACGATTTTTGTTGATGGACCATATCTGGTCTGCGTATGAGGTCACCGGAGAGGTGACGATGAAGATTGGCGCGATATGGGAAATGACCCATTTGATGAGGAACATTGTGATCCTACACTGGCATGATCAGTATACCCCTCCTCAATTCAAAACGATTCCTCGTCCGATGCCACAGACGCAGGGCAATGGAAGATCTCGCATCTTTGTGTTTGCGAGCCACTTTGGCAGCGGAGTTCTGATCTTGATGGTGCCTCCTTTTCTTGTGTCCTCGATGGGATCAGGGACGTGCCGACGGTGATATGCGAGCGCGAGAACAAATCGACCACAGATGAATTCATCAACTCACATCTGACAACGCAACAAACAACTGGAAAGGAGAGGCCAAAGCAACCAAGTCAAAGTGAACTCTGATGCTTCAAGAATGCATGGCCACCGTCTGGCCTCCGTCTCGTGGGATCAATCAATGCCCAGGTGGTGTACAGTAGGTATCTGCAACAATTCTCTTGGAGGACGCCCGGGAAGCTCAAGCTCCCAATGTGTGACGGGATGAAACGCAGGGCACGAGCGGCCCGCTGCCGCGCGTCTGTGCGCATCACAAACCCGGCTGTTTCATAATCTGAAGCCGCTGTGAGAGAGTTCCCCGCCTGTCACAGATAACGACGATACCGAGAGCCACTACCCGCCGTGGGGCAGTCGCTTCCGGGTGATAATCACCATCAGAGTGGACACAAAGACTGGATCTCAAGCTCGCGAGCTGAATACTTGTCCGCAGTCAGTCGGAGCGTCCTCTCCGGTTGACATTGTCAAATCTGATATTCGTTACACGGGCAACATCGCGCTGGAGGTCACCAGTAGAGAGTTCAATCGTGCCATCGTGCCCCGACCCATCAATAGCCTCGGGATTGGCAGTCTAGGTTGAAGCAGATAGAGGTAAACAAAGACGAGCCGAGGGCGCGTACAATTAGCAAGGGGCGGATCGACCGCCAGGTTCTCAGAATCGCAATGGCCACATCAAGCAACGGATCACGGTCGGCCTTTTTCTACGGCACACTGATGGCACCTCAAGTCCTGCATCGAGTCTGCCATGGATCCATGTCGGACACGAACCCCATTTACGCCTCCCACAATCTTCAAATGCAGCCCGCGATCCTCCACGATCACCGCCGCCACCGAGTCCGACAAGCAGATTACCCGGCGGTCATTCCCCATCCCGGCGCATCCGTGCGAGGCACCTACGTGACCGGGCTCACGGACGCGGACATCTGGCGCCTGGACATATTCGAGGGGGCCGAATACGCTCGACGCGAGGCGACGGCCAAGATCCTGACCGTCGTTGGCGATGAGAGTGGCGACGGCAACGTGGAAGGGGAGTCCGTGCCCGTGGAGACTTACATCTGGATCGCGGGCGAGGATGGCTTGGAGGAGAAGGAGTGGGACTTCGCCGAGTTTCAGCGCGACAAGATGCGCTTTTGGGTGGGGTCCGAGGGCGCGGGCGAGTATGCCGGTAGGCCGTCCATCATCGGTGAGTGGCGTAGTTGTGTGGTGACGAGGGCTAACTAGAACGACTGAGCAGAGGTTGATGAGGCCGTCGCAGCGCAGCAGAAGGGACAGGACGGGACAGGCGGGAGAGGGGCGAATGGGCATATCACGAGCGCGTTGAATGCCGAGCACATAAAGGCAGACTTGAGAAGAAATGTTGTATGAATGGTTCGCTGTCATGAGTAACGCCTCGCAGAACGACGAGCGAAAAAAGGAGTGACGTCAGCGCACGAGGAAAGTTCAATTACATTAGTCGTGATCGCATGATGGGGCGTGATGCTCTGGGGAAAAAATGAGGGCGCTGTGTAACGGTCATCGAAATGCGCTTCCATGCTTCGGCAGTCGGACCGTCTGGACGCCAAAACTATCCACGGTCCGGCTCGCTGTTCGATTTTGTGAACTCGGTACACTCAGCGGAATATCAGAGCCTCGCGGCGAGTATGGCGAAGAGGCGGCTGCATCACGCTGCTGTTGAGAGGCATGAATAGTAGGACTGGATGTCAGGCGCAAGTCGGCTGAAACGGGACCTTCTGATGTCGTGGGTCTCTCCGGAATGCCCTGATTCTCCTCGCCCGGTTCCGTCGGCAACGTCGCTGGTGGGTTGTGGTTGGCCGTCTGTCGCAAAGCCTGGCGCTCCTTTACTTTCTGCGCTTTCTTGGCCTTGAGCTCTTCTTCTGTGGCCTTGCTGAGCTCAAGGAGACCGTCACGGAGCTTTTCCCGCATTGCAGAAGCTGTAAAGCCATCGAAGCGCTGATGGTCGACTGGAGCAAGCCGTAACATTTCTTTCACGAATCCGTGGGGATCTTGTGCGAGCGCTCGAATATATTCAACGACAAGAACACCGCAATCACAGAAATTGGTTTGCTGTGGGATGCTCTTTGCCGTCCACCCTGAGATGTCCTTCGGATTAAGAGCGATGCCAAGTTTGTCGTTGGCTTCAGCCACGATGTAGTCCTTGAGGTATCGGATTTCTGCAGAGCGCGTGAGGCCCAGAGAGTCCAATGTTATGATTACAGGACCCAGTGCGTTGCACTTTCTAACAGGAGCAGCGCGCTTCTTTGCGCCATATCTCCGTGGCTTCTCAGCTTGCTGAGTAGCTCGTTTGCCAAGAATACGGTGGTCATCATCATGAATAGAGAGCTGACTCATACGGGTATTTGGAGTCTGACTTGATGCTATATCAGCACCAGAATCTGACGATTCTATCTCTTCCACTTTCGTTGTATCGAAAGGCGCCTGCTCGGTATCTTCAGCTTGCCCGGAATATTCAGCCTCTCTGGCGTTATCATCCTGCCGTTGTGCTACCATGCTAGGCAAGTTGTAAATGATCGCAACGAACCAATGTTGGCTGACATTTATCGGCACAACGACATATGGGAATTCGAAGATATTGACTTTGTTCGTCCACTTCTTCACAGCTTCGAAGTTGAAAGCCTTCCTTCCAAGCTTGGTCGAGAGCGCAGTGTAGAAAAATGTGTTGAACATGTGGATCTCCTGCCGCCGGCGGGTATCCATTGACTCTTCGATCTCGCGCAGCGCGAAGCTGAGGATGGTGTCATTCAGGAACTCACCTTCGTCGAGACGCGCAAGGTCTTCAACATTGACGGTGACGCGGCGAAGAGCAGGCAGCGGTGGATAGATCACAGGATTGCGCCACGAGCTGACATCGTTCAACTGGGTCCACCGAGGAGGTGTTACGACGCGAGCGACGGATTGGCTTACCCCTACGGATCTTCTGGTCCCTCGTCTTGCTCCTTCACGGACTGATGGTTCCACAGCATCATCTCGGCTGACATCACCTTTTGATGTCTGGCTTTCACGTTCGACAAGGGGAAAGCTCGACGCTTCCGTCATACGCGAACCCACTTTCGCAGGTGGCTCGTCATCAGCTTGGTCAGATTCATAGACAATCTTCTCGTCGTCAGATTGATTTGCACCAGGTGGTTCGTGCGCCTGTGGGGCCAACTTGCGTTGAAATTGTCGAGTTGCGTGAGCCCCCCAAAGGTCTGTTTGTTGTTGGAAAACGCCTTTGATGTGTTCACGGCTTTGCTCACTAATTTCTGGCTTTCTTTGCGTGGACTCTAAAACTCGACGAATAAATTCGTGCCTTCCCGCTTGCGTCTGGAAGTCTATCAGGATCATCCCTCTGCTCAGTGAATCTGCCGAGGCTTTCAAAATTACTTTGGTCGTGTCTTCATTGATGATTATTGATGTGATCTTTGGACCAAGCGATAAGTCTTCCTCTCCATCCGATAAGCGTACTCGCGTGCCATCGCGCATGATGTGGAAGTACTTCCTGGGCGAGTCCCACACCAAATCTATGCCTCCGCCTCTCAGATGAATCCACGGTGACATGAGTTGAGTTAAGCTGATACGAACGCTTTCTTCTCTGACAGGACCGGCACGACGGTTGGGACCAGGGTCTACCACGCTGCTGCGGTCGCATGAGAACAGCGTCGGAGCAATATCTGAAGGTGATGGACTGCGCGGCGCTCTCGGTTTGTCGTGCCGACTGAACTGTTGTTCGTTGGAACTGCCGACTCTGGCGCCCATATTGGTAGGACCATTGAGCTCATCCTCATCCGAATCAATACACACAGGGATATCGCCGTTATCGCGCTTGAATTTCCTTCGCAACTCCCCGCTATCCGATGCAGCATCACCGAGCTTAGGCCTAACGGCAGTCGAACCACGTTGTAGATCGCGCGAAGGGCTAACAAGTCCGAGGTTTTCGCCCTTTCTCTCCATCGCGAAAGATCGAAGACTTGGCGGAGGCGATGTGCGCGCAGAACTTGACTGTGTACGTTTCGCACTCATGGGCTGCCGATACTGGCTCTGTGTGGTAGGCTGATCGAAACCTTCGGTGAGATTGATTATGGGTCGCTTCTGATCTACATCATCGTCGGGTATTATAATACTTGACCGCTGTCCGGAGCCCACATCTTGCTCGGATTCACGTGGAGCAAGCTTCGCTGGCTGGTCCTGAACTCGGACCTCATGATAGTGTCTCGGCGGCGAGAGAGCAGTATGTGACGAGCGCCGGCTGGACGCTGCGCTACCAGCATTGCCGGAATTCGGCCGTTTGGTCTGAGTCCCCAGTCTACAGCGACCCTCTCTGCTCTCAAGTCCTCGCGACTCGATACTGCAGAAGGGCACAATTGCCTGAGCTCTTGGGTTGAAGCCTAGTTTCTCCACCTCGCGTTTTGATATCGCTGTGCCGAATTCGAAGATTTCGTCCGAAGGAGCCGGCACAGGGGAGCTTTGTGTTGAATTGAGCTTTTGCTTCTTATTCGCAGGCAATGGGGATGAATATCGCTCAGTTTCGTACGCACTGGTTCTCTGCGGAGCACGTTTTGTTCCACCACTCAGAGTATCCATGAACGGTAGTCGGACCCAGTTGCGATATCTGCTGGTCTCTTGATCTGACGCCTCCATTCCGTGTGTATATCAAGACGAACTTGTCACCAGTAATGCTTTTGGGGTGGGAAGCAATTCCCCAACGCGAGCCGATTGCACTGGTGCGGTGACGTCGAACAGCATGGCCTGCACGAGCGCACAACGGCGATCACTCGGGCGGAACAGAGCTTGTTGATTCGTTGCAGGCGTGGTTTGGAGCTGGTCTGAAGCTGGTCCGACTGGACTTGATTATTGACGCGAAGGAAGGATTTGCGAGCGTTCCAAGGTGGTTCAGTCAAACACAAGAAAGTCGTCTTGCGCATGCAAGAGGAACTTCGAAAGTCCAGCAAGCAGATGGAGAGCGCGGTAGATCACGGAGTTAAATCTCGTGTGCTCCGGAGCCCTCGAGAAGGCGTCTCGGTGAACGTCTCGGGAGGGGACGTTGCTGCCTTAGGCATGAATAAATGGTGCTGACACGACCAGCACCCACCTGGATCGGTGGATGCCCAGTCGTGATGGGAATGAGGAAGGAGTATGTGTAGCAGCGTACCATATGGTCGTCGTGTCAAGATTACAGGTGACTGCTACCTCGCCTGTGTTTCGTAGGCGAGCCCATAGATATTATGACCCTACCTAGGTACTGTTTCCCAAGGGCCCTACGGGCACAATAGACTCTCGCCTCAGCACCGAAGACATTAGGCTATGCGACAGTCTCCCACGTCTTCGTCAGACTGCTAACTATCCACTCCGGACTTTTCCACCTGGCCCCATCCACCCATTCCTGACCTCCATGTGCTTTCATATGGCCGCCTTTCAGCAGCCAGATCAAAAGATCGGGTAGCCGCCAACCGAAAACGGCGCCGACACCATATGACTGCCCGACAGGAAGCAGCTGTGTTTCGGGATCGAAGGGCGCAAGGATCCGATCGGGCCCCGCTGGCTTCTGCACCGGATTTCCGTGTGCTGCAATCAAGTCTCTCTTCATGTTCGTACCCAGGACCGGCAAACCCATGAGTACATCGACGATCCCTTTCTTAGAGTAGGATCCAACATCGCCCAGGGCGTAGACCAATGGCCCAGCGTCGTCAACCCGGAGCGTGCGCTTGTTCATCTTGATACAGCCATCGGAATCGAGGAGGTTTTTGGGAGCGTAGGCCGTGTTGGGCATCATTCCCATTGCTGGAATGTATATGTCAGCGATGACCACTTCACCTTCGTGCAAGACTACTCGAGTCTTTCCGGTATCTAGTTTCTCCGACTCTTTTATTCTGGTCTGGTAGCGAACGTCAACTCCTACCCGATTGAGATATGTCTCTGCTCGAGATGCGATCTCAGGCCGAAGGAGCGGAAGCAGTCTCTCAGCACTGGTCAGGAGGACGACTTCGATCTTGCCATTTGACGGTCGCGACGAGAACCATCCTGCGCGTCCATTCAAAACCTCTGCGATCTCGCCGGCAGTTTCGACCCCCGTGGGCCCACCGCCAGCGACGATGATCCGCTTAGCGGTCGGCAATTCCTTACGAACCGTATGTAGTGCAGCTTGGACCTCCATATAGTCCGATCCTTGCAGCGAGTGAAGTGGTGAAGGTGACCGCGAGCCGGTCGCCAGAATCAACGAATGGTACGACAGGACGGTCTTACTCCCATCGGACTTCTTCACATCTATCACGCACTTCTCAGAATCCCAGAAGGTGGCGGCGCCATGGACGAGCGTGATCTTTTCGCCATAGGCCCGGAAGGCTTGCTGATAGTCCAGGAAAATAGACGCGTCAGGCCCCAATCGGTCGCTTGCAGTCGCGCGCGGCGTGCCTGGACGCCAGTAGAATTTCGAGCTTGGATCTACCAGGACAACCCGGTAGAGGACGCCTTCGACCTGCGGCAGCTGGGGATGGATATGCCTCAGGAAGTAATGGGCTGCACTGAGGCCTGCAATCGAGGCGCCGAGGATAACGATGTTGCGGACGTCGGACATCTCTTGAACGAGCTGGAGTAGATGGAGACCCAGACACACAAGACGACATCAACACAGGGGCAATTTGATCTGTCTGCTCTACGAACTGGCCTTCCTGGACATGCAATTATATATATATATCTCTCTCTCTATGTTACCGACAAGGTTGCGATTGCGAACACTGGAAGAATCAATAGCGTGCGGGTCGCCATCGTTATACATCGTGAACACCTGGGCAAACATCCCTTCCCTGGGTGTGGGGCCAAACAATCGTCCCAGCGCAGTGCGGGGCGTCCTCCAGTTGTTATTATTCTCCAGTATAGGGATCTAATGCCCCTTCGTTATGAGCCTCGCCGCCTGTATAATCTCTTTGTGTCGCTAAGTCTAATAAGTCTAAGATTGAATTGATATCTCGGACACTTTCACTGGAGCTACAATGTCTCAAACCTCCAGCTTATGACGGTTCTCAGCCATGTACAACAAGCACATCTCCGCGTCGTGAGCCGACCACGATAGTGTACCTACTAGTCGGTAGGTACATATAGAATTGCACGAGCAGAATTCCCGGCGACTGTACCTACGAACGGTAGTTGAGAAGCGGGCGAAATGTTTGTAAAGGCGTGGGAACCCAGGCATAAACAAACCACGTCCAACAACGGCCCAGGCGGTTCTGTAGCCGGACGTGACTTGTGTGGCGACGATGCGGTCGACGACGAGGAGGAGGAGGAGGAGGAGGAGGAGGAGGAGGAGCATGGGACAGGGCTTAGCATCTTCGCAGGCTTGTCACTGCGTCGTTAAGGTTGCCTACACCCGGTATATCTATACCTGACGTCCAAAAGAGTCATTGGACGAATATGGATTTCTGGCAGCGCTCGCGCGCATCGTGGTCCCTCGTCGTGGTCCCTCGTTGTCTTTTCTCGTCGTCGTCGTCGTCGTCTCCGCAGCAGAGCAGTGGGGCCATCCATGCTGGCAGGCGATGCTGATGTGTGTGTGTGTGCGTACGGTGGTTCGGCGGACATGCAGACTCAATCCACCCATGCCTAGTACACACAGTCCACTACCGCGAGTGCCTGCCAGCATACCTACCTCCTACCTAGTAGGTACGGTATTACAGTCCACCTGGGCGAAATATTCCTCTTCATCACCACCACCAAACGGGACAATGCACGCACGGGGCGAGCAGCCAAGCCCAAGCCGGCCGGTGACGTGTGGGAAAAGTCGGAGGGGCACATGCATACGGGCGTGCATGAGATGGTCAATTTTCTTTTCCTCCCAAGGTTCCCTGGGCAGGTCCCAAGCCCGTTGTCTGTTCGCTTGCTGCTGCTGCTGCTGTTGTGGGCATTGACCCGGGAGGTGCAGCCACAGCGGCAGAGCAGGAAGCACCGATCAAGCATATCGCAGGTGCCGTCCAGCGTTTCCGGAACTACAGTCCCTACAGTAGGACTACTGCACTGGGCTGCACTGTTCCGTACTGTGCTGCACCCACACCAGAGACCAGAGCTGTCGTCCTGGATGCCCAACGACGCATGTGGCGCTTCTTTTCTTCCGCACTTTGTCTAGATCCACCGCGTCCAGAGAAGTTTTCTCGAGAGGAACCATCACTCTTGCCAAGACCAAGAACATTCAGCACCTACACATCTCTCGACGTCCTACATAGAAAGCCATCCTTCTACCGCCGCTCTCCTTGCCCAGGTACGATCGCGTTTCTCTGTGTCGCAAAGACCCTTCAACTTCAACCGTCGCTCTCTTGGACGTTCCGCACATCGTCTGTCTAACAGCCGACCTCTCGCAGCGCGGCGCATCCTCGACTCAACCTGGCACCATCGTGAGGTGTCAGTGTCGCCCATCGTCTCCTCGTTCCCGACTCCTCCTTCTATGCGTCCAGAAGACCTGCTGGAATTCCTGTCCAAGCCCAAGAAGTAGGTCGTCCCTGATATCTTGGGATCTGACAATGCCCGCCGTGCTGATTCTCCGTCCCACAGGCCGAGATAACCCCGTCGATAGCCACCACTATATCATACACTGCCCAGAAAGAGAGAGTCGCTGTAACCACTGTTCGACATCGGACCGGTACGCGTTCTGTGAGACGGATCACAGACAACAAAGTCGGGTTCCTGGGCACATCGCCGCCATCCAGCCCTCCACAGCGTCCGTTCAGGACGTTGCCAACTCCCCTCCCCTCATTGCGGCTGGCGAAAGCCAGCGTGTCGCGTACTCCCCGCAGTGTCACAGCTATAGGTCTGGCCATCGGATCAGTGAGACAACTCGACGCTCCACCGAGTGATTTCCGATTGACTGCCGGTCTTCGTCAGCCTTGCACGGACAAGGGAAGCGGAGATGGTGAACGTCGAAATCCCGACCAATTATACCAATTCGCCGTCCTCGCTGAGCGGCACGCCATATTTGACCATCAATCGGGACATAACTGCCCTGGACCTTGATTCCAGCAATGCATTCGAAGGACCAGAGAAGCTCTTGGAGGTATGGTTTTCACCGTCCGAGAAGATCCTTCCGACGTCTGCCTCACCCTTGGGCCTGAAGGCTGTCTCGCAGGAGACATGGAAGGAAATGTTGGATCTAGTGAACTGCAAGATTCTCTCGGTGATCGAATCCCACAACGTCGACGCCTACTTGCTCTCGGAGTCTAGCATGTTTGTGTTTCCCCACAAGCTTGTCTTGAAAACGTGCGGAACCACGACGCTGTTGTGTGGCCTCCCTCGTATGCTGGAGATCGCCGCCCTCGAAGCCGGCTTTCCTCATGTTCAAGCCGACTTGAAGGAGAGTCGCCCAGCATTGGCGACCCCTCATCGCATATTCTACAGCCGCAAGAACTACTTGTTCCCCGACCAGCAACGCGGTCCACACCGGAGCTGGCGCGATGAGGTCCGTTACCTGGACAAGATGTTCACAGGAGGGAGTGCGTACATGATCGGTAAGATGAATGGCGAACACTGGTATCTGTACATCACAGGACCCATGACCGAGTTGACCCCACCGGCTACGCCTGACGATGAGCGTTTCAAGACACCCACGAAGGAGTTGGTCTTTCCGGACAAGGCCCATGAATCCAACTCAGCCGCAGGAGACGAGACCCTGGAAATTCTGATGACCGATTTGGACGAAGAGAATGCGCGTCAGTTCTATCTCAACGATGCCACGATCATCGCACAGGACAACGCTCGCAGCGCGCACCAAGCTCGCAAGCAGGCCATTGAGCACCTCGGCGTCATTGCAGAAGCGAATGGCTCTGATCCGAGCATTTCGGGCAACACGCTGGTAAACGGTGGCAGTGGCGACGACGCCTCGTTCGACGTCTTCGCGCAGACCTCCGACGATCACTCCAGCTTCAGCTCCGACGCCAACGACGATGTCCTCACCTTCTCCGAGGAGCTGAGCACCGAGGGCCACGCCCTCGGAACGGTCGTCACCGAGGCCTGTGGTTTGGCGGACGTCTATCCGACCACCAAGTACCCAGACGCGCGCATCGATTCCTACTTGTTCACGCCTTGCGGCTACTCTGCCAACGGAGTCGTCCCAGTGCCGGGGGACGGTGCCGCAACACACTACTGGACCGTACACGTCACCCCCGAGCCGCAATGCTCGTACGCCAGCTTCGAGACCAACGTGCCCACGCGCCACACCGGTCGCGACACGGTGGATGTCGTCCAGCAGGTCGTGGGGATCTTCCAGCCTGGGCGTTTCAGCGTGACCATGTTCGAAGAGAAAGACGCAGACGAGAAGACGTACGCCAAGAGGGACAAGACGATGGATTTCGTCAAAGGCTACCGTCGCATTGATCGGATCGTGCATGATCTCGAAGGCTACGAGTTGGTGTTCCGATACTTTGAGCGCGAGGGCTGGGCTGGTGGTGCCCCTAGGTTGGGAGAGCACAGTCCGTGAGAAGATGATGCTCCGCGTCTGATCTGAAGGGCTCCCTGCGATCCGTCTGTTCTAATGTCGTGCTTTGCTATTTGCTATGATAGATGACCTTTTGAATTTCTAACGCTTGCGCTTCTCAATCTTAACCTCGTCATCCGATCTTTTGAGCTTTTCAGGACTCGAGGGTGGTCAATCAGACCCCGCGAAAGTAGGAAAATACAACGGGAATCCTACAAGATAATTTTACAATGTGAAACTCTTCGGAGGACTACTCATAACGCCTTTCCATCATTCTTGCGTCCCAGGCGAAGGATCGCTTCGCGGCAAGCATTGATGACCTTTCGCGCCTCGCGCCATTCCCTCTCAGAAGTCCTGTCGATCGACGTCCTCCCGCCCTTCTCGATCAAGGCGCGGAGCTGTTGCTCCACGTCGATGAGCACCCTCCTGCCGTTCTCGCGAGCGGTCTGGGTGAAGGCCGTCCGCTCCCTGCTCCACTTGGTCTGCAGACGGCGCAGACTCCAGACGAAGCCCAGTGCAGCGACGGCACCAGCCTCGTAGAGCGCTACCCCGCCCGAGGCGGCGAGGATCGTGCCCGCGAGAACCCCGGATCCGCCCATGAGTGACAGGACGCTGACCAGGAGGCCCTGTGCTCGTCGATGTAGGGCGGGGACGACTTCGTGCAACATTTGCTGTCGCGCGACGGCGATGCTCTGGGGCCAAGGCGGGTTGAACAATGGGTTGAGCCCGCTGTCTTGCTTGACTCGCGCTAGCATCGGTGTGAAATTGAGGACTTCGGCGACAGTGCCCTGCTTTTTGGAGTGCTCTTTGACGCCATTGTAATCAGCGATCACGGCGTGGTGGGCATCATTGAGTAAGGTCGTCTTGCTGGCGTCCGAGGACAGCACGCCTCGCATGTCGTCGGCCGAAGCGACACCTGCCTGGAGAACGCGACCGCTGAGGAAGGCGAGTGTCTGCTCGGCTTCCACGAGCCAGCCACGGACTAAAACTTCAGATGCTGAAAGTGACACCTCATCAATGCGCCAGAGCAGTCGCCACCAAGCGGTCTTCCGCCATGTTGCTGAGTCCAGCGCTGTGTCGAGATTGGTGGCCAGGTCGCCATGCGCCTCTTCAGACCATGTGGCAGTGGCCTTGCGCAACGACATCCTCGTCGCATCAGAGACGTCTGAAGCAACTGACGACCTGGCAGCTCGAGACTCGGCCAAGGTCACCGCCTTTTCTGCGCCCGTCAGAAGCACCTCAATTAGTCCTTGCACTGCGGGCTTGAGCCCGTCTGCGGTGGCTGAATCATCCACAGCACGCTTAAGCCATGCCGTCACGGTAGGTACACGACTTGCTTGCCATTCCCTGTTGAACGCTGCGCCGTTGGCCTTGTCAGCGCGGAATATCGAGATGGAATGCGAAGCTAGGTCAGTGTCTATCGATTTATCGGAACTATCCGCTTCAGCATTGAGAGGCGTTGAGGCGGAGCGGAGGGGAATGCTCAATGTCGAATTGATGGTCTCGCCATCAACAGTATTAGAGGGCAATGTTCCAAATGCTATCGCGCCAGATACGCCCTCGCCGACGATCAGGGCTCTGTGAACAGGATGCCGGACAAATCCAACACGACCAGCGTTCGAATTCGAGATGGTGACGGGCGGAACCAGAAGAGTCTCTTCCAAGTTGATGGTGGAGGATGCACTGTTCTCACCTAGCGGCGTGACTAGGATCTCGAGGTTAAGCCTCCGGAGAAGCGGTGATGGTATGGACAGTGTCTTGATCAGGGGGGTGCTGTTCTGTACCCCACTGTCCACCTGCGCATCGCCGTATTTCAAAAGTATACTCCTCTCGTCGCCAGGACTGTTGAGGACCTTCTCCCACGCTTGTTCATCCTCCAATGCATCACTGAATAGCACCCGGGCTAATTGCCGAGCCGCATGGTAGCCATTCTTGCCCAATGCGACAAAGGCTACTCGGATGACAGGATCTGAACCTTCGAGGCTTCGTAGTGCGAGCTGAAGTTGTGAAAGGTTGATGTAGCTGCTTGCGTCCTCCTGCAGATGACTGAGGCGCTGATGGAGTTCGCGCAGCGCCGGAGGGACGGGAGACGGCGCATTGACGGCTGTCTTGGACGCGTGATCTTCTTGTGCTAGTCGACGTGTTGAGTGGAAATGGCGGACCGAGGGACGGACGCTCCCTGCTGAAGCTCTCGTATCATTGCTGTTAGATGTGGTAAGTTGTCTTGCAGAGCCAGCAACACGTCTGCTGATGAACGAGCGCGAACGTGCTGGTTGGAAGCTTCGTTGGAGGCGACAAGATGGACACACGAAGCCTTCCCCAAGGACAGGTTTGAGTAGACGCCGCTCCGCGATTACTCTCCGAGACGCAAGCTCCATATTGACTTGAGGTGCCCGAGCAATGATGTTCTTGCTCGACGAAGATGAATCTCGGCACAGAAAGTTGAAACTGGCTGTGTAGCTCTCCACGGCTTACCTTCCTCCGTCGCAAGTCCACCAGGTTGGACTTGTTAGAATTACGTATGTGCCGTCATTCAGGGACCGATCTGGCAACCACGTCAATCATTACTTGTTCGACAGGATAACCCATAGAGATTGGAAACAACTCCTTTCGACTTGATCCTAAGCTTCACCCTGGTCTATTGATACGCATCTGCATTCGGCAATTTGCCGCAGCGCAAAACACGCCACAGTCTCACAGCAGTTGTATCCAAGGGAGCGAGGAAACATCGTCGTTCACCATGTCGTTGAAATCAAGATCCGATGTGTCCTACGCCAAACACAAACTTCCGTACCCCATCTATGCGGCCGATTTCGATCCCGCTCGACGTGGCTATTTGGTCGTAGGAGGGGGCGGAGGAGAGTCCAGCACTGGCATTGCCAATCAGATTGTACGTATCCAGCTCCAGCATCGGCGCATCGGTCACTGACGTGCTCTCAAGACCGTGTTTGATGTATCAAACCGTGGTACAGTCGTGCCTGTCCTTGACATCGACCTCTCTCGAACCGAAGACTCAGTAGCTTCTCTCGCGAATTTAGCCACCAAAGATGGTCTTATCTCCCTAGCTGGCATCAACTCATCCACAGCAGACCAGAAGGCCGGCAAAAACGAGCACTTGCGCGCGTTTCACATTCGCTATCCGCCGAGGAAAAAGCAAAAGACGGAGGAGGCGGATTCCAAGCAAGAAGGGAATATCACAATCCTCGGCAAGCGCTCGTTCTTCAAGCCTTCGGCCAGCGTGAAGGAGCAGACGTATCAGCGTCTGCTGCGTCTATCTCCAGCGCGGCGGCAGGAGTCGGGCAACAAGCGCATCGGCGCCATAGCTAGCGGGCTGGCCCAAGAGCCACAGATCATCGTTTTCAATGCCACCGCGATGCCTCCAGAGGAGGGCGATGTGATTGCCAGAATTGACCTGCCGGTGCGATCTGAAGCTGCAGACATGGACATCATTTTCACCGACGACTCCGAGTACAGCTTGGCGTACTGCGATGACTACAACATCCATGAACAGACGTATCAGATCGACTTCGCCAGCAAAAAGATTGACAAGCGCCCGCGAGGACCCAGACGAGTGCACCAAATGGCCTTGCCGGACACTCTTTCCGACATGAAGAGTCGGTCCAAGTTCCGGTGTCTGCGGTTTCTGAACGACTTCAGCCTTTTGGCCCTTGCCAACAAGCCTAACAAGAAGGGTGCCGAATTGCGGCTTTACCATCTTTATCCCACTGGTCCAGCGATGGAGGTCTGGCACAAGACCCTGCCATCACACATCAAGCAGGCTGCATCGATGGACGTCTGTCTGCTCGACGCGGATGAGTTTGGCAACCGACAAGTCGTTATTGCAGTAGCAGGACAAGACATCAGCATCGAAGTCTTCACGACCAATTACTCAAGCAGCACGGAGACATTCACTTCGCTGAGGTCATATTTGACGATGCGAGAGGTCCATGAGCAGGGAATGACGCAAATTTGTTTCGAGCCTTTTGAATCGCCCCCGCGAGCACCGGATGTGGACCCCAAGGCTGGTGGCAAAGGCGAAGCGATGACCACGGCATTGCTGCATCCGGGTCCACAATACCTTCGGTTGGCTTCTGTGAGCTACGCCAATACCGTGGTCGTGGAGACCTTCCCGCTACAGCCACTAGAACCCAAGGACAAGAAATCTCGCTATGTGCTCAGCCACCCGGCCGATGAGTCGTTCAAGTTCTGGTCTTACGCGGTGATCATCGGGACGATGGTGCTCGTCGGCGCAATATTGCTGCAGTCAGTCCTCAGCGGCGGTGCCGGCTCAGCTGCGGACCTACTCTCCTTCCTCCCTCCCGAAGTCCAGCGTTTCCTGCAGCAACCTCTTACACCAAGCGCGGTCCAACCTGGAATTGTCCCGACAGCGCACCAGCCCCTTACGCTGAGCAGTTCGACTCCGACCACAGTCGTTCACACCGTGGAAGTGAAACACGCCACGGCGAGCGACGAGCCCGTCGTCGCCACAAGCACCGCAGACCTACGTGAGATGCTCGCCGAGCACCACACCTCACCCGAGGCGGCCGAGACTGTTGCGGTCGTCGTAAGCGAGGCCGCCGACGGGAGCGGCATTGACGTCGACACGCACCCCGACAAGGCAGAGTATCTTCAGGAGAACACCGATGCCAAGCACTGGGACGAGCTCGAGCCGCACGCCAAGGCCTACTGGAAACGCAAGCTGATCAAGGCGGGACAATGGGCAGAACACGAGGGCGAGTCCGTCCTGAAGGGTGTGTTGTGGAGCACGTATTCCGGGTTTGTCGGACAGGTTGCTGGAGAGATCCTACGGGAGCTGTGAGGAAACGATCTCGCCACTACACGTTCTACGAAATAGTTGAATTTTCCTGGGAGAATCCTGAATCCATTCTTCACTTGCCGCCGAAGGTGAGGGCCTCCAGGTCCGCCTGGCGTGTCAGCGTTGTTCTCCATGCCTGTTCCCTACCACAAAAAGCCGAGCCGTCTCTCGGAGGGCTCATCCCAAGAAAGAATCCCTCTCATGGTTGTGCGACCCCACTCCAACCAATCCGAGCTTCTCCTAGGGCTCAGTCATCGCCTGGAAGTCCTGTCATCAGTCTGTCAATCGTACAGGACCAGCGGTGAGTCGCAGATGCGTTGGGAAGAAAATTCCGTCAGCTTCGGCCGAAGCCCCCCTAAAGCGAGGTGCTGATGGATGCTGTGTTAGAGAGCACTGCTTCACCATTGCCTTGTGCTCAAATTGCATGCTGTGACGCGCGCCTAATCGATGGCGCCGGATGCTCTTAGGGCACGCGGCGATCTGGATGTGTACACAAACCCGTCGCCGGGCGGCACATTCGTCTGATTCTCAGCAGTGGCCGTCCAAAGGCGAATTCGATGGATCTGCCCTGCCGTTGTCGTACAGGGGGGTCTTTGTGTCGTTGCTGATCAGGCATGGTCCCGCGCGGCGTCCTTCACCTGGGTGGGAAAACCTGTGCGGGATGGAGAGGTTTCTTTCATCCTCAACGGTCTACCGTGCTGACGGGTATAACGCATGACAGCAGGAACAGACAATGACAGTGCTTGTGGGCGCGCCATGATCCCATGTCGCTGTTATGTTCAGTGCAGGATCGACATCCTTGGTCCTCCCATCAGTTCCTGGCAATCCTACCCAATCGTCACGTACTAGGTACCCAGGAACGACTCTGTGCTGCTCCAGCTTCCTTCGTCCTTCCCATGAGACTCATTCCCACCCGTGCCATCTTGTGTCACAGCATATTGATCGGAATTACCCACGGGTGATACGCATGAATGCCGTACAGATGCAATGCGAGGAAGACATGTAATTTCCCTCTCGGTCCGCTTAGCCGTGCTGTGACGATCGGCTCCGATGGCCTGAGTGGACCCCTCGCACCAGATGAGGGACCGGTCGTGTCGATTGGGCGCCGCTGAGTTTCGTTCTTTCCGCGCGACTGAACATCAAGATGTGTCGCGGCCCTTTGGTCGGGATCATCACGATGTGCCCATCGACGTCACAAAATCAGGAAACAGACATGCTCGGGCAGGGTGATGTGGTCGTGCTACGCCGACGGGACGCTACGAGTGATGGGACGGCAGAAGGCGCTGCTCTGGGCAATTCTCCGAGGCTGGGCCGTGATTGATTGATGGATGCATCGATGGATGGATGGATGGAGCAGCAGCTCAACATTCTCGCTGTAGGGCGGATTGGATGGACAGGTCACACACAACGGCCGGCTTGGAAAGGAAATGATCCAGGTATGTTTCTGGCAGGATGCGTCGCGCCTCCGGGCAGGCATCGGCGCATGCAGGCGGGCATATCGCAGGGTACGGGCTGTTTTCGAGGTACAGTATGTATTTTCACCTGCACGGCACGAACACGTCCTCCTGCGGTCTGAGCTGTCCTGAGCTGTCCTGTCCTGTCCGTGAGACGATACATCAACGACGATATTTATTGATGCATCGGGCATGTCTCAGACGGCCGTCGCCATCCTGGGCAACGACGGCGCTTCGGTGCCATGGTTGGACGGCGACGGTTATTGTTGTGCAGATGGACAACGTGGATACCGACCGGAACGATCACTGCACATTCTGGGACAGGCGACGGAGGGGACGCACGTGGAAACGCTGAAGCATACCTTCCAAGGTTAGGTAGGTAGGTATATACCGATGAGGAACCGAACGCGACTACATGTACCTGATCCCTCCTTCTTCCGGGCACGATGCACTGTGATGACGACGACGACGACGATGATGATCATTACCGTTATTTTTTTTATTGTTGTTATCGTTGTTAGAGAGTTCTATCATTTCGAGGTGCAAAGTCCCCACTGTAGGGAGTATGCAAGGTACAGTAGTACTACCTAGTACCTAGGTAGGTGAGAAAGATCAGCCATCCGATCGAGATCAGAAGGTGCAGGTAGGTGACATGACAGGCAGGCACACGACAGGCCCGCCCCGGGAGCGATCATCTCTGCTCTCCTCTCCTCTCCTCTCCGCGCCTGCCCTGCCCTGCCCTGCCCTGCCATCTCCTCATTCCTCTTTTTTTTTGCGACACGTCCACGGTGCCGGCTTCACACAGTCCACCACCTGCCCTGCCTGGCCGGGTCTCGGGCGCGATGATTATGATATGATAATCATAACAACAATCATGATAGCAATATAGTAATGATAACCTTGGAATATTGGAGGCCTTGGAATGCATTGGGGAGCTGACCAGGTGGTCAGCAGCCCCGTCGTTGCCACTCTCTCCACACACGCCCGCCCCAGGAGACGACTCCGCTGCTCTCGGCCGCCACCCAACCCTTGCCTGTGCAGCGGGAATGCGACACCCCCCGACCCCAACCCATCGTCCGTCCGATTCTGCCGGGTCACGGATGACGAAGCGGCGTGCTTTGGCAGATGAGATCAGCCGTGGTGGGAGAGGAGGGCATGCAGTAGTCTCAGACTATATAGACAGGCGACAGGTCACATCCGAACGCGTGACGTGCGCTTCGGCATTGTAATTATGGTGATGGTGATTGTTACTACTATGTGTTATTATTGTGATCATTCTCCTTGTGAAGCGTGGGCTAGTCGTGTCAAGGGTGTGCTCGCGCGATACGGATCCGCGCCGTTCGTCCGTAGCGTACTGTACACGACTGGGTCGACATGTCATCGATCGGGTTTGGACGATGTGACGATCTCTCGGCAGGTCGAGACGTTTGGTGAATGTCATTCGATATATGCGATGAGTGCTCCGACAGGCATGGGATGGAGGGATCGTGTTGTATTCCAAGGTCGTCGACGATGAGGACTCACTCACATCACACACCCTGCACATCCCGGGGCAGCGCTGCGCAGACGAGCGAGAGGGAAACCACGAATTTCACCTGGTGGTGAACGGGTGCCTTGGAATGCCCAGAAGGGGCCGTGCATCTCGACTAGAGGGCAAACAGGCAAGCGCGGCCCCCGATCACGTTGAGGGATAACGACGATGTTGCGCAAGCACAACATCCGCCATCCCATTCCGGCATTTGCGACTTCAGTACTACTACTGGGAACACCCGTCCTACGGTTGGACAGGTCCTCCTTCCGGAAGAGAAAAGAAACATGATATTCTCGCTGGGGATACCACCATACCGTCTCAAACCCCATCGTGGATTATATAGATACCTCTATAGGTTTGATATATATATATATATATATATCTATCTATCTCATGTATACAGTAACACACATTAGACTTCGGGCGGCCAAACCCACCCTCTGTTTGACATATATGACCACTGACGCGCCCACGCGACCTAGATGCATGTCGCTAGCCATTCCCTCAACAACCGCACGCACTCTCCTGCGCTCTCCTGCATCAGTCGCACGCCTAGGCATGCAACACTTGGGCTGCCTGACAGCTGTTAGCGGGTTCGAACCGGTGTTTCCTCCCTGCACTCTGCGCATCCGGACGACGACGAGGAGGAGCGGAGAGGGGGACGGTCACATGCCCGGTGGCTTCCTCTGGAACTCCGCCTATCAACTAGCGCGTGGGCCGAGCGCCAAACGGCCATGAGGAAGGCTGACGAAACCATGGCCACCGCGTCGATCACGCCCGAGGAGGATGAATTGGACCTCGATGCGGGCCTGGGCCTAGACGACGACGCTGCTGCCGTCACCGCGGATGCCAACGCTGCGGCGGACGCTGGGTGCCGCAACTCTATCGACAGCGCCAGATCCGCGAGGTCCTACGTCGACACCGCGGATGACCACCACCCGTTCGTGCTTTCGCCCGCGAGCCGGGAGGAGGTCGATGATGATCGAGTCCGCCCGCGTGCTCTCTCATCAGTCGACCCGGCGAGTGGGCGCTGCACGCTTCGCAACCACTCGCGCCACCGATCCCAGCAGCGACGACCGCCTTCTCAAGGCACCGACGCGACAGAGCCAGCCTTACCACCACCAGCGACTACATCATCATCGCCTCCACCATCACGATCGCCGCCTCCGACACCATCGTTACTGCTCTCAGAGGAGGAACTGAGCCCTCACCGAGCCGAGCGCAGGAAAAAGACCGAGGCGCTAACGAACTTTCGAGATTCCCTCTTGGGACTCGGAGCATGGCGTCGACCAAGCGTTGCGGAGGGCGAAATAGCGCGTTTCAGAGATGACACCCGCCCCTCCTCACGCATTGGGAGGTTGTATACGTACCGCAAGGCCGACGATCTCAAAACTGATCCCACCACCGCACACGGTAAGCGAAATGACCACCGCTCTGTACTTGCATTTCGTCGTTCTGTTCCCTTCATCGTCTGTCTGACCCATCACGCTCTCGGTCATAACGCTCATTTTTTTTCCTTCTTCCGTAATCTTAGTCAAACATCAACGTCGCAAAGACAGCATATCGAGCCCGTTCAATTTCCAACACATCACCCATACGCCGCGCCAGCATCTCGTTCAACTACAAGACGTCTCCCAGCAGGAGCTCGCCGCCAAATTCTGGGCCTTGTCCACCGCCGAGACCATGCCTGCAGCGACAGCACCGCGCGTCCGTCTGCGCGCGGATGAACTGCGCGAGAAGATCCATCGTGAGATGGGCATTCCCAAGCTCCCACCCCCATCGCATCTAGGCCTGTTGATCTCGACGTCGTCGCCAGCGCTGCCTCGACCGTCCTTGCCGACAAACACCACCGTCATGCGCACCGGAGCGCGCCCACACACCGCATGGTCGGCATCGAATCGAAGCCCGACCTCCCTGCACAGCCCCGATGGATACGCCTCGCCCTTCGACTTTGGCAACAAGTCGGACCACCACGATCCGGACGCTGTGGTGATGAGCGCGAGTGCGCTTCCTCCTCGCAGACAGTCGCTCTCGGCACCCAAGCTGATGAAAAGCATGGCGCTGAGCTCTCCGGTCGTGGCGTCAGGTTTCGTCCACGAGCTCCCCGGCGACTCTCCAACCCTGGAGCGGTCGCTTTCCAAGCCGTTGCCGCCACTGACTCACCGCGACGAGACCGTACCTTCCAAGAGCCGGTCGAACTCTGTACATACGCCCGGCGACCTCAAGTCTTCTCGCACACGGTCATTCGCGGTCTCTAAGCTAAATCCGAAGCGAATTTCGAGGTCGTTGCCGCGTTCGACAAAGCTTGCGCGCCTCTCAGAAGAGATGCATGTCCCAGACATCTTCGACGATTCCAATTGGGAGGCCGACGTCGACTTCTGTTACCAACATTCGGCGGAATCCACCTGTGATTTCGACTGGTCGTTTGTTGACTTGAGCGTCCCAAGACCCGAGGGGGGACGCAGCTTGTGTGAGAGCTTGGACAGTGCAAACGTACCCGGTCAAACACTGTCTTCCAAGACCTCCAACGTTTCGACCGGCGCCTCTGTTAACGTGTCCGACGCGCGAACGCCGTCACCCGTCTCGGAGCGCTTCGGAGCGGATCACCAGCGAGGCCCTTCGGTCGGACATCGCGGATTTCTCGCCGCGAGAAATGGCGGGACGGCACCCACGACACCGGTGCTGGATCTCAGCATGCTCGACCGCGACTACGGGTGCGAGTCTCCTGCGCTCGGTCGAGGCCTCATGAGCTTTCCTCACGCTATTCCGCAGAGCAACGGGTCCAAGTGGTCGCCTCGTGTCGACAGCGCCAACGCTGAATACCCTAGCGATGAAGAGTGCATCCTCACCGGTGTCCATCTCTCGGGGCTGAGCCTCTCTTCGAAGAACCTGTCGCGCGTTGTCGCGGATGACAGCGCCGTGCGCTCGTCCACAAGGCCTCCCGGAACCTGTCCCACCGAGCCGCCACAACGCAGGAGGAGCAAGTCGGCCGCGAGCAGTTCGACCCGTCCTCTGGTAGCCCCTTGGCCGTCGGCCCAATTGCCGTTCGCACCTTCGCTGCTGGTCACCATGCCTTCGTCAGACACAGCGGCAGCGAGACCATCGCTACCGCGTCGACCATCGACCCCGCAGCGATTCTCCAGGCTCTTGGACTCGCCAATCCACGTCTGACGTCTTCAAGGCATCGACCTTTTGTTTTACTGCATCTCATTCAATCTGTGCCGCGTTTGGGCGGTTGTTACATTATGTTGATTTATTCTAATTTCTGGGCATCTGCCCTGGTGCAAGCGCTGGCGTTTCGGAGACAATGGAGGGACTAGGCCGGCTATGGGAGGGTTGTGATCTATATGTGTGCCTGATGATAATGAGGGATGATCTCTGCCTTCGAGACGGGGAACTTGATGGGAAGCTCAGCTGGATATACGAGGGCTTGGGTAGGATGGGATTGTACAATTACGGTAATGACGTCGCATACCAAAAGTCTTTTCTTCTCCTGACGCTTGTGCCATCGTGGGATGACAGTCTTACACCGGTCGTCCACCTTTCCTTCCATGCGCGGTCTGTGAGGTGAAGGAACGATGTCTGCGATGATTGGGTCGACATGGTTATGATCACGATGATGATGAACCGTGGAATTTGCGGGATGAGTCCCATCAAATCCTCCTATTCAAGTCCCGAGCCTGAGAGGGGTCGACGCCCCTGCGAACTAGCGGGCGCGCGGCACGAAGCGGCGGGCGGTAGGATGATGTTATCTCAGCGATTGGGCGGGCTTCCAGACTGTGACTTGCGGGTTGGTCACCAGTGTTACCCATCACCGCCTGTCGAACGCGACTGCTCGCCTTCAGGATTATACAGCACCACGGCCTGCGAGTCTCAGAATTTCACTGCTCGTCGAGAGTCTCGGGATCCACACGACTTCATCTGACAAATAGACCTGCTGCTGGTGGAGGGTGACGAAACCGTAGTCCTGGCCCGGTAACAACGGTTTCGAGGACTCCCACTCCCGCACAGGGTCTTCGAAGGGATAGCCCGATCAACAACATACGACTCCCCGTGTTGCAATTCTTACGTGTTCCTGCATTCATCCGGCCGCAGCGAAGAATTCAAGTTCATTGTCCGCTCCCTCGTACCCCAAATTATGCCCATGAGAAGTGCATGATATGGCAGTGCTTGAACAGTCTTGGTACGTTCTGTCGCCAGGCTCGACCATTACTGGTGAATCCCATCGCAGCTCGTTTGACTGACGTTCTGGACGATCAGGGTCAAGGTCCAGGAGAAGACTTTCGGAAAATGGTGAGTCCAGTGAGGGCACAATGGCTGCCGTCGTCCAGTTGCAGACCGTCGTCTAACGGCAGGCCCCGCGCTCTGAAGGTTGAACAACAAACTCAAAGCCCGTAACGTCCAACTCAACGACCTCGTCAACGACCTCTCCGACGGCGTCATCCTCATACACCTCCTCGAGATTCTTTCGCAGGAGTCCTTGGGCCGCTATGCTGCCCGACCGAAGCTGCGCGTCCAGCGCTTCGAAAACGTCAACATCGCCCTGGACTTCATAAAAGGTCGGAAGATCCAATTGACGAATATTGGGGCGGAAGATGTCGTGGATGGCAACCGGAAGATCATATTGGGCTTGATTTGGACATTGATTCTACGCTTCACCATCAGCGACATTACGGACCAGGGCCTCAGCGCAAGAGAAGGTTTATTGCTCTGGTGTCAACGGAAGACTGCGTGCTACGACGACGTCTCCGTCAGAGATTTCTCCGCGAGTTGGAATGACGGTCTGGCGTTCTGCGCTCTTTTGGATATCCATCGTCCAGATTTGATCGACTTTGATCGGCTGGATAAGTCGGACCACAAAGGCAACATGCAGCTGGCGTTCGACATTGCATCGAAAGAGATTGGGATTCCGGACCTGTTGGACGTGGAAGATGTCGCCGACGTTGCGAAACCGGACGAGAGGTCGCTCATGACCTACATCGCATACTGGTTCCATGCCTTTTCACAGATGGAGAAGGTTGAGAATGCTGGCAGGCGGGTGGAGAAGTTCGTGGCGAATATGTCCGGCGCGTGGGAGATGCAGAACAACTATGAGAGGAGGATGCGCGCGCTATTGGAACAGATCATGGGTCAGCAGCAGACGTGGGAGAAGGCGCAGTTTGATGGGACATATGCTGAAGCGAAGGATCAGAGTCGCGTCTTCACGAAGTACAAGCAAAGCCAGAAGCGCGACTGGGTCGCGGAAAAGAGTGATCTCGCGGGCCTGCTCGGAAACGTCAAGACCAAACTCAATACCTACCGTCTGCGGCCGTACGAACCTCCTGCCGATCTCAGCCTGGAGGCGCTCGACCAAGCCTGGATCCGTCTGATGGAAGCCGAACGGAATCGCAGCCAGGTCATCAACAACACCATCCGTGACATCAAGAACAATCTACGGCGCACCTTCGCCGACAAGGCTAATGACTTTGCGTTGGCATTGAAGACAATGACCGCCAGTATCTCGGGCCTTGAAGGGGAGGTTGAAGACCAGCGAGACCACACCCATCAGATAGCCCAGAGCCTGCCCCCGATGGAGCAATACCTCGACATGATCGCACAACTTGACACGCAATGTCAGGAGGCCAACATCGAAGAGAACGATTACACAACATACACCTACGACGAACTCGCGTACGAGTTGGGTCTGGTCCGGTCCAGCGTTCAGAAGAAACTCGCATTCCTGGAAAATCAGATGGTAGCCAGGAACATGACCAACCTGACCCCGATCCAATTGGAGGAATTCGAGTCGGTCTTCCGACACTTCGACCGCGATCTCTCCAACTCCCTCCAGGAGCTCGAATTCTCCGCCGCCCTGGCAAGTCTCGGCTTGGTCTACGACGAGCAGGAGATGCACGAGCGTTTCCTCGAGGTCTCCGACCGCAACGGCAGCGTCTCCTTCGAGCAGTTCATCCGCTTCATGGTCGATGTCACCGAAGACCAGAACACCGCCGAGCAGGTCTTCGAGAGCTTCCGCGAGGTCGCCGACGGCAAACCTTACGTCACCGAGCTCGACCTCACGCACAGCCTGATCCCCGACGAGATCGTGCAGCAGCTTCTGGACACCATGCCCGCGCACAAGGGGCCCGATTTGCAAGAGGACCGCGACTTACCCAAGTATGACTACATCACGTTCATGGACAGATATCTTGGCGGGAAACCGAATGGTGGATGAGGGCAGGCGTCGTTGCGGAGTGATTGTGTGGAGAAAGCATAGGTCATATATCCCTAATGAAATCCCTAACGAGCATCGTCATATGAAATGCTGATCCCTGACCGTTTGGCATGGAACGTGTAGATAAAGCTTGACTGCGCGCGAATCATCTGGTCGAGTTCCCCGACGAGATGGGCCGTCCACGTCGGCGAGGTTTTTCGAACCAGGCCTTCAAAACCAGAAACGTTCAATGCCTCTCAGATCACGGCCGTTCCGTCTGCGTTGTATCGGCAATATACGCAAGCATCACTGATGGGCCCCCATGCCGTGAGAAGTCAGAGCCTTGATAGATGGGCCACGTCCGGAGCCAGTGCGTCAGAGAAAGAAACTTCGAACATCGCGAATCTACTGAAACATCGCCGAGGCTTCTCCGCCGTGATCAGGAACCTTTGCCAACGAGCACCGGCATCGGCCAAGCACCACGCGAAAACGGCAGCGCATCCGTCGAGCCGTGAACAGGAAGGGAGGAACGATACCCAAAGTCGTCGGAACAGACGCCTCTCAAAAAGACCGCTTGCGGTTCTTGTCGTACTCCCTCTTCGCCCTGAAGCTATCGTGATACGACTGCAGAGCTCTGACGTTCTCCTCGTGGGCCTTGCAAGCCTGGATGTTCTGTTGCTGCAAGGCAGCGAGGTTCTTCCGATATTCCTCGTTGGAGGAGATGGCCCGCTCGATCTGAGTCTTGGTTTCTCGCAAACGCTTGAGTTTCTCGTGCAGGTGGTCACATCGCTCGTTGTAGCCGATCTTCTCTTGTTCGGAGATGCCGCGGCTAGTCAGCATGGTTTGGAAGCGGGTCCATTCCTGTTCGGAGGTTTGGATGCTGGCTTCGAGGTCGGCTTTTTGACCGCGGAGGACGTTGTCGTCGAGAGAGGACATGGTGTGGATGATTCAGGCGCGAGGGAGATTTTGTGGTGGAAGAAAGGAAGCTAGGCGATGGTACGATATCTCCTGCATCATTCCGATCGTTTTAAACTTACGATGGCGTGTGTCTTCTTATATTGTGAATATTGTTGCTGCCGCGACCTCCCTGATTCGTCAGGTGACACCGAGCATATGGATGTATTTTGCTGGTGAAAGATCATCGTGTCACCCCTCGATAGGGGGCTTGGTGTTGCAAGGGAGGTTCTATTTGTACGAGCGCCACCGAACCGTCTCTATCCGAGTTCCAGCCGTTCTGGTCCGAACGAGACGTGGAAGTACATCTTTTGGCTTTTGTTGATCCTGCCACGTCGGGAGTGGAGTTTGTGTTTTGCTCGGATTGGTTGTGGCTTAAAAGTCCAGTGGGACATGGTTTGTCCGACAGGCGAGATGTAAACCGGAGTGGCGTCCGATCCAGCTGAGCTGGAGTCTGTTGGAAGTCATAGGGTCCTGTCGGCAACATCAGCGGAGGATGGAACGTGAGTCGCACAAGGACGCCGACTTGGTCGTCGACCTGCTGATTAAAAGGAATGGGTCGGCCAGTGAGCCCTTGCGTCGAGATGGCGGCACATCGTCTTCGTAATCCTCTTGCCAACGTAAACGGGCTTGACAACAAACGGGTAACGCCCCAATTCCGATGATCTTTATGATAATTCATACTGGTACTCCGCATGTGACATACACACGAGCTGCATAATGGTCGTGATTATGCATGGAATGCGGGCTTGTACGACACGGCAGACGAAGATAGCGCCGGCGCCACTGTCGGGAAGAAATATAAGCTGACTGCACGAGCAAATGTCGCGATGATCTGTGCCGCAGTCTAGATGCATCGGGCACACACGCAGGCGCATCGAGCGGGACAAGTGGACGTGGGACTGCAATTGGTCGTGTCTTGTCTGTGTAGACTTGTATATGATATGCGTTTCAGAAGATATCTTGGCCTCCTCACTTGCCGGCACATTCTCGTCCGCAAGATTCCTAGGACCGAGGCTGCGGAGCTATAGAAGAGTAGCGAACCAAGCTATACTGAGCTCTAATTCAAGCGTGTTGAACTCGGCAATCGAAAAATGCCGTGAGAGCCCTGTTGCGTAGTACTCACTACTTACTTAACTGAGTACAGGTCGGAAGTAAGCACGATGCTATTGAGCAACCGAAGGTCTTGTTGACGTCAAATAAATTTGTAAATAGAGGTCTAGATGATAATGGAACGCATCTCGAAGTTTTCTGGCGAGATCATGCCATTTGAGAACCTACTGCTTGATATCTCGAGAGATCGCTCTCTTTTTCGCCGAATCTGGCATCTCCCAGTTGTCCGGCTGTATCGTCCGAGCCCGAGAAGCCGTATTCCTTGGCCTTTTGATCGATTTCCTCATCGGTCAAGAACGGCATTTCGTGACTGGCGCGAACATAGGAGATTTTCTCCACGTAGCCCTTAGCAAAGATGAGATCAATCTCTTCGAGGGAGCGTTTGCGAGTCTCCGGATAGAAGATGATCACCAAAGGCAGGAAGCCAAAATTGCATAGCGCATAGACGAGATAGGTGGCCCATCCAATGTTCGAGATCATGACGGGTGTGATCATGACAATGAGGAAGTTGAAAAGCCAGTTCGTGCTATGAAGATCGTTAGCCTCAATGCCCGTAGTCTGAGAAGATCTGCTCACTTACCAGGTAGAGATCGCATTCGCTCTGCCTCGGGTTCTGATAGGGTTCACCTCAGCCGGATAGAGCCAGGGCAGAGGAAGCCAGGTCGCTCCAAAGAAGGCGATGTAAAGGAAGAAAGCAAGGACCGCACCCTTCGCCGAAACATCCGGCTTGATGAGACATGCGAACGCGAGCGTCATAGATAGTCCCTGACCGATTGTACCAACAATGAATAGCTTGCGGCGACCGACTTTCTCGATGATAAACCACGAAGTAGTGGCGAAGATGGCGTACACCGTGATATTGACACCAGAAAGGATCAGTGCCATATTTCTGCCTTCACCAACGCTTTGTTCAAACAATATTGGCAGGTAATAAATGACCGCATTGCTATTATCCGAGATTAGCAGATGTATCGTGAAACCCGATGATCGTTTATAGCTTACCATCCACCGATCTGCTGGAACATCTGACTCGATGCGCCAAGTAACATACGTCGAAAGTGCTGGGTTTTTCCGCCCGTGAAAAGCGCGCTAAATGGGGTGTTCTCACCCCCGACACCACCGGAGATTTTCAGGCTGTCTACAATGATGCCGAGCTGGAGCTGGACCTCGGGATCGTCTCGACGGAGTCCTCGGAGAGCAGCGAGCGAAGTCGCCGCTTCCTCAGATCGATTCTTGGACAACAGCCATCTCGGGGATTCCGGCAAGCCGATAAGCGTGAAGAGGAACAAGCCGAAAATGACCTGCAACGAGATAGGAAATCGCCATGTGAATTCGTCGGGACCGAAGCTCGCGCCGTAGTCAGTCCAGTACGCAATTAAGGTCCCGATGGCAATAACTCCGCCTTCGATACAGATAAGTAGGCCACGGTTGGAAGTCCGGGAACATTCGGCCTGGTATGTTGGGATCGTAGCCGTGTTCAGTCCGTTGCCGAGGCCCATCACGGTCCGACCGATGATGAACTGCGCAGTAGCACTATGGCCCGGAATAGAAGTGACTTGGATTATGACTCCGATGATCATGATCAGTCCTCCCAGGATGACTGCTCGTCTTCGCCCGAGGCGATCTCCGTAGGCAAGAGCAAAGATCGCCCCGAATAGACAGCCAACTTCGTAGATTGCGGTGACGAATCCTTGCCATGTCGAGTTGTTGAGAGTCTCGGGAAACGCGGTGTTGAAAGGTCTAGCAGAGATAATGCCTGTTGACGATGCCGTGTCAGCGATGCATTCGACATACCGATGTCCGAGTCACGTGAGCATACCAGACATGACTCCCTGGTCGTATCCTGTGATAATGTTAGCCTTGATTAGACTTCCCAAGGACGCCATAGATACCAAATAGCAGGAAGCCGTTCGTGGCAACGACCGAGACAGCAATACTCAAGGCACGGCCGGTGAGGCCCATGAAGTGAGGCACGCCATTGGCATCATCTTTGTGGGCAACGTTGTTCAGAAACATGTTGCGCAGTGTCCTGGCCTCTTCGAGCGGTCTATCATACGTCCGAGTCTGAGGTCCAGTCGTGGATTGTATGTAATGTACAGGAATTGGGACGAAGTATATGTTGGGCGCAAGATACAGACAGACTCAAAAGAGTTTTAACCTGGAGACTTCGGGCGAAATGCTGCTTCGGGCGACGATGCGACCAGACTCTTTGCAAAGATTGAGAGTGCACCGGACAACATACGGGCCAGCCTACAGTAATAGGTTGGTTGCAGTGCACATTGCGTGGTCTATCAACACTCGGACTATACCTACCTAATAGTACTGTAGTAGATGGGACAGAATAATAAGCCCAGCTGCATGACACGCGCATGGAGGAAAGGTTCATGAGTCGCGTTGTTACATCATTGGCTGCACGGGCCTCCCTCCCCGCCATGGCCTTCCCGCTAGCCTTTCTCTGTGTGCGGACAATGTCACCTCAAGCCTCCAGCAGCAACCTTGGAACTCTTCTTACTACGAGTTATTGGGTACATCGGCCTCTTTCATCCCCCGGCCGTTTTCTCGATGACGGATGTGCCCCCGCTGTAGTCCCGCCCGGAATCCATGGCTGTCTGTATACTACTTGGCGAAGGACTATCAGCCGCGATCGTGGTGCTTCTCTTTCCACTGAACGCCACTCCAAACCACCGTTCCCGCCGACATGCCCGTGCCTTTGGTGTTTCCACCTGAACCTGTGAGATGGAGTAGACCCTGATCCTGAAAAAGTGGACATGGATTGATGGGCGATCGCATTCTTCCGGTCCGAATATGGCCCGCAGCGGAAGCGGCATCTCACGGCTTTGTGCCGTCCTGAAAGCTTGGTCTGAGCCCGCTCGGCATTCATGTCGGTTATAATACACGGTTCTTCATGTTCCATGATTGCACAATGACAGAGCATGACGACATCCTGTCCTTCTTTCCACTATGTCAATTGAGAAGGTCCGATGCCGCCGACACATGATTTCGCAGCTTCATCTTTCGACGCGTTCGTTCTGGGTCGCAAGCAGAAATCAAGTCGATCACGTCAATGTGGAGCATGTACACCTCCATCCAAAGCGGCCACTAGACAGACGTAAGTTGCCACAATAAGTGACTTTGCGGCGAAATGCGTTGAAGCGTTGCACGAGTATCGGGTCGTTGCCGAATCTTTTGCCCAAACCCGTCCCGGATCTTCCCACATAGAATTCTTCCGTGAACCCATTGCGGACAGCTTCTCGGGAACAATTGCGGCAGCGTTACCCCGAGTGATGGCCGTGAAGACAGGCCGTAGCCGGCCTCAGCCGAATGCTCGATCCATCGCGGCCCCAATGTCATCGCCGCTCTTTCTGGTATCTACCGAGATACCGCTCTCATCTGTTGACGGAAGCTCGTCAAGTAGACTTGCAGTCTGGCTCGTGTTCTTGTCTGTCGAAGCCTTCGAGGGCTCCAGTAGCCTGTTTTCACTGTCGAGCCAACCTGGAGCTTTCCTTCTCTTTTCCGCAAGATCACGCTGCGTTATTCCGGTCTGCCATTCGCTGATTTTCTGTGCTGCATCCTTGCGCTGTCGAGTGATCTGATCTAGCAGTGTCTGATTCTGTGCTATGATCGCGCTGGGATGCGCTGCGAAGCCCGAGGCTGACGTCACGTAAGCTGGCAATTCCGGACGTGAAGCAGCCGGGGCAGAGTTGAGCATCGAAGGCGGAAGCGTTGTCGGCAAGGTGACATAGTTGGGTGGTAGAGTCGGAGCTTTCGGCAGATCGATGAATGGATTTACTGTCAAGGGCGTCTGTTGTAACAGAGGATGTACTTCTGATGCAGGGTCAGATCTCATGGAATTGATACGCACCGTCAGATACGCTTCATGACTTACTGTCGTGCTGCATTTTTACCGTTCAAATATTGCAGTGCTTGAATGTCATGCAACATCCATCATGAGGGAAGCTGTATGCAAGCTGTATCCCTTGGCGTGAGTGCCTGAGGCATAAAGCTCGAGGAGATCATAGCGTGATGACGAGCACAAGAAGGAGCAACAAGACAATGACCAGTCCGATGATACAGCAGCTTGAATAGCGATCTGTAAAGCCCATCAGTATAATGTTTCAAGTCCGGAGGGATTCTCGACCTTGTCATCGACTCACCCTCGTTTTGCTCGATCACGTAGCGTATCTTCTTCATCCCATCGGAAAGCTTTCCCTGTACACGATCTGTGATGTTTTCAGTATCGTCAAGGAGCTCTGCCTGTTCTTCTAATTCGCGTCCCATCGTGTCGGCTTGCGCGCGAAGGTTGCCGACGGTAACAAACACATCGTCTAGAGCTTCGTCTTGTTCGTGCATGATTTCCATCTGTCGCTGCTCTTCCCATGCCCCGTAATCGTCCCCTTCGTCCCCGTCAACATCGCCAAAGCTATCTGGGTGAGCAAGTCCTGCTTTGCCGTCCGCATATTGGACAGTCTCGTTCAACTGACGATGCATGTCCTCCACCTCTCGTCCGACATCGGCAACCAGCTTCCTACGCTTCGCGACTTCTGCCACGTCTAAGCCATATCGGTAAGGATCGCTCTCAACTGCCTTCACGCTGTCCACCAAATCTTGAAGATCGGTACTCAGATCTGTGAGGGTGCCTTCGAGTTCTTGTCGTGCTTCGATAAGCTCCGGTGTTGTTGCACTTGATGCTGATGACCGAATCCGTAAATATGACGATAGTTGCGGGCGCGTCTGGTCCAGCAGACCGAGTATATCGGTCTGCGCCTGTGTAAAGGGGTCATTGGCCGCCATGGATAGCACTTATGTGATTAGGACTTGATTGTTTCCAATACTTCTGTGTGCGCAGAAGAGCATTAAACAGTGAGATCCGGAAATGCGACTGACAGGGTGCTGTTCCTGTGGTTATGTTGTGATTGCGCTCTGATGATGATGAACGTTCCGTCCCGACAATGCCATAAACACGAAAGCTGCACCCATCCACGTGCCTGAGGAAAGCCAGATTCAGGGACTTCAGGACCACAGCACAACCTTGGAATGCCGGGGTCGACTTCAACAAAACAATTTTATCCCGGCAGTAGTTTGATTAGCATGATTCTATTACATTCGCAGAAAGCATGAGGGACTCTATCAAGAAGAAGTTTGCGAGGTTGAGGGACGAGGTCGCGTCTGATACAACATGGCATGAAGGCTCAGAAACGCCCACACAATATCTCCAAACGGGAGAAACATCAGAAAATTCATTGGGTCCCGCTCAACCACTCCCGCATCTTCCAGATTTCGCCAGTAGTCAAGAATACGTTGATTCCTTACTGGATTTCGTTGGACAAGATGAGCTATTGCGATCTCTCTGTGGAGGTGTTCACATCTTGGACTTCTTCACGAGCGATCCGCCAATATATGATCGGGTGCTGCCAGTGGACTGGCGGAAATTTTTCTCGGAAACAGATATCATAGACGTCCTCGATCTTTTGATGCGAGAGGATCTGGCCCGCTTTTCCGTCCATAGTGTCGATGACGAGAGCCGTCGCTCATGGAGAAATGGACCAGTGCCGCCTTCTAGTCTCATTGAATATATTGCAAAAGTAAGAAAACATCTTTTGATCCGCGAGCCTGGAAAATCACAATGCTACCGTAATCGAGCTATGCGACCAGCTCACAAGTTATCTCGTTTCGTTGCTCTAGGCATGAACGTGAAGAAGGTACATGAAGTTGGCATATTCGCTTCCTACCTGAATGACCTTGCCACGGAGATTAGTGAAGCAACCAATGAGCCTGTATCCCATCTCGTCGACTTTGGGTCCGGTCAGAACTACCTTGGGCGTGCGCTCGCAAGTGAGCCGTACAACAGGAATATCGTGGCGATCGAAAGCAAGCAAGCCAACGCCGAGCGAGCAAAGCAACTCGACGTCCTGGCCAAACTTGCGATCAAAGAGAAAATTCTGAGGAATAAAAAAGCCTACAGAGCCAAACTCAATGGCAAAGCGTCGAGCACACCAGCTGAGCAGGGAGATCCCGATGCGTTGCCTGCCTCGGCGAACGAGACTGTGACAGATCAGCCGGATGCGGAAGCTAGAGATTCAGATGCTGCTCCAGAAGTTGAATCACCTTACGTTGGTTTTGGTAAGATACAGTATGTGGACCATCGGATCGCAGATGGTGACCTCCGCGATGTCATCGAGCACATGCCTGATTCAGGCCCGAAGAACCTTATGATCATGTCACTTCATTCTTGCGGCAATCTTGTTCACCATGGACTACGATCAATGGCTTTGAATCCAGAGGTCAAGGCAGTGGCAATGGTTGGCTGCTGCTACAATCTTGTCACAGAACGACTGGGGCCCGCGGATGGCGAGACATCTGATAAGTTGCCTACACTGGATGATCAGCCTCGCCTCTCGTCAAGAGGTGAAGCATGTGATCCACACGGATTTCCAATGTCTGATCGATTCCTGAATTACTTTGCAACCGAGGGACAGAGTCAAACCAGAGGCATACGCTTGAACACCACCTCCCGAATGATGGCCGTGCAGGCACCATCGAACTGGGGCTTGCAGGATAGTGGTGACTTCTTCCCGAGACACTACTTCCGCGCGCTCCTGCAGCGCATCTTCCTCGACCGTGGAGTTGTTGGGCCACCCAGGGCTGAATTCGCCGGCGGGTCCAGCGCCGCTGGACATAGCAGCGGCGGAACACCAATTTACATCGGGAGCCTGCGCAAGGGCTGCTATGACAACTTCATTAGTTATGTTCGAGCCGCCGTGGCTAAACTTAGTGATGATCCCGAAGTCGGCCATGTGTTCAAGGAGAAGATGGCTGACATCAGTGATGAGGAAATCTTGAAGTATGACAGAGAGTATATTGCGCGAAAGCCCGACCTGAGCGCCGCTTGGAGTTTGATGGCCTTCTCCGCCGGTGTGATCGAGGCTGCAATTGTTGTCGATCGATGGCTCTGGCTTCGTGAACAAAAGGATATCAAAGCAGCATGGGTCGAGCCGCTGTTCGACTACAGACTCAGCCCTCGTAATTTGGTAGTGGTGGGTGTCAAGAATTGAGCAACGGGGCATTGCCGAATGAGTAGCCAGTACTGAAGTCGAATATTTGGGCATTCGTGCAGCCATGATGATTTTCAATGGTTGGACCATGACTTGTTTGCTGACCAGACCACTATCGTTGCCAGCGACTTCGCCAAGAAAATTTTCCTCATCAAAAATGCGGCTTCGTTACGGGGGCTTTTTATTCCACCCTGCTAGACATCATTAGTCATGATACTCATCTTCTCTTCTGACCGGTGATGGAGAGGTCGAGGGTAACGGTGTTGCGAGTAAGCCTAGCAACTTCAAGCAGCCCGGTGCCTTTAAAAGCTGCCCTGCAGCAGTGACGGCTGAAAGGCATCCTGATATTACTATTGTAGTCCAGATTCCCTTTATGCGAGCGATTTGCAATCATCGATGTGGCCATTTGAATTTCGACGACGACGACGACGACGACGACGATGACGATGACGGCGAAGGCGAAGACGAATGTGATTGGGATTGGGCCGAATTGCGAAATGTATCAAAATAATTGAGAGCATCGAGTATCTCTCGAAGAATTCGAGGATCATCTCTCTTCAACCCAACTGAAGCACCAGCCATTGGAGTAAAGAGATCCTTCTCGTGCTCGCAAGATTCATGTGCGATATTGTTGGTTGAATCTGTACTACAATGACGAGTAAGGCTTGCTGCGAGTTTCGTGGTGTTTCGCAGGAGAGGATCAGAGCCCATCCACTTTGGTCGCTTGAACGGTTGACTGGTTGGCGACGGCGGTGCCCCTGTCTCTGATTTCAGTCTTGGCTGTGGGATATTTGCTGTCAAGTCGTATTGAACATCGAGGTATTGCGAGTTGCGCTTTCGTAACGAAGGTAAAGGCTCAAGAGCAGGTGATGGCATGGGCGGAGACGACGATCGCAGCACAGTGTCATGCTCGGGAGCAATCATGGAGATGAATGGAGCCGGTCTGATCGACCAGAGAAAGCTTATTGATCTCGTGCTCGAGAGAGAAAGTGGAAGAGAGAAGGTACGCCATCGAAGCTACAGTAGAAGTGTCGGAGGATGTCCCATTGCCACGCCAGAGACGACCCGCTACTGAACGTGGGAGGCACGTCATCTGTGAGAGCTGGCGCTAGATCGTACAACACAATCATTCGGCTGCATTTGTGTATGTTTAATGTACCAAGTTTCCTGCGCATTCTGTTGCATATTGAGTGGGAGGATTTCGTCCTGTACATGTGCACATGTGCATGGGGCGCAAATGTAGCCTCATCTCTCAGGCGGTGGCGCTCTAGAACCGGCCAAGCGCGCCACTATGACAGCCAAACTTTACCAAAGTCGCCCGGACTTTTGGGTGACAGCTGTCGCATCTGCATCTTCCTTTCAGCTGGAGACCCGAGCCCACTGTCGATCGTCGATGTACATGTAGATTGTAGTCTTTCGAAGCACACTCAAAGTCACGAACAACAATATCAAGAGCAAGGCAGAGCACTCACAACGCCGATCCAGAGTTGAGATGCAGTTCATGGCGCGTGACGGTACAATGGTCAGTCGTCTCGCAGTCATGTGTACCTACCAAGGTACTGTAGGTAGGATCAGCCCACGCTCAGCTCATTCCTTTATTCCCCATACAACAACACTGCCATCTCCACCAGCACTGGCCCACTGCTTCCTCAGCTGATTCCAGGTCACTGCACTCACAACGTCTTGCTTTGACGTTGCCGTGTTGTCTCTGGGGGCTTTTCCCTCCTTGTGGTGCAGCCGATGTAAAACTTGCCCGGTGAGCACATCCCAGGCAAATATCTGCCCATTCTCACTCCCACAAATGGCGACGGCGTCTCCAAAGGCCATGGTAGCGCGGACTCGGTAGACGGTGTTGGTGAATGCGCTATCCTCGAGAGTCTTCAGGCAGCGTCCACTGGGCCGATCCATGAATCGCAGCTTCGAGTCCAGACAGCTAGTGAGATAGCCGTCTCCAGCTTGGGTCGGAGCAATGCTTGTAATCCCTCTTCCTGGCGCGACTACGTCTGTATCCACATAGCCTGTACTCAAGTCATATACCCGGACACGTCCATCAATGCTTGATGCGAAAATCTCGTGCCCAATGACTTTCACATCCGAGACGGCATCGCGAGCATCGCCAAAGGACATAATCGGGCGAGAGTCCGATCTCGCCTTGACATCCCAGACCTTGCACGTACCGTCGAAGCTGCCCGTGACTATCACACTGTCATCTTGTCCGCCGAATGTACATGTGTTCACTCGTGCAGAATGTCCCATGAAGCGCCTGGTAGCTTGAGCTGTCTCGACATCCCAGAAGAACACCGTCTTGTCACCTCCGACCGAGACAAAGCTACGGTTGTCTTGTGCCACAGCAATGTCGAGTACTTCATAGCCGTGCGCTTTATATGTCTGTATCAAATGGGTCGTCGAAGGATTGAATAGCCGCACGTTGCGATCTTGACTGCCGGTGAGGATATATTTGCCTGAACCGGCAGAGAATGTGACTGCATGGACAGGCCCGTTGTGACCAGTCAATCGTGCAACTGGTGTCGTTGGAAAGGAAGAGAGAAAACTTGGTGTCGACATGGTCGTGGTTCTGCTTTCCGTCTTGTTATATCATGATCGCTATCGTCGCGCAAAAAAGTGGACTTTTCTTCATTTCGATTGCGCAAGTCCTAAGGCTTATACGTGTTGCGAGTCAAGCCAACGCACTTCCCCAAACCTATCCCTTGCATATATCATGGGATAATGATGATGTTGTTCGGAAGGCTGTCAATGTTCTGAGCTTTGACCTGCAACATCGACCATTGCTTCCTCCACCCTTGAACTTCGGCTGTCGCATATCTGGACATGCTAAGCACATGCCTAGGTATGTAGTCATCGCCGTATGATAAACAGCATAATAAGCATTGCCCTCTCTGCCAACGAACGGATTTCGCAGCTTGGCGCGAACAGCTCACGAATTTTACCGTATCATGGAGAGACCTGCCACATCATATGTTCCGCCACGTGCATAGCATTAGGATATGATTTGCAATGCGCAACACTGTACTTGAAAAGACATTCCATGTTACGACTATCAAAACATACTCTAGGACATGCTTTTGAGTCTGCTGAAAATATTTCTGGCGCAAACCACAGAAGCAGAATCCCGCACTTTGCTCCACGCTCTCCAATCCCGAGACCAGGAAGACCCGCAAGCTGCAAACAAAGGAAAATAAATATTAAGCACAACAAGTTCAAGGTATCTTTTGCAAGCGTTCAAAGTGCTCCGACCCGGCATATTCCTCTCTGAGTGGTAGTTTCAAGTTCTGTCGCTAACACGCGTCTGAAGTGACTATGTTGCAACGACAAATGCTGCCCGTATCGACATTAAAACCAGAAGGATGTACATCTAGCGACGGCCGGTGCGCGACATGCTGCCCTGCAGACCCTCAACCTCAACCTCGAGCTGCTTGATGATAGCATGGCTCTGCTCAAGATCCTTGTTGAGACGGTCACGCTCGGAGATCAGCTTCTGTTCCCATTGTCGGAAGCGCTGCTCCTCAATCTTGACTTGCTCAGTGAATCGCTTCCGGAGTTGCTCTTCCTCCTCCTTGAACTTAGGGTTGTCCAACTTTCGTGGCCGTGCCTCGCCGAATTTACGGGTCTCCATCTGTTGCGCGCGGTAGGCCTCATAGTGGTTCTCCTCAGTGGTGTGAATCAGATCAAGCATGTGTGTGCGAATGAGGATAGCGCGGAGTTTCTTGAAGTCGCAGTGCTCTTCGTTCTCAACCTCAGCGACACCCCAGGCGTACTGGCGACCCTTGACTGTCCGCTCATCGGGTGTGGTGACATCCCGCTCGGAGCCGATGACGGAGAATGGCATGGCGGCGATAAGGCTGCGAGCGTGCTGCAGACCGGCTTCGTCGTCCTCCTCGAGCGGAGGTGTGTAGATCTTGATGCCTTGAGCTTCGATGACATTGCGAATCTGAAACCACGTGTCAGCTAGGGATTACATGTAGTCTGTTGAAAGGCTGACTTACTCGAGACTTGAATTTAGCGAGGTCGGCGGGTGACAGAGTGTCGGCCTTGGCCACGACGGGGATGAGGTTGACGCGAGTGCACAGACGCTTCATGACCTCGATGTCGAGTGGCTTGAGCGTGTGTCCAGTCGGGCGAATGAAGTAAAGGCAGGCGTGCACTCGGAGATCAATCTTCTCTGTTCTCCGGGGCTGCTGCTCCTGAAGCATGTAGCTCTCATGCTGGTCGTCCAAGAATTCGATGATGGGTTGCCAGCTGTCGCGGTTGTTTACGTAGTCTCCAAAGCCGGGTGTGTCGATGACAGTCAAGCGGACCTTGAAGAACTTCTCCTCCAACTCAGCCTTAGTGATCTCAATCTCGACGGTCTTGTCGATCTGCTTGGCGAAACGTCGGCGATGGTCGGCGTAGTTCTTGATGGTGGTGCTAAACAGGGTGTTGATGAAAGTTGTTTTGCCGAGACCCGACTCGCCAGCAACCATGATGGTGAAGGCGGCACCTCGCTTGGCAACGATCTTGTGACGCTGGTTGGGAAGCTGGAAGTTGATGAGTATATGTAATTCTGCGATTCCTCCCATTGCGACGTACGTTGGCAATACCAATTGGCGACATGTTTTCGGCCATTTTGACGGTTGCTCACTACAGGCGAAAGGACGGCGTAGGTGTGAATCTGCACGAGACGGGAGGTTGAACGAATGCGCGGATGATCACGCGTGACGATTTCTCTAGAGGCCAGATAAGGTCAGTCAACGAACTCGCCTCAAATTCCAAAAGCGCATTGGAGAGCTGTTGCTTTGCAGAAGATCAACAGGACAGGAACATACCTGATATGATTCTCGTCGACCTCGAGAAGCGACGACAACGGCAAGGCAAGGATGACCTGGGTTATTGCTGGCGCGCAGGATGGAAGAGAGAGGAATCCGCCGATAGACGACAACGAGGTTTCCGCCTTCTGTTTCTCTCTCCTTTCCTGAACCCGAATGTTGTCTGTGCGCCGACCTCCATTTCTGGCGAATGAGAAGAGACTAGTCGACTGTGACCCTGGACGGGCGGCAGGCGGGAAGTCAATTTGCGCTTCAGGGCTGTGGGGACTCTGCGCGCGCTGCAATGGATAATTATTACTACACATCCACAATTCGCTAGCAGAAGAGTGAACTTTTTTTTGGTCGATGCTATTCTGTATGGACCAACTGCTCAATAATTGATCGCGCCACACTATGCAGTAATATTTTGCTGCTATAACATATCGCTTATTCGCGCACACTGACGGCGTCTTCGCAATCACGTTTGGATAAATCGTTCGAACGTGCAAACTCACAATGAAGACTGATTTCCAGGTAAGAGAATCTTCGGCATGCACGTGATGATGCGCAATGTGCAAGATGAGCTGAAGCTGATGACCAAACCCAGTTTTTCAATCAATTGGGAACCGTCTATCGAAGAGGAAACCTGGTATACAGCATCGATGGGACATGTCTGCTCTCACCTGTGGGCAACAGAGTGACGGTATTTGACCTAGTCAACAACAAATCTCACACATTACCATTTGCACACCGGCACAACATTAGCAGGATAGCGCTACATCCAAGGGGTCAATTGCTCCTCACAGTTGACGTTGAAGGCCAAGCAATACTATCACATCTTCCACGACGAATAACTCTCTACCACTTTTCACTGAAGGCGACTGTATCCGCTCTGGTCTTCTCACCATGTGGCCGATATTTCGCAGTCGGCCTCGGGCGCCGAATCGAAGTCTGGAAGACGCCAGAGACGCCTGGGTCGCGCCAAGAAGACGGCGACGAGGAGGCTGGTCTGGAATTTGCGCCGTTCGTCCGACATCGAAGATATGTCGGGCATCACGACACAGTCCAGAATATCGAATGGAGCAGTGACTCGCGATTCTTCTTATCAGCGAGCAAAGATCTCACAGCACGAATATGGAGTTTAGATCCGGAGCCAGGTTTCGAGCCCACGGTGTTGTCTGGGCATCGCACCGCCGTTTATGCAGCATGGTTCAGCAAGGACCAAGAGACGATTTATTCCATCTCGAAAGACGGTGCACTATTCCAGTGGCAGTATCTGCCGTCAGAGGGTGCAGATCCCGAGAACATCGAGGAAGACGACGAGAGATGGCGGATCAACGGCAGGCATTACTTCTTCCAAGATCAGGCCCATCTCACCACGGCGGCATTCCATCCATCCTCTAATCTACTTGTTTCCGGATTCTCCAACGGCTTATTCATGATTCATGAGCTGCCAACTTTCAGCGAGATCCATAAGCTCTCGATTGCTGCTTCCAACATTGATACTGTCTCTATAAACCAGACTGGCGAATGGCTCGCCTTTGGATCCTCCGCGCTCGGCCAGCTTCTTGTCTGGGAATGGCAGAGTGAATCTTACATTTTGAAACAGCAAGGTCATTTCGACAGTATGAACGCTCTCACATACTCGCCCAGTGGCGATCGAGTCATCACCTGTGCCGATGATGGCAAGGTTAAGGTATGGGATACGACCTCAGGCTTTTGCATTGTCACGTTCACGGAACACACCTCTGGTGTCACAGCATGCGAATTCGCTAAACGCGGAAACGTGCTGTTCACGGCATCGTTGGACGGTAGTGTGCGCGCTTTCGACTTGATCAGATATCGATGTTTCCGGACGTTTACAGCACCAAAGCGGTTAAGCTTCAGTTCGCTCGCTGTGGATCCCAGCGGCGAAGTCGTCGCTGCTGGCTCCCTTGACGATTTCGACATCCATATTTGGAGCGTCCAGACCGGGCAGCTACTTGATCAGCTCAACGGGCACGAAGGCCCTGTTTCAAGTCTTGCATTTTCGCCAAGTGGTGGCAACCTCGTCTCAGGGAGCTGGGATCGGACTGTCCGAATATGGTCCATTTTTGGCAGAACACAAACTTCAGAACCTCTACAGTTGCAGGCCGATGTTTTGGCTGTTGCGGTAAGGCCAGATGGTCGGCAGGTTGCGGTTTCCACACTTGATGGTCAGTTGACCTTCTGGAGCATCAGTGAAGGTACTCAAGAGGCAGGTCTAGATGGCCGCCGGGACGCAAGTGGAGGCCGTAAAATCAGCGATCGACGAACCGCCGCGAACGTGGCTGGAACGAAGAGCTTCGGCACAATAACCTATAGTGGTGATGGAACCGTCCTCCTTGCTGGTGGCAACAGCAAGTACATATGTTTGTACGCGGTCGAGACAGGAGTGCTCCTTCAAAAATTCGCTATCAGCGTCAATCTCAGCATTGAGGGTACACAAGAATTCCTGAACTCTCGTCTGCTCACTGAGGCTGGACCTCAAGGGCTTCTTGACGAGCAGGGCGACCTCTCGGACCTTGAAGATCGCCTCGACAAATCGTTGCCGGGCGCCAAGCGCGGCGACGCTGCTCAGCGTAAGGCAGCACCGGAGGTCAGAGTCCCAGGCGTTGCATTCTCCCCCACTGGTCGAGCATTCTGTGCAGCGAGCACCGAAGGGCTACTAATTTATTCTTTACCCGACGGTGCTGCTTTTGATCCATTTGACCTCGACGTGGATGTAACGCCTGCCAGCACTCTTGCCATATTAGCCAAACGCGAGTGGCTCAAAGCCCTGGTTATGGCATTTCGACTCAACGACACCAGACTCGTGCGGCGAGTCTACCGCGCTGTGCCTGTCAACGACATTGCGCTCCTATCAAGAGACGTACCGGACGTTTATCTTGCACGACTTCTGCGCTTCGTCGCTGCCGAGGCAGAGCAGAGCCCATATCTCGAACTCAACCTCTGTTGGCTGGAGGCATTGCTCAGCCGACACGGACGTAAGCTCAAGGAGAGACAAGGTGAATTCGCGGAGGTCACCCGCCTTGTTCAAAGGGCCATCGGTCGAGTCTCTGGCGACATTCTGGCCGTGGCGGAGAAAAACAACTCGACCGTAGATGTTTTGCTGAAGCGACCTCGGGCTACTAGGGATGGAGACGCTGTGAAAGCGAAACTCAAACTGATAGAAAGCGAACAGGCGCCTGTTGGTAAGGAGAACATCGAAGACGGCGACGAGGACGAGGACGAGAGCATGGTGGATGGAGAGGAGGAATGGATCGGTCTCGACTGATTATTCGCACTGACGATGTGAATGTACGATGGGACTTTTGCTTTGCAGTCTGGTTGACGAGAATTCCCGGGCCTTTGCATGTGGAAATCGTGGAAGATATGATAGGTCAGCAGCTGGTTTCGTGGAACGCTCATTGACGTTTGCTTGTCAAATGCACGTTTCCTTGCCTCATTTACTTGTCAGATGCATGTTCCCATTCCTGACATCAGCCGTTGGTTCTATGGTAAGCCCCCATAGTATAGATCACACCCAGGTAAGCAGCAATGCACTCAACAAGATGATCAATGTCTTGACGCATGAGGAAACAAGCATGAAAGCAACCCTAGCAGACAAGAGGCTCGTGATTGGGACCATTTGCTCCCTTGACCGTGCATGGTCTCTAGCGTGCTCACTACCCCGGCAGCCCCCGTGAACGGACCAGGCGCCTGTCCCGATTGAGAACAAAACTGCTTGATGGGAACACGACTGGGTGCCTCTTGATTGGTCGCGTCGCCAAAGACCCTGCTCTGCTTTCGTGAACCCAACGCGTCTTTCACTACTCCTGGCCTTCGTTTCGCGACCCGCATTCCCAATACCATCAGCCTTGTCAAAAACCATCGCCCCGCTCGGTTTGACCTTGCGCAATCCTTCCAACTTCCATCAACGCTCATTGAAATACCATCGCACGCAGCGCATCGCTATATCACACCCTCACAATGCAGTCCATTCGCCAACAGATGCCGCGCGCCGTCCGCGCATTCTCCACCTCTGCTCCTCGCCCTCTCGCCAAGATGCAACTCATCGGCCGTCTCGCGGCGCCCGCTGAAGCTACTCCCACATCAACTGGTCGCGAGGTCATCAAGTATGCTCTTGGTGTCAGCCAAGGAGGCAAGAATGAGAACGGCGAGCGCGCCGTCAGCTGGTTCCGGATTGCGAGCTTCGCCGAGGGCGCACAAAAGGATCTGCTGCTGAGTCTGCCAAAGGGGTGAGTATTTCTTACTCACCGATGATCATTGAGCTGTAGCTTGTATCAATAATGCAGCGTCTCCGCGCGCGTGTTTGCAACGCGCGACCGCAGTTTCGTTGTCGAGGACAAGACATCGGGAGATTCAATTGGAAAACTGCTGACGTCTTTATCCCGCTTGCAGCACCCAGCTCTACGTCGAAGCAGAAGCACGTATGGACAGCTACACAGCTCAAGATGGTACTCAGCGCACATCGCTCAACCTTCTAGCACGTAAGCATTGAACTCATGGCATGCCCACGCATCGTTTGACGGATTCTGACTGCCATGCGCCAGGCAACTTCGAGGCTCTATCCCGCCCTCAGAACCGAGGTGAAGGGAGTGGCGAGGCCAGTGGAGAGGCTGCTTCGGCATAAATGAACAATGCTCGGCGCGCCAGTCTAAGACGGCAATATGGTTTCGATACAGGAAGCTCTTCTTCAGAATCAACACCACGACTTGAAGTATTTTCATTTGTATTGCAGGGTTACTGCTATTTGCGACAGCGAGGGACCTTTTGGCACAGTGCTACTCAGCACACGCGTGAACAAGAATCGGAATTTATGATGTGTGTAAGAGATTTGTTGTATACCAATTTGCCATGCTTTTTCTACATCTTGCCCGTCCAGTCGCCTCCCTAGCTCACCACGAGTTGATGGGCAATCGTCCCTCAATCCGGACAAAGGTGAGGCCTCGAAAACATCTGACACCCGAGACATCGAAGCAAAACTTACGTCATTTTGGGCATCGATAGCCACGGATGTCCGGCATCCAACTCCGAAAGATTCGAATTCCTGTCGTGGAACATGAGTGACGGGCATGCCAAGGATGATGATTGCGTTCGGAGTTCTCCGTTTGCCGTACAGCCTGTGCGATGCCTAGGTGTGATGTGAAATCAGGCGCCGCCTTGGCCTGCGAACGCGATGTCATAATCATCGTGGGTGCCAATTGCGGGGGCCCAACGGAGAGCCGCAGACAACGAAGATAACAACCAGGGTTTTACTTGATTTCCAAGGTTCCGTCGGCCGCGCACTGGCAGCACGGTCATCACTCGGGAGATCGCCGCGTGCAGCTTCCCGTCTTCGCGGGAACGCTGCCGATCGATAGGCTCGACACTGCGTCACGTCAGAATCCGCGGGAAACACTTTCATTTGCTGGCATGTCTGCATGCGCTGCGGATGTATGTCGCTAAGTTCTGCAATGCAGGTTCAGCACATTCCTCACATGCATCGCGCCCTACTCCCTCACGTCCCTGTCAGCAAAACCGATGTAACAGTGCACAAATGTGTCATCTGTTGTCGCTTCATTCCCGATGCCCTGAACTGAACTCCTTCCAGGCGGCGGAGCTTGCACGTGGTCTCGGCAGAGGAAAGCCGTGGTGGACGCGCACGTCAGAATCGATGTCAGAATCGAGCCCGAAGAGCATGGACAGGGGCCACAATCCAGCAAAGGGTGTTGGAAATGCAGCCAGATTCGTTTGTTGTCTATCTGTCACTGTGTCTTTTCCCTCCTGCTCCTCCTGCTCCTCCTCCTCCTCCCCGCGTCCGCCCTCTCATCGGTAGGAGAATCCGGGCCCGAAGCCCTCCACTGCCCGCGTGCTAGGCCGGTCGATGATTTGCGTGCTGGGATAGACTGTGGGAGGTCGAGGTCCTCTAGGTGGAATTGATTGGGAGCAATAATTCGCGCATTCCCCACTTCACGTACCATGACCAACCGCTTCCAACACCACCATCACCACGACACCGGCCTCCTCCCCCCATTACGATGATTCATGATGATCGTATTCCTCCGCTGCGTCCGAGGAGGAAAAGGGCAGGAAAGCACGGGACTACGTATTGTAGGAACCTCGATCGTCTTCCCCAAACGAAGACCGGATTCGGCGACCACGCGATCTATGCATCTGCTGAGAATATCGGTTGGTGATGATATCCATGGACGATGGAGCATGCCCGCAGCAGGTGTGTGCTGTGCTGCCCACCTGCATCGTCAAGGCGACTCCCTCTAGCTGGCACAATCCAAATACCTACCTACCAGCAGGACTAGCATATTTGATTGATAATGATAATCGTCATCGTCGTTGTTCCCCTAAGCAAACACGCATGGCAGGCGCGTGGCACGGCGACGCCCGTCCAACCGCACCGCAAATTTCACACCGTCATCTGCTGCTGTGTGTTGTTGTCGTGTGAGAATGAATTTTCCCGCGATCCGAAGGGCTTCACTTCGGCGCGACTCCAGCGCAATTTTCACAGTTTATACATAGAAGGGTCCTGTAGACAATGCCCCCCTCTCGTGCCTGCTTCGACATTCCCGACCTACCACCCGCTTCGGACAGTTCCACTGTTGTCTCCTCGTTCGTCCAAGGTGCCTACCGAGACTTGCGCTGCGCTCAATCCTCCGCCCATCCCCCATACCACCATCGGCCCACCACATATCGCTAAAACATCACGACCATCCGTAACCCGCGTGGGCCTGTGGACATCTTCCTTGCCTTATTGCGCCACAGAGCATCCTGCCCACGTCTTTGAGCGAGTCAACGCGTCTTGAAAGCCGCTGCTTCCGAGCCCCGCAGCTGCGGAAATCCTGTGAATCACTCGCTGCCCAGGTGATCGCTGTGCGAAGAGCTGCCCAGTTGGGAAGTTGACGCCGATTGACGTTTGTCAGCATCGGCACTACCAGTGCGCAGGTCAGGTCGCATCCCGGACCGACAGCCTGGAAAGTCTGGAAAGTCTGCGCGCTCGGTGCTGACGTGCAGAAGGGAGTGCTTGCGAGAGATTGAACAGATCCATCGGATTGTGCCCGCCGCGGCCTACAAACCGTGCGCCGCGCGCAAGGCTGTCCTACCTGATTTACATCACTGTCGTCGTCCTCCTGCGGGTGTGTTGGAGCGATTCCTCGCCGAGCAACTCTATCGACTCAGGCATTCGTCAGCGGAAGTCCTGTGTGCTACTGGATCAGCCAGTCGATCCCTCATGTGAATTCCGTCGCAACCATTTCAACGAACAATTCAAACCACGAGCACGAATTCTGGTGGCGCGACACAGTCACGACCTCACTGCGTTTATATAGTATCCGAGAAAATTATTCGACCGACGCTGCAGCGCCAAGCTCGTCTTGCGCCACACTTGTTTACACCGCTGTCAGTCATTCGTAGGATCGCGTCAAAAACTAAGAGGAGCGTCGTCTGGCTTTCAGCGGTCCGTGTGCCATCATGGCGCTCTCGCGTACTCCATCACAAGTCGACAAGAAACCTGAATCAATATCAAATCCGACAGGCTCATCTACTTCCCTCGAATCACACAAGCCAAACGATGGGCTCTCGCCGCCTCCAGCTGCAGATGCGGTCGCTGCTCTACCGGGCGACAAAGCTGTGCGGCCAGCCGCACCGTCGAAAAAGCCGACCTTCTCCACGCGGCTCTCGCGCATGTTCGTGCATAAGGAAGGCGGCGAAGGTTCAGCCAAGGACGAACCACGAAGAGATGCTCCCCTGACGGAGGGAGTTGTTGTCGAGAATGGTGACGCCGAAGTTACTTCACCCAAGTCAAACGGGAAATCGTCGCTCTACCGAACTCTGTCTAAAACCGATACTCCTCGAAGTGGATCCGACTCGAAGAAAGAGAAGCTGGCAGAGGCCTCAACTGCTTCAAAACGATTCTGGGTCGATGAGAATGGCGAACATGGGCACAACCTGAAAGGCGCAAAGCGACAGGACAAATTGAGCGACATGTTCCGAGATTTCATGTTGGGAAAGAAGAAGGAGCATGTTGAGGAGCAGCCTTTGTCGCTGATGTCGACATGGGTCGATCAGATCAAGAGTGAAAAGACGGCCGGAGAGAAGAAGGGCGGCCCGAACACTGCAGCCACATTGGTGCAAAAGTACGGGAAATGTCAAGAGATAGTCGGTCGCGGCGCCTTTGGCATTGTGCGAATCGCACACAAGGTCGACCCGAGCAATCCCAACCAGGAACAGCTGTATGCTGTGAAGGAGTTTCGGAAACGGCCGCAAGAAGACGCGAAGAAGTACAGCAAACGATTGAATTCCGAATTCTGCATCTCATCGTCCCTTCGACACCCAAATGTCATACACACTCTCGACCTGCTTGAAGACTCAAAGGGCGATTTCTGCGAAGTGATGGAATTCTGTGCTGGTGGAGACCTTTATTCTCTGGTTCTTGCGAATGGCAAGCTTGATAGCCCCGAAGCCGATTGCTTTTTCGCTCAGTTGATGCGAGGAGTTGAATACATTCATGAGATGGGTGTTGCCCACCGAGATCTCAAGCCCGAGAACCTCCTCCTCACAACTCGGGGCGCACTGAAGATTACCGACTTCGGCAACGGTGAATGTTTCCGTATGGCGTGGGAGACGGAGCCTCACATGACGGCCGGGTTGTGTGGCAGTGCGCCCTACATCGCGCCGGAAGAGTACACCGAGAAGGAGTTCGACCCTCGCGCAGTTGACGTTTGGGCCTGTGGTGTCATCTATATGGCGATGCGCACCGGCCGACATCTCTGGCGTGTAGCGAAGAAAGACGAGGATGAGTTCTACGATGCGTACATTCGCGGACGGAAAAGCGAGGAGGGATATGCTCCAATCGAGACGCTTCATCGGGTAAGTTTCGGCCCCGTCTTTGCTTTCACTGGATCTTGTTTACCAAGCTCGAAACGGATTTGCTGACATTATTTGGTGATCGCAGGCTCGATGCCGCAATGTCATCTACAGCATCCTGGATCCTGCCGCTTCTCGCCGGATATCTGCCCATCAGGTTCTGAACTCTGAGTGGGGTAAAGGCATCAAATTGTGTACCGCCGGTGAACAGGGATTATAACACTGCGTCAATGACGACGACGATCGAAGCTATCAGTCATGGCCCGGCACACCAACTTGATTCCGGACCGCTTGGCCTTCCTTCACGGGCCTTGAAAGATGGCGCTCTGGGCCCTACCCACGAAAGCCAGTTGCAAGCAAAGATCAGAACACTCCTGAGGTCATCTTGATTCGACATCACGGCCGTCTGTCCCTCATAAACACAATCTTCACAGTTGCCCGCCGACCTCGCACGCGACTGACTGCCAACATTATTTACCTACATTCACCAAACTCCTTCGCTCTCTTCCCAGTAAAGAACTATCGCGACTCAATTGGACTCGTGCGCCGCACACCACGTTGGGATGATTATTACGAGACACGAAACGATTACAACGACGGTCTTTGCCAATAGATACCCAGATAGCAAAAATGACAAAACTGAACATTTCAAAAGTGACCATTATAGCCCGACCTCGGGAGGCAATGTTTAGCTGACTAAATACTATTGAAATCGACCTCAGAGACGTTGGAGCTTGAGTGCTCGAGTTGTGCAGGTTGTAATCTCAAGTGCCGCAGTGCTACGTCGTTTGCGATCAAGAACATACGCCGTAAGTGTGAATACAAGCAATTATTTGGCAAGGTGGGCGCGTCGCAGTGTTTCCATTTACGAGATTGTTTTGGGCATCGCACTGCATCAATAGTTATTACTTTGGAATATAGCCAGTACACAGAACTGCAATTTTATAAGACTTTATGCCTGAGGCCTCTCGCTTAAATTGTGACGCACCGGGAAAGTCCGGCAGTGAAATCCGAAACACGTGATATTCTCCTTGCCAAGGCCCTCGGAAAGTCCAATGCTCTCACTCAGGCTGGCTGGAGAGACCAAGCAGCCAAAGCAAGACGTGTGAAGCTTTTCTACAGCTCCTCGTCATCACATTCACTTCCAACAATCACCAGCAGCACCGCCGACGCCGCCGCTCGTGCACCACCACCACCACCGACCGACCTCTCCACTCCAATAATGTCTTCCGCCGCTCTGGCTCGCGTTGCGCGCGCAGCCTTCTCCGCTCCCCGAGTCGCTCGCCTGCGATTTCAGCCAGCCGTGCAGCAGCTCAACATCAAGCCTGCCGCCGCTTTCTCCACGAGCTGCAAGAAGCTGTCCGCCCACGACCCGCACGCCGAGGAAAGCTTCGAGGAGTTCTCTGCCAGGTACGGAACTCTCATCTGCACATGATGTCCAATGTTGGAGGAGGACGCGCTATGGATGGAGCACAACACGCATGATGAACATTGGCGCGTCCGAAGGATCAAAACTTCGCTTGGAGGTCCTTTGCAAGGAACAACGACACCAACACATTTGCCGGTCCCTTCGCGTGATAGCTTCTTTACTGGGTGCTACACAGGCTAACCAAGGGCATCGTCGTTGCTTGACTATAGATACGAGAAAGAGTTCGACCAGGTTCAGGATGTCTTCGAGCTGCAGCGTAACCTCAACAACGCCTTCGCCTACGATCTTGTCCCCTCCACCTCCGTCATCACCGCTGCGCTGAAGGCCGCCCGAAGGGTCAATGACTACCCCACCGCCGTCCGGATATTCGAAGGTAAATCACCCACCATTCCAGTCACGAGCAAGTCTCGGTAGTTGGCGGGGCCCTGCGATTGTCATGACATTCGGACTAACCTTCCCTTCTTTTCTTGCGACATACAGGCATCAAGGCCAAGGTCGAGAACCAGAGCCAATACGACGAGTACGTCAAGGAGTTGCAGTCAATCCGGGAAGAGCTGGGCGTGAACCTCAAGGAGAACCTCTTCCCCGAGAACACGAACGCTTAGGGGGACATCAGTGGGCATTGAAACGCCAGAGATATACACCTGTTGCAGGTAATGGCTGTGCATTGGGGGGATGCAAGCATCTGAGGTGGTCAACCTGTATACCTTTTTGAGAAGGAGCGCATCAGAAGAAGAAGTCGAATCAACAGGATGCAGCTGTATACTTGCCTTTTCTCTTTTCCGCTGTGCAGATGAGGAGACAGAGAGGCATGAAGACGGGTGTGTGGAGGGAGAGCGGCGACCTTGACATCTTCCGCGAGAGAATTGGCATGTACCTTTTGCATATTAAAAGACTAACACTGTATTATGCTGTCCATATATACAGCTCCTCAAACTCTACTGCCCGCGCGTGAACGCTCGTCTCGCATGCATTTCATCGTCTAGACCCGAGAGCACAACAGGAGAATATTCTCCCTGACCTGACGCGCGCATCATAACATCATTGAAAGTTCAACGCCGCTCATTGATCTCTGCCCGGTACACTTGGATACATTCCGTCAATCGCACATGCAGACTGTATCATGTCCCGATCTGGGGACCCAATGCGGGAAGCATCTCTCAACTGCGGAAGCCGAACGAAGAACCAAGAACACATCGGAACAGTGGGTTGTGGGGTTATAGGTCTGGAAACAAGAAAATCTAAGCGAAGGAGATGAAGAATCCAGTTGCTCTCAATTCTGCTTCGTCGACGTCGCCAACCCGCTCTTGCTCCCCACAATGCTCACGACATCCTCATCCGCCACCACGTGCGCCAGGCCGACGCGCTGAGGCACATGGCGGGCACTCGCGCCCCAGACCAGCGCATACTTGAAGCTGTGTTTGAGGTCGCGATGGATGGCGTCGCAGACGTCCTCGATGGAGCTGCCGCTGCGGACGATCAAGGCCTCGTCGAAGCTGGGCTCGTCGCTCTTGCGCTTGGTGTAGATGCGCATCAGGCGCAGCTCGGCCCAGCAGCGGTCGACGACGTCCTGAATGCCCAGGTCCAGCTCGCAGCTCATGACGACGGTGTTGGGCTCACGGGCCAGGGCGTCGAGGAAGGCGAGACTGACGCTGTCGATTTTGTTGTAGACGTAAAGGCATTTGATGTACGTTCGGTGGTCTTTCATGATGACGTCGATGAATTGGTCGACCGTGGCTGGACAGCGGTGCTACAGTTAGCAAGGAAATGTAATCGTGGGGAAAGAATTTCACATGGAGAGGTCGTTCGTACCATTTTCATCTCGCACCAGGACTTCACAGTTTAGCATTCGGTAATCGCGCAAAATGTTGTACAGCATCTTCTCGTCAAGATTCTTTGGTGGCGAGGCGAAGGTGATCTTCATGCCGCCTGCGGTCTTCGGCTTGAGGTAGATGTTCGGTGGGTCTTGATTGAGACGGATCCCGACTGCTTCCAATTCTGCTTCGAGCAGAGCCCGCTGTTCGGCACGCTTGGTAGCATCAAGGACCATAAGGATCATATCGCTTGTCTGTGAATGAACAGGGGCTATGAGTTCTCTGAATGCTCCATCGATGCTATCATGCTCACCTTTGCAGCCGAAATGACCTGCCGTCCACGACCCTTGCCTTCGGAGGCACCTTCGATGATACCGGGCAGATCGAGCACCTGGATTTCCGCACCGCCATACTCGAGCACACCGGGAATGGCCGTGAGCGTTGTGAAGGAGTACGCAGCGACCTCTGATTTTGTCTTGGTCACCTTGGAGAGGAATGTGGACTTGCCCACTGAGGGGAACCCAACGAGAGCGATTCGAGCATCACCCGATTTTGAAACATCAAAACCTGTCCCTGCAGCACCTCCGGCGCCTGGGCCGGGTTCGAGCAATTGGGCACGAAGTCGGGCGAGTTTTCTTCACACATTATCAGCTGAATGATCGGCAGGTGGGCCGCGAGAAGCCTTGCGTCAGCTCACCCTTTGAGTAGACCAAGATGATATTCTGGATGATTCTTAGCATGATTGAATTTGATTGATGTGTGTCTTGATTGAGCACGACGTACCCGTTGCCTTATTTTCTTTGATCGGTCAGCGATGGGAAAAGCTACGTGTTGTCGCATGTGTTCGATTTACTTTGGGTTCTTTTCATCTCCTCCTCGATCCTATAAGATTTCGCGATCAACTCCCACTCAATTTGGTATGATTCGGAATTGCGGGGGCGATATTCACTCTTTGATCTTCTCTGTGATATTCACCATCTTGGCGACTTGGACTCGCCGTTCGGCGGGTTATTAAAACTCGAGGAGGTTCTTGGTAGACTGGTCTACGGATATACCGCTCACTTTACACGGAACACAGCGAGTTGATTTTGCAAACGAGAGCATGGTGGTGAAGAGATGTCGTCCAAGGGGTCCGTGCGCGGCCATCATCACCATTCCAAAAGCTCGATCTTCCATACAGTGCCATGCGATGTATTCTCAGACCTTCCGAAATTCATCATCAATTCGCATGGTGATTCAATTAGAAGCTTCGCGGTGGCACCCGAGTCATTCTAAATCAGCACTACCCTCTGCCGTAGTATATTGTGATGATTACATTCCCACATCAAGATCTTGCAACTTGCTTTGCTTTACAACAGATCGTGCTACGACTAACCATAGAGAAAATCATCCAGCTCACACACCAGGGACAACAGACCAGGTCTCACCGGTGAAGATGAGGGACCCATCGAGCCTCATCTGCTCGGGATCAAGGTATACTGTCATGCCGATGTGATCCATCGCTAGTCCAAAAACACGACAAACGAGGTAAACTTTTCTGGTCTGGTCCGAATCGTGGATATCTTTCATCTGCACAATGTTAGCGACTCCGCTTCCAACCTCGCATGCGTGATCACCTACCCTTTTATACTGAAACTTGCTCATGTAGAACGGCGTTTGGCAATCGCTTGTTGTGGTCTTGACCTCGATGAAGTACTCAGGCGTAGCTCCGCTCCACCGTTGCCGCTCGAGGTAGCCAGAATCAATAAGCAGATTTGTGAAATCCCCCCTGGCGTCAGAATAGACGATGTCGGCAGTCTCTCTCCCGCCAGGCCAGTCCTCAATGTCAGCGTAATCGGGATGAAGGCGCACACGCCCTCTGATCTTGCTCTGCCAATTGTTCCGGCCCTGACTCCAGCATGACAGATTAAGGCGCTCAAGTAGCTCGAAGACCTGCGCAATGTTAGTGGTTGCATCTCCAGAATGCATCGTCAGAATAGGCCTACATAGAGCTCGCCAGCTGCACCGATTTTGAAATCACGCTCCAGTTGACTCGATGACCGAAATCTCTCATAGGTCTCAGTGCTATGAGAGGTTGTTGCTGTATTGATGTCTTCAAGTCCGGGGAGGGAAGCAAGAAGAGCAGACATGCTGAAAGCTCCTTTCGATGGGAATCCCGCCACTCTTGCCGATGTCACCACTCGTTCAAGGATTGCGCGGTACAATCTATCCTCGCGTGTGTTTGCGTCATGAATGGTGGTCGTGACTGGACCTTGCATGGGACGTTGTGAAGAACGTCGTGCGTCGAATGAATATTGTCGTACAGTTTCCTCTCCGCGGAATGTCTCCGAGAAGACCGAATTTGTCGCATCGCCAGGTATCAAATCACTCTCGGCGCTCTCTGTGAGTATCGCCCCCGAGAAAACCGGATTCGTCGTGTTGTCGGGTGTCAACTCGCTTTCGGCGCGCTCTGTGCTCGCGTGAGTATCTGCAGTCAGGTAGTCGCCTTCTTCTCCAGATTCAGTCTCCCGGGAATATAGATCTTCGGGCGGATCGGGATCCGAGTTTTCAATGGGCACATTTACAATGCCCCGACGGTCCAAGATGTCACCGACCACAAAAGGGCTGACTGCTAGGATCGCTGCTAGTGCTGATACACTTTCAAGGCTCACGTCCTCGCGGATATTTGTCATAGGATCGCGCATAAGCCAGTCCTCCAATGCAACAGGAAAGACATCTGCGAAGCATAAGGCTTGTTGTTTGCGGTCCAACGGGACATAAACGATGAGCTTCAAGCCCTCTTCCACGATATGGATGTCACCTGATGTGGCCTCCGCCACAACGACGGGACCGTCTTGTGAGATTCTTAGCTCGGAGCGGAGACCGTCCGTTGCTAAAATTCGAGCGGTCTGTAGTGTTTGGTAAAGTGCACTCATATCTTGGGAATATCTAGGACTCTGGAAAGTGCCCGCATGACTATGAAGATGAGATCATTATGTGAAAGTTCTGTGAAAGTTCTGTGATAGCTCTGCGAAGGTCTGATGTACTCACCGTAAGATAGCGTGAGCCTTGAAAGTCAAGGCACGCTCTGGACTTGAGATTTCGCGATGGGTGTTGCCGGTCATTGTCGTGAATACCTTCACAGTCGCCGACAAGAACCGGCCCCGTAGGCCAAGACAAGTGAGAAAAGTATCCAATCTTCTTATTTCGTCCACACTGTAGTCCAGAAGTTTTATTTTCCCGAAGAACTTATTTGAAAGATGCTCGCGATCTGCAATACTAAATGCAGTCGCGAGTGACTTCAACGACTTTTGCCCATCGGGTTCGACAACAACAAAAATCGCTTTGTCGTGTAACACTGAATAGTCAATTGGGGTCTCATTTACCTGAGCAAGGGAATTGAGCGTCCAGATGGCGTTTTTCACTTGGTCAATGGTTGATTCAGAATTCGTGGCGCAAAGTTCGTCAACTGCCATCTGTGTTGTCAAGGTTCGGACATCCACGACTTCGACAAAGAAGTCCTCGAGATCTTCATAGTGTTTGTTGAGATTCACCTTATGCTGGAGCTCTGTAGTTCTCGACCACAGACATTCAGAGGTTTTGTGCCACTTTGAGTTGCCCGCATAAATGAGGCCGTGCTCCTCAAATGCTTGACTGGTCACGAAGAGTCAGTATACACTGCTGTGCGATCAATGAGATCCCTTGTACCGACCTTATACGAGCTCTGTATCCGTCGTAGTCTCCATCGTCGCGTGATAACAGCCACTCCATGAGGTAGTCGTAGATGCAAAACACTTCAGAAACAGGCAAGGATGTTCCCTCTCTTTTGAGACTTTGAAGTTCGATTAGTATGGTTGCGCAGTCGGCGTCGCCAATTTTCAGCGATTTTGAAAAGAAGTTGAAAACATGATCGAATTGGTCGCCGCGAAGGAAAGCCTCGTATCCTCTGCGTAACGGGCGTTTTGAGTCCATTTCCTGTGGCCCGTCCCATACACACAGTCCTGAGCGTGCCCATTCCCGAGGCTGCCCGTCTTCATCGAGTACGAGAATGCATGCAGTCTCTTGAAGTTTGGACCTGTGTACAAATTGTCAGCTGTTGGAGGACTCGATATATTTTTGTGCCACTCACAGAAACGGTGGGTGTGGACCATTTTGAATAACTTTGGCGTAAATAGCGGCGTAGAGATCAAAGACACGCTGGATCCGCGTCATTCTTTCGGGATTGGAATTTAGATTAGTTAACGATAGCAGCAAAAGCCTGTAGAAGTTCCAGTCATCCTCAGCCTTCACTCCAAGTTCCTCGTGCAGAAAAGACCACTTCGGATCTAATCTGTGCCCGATTCGCGCATCTGGAATTTGAAGAAACACAAAGTCCTCTTCGGGCTCCAAGTACTTTGCGCTCAGCTCGCACAGCTTCGGAACCGGCAGATAAACGTTCGACAGCTTCTTGCCACTAAACCCAGCGCAATGATCAAGTACGGGCGCCGCTGTATCGACGAGAGCGGCTTTGAGGGGTGGATTTGCTTTTATGAAATCTCCCTCATGTTTCCACAGATTTTCCAGTAGACCGAGTAACTTTGTGGGTTGATTCTGTGCGACATATTTCCATTCTGCCGACAGCTCATTCTTATCCGGAGATAGTAGACTCAATCTATCACGAACACCGACACATTCACGAAGCCAAGCTTTCCAATGCAAAGGCCGTGTGGGCTCGCCGGACCTTGTTCCAGGCAATGGTCGTCGAGACGGAGTTGCTGTATCTGTGACACTCGGGATGTTTTCGAGGTATATGGGGTGCACAAGTGATATTGAAAACTTCATACAGCCGTCCGGGCACTCGAGCAGCATCTCAGGCCCGTACGGATGGTCGTTCGGATAGTAAACATCCTCGGCCGTGGGCGCTACGTAGCGCATGGATCTTTCATACATCTTGATATTCGCTAGCTGCCGGTCCGGTGAATCAATCAGTGGGTGTACCAGATAAAGGTAGTGGAGATCGACTTTGGATTCAGTCAATGTTACGTTTCCTGTTTGCGAGCGATAACGCTTGAGGATCAGTGTCTTCACTTCCGAGATGGGCGCTTCCATGGAGCTCCGCCCCATAAGGGCAGAGAAGAAGGAAAGCCTGTCTTCGTTGCGCACCGCATTTGGATCCAATGTTGAAAGGCCGAGATGGGATGGGATTGAGATGCCTCGCGTGGTCGGCAAGTAGACTGGGCCTTGACTCATAGCCACAAATGTTCCACTCGTAAGCGGGAGAAGATCCATTCTTTCAAGTTCTGTGTATTTGAGCCCGGTATACATATCCTCAAGTAATCTGGCGACCTTTGAGTGCCAGGACGCCGAGGTCAAGTAGCCCTGCATTTTAGAGAATATCGAAGAAAGATCTTCGCGAAGTAATGCCATGAACCTTTGTTCATTCATTTTTTGAAGTCCATACAATTTCAATCGAGTCAAATGTGCCTTTCCATATGAGTCCGAGATGAACGAATCCTGCCGGCCCAGGAGAGGCTCGCCTCGGTCATCACGGAACTGATCATCGAGAATCATGACATCTTTGATACTTTTGAATTCGTTCATGAGTCGCGATCTGATAAGTTTTGCGTTCTCCATTAGATCCTCGATTTTTTGGAGCATTGGTAACCAGAATTTAGAACAACGCTTGCGTGACGGAAGAAATAAGGGCCAGGTACAACGAAGGTCATCATCCTCGCAGAATTCGTAGGCAGCCTGTAAGAAGGCGGCGGCGATTTCGTTACGCAGGCCGATGTTTCTGAGAGAGTCCTCATTGATGTCTTGTCGGTTGGCAGTGGTGTCGAAGTCTGCATGCACGATGAACTATGATATATTGTCAACGATCAGACCTGCTCAACGTAGAATGTGAAATCTTACGTCAAAATCAGATTCTCGTATCGGAAGGAATGCGAAGAGGTCCTTCCTTGAGCCATTATCATCAACCAATGGTTCGTTTTTGGCCGACAACGGGAAGGCTAAAATGACCTCGGTCTCTGCGGAGGCTTGTTCAAGTGTAGTCTCTCGGTTCTCGCTCCTAGCTACATCTCGCGCGAGGTACTTGGTGACATGATAACGCTGTGTCTGAGAAACTTTCGGTCCAAGTGAAGGTCCGTGAGCCGTTTCGAGACTGATGCCATGGTCTGTAACATCGCTGACTCGCAGAACATTGTAATTCGTCACCACGCCATCCTGATCATAGAATGTAATTTCAATGCGCTTGAGCTTCTGAAGGAACAGTAAGCACGTTTGCTGGAGTGACGAGAGCTGCTTATCAATGGTGTTACGAAGGCGTTTGAGCTTTCCGGCATCGCCATCCTTGTGTAGATAAAGTGTGATACGAGTCACAGAGTCTGCAAGATTTTCCTCTGGCTCGGCCCAGATAGGAGTGATCATTCCCAAGGCCTTACTTTCCGGCATGTGCTCAAAAAAGAAGGAATAGTGACCGGATTGAATGTGAACTTTCCAGGCGGCGATGAACACTGACTTGAAGCCAATACCCTTGGCACCGATGTATCCGTGGAGGCCCGATTTGGAACTTTCTCCCACCGAACTGATGGCATTGATGTCTTTCTTGGTAAATCCATCCTCGTTGCATTCTATCACGACCCGGTCGTCTCGACAATGAAAGGAGACGAACGGCGCCTCACCACGCGCAGTGGCTCGCGTAAACTTGTTATCATCTGCGTTTTGGAGCAGCTCGAATACGAAACGAGCATCGCTGCTGTACAGATTTTTGGCGAGGCTTGAGTTTGGTTTCAGCAACAATCTTCTGACAAAATCACAGGAGGAACACATACGCCGTAATGGAGACCGAGGCAAGCCGGGCTGAGTGGTAAAGTGCACGTTCGATCCTTGGCCGCTTGTCAGGGTCCAAAGTCGCCATGAAAGCTTCATCAAGGTAGCCACGCTCTTCGGCTATTTGTTCGATAATGGCCTTGGCCTGGTCTTTATTCGCCATTGCTTTCTCAATGCCTTGAGGCAGGAGATTTGGGACAGCACAGTGTTCGGGAGTTGCAAAATGGCACTGCACATCCGAGGACCAAGATTATATAGATTAGCATTCCACGTCCGTCCAACCAATCTAAGCGCTGGCATGTATGTCTGCTGCAGGGTCATGTTTCAGCCCCCAAAACCTTAGCCATTCACTCATGATTATGTTTTCTCGGACTCAATAGATCAGCATGTGTTGTCTGTAATGATCTAAAGAGCCTTGTTGGTGCTCGAGCGCTGATTTGCATATCATGCTAGTTTTGATGTTGAATCGTAAATGCAAAGTGGAACAACATAATTTTCCAGGCATGACTTGGAAGAAGGAGTGAGCAGTGCAGATGGAGTGGGGTCTTCTGAAACTCCGTTTGCGGCACAGCACGACCAGACGCACAGTGGCACGGCCTACCTTGCGCATCTCTCCCTCGATGGTGGCCAGCTCGATGCAGCATATCCGAGGAGTCTTCTTGTGCCCATTGACGACGGGATAGAGGGCAGGTTTCCCGAATGTCGTGAATTTCTGCGCTCGGCTGTGCTGGCGCACGCGAGGGCGTCCTGGTCCATACCGTGTGAGCTATGGAGACTTGTGACGCTGATATCTGCTCGGTCGGTCCGTCGAACTTCCATGGACAAATTTAAATCCGAATCAACTTAATTGAAGCAGATGAATGATGACGGAGACAGACGAAGGGGATTTCGTGAAGAGTTCTATTGAGCGGACAGCGGTCCGCAGCGCCCGACCGGCACGGATCGATCATGGAAAGTGCGACACTGAATCCCTCTTGAGGTTCTGATGAATGCGTGTTGGATCATGTCGCATACTACCTAGGTAGTATGCACAGTGTTATGATCTCCCACATCTGGGCAGGGTCGTATGAGGTAGCTGGTGCGACGGCCACACAGGCCCATACTGAAGGACTCCGGGCTTCTGCCATTCTGTCATCCTCCCTCCATTCGAACGAGGATCGTCCGGCATCCCACACAGAAGCGTTACGCCTGCCGCCAATGAACGATAAGTATTGCGACCGTGCGGGTCAGATGCACCGCCCGCGCACATACAATCACTGTCGCGACACTGTGCATTTACGGCACCAGCAAGAATTGTCTATACTTGGTTGAAGTTGATCTAGCACGTCTTGGTTGTGTTGGTATATGCGCGCTGGCACTGAATCAATCGACTCACCCACGATCCCAACCCTAGAGACGAGGTCATCCATGAATGGCTGGCAGTTTCCTAGGGATTGTTATGTAAATGCTGACAAACGCCAATGGAGGAACTGACGCACGAGCGAAGCGCCAACAGGGAACACGCAATCGTTCAATTGAGCCATTCAGCACACCGTACGAAGCCAGAGAGACGCAATCCATTGCCATACGAAAGTACGAGGCGAGCCATCCTACAGTCGGCGATGGTGCGGAGACGCCCCGACAATTGGGGCTTTGTTCACTCATTCCGCCGGTATAGAAGCCTACTGTCCATAGAGACGCTCGGAGGAGAGGGTCGGCGCACTCTTTCGGAGGTCGACGTCCGCCCACCGAGTCAGCTTTGCCCGGGCACTGCGTAGAATCCTTGCATTTCCTGGTTCGCAATCTACCGTAATTACAGGTCTGCGGCACCATTATGACACGTCCTACACCATACACATGAACGTGCCCCGCCCATACGAACTGCGTTGTCATTATGTATACTCCGCTGGGTGTTCGGCAATGACGACGATCCCAAAAGCAGGGAGATCCGTCGCCAAGTTTGCTGTTTGCTGCGTCGCCTTTCTGACCGTTCTCCTCTAGCCGGCTCTTTCCCCACAACGTCGATCCCCAAATGATGTGCCGAGCGAAGAGCGATAAACGACGAGCTTATTTTGCGGACCTTGGTTTCGTGCGTGTGTACGAACCAGTACCAGAATCTGGTCTTTGTTTGTTTCCAAAGGTGTGGTGCTTCGGAGCGAAATCGGACCTGGCATGCGCTCCACTTGTTGTGCAATCGAGAGGATAATATATATATATATATATATAACGTAATCTATCACCGAGCGGGCCAAATCACCGAACGGGCCATTTTGTCTTGGCATTACAACTGAGGTGACTACAACCGTTGTTTATTCAACCACACACTTAGTTATACATCTGCTATGCTAGGATATGGTTCAGAAGGAGCATCTCTATCTGTCTGGCAAGTTCGTGAGTTGTGTCCAGCTATTCCGCAGTTTCTACATCGTCGTTGAGTTGGAGGTCCTCGTTCAGACTCAGCTTCATTACAAGTCCTTTTTGATCGTTGAGCACTTATCCCCGCCTGTGCGCTTGCCTGTGATGCTCTAATACCATACTCTATAGATCCACCTTGCTGGATCTGCTTCCGTTTACGCGATCTTCTCTTAGTCAAGACTGCTAATTGCTCTTCAAGCTCTGTAATCCGTGCAGATTGGAGCACGTTCTGATGGAGCATCAATTCAGCACCTTTAACTAATTGTGAGAACCCTTCTTTAGCTTCGGGCGGAGACCTAAGGAAAGAGCGGCTAATAAGCTTGGATTGAGATCCAAACTCATGCGAATTGCTCGGTGTTTGGGACTCCTATGCTGCTTCCGGTGATAGCTGTTGAGGAGGGGTGTGCAAACGTAGATCAAGACGATCAATAACTGTTTACGCGTCCGTACGGACTATCGCTGTTGCCTCAAAGGCCTTTCGACAGTTCTCTTTCGTAAACACGTCGAAAAACGCGTCCTTAAAGGCTGGAAGGAAGTTCCCTTTGTTGATATAAAAGACGCGATTTCGTGCCAAGCCTCTGACACGCTCAGAGTACTTGCTCTTTAGCGGTGAGAAACACACTACGTCGAGAGGCTGAAGGATGTGAGACGAATGTGAAGGCATACACAGAGTGAGGATCTTGTTCTCGAGGCAATAGTCCTTGAATGCTTGATTCAAATGGCTCTCATGGCCGTCGAGAATGAGTAGCCTATACCCTGCTACTTGACGCGTCCGTGTATGCGTATCAAAATGCTTCAACCACTCCAGACCAAGGTCGTTATTAGTCCAGCCGTTCTCAGAGACCGAGATTCTCCAATCTGAAGGGATATCAGCCTCTTCATACCACGTAGAGATGTGGACGCGCCCTTTGTAGATAATGAAGGGAGGGATTGTATAGCCTGCAGCGCAAATGCTCTGTATTACTGTCACCTATTCGCGGTTGCCTGGTTGAATAAGTGTCGGTCTTTTTCGTCTCTCTGAACCTGTAACAACTTTCATTAATCCAATAATACCCATCTGGAAGCCCGTTTCGTCGAAGTTGTGAACATCATCGTCGTGGACACTATGTTTGGCTTTAGTGTCTATTACTAACGTCAACCACGCGTTGATAACGTCCGGGTCTTCTTGGAGGACTCTCTAACGATCCTTTGCTCGACTGAACGCTATCTTCAGCTTCTCCGAACGCGTAACGAATCTGTTAGGCCAGCATTTACCGACTGGCCCTTTCCCTCGTACAGCTAGAAGTTTATTAGCCATATCTGCTACCTCAGAGAGTACAGGTGCAAATCCTCGCGAATCAAGGTCAAGGATACATTGCTCAAGCGTCTGTTCTTCTGTTAACGTCAGATTCTAACAGTTTGGTGCCATAGTCTCGCGAGATCTGGTTCCTCTGAGTCTCTTAGAGAGTATCTAATAATTGATATTGAAAGCAGCAGCTGCGCTCCGTTGGCTCCGAAAATGACCAGATCTATACGCATTGATAGCAAGATCGATTCTACCTTCTTGATTATCTGATGACATGTCTCGTTGTTGATACAATAAACAGGAAAGATGTTGTTTACAATGCCAAGACAAAATGGCCCGTTCGGTGATTTGGCCCGCTCGGTGATGGATTACGTTATGTATATCGAGGTGCCCTGTAGATTGACATGTACCAAAGTTCCCCAGAAACATCGGTGGAGTGCATGGGTTCCTCTTCCTGTCCTGCAGGATTTCTGACCGAGGCGTTTCTGTGGCGCACCCATCTCTGCTGACGTCAACTCTCGTCCCGAACCAACGTTCTGTTCCACCACTAGTGAGGATCACGAGCAGCATCCGTTTGTCTTCTTCTTCTTCGATATTTCGATATAGTGCCTCTGGAAGATCTATACGCACAATTTGGCCGGTGCCTCACAATCTCCTCTGCCATTTATACACATACAGACCCTCCTCCGGCCAACAGGGAGACTGCCGACAGGGATAAGCATCCCATCCCGGAAAGCCCGGAGGACATCTTCGGAAAGGGATCCACGTCCGGCAAGCGAAAATGATGCCTCCGGACATCCAAACGTCGGTGGAGGCCCGTCGGTACTACGACGCACTGCACGCCGAACTCATCAAGACCGGCAAGTACCATGCCTTCACATTGCCGTGGTCGACGATAGGCATGGTCGCCGTCCCGGTCTACCTCATGTTCGACCACCGACACTCCCGGCTGCGACGAGCGCTGCGGATTCCGTTCTTCCTGCTGGTCGCCACTCACAGCATATGGGTGCTACTTACGAACCGGGCCCGGGACGCCGCCATGGCCTATCTGACCGGCCTCATACCCATTTTCTTGCTGCTCTGGAGCGCGACGTTCCTGCTGTACAGCGACGGCCAGCGGGATTTCAAACGACTGCAGTACCGGAACAGCGTTGCTTTCGGCCGGTTCCACACCGACGGGAAGCGAACTGCAAAGGCAGCTGACGGCTACGCGGACGGCCCGGTCACCCGGAAAGACAACGGTCATGCAAACGGTGACGGCAAAGGCTCCGCCAACGCGAAGTCAAATGGCAGCGCCCACGGCCACGCCGACAGACCCTCGAACGATACAGTCCGCAACGTCACCTCCACCACTCTCACCTACGACAACCCGCGCCGCGCCGAGACCGGCCCGGTCTACTGGCAGGGCTACCCGACATCCTCGTTCCTCGAGCGTCTGGACTGGGTGGTGGATCTCTTCACCAACTTCCGCGGCATCAATTGGAACTTCCAGATCCCCGATCTGCCGCCACGGCCCTCCTGGGTCGAGGCTGATCTCGCCGGCAAGGTCAGCGGCACGCCCGAATTCTACGAACACCTCACGCCCACGCCCGACGTCCTCGTCAGCCGCACGGGCGTCCAAGCCTTCACCTCGAGCCGGAAAACGGTCTGGTACAGCGCGGCGAAGCTCTTCTTCGGCTTCGTCATCATCCTGGACATCCTGAAGCTCGCCGTCATTCACGACCGGTACTTCTGGGGCTTCGTCGACCCCGTCCCGCCTGCGCCCGCCTATCTCCCCTCCCTGATCGCCGACTCGCCCTTCCTGCTCAAATGGTACCGCTTGCTCCTCGGCTGCGGCGCAATCTGGGCCGGGATCTCATCCATCATGGTCGTGGGTCCGCTCGTCTACGTCGGTCTCCTCGGACCCGAGCGCGTGGGAATCCGGGGCGAGCCTTGGGCGAACCCACCCGATGCGTTCGGATCGCTGGCAAACGTCCTCGACAAAGGTCTCGCGGGGTACTGGGCCGGCTTTTGGCATCAAATTTTCCGCCGCACTTTCGAGGCGCCCGCCACGAAACTGATGAACGCGTTGGGGATCAAGCCGCGGAGCAACGCGGGGTTGCTGGCTGCTTCTGCCTGTGCATTTGGCGTTTCGGCCCTCCTGCACATGTCTGGAAGTTTCACCGAGCTCGGCGATACCCGTCCGCTGAGCGGGCCAGGTTTATTCTTCGTGCTGCAGCCGCTTGGGATCTTCGCGCAGATCTTCTTCGTGCGGGCACTGCGGGCCAGTGGTCTTGCGAAACTGGTCCCACGCTGGCTCGGGCGTCTCGGGAACTTTACTTGGATGATGTACTTCTTGTACTACACCGCACCCTTGCTCGTTGAGGACTTTGCTCGGGGCGGCGTGTTGCTGTTTGAACCATTGCCTTTCAGCCCGACTCGTGCGCTAGGTCTGGCACCTGCGAAGGAAGAGGCGATCGTGGGCCGGTTCCCATTCTTGTTAGATGGAGTGGCGTTCTGGCATCAGGGACCGACTTGGTGGCAAACTGGACTTGCACTTTAAACGTTGACGCTGAAGAACGATAGATTGCGTTACAGCGCTATCATGGCATCGTGGTCGAATCCTCATTCGAGGTTTCCAGTGCGGTCAATTTGACGACTTGATGATCTCATTCTATGCATTTTCTGCGAATTCTTTTCCGTTTGGCATGGGCGCTAGACATGAATAGCATGAGCGAGTTGCACAAGTCGACGGCATGATGGTGGTTTCATGCTTGTTGGAGTTCACCTATATATGGCATATAATTAGATTGAACCGCCGTGAAAGACCGGGAAAACTTACACGACTTCATCCTTCCGGCTCTGCTCGTCATGTGTTGACGCCTGCCTTGGAGCGATGCCCGCTCGCTGGCGCTCTTCCTTCGCAGTGTATCCCATACCCTGGCGCCACCATTGCAGGAGCCCCCTCTCCTCCATCCATCGACTATAATCCTTCACCGATTCGATTTCTTCAAGGCCAATGTTGATAGACGCCGTACGATCTTGCAGAGCCTTAACCCCATCGGCCGACAAGGTGGCCAGAGCCTCTGCATCGAGTTCGACAGGAGCAGGCCGCACCGCCAATTGATAATCTTTGTATCGCAATTTCTAGAGGCAGAAGAAAACTCATGGGTCAGGAAAACCAAAATCTGCGGAGACCCCATAGTGTCCTTCCACGATGGATCTCTAGCAAAAGACAGCTCTCATACCTTTACACTGCCGACCCAACCCGCGACTCTTCCCGAATTTATGCCTGTGACATACATGATCCCCGGCCCCTTGCCGCCGCTGCGGAGCATCGCGAAGACGCCATGTTCGCTGGCGGCGTGCCGAAGCTTGGCGACTTTCTTGAGGCTGGTGATGTGGTGGGTGCGGATGAGAGCGTGCCAGGGACGGGGATTTGCTGGCGGCGAGGGAAATTCGGTCTGTGGAGAGAGGGATGTCGTCGACGACAGGCGAATGCTTGTGGCGGTGGACGGAGGAGATTTGGATGATCGCGTCGTGAGGTTGACTAAGTTGTGAGTCCGACGAGAGTAGATTAGTATACTCGGCATCGAGGTTGGGGGCCGCCAAGATCGTCGGCAACGCGAGGCAGGCGAAGATGCGAGAGATTCGAGTTCCGGTTGGTACGACAGATGGACGTCGATTCATTATCATCCGCGCATTGGTAGAAATTCCTTTCGAGGCTTTCATGCTCTGAGAGCTTGCAGCTGGTGATGCAGGTGTCTAATGGATGGCTGACGTCACGCGTCAAGCATCTGTGGGGGAGATTTTGGAACATCGCGAACGAGGTTTGGCGCTGGTTGTAGCGGTCCAGGGTTGCAAAGCTTCCGAGGTCGACCACGATGTCATATACCGCTCGATAGAGCACCGTGATCAATCTCGTCGAAATAGTGTCACACACCAAATATCTGTGTCAAGTATATTCATCATTTCAGATTTAACTTTTTTTCTTTCCTAGTCAGACTACTTAAGCCAAAGTCTTTTCCTTCAACTCGATGCCATAGTCCTTCTGGAGCTTCAACCGCAGGGGCTCCGCCAACTCAGGCGTGACCGGCGCCAAGATACCACGTGCGGAAATCTCACCAGAGAGGACCATCAGCACAGCGACGGCACAGGGGACACCGACGAGCTTGGCCATGGCGCTGTAACCTTGGCCATCGTCGTTGGCTCCGCTGCCGGGCTCAGGCGCACCATACTCGGCAAGCGTCGAAGTGCGCACCTCCTTGCGACCGTCGGCCCAGGTGATGAAGAACTTGTGTTGGAGCATGACGAAATCACGCTCACCGGGAGCGTACTGCATCTTGTGCTCCAACGAGGCGCACAAGGCATCCAGAGCGGTACCGGCGGGAGTGATGGGCTCAGTGGAGAAGAGACCGACCCAGCGCAGGCCAGCCAAGATGCGCTCTTTGTCCTCGGCTGAGTTGAAGTTGGCCTTGGAGGAGACAGCTGCCTCGAGGTCGGCTTCGGACGAGGACTTGGCGCCGAGGATCTGCGCAAAGGCTTCGTTCCATGGGATGGGCTTGGAGAGGAAGTCCTTGGCGTCGCCGTTGAGCAGACCAAGCTCCTGCAAGACCTGGACGAATGCTGGGTTTCCGCGGTAGCGGAGGGTACCACGGATGACGGTCTCAGCTTCGGGGATATTGTATCGCTCACGGTAAGGGGTAGAGTCACGGTTCGGGTATGCGTCGAACGCGTAGCCGGGATAGATGTGGTAAGGTTGAGCCGTGGCCATGAGACGAGCGCCAGCGACGGTCTCAGTCTTGCCATCGCGGTAAAACTGAGCGGTGTTGTTGGCGGCAAGGAGCACACCACGAGGCGACCATGAGAACTTGTATCCAAGAGGGTTGTCCGAATCCTCAGGTGCGGGCAGACCACCGCAGTACGAAAGGAATCCTGTGATCTTGCCACCCTGCTCGTGCACCTCGGTGATGGTCTTGACGGCGTAGAGGTGGTCGATGCCCGGGTCGAGACCGATCTCGTTGAAGACTGTGATGCCAGCCGCCTTGGCCTGCTCATCGAGCGCAAGCATAGCTGGCGAGACATATGAGGTGGTGACGACGTGCTTCTTCTGGTTGATGGCGGCCTGAATGACCTGAGCGTGGAAGGTGTATGGAATCAAGGAGATGACAAGATCGACCTTGGCGACCTCGGCCTCGAGGGCAGCAGCATCGTTGACATTGAGCGAGATGGCGGACGCATGTTGCAAGCCGTGGGCGAGTTTCTGTGCACTCTCGAGGGTTCTGCAGGCTGCGAGGCGAGGAGGCAAGTCAACTCAGGTGCTCGATTCGACACCATCGTGTATCGTAAAGGACGAGGACTTACCGACAGTGACCTTGACACCGGCCTTGTCAAGCTCGACCGCAGTTGGGCGGGTGACGAAGCCTGCTCCGAGCAATAGTACTGATCTGTGAAAGGAGAATGGTATCAGCAAAGCGGAGACAAAGATGGCCTTGATTGAGATTCAGGCCTAGGACCGGACATGGCACATACTTGGACGACATGATTGTGTTGATGGGATTGGCAGAGCTAAGTTGATCTGAGAGAAAAAAAGACTTTTAGGCAATCGAGCTTCAACGGCATGGGTGAGTCAAGCAAGGGTCACAGTCCCGCCGTACCTACAGTATAATCGGAGTACGATGTGGTCTGGAAGGCAACAAGGGTGACCAATGGTTTGATCGACAGAATGTACACCGTTCAAAGGCAATACGACTACAGCATGCTCGTGGGCTTAGATTTTCCTGGATCCGGTGTTCGCCACTGTCCATCGCCAACGCAAGTCAACATACGTACGCGCCGTCATCACTGTTGTTCTTGATGAATTATTACCATTGTTATTACAGTATGGTGAAAATATTCGAGCATGGAGGGGTCAAAAGGTGGGACATTGGCCAGGCACATTGGACATTGGACCCTGTGCACCAACAACACATTTGCATGACTCGCGTGTGGAAACCGTTTGCCCTGGTGGCCTCGAAGTGAGGTAGGGTACTGTACTCCAGGGCTGTATGTAATTAATCCGTCTCTTCAGTAGATCGCAGGTTCTCCTCTATCCCGCTCTCATTCTGGGCATGCTGTATACGCATCATGTGTTGTATCATCGAAACACGCGCAGACTTTCACCTGGCAGCTATCGAATGGTGGACCAATAGCAGAGTTATCGTCATAGAGAGGCGGCTTGCCACAAACGCGAGGCCATAGGCCAGAGCGACATGTCAATCGTGTTTGTCGTGGGCGACGAGTTTGTGTGATGGTAAGTGGCACTCAGCGGCACTCAGTGGTCAACATGGAGAAGTCCATATCGGAGTGGAGAAGACGGACAGTCGCCAGATGTTATCTTTCAACTCTATCGTCGCGTGGAACAATTTGTCGTGAGAAAATCTCTGGGGACGTGACTTATGATTGCCGCCGAGATAGATATGCGGTTCGTAACTCAAGCGATCGATTATCGTTTCATCGATAAGCGATAGTGGCCTCAATTCCTACCTACTAGGTACATGCCTAGATCGGCGTATGATGCCTGCATCTTGTTGATGGAGGTGGCATGCAGATGCGACGAATGCATCGCGGTCCTGTGCGAGATCGCCGCCACATGTTCCTGACACGTATATAAGACGGGGATCCATCGAGACGTCAGAACATCTGGGCGGCCACAGCTCCAGGACAGGACATGGACTGGACATGGATGTATTCGAGAGTGTGGTGAGGAGGGGCTCGGGTGATGTGCTCGCCGGCTGCCAAAGCGATCCAATCTCCAGGACGGATGGATTGAACGCCGGGTGAAGGCCCTCCCGTGAGCTAGCTTCTTCCAATCGAGTTGTTATTTATCACTGTTCCTCCTTGGGCAAATTGGGCCACACTTGGGCACACAGTCGTGACAGTCAACGGTGTGGCGGGTGGGCGGCAGCGGCGGCATGTATGTGGCGTCATGGTCCTCCAGACTCGGGGGCGTTTGACGAGAGTTTGAGCCATTCCTCCCCATCATCAAGCCCATCAACCAATGCCACCTGCATGAATTCGATTGCTTACCTACAGTACCTAGTAGGTATTATCCTGCACCTCTGGCAATTCTGACCTCTGCATATAGTAGTCCCCGGCCCTGATCAGTTGAATGCTGGCGACCAAATCATCCCTTGACGAGATCCCGCAAACTTGCCCACCAGTACTGTAAGTACGTCGTGCTCGGGCTGTGCTGTGGTAGTCGTCTGGTTCTCGTCGACGCACATCTCGACCGTGTCCTGCTCGCTCGCCCACCTTCGCTCACCTCTCTGCTGCCGAGGTGAAAAGCGACGTCGCATCTCGCCCGCAATTTAAAAACCTTTGGAAGTCTCCCAGGGCTGGAGAGCGAGAGACACGGCCCGGCGACAACCGCATCCGTCCATGCAGCACCACTCCGCGCGCCTGGAAATTAATAATAATTCTAATGAAACAACGTGAATAATAAATCACAGGAGCGACGTCACCAAACCGACCCCGTGGGCATCCAGGCCCGCGTGCATCAGCATTTGGCGGCTTGAACCAGCGCTCCATCATCTTTCTACCGCCGTGCATCCATTGTGGTAGTCGATAATAATAATAATAATGATAATAATCAATAATGTCCAGGACTCTGCCCAGAGTTTATCGCATGTATGCAGATCGGAGGCTACCCGCTGGACGTAGTTCCATTGATTAGCTGTCACGACACGACAGCTTCCTCATACGCCATTTCTCCGGTCTTTCTCCATCCTCAAACCCAACGCCAGCCAATAGTGAGGCAGGCATTTGAGGCTGATTTGCATTTCGAAGTAAACGGCTTATCGACATTGTCACAGAAATAGCGTGCGCCATTGGAGTCTTTCTCTTGACCCGCCGGTGATTCGTAGATCCGTCGAGACCCCCGGTGACCGTTAGCCACTGGAAGGGAAGAGCTCTTCGGTGCGGTGGGAGCATCATCATTGATATTTGGCTCTTCCTTCCACCCTTTTCGTTGACCTGAGTCTCCGACCTTTTTGTCTTCTCCATCACCACCGCCAATAACGTCCTTGTTCAACTTCGATCGACACTTCGCCGTTGCAACACTTTACCTTGGCCTTCATCCGACAACATGGCGGTCGCAAGCGGATCGTCAAGTACGACCCCCTCACCACAATTCCGCAAGAAAGTGTTGCGAGTTTTGGTCATATCTCTTCTCCTCGATCTGGTGAGTTTGCGCAAATCTTTCCTTGTCCTTGACTTTGAAGAATGTGTCGCCTGTTCTCTGTTTGGATGTTCGGCCAATCGGCACGAAGAGAGAATGTTCATATCGCGCACACAAGTCATACACCTCAGCCTCGGCCTTCATCTCTTCATTCTACAACACGCCCGTCAGATGAGCGCCTCGCATTACGCCCCATTTGCTGATCGCGGCTGTGCCTTCTCCACAGATCTCGTTTACCTTCATCCTCCCGCTGTTTCCGCAGTTGGTCAACTTCTACCGCCAGCTCGAAACCACACAATCATCTTCGACGACTGTGCTCGCGCGCATCTTGACCGGTCTCAATGCCTACAAACAGAGTTTCGCCCGACCCATCACCGATCGATATGACATCGTGCTTCTCGGCGGTGCCCTCGGCTCGCTCTTCTCCCTCTGTCAGGCCATCGCTTCGCCCGTCATCGGTGCCCTCTCAGATCGCTATGGCCGGCGGACGGCCCTTCTGTGGTCCATGGTGGGAAACATTGCCTCCGTTGCGCTCTGGTGCGCTGCTGTCGACTTCCGGACATTCCTCGCGAGCCGCATTGTGGGTGGATTGAGCGAGGGCAACGTGCAGCTGGCGATGGCCATCGCGACGGACATCAGCTCGGACGCTGATCGCGGCAAAACGATGGCTCTGGTGGGCGCCTGCTTTTCCGTGGCGTTCACATTCGGCCCGGCTCTGGGTGCGGCGCTATCGAATGTCAACCTTGTTGCTGCGAACCCATTCGCGACTGCAGCAGGAGTCTCTCTCGTCTTGATCGTCGTCGAGACACTCTACCTCTGGTACGCGCTTCCGGAGACCAACATTCTCCACAGCGCGGCTGCCACGGCTACCTCCGGTGAGGCAGCAAATGGCAGTGCCCACGAGAAGGTCAACGGCAGTGCCGCAGCACACGCATCTGAAAAAGCCACCGCAGAACAGCCCGCAACCCTTGGGCGAACCAACTCCCACATTACTCTGAACCTCACTCACTTCTTCTTCATCCTATTCTTCTCCGGCATGGAGTTCAGTCTCACCTTCATGACCTACGATCTGTTCAGCTACAACGCACGCCAATCCGGCCAGCTGCTCGGCTACATCGGACTGATCGCCTCCCTGCTCCAAGGCAGCGTCACCCGCCGCATGAAACCGCTGTTCCTCGTCCGCATGGGCGTCGCCAGCGCCGCCGCCGCGTTCCTGCTCCTCGCCCGCCTCCAGACGACCACGACCCTGTACGCCGCCGCCACTTTGCTCGCCGTCACCAGCAGCTCCGTCGTCACCGGCCTGAACTCGCTCTCGAGTTTCGAGGCCGCGCGGACCCACCGCGGTGCGGTCCTGGGCAACCACCGCAGCTGGGGTCAAGTGGGAAGAGCCGCGGGACCGCTGATCTTCTGCTCGCTATACTGGTGGGCGGGCCGACAGGCAGCGTACGAGACTGGAGCGGTGGGCATGACGGCAGTCCTCGTCGTGGTGGCCGCTGCGCTGAGGAATCCCCCGGTCGGGGTGAAAGAGGCGGCGAAGATTGCGGAAAAGAAAGAGCTTTGATGGGGGGTTTGACTCGAAATTACTGAGATTTAATTGGATAATGTTATAAAAGTTGTCAAAGAATGGGTGCCTGTGAACGCTTTTGTGAGCAAGGTATCTGCGTCGAGTGTATGTGACGATTGATCCTACGCGGGTTTCACACCGCGGTCCTACAACGGAAGCGGATCATAGGAACACTACCCCTCCGGTTCGTCTACGCCGCTACGTGGATTTTGCCGCTACGTGGATTTTTTTCTCGTCAAGCAGAGAGCGGAGAGACCAAGACAAGGATGCCATAGGGCGTCAAGGTTTTCGAGGATCTCGGTACGACGGCCAGACGACACGCCGCGGCTCCAATTTGCGTCCTATCCTTTCAATAATATGGGCTATGGGAATCTGTGGCCAGACTGACCTTGAAAGCAAGCACTACATCAATTTCTCATAATTCGTTCACCATGTGCCCCCCCTAATAGCTCCATCCTGAAACTCCCCCTCAGAAGCAAGCAAAAAAGCTTCACGCAAACGAGTGATTTTCCCTCCCACAAAGGCCATCCGATCTTCTTCACCACTCCTTCGCCTCCATCCCATCCGGCGGCAACGTCTCGACTTTGCCCTTCTTGACCTCGTCCCAGCTCGTGCTGAGGCTCGTGCCGTTGGACTCGGTGTACGACTTCATCATGGCGCGGCGCACCTCGGGCGACGCGTTCTTGTAGAGTTTCTTGAAGAAGTTGTTCGTCGCGTCGCCGCCTTCCGTGTCGTCGTCGTCGTCCTCCTCGGCCACGACCGTGGTTGCGCCGTCGGCGGTGGCGGTCTCGCTGGATTTCTTGCTGAGGTTGGATGTGATGGTGTCCCAGTTCTTGGGGCCGGTGCGGGAGGAGGTGGGATAGGCGGGTGGGCGGTCGATGGGTTTGGGAGGGGCTGGGTTGTGGGAAGTGCTGGTGGCATCGATGTTGTCGGAGGCGGTGGCGTGGGTGGCTTCGGTGCCTTCTAGCGAAGGCCATTTCTGGCCTGCTTGGGCTTTGAAGAGGATGATCTCGACTTTGCTGGGCATGACTTTGGTGATGGTCTTTTCGGCGAGGATCGGCGCGTATAATGGATCTAGCGTCATCTCGTATGTCGAGTCGGTGACGAGAGGGAAGGAGATGCTAAGGGAGGTGGATGTGGTCTCGATCTCGGTTTGATCCTTGGGCACTCCGCGGGCGAGGAGAGTGAAGTAAATGTGTTCGGTATTCTGGTACCATTCGTGGCGGATCTTGCTGGCAGGCGTTTGTTGGGGCGCAGGAGGTGCTGATGCTATCGGAAGTACCGTGGTAGACGCCGACGACGGAGCATCTTGTCCACCAGCTGTGCCTGGGGCAGTTACTTTCGATTCGTTGGCTTCAATGATGGGAGTCTCCGTTGCAGTGACCTTTCGGCGCTCATCGTCGGCTTCCAGTTTCCGCAGGCTTATTTCGATCTTATTGAGCCACATGATAGCATTCTTGTGTTCTGGCGACTTCTCCTTCACTAGATTGAGCACATATTGGGCATCGCCGTATCTGCCGAGCTGGCACAGTGCAATTCCGCGACGCTGTTGTGCCTCGATGATAAGGTCTTTCTTGCCTCGTTGTTGAGCATTCACGACTGCTTGCTCAGCATCACGTAATGCCTCATCGGTTTTTTGAGCTCGTTGATACGCCGTGGAACGTTGAATGAAGTAGTCGGGCGATGTTGGAAACTCCTTGATAGCGTCGGTATAGGCTTGAATGGCGGCATCGTATTCCTTTGCTTCCAGTGCCTTTTTGCCTCGAGCGGCGTGAGAAGCCATGCCGAAGATCCGGATCGTGAGATAACAACCTTACTTGGAAGTGTTTTCGATTCCCTTGAATTTCGATACAGATGGACTGTCAGTAATGAGCAGTCGAGAGCGAACGGTATCAAAAATTGGAAGCAAGTCGCAAGTTGATACTGTTCGATCGTCAGCAGGCAGCAGGTCAACAGTTACGACACAATCAATCAGTGCAGTACTCACACCTGCGCACGGACTTTACCACCAGATTCCGGCCTCTTCTGAAGCTTCGTCCTATACTTAGATTCGTGCCGCATGCCCAACTCCTGCTTCCATATGAATTTTCCAAGATTGGAATATTAATATTATTACGCGACGGCGGCTACTAGGTCGTTGATCTGCAGGCATGTCCGCTTGAGGGTCCATAGCCTCCGGTTCAACTCGGGAAATTCCACACACAAGCTAAATCTTGACTTGACCGAGTTGTTCAAGCTTGATATCGGCACGCTCCGGCCAGAGAAGATCGTCTGTTCGTCACGCGTGACACGTAACCATCTCACAATGTCTCGGGCATCCATGCAATCCTTTCTGGCCACAGCAAAAGCTCGTCTACAGCAGGTCGTCAAGCAGCGAGGGCGGGCCAAGCTGGTGATTGGCAACGAATCCGCCGATCTGGACTCGATCGCATCCGCACTTGTCTATGGATACTTGCAATCGTACTGTCTTCCAGACGGCGATAGTGTGGATATAACGATACCTGTTACGAACATCCCGTCCGCCGATCTGGCTTTGAGACCGGAGCTGACAGCATTATTGAAATATGCCAATATTCGTCCTTCAGAGCTGATTACACTAGACGACTTGGGAACCACTTTCCTTTCGGCTGAACAGACTCAGTGGACGCTAGTCGACCACAATGTTTTACAAAGCGACCTCGGTCAAAGATATGCTGGCCGAGTGGCAGGTGTGATAGATCATCACGATGACGAGAAGAAAGTGCCCCGGAATGCCTCTCCAAGGATTATTGAAAAATCGGGTAGTTGCAACAGCCTCATAATCAACCACTTCTGCAGCTCTTGGCAAAGTTCGTCGTCGTTGGCAGCTGCAGATGCTCAGATAGCTAAATTGTCCCTTGGTGCTATCCTGATTGATACGATCAACATGACCGACAGAAATAAGGTGACCCCCCACGACGAGGAGGCTGTGCAATATCTTGAAGCCAAGGTAGCAACATCTACCGCCACGGCTGACAAGCATTACGATCGTGAGGACTTCTACAATGTGATTAACGCCGCAAAGAACAACATTGATGACCTCAGCATTTACGACATCCTTCGCAAGGACTATAAGCAGTGGACTGATGACGATAGTGGCTTAGTCTTGGGCACGGCAGCGATCGTACAAAATTTCGCTTACTTACAAAGTAAAGATGCAGATCTCCTAGAAGTCTGTAGCAAGTTCGCAACTGATCGGTCCCTCGATCTTTTGGCTGTCATGACAGCTTCCACCTCCAAATCTGGAGAATTTGGTCGAGAACTCTTGTTAATTGCATGCAAAGAAGACGCGCCTGTCGAGGCGGCCAGACACTTCTCTGACTCGTCGAAAGATGAATTGCAGCTGGTTGATCTGCAAAATGATTTACATGGCCCAGAATTTCCCTTTGTGCATCTGTGGAAACAGGAGAACCTCGCTGCTTCGCGGAAACAAGTTGCTCCACTATTGCGAGAGGCGATGAGCAGCAGCAATGCAGGAAGTGCTACCAACGGCAAGCTATGAATGTCAAAGGAGGTCTCGCGGTATTCTTTCACGTTAGCGCTGGTCGTTCGAAGTCTGACTGCATTTCGAAGTGATCTATCATCACAATCTTAAGCATTCGCAAAGGGTTGTGCTGGTAGCAGTGGCAACGATAATGTGCGTGATTTGGAATACCGGGCACCGACACGATGCGCAGCAGCACGGATCATGTAGAGGTTGGTATGCACAACCCATTTCCGACCAAAGCCTGCGTCCCAGTCAGGACATCTATCTTGTCTATTTTGCTTCAAATCTAAACAACATCAATCGTACATGCGCCTGCACACAGTTCCGGAACTGCCGAAGAAGGAACGACGTAGATAGGGGGTTGCCATCATCGCCCCGCGACGAAAACCCGATTCCCTAATTTCCAAATATGGCGTCGAGAATGGATTCCTCTGCCCCCGAGCCTTCCCCACCGTCTCCATTGTCACCAGAATCACCGCTACTGCCATCGCTCCCTTTACCTTCACTTTGAGGATCTGAGGGCTCACGGGAATCGTCCCAAGTCCATTCACCTTCATCCCCATCCAAGCTCTGCCGCCCGGAGCCGTCATCACCATACATGCCCTGCGCCGCGCCGCTACCCATGGCTCCAGCTGCACCTGCAGCACCTGCAGCGCCAACCCCAGGTTCCGAAGAACTGCCACCTCCGCCTCCCATGGGCCATGGGAAGAAGATTGGCGCCTCCATGATTCCATTGGAGCTTTTGGAGAAGTAATCGAAATCGATGGAGATCGCCGTGGCGAGCATGACGGCTCGTGCATCTAATGACATTGGCACGACGCGCTCGCCGCTATTTGTTGCTTGATGTTGATCTACAGCGCTGTCCATTCGAAGTACGTACACACCTGTGTCGGTGAAGATCTCCCGCGCAAAACCCGAGAAATTGCGATTGACGCTGCCGATTGTTGCCACCTCCGCCGATCGTAGAGTGAAGTCCCAGCTTAGAAGAGGCTCATCGATGTATGCGAATTGTGTCATTCCAGCTTCGATAGCGACCTCGGGAACTTTGGCCTCGGTCAGCGCAGTAGTTTCGGAGATCGGTTTCTGGCCGGATTGAAGGAGTTTTGTTTCGCTCGGGGAGGGTGGAATTGACCGTATTGGGCGGTTGCTGAAGAGGTTGTACTTCCGTCGGAATGCTGCCCACTGCTGTTGGCTCTCGCCTATGATGCGCATTTCCTCGGATTTGAGTGGAGATATCTGTGGTGCTGTGAGAGCAGCGTCTACAGAATGATTCATGATAGAAGTTGACATCGATGCTGAAGAGGATGTTGTTGCAGAATCTTGTACCACTGGATTGGTTGTCGCCGTGGGAGTCCCGGACTCCGCAAATCCGCCTTTCGGCACAGCATCGTATATCCTTACCCGACTATTTATGTACGAGAATGGCCTGTGTATCCTCAAGACCTCACGCTGTCGCTTATCGAAGATGTGTGTTGTGAATGATCGGTGTGTGCGGAATAATTGACGCGCCATTGATTGTCCTATCCCGTGATCCTGCTCTGCCATATATCCCAGGGTATTTCCGCAACCGTCCATGATGATGTATCGATTTGCCTGTTCAAATCCCAAGATTACGTTCATCATCTCCAATTGTCGTTGTATCACCAGGCTGCTGTGGCCAAGGATAGACATGGCGGGATGGTCGAGAGGGAGGACGGCATCGGGATCGTCGGCAATCTGTACATCGGCAACAAGGTCGGAGTTGTTTGCCCGAGCGAGAGCGACGGCCAAGAGTTCATTTTTACTTCGAGGTCGCTTTGAGGGCGTTTTTGATGGCGGCTGAGGTGGCTGTCCGCTGCTGCTTCGGCTGTTAGACCCATGGTTTGAAATGCGAAGCCGTTTCTGGCGCAAACGCTGTAGTTCTGAAGGTGTTAACGTTCGGTTGTGTCGTAAGACATGCGATGCGCTGCTTTGCGCGGGACGACCTGTTGATGACGCGTGACGAAGCCCGCGGGCTTGATAGCTTGCGATACGGGCTATCCGTGGTGACGACATTGTGCCGAATTTGAGGCGGAAAATCAGATTGATCAGATTTAACCGAGAGGCATTCACAAGAGAATCATGGCATTATAGATAGCATGCGCCTGGCCAATCTCGCCTCTCCGCTCAACTTCTTGTTGCAGCAGGACCCAGGGATCTTTGATGTGACCAAAGTGGTGATTGTTGTCCTCGGAGTACGCTCCGTTGGAGAACCTTGGATTGCATCTGCAGCCAGCGGGATCACGGCGCGACCCGTTTACAGTCGACACATAGGCCCTCTTGTCGTTTGCCCGGACTGGATTTGGCCAGACTTGTATGATGCATCGTATATGGATATCTCATCCTCAAACCATTCCAACGCGAATCGTCGAGCCTGCCTTGACCGTAGCTGTGGCCTATTAATCTCCAGTTGAGGAGAATCAAGGTCGATCGAGCCGGGGAATAATTTCTTGCACCCAGCATTTCACGACTCCCGAAGCGAGAATTTTCGTCCAGCGCAGCCTGACTGTTCAAATTTACGTCGAGATGATACGACTTGTTTGAATCCTTACTTTGTTCTATCCTCGAACACTTTCTCCATCCACAGAGCAAATTTTGATCCCGTCAAGAATCTAGGACAATACTTGGCTAAGTGTCAGCATGTCTGAAATTCCGGATTTTAATGGGCGCGCGGTAGCAGTGGAGCAGACGCCTTCTGGAACAAGCAGTTCCATGCCCTTCAAGACCGCGGAGACCTCTGTACAGAACAAGAAGCCAAATCAAAGGAAGCGCAAGCCAAATTATGCGCTCATTCACAGCAAACCATTACCGTTGAACACTTTCGCTCTCCCGAGCTTCCACCCTACAAATCCCATCTCATTATTTCGTGTAGCATATGCTATTCTATCACAATTCTTTCGTCCTCCATCATCGCATCCATCAGCACCATATAACAGCTATTTGTCCCTCGAGACCCGGGCTATCCAGGTTACAGATCCACGCCAAGTTCGCGCATTATGGGAGATGGGCTTCTTCGGCAAAGGCACTCTAAGTCGTAGCGAACCGAGCTGGCGAGATCGAGAAGAGGCTCGGCTCAAAGCGAAAAGATCTGGAGGTGGTACTGCTGAAGAAGTGACCAACGCGCGACGAGAGAAGCGGAGGGCGTTCAAACTGGAGCGAGCTCGATTGGAGAGAGAGAAGATAGAAATGCAACGACTGGTTGAAGAAGGTCGCCTCGATCCATCAGCGCTGAATCCTGTTCCAGTTATTGCAGACGATTCTGCTGCCAACAGCGAAACCAAGGAAGTCACAGAAAACTCTTCGCCAGCCTCGAAAGAACAAGGTGGAACTGTGTCTGATGCTCAGCCTACAGCGAGCAATTCAGTCGGACACATTTGCACAGAATCTGCCATCACTTCCGGTGCAGCAGATCGTCCAGCAAATGTAGAAAATCTCGATCTGGTCGAATTTGCGGAACAGGAACATCTTCAACTCACCTTTGAAGAGGCTTTCTTCCTGGCGTATGGTCTCGGAGTTCTCGCCATCGAAATCTCGCCCGAGAGCGCAACAGCGGGCAAGACATTGCTCGATACCAGCTCTAATTCCGCACTGCTTCGCATTTTCAGCAACTTGACCTCGTTTCCGCCTCGTCCTTTAGCCACCCCTCTCCGACCTGACGACCCCTTTCTTCTCTCATACGTCGTCTACCACCATTTCCGGTCCTTGGGTTGGGTGGTCCGCGGAGGTGTCAAATTCGCTGTCGACTATATGTTATACAACCGTGGCCCGGCATTTTCCCATGCTGAATTCGCCGTCATCATTCTGCCAGCCTACTCGCATGCGTATTGGAGTACAGATCAGGGAAAAGCTGAACGGAGCCTAGGACGTGATGGAGAGGACAGAAGTCGGGAGTGGTGGTGGCTACATTGTATCAATCGAGTTCAAAGTCAGGTCCTGAAAAGCCTGGTCTTGGTCTACGTTGATGTGCCACCTCCCTCGTCGTTCTTGCGAGATGCAGCTGGCGAAGTCACAGACCTGGGGGGAATGCTAAGATCGTACAAGATCCGCGAGTTTGTGCTGAAGCGATGGGTGGCGAACCGGACTCGGAATTGAGGGGGCACCAAGCCATGAAGAAATGAAGCATCCTGAGATAAAATTGATTTTTCGATGGAAAATCAACAGATCCGGCGCCCATTCGCGTTCTTCATGACGCAAGGATCATCGCAAGGAGCAGAAGATTTAACAGCGCCCAAAACACATAAGCAGTGTCACCGAGTTGTCTCAACGGGTTCTGTCTCCAAATACAGCCGCCCCCAAGACCGGGCATTCCGCTACACATCCGACGGCATGACATGCGGGCCACTCCGGATTCCAAAAAGCGAAATCCGATAATGAATATCGACTTGTTCTATCGGAGGCGGTGCCGGCTGTGGCGCAAATACGACCAGAGCCATCTCGCAGAAAGAATCTTGTGAAGTCAACGCAGTATTGTTCACACATCAATGATGGTGATCCCCGTCCTTGTGGCGATACTGTGTTATCTCATTGCTCTGATTCGATTGAAGGTAGAAGATGGCCAAGCCAAGGAAGCCCAGTCCGATCAGAATCGACACGCAGACGATATCAGTATACCAACTGCGTCGCCTATCGATCATATCATGGCAGTTCAGTCAGCCGATGTTACCAAGTCAAAGCCATATGGGTGATGCCTGGAGGCCGAGAAGCTTACGTTTTGGAAGTATTTGTGCCATAAACACTCGATTGTGGAAGTCCACCTACATTCATTGCAGATCGCAAGTTGGGCTCGAAAAGAAAATCGCGATGACGGGTCGGGCGCTGAGCCGTCACCGCTGGATGTTGTGGGAGCGTTGCGTTGCGTTGATTGCCAGCTTCGACTTGACCTGGTGTGGTCGCGCGCTGTAACTCAGTCGAGCCGCGAGTGGTCAATCTCCTGAACCACTGGTATTTATTGCTTTGACGGGAGCCATGGGCGATGGGTAGCCTGACAGCAATCTCATCGGCCGCGACAATGACCTTTTCATCCTTGGAATCCTGCATGTTGTTTGTCATCCCAGAAGACTGGTGTGAAGCCTGAACAAGTCGGGGCGAACGTTGCGGCTGAGGAGTATTTGATTCAACGTATCATGAAAGTTTTTTGCCCGATGGTTATGACTTGACTGCTTTTGTAATCGTAGCAAAAAGGCGTCATGATTGGCATGACCACCTGTTTTCAGTGGGTCTTGTGTAGAGCGGTGGATATGTCATTGCAATACTGAGACCATCATGGAGGGCAACTATAGGCGAAATGGGTCATTCTGAGATGTTGATTTGGCAAGCGTGAAGCGTAACCAATATTCTTGATCAGGTTCGCGTTTCTCTTGGGGATCAAAAGGCGTGTGTGATCAAGAATAAACACGTGATGCTGTTATATTCTTTCGCATGTGAAATGTAGTCTTCACTCTATCGCACGACGTGTTATTGACCTATGCATGTCAACAACATAATCTATACACCAGCTCCACTCCATTTGCTCACCTAGGTATCGTCGACTACTCATTCTCCAGCTGAGATTGTGATCAAGCCAAGCATTTCGAGTCCCGTGCGAGCATCATGGCTCTTCAGCAAAACCAGCATGTCGAAGATAATAACGCCGCCGACGGAGCACAGTCGGTGCCAGCCTCATCCAAGCTACGTCATCTGATCTTCAGATGGGGCATGCTGTCGCCACGAACCATATCATGCAGTCACGGCGACTACACACAGTATTTCCGCTTTTACAGGCAAACGCCATCACCACAGGCGAAGGAGCAAGGTGCCCCGAGTGTCGACGAAAGAGAGAAGCTGCCGATTCCTGAGGCGCGCAACTATGGCACAATCGATGCACGCCAACGTGGGCTTAGCAAAAGCTGGACCGCAAAGTACTTTTCATATTACTCGTTCCCGCCGATAGCAGAAGCAGAAGATGGGATTGATCCACGCCACGACGGCATGCGCGTGCGATATCGGCGACGAAGCAACATCGTGCCGTCAGTGCGGGTGCTTCTGTGCCATCTTGTTTCGATGACGGTCTTATTTGGATTGATGGCATTGGTTGTGCTTTGCCGGACCATGGCCAAAGGGGATGGCGGAATTATCTGATCAGGTCAGGTGTATACAAGAATTGTTGCCGAGGAACGCAGCCCTTGAAGGACTAATGATGTTGCAACGTCAATCAATATGTCAAGCACCGTCGAGAAGCGTGAAAATTGAGCGTCACCGTGATAGAAGTTTCACACAGAACTACAGAGGCCACATCGTGTTCATGATAACTTTTCAGTAACGGTGGGTCGAACGACTGCCGTGACGTTGAGCTTCTCGCGACCACGAACATTTAGGGCAATGGCATCTTGGTCACCACTCTGCATACTCCAATCTGCTGTAAGAGACGCAGGCAGTGTCGTTGGCCGCAGAAATTTCGCCTCGATTTCAAAAGCAGCATCAGTCTCCCATACACGTGCTTTCGCTGCTTTCTCCTCGTCGGTCTTGGCATCCACGAGCTGCTGCACTGCTAGAGCGACAACGTGGTTGCCATGTGCGATGACAGATTTGAAGCCAAATAACTTTGCGCCCATCGCGGAAACATGGATAGGATTGTAGTCTTTACTGGTCGCCGCCCATCGCCGAGGATCGCGTCCGCTTATCCGTAGAGCACGACCGTTTGCTTTAGAGCGATCCTGCTGCACGTCGGCGGCTACAAGTTGCACCCCGTCCGCCGCAGCCTCTTGGTAGATCGGCTTGTAGAACCTTGGAAGAGATTGCAGGAACCACAAGTCTTGCTTGAGGATTGTCTCTTTGCCGTGCCTCACATCTATTGTGATACAGAAATCTACGCCGCGCTTTCGTCGTCTTCCAGGATGGCCCGGACCGCCGAAGACAGCACTGTACGAGATCTGCCCAAGCTTGGACGCTGCCACGAGCGTTTTCCAGTCACGGATGGCAGAAGGGTTGATGAATCGAAACGTATTCCTCGTATTTACGGCACCAAACGGCTTGATAGGACAGTCACGATGTGCAAGAATGTTAATTGCCAAGGGTACAGTCTGAGCAATCAGAAAGAATGGATTCGTGCCGGCTTCCGTAGGACGCAGCCCATCCTTGAGCACCGCGCGATTAAAGACCCTGAGGTTGCCTTCCGTCAATGAGAGAGGGCCTTCTAACCGTACGCATGGCAGACGGAAGGCCTGGGCTGATCCTGGCTCGGGGAGCAATGGCGGGCGATACCCAGTGAAGGCTGGAAGAGCATGCTTCAGGGCGATCAGGGCTACGAGATGGGCGATGTCGAATTGGTTGATCTGGTTTGGGGACTTCTTGAGTGTAATGATGGTATTACCGTCGACGTCTAGATGCGGTTTGTGCCAGAGGAGAAAGATTCCTGCCAGGATTGTACCGATCAATACCGCGAACAGATTCGCAACGATGGCGAGGAACATGGCGAATAGGTTAAAGATGGTGCAAGGAAGGCCGCTGGGATGTTGAGGCTTTCAGAACATGATACTACATGTATTGACTGGCCTGGTTGAGTGGGATTGCTCCCGTCTAGATGATCCTAAGGGAAAGTCTGGGATATGGGCGATATGATGATTTTCACCGAGTGACGTCGACTGCTGCACGAGAGTTCTTCCATGCACAAGGCTGTGATGTCCTGTGCATATATATCTTGCACAGCCCACTATGCACGCATTGCACAGTTGTGCAGAGTAACCAAGGCAGGATAATTGACCAGGCTAGTCCGGATGTAGCCCACGCGAAATGAACCCGACGGTTTTTTCCCTTAATTTAATCCCATTTACGCCCGCCCGCCGAAGCTCTCCAGCCATACAATGAATATGAATGCACATTTTATTACCAGTAACAACCACCAGCGCAGTACAGTCCACGGGTATATTGAGAGCTGCAGGTGTGGTCATATATATACATATACACATACACCTGCATACGACAGTAAGCATACTGTTCTATCAAACGTTGCCTTGGTGTGACTGCTGCTTTGCCTGCTGTTCGCGCTCACCAGTCCACCCGTTCACCACCCCCGAGCCGAGTCATTGAACATCACCGCACAACAACGCTTCTCTCTCCCGTCATCCTGGTTGCTTGTACCACGACTCCCGATCTTTTGTGGTTGATCACACAAAACAACCGCTTGCACGACATTCTGGTTTCTAGCATCGTGCCATGCTTATTCACCGCCTGTCGACATAAATCCCCGTCAACCGCACCACCGTCGCGCCTGTCGCTTTTGCGTTCCTGTTCAGTCGTCGTTCACATGGAAACATTACACAAACTCGCCGGCGTGCAGGACGCCTATCATCCCAATGACGGCGAACAGCCTTCGCAACCTGTCCACAACGCCAGCACCATCGGCCACGACCAGCCATTACCACCCGTTCCTCTCGATGATGCCGAACGTCCTGGTGCTGCTCCATCCCTCCACTCGCGCCGCGCCTCGCGGGTCTCTATCCCGCTGAACCGGAAAGCCTCACACAAATCCTTCAGCTCACACAGCCGGAATCAGAGCCGAGTTGGCGGCAATGCCCCCTCGCTGCATGCGAGCTCGATACCGCCCACACCCACCCTGACCCAGAACTTCAACCCAGCCGGCCTTCCACCGGCGCAGGTCTCACCGCTGACGTCGGGCTTCGCCGACGACAAGGACTATGCACTCCAACAGGGACGCACCAGCTCGGGCACCATCAGCACCGTCCGGCCGGGCGACGACTTGGTCCTCGACCGCGCGAACACGAACGCCCGCCACAACAACGCAACGCTGGGGCCGCCCGACGCCGGCGAAGAGACCGACGGCGAGTTCCAATTCGAATGGGGTCCCACCCATCCCTGCTTCCCACATCCCAACCCGCACTGCGCGCCGGCCAGCGCCGAGGCGATCACCACCCGCGTCATCCGCGTGCGGAGGGACTGGCTGGCGCACGGCGACCTGTACCCCGTCTACGCCAACCTGTACCCGGAGATCCTCGACCCGCTGGTGAGCGACGCCGAATTCCGCCAGGTCATCGCCACGATCAACGATCTCTCGAAGAGGATCTTCGAGCCCGCGACGTCCGCCGTGTGGGCGGACGCCTTGTTGGGCCTGGTCACCGGCTATCTCTGGGACGACTTGGGCTTCACGGAGGCTCGGCGGGCGGAGAAGAAGCTGGAGCAGTTCGTCCAGCGGTGGAACAGCGAGCGCGCAAGAGAAGGGAAGGAGGTACGTGTGGTCCAGCCGCGGCGCACGGGATTCATGAACTTGGACTTCGTCATCCCGGATCCGGGAATCATCGAGGATGAGGATGCCGGTCCGACGATGTCTCGACCAGTACTGGCGGTTTGAAGGGTAGACTTTCGTCCAGCGAGAGTCGATCGCGAGTGAGCACTCTCGACTTTTCTCGGTGGCGCGGAAACATTGCTCGAATGGATTTCGATTTTCCGCGCAAGTACGAATGAGGAGAAGAGGATCGTAATTTTCGATGATCTCCAAGGAAATAGCGAGGCGCATGGAGTTCTTTTTTTTGATGTTGTCGACTTTTTCCCTAGCATGCCGGTGTTTGCTTGGGAATATTGTTCTCTCTGAGTCTTGCTGGATACTTTTTTTTGCAATGTTCGCCCTGGGTCACCGCAGCAGGGGTTAAGCGGAGAGATCAAATAATGAAATAAGGTGACCCGTCCTGCCAATGCTTGCGGACGACGGCAGCAGCATATCTGCGGCATCATGCGAGAAGCAGAGAGAGAGAGAGAGAGGTTTCTATATACCCTTGGTTGGTTCTTTTAATAGCTATAAATCATTATCATCAAGAAACATGAAATCAAGCGCTTTGCTCCAGCACCCTCAGCTCCCTCAGGAGCGCCTCTTTCCACGTCGCGAAATCTGCTCGACGCTCATCGCTCAGCCAATCTACTGCTGGCTGGAACATCGTGGCCAGCCCCGGTAGCAATCCCGCCGCCCCTGGGTCTTCTCGCCCATCGTCGAGGAATCGCCGGTTCGCAGCGCCGTGCTTCTCGCTGCGTCGCAGAGGCGTCTTGGCGGGATGCTTGCGTCTGCCGAGGGAGGCGTCTCTGCCGCCGGCATCGGTGGGCTCCCCATCCAGGGCACCGCCTTCGTCGCCTTCGTCATCATCGCCGCTCTCGTCGTCCTCGTCAAGCAGGTTGCTTGTCGCGGGGACATTCTGATACCATTCCATGTTCAGCCAGCCGCTGTCCTCGGCCTCGAGTAGGTAAAAGCCGACCGCGGTGTCTAGCTGGGCGACTTCTGCGTCTAAGCCAGCAGGCAGTTTGGCAGCGTTGCCCTCAAGGTATTTCGCCACAGTGTCGACTGCTTTGGCCCGCCACTGTTGAACCTTGTCATCATCGAGCTCGACGCCGAGCATCTTGCTCGCCGATATCAAATACATGGTCGTCAACAGTGCGGGCCATTTGGTCAGGGAGACGCCAGTGGCTGGCAGCGTTTGCGCTTCCACAACGGCTGGCGAGTCCTTGCCGCGTTGGGGTGTCCTGCGGCGTCGCTTCGCAGCAGACCCGCCCCCTAGACTACGCGAGCCGATTTCGTTGGCGACAGTCGAAGTTCCGACGAACACGTGCGGTGCTGCACCGGGCAGGCCGCACGTCTTGCACAAGTGCCTGATCATGGGCATGGCGAAGTCCAGATTCGCCTGGGATTCCGGCTCCCGCACGCGTTTCCCAAGGGTGGAAGTAGGCGTCCTCGTGGGAGTCTCGGCATTTTTGTTCGGCGTATTGTTCGCGGTCGCGCTTCTTCCAGATGGAGTCGTAGGGGCTGAGACGCCACTTCGAAAGTCCTGGACATTGGTGACGCCAGTGCTCGCCTTGCTGCTGCCTAGGACGCCATCCAGATAGCCCTTGAGCTTGCGATAAACGCGTGGCGGCGCGGGCGGCTTGACCTTGTTCTCACTGACGAGGTCGAGATTCAGTCGATTTCGAAGTCGCTCGCAGGCAATGTGTGCGCAGGCGAATGTTCGTGCGACTTCCTCTTCCGTCTTGAGCCGTGGAGCCCGCTGTCGGGACTGTGCGAGGAGAGATGTTGCGAGGTTGAGGAGGGGCTCTGGCAAGGGGAATGGATGTGTGGGGAGGAGGGTCGAGAGTGAGAGGCTTAGTTGTGTCGGTTTGGTCGAGGGTGTTGACATTGTCACAGCTTCTCTCGGCCCTCTACCGAGCCCTTGAGATTCGGTTCGCCTGCCGCGTGGATGAGTTGATGGAGTCTAGGACCGTCGGCTGTTTAGCTGCACGGGCTGTCTCTGAAGACTATCGCAGTCGTCTTGATGGTCACGCATACGTAAATTTCTTGCGTTCGCTGCCAGGATGCAAAGCCTAAATGTCCACAGACGTTCCTCGTATCCTCGAGTCTTAATTTAGAAGACACTCACCAACATCAATGGCGTGGTATTGTGGGCGAATGCAAGTGAACGCGCGATGCCCTGAGGTGACGCGCAGGATCACGTCGACACGTGCTTTCTCTTCTGACATGAGATGACGCGAGCCCTAAATTGCATGTTGCGCAAGATAAAGATAATTCTACGAAGTACACTCGAGTACGCAATACAATATACTGTACATCACTGGTACGCTGGAACGCTGGATACCTTCGATGGTGGTGATGGTCGTGAATATGTATTCTCCTCTGAGTATAGGATAGAACTCCATATATCATGCAGGCCCTGTCCTGGAGCATCAGGGCGATACAGATGCACATCGAACCGAGTGGTGTGCACAGTGTAATCTCAATGCTACAGAATATGGCCGCCTTCTGCCCAGGTGATGTTCGCTCGTGATCTACCTTCTTGTTCTCCTCCTGCAGCGCAACGAGGTAGCTAGAAGACGAACCCTCAGCCAGGAAGAACAATCATACGGTACTGTCTCTGGTTATGTTGCAGCCTCCTGATGGATCCGTCGGCCACCAGCTCGTGTCAGCATTTAGTACAGTACCGTACAGTACCATTTGCAACAATCTACTATGACTAATGTGCATATCTACAGGTCGGTAGGGAACGTAAGTTGCCTGCCAGTCACATGCGGTACACATTTCCGACTTCTCGGACGCACGTTTTAGTCTCTGAATCGGACGGCCATCAATTCTTTCGGTGTCAAGAAGCAGTCGCCATATTGGGATCTCATCGCAAACGGTCGAATTCAGTCCGAGCAACTCCTCAAGCGGTCGGTGCTGTCATCTGAGGCGTTGTCGTCAATGTAGGACGCCGAAATGTGGATGATGAGGTCGATGAGGAACACGCAGATGACAGAGGTACTTGCACCAGCGGCAGAGACCAGGAGATGCCTACAAGCCTCGTCACGTGCGCTTTATTTGCGTGATGCTGTTCGACATCAACTCGATCGGTTGCGTAACGACTAGTGTCCCGACGAGCGATACGACTCGTCATCCTGGCTTTCATCGAGACCGTATAATTCCCGATCGCTGTTGTCTGGCTTCCGCTCCTGCGGTGATGAATGTGTGCGAATATTTTTCACCATCAGGAATCCTGCACACACATCAAGATGCCATCACGGAGGTCGACGGTATCCGACGTGAGACGGCATGTTTATGAAGCCGCGATTCCGGGAAGCGCGCAGTATCGCCCGAATCCGTGGTTAAACCTATTCATCGGATCCTTCGAGAAGCTGGCGTAGATCTACTGGCTGCTGGCTCAAGGGCGGAATCATGGGCATCGTGGGCATTAGACTCGCCGAGCTTCCCGGGGAGGGCTCGAGCGGACTCGAGAATCTGGCACCAAAGGCGAATTTAGCGGGAGGGCGCCGCAAAACGCAACACTTCTTATTTCCGGTGTAGTGTCCTGGACGTGGTTTTTGAGATCGCGCATCACGAAGACTGGTCTGTTGGGTACAGGAGCACCATAAGGACTTTGATCTCTTCACGAGGCTACGCTACTTGGAAGTGATGATGATGATGATGATGATGAAGGCCTGGCTCCGCCAACGACATGATTGTGCAGCCCTAAGCAGGACTCACAGAACACATATGACGCCGGGACCGACATGTACGGTATATCATTGGGACATCGCTCAAGGCCGACAGATATTGGGACGATTGTTATGTCCTGTACCTAGTCGTGAGTGGTGGCCCTATTCATCGTGACCGCCATGTCCTGACGCTTGGATCCCAAGTCAACATCGTATGTGAGGAGAAGCAGCTGTCCCTGGAGAATCCTTCTCGCTAACGCCTCGAGTCGTGCATGCCCGGGCGGATGTAAGACGTTATCCGCGTATGTACTGTATTGCTGTTGGAGTCGGGCGGCGGCAGTGTCGCTCACGCCGGCCGCCATGTCTCCGAATGTCCTAGTGGCTGCTCTCCACCACAGGCGACAAGCATTCACCATCTTCCTGCACCGTGCGCCCATGTGCATGACGCTACATCACCACCATGAAACGATGTATCCCATTCCACATGATCGTCAGCTTCAAGAACTTAGAACGACAAGTCGGTGGGACGCTCATGGTCAAGGAGACTGCTGATGTCTCAAGGCCCCTACCCAATCATCATCACATCGATCATGCATTATTAACGACAATAAGAAGCCCGAGGCTGATTATTACATGCGCCACGTGACGGTCAGCAACCGACGGGTGACCTTGCAGATGCAGCCTTCATCGTCATTGCACAATAGCGAGCACGGTGCACGAGCGATCACTGAATGATGGCCGACGCCTTTAGCGAAGCACTCGAAGCTTGCTGGTCGTTGCCCGGGAATAGCAGTCGATCCGACTTGGCATCTGCATCTCCCAGCGTAGGCGCATTGCTAGTGACAACATGATCCATATCGTCTGAAAAGAGATCCACCGCTTGTCAAACGTGTAATGATATCTGTCGTGCCGTACTAACGAAAATGGCCCTTCAATCTGACCACGAGGGGCACACTTTTTGGCGTCCCCCGAAGACCCGATGCCGCCTGTGCTAGCAGCCCGCTAATGCAGCGGTCCGACTTCCTCTTGAGCTCTACAGGACCCCCGGTTTCCCCTTTGAGATCTGGTGCAGAAGAAATACAAATCGACCAAGTGGACCTGTGTGTGCGAGCATACTGGTCCTGTCAGCATCGACAGTGTCGTCTTCTTACGCAATGCCGCACTATCCTACAACCAATTCCCATCAGATCACTGTGGGTCGGTATGACTCCACCAACATATGTACTGAGCGCGAAAGCTTAGCGGCCCTGGCTATTCGTGGAGTCCCATCCTTCCGTGCCTTCGAGCTTGATCCTCAACCCAGGCCAATGCACCTTCGCCGATCACTTCGTGTCCCATCCAGTCATCGTCACGAGATATCACAAGTCAGCAGACTATGCAGGTAGTGGCTCAGCATTGGAAGAAACTTTTGATCGAGCCCCGATCCAGGTACTCTTCGGTGCAGTCGCTTCGCAGGAAACCGACCTTGTGGCACGGATTTACGCTGATACGCCCTGCCACCGCGGCGGAATTAATGTTCTATACACAGGCGGATGCTTCTGTACCCCTGCTAGGAGTCCGTCATGGTCAGACGAGGCTGTTGCTATCTTAGGAGCGCCACTCGTCAGGACTTCTCGTTGCGCTTGGATGGGGATATTGATCTCGCCAAGATGTTACCTCTGCCTTACTGCCGGGGCCGGCACACCTCTAGAATATCACTCACGGGGTCAAGAGCGATTATGAGTCCTTGAAGGCATACATATAAGAAGCTCAGAATATCCGCCGTCGGTAAAATCGCCTCTTTTTACGCATTGCTTCAACAAATTTCCCTCGAAAAACGTCGTTGCCATTTCTCGTTGTGAACACTTCAGGATGTTCTCGTCGATCTTAGCGCTCGCGCTCATCCCACAGGCGCTGGCAGCGCCCGGCTTCGTACAGCACAACACTGCTTCAAGGAATACGACACGTGAAGGGCCATCAAATACCACAGATGTACCAGTGGCTTCGGGCACGACAGCGCCACTTGGAGGAGCCGGAGCATGGGCATACCACTCGCCGGCGTGGTTGCCCTCTGGCAATGCCCTGGCCTCGCAGCACTATGGCTGGAATAGTCCGCTGGGAACATTGAACGTGAGTCACGTTGTCTCTTCCTTACATGACCGTCATCCTGACGGCATCGTTTTTCCAGGCTAGCAGGCTTCCACCGTACAGATCAGATTCGCCAATGCCACAGGGATATCCCTGGGGAAACTCAAGGAATCCTTACACTGATCTGCCAAACACTGGAGTGACCCGGCACTACGAATTCACCTTGGCGCCTGCGACCATTGCCCCGGATGGCGTGGAGAGGCCTGGATATTTGATCAATGGTAAACTCTATCGCTGGCACTATGAACAATGGATATGTTGACATTATCTAGGTCAATTCCCTGCACCCACGATCGAGGCGAATTGGGGAGACTGGTTCGAGATTATAGTACACAACAATCTTCCCGAGGGCACATCTATGCACTGGCATGGGTTGTTACAGAAGGATACTCCTTGGTTTGATGGTGTTCCTTCAGTCACCCAATGCCCGGTATGATTTGCAATGAGCTGCCTACAAATTTCAACATTGCTAACGACAATCCCCAGATTGCTCCCGGATCTAGCTTCACCTATCGTTTCCGCGCCGACCAATATGGCACTTCTTGGTACCATTCGCATTACTCGGCCCAGTACGCGGATGGATTGTTCGGTGCCATGATCATATATGGACCTCTTGAAAATGCCAATTACGATGTCGACCTCGGTCCTATCCTGATCAACGATTGGTATCACGACGACTATCATAATCTCATCGGACGTGAGATGGCCCCGATATCGGCTCACGCGCGGCCGCCTTTCTCGCAAAACGTCTTGATCAATGGCAAGATGAACTACCCATGCGCAAATGTTACTTCTGGGGCCAAGTGCACGCCAAATGCTGGAGTGTCCAAGTTTCAATTCAAAAGTGGCAAGAAATATCGTCTGCGTTTGATCAATTCTGGTGCTGCGGCGATGCAGAAATTCAGGTGAGTCACATAGTGCAGACGGGATGGGAAGGGCGCGTCGTGGCTGACATGAGTTAGCATTGACAACCACAACATGACCGTCATCGCCACCGATTATATCCCTATCGTGCCATACGTCACGAACGTTGTCACGCTCGGAGTCGGGCAGAGGGCAGACGTTGTCGTGACTGCCAACGGGAAGCCCACCGACGCGGTATGGATGAGATCGGAATTGGGACCGAGCGCGTTCGTCAAGGGTTGCTCGCTCCCGGACGGGATCTCTCCCACAGGTGTCGCAGCGATCTACTACGAGTCCGCCAACACCACTGCCGTGCCTCAGACGAATTCCAGCACCACTCTGCAACAGCTCATGACCTGCGAAAACGACCCTCTCACGCTCGGCGTCCCATTCTTCCCTTACACGCCGACGGCGCAGCCTGACACCGTCCAACAGATCGACGTGACCTTCAAGAACAACGGCACCCACAACCTGTTCTACATGGACAACAGCACCTTCCGCGGCGATTTCAACGACCCGGTCCTTCTCGACGCCAAGCTCGGCAACCTGGACTTCCCCGCGCATTACAACGTTTACAACTTCGGCAACAGCACCTCGATCCGCTTCGTCGTGTATAACCACGCCCCCGCCGGCTCCCACCCGATGCACATGCACGGCCACGACTTCTCCGTGCTGGCCACCGGCTCGGGCACGTGGGACGGCACGGTGACGAACCCGCTGAACCCCGTGCGCCGCGACGTCTTCATCCTGCCCATCGCCGTCAGCCCGACGGTGCCCTCGTACGTCGTGTTCCAGATCGAGGCGGACAACCCGGGCACCTGGCCCTTCCACTGCCACATCGCCTGGCACATCTCCACGGGCCTGTACATCAACATCCTCGAGCGGCCCGCGGACATCCAGAAGGATATGGCGATCCCGTCCATCATGGCCCAGACGTGCCGCGATTGGTGGGCCTGGACGGGGAACAACGCCGTCGACCAGATCGATTCGGGACTTTGATCGGTTTCAATTTCGGTGTGGTTTTTTCGCGGCTTTCGTCACGTTTTGGGGACTCTACTCATCTCAACCTTGCAGGCGTGTATGTGTGAAAATGAATTTACGAAGATGTATCCAACATGGAGCGATGTTACAGGCGGCGAACCAATTCTTGTGGACTGTTGACAGCGGGGGCGGGCGAACTCTATAGATGACGTGTGTGGTTCGTACATTGCATAGTATTGCATAGGCGGCTGAGGTTCTCCTCTCCTAGTTACCAAAAAATGCATCAGGACCAACGATTTCGCGCAATGCATGTCACAAAGAGGCGATTCGCCTCGTCTCCCGCTTCACAGACCGTCCTGGTTGACATCTGCGGTGAACTCGAGCCAACTCGCTTTCCAAAGCGCGTCTGTCGAACATACATAGCCACACCCACTCCAATCGCACAAAGGTTGAAACTGAATGACGCGTCGACGCAATCGAATTTACAGAGTTGACTCTCGGAGCCCCGTCGTCGGAGAGGATGTCCGATCGGGATCAATTTCCATCGGCATACTCCCGCCCGAGATATCACGCGCATGTGCACGTACCTTTCTGTTCGTGTAAACCAACGACCGCAGATGATCGTTGCAACAGGGGAGGACGACCCGCGAAGACGAGGAATCCATTCGATTCTCTCTATCACTGCTGCACATTTGGCAAGGACATTCTCCTCTGTTCCTACAGGTGGAGGAGGGCACACCGCATTTTACGGAGATTTTCTCGTATCTTGATTTCTTTGGAGAAACTTTTTTTTGGATTGAAGACCAGATGTGGGATCCGTCACGCGGAACCTTGAAGGATTTGTCACAATGTCTACGTCCCGCTGCATCATGCGTAGAAAGCAGAAGTCCACGTTGAGAGAAAGGTAGTGCTCTCTTACAGTCTGCCGTCTGGAGCTCGCCAGAGGTATTGTCCCTCGTTGCTGGAAGCCTCGGCTCCACGAAACGAGAGAGTATACAATTCAGATCATGCGAGGATAACATTGACGCGCCGTGCATAGGATTGGGCTTGTGATCAAGAGTCTCAGATCCTTTGATGATCATGGACGAGGATGCGATGTGTTGTCACATCCCAGAGTGCATTTTGCCAACGTGCGTCGCGGGTGGCGGGCGCGTTGGTGATGCGTATTTCACTTCGTACTTTGACTAAGCCTCTCTACCTAGATAACCCGAGCGCGGGTAGCTGTAGAATGGCTTTGCACGTGGCGCGAGGTAGGCTTCACTCGTGAAGGAATTGTCGCCTGGCTCGCGTTGGGACTACACCTTGGGCGTACGTAGCCAAATACGGTGTAAGAATGGCTGGTTCTCGCATCCTGGAAGGCGGTGCGCCGATATGAACGAATGAATGACATGGTGGTGGTGGGTGTGGTTCACGCGCAGTGGGTGGCTGTGCCGCATGTTTGTGGGATGAGCCATGGTGTCCAAATGAAGTTGATTTATATGCCTGCTCCCAGCGCGTGCTCGAGGATCGCGTAGATGATGAAATCCCTCTCACATGCTTCGTGGCGGTCGTCCACCCGCAGCTGTTGGCATGCAGTAAGCAGAGGTATTTGGGGTGGTGCCGCCAGCAATAGATGTCAGGCGGAGCTCCTGGAGGATCCTGTCAGAGCAGGAGCTACCGACTTCAGATGCCGCACGCAACAAGTCGGTTGTCATTGGTAGTTTCATAGCGCCCTTGTTATACAGATATGCATTAGGTGGGCGACGACGACCTGCGATGCACGTCTGTAGGAGTGGAGCTGTCAGGAAGACCCTCGACGTCTGGCATGAGTCATGACGATCTGCTGCCGTGAGTGCGTGGAATGCATGCCGTCTTGTTTCTTGATGACCTCGGGACAGATGCGGTGACGCCCGTTGATCTGGGATCATGTATCAGGTGTGTACTAATAAGTACTTGGGTAGGTAGGTACCGGGCACGCGCGGGAATGAAGATTGATGCACACCTGGGCAGTCCTACTACTGAAAGTACGTGAGTTCGGACTGTATGGCTCAACGCGCCAACCCCACGTACGACGTCAATATGATGTACCCTCCTCCTCTTCCTCCTCCAACCGCGCAACGACCCAACGCGCTCTCGTTCGCATGAGGTGGTCTCCAATCTGGGAGCAAAGCTGCTCCACGATCTCGGCGTTCTACTCAAATCAACGCGCCACGGAAATGTCAGAGACGCGCCTGTCGTCGCGAATTCGTCGCATCACAACGAGGTCGCCATGTTCGCTGAGAAGCGCTCCAGGACCGCAAAGCTACTCGCCTGAGCAAGCGGAAGTAGATCTGTGCAACGAGTCCCAAGTCATATCCGGCTGGAAGTATGAAGATCAGGTAAAGGCAAAAAGACATGTCGATAGGAACCCTCCTATGTGAGCAAGTTTGACAGGTACCGTATTCGGCCTTGGTCATAGGCTGCAGACGTGCGGTAAAGGGTATAAGACTCTCGCAACCATCGCAATATTCGAGCAGAGGTACCTAGGGGTGACAACAATAACAGCATTAACAATTGCATCCATGAACACCGGGCGGGTCAGAGTTCTGCTCTGCATGGCCGTGCAGGCGTCCTTTGGCGGCAGCTACTCGGGAGGATGTGCCTTCACAAGCTCGGAAAAAGGCATCGGCGTGATGGAGCTTACGATCGTACCGATCTCGCCTAGATGCTCCCACTGCGAAAATACTAAATGCCGAACCCGCTGAGCATCGCTCGGTGTGCAGCTGACCGGATAATAACAAATCCGTACGAGCAGGTCCATCTCGCACTCCGAGCGGATCCATACGAGCTTAGAATGCTACCGCCGAGCTAGCCGGCGCAGAACATTTCAAGGTCGAGAATCAAAAGCCGCTTGTGCAGCGCTCTCGTGATCTACCAGATTGACATGGAACGATTGAATTTCATGCATGTGTCCACCTATGTATGCTGGCGCAAATGATATCTAGAGAAACAGAAAGGGGGTATCACACGACTCGTCCGAAAGGTCGAGTATCTATAACAGCTGAGTAAACATTGTTAGTGCAGAATATGATGTCAAGGCGCGTGACTGTCATCGGAATAGGCAACTTGCATCGATGCCGTCCTGTGCTGTGACGCCCGAGGAGCAGGGGGGTGGAATCCTGCGCTGGGGCGGGATGGGAATTGGTCGTGGTCGTCGTAAGTCTCGTCGAGCAGCGTATGCTCGTATAGATCCATCCAGATCGTATCATATGGGCGACGCTTGTTTTCTGGTGTAGGCGTCGGTATGATAAACATGTCGGGCAAGTCGTTACCCAGCGACAGAAGTTCAGGCGAGCATGATGTGATGTGGAAGCGGTAATGATTGTCGAGGGATGGTGTTGAGATTAGCCATGCCACCGACACAGGTGGGACTGACGCTGCAGTCGCTCTGATGGCATGAAGTGTTCGAGGACGAAGGTAAGAATGACGAGTCGCTCTGCTGGCTCGAAGTGTTCGAGTTTGAAGAAAGGGAGGAGGCGTCTCTGACCAGGCTGATCCTTCGGTCCTTCCCGCGGCCTTTGATGCCTTTGTTGCAGTTTTTGTACAAGCCACCAAAGTACTCCCACATCTCCTTCTCCCATTCGGCGACGAGGTCTCCTTCGGTGTAGCTTTCGAAGCGCTGCTTCAGTCGCCGTATGGTCTCGACATGGAATTTATTCTGATGTGACTTGAGGTTGCCGAGCTGGCTGAACTTCTTCCCGCAATCGTCAAGTCGACAGGTGAAGGGCTTCTCGCCGGTATGGACGATTTTGTGAGCTCGTATATTGCCGTGTTGGGCGAAACGCTTGCCGCAAAGGTCGCAGACGTACGGCCTATGAATCCGGGTCAGACTCGACTTTTCCGTCGACGACAATCGCGCTCTTAGTATGATGCTTACCGCTCACCAGTATGACGGCGTTCGTGAGTTTTGAGATTACCGCTGCGCAAGGGCGTTAGCTTTATCGTGACCCAGAACATGAATCGGAGCCATTCGTGGGGTCGTTCGAGACTCACAGTTGGCTGAAACGCTGTCCGCAAGAGGGTTCCTTGCATACGAAAGGTTTTACGCCGGTATGTGCTCGTCGATGAATGTCGAGATGGGTGCGCTGATAGAATGACTTGCCACAATCGTCAATATCGCATCTGTATCGTTTCCGAGGCTTGTCATATGTGGCATCAGCCATGTGTACCACCGCCGCTGCCGCCGCCTTAGGGTCATCAGTTTGGGATCGAGATTGGATGATGCGCATCATCTTGTCAATATCTACAGAACATCAGTCAGATGACACGTCCATGTCGTCGACGAGGATCTTGCGCGCAGTACCTGTTGAGAACACCGCCGGCTTTGTCTCTTCTGCATCTGATTGAGCTTCGGGACTTGATGTGTAAGTATTGTCGTCTAGCAACATCTGAGTGGGTTCGAATTCTTCCAGCTTGATATACGACTCGCTGCTGTCTGTGCTACTGTAGCGTTCCAGTCGTGGCACATCTGGACCGAGTGGGAGTCCAAATCCAGGCTGTATAGGTGCTGGCCACGTCAAAGAGCCAAAGGTCGCGGAGCCGATGCCTCCATTAAGGTTGTATGGATCCATGAATGTGCTGTCCACCGAGGCGTTGTTCAAGTCGGACATCATGACAGGGTTCATAATCTGTGGAGGCTGCATGGCAGGCACTGGCATTGCCATGAGCTGTGATCCAGGCATCATCGTGTCGTACTGCAAGTTGGGATTCGTGAGAGGTCTGAATGCGCCATCGAAGTTCGAAGGCATCTCTGACATCGACATGGGACTGCAGAATTGAATTTGGCTCGACCTCCGCTGAAGCAGCTGACTTGAATGCTTGGTCGTCATGGTGTCGGCCATTTGGACAGAATGTATCATCGGCGTGCAAGGGCGTACATTGAAAGTCGTGAAGGGTCCCGCCGATATGCTAAGTGCGTGCTGCTACAAGATTAAGTTGTGTCACTGGCGACGATGCGAGATCAACACGCATCGGGTTTCACGGAGAGTGTGTGGAAAATACTCCGATCGAGCCTGGGCACGGGAACGTCTTTTATGAATATCGATGGTCCCAGACGAGCTCGAATCCATCCTAACCTCACATTGCCTCGAGGATTACCAGCCCATGCACTCGAGTGGCTTTACTACTGGCAGAGCATTCCCACATGGGAGGGACATCGAATGACGAAACGCCATGGAACCGCCATGATATGTGTGTGTGGTGTCGAGCCACCCATTGACCTGTTAGCCTCGTCTGTAGGTTTGCAGGCACACCACCTCACGCACCCAACGCGGCAGGCGGACAAGGTAGTTGATGCCCCGACGAGGTTTAGCGACGGAAACAGAGCAGACTGACCCAGATCGAGATTTGAGCGGAAGCTTGCATCAAGTGACGGAGCAGACACAGGCTTGGCGAAAGGCTACAAACCACAACACAACACCTGGGCAGCTACCCCAAAAGCACGAGCGATGGTGCGCTCATCTCATGGGCCTGCATATGCGCTCAGTTCCCATACCACTCATCACTCATCACTCGTCCATAATGCTTATACCCCAAGTATCGGCATCCCTTACGGTGGGTGGATCTTGACCGTCGATCGGACGGGTATCGGACTTGTTTACTTCACACACACCAGTATCTCCACGACCGACGGTCCGATGTTACGATCGACTCCGAGAAATACCCAAACCGAACACGATGGAGATGGTGATGGTGATTCTCTCGACCAGGGACTAGATTTCTTCCTTGAACACGGGGCATACACACAATGGGCGATGTCCGTTCATCGGAGCACCAGTCCAGGCCCCGGAGCCCTGGACAGCCAGGTCCTCAGCGCGACGCCAGTCAGCCCTTCCAAATCACGACGTTCGTTCGGACAGACGCCTTCGACTCCATGGCGTTTCTGATCGCATCGAAAGCACAACGCCGTCTCACACGTGTTTTCTGCGAGTGTGACATGAGGCGGCTTTTTGCGTGATGCAAGACGTGTGTGGGCATATTGGGAAGAATCCTCCAAAGTGACGTTGCGCGCGCATTCTCCCGACACCACTGAGAGGTCCTCTCCCGAACTAGAGGCAGCTGGAGGGTACCTTGCGATCTCCGAGTACAGTACTCATGTTTCACTCGTCAATCATCATCATCATCATCATCATCATCATCGTGGTGTAAAGGTCATGGGTCTCAGAGGTGTGGAGGGGAGGCCTCCATACAGGACTACCCGATTCGTACCTATCGAAAGCATGTATGCATTTATCGAACATGTGCATGCATGCGTGCGCAGTGCCTAGGTGTGTGTGTGCTTTTAGAATGTAGGTGGGCGCGGTTGGGAAACGATGTAAGCTGAAGCCCGTGATGGGATCGGTGGGGGACCCGCACGTCCTTTGCATTGAGGAAAGTGGGCTAGCATTAGCGTCGTCGCCTAAGTTTTCCTCCATTGCAGCCCTGTCCAGAAATCGGAGGCTGGACGGTGGGCGTCATTCGTCACCAGCATATGGAAGTTTGGTGCTCATCAGGTTGATAAATCATCAAATGTCGTGATTCAGGAGGCCGCGTCGAGACGTCGCCACATACAGTGAATGAAACGTTACAACGAGCTCGCTATGAAGCCTGACGCAAAACACTGCGTCTCCGGCGTGAGGGAGCACCACCTCTATCATCGTACGCAACGGGAATCGAGATTGAAAAATTCCCTCAAGGGCTGTGCCGTATCACGCAAGCCAGAGAATGTGATAGTGGCTCTTGCTATGCAGCCGCTTACAGGCTTCTCACGAACCTCAACAACAGCCGATGCGCGCAGCCTGTCATTAGGCCCTTTAGGGCAGCCAAGGACTGCTGGCGGGAGCCGCGGTCAAGCTTGAATGGCACGCTACACCTTCATGTGCTGTAGCTCTCCCACAGATGATCGAAATGCACATGCGCTACACGCTCAACACAAATGGCTACTCATACGAGATTGAGAAAGGCTCGCCTTCGCAGGACGGTGTCGGCCCAGGCTCCTGCTTGCTCAATAGTCCAGTGAAATCGAACGGCGACGACGGCTTCCACGGCCTCCCCATCGCAGCACAGCCGTGCCTGCGACGGCTGACGAGCCCGATGAACTATCGCCCGCCTGTGAACCGATCTCCGCCAAGCAACACGTGCAACCCATCACATCGTTCAACTGGGCGTAGAGTGTAAACGGAGCCGAGGCTAGGCAGGCATTGCTGATATAGTATCATCGCTGCCATCCACGTCCATCGAGCACTCATCTGTGCGGATGCACTTGTCGATGCCATCGCCGCAGCCCTGCGTTGCGTAGTCCATACGATCAAGACGGTTGACATCGCGATGACGTCGCAGTCACATCTCCATATCTCATCTTTGGCTACTTTAGCCGGCCTGTGCTGCTAGGTGAACTCTACTAGCGAGAGATCATCACTTGCGCTGCTGATTTCGCTGGAGGGAACCCATATCTCAGGACACCAATACCCGTCGAGATCGAAACTGGTCATCGATCTCATCGCGGTTCAGGCTTCGGCATCGGAAACTTTCAAAATTCATAATAACTACTTTACATGCGCAGGTGCCTCGTCGCCGCTTACTGGCTGCATGCTGCTACGAAGTCTCCATGAAGACTTCATGGGTCTTTGCGCGAGATCGTCATTCGATACTCAAGGGTCCTTATCACCACTCGAGTATTGAGATCCACACGTGACCACCTAGGTAGGTAACGTCGTGGTTCGACATTGTGGAGTGGGTCAATCGAAGCGGGAGCGCAGGACTCGAGTTCACCGGAGTGCCTTGTGATGACGCATGAGGCACAGCTACACAGATGACAAAATTCCAATCTTGTTCCTCTTGAACGCGTTCGTCACGAGCAGCTTACTATCGCGAGGAAGCTCACGTTTCGAACGACAGTCGTCTTTTGGGTTTGACTGGCTCTGCAGATCTTTCTTGCGTACAAGAATGCGCTGGGTCGCAGCTAAAATTGGCAGAATCATAGATCTCTGGCGGACGACGCGCTATTCTGGAGGTATTCTCACGGCTACTGGGGGGTTCGGTATTGCGGTGAGTCTCGCACGTACGATTTCCTCGGGCTTTACCGTACAATCGTAGCGATCGATGCTCATGTCGATGCGACTTTCACCCCTCGATTGCCGTTTTGCAAGGTGGAGATTCCAGCATTTTAGGTTGATCTTGCCCGATCTTAGTATAGATTTCTTATCTCGAACGGGACACTGATGACGATCAGTCATGCAACATCGTTTCATCATGTCTGTCTTCAAACCTACGAAGGTGAATGCCGCATTAACGTAGTCCCTCTGCTAGTCATCTGCATGTCGACAGCAGATCATATCCACAGGGAGCTCTGATCACATGTAGCAGCGTGAAATGATCTCTGTGATGAGATTCCGCGGGTGGAGTAACCTCATGTCCATGACTCGTCGCAAGGCGACTTGTCCCGCACCCACGAAGGACATGCTTCCCACGCTTCAAAGACTTTCAGCTCATCGGGCCTTTTTGTGAAATGCATAATACCATCCATGTTATCGCTCGTCCGGGATGCGTCCCGCCAGTGTACGGTGTCCAGTGTCCACCACAGTGAGTGGCTGTCACTCGAGTGCATAGAGTAAACACATGATCTCAATGAACCCATCAGGCTATCAATACATGGGGACCTTGGAATGAGAACTTTGGAATGCAGAATTGGTGTAATAGATCAACTCCAGAACAGATCCGGACAAGTCTCGCTTCTAAATGCCGATATTGACGGCGAGAACTACCAGGGCTACCAGTGCATGCGTGTCGATAGATAGCGGCACCAGAACTTAGGAGCGGGTTCCGCTCACATCGGCTGTGTTCGCAGCAATATTGTCCCGTGAAACCAATGGATAGTCTCGAACAAAGTCCCATAAAGGCTATTCTTACTTCCTCGCTCTAGGTCTCCTGGCTCCCTAACTCCGAGTTGCACGATCGTCATCATCAATTGACATTGACAAAATGGCAGGCACTGCCAGGGAACGTTGCGTTGCTGGGGCTATTGACTGAGCTTGGCCTCGCCGTGCATCAATGCCGAGTATACTCGCGAATTCATCCCACCCGTGGACCACATGCAAGGCCATCTCCACCTTAAACATGGATCCCGCAGCATTCCAAGCGACATAATTCGGAATTATAGTGAATAATTTCCATGCCGAATACACGATCTCTCCACCACAATCCTCAAGATGTCGCCAATAGCAACGCGGTGAATAATGCTTCGGCAGGGTTGCAAGCCAGCAACACTGCGCGTATTCGCCCGACCAGCATCCGCACGCGTCTACAGCAGCAGACCGCACAGCGAGGGGGACAACCGTCCTCCTCTTCATCCATCACAGTGGCACGACACCGGACGCACAGCACTCCACAATCTGTCGGTGATGTAAACTTGCCGGAGCTCAATCTCCACGGTTTATCGTCGACCGAGGAAGATACGGACGATGCCTCCGTGGCACGAGCAGCGATCACATCTCGGAACCTCTCTCAGCGACCACGTCAACCGCGTTTAGTGCGCCAGGCTGCACGCCGCCCGGTGAGGACAGCTTCACCTGCGGACGGGCGCGGTCTACGAACCACCGCGAATACAGCCACGATCCGAGGCGATGTTAATGGCACCGCGCATTCCCGCCCCAGACAGCGACTAAATCCTCAATCGCAACCTGCTTCAGGCCATGCTGGGAACGGTGGGAAACACGAAGAGGAAGAGTCGGATTTCATGAACCGACAAGCCGATGGCAGTTATCTTCTGGGGCTGTACACTAGCGACGGAAATGGGCCTGGCACATCGAGCCGATCATTGGGATTTGGAGCATCTGTTGGTGCTGGCGGAATCCCATGGGCGCAGCAGGAGCAGGAAGATTTTTTGAACGCACAGAAAGACGAGGAAGAAGAAGGTACGTGGATGCTGACATACCGCAGAGATTGTCAAGGCCGCACAACACCTGTGGACAGGAACATGATTGTGTTCCATTCGTGTGCGCCGTGAGGGTTCTCCGCGGTCTGCCAACGGATGCATTCCATTGTTGATGCACGAGGCAAAGAATGACAGGGAATCTCGGCGCTAACGGTCTCCCTCATATAGCCGCACATTATTCGTTGATCGCTCGCAAGTTCTTCGCCGCCGGTTACGCTCTTGATGGACACGGCAGCAAACATGCACATGAAGGTAAAGCTTCTCCTTTCCACGACTCCCTGCGCAATCAATTACCGTTCCAGGAACTCCGTCACATACAGAATCTGACCACGTCATAGAACTGGAAGAAACACGAGTGGCAATGATGGCTCGACTTCGCGAAGAGACGCTCAAATGCTTGAATGAAACTCGGTGGAAGTACGAGCCTACGGATAGGTTCCAACCTGGTCTACCCTAAGTCGAAATATCGCCAATGACATATACTGAGGTTTCCTACTCTGGATCCTCCTGTGTAAACCCCACAGGATTGAAATGCCTGGATATTAGAAGATTAGAAGCTGCAGCTGACTCTCAAAGTGCTTATATGCGATGCGACATCTATCACCGTAGTATGGGCTTTTTGGCATGCCACTCCCTTGTGCGAGCACGTGAAGCTCGCGCATCCATTTTACCGCCTCTTCTTCATGCCTTATGCACTTGTTCCAAGTTTCTGATCGGATCCAAATGCTCCATCATGACGGCGTGCCATGATTTGACTCAACTCTGACATCGCCGCGTTACGTAAAACAAAACTGCCAAAAAGTCGCTTCTGACCTCCACACGCTCGACCGTTCTCACAATAAAACTCTGATATAATCGCATCTCTCTACAAAACCTCCACGTCCTAATGAATGACCGAGTGGTCGCACTCTCCTCATGTGTACGGTGCGATGTGGGGATCTCAGGTGGATGACGAATGAGACGGCGGCAGCCAGCAGCAATTCGTTCGGTGGTTGGCCAGCTAGCGTCATCGACGCCCCGTGAACATGCAGGGATATTCGGGTGCGCCTCGGGACGCCGCCGAGGAGGAAGAGAACGTGAGGACCCTACTGGCGGGTTCTGCCATCGTCGCTCAATGGGTGACATGCTCTGATGATGCATGCAGGCGGGTGTCAATGCCTGCGTGGAATGTCCCTAGCTGTCCTACTTGAGTACCTACTGGATGTATATTTCACACGCCGGCGAGCATCGCTGTCGTCATGGCTGTGCATTTGCCTGAATCTCATCGACGTGCGGATGGATACATCTAGCAAGGCACGTTTGAGTCGTGTCAACATCCATCCGGTTTTCAGCGAGAGAGTGCAGAGCTCTGGACTGCGCCGCGTGCCAGAGGAGCGACAGCCAGGAGTCGTGAAGATCCAAACACACATGTGTTCATCGAGTGGAATACGTCAAGACGAAACATGTCGTGGTCTTTGCTCTGAAGCAGGACCATGGCGAGATCCTCCGCTTACGACGGAATACCAATCCTGCCCATTGAACGCAGCCATTGGACGTACATGTAATTACTGGCCGACGATTTTTGAATAGCTATTGTATCTGCACAGTCGCATTTGAATAATCGCTCTTGAGCATCTCGGCGGTTGGAGAGTCGGGGACGACAGTAATCAGTGCATCTGTGCATAATCCAAGGCAGTGGTATCAGCTGCCTTTTCTTGATCATGGACGGACGGATATGGACCTGTGGCTGAAAACGATTTCTTGTCCTCGGCACTCTACATCTCAAGTTGGACAGGCTGTGGATTTTATTTCCCAATGGCAACTTGACGATATATTGGCGGATGACTAGCCTGGTACTCATTCCGATGAAGCATATCAGACTTCCCGTCATCATGCACTGGACGCGGTTGCGATAACGTGGAATGGTCCCGAATCCCGCCCTCGGACTGGTGTTATCATCATTGGTGGTACATCTGAGCTGTCCGAAGCATGTGCGCTCCGAGGGGATTGACTTCCAAGGTTGTGGCGCACTTCCCGCCCTGCACTAGGGCCCGCGCTTTGGCTTTGCGGTCCGCTTTGCGACCCCGTCCCTCACCACTAACACACCTGGCGCTTTGTACTGTTTTCGCTTCCTCTTCTCTGCCTACCTGTTCTCCGTCTTGGGATCTTTCTCTTCCACCGCAACAACATTCCAGCCCCGCTGTAACGCCAAACCTCTCCACCTGTCATCATTATCTCATCCCTCTGCGGAAATCGGATATCACACCTCGGCGCCGACGATATTGCCAGAGCTGTTTGCTTGTTTGTTTCCTGCTCGTGAGCCTCCGCTCCGCCTCCAGCATCAGATAGCTCCATTCAGCTCATCGCTACGCGCGCACGCGGACCCCTCTCCGACACTTTCATCTCTCTATTGATTGACGACCTGCTGAGGCCCCTCGAGCATCTCCTGACCGTTGGTCAACGAGAACGACCTTTGCGCTCCACCGTCCACGCCACGAACACCGTTTCGCATATCGCAATCTGACACGTCGGCAAGCAAGCGCATACTACCGCTTGAGCAGAAGGCGGATCGAAGATGTACAACTCTCATCGCGGCATCCCACCTGGGCCGCCACCACAGCCGCCGAACCGTGTGGCCGAGCTGCTTGACCAAGTGCGCGCAGAGTTCGATGCTCAACTTGGTCGTACCAGTGATACGGAACATCATCGTAAGTCCAGACACTTCGCGGGGGAAGCGCTTCAATAGTGAGCAATGGGTGTTCCATGCAATTACAGCGTGTATATCTGCTGCTTCGCCAATCGGGTCAGCGTCACGCACAACCTCGCTATCTCGAAGACTTGTGTCTTACAGATACCGCTGCTCGGGCGATGATCTGGTGCACCTTCAGCTTACACGCTCCCATTTCTTTGTTGGGAAAATCTGGGTGATGCTATACACGGTGCGCTACTGACAGATCGGTGTGATGTAGTCAATGGCCAAATCACCGAAATGGAGATGGTCAAGAACAAAGTCGCTCAGCTTGAGCACCAGCACATTCAAATGAAGACAAGGTGAAACAGCAACGCCCTTCAATTGCGTTGCGATGGCTGCTGATTGATTCGTACAGGTATGAGGACGAAATTCGTCACCTCCGCAATGAGTTGGAAGCACGAGGCGGGTCATTGCAGAACTTGCACGCATCACAATCACAGCAACCTCCACCACCATCAATTGGTCATGGCCCAGCCAACCTGTTCCAGGGCATCATGGCGGGCGGTCAAGGAGGTCCGGGTCTGGCACCGCCTCCCACACACCAAGGACAGCCCGGCATGCCGGACCACATGCAACAAGGTGCGCCTGGATTGAACCACCCTCCCGGTCCGCCACTTAATCCGTTCGCATACGGCGGCCAGCAAGGACCTGGTGGCGGAATGAATGGCTACCAACAACCCCCACCGCCAGGACCGCCATCACCAGGTCCCAAGCCACGGATCCCCGGCGCAAACCTACGTGGACCCGCCACGCCTTCACAAAACCCACCAATGCCGTATCCTGGCTCTCCTGGCGTTGCACGGCCAACACCTCCTCCCGCGCAAAGACATCCCAATGGGAATGCGCATCAGCACGAGCCGGGCATCCAATACACTATAACACAGACCGATGAGATCGGCAACCAACTCTCGGAGTATGACCCTGATAAGCTGCCTTCGAACCTGAAGAGGCACGGCGAGGATTGGTACGCTGTCTTCAACCCACGCACGCGCCGTCAATTGGACGTCGACCTGGTGCACAACTTGAACCACTCCAGTGTGGTGTGCTGTGTGCGCTTCAGCGCGGATGGTCGCTATGTGGCCACTGGTTGCAACCGCTCAGCTCAGATCTTCGACGTCACGACCGGACAGCAGGTCTGCCATTTGTCGGAGCCGAATGCCAATCCCGAGGGCGATTTGTACATTCGCAGTGTTTGCTTCAGTCCCAACGGACAGATGTTGGCCACTGGCGCTGAAGACAAGATCATTCGGGTACGTTGAGAATTCGAAATCTCGACAAGTGATTGACTTAGATTACTGACTTGGTGATAGGTCTGGGATATTGCCACGAAGCAGATCCGACATCAATTCTCTGGCCACGAGCAGGACATTTACTCTCTGGACTTCGCCTCGGACGGTCGATACATCGCTTCGGGCTCTGGCGACCGGACCATTCGTCTCTGGGACCTGCAAGACAATGCCAACATCTTCACGCTGACGATCGAAGATGGGGTGACCACCGTCGCCATGTCGCCCGACGGCCGTTACGTCGCCGCGGGATCCCTGGACAAGTGCGTGCGCATCTGGGACACTCAGACCGGAAGCATGGTGGAGCGTACAGAAGGCGACTCGGGCCACGCGGACAGTGTCTACTCGGTCGCGTTCAGCCCTCGTGGCGATGTCCTCGTGTCAGGATCTCTCGACAAGACGATCCGAATGTGGCGATTCCAACACCGTGGCTACCCGCCGCAGGACGGCCGTCCTCCAACCCTCATGCGCGGAGACTGCATCCGCATTTTCGAGGGTCACAAGGACTTTGTGCTGTCTGTTGCACTCTCGCCTGATGGAAAATGGGTCATGTCTGGCAGCAAAGATCGCGGGGTGCAGTTCTGGGACCCTGAGACGGGTGATGCGCAGCTCATGTTGCAGGGACACAAGAACTCCGGTAAGTCATCTCGGACCCTACCAGCTTGGGTCACACGCCGTCTGTTTGCCGTTCTATCGCTGACTCGTCGATTGCTTCTCAGTCATCTCCGTCGCGCCGTCACCCAAGGTCGGACTCTTCGCCACCGGATCCGGTGACATGAAAGCCCGTATCTGGCGTTACACGCCCTACAACGGCCCTTAGTTGGAACCGCGGCCGGATCCGGCGAGTGCGGAAGCCGCAGAACTGGCCGGGCTGCCGCCTATGCGCGATCTTAGCCCGCCAGCTCAACGACCTACACCACTTTACAACTACATGCGACGTCGACGCTCCGTCGGCCTATCCTGGCTTGTCTCTGCCATGCCGTTGTGCCAAAACTGAAACTCTGATTGATTTAGCGAATTGCAATTTCTACGGCGATGACCAGACGTTTGATCGATACCGGCTGTTCCTTCCTTGCGAGCTTTGCCTGTCGCTTTTGGGCAGGAAGGTGAATGTGCTCGACTCGAGATCCCAAGTGTGTCCGGCTCACTCGCTTGTTCCCATGCTCGCGTGCTGCTTCTTCTTCCCCCTCTCGTTTGGCGTACGGGTGGTCGTTCTTGTATCTTTTTGAAACTCCGTGGACGCTGGTTGGAGTCGGGACGCGGAATCCTCTCAGGCCTATTCTTCATCGTGAGCATTCTTTGCTGGGACACTACCGTTACGACCTTTCCTTGAAAAAATATTGAACCGCCACTGCTTCGATCGGCGATCTCACCTAGGCAGATTGTGGGCTAGGTGAAAGGGGACCTTCAATTACGACAATCAATGTTCAATGGGTGGAAACGTCAAATCTCATAAGAATGCCCCGATCAATGTTTGCGCGGTGGAGGGTCGTTCTGAGCGGGCGGACAGGCGCATGGAACGCAGCGCCTCGGAATGAATGTGATGACGGTTGAGCGCGGGGGTCTGGGGATTTTGGGAAGAAGTCATGACCAGTCCTGTTAGATGCTTTGTGCAAGGTACCAGCCAATAGTCGTGAGCCTCCGGCGAAGACGGGGAAAAAAACCAGGATTCGAAAAAGAACTCCCCATGTGCATGTTGCTGACACGCTGCCCTGTATCGCCACCCTGCTGTCGTCCAGCCTCGTCCGGACAGTGCACCCCGCCAGCGTGCAATCGTGATTGTCGTCCCCACATGGATGACGTGAATGGACCCGAGGAGACCTCCAGCTTGGAGACGGGGTGACCCTCTCGCTCGAGCAAGAAACATATCTCTATCGTCGGAGGAAACGGGATCCCGTCAGGTGGTAGATTGACTTGTCTGTGTTATTATCAACCGCCCGCTGCTGGACCTCCTTGTCTCACCCGCAGCTATAGTACGAGCAATGCCCTTGCGCTTCTGCATGAGACTCCTACCCAAATCTTCATGAGCATTCCTCGATTTACGGCTGTCCCAATTCTCACGATCATTCCTCAATGAACATTAACGGATGTTCCAATCCTCCTGTGGAAGGAAGAAAGCCGATCGACGGATGATCACAACAGACAGGCACATGCCGGCGGCCATCCAAGGCGGCCCGGTCAGCCGTCAATAGGGCGTGCGCGCGGGCATGATATCGGGGGGGGTCCCAAAAATCCATTTCACCGGCGGATTTCCCGCCTCGTAGGTCTCGGCAGTTCCGTGCCGAAACGATACGATGACGAATGCGCACGAGAGGGAGGGACCCCGAGTCTCCCCTCTCGGGGATGGGCGTTGAAGAGGGAGATTCTCTTTGTCGCGTGGGGCGGGTCGAATGCCCCGGTCGTCGCTACCTGACATGTCCACACAAGAAAGGACGGAACCCTTGGCGAGGGCGGGCGCTCGCGCGCGCGCGCGTGTCCTGGAGGATGCGAAACCACGCCCCGGCGTTCAACGACGATCATTCGCTGCGTGTCGATGGCCATCACATATGTCGACGTGCGTGGAGAGCATGATGAGAGGGTATGACGTTGCGGTTAGCATCGTTCATGATTCCCCTGCAGCGATACGCTACCGTATGATTACTATTGTTATTCCTACTGCGTGGACTACAGACGCAATCGGCCCTTTCTTTCTGTCCATCATGCAATCCTTCGCGGATGCTCCCTCCTTCCCTGCTTCGAAAACCCCCATCCCTACGCGGGCACCTGCAGCAAGTCATCGAAACAAACGCTCCGGTCATTGGGCCGTGAGAAAATGGCTCGCGACTCGTCCCGGTCGACACGCGCCCTGCGGGCTCCGAATTCCCACGAGAGATGTTTCGCTCTGATCCTCCCGTGTTGTTCACCGAGATGTCGCGCAGGAAGGATTCGAGACAGCAGGGGCGTGGGCACCTAGCTCGGTCTCGGAGGATTCCCTCCCTGAGCCTCATCGAGGTCGAATGTTCCGCACTCGACATGTGAGGGGTCCTCCCTCGATGCGGCGAATGCGATTCGGTCATGACTGTTGAGAACCTCATTGGGCGGCAAGATTGATGCGGTGGGATGTCGTGACTCGAGATCTCCCCTTTCGTGCTGATCGCGGTGCTATATGCCTGTCCTCGTCGCGCGATGGATACGAATGATAGAACAGGGGAAGTTTCCTCGTGGCGGTTGACTTTGACGCCAAAATCTTCCTTGGTGGGTGCATACGAGGAGATGGGGTTTGATAGGTAAATCGGGCAGCGATCAGCCGGTTCTCCTTATAATATGTACAGTAAATGATCAGAAGAGCGACGGTCAACCTGTGCAGATCCGATACGGGACCTCCCACATGGCTGATACGCGTGCTGCTCTCCAGAGAGGGGGAGAGAGGGTCTCAATCCGTCCCGCCAGAAAGAAGCCCGGACGATCCACGGTCCACGTACAGACATACAGACGGTGTCGCGGTTGGGTGGATTCCAATGTTTCAGCTCATGTGTGGTTCATTTCATGGTCGACACGTTAATCCTGTCCACGCGGGCGAGGTATCCACATGGCATGGCATGGCATGGCAGCTTTATTATTATTCTTCATTATTATTTTGGGGAGAAGGGCGACCACACACCACCAACACCACCACCACCACCACCGCTACCACCGCTACCACCACCACTACCGCTACCACCACTCATGCTGACGAACAGATGCGGACATCACCTTCGGCGTCGCACTTGGCAGTGCAGTGGGTCAAAGAATAAATTCATGCGCACCTGGCCTGGCATTGGAGGGAAACGCCTAATACACCTTACCCCTGCAGCTGCAGCAGTCACCACTGATTACTTGGTGCTGTACTTGGCTGTTAGCTTTGGTGTCTACCCGCGCCGGGGGACCCTCCTTCCTCGCGATGGATCCTTTTCTCCCAATGTCGTCAGCGGGATCCTGGGGTGGGGCGTCGCGACAGGTTGGTGTTGGAATTGGATGTTGCGTGCGTGCGTGCCTGTGTGGGCCATGTCAGCAGGCCTGTCCGTGAATGCGATCCGGGTGAGATGATCATCATCATATCCATCCATCCTTCCTTCCTTCCATCAACCATACGGATGGTGGCCATATGGTCCAGAGCCGCCACGGTGTGAAGCACGCCAACCCTTGCACGATGACGATGGAGAGACGGTGAATCTTGCCCGTCACCGTCGAGTCCCAAGCGGGCTCTAGTCAACTAGGTAGTCAAAGGAAACGTCGTCGTTGTGGTTTTTTTTTTTTTTAATCCTCCAGCGGGATCGATGTCGCTGTTGGAGGCCGGCGGCGGGCGGGCGGCGCGCACCAGGATTGGGTTGGATTTGATTAGTATCGGACGGACCGCTAGAGGGAGGGAGAGAGAGAGAGAGAGAGAGAGAGAGAGTTGGCACGAAGGATCTATGGATGCGTCGCTAGCTACTGGAGTTGGTGATTTACTCTATCGATGGCTGTCCTGTGCGTGATGTTGGATGTCTCGTTCGTTCGCATGTACTGACTGACTTT